AGGACCAGATCTGCAATTTTGGGCCATGGACCAATTGCCTCTATGACCTTCCACCAACTTGGGTGTCGGGTCTCGAGAATTACAAAACGAGAACAAAAAAGGATCCTTCCGTATTCGACCAGTCGAAGCGGCGATCCCCTTTTAGAGATGTTTGCATGCCGTCTCCTTCATCCCGGGAGTGGATCGAGTGACGCCAGGAAGAGAGATTAGTTGCAGAAAGTCTCATTCTATTGAAATTGAAAACAGAATGTACGATGTAGCCTCGGGCGCATCCAACCGCTAAGAATCCGCAATGACATATGCACAGAATTGTAACCCGTGTGTACGGAGTATTACCAAGTGGGTTGCCATAGCGGAGAAATCCCAGAATTTAATGCATGCACTAGTACGGAGCACGGAGTATAGAGGGAGTTCAGAATGTGAGTCCATCGTGATATTGTGAGATAGCAATGTTCCAGGTTGATGTCTCTACTATTTACCCCATACGGAGTACTCCGTACTCCGTACATCAGGAATGGATTGTCCTCGGTACCAGGCCCGTAAGGATGGGAATGCAAGGAGCCGTGCTGGGTTAGAGGCTGCAAGGTTGAACACGGAGGGGAGTATCAGACAATGTGTACGTGGTATTAGCGTATGGGGTACGGAGTACTCCGTAGACTTTTTTTCTTTCTTTTTTTTTTGGCCTTTGGACTGACGCATAAGATAGGTTACCTCAAGGGCAAAGAAAAAAAATGAACAAGAGTCACAATATTGAGCAATTTTAAAAAATTCCAAGGGAAGTTGATGCCGGGCGCAGAAGGCACCGGAATCCAAGCCCCGCCCACTGTGTAATGATGAAGGAAGGTGTCGTGCGTAATTAATATGATCAGAGCCACAAAGGCATCCTGGCGGTAGTCGAGACGGAGCACTCTGTACGGAGTAAGCCGATTCAAGACAAGGGTTTTGGGATCATTCGCATGGTTCCAGGGGGTACGGAGTACGGAGTATAGGGGATGCAATACTCCGTAGAGGACTATAGGACTACGTTAGCGATCGGCTTCAGCTTTGCTATGTTAGCTCAGCCCCCGAACCCCCCATGATCAAGGACCAAGAACCAGGGATAGATTCCTGTTTGGTTTTCTCGTACTCCGTACTGAACCCGCGACTATCTCCTCCGTACTCCGGCCTCCGTAGGCAATATACAAGTTGTGCACCGGAAACTTTGGACGCCGTCACCAATGAGGCAAATTGCAAGTGTGGTACTGCAAAGTGCAGCGGAGATGTCCTCAAACGCCCCGTGACTCTACGGAGTACGTGATGGATATGTTCGAGATTGTGCCTCGGTGTGCATGTAATCGATGTGAGCTCGGATGGTATTCCATGGTGGGATGGGTTCCGCGTGCATCACATCCACGCACGGATGTATGTTGGAGATGATATTGCTTCATATTTATGACTCTGTTAATGACAGGAGTATCATGATCATGGCGGTCGCAGTCAACTGCATGCACCAATGGTCGAGGACACAACCCCGTCTGAAAGTGATCATCGGTGGAATCCTGGGATGCTATAACACAGGGGGTGATACTTCCAGACCTGATCCATTTGAGGAATTTTGCAAATGAGAAAAAAGGGAAAAAAGGAAAAAAACGAAAAAACGAAAAAAGAAAAGGAAAAACGAAAAAAAAGAAAAAGAAAAACCAATTAATTTGTATTGACTCCGTAGACTTCACACAGTCAACAGGATCAAGGGCCAGAAATCCAAGTCCGAATAGCCTGACGGTGAACTCTGCAGGTAGCACTGTGCCGAGGAATCTCACCCGCGAAAGGCGATAGGTAAAACTTGTGGAGTCGGGATTGTGCACAAGACAAAAAGTGCCGCAACCATCTGAGAGAAACTTCTATTTTCGACCCACCAAAAAGAAGGAATTTAGCCAGGGAGATCGAAACAAAGAATCCAATATCGTGACCTCGGCAGTGAATACGCTCTGGGCCCCAATAAAAGACGGGCATTTGGCGTATTGGACCAATCAGAGGTCTCCTGGTCCAAGCAACTTCCGAGTAAAAAGGAAATAAAAATAAAAGCGCAGACATCAGTATGGATCGTCTAGCAAAATGGAGTATGACACAGTGAACTTTTTCCTTGTTCAGGTCCACCACTTGTGTGTCTGGGGTTCTGGAAACGAAACAACTTCCGTGGCGGTGGCTCAGAAACCCAGAAAGTGGAGAGATGGTAATTTCGTTTTTTTTCCATTCTTTTTTTTTTTCAACTTTTCCCGATCAACTCTCTTCTCCATGAGATCCGACACCCGGCTCCTCTCAGCTTGACCGTGATTTTGCCGCCGAGAGAGAAGTTGGATCGTCCCTAGTCGAGTTTAGAGGTTACCCAACCCGTTGCCTGTTTGGGAGGTGAATTGGTGGCGTGATGAACATCAAGTGTCGTATGAAAGTCCCGATGATCTTCCAAGGTTTCTGAAGATTCAAGTGGGTAGTTCAATATGCCTACGCATGCATCTAAAGAGAGATACTAAGGAGGACAATATACGGAGTAGCTGGATGCATGCTCTGTGCGTGATGGAAGAGACTCTGACCACTTCCATCCAGTGATACCGGGATGTCAATCAACTCCGTAATTTGAGTCTATCGCATATTGAATGGAGTACGGAGTACTCCGTACACCGTATGTACATGGGTTGCGAGGAGTGTGCACATCTCGACTCCGTACTCCGTCGACACCCACCTGTCGACACCCACCTCGGTCTTTTCTCGAAGGGATGACCGTTGGGGCGCCACGAGTGGCCGATGGATTCCAATTCCACCAGCCGATCTGGGCCGTCGCACTTTTTTTTTGCGCTTTTTCGGCTTTTGAGTCTGCACTGGATCACAAGTGCAACTACGTTGTACGTGCCACCTTACGTGAGGCTTTTCCGTCCAGATGGGTCGAAACAATGTCTCGAGTGAAACGGCTATCCGACTGGGACCAAAGTCCCGTATGCCACGCCAGCTTCGATTTGACCTAGGGTACGGAGTAGACGGGACACAAATACCGACAGAGGTACCGGTAGGCATCTCATACGGTCAAAGTACCTCCAACATAGGGATGTGGTGACCAGCCTGTAGGAGGCAGCAGAATACCTTGGGTAGTCCAATGCATGAACCCCGGACGAATCAGACGCCGGGATTCCGAGGTGTCCCCGAGGCTCCTGAACTATCAAGTAGGTCCATCACTGTAATTATGATGAGACCCCCCTGATTCGTAAACAGGAGAGTCGTCCGGAACAGTGCCCAGGTGGGTTGCAGGGGAAGAACGCGGGATGAGACCAAGACTTTCAAGCAAAGACACGAACATGGCAAATTAGTTATCTCCGAACCCATACGAAGTACATCCTGAACCCCCATAAGACAGAAATGAACCAATGGCCGCACAGGAGCAAGTCGGGGAGTACGCGATCACGTAACCGTGTGATAGAGAGAGGAGATTGAAAAGAGGCCACCAACCGTGGACCGGTCGTACACGGGATAAATTAACCAAAAAAAAACCACAAGTTGGCCCAGCCACCTGAGACTTGAAGTGGACCGTTACGAGGAGAGGTTTCCTTTACGAGGCGTAGATTGGTTGGAGCGGTGTATCTTTGCTGTAATCTTGGTCTCTTACCGAAGAATGTACCATTCTTACCATTCTTACCGAGACTCCCGATCTTCTCTGACGCTTTCGCTGTCTCCTCTAAACCTGGTAATTGATCTTCTGTTCTCGCCCTTATAATTGGTTTCTTTTTTTGGTTTTTTTCTTTTTCCTCTCTCTTTCTCTATCGCTTTCTTTTTTATTCTTTTTCTCTATTTTTTTTTTAATCCTTGGTCTTTCTTACTTTTGGTCCATTCCTTTGCCTTTGCCTATACTCCGACTAACGACCAGCCACCGTGCTCAAACCTCCCTGGGCCCCGCGCTTCCCGGCAACCCCCCTTTAGCCCTTTTTCTTTTTGCAGGACGGAGGCGTACTTACGGAGTACTGTGTGCATGCGCACCCTCACAGCCTTTCGCCTCGCATACTCCGTACATGTACTCTCCGTACTCCATATTCCGTACTCCGTACTCCGTACACGGGTTGGTAATTTATTGCCGCTAAGCCCAACTTATTATTGGATCTGATATGGGTCTCAGGTTCTGTTGTAGAAAGTTCCTCTCCCTTTTTCTGATTTCAACTTGGATTTGGGTTTTTAGTGGTTTTTTTTTTCTGTAGTTTCTCTTTAATTCTTTTTTTCTGGGATTTTTGCCCACTAGTCCCGCGCTACGGAGTACTCCAGTCAACTTGCTTAAGGCTGCAAATGTGAGCCCCGGGACCAGGTAAACATTCTGCGACCTACCCTTTTTAGTTGCATCCACTCATTATCCCCGTGGCTCTGACATCAACCGGTATTTCCATTCTTTCATAAATTGGGTTCCTTATTGGACCAGAAGATTTTCCCTTTTAATTTCCTCCTAATCTAGATTGACCAAACCCGGACCCCAAACGAGCCCAGAAAGGAGGATCAACCTGGACCTGCGTCCGGATCAAACTCTGTGTATGGCCGCTATCGCTTTCTCCGGATGGGGTCTGTGGACTTGGTTAATGGAGATGATGCCTTGACTTCAAATGGATATTATTTGATTTTATTCTTTGGAATTTCTTTTCTTTTTTTACATCTGGTGGAGCCGCCGGATCTCTCTGGTTTATCGCTGCTTTCCTTATATGGGCCTATCGTGGCTACTCTATATACATCATTCAACTCCCTGTGCAAGATCTATATTCACTTTTCCCTCACGTTGAACTGAATCCGCCCTTTCCTCCTTGATTGCATTCCAATTGGGCAGGCACCTGTCTCTATTATTATCCATCTTTCACCCGGGACTACTATTCACCTGATTAGGGAACATGGGTCATTGATACTCCTCGGTTCTCTCCGCCGATGCCTTTATTTGCTTTCATCAAAAAGAAATAAAACTCCATGTGTCAACCTCTCTACCCATCGCTCACTCTTTCCTTATGTCTTCTACTGCAAACTTCCATTCCTCCTTTTCGACCCTGGGAGCTCCAACCATCAACTTGATTGAAGATCGCTCGTTGAAACCCTTGGAGTACTCGGGTTCCTCTCAGGCTGTTCCTATTCGGAACGGTCTGCCTACCCCTCCGCACGATATGACTGGCATCGCCTATAATGCCATGCCACCTATCGCCTATGGGGGCAAACCCAACGGGGTGCCCTCTCACCTTTATGGCCACTCGCGGACACAGTTCGATTCCATTTCAGGTTCGATGATGCCCGCCATGAAACCGCAAAGACACGCACCGGTCAAAGAAGCCCCTGCGACAGAACCGACTGCTCAGAAGAAGTCCACGGGTAGAACGGGAGGATCGCAACTCCGGATTCCATCGTCCATCAACAACAGCCGGGGCAGTTTGGCCGAGTTTGCAGCTCAGGTGAGAATTGCCGGTTCTACAATTGTGAGGTCATCGCAGGAATTAATTTGATTTCCCCCGTTTTAGATGACCTGTCTGTTCTGGTTCGAAAAGACCTCGAAACTGCAAGCTATCGAAGACCGCCAACACCCCGTTCCTTCCCTTGTCGCAGAGGCGATCCCCACCGTTGGATTTCAGAAATGGGTTGCCACGATCCTCTCCACCACGCAAGTCAGCCAGAATGTTATTCTACTGGCCCTTCTCTTTATCTACCGCCTGAAGAAGTTCAACTCCGGGGTTAAGGGTAAGAAAGGTAGCGAGTTCCGGTTGATGACCGTTGCGTTGATGCTCGGCAATAAATGTGAGTTATCCTTATCGGTTTCACCGCCCTTGTCTTGATCGATTTTCATTGGACCAACAAGCTGACTTATCTACAGTCCTCGACGATAACACTTACACCAATAAGACCTGGGCTGAGGTATCGGGCATTGCAGTAAACGAGATTCACATTATGGAGGTCGAGTTCTTGAGCAACATTCGCTACGACTTGTTCTCTTCCGAGGTGGAATGGACCCGGTGGCAAACCAAGCTGGGGCTCTTCGGCGACTACTTCAATCAGGCCTCGATGCTGCCGGTCGAGTCAGCCGCGATGCTCCGTGTCTCGCCTCCCCGCCTGCCGCAATCGCCATCGGCCAAGTTGCCGTCGCCTGGTACCGACTCGTTCCGATCTCAGCCGCAGCCCAACTGGTACATGCCACTCAATGGATTGCCATATTCGCTGCCACCACAGCAATTGGGCGGCGAACCCTCAATGGGAAAGTCTCGGAAACGAAGCGGTGATGAGAGCGACGAGCTTCACCCGACCAAGCGCGTTGCTTTGTCTGCCCCCACATCTGCCCCTTCGACTTCAATGACGGTCCCAGTGACTGCTATGAGCATGTCCACCCTACCCCCTGTCTTGACTCCCACTTCTGCCCCGATGGCACCAATGAACGTTTCCCGTCTCCCGCCTCCTCACCATGCGCCATCTCTTCCGACTTCCTACTCCACGCCCCAGACGCTGCCTCCCGCAGCATCTTCCCAGCTTCCAGCTATCATGCCTCCCATGTACAATCGGCCATCGAACTGGCAGCAGATGCCTCCTCTTTCTGTGCCTCCGATGCAACCTGGCATGTACAACCCTACTTCTCTGCCCGAATTGGGCCGGCAACACCAGAGCTCTTTTGGTGCGTCCTCTGCCACGGTCTCCCCTGCCATCTCGGCCTACTCCGTCCACACACCGCAGACGCACCTTTCTCCTTCATTTTTCCTCGCCAACCGTAACTCGCCTTACCGGCCAGTGCGCTCTGTCAACACCTTGTTGATTCCTCCCCCGTCAACCTCCCTACAGCAACAGCGCAATGTTCCGTTCGATCATATGCACTACCAGTCACTCTCAAAGGGATCTACTTCTCGCAAGACTGGCTTGCTGCCCTATATCCAACCCGATGCGTGGAACCAACCTCCCTACCTTCACCCCATTTATCCCCCTACCAGTTACACTGGTTGAAGCACTTTGTACTCCACAATTTTTTTCCTTTTCTTCAACTACTGAGTTTATGACTTCACTGCGCCATGACCCGTCACACGAGAGAAAAAAACTCCCTCATTCGCTGTACACATTTTTTTATCCCTTCTCTTGCTTGTCTTCCATTTTACTGTACAGACTTACTGCTTTTCACGATTGTATTAGGCATATCTTTGGCGCTCCATATTAGAAGGAAATTGGGTTTGGCCTCCCTGCACGATATTGATCTCGGGGATGGCATTTGCGGCGTTGTTCTTGGGTTTGACTGACATCTGTACCGTGTGCCTCCGAGCACATTGGTGGTCTTTTGCTGCCATCGCATTTGCATACTTATGGGCGTTTTATCTTGCAGACTTAGCCTTAGCTCTGCATCATACATGTATGAATCTAGATTTACCACCTGGTAATTTTTTTTCTCCTTGAAAAGCTTTTCGACTGTATAATCCTTAGGATAGAAAGTAGTATTATAAGGGCAGAACTTACATATGTAGCCAATATAGTTAACAGAACTGGACTTGGGATGTACATCCACTAATCGTTCCAATTCACAAATTGGCATGTATTAAGCCATCAAGTTGATGCGCACCCTTTGGAAATATTCATTAGAATGGCTAGGAACACCTTTCAAAAAACTCGAGAGCAATAAAGCCCTGGCTCCGGGTGCTGATGTTGTAGGTCTATGTGTACATGCAACTAGGGCCATCCCGGAACCGGAGCAAACATAACCCGCCCCGACAGAGATCTCGAAACTCACCACCAAACCCGCGAGTCCAACACCAACGAGTCTATAACCACAACCACACACACCATGTCTCCTCGGCTGATGGGGCTGCCGATGCAGCTAACACAATTCGTCGCTCGGCCCATGCAACAGGCCTCCCCGCTCACCTTCCTCGTCCCGAAACTACAGCAAACCCGCAACAATTCCATCCTAGCCTCCCTCTCCGACAACCCAACCGCCTACAACAAGCGCATCCGTCGAGGCCGCGGTCCCTCCTCCGGCAAGGGTAAGACCTCCGGTCGCGGTCACAAGGGTCAAGGCCAGCACGGCAAAGTCCCCGCCGGCTTCAATGGAGGACAGACGCCCGATATCATCGTCCACGGCGAGCGCGGCGGTGTCAACATGTAATCTTCCCCTCCCCTCAAACCCTCAAAACAAACCCCCCAATTAACAATCCCAGCTTCTCCGTCGAGATGTCCACCGTCAACCTCGACCGCCTGCAATCCTGGATCGACCAAGGCCGCATCAACCCCAACCGCCCGATCACAATGAAAGAGCTGTACAGCAGCGGCTGCATCAGCCGACCAATCGACGGCGTCAAGATCCTCGGCGACGGCGCCGCAGCCCTAAAACAACCCATCCACGTCGTCGCCTCCCGCGCCTCCGCCTCCGCCATCGAGGCTATCGAAGCCGCCGGCGGCTCTGTCACCACCCGCTACTACACCCCCTCGTCCATCCGCCGCATCCTCGACAACGAGACGCACTCCTTCCTGTCCAATGCGTGGGCACAGGCCAGCGGCTCCGAGGAGCTCTACAAGCTCGCCAAGGTTGGCATCTCGGCGCCTTGGATGAAGTGGAGCACGGTGGTCAAGTCTGCGCAGAAGAAGTACCGGTTGCCGGATCCGACGAAGCGTAGGGATATTGAGTATTATCGTGATCCTGCGCATCGTGGGTACTTGGCGCATCTGCTTAAGCCGATGGAAGGTCCCAGTTTGTTCTTCCGGTCTTCTGAGGAGCGGAAGTCGACTGCTGGTGTTAAGAAGGAGAAGGTTTTGCCTGTCAACAGGCTTTGGTAGATTTGAGGGGGGATTTGGGGATGGGTCATTGTTTTCTTTATCGATTGTTTGGCATTGTCTTGTCGGTTTAGACCGGTTTACTGTATGTGTATAAATATGTCTTTTTTTTTGTTCGATATGTTAGGGCTTGACAATTAGATGGGTTATAGCCTTTTTCTTTACAAGGGATTGTTTTGGTCTACTAGATGATTCGAATAATTCTGGATTTATCGGTTAATTGAAAGCAAAACATCAACATTGAATGGAATGGTTTTATCATTGTCTTTTTTTTAACCCAAATCCCAGGACAGCCCGGCCACCCAGCATATCTCAAAAAAATTGAGTAAAAAGACACCGCGAGATCAGTACAGAGATATCAAAGATCCGCAGGTATAAAAATACACCAAACAAAGCAGATGACGAACTCAAGTAGACCACAGGGAAACAAAGAAACCATAGAACGAAGAATCGAAGTGACGAGGCGACAAGTGCTCAAACAAAATATATCAGACCAAATAGCAATAAGAAAATAGGTAACGCCACGCCTGTTATAAGGATTATTTCATAATCGTCAATCTCGTGATGCCGAAACCAAAGCCAAACCAGAACCGAAAACACGCTGCGAGTGGGGGATATTGAAGATAAATTGTGGAAAAAAAGCACATGCTGACAATTTTGAACTGAAGTGCAGCAACGAAAAACACGAAAAAAGCAGGTGAAAGATTCAAGGGGTATGAAGGGGTATCATAATGATTTAGAAAGTGTCCCAGAATGTCAACGCTTCTTGTATCGTTGGCGCCGGGAGAGGGGAAAGGCATCCTTTCCTTAAGGAATTTGGCCCTGGTTTATAGGAATTCCATCTGCTTCGGTATCCATGTAGTGGGATGAGCAGAATACGGGATTATAATGGCCGGGTGGGGATGAGACGAGCAGAGCTCACAGTCTCCACACAGTATCAGGAGAGGGTTCAGTCGTCTCGTGAATCTCTCGTAGCCAGGGTGATGCTATTACATCACGGATAGACCAACGCCGGTTAGGATCCATTTCCAGACACCCGCGGACCAAGTCGAGGGCGTGCTGGCGATCTTGGCGAATGTAGTCGTCCGTATAATCACCAGAGACGGCATCGCAGTCCCAGGTACCACTGAGGATATTCGCTTGGATGCGAGGGGCAAACGAATCTTGGAATGGCCGTGAGCCGACGATGACGGTATAGACGATAACGCCAAATGCCCAAACATCAACCGCAGGGTGAATGACACCGTCTACTGATTGAAGTAGTTCAGGAGATGCATATTCCAGACTACCCGCAACACTGGTACTGGATCCTGCCGGGCCCATTTGCTGGGGCGGCGGACGGTCAGCGGCATCCTCGTAGGGATCGGGTGAGTCGCCGCCGCTGTCCATTGACATCCATTCCGCCATTCCGAAATCGCACAGTACCAGGTTCGAAGATGTTGTGCCGTCAGCAGCCTCAACAGGATCAAGCAGGCAGTTCTCAAGCTTGATATCTCGATGAACCACGCGGGCATCTTCGTGTAAGTAACGGATCGCACAGGCGAGTTGATATGTATATTTCTTTGCCAATGTCGTATCAAGTCCGGATCGATTTTGACGGACCAGATCAAAGAGAGTACCACCAATAGCAAGTTTGGTGAAGCAAAATGTGGCGTAATCTGTTTCATATACGGCATCAAGCGTCAATACATGCGGATGGCTAAGGTATCGCCATACTCGCACTTCGTGATCAAATTCAGCTTGCACTTCATCGTTTTCTTGCTCACTTCGTCCTGTAACCTGCTTTTTCACGATCTTGACAGCGAGTCTCTTGGTTTCACCATGCTTTTCAGCCTTGTAGGCCTCCTTTACGGTGCTGAACCCTCCAAACCCGATTTGCTTTCCGAGGACATAGTCGTCTCCGACCATCTGGCCTTCGTCATCTGGCTGGGAGACAGGTTCTTCGCGGTTGCCCCACATGGATAGAAACATGCTAGCGGGCGACTTGCCACTCGAAGTAGTCGATCGCCGGGAACTGTGCCGCGTAGAGTTCCGAAGACTGCTGCTACGATCAAGAGTAGAGCTGCGCTTGCTCCCGAACGGGGTTGCGATACCCCCAGACCAGGAGCTGCAACGCTCTTCAGGCGATGCGAAAGATTGAGTTGGCGATGACAGATAAAACGGCGATAGCATGGTGTGGGTTGAGTCATCAGGGGGAGTGCGCAACTCGTCTGTGACCGGAGATACCGTCGACTGCGACGTCAGTGACGTTGGTCGGTCAAGTTCTGAGCCCATAATCGAGCCATTCTCAGACCTCGCAAAGGGCTGGGGTCGGGACTGCCCGGTCGGGAACCCCCGATCGTGTGCTCGTTTAGGGCTCCAATTCGGGGATTCGTTGTTCAGTTCGACATGGTCATCGTCTTGTGAAAGGGCATTTCGGAGCCCAGAGCTGCGAGACTCGAATCTCTGCGGTGGACGGTTCTTCACATCTCCTGTAGAGAGTGGTTCCTCTAGCGGAATTTGGTTTCCGGAGTCCACGGAGACCGTAGGGTTGAAAGAAATCGAGGGTCGACGAGTCTGCAGATAGCTGTCGAGCGGGGATCCCTGCACATCATCGGGCTTATGCGGGTAATTGTCGTTGTCGATTGCGTGACGCTGTTCATCGGGACGAGGGACGGATATAGGAGGGGTCGCTGAGTGTAGATCACTTGACAAACTGCGGTCTTCATCAGTATCGCGGCGACGCGCGTAATCATGAGATTGTTTGGTGTAGTCGCTCTCGATACCATCGCCCACTGTTGTCGCTTTCCTCCCACTATTTTCACTTCCCCATCTGGAGTTGCTCCGCTCATGAAAGTGAGTTTCAATTCTCAAGCCTGCCAATCCGCTTGCCAATCCGGCCCTCTCGCTGTGCGCCATGCCCGAGGAGCGCGAAGCGAAAAAGAAATTGTATAGTGAGTCGGTGATAGGCTTGCAGTAGGGTTGTGTAACCCTCTGCTTGGCCGTTTTTTGAGTTGTACTTTGCGATGGCTGGAGTTCAAGACGATTGTGGGGTGATAGCGTTAAAAGTGGAGACAAAACGTTTTAATGGAGTGGTGATGTAAATGAAGTGGTAGAAGAGCAGAAGAAGTTTGGATTTGGATACAAAAAGTCGAGATGCAACACAGTGGATACAAACAAAAGTAGTGAGACAGGAACTGAAAATGAGGTACTCGTCAAGTAGTTCGAGACTGAGGGGAGAAACATCTATCGGGTCGACTCGGAAGAAGAGAAGTGATCGGAAGGTCACCTGACCCTATTAGTCATGTTTTGCCTGCGGTGAGCTGATGTAGCAGGCAGCTCTTGGCCCCTTCGGTGGCAAAAGCGGCAAATAGCCGCAGGTCATTGTTACGGAGTCCAGCTACTTTGATTGGTCTCCACGTAGTGACGTAGGGATACTTTAAAAAAAAAAAGGGAGTTTGGGGTTGATTGCCCCCGATCTATCATTATGTCATAAGCTTCTTCCATTTCCAATAGCGTATGGGGTAGGAAGTATGTTGTACATGCACGAGTACTCCGTACCTCCCGTTGCATATCAACGGCTAAAATATATTGGCCCGGCTAAAGGGTACGGGATATTAGGTACTCCATACTCCCTCATGCCTACTCCGTACACACCGGAGCGCTAGCGACGGAAATTAAAAAACAAGATAAAACAATCCACCAAAGATGCGGGCAGAATGGCCAACTAAACTTTGAGATAAAAGTACTCCGTACTCCGTACTCCATACTCCGGACTGGAAAGTGGAATAGTCATGCAACAACTGCCTATACTCGTCTTGGTGACCCTCGGCCTACGACTCAAATACGCCCTTTCTACTCCGTACTTGCAAGTAGTTTAGATATTTATACCTGAGTACATGTTCGGAGTAATATCTAATATGGTATGTGACTTCCAATGATCTACATTCCCGACGCTCCAATTTGACGAGTTGTTAGTTTTCATCGTGATGATCCCCCATCCCCATACTCAGGGGTCATGGAGCCATGGTTTTAAGCGCGCGCCAAGAGGCGCTTGTTTGGGATTACCTCCTTTTGATTCTCGAGATGTGAAAGGAGTTACCCGTTCAGAGTCAACGTCGTGACCTTGGCAGACGTCTCTTTGTTATTTCCTTTCTTTTTTGTTTTTTTCCTTTTGCTCCTTGTCGCTCTGGCAGTATTTTCTTTTTCCTCATTGCGTCGACCTCCGTGCTGGACCGAAGTGCAGACCAGCCCCCACCATTCTCATTCAAGGCACTGTCTCTCTTTCAAGTCAATTTGCCAAATTCTACTCCGTACTCCGTACCCCAATCGACTTTTCTACTACTTAGAACTCTCGTCTTCTTGGATCCGAAAAAATTGAGTGACGAGCGCCTTGTGTTGGTACCTGCACTTGGCTTTCAACATTGATATTCTTGAAGCGCCAGCCACTCCTTGCACTTCCGACTTGCTTCAATTCCATTGTGCTGGACGCCACACATTCATTCGAGTGGCACCATGTCTAGGCCTCAGATGATCCGAGCTGGTACGTTCAATGTGCCCAGAGTACAAAGCCAATTGTTTAGAAGCTAAGCGTTGACCGCCACCTTTAGATACCTTGGACCTTCAAGATCACGATGCGCCTTCCGCGAAAGACCACACCAAACAACCCGAAACTCCAGAACCTCTCGGGGGCGGCCGGCCTGCCCCCCATCAAGAGCTTTCTATTCGCAAGGCTGAACAAGATTCGCAAGCGGAGATAAAGGGCGGACCCGACAAAGACCACGAGTCTCGCGGTGACAAAGGGGTGTATCGAGAGTCCGACGATGAGGACGAGGATGACGATGATAGTCACTACGACCACGAAGAAGGCGATTTGGCAGATGGCGAAAGCGATGACCTCATGGACGATGATCTGATGGACAAGATCTCCAGCTCACCCTCTATTGACGATGGTAAGCATGCGTGAGGGACATGCGCGTTTTTTGGGATTCTAATTGGGATTTTACAGAGGACATCGACTTCGAATTTGTTTATGCGCTTCACAACTTTGTCGCAACTGTTGATGGACAAGCAAATGCCGCGAAAGGTGATACCATGGTTCTTCTCGACGACAGCAACAGCTACTGGTGGCTCGTGCGCGTGGTGAAGGATGGGAGCATTGGTTATCTCCCTGCAGAACACATTGAAACACCTACCGAAAGACTTGCTAGATTGAATAAACACAGAAACGTGGATCTGTCAGCGACTATGCTGGGGGACAATAACGAGAAGTCGAAAAATCCGTTGAAAAAGGCTATGCGCCGTCGGAACGCGAAGACCGTGAACTTTGGACCTCCGATGTATATTGACGCCTCCGATGTTGACTACTCAACGGATGATGATTCTGAACACGGCGACTTCTTTAACGATGACGAGACTCTGGATGGAGAGGAGGAAGACGAACAAGAGCAAGCTGAAGATATTGTTGTGGAGCCTCTCAGGCCCAAAGGCCAGAAAGAAAATCCTACAGATCTTGGTGATGCGAATGGTGCAGAGAAACAGGACTCGCAACGTGCAAGCTCTGATCAACGACCCTTAAGTGAAGAATTCTTCGAGGCGGAAGGTAAACACAGTCAACTCAATCCTCCTGAAGTCATCTTTGAAACTGATCATTCTACAAAACAGAACCCATTGTCAGTAGATCCAGAAATGGCACTGTACGAAACACCGATTCATTCTTCAACGACGACACTGCCGAGCCCAAAAAGATTTCCCTCACACCAAATCTTCTACGCGATATCCGCGATGGAGATAGTAACGGCACTCTGGCTGATTGGAAAGAGGTATGTTTTGAAACTTGAGGTTCTCCACATATCAAGTAACTGACTTTTGGTAAAGCCCCGCGGCAGTCTCGAATCCCTCGAAAAAGGGTCCAGTTCGCAGGACAAATTCAAAGAGAAAGAGGACAAGAAACGAAAGGACAAGAAGCCTGGGATGCTCAGCGGATTATTCAAGCGTAAGAAGAGCAAAGATGATACCGACGAGCCAGAAAGATCTCCTGCAGACTCGGCATCCCGCACATCACCTCAACCCAAGACCTCGATGGAATCCATATCGACGAAGTCATTGTCGCCTGAACAACAACGGCCTTCTAAGCCTCAAAAACACACAGTCAACAAGGCACACAAGCCACCCCAAGGGATTATGAAGGTTGATACGGCCCTCGATTCTGCAATGGCCGAATTCTCCAGAGGAAACGAGGCTATTAACCAGGGTCAAGTTGAGAAGAGCATTCGACAGGTGCCACCACCAGAAGAAGACGAAAGCGGTTACGAAGACTGTGACATCATGTTACAATCGCCTATCAGCCAACCTAGTCCTTCCAAAGACTCCTTTGCTACTCCGCACGAGTCCATGGAACCCTTGGCGTCGCCTGTTGATCGACCATCTAGCGAAATTCAATGGAGAGAGACTATGGATTCGGACCAACCAAGAGCTGGATCCACATCTGTTACGTCTCCTCAAAAGTTCGTTCCTGCGCTAGTGGGTGGAGACGAGTCAGAATCCCCTGTCAATATCTCTCCTCGACAAGTCTACCCTCCTATAGGCGGACGTGGCTTGGAAACTATTGCCTCGCCTCGAGGAGTCCGCTCTTTCTCACCAGCATCTCCGCCATTGTCACCCAGACATCACACAAACTATCTCAAAGGCAGCACCGCTACTCATGGCTCAATCGACACTCTCTCTGTAGACACTCCGACTTGGAGCGACTCCAGCCTACGATCATATATGGATGAAGAAAACGACATTCGCGACTTGTTTATTATTGTCCACGACAAATCAAATGTACCTCCCGCTGGTCCTGACCACCCCGTCACCGGTCGTCTATTCAAGGAAGAAAGCAAGCGACTGAAGGAGATGAATAACCAGCTTGACGATATGCTTGTAAACTGGATGTCACAGCGGGCTAAGAGCTCTGCCTCCATTCGGAGCATGCAAAGTCCGTCGGTATAAGCACTGTGTGCATGAATCTCTTGACACTATCTGTTGATAGACGGCTCCGCCTTGAATGGCGATAGAGGCCAGGATGCTGTTGAATGTGCTGGTCGCATCACTTTTGGCCGGGCCTTATCCTCTCTTTCCACCCATTCATCTTTCCTTTTTGCGTATTTTCTTGTTGCCATTGCTTGGCGCAAGCCTTTGTTCCACAGCTTTCCAGGGCCATCGAGGCGATGGAAAGCTGAACGTCTTAACGGCCCTGCTTACACTATGCTTTTTTTTGTCAATCTTTTTCTTTGATTTTTCACCGGAATACCCCGACTCATCCCCGTTTCTGTTTCACGTGTTCTCCTTTCAGGTTAGACTGACTTATCCCAATCCAACATCAGTTGCCAAGCATATTTACAGTAGAAAGCCAACATTTCAAGGAAGACACCTCTAGGTTTGTGCAGAAAACCAGCGTAGCTGACTGGCAGGCAAGTGCATTTGGGCAGGATCGCGGGAGATCATGTGTCGTGCGGGCAGGTCAGCCGCGCCATGTTGTCCAGGTAAGGGCCCCCGCAAGTCATCAGACTGGCTGACATATAAACCCTTGATATGCTTTTTTTTTTGATGCGACAAACTTCTATTTAACATTATCACTTCACCATGGCCGATCCATACAACCCTTATAGCTCATTCCAAACGCCGACTCCGGGCGGGGTAGGATACTATCCCCCGGACAATCAGCCTCAGTATCCTCAATATGACCAGCAGCAGCCGTATGGAAATGCAGAACCATACAGAAATCCAGAGCAATACCATAACCCCGGACTAGATCCCTACCAGCCCGCTCCGGACCCGAACCAAGTATATGCTCCACAGTCGAGTCCATACCATCTCGCACCGGAGCCCTATGCATCTGCTCCGGAAAGAGCCTATACCCCGACAGGGCAGCCCGATTACCAGGGACAGGTGACGCCAACTGGATACGAGCATGTGCAGACCAAAGTGCCTGAGAATGCAGGATACTAGTAAGTATACAACTCTAATCATGTGAACCAATACGGAGTACTAACAATGAGCCCTAGCAATGACCATCCAGCCGATCAGTCATGCCACACACCCTCAGCAAGCACTGGACCCCCCGACGTGTACGCGCCAGAGTCAGAAGATACAAAACACGGAACAGGCGAACAACGCTCCGACACTGATACTGAAGCTGACCAGGGTTTGGATCGGGGACTCGGAGGCTCGCTTGCCGGCGGCGTGGCGGGGTATTATCTCGGCCATAAGAAAGAACACGGCTTGCTGGGTGCGATTGGAGGTGCTCTTCTAGGAAATTTCTTGGAGGATCAGTTGAAGGATCGCAAGAAGGATGATGATGAGCGCGAACATGAACAGCGCCATAGTGATCATCCCCGTCGCCGTCGCCGCCGTCGCCGCCACCATCACCACCGGAGTCATTCGAGACATAGTGACCACAGTGGGGACTCTCACGGCTCCTCTCACGGCTCCTCTCATCATAGCAGCCATTCAAGATACAGTGGTCACAGCGGACCCTCTTATTCTTCTCACCATAGCAGCCACTCGAGGCACCGTGACAACGAATACTGAAGAAGTGGAAGTGGAATTGGAGAGATGACTGGAGTTCAGACGGTCCAGTTTGACCTGAGGCTTCTTTTTCCTTTCCTGTCCTGTGTATCATTCTACGAATCTATTCTTATGCTACGGGATATCATTTATGTGTTTCTCTTTGTTCAGTAGGTAGCATTGGGCTAGAGAGACTTTCCATACTCATATAGTTCTCTAGGCATCCAGCCTTACACGCTTGCTTCTTTTGGTTGATTATGAGGTCTCTGGTTAGGTAGAATAAGAGTGTTAAGTACTCTCTCGCGAAGATTTACATGGTCTTGACTGTACTACAAGTCACAAACCTAACTTTCCTCGATATTTCGGTTGCCTCTTACCAAAGTTGGCCATCAAACATGACGAGAGAAAACATCTTGAATGGTGTTTACCTGCCTAGAAACCTGACACCGTACTAATCCGGATTCTAGGACCCCTAGTCATAAATTGACAATCATCCGTCTCGTGGCACCAACATGCTGAGAACATAGGAGGCCTGGTTCATGATAACTAAATCCAACTTTGTTGTCAAAGTAGTCTCTTAGTCTCTTGGAATTAGTATAGAGAATTCAGGTCTCCCGAGGTCATCGCCTAGAACAGACCCTTTCTCTGCGGTTGTCAGGTCTGAATTTGATCTCTTTCGGTCTGCATGCTTTCGTGTTTCGGTCCATGTCTTCTCATGAATTTCCTAGGTCAAAGGTGTTTTGCAGATTTGATCGCCATGTGGAAGGCTTGTTCCACTGTCTATATCAAGACATTCGCTTTCTGGTCTAAGCATTTATTACCCTGACCTTCTGGCAGATGCTTTGAAATTCATACATGGAAGTAAGTTGACCTATCTAATAAACATATTCATCGGCAGAGCCTCATCTTCAGGGATGCACCCGCCTAGATGGGCATACTCTCACTACTTCTGGCTTGAAGATACCTACATGTACATAGATATAGCCCACGGATGTTCTTTTGATCCAGGACCTGGATGTGGAACGAGGTGAGGCCCTTCCAATGTTGGAATGAGCATATGATGAAACATTCAAGACTTCCAAGATTAACCCAAGGCGTAATCCTGAAAAAGCGTGTTACCTAAACGGGGCAGCTCCCTGCATTGCCAGATTCGCGCACGGCGTCCTGATACGCCGGTTTATCGGCTTATCAGGGCATGACTCATCCGATCTGCCCCGATAACCCCGATAAGGCATTTCAGCTCTCGTGACACTCCAGGATGACCTGTTCATTCCAGCTGGATATTGGACTTTCTTTTGTTCACATTCCTAGGTGCTTCTCTTTGCTCACTTTGCTCACTTTGCTCTACTAGACCTAGAGCACTCCTCATACAGGCTAGACTTCCTTTCACCTTTATCCAGCGCGGATCCCCTTATCGATTACGCCCCCATACTTGGACGCCCACCTCGATCTTGGGCGCACAACTTGCGACTGAGGCCTCGACCGAAACACTCTGTGAGATTCGAACACACTACATCAATAGATGATGTCTCCTTCTTTATTACACGGTCTTCTTACTGGGATTCTGCCGGATCATTGTGAACCAACCTCGCCCTTCCTGACCGCCGTCTCCTCACATCTCCACATCTGCATCCCCACTCCTCTCGCGGCGATCTCTTCCGTTTTGGGAACACTCAGCATCATTTCATGGCTCTTCGCGCAATTACCGCAGATATACAAGAACTTTCAGCTACAATCGACGTCGGGGTTATCAATCTTTTTCTTGGTGATCTGGTGTTTTGGTGATGCAAGCAATCTCATTGGAGCACTATACACCCGACAGGCAGGTTGGCAGGTAGTGGTTGCCAGCTATTACGTTTTGGTTGATATCACCCTGGTATTCCAGTTCTTCTGGTACACCCATTACAAGGCTCGCCGGAATGGTGAGTATAGCAACCTGTCAAATTCGCATAATTCAACTCGTCGAGGCGTCATTCAAGGCGTGCCTCCTCCAGGCCATGAATCGGACTATCAGACCTCGGGCCCCGTCGACATGACCACCAAGCATTCCGAATTTAAAGATATTGGTGTTCAGGCCGGGTCAGTACTCAATTCATTCCGTGGAAAGACTGCCTCATACTCAAATGAGAAACTCAGTTCCTCACGTCGATCTATACGGATGGCCAGCAGCGCGCAGACCCCACCTTTCGCACTTCCTCGAACTATGCTCATCGCTTCACTTCTCTGTGCTGTAATTGCCAATGCTTCCCCCACCGAGAAACCGCATCCACCTATTTCCGACGCACCCCGAGAGGCTATCGTCGAGGTCGTTGGTCGCGTCTTTTCCTGGATGTCAACAATCTTGTACCTTGGTTCGCGCCCTCCACAGTTATACAAGAATTACCAGCGGAAGAGCACCCAAGGCCTATCTCCATTACTATTTTTCGCCGCTTTCTGTGGTAACCTATTCTATTCCAGCTCGCTGCTTACCAACCCGAATGCCTGGTCTGACATGTCCCCGTATGGCGGCGGCGGTTGGGCCGATAACCATGGCAATGACCGCTTGGAATGGATTGGGCGTGCCACTCCGTTCTTCCTCGGTGCTTTCGGTGTCTTGGGACTGGATGGATTCATGGGTGTTCAGTTCCTCATGTATGGCGATGGTCCAGAGCAAGAGGATGACGAAAGTTTCATTAGCGGGGATGGGAATGATCGCAAGCGTGGCCGTAGTCGCTGGAGAAGCGTTCATGGCTGGATGCGTGGCTGGATTCCCTCTGCATCGCCTCTGAGGAATTCGGGAGTTCCATCGGCTTTGCAAGAGGGACGAGGTCTGTTAGGCGCAGAGCGCAGTCGATACGGGGCTGTCTGATCATGACTGTCAACATGAGAGCGTTTTCCTTCTCTTTTTCGCTTGCTTCCCAATCATGTTTTGGGACAGGGCAGGTATGATACCTATATATGACGTGATGATTTTCGTTTCTTTTGCTGTTTTTCCATTTCTCAACATTGTCCTTGGTCCTTTTTATTCGCGTGCATTGTGTGATATTAGATATAAGGTGCTCACCTTCCTCCGCTCATTATTTGTTCAGCTTTTCGGTGTTTTGAGTCTGGACAGCCCATATAGTGACTCTTTTCTTATGTTTTCTTGAATTCCCCCTCATGCCAGGCGATCCTTTTTTATTATTTGTTTTCTTCTACTGTGCGATGCATACTGCTTGTGTTTGTATTCGAAATTTGGGGACGATGATTGTCTTAGATTGTCGGTTGGAGCCGATGGGCCATAGCGCACATTTACAAGAATAGACAAGGCTGTTAGAAAACAACCCCTGCTAGATCAGAAAAACAGAAAATTTTTAGCAAAGCCTGGCCACTGGGAATAATTACAGCGCCGATCGTAGGGAAAATCAAAGCCCGGTTAGACAGCCCGGGAGGCTTCAGCTTGGGTTGTCTCAATCCTCAATCGATTTGAGTCTTTCGATGTGAAATTGCTGTAATTTTTGGCAACAAAGAAAGAAGAAACAAAGAAGGACATCATATGTCAAAGCTGGGGTCTATCCAAAAACCAGCAGAATATCAAGAACCTGAGACATCAAGCCATGCCACGTTGTGTGCAAGTCCCAGTCTGACATCCCGAGCCCTAAATGGAAGAACACGAACGTTCAATTTCCCCATTCTGAGCAACAATTCTGGGCGACCATCAGATTAGTACCTGATCACCCCATTGAGCCGGCCAATTTCCTGCAGGAACCAATTGCCGTTCCTCGAACAAGTCAATTCTCGCTCTAAATTGCCAGTCAGTCGCCGAGTGGAGCGCCAACGCCACAAGCCCCGATGGCAAGCAGGGTCAGGCACAGTCTCACTCGACTACGGAGTACTAGCTAGGTGCGAGTTATATTAGGACTTTAGGAAGTCTTGGGCTAAAAGCCCGCGATCCCCTCATCTTTATTTACTCACTTATCTAAAATTACGGTTTGTTGCCGACTAATCTTTTTTTGTGGTGTTTACTCGCCCGTCCACTCGTTTTTTGACTCTGCTACGTTCTATACAAACATGAGAGTCCAAGGTCAATTAATGTGGCTTGTCCACGTTCTTCCAGCTGTAGCGCTGACTATCACCGCGCCTGGCCAGAGTATTCCGTCTTCAATTCCAGTCTCGGACTGCAGCTCTGTGAACCTGGTTGAGGATGTGGCGTTTGAGACTATAGACCTCGATAACAGCGCATGGAGTGTCATGCCGCCCAAGGGTGGTGTCACTGTGGATGGATATCTGTTCGTGCCTATTAAGCCATAGAGATGGATGTAATCTTTCCTTTGAAACATGAGCTGACTCTTTTCGTGATAGGCACCTGAGTTCAGAAGCCATCCAATCGCAGACACTGCTAGTCCAAACAGTCGCTGGTGCCGTCGCGGAAGAGATTTATACTTTCGCTTTCGATTTCCGTCAGACAGCTGAAGCTGCCACAGACGACGACAGTACTACTTGTACCGTGGATGTCATGCTCAGTGGCGAAGATGTTATCTCTACCACTCACACAGCCGGTACCTGGAAGACGATCTCCAAGCAATGGAAAGCTGTTAGCTCAGGAGTTGATATTTTTGTCGTGATTGAGTGCCCCGATGCGATAGCCTCGGACACAACAGTGGATGTGAAGAACGTCTCGTTCAAGAAGCCCTGTGGCTCGTCTTCCGAAACTAGTACCGCAGTCCCTACTCAGACCTCATCGCCCTCCGCCTCCAGCAGCGCCATCGAGTCCTCACCGTCGTCTTCCGAGACTAATACCGCGGTCCCTACTCAGACCTCATCGCCCTCCGCCTCCAGCAGCGCCATCGAGTCCTCAGCCTCAACCCCGATCTCCGGAAAGCCCACCAGCTCGTATCCGGTCACCACTAGCCCACCAGAGATGACAACTTCCACTGTCTTCACCACCCGCACTTCCACTATCACAGCATGTCCCACGACTGTACCCCACTGCCCGGCTAGCGAACAGACAACTTACACTACAACCGAGACTATCGTCGTCTCGACCACCGTCTGCCCCGTAGAAGAAACAACTACCACTGCCACGGGACCCAGCTCTACTGGTTCATCTGGTCACGGTAACGGCAATGGCAACGATCACACAATCTCAACGATTCTCTCCACCAGAACCGTTACCCTGACCGAGTGTCCGGCAACAGTGACCGACTGCCCAGCCCGTGACCAGACCACGCATGTTACAACCGAGACACTTGTTGCCGGGACGACTTCAGTGCCTATCAACACCGCCGTGACTATCACGGCACCTGGTGCAGCGGAGCCAACGCCTGTTGTTCACGTTGGTGGCAATGGAAATGGAAATGAACACGGTTCCGGAGTGTCAGCGGGCGAAGGTTCGACCGGACCTGAATCTGGATCATCAGGCTCAGGCGTCTCCGCTGGTCACGGTGCAGGCCACGTCTCCCACCTGCCAGGCGCCGCACACAGCCCAGCTGTCCCATCTTACAGCCTCACCCGTATCAGCTCAGCCACGGTCAACGTCCCCGTGGCGGCTTCTACTCCTACTGTCGCAGGTGCAGGCGCAGGTACAAACACCGAAAGCGGCAACGCACCAAGTGCGTCACCTGTGTTCAATGGTGCTTCGTCCTTTGCTGTCTCCGGCGTTGTGTCTACCGTCGGCGCTATCGCCGCTCTGGCGCTTTTCCTTTAAGTAGATCCTACTTTTTGTTTTGAACATCTGGGATATGGATGATAATGGAATATGATAATTTGTTCAAGAGCCGAGTATGAAGTCATAATAATATGTCAAGTGGCGTCTCTATATCTTTGAATTGACGTATATGTATAAACTCTCGACGGAGGAATTTGCCTCTTTCTCAGTCTGAAACACCAAATCCCCCTTTCAACCACGGCCCGATAGCGACTTGGGAAAGGATACATGTATCTTTTGCTTTTTCCTTTGAATCGCTTTGTTTCATTTTTTGCGACCTTTCCGACCTTCTTTGATTGCCAATCATCCATCCGTCTTCTTTTTGAGACAAACCCCTGTAGACGCAGGTAGATCTTCTCGCCCCCCTCGATCCTCTCTCCGCTGACAGATGGACTTATCACAGCCCACCATCTAGAGGCAGTGCAGGGATCCTCCATCTGCGAGATGGTCCCTTTTAATTGTCCTGCTTTTTTCATCTCGAATGACTCAGACGCCTGACGTAAAGGCGTAAACGCCCACCTATGCAGCATGACTCATGCCAATCACATTGACCACACCCCCATATCCCCCAGATACTCCGTACAGAAGCCCAAACCCGAAAGAAACCAGAAACACGAAAAACACGAAACTATGTGCTACCCTATCGGCATGGCCAATGACAAGTTTCGTTGTCTAATATCGCTCATGGGGTAACTGTGCTCGAATCGAATTTGCCTCCCCCGCGTAGACAGAAGAGGGGGTTTTGCATTTGCCGCCCGAGTTCTTCCTTAGTTTACGGGGTTATGCAGAAGAAACTACGGTTTGGGTTACGGGTTGGGCCGACTCGAATCATCGAAAGATGCAGATGTTGAGTTCTGGGTAAACGGCCGAAAGTAGCCGGTGTCGTGGGCTGATCAGGTTCATTTGTCGCTGTTCGAATTTCGTGGGTTTCGGGGATATACACTGTTGGTCTACATATAGTCAATAGGTATGCTGGAATTGGTGTACACACCCCAGGTTAGAGGGAATTTATATAGCCCAATACATCCATATCACATTTAGGTAGGTTGCTCTGTTGGAAGGATCGGGGGGAATCTGCGCCAACGAAAATACAGACCCCCTCGAGACAGGAGGTCCGAGGGACTTGCTTCTTTTCTCGATGTCATAGTTAATACGGAGTACTCCGTACAGGTGTTGGTGCCGGTAATTTTTAAAAAAAAGAATTAAAAGGCTGGTGATGAGTTTCTAGACCTTCCAAGACCGAGTTCAATATGTAGGTAGTATGCGTATGCGGGGCTTGTTATTACGTCGGTCTCGATACAAGCGCAGTCGGAATCTGAAAGGAGATATTTAATGGAATTGTAATATTCCTGTCTGGAATGAGGTTTTATTCAGCGTAGTATTCTGGGGATAGTTTTTAGACTATGGTTACAAGATGTACAACTCTCGGGTTCGACGATAATATGGGATACTTGGCACTATAATTCAGGATGTAGCTATTCTTTACTCACTTTCCTCCCTGCCGCCGCTGCCTCCAGACCAGCTGTCACCTCGACATACACAGCCCTTGGCACTGGTTGGCAGGTATGACCCGGAACAGGCCAGGCGGGAATTGGCCAAGCGGAGTGCTCAAGATGGATATCTGCCCCCGCATCGAGGAGCAAGTCGACGACCTCAGAATGTCCCATTTCCATCGCTATTTGTACAGCTCTTCCGCAGGAGAAATTGGCTGGTATCAAGATATCGGTCCTTTCAAATCCATAGACAGGAAGAGGCCGGCCACGACCGCCTAACTCATGGTACGAAATGTTGGCATCGGCCCCGTGCGCAAGGAGCAATCTGACCAGAGCGGCGTTGCCCAGCCTGGCTGCTCGGATAAGAGGCGGCGTAAGGTCCTCTGCTCGTAAAAGCGTCAGGTCTTGGGAGTCCCAGCGTCGGTATGCCAAGGGATCTTCTGGAAAAGGTCGATCCGACTCTTCAAAGTCGCAGTAGACACCATCTGTTAAGAGAATGGTAGCGGCTGCGGTGTCCTCCTGCTCAACCGCGAGCGCAAGAGCCCTTGTGCGGGAAACGCGGTCGATGGTCTTTTGCACGAGAATCTCAACTAACACGGTGTTTCGTTTTCTGACTGCTTTAAGCAGAGCTGGTCCGTCTCTTGGGGAATGGGTTGAGTCCACGTTAGCACCGTGGTCCAAGAAGAGATTCACAAGATCTAATCTTTCGTGCTCAACGGCCCATTCGAGTGGTGTAACAGGGCTTGCGTAAGTCTGATCCGTTAAAAGCTGTGAGTTAGTGGGTGTATACTCGAAGTACAGAACATTTGCATCCAAGTTTGGACTGTATTCAAGGATTTGTAAGATGACGCGCTTGCTGTATTTAGCTTCCAATGCAGCCCCGAGTGCGTCCTCTTTCTGGCGCTCACTGGGATGCTCCGTCGGTGGTGGAGGTGGCGGCTTGCGTTGATATATTGTTTCTTCGGGCTTAGCAGGAGCTTTCTCACCGGTGAAGCGATTTTTGAAATGGAATTCTTGGACTGTCACATCCCACACTAGATCCCATCTATCATCTTCTCCACGGCTTAGTAAAGCTTCCTTTTCTGCGGCCCGGCTTTCTCGAATCTGCTGTGGCCAGTCTGCTGGGTAGTTAAACATAGAAAGCATGGCAGTCCAGTCCGTTTCTTTGTACAAATCTCCTGCAGATTTCTGCACAAAGACCGTTGTGGCGTCGTGAGGCTTGAAAGGGGTCAGGCTTTTCCGCTGAAAGCACTCAGTCCATTTCAGATTATGGAAAAATAGGTGGGACTTCACTTCGGCGGCTCCATTTGCACCCAGGCGCTTTGTGGGGTCTTTGTCAAGAAGCCTGGTTAGAATGTCTTTGACGGTTGACGGCAAGCTCTCAGGGAGATGTAGTTCTTGTCCAATAATTCTATGTCTTCTCTCGTTGTCATTCTTGCTGTAGAACGGGGGAATGCCAATTAACATCTCATAGAGAAGAATCCCCAAATTCCACCAATCCACTGGTGGGGAAGGCTTGCAGTCGTGGATAAGAATCTCGGGGGCTGGGTACTCTGGTGTCCCAGGTATTGTGCGGTGCCCGTCACCATCCCTCGTATTCTGTAACGATTCGAAGCCAAAAATCCCAGGCTTGCATAGGCTAATGTTGCCAGAGGAATCTAGGAGGATATTCTCAGGCCTCAGAGAGGCGAGAGTGATATGTTTACTATGCAGATATTCCAGAACACAGACCAGTTGTGCGGCATAAAAGCTAGTTTTGTCAAGCCCAAACCGCCGCTCTTTTTGCAATTGATCAAAGAGGTATCCACCGCTAGCTAGCGGCGAAAGGAGATTCACGCCCCCCTTGACCGACTTGAAGGCAAATTTGGGCGGTGCAATGAAAGGATGCTGGATCCCAGAGCGGAGATTGGGGCTGGGTAATGTATTGATGCCCACGTCAGCCCCAGGATCAGCAATATGACTGCAGATGCAGGAATCTACAGCTTGCATGCCATAGCTTCGACCGGTGTCTTTCTTTTCAACATATACAAAATCAAGATTCTCAACGTAGACAAGACCATGATCATGAACGCCACCTTCATTGCAGACAGTCCACATATCCTTCGTCTCCAATGTCGGTATTTCTTCCTTTGAGTACGAAGTCGAAATTGTCAGGGTACCCGTACCATTTTGCACGTCTATGCGATACTCACCATTGTGAGACCCCGGTCCATTTCTCCGAATCAGGAACGGGTTCACTTTCACTAAGCCAAGGGGTATGACCTGGGTTTCATATCCTCCTGATGACATTGATTTATCAAAGTTCCTGTCCCTGGCGAACATGGACACTGTCATTTCGGAAGAAGGAGAGGTAGAGACGTCAAACTTTAGTGGCCGTTCGAACAACGCCCAAGAAACCGACCCAGGAACCCTGACATATGTCGCCTCTGAAGATATCTGGAACCCCTCATATTCTACGATTGCGTAGAGCCGCCATCGATATCTCTTTTTGACGTCGCGACTGGGGAAGGTGGTGCCTTGAGCAGGCGTTTCTGAATCTTGTAGGTCTGGGTCGTGTGGTAGACTCAGACGGCTAGAGGAGCCAAGGTGAACAGCCAGGGCTCCAGGCCCGAGTGGAATGATATCAGACACGGACTCTGTCTCGTTCGTGGGACCCTGCTGGTTTCCACCGATGGGAGTCTCAGACATTGGTGCTTATGCTATTTTACAGTGTATGGGGCTGTAAAGAGCAGACTCAAGTTCCCTAGTGAGGGGTTCGGAAAGGGAAGGATTTTGAGATGCGTATATTTATTCTCTAGTAGTCTAGTTGGCTCCTGGAAGCGCATGGCGGGCCACTCATCCCATTCAACAATAGTGGAAAGACTCGATGTGATGGGCTCAGGAAGACCTTTGGGGCAGTGCGCCCATTGGAAAGAAGAAGTAGATGTAACCTACCAATCCTTCTTCGTTGCTCTGTACTCTGCTTCAATTGCTTCATCGCCGTATGTAGGGAGTAGAGAAACAGCACTCGGGGAGGGGGGCGTGCTCAGTTGTACTCAGCGACCGAAAAGCGGCAAGGCCTGAACACTAGGGAACGCCAAGCAGAGAGGCAATCAAGTCAAGATGTACTCCGTACTCCGTACTCCATATGCGCCTTTTAAGCAGATAGGCACATAAACATAGAGGGGTAGAAAAAAGGCTGTCGGCTCTTCGGATAAGTGCCTGACACGACACTGTCTCGGCCTATTACAATCCAGTATCCATATGTAATTCTTGCCATGCAGCATGACGCTAATGTGCATGTGTCCTGGCGGAGTTGTCGAAAGTGAGTCAGAGGTGCCTAGGTGGCCAGTCAGACAGTCTCTGACATGTCAGAAGAACCCGCCATCTTGAGAGGCTGTGATGTCCGGAGTAGAGGGGGCAGCAGTGGATGTCTGTCTGCCTCCCCTTGCTTGGTTGTACGGGGTAATGGGAACGAGTGCGTGTGATCATACGTATGGCTGATGAATGACCCGACAGCTGTAAGGACGGATGCCATAGTGGACTACCGAGTACTATATGATACTGTCTAGTACTCCGTACATACATATGTGACCTGCTGGAGAGTGGATATGGAAGGTGGAAGAGTCCGGATGAACCCTCCCGCCGGTGATACCTAAGGGTGAACCGAGCAACGGAGAGAATGCGACAACGCTGTTAACAAGGGGTATTTCATATACTTCGAGAGATACAGGTATCAATTATATTTAGCTTTAGTAGGCCAAGTTAATATCATATTTCATATGTTATATATCTGAATCTCTCATCATATGTTATAGAAATGGGCTGAGTAAGAAAGCCCTTACAATGTGCCCAGGTGTTCACGGGTCCAGTGGAGTGACCTTTTTTTAGTTTCTTCTTAGTTACTTTTTAGTTTCTTTTTAGTTGCTTTTTCTCTTTTTTTTTTTCTCTTTTATGTTTCATTTTAGTACGGAGTCCTTCAGGCCCAATACCACAATACCTCTAAGAACCAGTGACACGGGCGTTGCATCACCGGATTTGCCTTAGGGGTCTAGGGCCCTTTTCTCTTCTGGAATATCGCATGTTACCATACCAATACCACCATACGTGCAATGTGCACTGTGCACTAGAGCCCGTTCCGAACTCGTGCTGGGGACATTGCTTTCTCTGGATGAGAAAAAGCCAGAAAAAAACAGAAAAAGAACAGAACTAATTTAGATTTATCTCATTAGGAAGAAAAAGCAATAGAAATCGTCAATGTCTCTGGGTCCTTAGGAACTGAATGCACTTTATTCTAGCCCTCGCCAACTGGTTTCCAGGTTTTTTGCCCTTTAATTTTAGAATTTCCCAACGTGGGCCCAGCGACTCCAGTCTCCTGTAATCGCAATACACGGAAAATGACCGGGGCAACCCAACGGCCTTTTCCCACACAACGCCCCTGTACCCTTTTCCTTCTTCATCCTTCTTCTCAACCTCTTTTCTATATCCATCCTCTCCCGTGTCAACGAGCTTTTCACTAAGTGTCGTTGCTCACCTCATTTCTGTGAGGTTTGCGTCAAACGCGCGGAGAAATTTTTCTCTTCCGCCGGTGTCCTTCAATCAGCGCGTTCGGTTCACCCTTTTGCGTCGGCCCTGCCACTTCGCTTCGATCTGGTTATTCGCCGCTCAAAGCACCTCTGAATTGACTGGATTGTGACCCATCACCTTCCCTCCCAGGCTACGTCACGCCTGACCAAGCGAGGATTGTGTTTTGTCCAACGTTCACCACGCTCCTTCCAATCTCATATATCCGTCATTTGTCCGTTGGATCATTGAACATACCTCCATGTCATTCAATTAGAGACTGCCTCCTAGGAATACGACAGAGCAACCTGCTCACTGAGCTCCGCTCTTCTCTCCCCCCAGGATCAGGATCCGGTGGAGTAGACGGTTCGTCTCTTATTTCTTCAGCTCTTGTCTCCTGGTCCATCTGGCTTCTTGCCCACAGAGGCCTTATGTGCTGACTCCTTACCTGCCCTAGCAACAGAATACGTCTAGCTCCCCATCCTGAACTGGCAACCTCGCCTCCCCTTCTTAAGATGCCGTCCTTCTTCGTCCCAGGCCACCATGGCCTGCCTACGCCTCCCCATGTCAACGGTGGTCGTATGGAAGACCCATCATTCTACCCGGTTGGTCATGCAGGATTCCCTCCTCGCTACCACCAAAGCGGCAATGAGTTCATCGAACAATACTCGCAGTCTCTGTGTTACGCCAAGCCCACTTCGATGAATCTCCACCCCCATTCCGCCCATCCGATGAACACTGCTCGCGATCATCACCCGATGAACCAGCAGCCTATGTTTAACCCGATGATTGGCACTGCCTTGCCCGCAATCCGCAACAACATGCACCTTCCGCCCATGGATGCTACGATCCCCCCTCAATACCGCCGACAGGAAGCCGCCCCAATGCAGCAGCAGCCCGAACAACCCCGCAAGGAGGAAAAGGCTACTGGAGGTGTTGCAGCTCACCTGGATTACGAGATGGATCGCATGTCCGACTTTGTGGCAGAGATGGCTCAGGGAATGTATGATTTGTTCGAGACCAACATCACCATTGCAGATATTGACCTCGTGCGAAGCATCTACCCAGGATCTTCGGTTCCCCCCAGTTTCGGAAATACGTCTTTCAGATTTTGTCCTCGACTCGCCTCCCAAGTTCTACCATCCTGCTCGGTCTCTTTTATTTGGCCAGCCGCGTGCGCCTGTTGTCGGCTCAACGCGCCTTCGCCAAGTCCGACAGTAGCCAGGTCTATCGTATGTTGACCGTCGCTCTTTTGTTGGGTAGCAAGTTCCTCGACGACAACACGTTCCAGAACAAATCATGGTCCGAGGTCAGCAATATTCCCGTTGCTGATCTGAACCGTATGGAGCTGGAATGGCTCTTCGCATTCGACTGGAAGATCCACGACCGCATTTACGACAAGCAGGATGGTTTCAACTCGTGGCGTGCCCACTGGGATACCTGGAGTGCTAAGGCTACCGTTCGGGCCCAGGAGTCACGCCAAACTTTGGCCCCTCTCGAGACCAACGTCATCCGCAGTCAGGGTGTCGCCAAACCTCTCATGTCCCCCGAAGGCCCTATCCCGCCTCAGTACCAACGCAGCGCACAAATCGAGAACTCTTGGCTGAACCCGACCGCATCCGAATACTCGCCTCCCTCTGCTCTTTCTAGTGGCCCCACTACTCCCGACTACTATTCAGTTGGCCCTTGGGGTTACGCTAACCCGGCTCCTCCCCCGCCCTACTCGCGGGGCTGGAATGCTCCCTCACAGTACATGGCTCACCCAGCACCTCGATCTCAACCCCCATCCTACCACCACACTCCGGCGTACGGCTTGCCGTTCGCTCAGAGTCTCTGGACGGGTCATGGTTCATCGTGCGGCTGTACCTATTGTACTAAGCATCTCGAGCACTATATGTGCAACAGTGCATTCCCCTCTATGCAGCAACCGATGATCGCAACCTAGTTGATGGTAATCGGCCTCTCCTGCACACGACTCCGGACAGAACAAACGGTGTCGAACGGTTCAAGATCACTGTGATCTAGCCGCTTCTTTTGAATTTCTTACTGCACCTCTAGACTTCTTTTGACGTTTGTTTGGGCGATTCGCATGGGATTTATTTCGATACCGTTTCTTCTGCTTCACTTGTTTCCAATCTTGCGCCTTCCGAATTATTGCCTCGCTAGCCTTCACCCGCTTTTGAGCAATTCTTGGCCTGCCGCATCAACCAAAAAAGTACTTTTGTTCTGCGTCTGCTGGTTCTCGTTTGGCAAAGCGAAAAAAAAAACTCGAAAACGGAAAAAAAAGAGGAAAAAACGCTCCCACAGCGGACATTGGCATGCTCCCGGCACGCTCACGATAAAAAAAAAACATCAACGGCCTGTGATTTCATTATCATTTACCCTTGATCTCATGGGATCTTCGACTTTCGATCTCATCGATGAGTCTTCAGGTCCAATATATGCCGGGGCCGCAGTCACGACTATCACGAATCCCCAAAATCTGACTTCTTTGTTTATTACCCACGACTTCGGTTTATATTCCCGGCCTTTCTGTTTTATGCTTGGCATCTTTTGTCTTGCGGTGATTACCCATAGAGTGCTTTCTTTCTTCTTTTTACTTCACCTTCATCTCGGTACATTATTCCCATTCGTCACGCTACACGCTGTGCCAGGCGTTAATCATTTTTTTCTTTCTTCTCATCTCAATTCCAAATATCCATTCTCTTTTTTTTTTTTTTTTTTTTTTTTTCCAACTCCTTCGATTTGTCCACTTCTCCTTCTGCGGTGAGACTCTTCTCCGATCAACAAGGTCAACAATTTCAAGGATCCTTTGTGCCAATCTTAAGCTGCATGATGGAACTGCTCCATCATTTCCTCATCTTCAAACTCTCACTTTCGATACGAATGACGAGCGATTCATCTTTGAGCGTCCCTTTCCTTACATCACTGCATGTATGCCCGTGGATCTGGATCCCCCCGGATGCAATCACGTCTACCCGTTTTCATCGTGAGAGTCCCGTCAGTTCCCATAACTGACATGTATGTAGTCTACTTGAGTCTATCTCCACTTTTGGCTTGTCTCCATCTATTTGTCCCCTTTCATTTGGCGCTGCCGGCGAGCCCGATCGCTGCATACCTTGTTCTAGAGGATATGCGTTGATCTGGTTGCCGATTTCCGTGGCAGTGACAGTTGTTAGTTTGCAAGTCTGTGAGGATGATTCAATGAATCCCCGGCAAACTATCGTCTTTGCCCAGACCGCAACACTTTTAGTGCCTCGTCAACCTCGTATAAACCTTGTAACTCGTTTCCATTCGGTGTGGCACCATGCGCATTGTGCCACTGTTATTGGAGCGCTTTGACTAATCAGCAGCTAGTACGGGTACCAGCTTCTATCAGACAGGTTGATACTCTCTGTTGGATGGAATACTAAACGACCTGTAGGCCTAGCGATATTTATTGGTTGAAATCTTTTCTAACCTATCACCGACATAATGCCATTCACTCCGAAACAATCGAACCTGGAAAAAAATATAGACAAAGAAATGCAGTGATACTAATGGGTAATCGAAATTCAATCAAACAGTCATCGCGGGTCGTAAAATGTAAATGTCAAAAGCAGATAGAAGAGAAAAAAAGAATATGCGGAGGTATAAGAAGAAGTCAAGACAGTCAATCAAAACAATATTAATAGACGCTTCCACGGATACTCTGGTCTTCCTTTTGCTGTTCCTCTAGAGATAATTCCTCGATGTGAAGATGAGTCGGGGAATCTGTTGATGAACTCTCTGCTCCTTGGGTCTGGGATTCTGATTGACCCGAGGACTCGTCCCCGTCACCGAGGATATTGGCCATGCGGTGCTCCGGGTGGGTAGGAGGAAGATGGTGGTGCGGGTGGTGATGGTGAGGGTGGTGCAACCGTGATTTCTTCAATTTTTCGATGGGAGTACCGCTCATCTCGTCGTCGCCGTCTTCCTCGAGTTCCTGGGAAGGAGCTGACCGTTGGGCTTGCGTGCTGGATGGAGTCTGGAAATGTTGGCGATTCACGTGGGACAAATTGCCAGTGGTGATATTGGGCGAGATTGGCCTGACATGGCGGTGGTGATCGTGGTCGTCGCCTTCGTCGTCGGATGGGGCGAGGCTGTTTGCTCCGCTCATGGAGCCTCCGCCGTCACGGCCACCCAGGTGGAGAAGCGCATATTTCAGGTGCGCCGATGATGAAGACGAAGCGCTGGGTGGGTGTATGAGATGGTCCTCGCTGTGTCGGTTCTGTCCCTGGTAGCTCAATCGTTTCGGGTGGATTGGGTTGATATTTGGTCGAGCTTCTGTGTTGGAATAATCATGCTTCAGGTGATTACCAATGCCATCGTCGCGAAACGCTCGGTGCGGGCTGGAAACGCATCGAGTAATGGGTTTGGGGCTGATTTCATTCTGGGCGGCACTTTCTTCGGAGGATGATGCGACCTCGTCAATGGATATTGATTTGTGAAGTTTGGAGCCGAAGTTAGATACATGGTCATCGGCATGTCTTGGCTGGGCATGATTAGGCTCGTGACGCACGGAATTCAGTAGACTCGCTCGCAACGCTTGCTTGCCATCCGCAGACAAGCCGTGAGTACAGCCATCGGGGCATCCGCCCCATTTGCGCCTAATAGGGATATGCTCAGCCTGGCTAGCAGGCGTGATGGGCGCAGGGACCTGCCCTTTAGCCATATTCTCACGCTCTCGTTCTTTTCGAAGATCGGACCAGGTGCGCAACTTGTTCTGGAGTGTGTATTTGCCGTTTTCTGGATTGTGGGTCAAGACTAGGAACTCGCAATGGTTGATGTTGCGAAGGTCCTCAAAGTATTCCACACTCCAGTGGTACCACTTCATGAGAAATACTCGCGCCATAAGCCCGTGCGTAACAAGCACACAGACATTTGCGAAATCGTCCTCACCAAACAGGCGCCAGAGGGACTCGTTGAACCCACTGACTCGATCATAGGCATCTGCCGCAGACTCGCCGTTGGGAATCCGGTAGAAGAAATGACCGTAGTCTGCCCGCTCCATCCACATGCGCTCCATCTCTGTGGAGCATGGCTGAAAATTACCAAAGTCTTGTTCCCTCAGCCGAGGTTCTTCATAGACTTTGATCGTATTTCTCGAGAAAGGCGAAGGAGAAGGGGTATCGGAGGTCAGGGATTCAAGAATACCCTCGGTAGTCTCTCTTGTCCGCCGGTAGGGAGAGGTGAAAAAGTGAAGTTTATCATCGGGATGAAGAAGATCCCGAAGTCGACGGCCTGCATCTTGTGCTTGTCGATATCCTTCAGGTGTGAGTTTCACCCGGTGATCTGGGATAGTTTGGTGAATATCGCGGTTTTTGTTGCCTTCCGATTGCGCATGGCGCACCAGAATGATCATCTATGGTTGAAATTATGTCAGTCTAAGTTGATAAGCTTCTCATTCAATAGAAGATGTGCACTTACCCGTGGCTTTCCCATGGTGGAAGCTTCATGGGGGATGTAATGGACTCGAGATGCGGGGGAGGGGCCAGTAGAAGTGTTCTGGCTGAAACAAGAAGACCGATGAGAAAAGGAAAAGCAGCGACAAACCAGACTCCTGCCTATTCAGAACTAAAAACGAGAGTCACTGAAAGGAGAGACAGAGAGAAACCCCAAAAGACAAAGGGGAAAAAGTTCATTTCAGTCGGGGATACAAGCCACTGGACCCGCACGGGCCAACGGCCGGTGATCCATTCAGCGCGCCTGTTTTACGCAACTTGTGAATAGCATCAACCCACCATGGCCGACTTGCTGGAGCTGCTGGCTCCACATCTAGATCCAACGCAGTCCCATGATGCTACTACCGACAGATACCTGACACGTCTATCTACACTGTCGCTTGAAGCCCTTCAGACCACAGAACCCCCATCGCTCGCCCAATCCTCCCACTCCACCCTTCTCTCCCTTCAAGCCTTATCGAACCGTTCGCACCGAACATTCGTCACATCTGCAGATAACCTGTCCACACTACGGACCTCTGTACCTCAGTTGACCCGTGAGGCGCAACAGCTACGTGATGCGATCCCCAAACTCGACGAGGAGGCCGTTGGGTTCTCCACCAAATACAGTAAGATTACAGACAACGCTGCGCTAGAAAGACGGAAGAAAGCCATGCAATTGTCGCGTAATGTTGACCGACTGTCCGACATCTTGGAACTACCAAGCCTCTTGTCCAAAGCCGTGTCTGCTGCTTCAGTGAACTCTGGTACCGGGGTATCCTCTACAACCTACTCTTCTGCACTCGACCTGCATGCACATATCAAGCGATTACAAACATTATACCCCGAATCACTATTGATTCAAGATGTGGCATCTCAAGCGGAGGATGCTATGAAGGACATGACAAGTAACCTGATCACGGGGCTCAGAGCACAGAACCTGCGGCTAGCAGCTGGTATTCGAACTGTGGGTTGGCTGCGGCGAGTAGCCCCGGATCTGGAAATGCTGCAGAGTGATGGAGCGGCTGGGACTGGGGAAGGCGCTCTGGGTGCCATATTTCTGGTCTGCAGATTGGCGCATTTGGTATTGACCCTCGAAGCTCTGGATCCTCTCCGCGAACTAGCGGACCAAGAAACCCAACGGAGACTCGGCGGCAAGGACAAATCAGACCCGACTTCGTGGTCTGGCGGTCAGCAGACTGACCGCTACTTAAAAAGGTACATCGAGATCTTCCGTGAGCAGAGCTTTGCGATCGTCTCGCTGTACAAGAACATTTTCAACTCCGAACAATCCGAACCCGAGCTTGCGGCCTCGGGACTGCGAATTTCAGACGCCCATTCCAAGTCTAAGTCAAAGCTAGCACACTCGGATGACCCCTTGCAACATCTTCCCCCAGCCTTGGCTACTTTCCCAATGCATCTCGTGCAACTGCTCACGGATACAATGCGCTCCTATCTTCCTAACATCCGAGATCGGAGTTCGAGGGAAAGTCTTCTCACCCAGCTTTTATATTGTGCCGCAAGTCTTGGTCGCCTAGGTGGTGACTTTGGCATGATTTTGACTGAGCTGGGTGGGGAGGAAGATACCGAAGACGTTACTTATGAATGGGAGGAGGTCATGCGCAAACATCGAGCCTTGGCAGGGCGTCTGGAACAACTGACCAGTCGCGTGCCTGTGAATTAATATTAATATACCCAAGTGGAAGCGCACAGCCTTTCGAGGATAGCAGCCCTGGTGAGGATCATGTATAATAAATCATCATCGAGTGCTCTACATTTACTGGACCGTCTCAACGGATAGTCTGACACCATTTACAAATGCATACATATTTTGTATATCTCGTTTGATTTCATTTCTAGCTATGCTGGCAATACTTCGTACTCCACTTAACTGGACAGGCCATGGCGTATCGGTGATCCTTTTTACTCAAACCAGTCAGCACATCGAGATCAACATGTCGGAAGTGATGGCGTGACCTTGATCCCATTGAGACATTGAGACACCCAATATTGGACAGTATCAAACCGCAATAGAGGTTTCATGCTAGAACATGCAATACTCCGCTGTGGTTTGTCTTGTCTTGGTTCGCCTCAACACCATTGCTGAGTCCATAGTCTTCGATCCGGTTGCTATCACTAGTTGGGTGAGTATATCATTTTCTAGCCTCTCGGTTATGTGGCCATGAACGCCTTACGACCTCCCGATGGAAGCGACGCGAGGGCATGAAGGCAATGGGGGGTTCTCGTCAAGCTTTGTCCTTCACTCGCTGTTATCTTTTGCGACCTAGATAGTAATCCCACAATTTGACTAGGCTGATGAAACGTCGAGGTAAGATACCCAGTAACGTCAGGCCAGGCAGGACTTGCCTACAATCGGTTAGCATCATCCGAGTGACTCACAAAGTCGGGGCGAGTCATGGCCAATTTCTCCAGAATGCAAGATCTATATAAAGCTCACGATTCGAATCAACTTAAATTCGTGCAATCGATACTTCAAAGTCCCGTTGGTGTGACTCCAGTGAAGCAAAATGGTCGTTCATTACAATCCGTTTACCAAGGAGCCCTATCTCCAGCTTCCAGCGCCATGTGAAAACATTATCATCACTCCACACCGAGAACACCAGATTGAGGAAACAGCTGCTGTGATGACTGAAATCCTGAATGACTCGCGCGTGTATGCCTGGCTACAGGGGCCTCCATTCCCATTTCTCCCTGAGCACGGCCGGGACTGGGTGAAAACGAAGTTAACAGAGCACAAAGCTCTTGTGTCTACTCTACAGCAAGAATTCGAAACGTCGAAGTCCCCATTGCAAGGCGACAACTCAGATAGTCAAGAGAAACAAGCATTCTTCGATCAATGTCCTTTCGTTTGCATTCGCGAAGTAACAAAAAGAGATCCTGAGACCGGCGTCCCACTTCAGGATGTCATGATCGGAGATATTGGACTGACGCGGTATGCGTTCTATGAGGTGCAACCCAATAGTTCGGAGCTTGCGCTGGCATTGGAGCAGAATAATGCTTTGCCGGCGGGCCACAAGGATATCGTCTGGGGCATAGGAAGTATGGTCATAAACAAAGTTTGGACAGACTTAAGCTTGATTGCTAACGGTGTTGACAGACTACCTTTCTCCAACGCACCACGGTCGAGGAATTATGAGTCTTGCTGTTCGAGCTATCGTTCAAGATTGGGCGATTCCTCGGATGAATCTTCACCATCTCAAATCCAGCTATTATCTTGGGAATATAGGCAGTTCAAGAGTATTTGAGAAGAACAATTTTGAGAAAGTCTGTACATTGAAGGATTGGTCCAAGGGAAATCCCAAGAAGGGACAAGGGATGATGTCGATGGCTGTGATGGAGTGGAAGGGATATTTTTAGATAGCTAGCAGTATCGAGATTTCTTCTCTAAGGACTAATTGAGACAGTATCTTTGTATGTTGTGCATCCATTACGGTGGTGCTGCTGCAACGTGTTGAGTCAAGATAAACCAACACCGAGACCACCAGGACAAACTCCCAAGGTCGTGATTGAAGGGTCCATTCTAAGCACAAGTGATGGAGATAAATGTGGTACCGGAGGAAGACGGATGTATACCCGAGCTGATCAACGCTTAGTTCAGATCGTGCAATCTTGCCGATCTTCTCTTTGAATCCACGGTGTATGGACGCTGCAGATTTTGGTGACATTAGGCGCCAATGTCAAACGGAAGAGAACAAGTGGGGAAATAGCCCCATAGCGAGTCTGCTCTAATTAGAAAATCCGAACGCAGGGTTAGTGTAAGGAAAAAGCAGAATGAGCTCCCGAGGATGTGTCATTCTTGCAAAAGGTACGGAGTACGGAGCACTTGAATCCAAGCCCTTGGAACATCGCGATCACCAGTTCTGCTCATGCATTAGTACTCTGTACGGAGTACTCCGTACTCCGTGCTCTAATGCATGCTCGAGTTGTCCTCAGCTCCAGCTGCCAAGCTAATTTAATTAAGTCGACTAGCGTCCTGTTCCTCGAAAATTGATCTGCATTCTCGACTCCGTATGGAGGAATTCATACGGAGTACGGAGGACTCCCCACATTGTTTCTCATGTTGTTGACGTGTCCAGGCGCTTGAGAGTGGTTTGGTGGCTGGCGTTGACAGTGGACACTCAGCCAAATATACGGAGTACTCCGTGCCCCGTAAGCCTTCAAAGGACCTCAGGAGAAGACAAACCGACAAAAAGCGGCATTCAATTTACGATTGTCACCCGACTATTGTTGGATCCACTCCACAACTATTGGCGAACTATGGAGTAGATATGTTCTGCTCGATTTCCGCCCAGCTTCATCTTCAGTGCCCCGAAGACACCGTGCTTTCACGGCGCAGAGCCCGGTAGCAGACAAATTTTTACGTTTGATTTGTCGGCGTTCAATGCATATTCGCGAAGGTGAGACATACGTTGTACCGAAGAGACCCCCACTACACGAGTCTGAGGGGGCAATTTCGCCTGCAAGCTAGGGCATGGCGTTAGTCTCGAATCTCACAGCTGAAGAGATTCGTGCTGGTGCCCTTTCACCTGCATGTGGCGCACCTACTCTGTACTCACAAGCTCACTGGACAATTACTCATTCCGTCGTGCTTAAAGTTCCTTACTCCGTGTGGTGATCGGCGAACCCGGGCTGGGATCGGATTTACCGTCGATTAAATAGGACGATGTTGTGGAAAGCATTGTCAATGAACTGAATGGTCCACTCTTCCTCAGCCAATGATTCTGCTCGGCTGTTTAGAGTCTCTGCAAAAAAAATGAATTCAAAAAACTAGAATGCCTAGGACAACGTGTACAAGTGCTAAATGTTGAAGGATCGTAAATTCGATTCAATAAATCTTATTGAGACAATAAATGCTGCATTATTTTTCGTTTTCCTAAAAGGGAAGAGATGTGCATCTACCTACAATATAAGATCCCATCTACATTTTTAGGGCTAACACATCCACGCTCAACCGTCCCTACATTGCTCGGTTCACTTTAGTAGTATAACCGCCCCAAATTGAACTAAAACTGTTTCTCGGAGAAGCAATAATAGGATTTCCATGGCTTGTGGCATTCCGAGTTCAAAATTCAAATCACTTAATAGATGTATGGAGTATGTTGTACAGAGCTCCATCCAGGTGCATAGCCGAGGCGCATGATTTGAATAGCGCAGTTCTCCGTACTCCGTACATGTAGATCGCGAGGGCAAAAGGTCAAGAGGTCAAGCCTCCTTGGCGCCTTCCAATACACACTATATAAGCGGCCATATCCTTGCCTTCCAGCCTTGAGAAAGTCTCAAAAAATTACATCCTCCTCTTCGCCATGCATTTCACAACTTTGAGTGTGCTGCTTTCGGTTGCTTTAGCAGATGCTGCATCCTTTGTCTCTCCTTTTAAGCACAGGCCAAACAAGGTTGGTCCATACCCAGTACTCCGAGTTACACCGTCGGACGCTCATACTTCTTAGGAACCGGATTATCCCGAAAGATGTTACCCCGACCCCTGCAAAGGAGTAACCTATGTCAATTCCACTGCTGTTTGCGGTGACCCCCGACTTGGTCCCAAACACCTCCCCAAGTTCTTCCCTCTCGCCAATGCGCTAGAGACATACGCCCGTTTCGGCGAGCTCTGCCCTTACGAATTCTTGGATAAATGGACCTTGAATGCTACAGACCCTAAGGGATACTGGGTCTATCCAGATCAAGACGGATTCGCAACTACATCCGAGGACGTGTCCATTCTCGGAAACTACACCCTTCGCGTGGGCCAGAAATTGGACAGATTCGGAGCTGAAACAGGAAAGTTCCTGTCACCTCTTGGTGCGCCGTATATCGAGCGAGCCCTGCCGCCATCCAATCTCTTCGCCCCGGTTAATAGCAGTTTCCCGTACAACTATCACGTTTACGAGGTGACGAAGGAGTTTGATATTCTGCTGGGCCCTATTGAGCCTTGGTTCGAGCAGCCTGGGTTTGGATCACAGCTTTTGGCTACATCCAGTGTGACAGCGTTGTTGGACGGGGGATTCTTGAAGAGACTGGAGTTGGAGGATTATGATGAGCCGGAGGAGTACTCGGCGGGTTATCTGCCTGAGCCTGACAAGTCATCCTAAGTATGTCGTGAGATGCACTTTGTGAAGGAGAAGGAAATGTATTCTTTTTGAGATGTTCACTTTTCTTTCCTGTTGATTTATAAACTTAATAGCACAAAGCAATTTCAATGGCAGCTGCCGAGCTTTCATTTAAGCCAGAGCTTGTTTATTTTCATTTCCATCCACTGCGTAGCAAACTTAGCCATGGGCACATATACGTAGTCGTTGCTCGTTGCTCTTCCGAGAACACAAGCGTGGGTAAACGCAAGGACGTTACAGTAGACAGGAGGCTCAGATAAAATTAAATAGTTTGTAATTGACCCCAAGCGCCTAATTCTCTATATTAAAATGGTATGGCATTGCTAATCTGACCGTTTAGTTTAACGGGGTACCCCAGCATACTACTATTGGTCAGTCTATTCCTCAAAAAGAGACACAATGGGACCTACTCTTTTCCAACTTTAGTGCAGCCGCAGCCACAGAAGATCGACAGTGGCCAGCAGATCACCTGAATCATCATTTTAATTAGCAATGATCCAATCGGCGTCAAGCAACCGAGCTGTCATGCCGTCGTCTGAAACGAGGCATGATTTTACTTACCGCTGCCACAATGGTAGAGCAGAAACCTGTACATTTCGTCAGACATGGATATATTCTTCGGCGATTCATCTCGCTGCAGGAGGCCTAGACTTACCGAGTGTTGGGCCGACTACCTTACAGCGACAAGGGTTTTGATCGGTGCCGCATTGGAAGCAGATCGGGAAGATTGGGAAAAAGGGGACGTCACACATCGTGTCGGCCTTGTCTGAGCTGCTAGTCTTTGAATGGGAATTGACAGCGAATGGCCATTACTTCTATCCAGACATCTTGCAGAAAATAGCTTCCCCGGATGGATGGTTGACCGCCCAATTAATCATGAGTTTGTGATTCTATCATGATGACGCAGATGAGATCGAGATCCACCGATCAGCTTCCAAGGTTCCAATGTTTTATTAGAGTGGGCCTCTAGTGCATACGGCAGTGTATGGTGTCAGATATGAGATGCATATGATCGATGCACACAACATAACCAAATGATGTATGAAACCATCTACGGAGTACCTATCTTGAACTATTGGAATCTACTAAATAATGCCACTACATCCAGACTAGCAATGGATCTAAAATTAACCTTCCAGTCGGGCCGGAACCTCCCGGGGGCCCCATGACTCAGCAGCCCAGCCTTCAGCCCTGTTGGAGCCACATCCACATGTGGCTTAGGCACCAGTGTTCTGCATTTTCCCCTCGAATCAAACGTCATTCTTAAACGGAGGGGTAAACCGCTGAAAGGGCTCCAAGCCCCTGAGTCTCACGTCTCTGATCCAGCCGTGTCTCGTTGGAATTCGAACAGCATTCCCGTCCAAATAAATAGGTCCACTTCAGGCAGCAACTGTGCCTAGAAACACCAAGCCTGCAACTATTTCTCGCACAAGACACCTATTCTTGGCATATAGTCCAGTGTCTTTTTCCCGCGCTGGTATTCCTTTTCTTTGATTCCACTCTGTGCCCTAGTTCTCGGCTCTTCTCCTCACTTTTATCCTTAAACAATTTCAATTCACTACCATATCCCCCAATATCCCCGAGAACCAACTCTATCACAATGGGCGCCCGTAGTATCATCCCCCTTATCCTGCTTCTCGCCTTTGTCGCAATCGTTGCCGCGGTCGGCTATGTCGTCTACAGCATCATGCAGGATGTCAGCAAGCACACGCGCGAGAAGATGGAGCGCAAGAACATCGCTTTCACCAAGGACGGCATGAAGGTGCATGTAAGGGAGGTCAAAGATGAGGCCTACAAGGACCAGACCCAGAGGTGCGTTTTGTCATTCCATGTTGCTGCCTCTCCTGCGCGCTTTCGGTTCTATCCCTTGTTCTAGTTGACTAACCCGATTGTCTTCTGCAGTGTCTTCGTCAACATGTGGAACCACACTTCCTTCCCCGCATACAAGAGCCGCCTGTGGGACATGGCTGGCCCGTCTTCCACGGAACAGAAGAAAAGCGCCGAGAAGCGCAAGTAGTATGTCGCATCAACGTCTTTTATGAGGGTTGTGTCAGCTGACCGGACTGACTCAGGTTGTGCCAGAGGCCGACGACCAATACCTCACCGGATATCTTCTCTTCGTTTCGCAATATTCCAGTTATGACTTTTATCGCGTGTCCCATTATCTGGCAGCGGACTATTCCACAAAAACCACGTGCATTTTCTGTCCACGGAAATGCGCCTTTCTGATATCCCCATTCATTTTCATGATTTTTCTCGTTTCTCATGGCCAATTTATGGTCTCAACAAATCTTCATGAATAACGGCAAGCGCTGATCTGTTCTTACATTCTAATTTAAGGTTGTGACCCTCTGCGTCTTTGTATCTGCTGGTTTTCATAGATCAGCATATATCATGACTTTTACTTTCTACTCTCATTTTGTTTATGTTATTCGTTGTAAAAACTTGAAAGTCTGCGTTGATTGAATGTCAATTGACTGGTTGAATTTGATCCTTGCGGCCCGATAAGCAAATGTGTAACTGAGATCTGCACTATCCATGGTCCCTGTCGGTGAAAGGATACTGAGATGGTATTGGAAAGGGATCTCAATGGTCTTCTTCAATTCTCCACCCAGCACTGAATATATCCATGATCCCAATGACCGTATCAATCTCATAGTATTATATGTCAGATCAAATGTAGTAATGATACAGTGGAGCCTCGCTCATCTCACATTCTTCAAGTTAAGATTCTGTTTACTGGGAGACTTAAAATGTCCGGAGTCAAGTCAGTGCAAGAGGTCCACACAGGAATCATAGAAAGCATGATTGCTTGCCGGCCTGTCCTCTCATTCAAAAGCCTTACTCCGTACACATGTCGAATCACTCAGGGCTGAAGGTCCTGCCACCAATGTTGGGGTATGGGTCTTTTACGGAGTAATGAGACGTCGGGTGCATAAAGTTTGACACATATCTCTTGCAGTTGCTCACGGACTACGGAGTATTTACTGAAAATCAAGATAGTTATTTGCCCTATCAGATCATGTAGGTTGTGAGTATCGATGGAAGTTCCGGTAGCCGTCTGTGTTATTGAATAAGTGGTTCTCCAGAGTCAGACACACGACATGCTTTACCTGAGGGTACTCTTATGAGCTGTCTAGTCCCTTGCTTTCCTGAATCATACTTGACTGGTCCACTCCGTTTCTCCTAAAATTGGTCCCAGATGTGAGAGTACCAATCCAAAGACCCTACAGACAATCAAGGTTATTGTTTTCTCGTGAGAGGTTGGCAATGTTGTCTCAAGTCGAGACATAGAGAGAGCACAAAGTACCTAGGTAGGAAGTAGGAATAAGGATTCATGAGTGGGGGTAATAATGAATCCTCACAATCTCTTATTACTTTAGTGGATGAAGGATATGATCTATCTACTCCATACCGGGTGTGTGATATCACTCCTGCGGGCCCGAAATCCGCGGGTGTCCACTGGAAGACACACCGCTTTTACCAAGCTCCACGGAATACTACCTACCTAGGTATGTATTATAGGATCAGTTGTCCACGTGTGGTGTAGACTGAGAAATGGGTTGAAGAGCGATCTCATGGATTATGCTGACAATGTTGGAAGACAAAGGAGGGGGTTTCTTCATCCCACGTGCGGGATATTCAGAGCGATGTCACCTTGTGCAAACGACTTGAACTGATTCGAAGGTGATGTCGGCACTAACTCTTTAGGGCTCCAACAGGCTAGAAGAGCAGGTGAGTGCGGAGTCCACCCGTGGGCAAAATGCCTTGATTGGAAATGACGTTCTCTGATTGGCTCGCTACTTCCAGTTAAGCAGCGGGAGTCCGCCCTCCAGGATCCACAGGCCCCACATTCGAGCCGATCGTCGTCAAATCAGCGTTGCACGTGCCTGATAGTGAGGGGGAGTGCCAAGCACGTTGTCTTCCTGGGTCTCTCGATAGGCTGTGAATGATCGTTGTAGATCATTTCTTCGTCAAGCTGTAAGGTTACAAGGAAGCGGGCAAGGGAGAGCCCATGACTGCACCGCGTGCTCTTAAGAGCTGGACTCGCTGTGTCTCGATCCCTCACTTTCGCTTAAACATTCCGAATGTCCTATCAAGGGATGCTGCAAGGTTTCATTTCACTTCTTAATCCTTCCGAGCAATCTCACCATGTCAATCTCCTCCCAGACAGGCCTGATGTCGAGTTATACGCCCCTCACTGATCGCAGTTCTTCTTCGGAGGATGAGAAGGCTCTTCGTTCACCACTTCGATCTGATATCGAGGCGGGAAACAGCACAAACCGTCACGATGACTCGGACCGGAAATCTTCCCGCTTCATTGACGGTCGCACAGTCTCCGATGCCATCATTGGCCTTTCGGACGGCATGACCGTGCCTTTTGCTCTCACTGCTGGACTGTCTGCATTAGGCGATACTAAAATCGTTGTGTTTGGTGGACTTGCAGAACTCATCGCAGGAGCTATTTCGATGGGGCTGGGTGGATACCTGGGTGCCAAAAGTGAAGAGTAAGCTTGTCTTGTTCCCAGCAATACCTATTTCTTCGGGGGGGGAGGGGGGAAGGATACAAGTTCTGCTATATTCCGGAGGCTGATGCAGCTGACATGTTTGAAGGGAGTCATACAAAGCTACCCTAAAGGAAACCAAAACACAAACTATGACGGATCCCGCCTCCGTGTCAGAAACCCTCTCCGACATCTTTGAGCCCTATGAGTTGCCTTCTGAATTAGTAGCACAACTCAAAAATCATCTGTCATCTTCCCCATTGCTCCCATCTTTCCTCATGAACTTCCACCATACTATGCCCGAACCTTCAGGCTCACGAGCTGTTGTCTGCGCCCTAACCATTGCCCTGGGATATTTCGTCGGTGGGTTTGTTCCTCTGGTGCCCTACTTTTTTGTCGGACCGAATGATGCATTCGTCGCCCTGCGCTGGTCCATCGCTACTATGGTTGTTGCGCTGTTTATCTTCGGATATGGAAAGACATGCTTTGTGAGTGGCTGGCGCGGTCGACGTAACATCCGCAAGGGTCTCATTGGAGGAATCCAAATGGTACTAGTGGGTGGTATCGCTGCTGGTTCAGCAATGGGCCTGGTGAAGGGCTTCCAGATGCTGGCTGATAGTCCTGGAGACCAGACGCATGACTAGATGTCTATCACTGTCCCCTTTCTATCCCATGGTTTATGGAGTGGGCGCTGAGCGGCATTTTCTTTTCACGATTTACTACGATACATTGCTTGGCGTTGGGTTTGTTTTTACTCACTTAGGACTGTCGCACTAAAATATCATGTGGGCTTCGGCTGGATTTCGCTACTCGATACTGGCATAAATTCCCCCAAAATCATCAGTCGGCCCCTTCAAGCGGGTTGCCCCTGGTGTGGTATTCTCTGCCAGTCATAGAGAGAAGAACATCACCTATGCCAATCCCTCCTGTTTGCTAGAAACCAATTTCTTCTGCCTCTGATAAGCTGCATCTTCACCGTTCACAACTGCATGTTTCTCCAGCGCATCGAGAAGGTCAAGCACGTAGTCTTGGCAATTCCAACCACGTATCTCATTGTGAATAGTGACTTGACTCGCGATGGTTTTGATAGAGGTGATATTAGCGACGTTTACATCACAGAGGAGCACTAATTCCACTAGCCCCTCCGAATGACGAGAATCTTTCGTCTCCGACTCAAATCGGAATCTACCGTCTGAACCTGCTGCTTGGAGCAACGTTTTGTCTTCCTCTTGGGATGCATCGATGAAAACACCCCAGTGTTTGTAAACGCCCTCGCCGGCGCTGAGGGCTACATATAATGAAACGGTGGAGGACATGCCGGAAGGAGCAATTGGGAAGATAAACCTAGGAATCTTTAGAGATATATCGTGGGTAAGAAGTATTGATACTTTCAGGAATTCTCACAGATGTTCTCTGCTGGGTTCAAAGTAAAGTTGGGTGATATAAAAATTTGAGCTAAAGTGAAAATGAGAACGGTGATTACTGCCTCAATGTTGATATCAAGTTCTCCCCAACTTGACGCTGGAGTCAATAAATTAGCGCTGGATATATCAAGCAAAGCGCTTAGAGCCGCAGGGTTGAGCGATACATTGGATAGAATTAGCGCCTCTCATTCACAAACGGCAGTGTGATATATCATACAGCAACTATATGCAAACGACAAAGGGAAGAGTCCAACTTTCATTTCATCATTTCATCATTGGGCACCTTGGTATTTTGCACTTGGGGCTTGATATGCTATATTCCAGAAAATAATACTCGATCTAGGCTCGGAAGACTCGTTCTTGAAGCTCCCACCGCTGTTTCGAAGCGTGCTACTAGCCACCAAGCTTGGCACACCACACTGCCTAGAGATTGATCGTCCGTTTGATTGGAAACCAGCTCAGGCATACGAAATCAATCGAGGCCGACTGCGAACTTGCATAATGTAGAAAGCGCTTGGACGATTGTAGCAATGATTCTGGCTTTCATTGGCCGCTCATGAGCAGAGAAAAGTCGTGGGCTAACGTTAGGTTCAAGAGTCTGATTGGCCGCCTTGCCTAGAGTTGTGAACCTGGATAACGACAGCAGTTCTGAAGTCCGAAAGGGTCAAGAGCAGTCCCAGGTTGCATACTTCAATAAGCCGATCGATCGGTCATAGCTTCGCCGAGAGACATGTTTCACTATGATGTCAGTTCATTCCGATCTCTCGGGTTGACATCTAGGTCCCCGATTCTACGTTTTCGCGACTCTGCGTTATACTGCGTGAGTTGCACGGGTCATGATCTCCACTGACCGCATCGGGGTTGCGGGGATGTAACATGGTAGTCTCGTAGGATCGACGACGCAGAAACGTCGATCATGGTATTGTGGATGAAATGAGCACGGGCATGTTAACCTGAAAATAACGACCTGTTATGTGGTAAGGGTCAATATCTTTAGAATGTGCGTGTTATACAGGGCTGTGCAACGGGCGTTTGCATGCCTTCGAGTCTCTGGTATCCAGGTATACCGACAGTTCAACAATCTCTTTTTTTCTCCACCGAACATCGCACGATGAGCAAGTAAGGTGTAGTGCAGAACGCTACAACGTACAGAGTATGTAGTGCTCCGCCCGGCCCATTGTAATCTGCATCCAAATCCCGATGAGGGATAGTAGCAAGGCCAACCGAACCTTGGGGCGCAGATTACAACTTGACTTCATATGCCATGCTCCCTGTGGCGCAGCGAGCAAGCTCTGTAGTACGGAGTATACATCAGCCTTGCATCACTTCGCCCCAATCCACTTTAGGCAACCGCCCCAGATACGAATACGGATCCTGGGCTGTTGGTATGGTATTGAGAATTGAAAGATGAATACGGGCGCGTGCCAGCGGTAAATATACCTCCCATACCCAATATATCCAGGAAATGCACCTGTGCTTACATTGTCTGGGGTATAGTATCTATCACATCGGGGGCTGCCCGGGGAGCTTTGGCGCCACGTTGGGGATGAAGGGGGTGATTGGCCACGGTCGCGTGAAGCTGGACTGTGAAAACCCCGTTGCCAGGGGCAAGGGGTGTCTGAGCTCAAGTGCAATTTCCTTTGAGCTTGGGGGCCGACAAGGCTGCATCTTTTACCCGCTGCACTGCTACGGAGTTCACGATGGTAAATAGGGAGGCTGGTATCCCCTGGGGGCTGGACAATCCCCTACTCCGTGCTGGTACTCCGTATGGAGTGAATGTCTTTATTATTAGATGATAGACTGCACATCCTCATTTTCGCGCTGGGCCCGTGTAAAATCCCGGTCTAATAGCGCGGATTTGATTTTCTCCTAACGGTCTGGGCAACTTGGCTTGACCATCAAGGACTATAATCATCGATGTACGCTCCCTAATGTGCTACCTTTCAATGGTCGTGGCTCAGCTTACGGAATGCTCCGAACTCCGTATTCCGGAGTCGATGGGGGCTTTCCCTAATACTCTAAGCTGAAGTAGATGCAGTTCGCCGTTGGCGCCTCGACATGTACCTAATATGAGCAGGAGGTAGCTAGGTAACTAGTGCCGTTTTGCACGGACGAGTCAACCGCCGACATGCCGGTAATTACCTCATGTATCCCTTACGAAAAGCTGAACCTCAGGGAAATTGGGCCTGAAGATCTGGTGGTTTTCGTTGGACACCGGGCCTAAGCGATGGGGTAGCTAGGGGAGGACGAGCCAATCGGCCTCCGACGATGGATCTTATATGGCAATTTTGTGAGAAAATTTGCGTCCCAACTATGTTGTATGCGGTGTACAAGGTCCGTACGGTGGTAATATTGGGAAATCATTGAACTATATTCCTTTGAGTTGACAGTGCAATTTCCCGTGAAGTGAGACGAGATCTCCATATTATTGTAGCGTATACGGAGTACGGAGTACGGAGTACATACTCCGTAGGAAGTATGGAGTAGTGAATACACAGCAGCTTGGATTTTCGGCAGACTCGGAGCTGCATCAAGATTCCTCTCAAGTCGGACCATTGGCATGGCAAAGTCCGAGATATGCCCACAGTTGTGACTTCTCGTGCATCCCGATCTCCGTGGCTTCCGCCGCTTCCGCCCGACATCGTCCAATGCTCCCTCTTCAGAGATTACACGCTGCCGAAGCGTCCGGACTGCAAGGGAAATTACAGAGAAAGAGGATATATTCGGACATTAATCAGATAAACAGGACAGGAGCTAAAAACACGCAAGCCGAGTAGTGACGCCATCGACTGTGCAGGTAATGTACATAATCATACCGGGAAAATTACCTCCCCAAATTTTAGTTATCGGTAATACCAATACCACCATACTTGATGTTTCTCATCAAATGTCTTTTCTTCCCCTTCTTCCCCATCCCATCTCTTCTTGAATTCTCATTCTTGTTCCAGGGCTTCAAGTGGTCTCCTTGGTTATCTCGAGTTCTGTTTACTTAGGGTCTTTTTCGGTGGCGCCCTTGTCACCTTGCATCCCGACACCCTCCGTCAACGTGACCTCCTGAGTTACCTAGGACGCCCCTCGTCCTTTGCCTTCCTATCGGTGTATCTCAACTCTTATGAGCCTCGTTCCCGCCCAACGATAACCCCTCCCTTTTCCGTTGCGCGACCTCCTTTCATCCCGTCCTGCGGTATTCTTCGAAGTCTCAAAAAACCCCTTCTCCAATTCGAGTGATCTGGTCCCTCCTACTGGAGAGTTGCCGCGAACATGAGCGCCTCCTATACGTCGTGGAAAGATCGCACGCAAAGTCAATTTGGGAAGCTTCAGATTCAAGTGCCATGGCGCTCATTCCAGCTCCTAGTGCCGCATCGCATGCGCCGCAAGCTCCGGTCCAAACTCCGGAGCCGCATTTCGCCCACCTCATCGATATCGAGGTTGCAAACATCCTTCTCGCCCGTCGACACCCTCCGATCATTACAGGCGCACCGCTGGACGATATATGACTTCCAATACCTGTTGCTCCTGATCGTGGGCATTTTCTCCCTGACAATTATCCAGTCTCCTGGTCCATTGGGAAAGACGGCGATCGCCACCGGTCTTTTGTGTTCTCTGCTTATGCCTATCACCCGGCAATTCTTCCTACCATTCCTCCCCGTCGCTGGATGGCTTATCTTCTTCTATGGATGCCAGTAAGTTTTACACGCTTCGTGGGGTTCTTCGCAGATGCGCTCGCCACGGCTTTGTGGCGGGGGTGATCTGAATGGAGCATCCCACTCATATTGAATGGAGAAGAACATCGCTAATATGAATCTCCTTTAGGTTTGTTCCAAGCGATTGGCGACCTGCCATTTGGGTCCGCGTACTGCCAGCCATGGAGAACATTCTGTACGGTGCCAACATTAGCAACATTCTATCCGCCCACCAAAACGTTGTGCTCGACGTCCTGGCATGGATTCCCTATGGACTCTGCCATTATGGAGCGCCATTTGTCGTTTCGTTGTTGCTCTTCTTCTTTGGTCCCCCAGGAACTACCCCTCTCTATGCCCGGACTCTCGGCTACATCAGCATGATCGCCGTCTTCATTCAGCTGGCTTTCCCCTGCTCGCCACCATGGTACGAAAATCTGTATGGTTTGGCACCAGCCGACTACTCGATGCAGGGAAATCCAGCTGGTCTTGCGCGCATTGACAAATTGCTCGGTATTGACCTTTACACTTCGGGCTTCAAGCAGTCCCCTGTTGTTTTCGGTGCATTCCCTTCACTCCATGCTGCTGATTCCACTCTGGCAGCACTGTTCATGAGCCACGTCTTCCCACGGTTGAAGCCCATCTGGGTGACTTACACTCTGTGGATGTGGTGGGCTACCATGTATCTTTCCCATCACTACGCCGTCGATCTGGTGTGCGGTGGCCTCCTTGCCACGGTGGCCTTCTACTTTGCCAAGACCCGGTTCCTGCCGCGTGTCCAGGCCGACAAGATGTTCCGTTGGGACTACGACTATGTTGAAGTTGGTGACTCTTCTCGCGAGTTCGGATATGACCTTGCCAGCTTGGATGGCGACTTCAACCTGGACAGCGACGAGTGGACTGTGGGCTCCTCTTCGTCCGTTTCTTCGGGCTCTCTGAGTCCCGTGGACGACCATTACACATGGGAAAGCGAACACCTCACCTCGAATCACGACATCGAGGCTGGACGCTAATCCACGAGCTTCACTTGCACATACCGTTCGACACTGTCAATTCTTGCATCTACTATTTTTTTTTGAATCGGCGTTATGTTTGACGACAATGTTTGGGAACATTATCTGCATCGAGCAATTTTCGACACCCTAAGGTTTTTAATTAACCGAAAACCCTCTGGTTCGCGCGCGACTTCCGCCTCGAGCTGAAGGTACTTTTCACCTTCTGGCTGTACATGCCTCGCTACCCCATTTTGGGGCTGGCAACTCCGTCTATAATATTAATACCGGTGGTGGAAGGGATCGGGCCTTGTCAACCTGCCTGCACTCGCCAATCCCCCGCACTGCCACCGTTGGCAACCTTCGCTTGTACACATTTGGAACGTCACATGGGCGATCCTCTTTATTCTTCTAACCCATGTCTTTCGCTACGACTTAATGACCTTGGGCGGGCCACCTTTATTTTTGCCTTCGGCTCGTCCAAATGAACAAACTATTTTTTACCATTCATGTCGATCGCTCATCACAGGCGCCTGGGAACTTGGAACTGTTTTTGTGAAGAGAACAAAAGTTTCGGTGCTTGTTTTTGCTGCACCACACTCGCTGTGCACTAGAAGGACTCTTTTGAATATTGGCTGTTTTATGACATTTTGCATCGGCACATGAAAGGAGGGGCTCTGCAAAGGGAGATCATCTCGGTCTAACCCTCCGTTCGCGTCTACGCCACCTGGCAGGTGATTAATCGGCGTCGACATCGTGTGGATTTTGCTGTGGGCTTCGACCACGGAAAAATCCGGGGAAAGGAAAGAGGACACCGAAAACCTGGGGTCATCCCCAGAACTCGAGTGACCATGGCAACTAGGGCGAGACAGGATTGGTACTTTCGACGGAGGCCATTCCTTTCCACCCTCAAGCTTTGCGGATACTCTTCGCTTCTGGCTATTGAGGATGAAGCTGATCCGACACCCTAACGCACACACACGTCTTTCGCGACACCCAATACATACACGAAATTTGGTTTCGTTTCCTCGGCTTGCCGCAATCCTCGTGGATCTAGGCTCGAGTCGGGGTTGGGTCGTGTGCATGTCTCTTATCGCTACTCTTGGGGACGATGAGATCCTGTTGGGCATTGCTAGCATTATTCTTAATCACTACCGTATGAGTTAATGAATCATTGTATATTATATACAATTTTCGTGCTTCTCCGTACATAATACACAGTACTTGTAACATACATTCACATTAAGACTCCCACTCGATCATACAATCCACTTTATAACTACACCGAAGCATCATAGGGGACCCATTCTCTATATTGAGCTAGCAAAGCCTGGGCCAGATCGACACTTATTAAGCGGCTTTTCCTGGCCTGCGGTCCGGGAATTTGATGCTCCGTACTCCGTACTCCGTACATAAAAACCATAGAGGACCGAAGCCCTATATTGAGCTAGAAAAGCCACATTGATACTTATTAAGTGGCTTTTCTGAGCTGTCCGGGAACTTGATGCACCGTACGGAGTACGGAGTACTCCGTCCTCCGGCCACCAGCTTTTCCGTCTAGCCAGTAGAAAGCCCGATTTAGACGCGGAGGAATGGCTGTCGATCACCATTCAACATGTTTTGATCTTTCGGACCTCGCTTGAGCCAATGGAGAAGTTCACGGGTGCGCCCCTCGTTGATCACACGGCACCGCTTTGGCTTGCATCAATCACATGCTCTTAGGGCACGAGGCGTACCCGATGTGGACGCGCCTTGTGCACATACATCTGTGCATAACATTCGACGGGCTTAGTCTTGTATTCCGTTTCAATATTACTTCTACCGTTTTATGATTCCTGGAATATAATAAAAATGATAATTGTGTTCGTACAGGGGGTTGTCGTAAGAAATGTACAAAACATGCTGGTTCATCAAGAGAAACTCCGCGTCTGTCTAGGAGATTCCATGTTCTATAAAACAAATAGTATCAAAAGCTTAATGAGGAAGAAACGCATTCATCTACACCGGTCATGGACAGAATCGGAACTATTCGTCGTCAAAGATTGGTACACGATCCGCGTACTCGCGGATGTTGGAGACAAATGTCTCTTCGATTAGATCGCCTTTGCCGCCGGCGACGCGGAGGAGAAGGTCGTTGAGGGAGGCGCGGCCTAGGATGTCGACGTGGTCGCCTGTTTCGAGTTAGTCTGCTGTGGGGGAAGTGAGAAGGAGTGAGGAAAGGAACATACCGGTGTTAGGGCCACCACGGGGCGAGAAGCGCTCAGGCTCGTGAGGCATTTCAAAGACCTTGATCTTTGAACCTGCTGGATTGTAACGCTTCATGCGCCAGCCTTTGGCGCACATGTAGCCCGTGCTAATTAGGTTCACGGTACCGTCGCCCTCGCCCATCAAAACGCCGTGGTCGAGTCCCTCGCCGTTGGTGACAGTTGTGTCCATGCTAACGTTGAGGTTGACCATGGGATCGGATTCTTCTTGGTAGAAGTAGCTGCGCTCTGTGGGTTTGCCAACGCCATAGAAACAATAGACCTTCATGTCTGGGGCAAGGGGCAGACGTGCCTCCAGGGGATTAAGCCATTTTCGCGGATCCTTTTCGTTGGCTTCGACCTCGCGTCTTGTGTGTGCGACACCATGCGAGTAGCTATTGAGAACTTGGTTGCGGTACCAGTCCTCGCTCTGGTCCAAGAGGTACTGCAGACTGTCCGTCGCAGTAAGGTTGCGACGTGTCCAAGATGAGTTGGTCTCGTGGAAATTGAGCAGGTTGCCGAAGGTCGCGAGTTGGCCGGGTTGGTCATCTGGTGCCCAGGTTGAGTTGCCCCATATAGCCTCGCCGCCCTTTGGTAACATGCTGGAAATACCGGGCATGGCACGGAAAATCTCCACTCGTTCTTCTTTGGATAGGAACTTTTCTAGTCCGTACACAGCAAAGGCGTTCAGCTGCGCCGTATCCCGCATTTCTCCGGAGAGAACGGCGGACAACCCCTTGACAGCGCCCAGCATGCAACCACTAATGTTAACCCATGAGTCAATATGCTTATTGACCCAGTCTTTGCCGCCTTTTCCGTGTTCCTCGCTCTCTACCCACTTGAAGAAATATAGAACCACCTGGGATCCCATGCTGTGCGATGCCAATGTAATTTTCTCGCCCTCCGAATGGACTGCTGTCTCGATGTAGGACTTGAGACGAGTGAAATACTTGTCTCGAACTTCAAGGTTGGGATATGAGAGTCGCCAGTCGTACGCAGCTGTGAAAGCATTGGTCGGATCATAGCCAATGGTAGCCAGATTCTCCAAAATCTTGTTCCAAATCCAATACCCCGTGATAAAGAAATCCGTGGCATCGAATCCCTGCGCGGCACGGAGCTTAATGCCAGGAGGGTCAAGACCCGTGTCCCGATCGAGCATGACGTGGTTCTTCCACTCGGCTTTATCCATAACTAACGCTCTCATCATGGTCCAGCTGCCCCATAACCGCCGGCGGAAGTATTGTCGCGAAGTTTCCCCGGTGCCCCAACTTTCTAAGCCAGTGGAGATGACTCCTGGGATCATGACAACAGGATGTTTGGCATTGATGCCCTGGGATTGCAGGTGCAGTCCAACAGAGAAAGAATCATAACTGACGGTATCGCGTTCGTGTTGCTATGGCGCCATTGTAAGTCAGTCGATTGAAGGTGACCAAGTGTAGAGATAAGGGCACTCTGCCCCTTTGGTAGCACGTACCGAGAATTCTTTTACGTCGCTGAGAATGCCTTGAGGGATTACATCCATCAATGATTCAAGATTCAGGTCCATGAGAGAATCCAGGCTAATGACCTCATGCTGGTTCGCGAAGAACAAGGCGATGAAGATGCCAAAGAAGCCACCCAGCATGAAGATAAACCCATTGCGACGTTTGCTCCGGGGTTTTATAACGACCTGCTTAACTTTCGCATCATCGACTTCCGCACGCAGCCGTTCTTCCTCAGCCTTGGAGCCGTCGACTTTGTCGGAGGTCGGATCATTGTCCTTGCCCGTGCGGCGGCGGAGCATAGCGACCAACCGCGAGGAAGGAAGGAGAGGAAGGAGAGAAGCAGATCAAGTGTCTGGCAGTTTAAAAAATAAGACAAGAGCAAAGATCCAAAACCAAAAATGAAATAAGAAGACGAAGGGGAAGAATCACGGAAGTGCCTAAAGTCCGCGAATGGGCGGATCGGTATCACATGGCAGAGCGTAACTTTCTTCTCCGTCCCCTCCTTTCCACTTCTCCACCAACCCACTTCGATGACCTCGCTGTAATGAGCGATGCTCCAGACCTTCGCTACGTGCGATACGAAAACTCGCGCGAAAATGAATATGTTGCGGCAATGCGCCAGCTGATCTCCAAGGATCTGTCTGAACCTTACAGTATCTACGTCTACCGCTACTTCCTATATCAATGGGGCGATCTGTGTTTCCTCGCGATGGACGATAAGGATGAGATGGTCGGTGTCGTGGTATCAAAGCTGGAACCACACCGTGACGGGCCCCTGAGGGGGTATATCGCCATGCTGGCCGTGCGCGAGGAGTATCGGGGCCGGGGAATCGCAACCAAGCTAGTGCGCATGGCTATCGATGCTATGATCGAGCGGGATGCAGATGAGGTATGTATGCACATTGGAGACAATCTCAGGTTTCGCATGAGCGATGTTAGGTGGACTGAATGTAGCTAACTCCGACATGTTTGGGCAGATTGTCCTCGAGACCGAAATCACCAATACCGGCGCGATGAAGCTCTACGAGCGACTGGGCTTCCTTCGCAGCAAACAGCTCCACCGATATTATTTGAATGGCAACTCGGCCTATAGACTTGTCCTCTATCTCAAAGAGGGAGTGGGTGCGATTCGAACGGCACTGGTTGATCCCTACGGTCCTCCGCCAGCAGTGCCCGGCCTACCTGATACATGTGTTGGACATTCCAGTGCAAATATGGGATCACTCATTTGAAACTTTTTTTTTTGGTTGTTTGCAGCGTTGTGAAGCCTCCTCGTTGCTCTGTCAAGCTGTGCTGGCATGACATGTCATGATAAATTATGGGAAATGACCAGAATAGATACATCTCACAGGAACTGGCGTCCTCGTGGAACATTTAGAACGATAGACCGCATCATAGAGAAATGGGGGAATAGCCAATCTGCTTCGCCAGAGGATGTGTCATATGAGAGTGATGCAATGCATGTCTTTGCGATGTCCGATGTATGATCTGCGTGGGAAGCGCACTGTCCCCGTACCTGTCCCCATAGGGCAGAAGCTTTGTTCAACTCTGACATAGGCTTGAGTAAGGAGGATCATATTGTATATCTACGTTTTTTTCTTCGAGGATGTCAAAACATGTAATTTTGTGGTTCCGATAGTAGCTGGAATACCTAGCCTACAATGCGCGTATGTACTGGAAACATAGTAGCACCCATGCAAACCGCAAGCTAATTGCTTCGGTGTAAAGATTTAGTTCAACCCACAAGGTGCGTGGATTTTACATTTATGAGGGAGGTAGTTGCATGATTGTTCTAGAATATTCAAGTACTTTTTCCGCCAGTTAGGATATACCTCACAAGTTGTCCTTCAATCTTCTCCATGGCCCCGAGAAATGAGACAGTCCGCCTCTAATATAAGCTGTAGAGACGAACTCAAGCAACTCTTATGATAAACATCTATGTAATCCATATGTGCCATTATCCGTGACTCCATGTACTTTTGAGAATCTATAAATGTTATAAGATGCCATTGGCGGAAAACATTATTTTATGTAGATCTATTTTGCTAACCAGATGGGTGATCCACGTAAGATCCAGTGTGATATACCAAAGATACAAATTCCAATCAGCCAGCCTATAGCAGTTAGAATGATATGGATTTTCCGGGGTAGAGACTAGGAGTCAACGTTGTATGTAGATCTTGGGGGCCTCTGATTGGCGGGTTCCCAAGCCGATGGAGCAAGCAGCCTGAAAAGTCAGGCATCCGCGGGTATCAAAAGGCCAACGACGTTTCAGAAAGTGGCCTCCATCTCCACTGCGCTTATCCCGAAATGTGATGGGGCGGTGCCTTGATATCGTACCTTCTTACGTCGATTTCATCATAGCCAAGCCCCGGGCCATATTACCTATATTGTGCTATGGAGATTCCCATCTCATTCGCGGAAGCCCTTTTGCCACGGCCAACCTGAACAGCTTAGTTTCTAGATTCAGGTACATTGTCTTGTACCATTATACCTAGATCTAACCGGTTTTTGTAAGAGATGATTCAGGCTCCACAGCGTACTCCAATTTCCATAGATCCTTCTGCGCGTGTCTAGACCTGTATCCTCTTTGCCCTTTGGCTGTTACAGTCTGTTCTAAATTGCCCGACTTCTCTCCTCGGCGCTCTACTTCTCCTTATAATAACAGAAACCGAGACTCTTGCAAAACAACTCTTTCCATCTAGTTCTTGACGTTTTGCCTTCCATAACATCCACTATGAAGTCAAAGAACGACGACCACCACGCTGGTCGTCGGGCTCGTGAGGTATATCGCTTTTTTCGACCCGAGCGACTTGCGCCTATAGATGAAAACCGATCATTCGCTAGCGAGGATTCTCCAACGCTAGATCCCTCGATTCGCCGTGAACCATCCGCCCCATCTTTATCGCCGATATCCAAATCCCTAACACAGTTCGCAAGGGCCCCTTTGAGGGGCATTCCTGAATCTCTAGCATTAGGCAGTTCAAACGCGACGTTGAATTCATTTGCGCAATTGACCGCACTGCGTTTAAACGTGGATCGGGTGTTCATCAGGTAATATTAGAACAGCATTCCCAGACAAATGGCTGCGGTTTACTGATAGTTACTGTCTCATAGTGTATCGGACCGCGATTCTCAGTTCATCATTGCACAGGCTGCCCAAACAGCAAAAGGTAATAGCAAATACGACTCTGTAGGAAATGGAGTCTATACAGGCTGTGCTACGCTAGATGTCAGTTCTTGGACGCCTTGTCAGGTAAGTTGTTTCTGCCAAAAAGCTTTTTCGGTCTTCTGAACTGACCAGTGTCGATTATGATACTTATAGGACACTATCGCTTTATCGCGTTCCAAAGGGAACGAAGAATCTAGCTTTCTAGTGTCTAACGATTTGAGCCAAGATGCCCGATACAAAGATCTATCCTTTGTGCAGGGGAAACCGAATTTCCGATTCTACGCAGGCATACCTCTTACGACAGAAAGCAACATTAACTTGGGCTGCTTCTTTGTTTTGGATACGAAGCCTCATGCCGAATTTACCGAATCAGAAAGAGAGACCATGACCGCCATGAGTACCCTCGTTATGGATTTCCTGAAAGTGAGCCGCCAGGCCTCCGAGGGCCGTCGCGCTACCCGGCTATCCAGAGGTCTCAGCTGCTTCGTTGAGGGCAGGTCTAGCTTTACAGAGATCCCCGATGATTTAGCTATGGGTAAATCCGACGCGCAATATAGCACCCCTCCATCCTCGAAAACAAGGGCGAGCCATCTCGCCATTCCCAACCATAACCAAGGCTCCCGACGATCTCGCTCCCGCAGTAGCGATACCAGCTCCGTCAGCTCGATGTCGGATAGCAGATTCGATCAATCCATATCCTCTAGCGTTGAATCTCATTTCCCTGGCTTGCGATCCGGTAACAGGCACAGGATGGGAGATGAGCACCAAGGCAACGGCTGGACTTTCCAACGAGCAGCAAATCTGATTCGCGAGAGCTTGGAGTTAGAGGGCGACAGCGGTGTTGTTTTCGTTGAAGGCGGGAGTGATGCTGCGCTTGATCTCGAGACGAGCAGTGATGCTTCTTCTTTGGAGACTGGTAAAGCTGCTTCTATTTTGGGTATATCTACGGGTGACAATGCTTTTGGTCCCGAAACAGGCTCATTTTCACAATTCCCAGTTTCTGGCATTGAGGATGTCTTTATGCATGGTTTACTCAATCGTTATTCTCAAGGGAAACTATGGTCTTTCCATCGAGATGGTTTGCTGTCTAGCTCGGATAGTGATGACTCGCCTCGCAAAAGCCGTGCTCGAACACGAACGACTTCTACGCGCTCGAAACACCCGAGAAAATGGAAAACTACTGAAAATACCTTGCTCAATCGTCACTTCCCCGGAGCCAGCCAGGTGATGTTCGTTCCCCTGTGGAACGCAGCCAACTCTCAATGGTTTGGTGGCTGTTTCTGTTGGAATACAGTTGAGAACATTGTCTTTGATCCATTCGTGGAGTTAAGCTCAGTAATGGGATTTGGCTCCTCGATCATGGCGGAATGCAATCGAGTTGAGTCACATATCTCTGACCGACAAAAAGCAGATTTTCTCGGCAGTGTTTCGTGAGTCAATTCTATGGCCGTCAAATCGGTTCTTCTCTTCTTATTTGCAGCGGCTAACTTTTATATTAGACATGAATTGCGCAGTCCCCTTCATGGAGTTATGGCAGCAGCAGAATTGCTCCAAGGTACCACATTTGACGATTTCCAGGGTTCGCTTCTGGAGACTATCAACGCATGTGGTCGTACACTGCTTGATACGATGAATCAAGTTTTGGATTATACTAAGCTCGTCTCCTTGGAAAAGGATCTTCGTCATTTGAAGAAAAGCATGGCCCCTCATATGGACATTAAGAGTATGCAACGCTCTGCTGGTCACTTAGACACCTACATGACCACCGATATCTCTATTTTGTCCGAAGAGGTAGTGGAAGGAGTTTGCCTGGGTCATTCATACAGCCAGCGACCGACGACCTCCACTAATCCAGCAGGAGCTGCCATGACTAGCACAAAGAATCCAGAGGGATTCAACATTCCTCAACTGCACGTGGATGTGACAATGGATATTGAAGTCAATGATTGGGTCTACTATATGCCTCCCGGTGCTCTTCGACGCATCATCATGAACATCTTCAGCAATGCGGTCAAATATACCGATTCCGGCCATGTTTCATTGCATCTAGAGGCCAAAGAACCATCTGAGAATTGGTATCATCCACAAGGTACCAAGGAAGATCTGATTATCTTGACAGTCTCAGATACTGGCAGGGGTATGTCTGCAGACTTTTTGCGAGGCAGATTATTTGTCCCATTTGCCCAGGAGAACAGTCTTTCTGTCGGAACTGGGTTAGGTCTCTCCATTGTCCGCAGCCTCGTCAAGTCATTGAGCGGGCGTATCAATATCGACAGTCGTCCCGATGAGGGTACAACTGTCAAGGTGACTCTCCCACTGACACGTCGAGCACAAGAGGATTATAATAGACTTGAAGGTGGTATGCCATCACCTCCGCAGGAGGACTCGGATTCAATCACGAATGGAGTACGGTTATTGCGGGACAACCATGCCGGCCGGAAAGTTGCCATCCTAGGCGTGGAGCCAGATGACGCTCGTAGCCATCCATTATGGGGAGGTTTGTCTCATTACTTGACCGACTGGTACGGTCTCGAGCTTGTTTCGTCCTCCGTCGATTCACACATTGATGCCATCCTGGCCGATGAGATACTGTTGGAAGAGAGGACCGCTTGGAGTTTCTCAGATCCCAATCAAGCCGTGCTCATTCTGAGCAGCAAATATGTTGATCATAGCACTGTTCGTCCCGAATGGCTCTCATCTGCCAATACCGTGAGCATTGTCAGTCGTCCATGTGGCCCACACAAGCTTGCTCGATTCATGCAGAAATGCTTCGATCAGACTTCTTCTCTGTCTCTTCCAGAGCTGATGGTCATGCCTGACCGAAGCCAAAACAATCCACCAATTCGCATTAAAAAAGCACCCTCCGATGGAGATATTATCCCGAACGATCACACCGAGTTACCAGACATGAATAACGACATTTCTACCTTATATCAAACTCCCCCTCCAGCTCCTACCACTGAGCAATCCGCATACCTTCCATCTTCTTCGGTCATCGAAAGCATCCAACCTGCTCCTGAACCCCGCAAGCCTCGAGTTCTAGTGGTTGAAGATAATAAAATCAACCTAAATCTCATGCTTGCCTTCCTCAAAAAGCGAAAGCTCGACATCCTCGACTCCGCCGAGAATGGCAAACTAGCCGTCGATGCAGTCGAACAAGCCCAGCAGAGCTATGATATAATCTTCATGGGTAAGCGTTCTCCCTCGAGCTCAGCCTCAACACCATCCAACGTCAAATTCTGACCATAAATTACAGATATCTCTATGCCCGTTATGGATGGCTTCGATGCTGCACGGTCTATACGCGCTCTGGAAAAGCAGCAAGGTGCTGACTCGCATTCCCTCATAATTGCGCTCACTGGACTGAGCGGATCCAATGATGAACTGGAAGCTCTTAGCTCAGGGATGGACCTGTTCCTAACGAAACCTGTTACCCTCAAAAATGTGTCGAAAATCCTCGACAAGTGGTCTGAGAGAGGTTTACGCGACGAATGAGCTGACGTTCCATTTTTTTTCTGTTTTACCTAGCATACATACCCCCTGTTTAGATTTCTGGATTTTTCTAGGCGATTGACTCAATGATTTTATTATTTGATAAAAGATTAGCATGTTCAGATCCTGGCAGATAGAATACGAGCTATGGGGTTCTTAGACGAAAGGTTAAAATCAAGACATCTGGCTTTCTCAGTCAATATTGATCCTTTTTCCATCGAGGGGCACGATCTTCAATGTGCTGATATCGACATTCTTCAGGGCTCGTGCCTGCTCTTCCATTAGCCAACGAAATACTAATTAATACCTGTGATCTTTATAACTTACATTAAGGGCTAGAATGCCATCATGTTCCCCTCCATCACCTCGAGCATAGACACTCGACCCGCAGTTGGGACAAAAGGCATGGGGATACTTCAAAGTTCCGAAACGGTACTCCTGTTCGTGTTTAGTAGAAGCATTAGAGAGATGATATGCAAGAGAGGTAAGAGTAAAAGCAGATATCTCTAACCTTGATCGCATCAACAGCATTGTGGAACGTAACATTCTCCTTTTGCGCATAGACCAGGAGATAGCCGTTGATACTACAGATCGAGCCTATATAAAGCAGTTTGAGCACTTAAGAGTCTTCTCTTTGAGTATCTTCCTCCTTTTCCAGGGAAATTGATGCATACAATTGCATGAGTTTACAACTTGCTCTTCTATAGGCGAAGAGAGCTGCGCCGTGAAGCTAATCTTTCCACAGTGACACCCGCCATCGTATGAGTGTAGGCTTGCTTCGGTTTCGAACATTATAAGAACAGACAGCTTGTTCTTCACTACCTGCGGAGAAGGAATTGGGTAAGAGCGAGATTTACAGAAACGTTGATTCACGACTTTGCCTGGAGTACTTATAGTGACGAATGCCTCGTATTGAGATCAGGTGGTTGAGCTTGTCTTACGCAATACGATGATAGAGTTGAATCCGTCTCTTCCTTGCAATTCATCGACGATTATAATAGTTGGACACATTCTTGACAGGAAGACTGAAATATCAACTCAACGTAGAGGATGATCCAATCCTGACTGCCACCTTTTCAGACACCCGCCTACATAATGTATATATGCTTTCCCTTTTGCCATGGGAATACGAGAGCAAAGCAGTTCAACAAATAAGCATACTTTCGCATAACTATTCATACATCCCACTCAACATGCTAATCCTCCATCAGCCAAGTAAACGTGACTGGACGCCTGAGGCGTCCAGTCACATGGTTGACATGTGAAAGGGCCAATTTCTTTTTTTTTCCTTCCTTTCTGAGCCCTGAAACCCATGCAGCTTCGGAGTGTCTAGCCACATGCAGGAATCCAATATGCTTTCTAGAAGGTGAGACCTGCCCACTGGTTGTGGATCCGAGCACAAAATAAGGGAAAGCTGGGGAGCTTATCTTGTCATATATATATCGCCACGAGCCCATGTTTCAAATTCCCCCAAATTATTTCCCCAAATGAATCCAGCCCTTCACGCCCTTCACGGTCCCACGGGGATCATGAAAACAAACAGACAAGGTCGTCGACCAGGCAAAATAGCCTGTGTGGCTTGTCATGTCCGCAAGAAGCGCTGCGATATCGCCCCGCCCTATCACCAGTGTACGCATTGTCGGAAAGAGGATCAAACCTGTATACCGCGAGATCCGATTGAGAGGTGTGTGCACGGGTCAGATTGCGAAGATATGAGAAAAAAGTGGTTGACAAGAGTGTAAAAAGAACAAGAACTGTCCGACACCGAATACCAACCCGCAACTGCGGTACATCTCAGAAATCTGTCCAGGAACATCACGAACCCAAGAATTTCCAAAGGAATCTGTCGCTGGCGCGGGGCTTCGACCATGATGTGCCCCACTGGAGTCCGTTGTACTCGTTTTACTCGGAAATGCGCCGGTTACTGCCTTCTTCCATCTCCCCGTCCCCTTCGTCCGAGATCGAGGATATTGCACATATCGAAACCACGCAAAATGAGGGAGCTGATGATGTATCTTCTCCTTCTATGGATGGTGATTGTGCTGAGATGATTTGCACAGAGGGGGTGGGGATATCTACTTCTCGGTCTCAGTGTCCGTCGGCGCTTCCGGATAAGAAAGTAGATTGGGAGCAGGTATTGGCTGCTTACGAAGCTGGATTCTTGCAGGGAAACTTTGTTTTGCAGGAAACTCAAAGTGACTGGGACTCGGGTCCGATGAATGATGTCCTTATGAATGATCTTGATGCTTTGCTCAGATTTTGATGTTGGGGTTCGGAAACATGGACCTTTTTCTTTTTCTCACGACTGGATGTATATATATGGCCAAACAAAACAGGCTTCTCTTGGAAATCGCAGCTCTATGGTTCTATATTTTTATTGGATAATGTACAAGTATAAAATACAAGGCGACGGGGAAGTCGTCACCAGCCAAAACGAACCAGCCAGATGGGATATTCATGCAACACGCTAGCATCAAACAGACAGGAGAATCGAACAATGTACAAAAGATGCAAAAGAAGGAGAGATGGGAGTTTATTGGTGCTGGGCTTCGTCTTGGGGTTTGTCTTGGTCTTTGCGGGCGATGGGAACGTGAATGGCGTTTTGCATCTTCCAAGATAGAGGGCGAGGGACACCGCGCCATTCCTTGTCCAAAATGGATGCTGCATCGAGCATGATTGGAGAAGGATGCTGAGGAAGATAGCGAGTAGCACCTAGTAAGATGTCCCGCTGAACGAGGGCATTGGCAAGACGGACTTGGAGGTTTCGCTTTTCACCTCGGGGTTTCCATCCGATAAGATAGAGAACGGGGTTGTGACGGAACTCCGAGGGAATATCGTTCAGAATGGAATCTGGAAGCGCGTAACTTTCATTTTGCAAGCCAATTCCAACAATCACCTTGCCGGCGTCGGAACCCCACAGATTCTTGTCAAGTCGGGTGGATGGACCACGGCACGCGTTGCGACACAAGGAGGTCAAGACAGTCTGTTTCATCTTATAGGTCACGCTTTTCTTCATACATGCATACCGCCAGATCACCAAGCAGAGGTTGTAGTGCCCGTTCCTGAAGGCCGCTAGGAATAAATCCTCCCAATTTCGGGAAGATACGTCGAACAATGGAATTTCGAAGAACCGCAAGGTATACTGCAGAGCAGCGTGGATGTTTGCACCCAGCGCTTGCACGATGTGGGTGAGCGAATAGCTGTCAACGGCCAGGGAGTTGTCGACGCAGATTTCCATGAGCCGGTCTACGGAGTCGAAATCTTTCAATCGAGCGACAACACTGAACATTTGGCCAATCACCGAAGGGCTGAACCAATTGGCACCCCATGTGGCCGTCATTAGGTCAATGAAAGAGTCTATGTCTTTCCCGCTGTCCAAGTGCACCAAAAGCGAATCTTGAATCGTTTCCTGGAGTGCACTATGGATGGTTGAGAGATTCGACATGTGACCATGCTGTACCATATGTTCGATGAGTCGTGCTTTTTCACTGGGAACAACCAGGGCGCTGAGCAATGCAAGCCATGTTTCTGGATTAGGACGAATGTTCAATCGAGGCATTGTCCGTAGGAAATGACGGAAGACAACCACATCCTGACGCCGCGCAGCAGCCCTCAGCAATATGTTATATGTGTCAGTTGTAGCCACATGTCCCGTGCGTGAACACAAGTCTCGGGCAGTATCGAGGAACTCATGTCGACAGAGGAAATCCAGTGCACTGTTCAAAGCCGCAGTCGAGATATAGTTGTAGTTTGACTCGTGTGAAAACAGCGCTTGCAATTGTTGTTTGACGCGAATCACATGTGGAAGCTTTGATAGAGAGATAGCCTTCTCATCAAGCGTTGGTTGCCTTGCAGATGTCAGATCCTCAACATGTTCATTGAACTCCTTCACCGTGGCGATAACCGGGCGAGGCAGTAGAATTTCGTCCAAATTCGAGCCGCCGTCTGACGATTCACCGAAATGCCAATATCCTCGAATCAATGGTACAGGGAGGTCCGAACGCTGCATGGCGCCTCGAGATATGCACATCGGAACGGGTGGTTTATGAATATCAACGAGCGGATCTCCCATCTCCTGTAAGCTCTGTGCGCGGGTGAAATGCCCTTCCACCAGGCCCATAATATGATCCGTGGCACTCAAAACCACTCGACGAAGTAATCCCTTGCTCTGACTCGCAGGAAGAATATGCACACGACATCCATTATGAAGCGGGATATACCAAATATTCTCCTTCAGCGTATACCGCGTCACACCAGAAAACAGAGCGAGTGTCTCCTCCGGGACATATATCTCCTTCTTGTTCGTGTGGACTTTCTTAGCGTTTCTCCGGTTATCATGATATAACTGATCAAGAACGTCCTTCGTATCAAACCAAGCCTTGTCGATGAGCGTCATGGAACTCTTTTGATACTGTTTCCTCATATATGCACGAGACCGCAATTTCTTCCGATCTCGAATGGATGTGTTTCGTACAAAAAGCTGTTTCTTGTTGGAAGCCGAAGATTTGGCGCTCAGGGGTTTGTTGGGCAATCGGCTTTTCTGTATTCTCTTCGCTCGTATTAAAGCGAAGCCATATAGCGGTTTCGCAATGGCGCTTTCGGCAGCTGCAGGGGAATTGAAAGATTGCTTCTGATCCGCCGAGAGCCGACTTCCACTACTCCCATCCAAACCATCGGAGCCATGGTTGCTGCCTTCGTGGTCTCTCAATTGCGTTTTATCTGCTGCAGAAGATGACAGAGGACTCGAAGTATCGGGGGACCGGCAAGGAGAGCCAGAGGAAATCCATTGGCGCGAGTGTCGAGAGAGCGAGGGAGAAGGGCGGACTGCGGCGCGGAATTGGGCACCGGAAGTACCACCGATCCTTACTGGAGCTTTGATTGCCTTCAGAGAAGATATACGGCGACGTTGCTGTAAGGCAGGCGCAGCCCAGCGGGGATAGAGGAACAGAAGTGGTTCATCGGGCCCAGTCGCGACAGTGTCCAAGACGGCAGATAGACGCCTTCTTAGACACGGGCGACCACGCGAGAGCATAGGGATCGATGCTCTGATGGCCCCGGAGACATGAAGGGGCAGGAGACAAAAGATTGGGCGCGTTGCTGTTGAGGTGTTTTTCTACGACGGCCTTTTTGCCCCGAAAATTGCTGCCGCCGAAGGGGCAGGCGGTGGCGGTGACCGGAGCTTGGCTCTGCCGGTATCAGCTCTGCTCTACTCTGTATATACTTCGTGATGATCTGAAAAAAGACCCTTATATTTCGCCATTCTTTACATCGATATGAGCAAAGGTAATAATATCTATTTCATCAATACAGAGTAGCTGTATTAAATTAATATATGTGACCTTCATGGCCGATCTCAGCGGCTTTGGGAATGCCGCGGAAAATGTGCCTCATTGAGGTAGAACGCTCCTCCAGGACCGGTCGCTTGGCCATTAGGGTAGCCTGTTTGCCCACTGGAGTCAGGTCTAGCAATCCCATTGCTGGCTCTCCATGATCATCTTTAAAGACATCTGGCCCGGTGATATGATGCTTGCAAGATTCCACAGCCCGAGCAAGGTTATCTTTCTTGCGCCGGACTGCATCGGCCTCTTTATCCGAGTCGGTGGGAGTCTGGGATAATTCGCGAATGACACCAGAAAGATATGTGACAAACTGCCAGCGAGAAGCCTGGAATAGGAATGTGGGCATGATATCCGGTATCTGATTGTTCCCGTAGACAACGTCAGCCTGGTCCCAACATAACAAACTGGGATTTGCAAATCGTCCAACTCACCTTATCATTCAGATAATATAGTTCATCGCCACCTTCATCCACAAACTTCTTCAGTGCATCAATCCTATCTCGATCAATGGAAGCCAATTTCAATGCATGCATCAAACTGGGGATATCCCCAATCTCACCAACATGTGGCTCCTCATCAACCCTCATGCTTGGATGATTCAAGTATCCAGACTCCACACGGGATAGTCCCGTAGTGCTCTGTTCCCGACTCCTAGCATTGGACGAATGAATGGTGAAATAATCCTCATTCAGCATATGGGCTTTCTCAAAGTTCGACCGACCACGGTCCCGCCGCTCAACGGCCTTAGTCCGCAGTCTCACCCACCGTCTCCTCCGAACAAAAGAATGAAACCACGGCTTTGTACCATGCCATGACGAGGAAGCAAAGGAAAAAGAGTACTGCCACCCTTGCTCATCGGTATCACCAGACATGTCCACATACCATGTCTTCCACGTCCATTCCCAACTCGGGTCAGGCAGTTGAGCATTGGTTATGTTAACAGGACTGGGTTTACGATCCTGGTTCATCCAGGGACTAGGATCGAAATTCAACAGCGAACTGTGTGAATAGCGTGGGACCCCAAAAACGAACCAGCCGCGCTGGTTCTCGTAGAGAATGTCCATTTCCGACCGCGGTTTCGTGTTATCGCGACCATTAGGCGGGGTTCCGATTCCGTTTAATTGCCCATTCCCGTTCCTGGAATGACTAAAAGTTCGGGATGCCTCTAACCCTGCTGTATCGACATCTCTGCCCCTGCTGCCTTCTCCGGCGGAGCTTGTTGAGATGGACCCTCCGCGGGCTTGAGATGATTCTCCGCCGACAGAGTCATTTCTGTCAGGTGCGATACCCAATTTGTCCGGCTGCCATTTTGCGTATTTCCGCTTTGCAAGCTGGCTGTGAACGGATGCACGGCTCAGGTGTTTCGTCAGGCTGATTTGTCTATCGAGTGAGGATGTAGGTGCGGGTCCTTCGGTGGGTTGCTGTGGGATGGTGTTATCCACGAGGGAAATGGAAGTCGATCTTTCCATGATTGTTTTGTGAGTTTATAATAGGGAAAATATAGATATTGGTGATCCAACCCAATGGCTCCTTAAGCCGTGAAGAATATTACTGAGTGTGCGTTGCTCGCACGATCTCAAGGGGTCGGTATCAGTATCACCTGGAACGAAGGACGTGATCGGAAAATAAGATCGTAAAACTATAGGGTATCACTTAACAAAAGAAAGCGCAAATAATGATTCAAAAGAAAACAATCAAGGCCAGTCCGTTGGAAGAAAAAAAAGGGCAGATGCAACATCGATGACATCGTTTGCGGGGATATCGCCAAGACTCGACGTGCAACAATCACGGGAGGAAAAAAAACAAAAAACAATCAACAACCCACGATGGCAGCACAACACTACCGAAAAGTCGAGCTCCAGTCTCCGGCAGACTTCACCTATCTCTACGCCAACACAGTGGCCCTCTCGCGACAAAAACTCGACCTCCATCTCCCCCCTTCAGCAACGGACAATGAAGCCCCGGATCCGATGCGCGAACGCGTCCGGGAACTAGTCGATGAAGTAAGAACATCGCAATGCCCACCACAGTACCATCTAACCTCGGAATACAGTACATAAACCAGACCTTTGAATCGGCCTCAAACTCTATCAGTATCAATGGCATAGACTCCACTTCACCGCAATTTCCTTTCCCGGCGGCGTTCACCGCGCCAACAGAGCAAGTCGAGTACGAGCCATACGATACGGAGCTTGCATCGCGTGTGACTGCGCTGTATGCGCAGCTGGAATCACTCAATACGACTGTCGCACAGCAGAGACGGGACGCACCGAGACGTGCGGCGAAGCAGTATGCGGCGCAGTTGAGAAAAATGATTGAAGAAGATGAAGAGGATGAAGAGGATTACGATGAAACCGACGGAAGGGGAGATGTCGACAATGATGCGGAGATGAGCGGATCTGCAGATGCGCCACGCCGGTCAAGTAATGAGAACAATACGGAAGCCTCTGGCCAGGATAACATGGAGGTGGATTCTACTCCGAGCGAGAATGGATCGGCGCGAACAGGAGCTCAGCTGCACTCGCGTTCTCGTGGAAAGCAGGACCCGTCGTGGACGTTGCAGGCTGCGCTGGGGACGGAAGAGGAACAGGAGCGGTGGAGGAGTGGGGATATTGCGGGTGTCTACGAGGATGCTTTGCGGATGTTGTTGCGGTTGCAGGGCGAGGCCAATGTCAGTACTGAGGCTGGTGCAGAGGGTAATGCATTGGCAACTACAGTCGGCAAGGCGGAGAGGGCTGGGCGAGCTGCTGAAGTGGTGGAAAATATGCATAAGTGAGGGCCTCGAGGAGTTTGTTGACTAGCGTTTCTCTCTGCTCTTTTATATTTGGGTGCTATCCCATGGTTGGGGGCGTTTCGGGACCCTGGACTTCTGGGAATCATGATACCATGTCTTTTTTTTATTAGCTCTTGTTGAGTTGAACTCTCATTATCTTTCAATTTATTCACGCAGAAATGCACCTGCTATCTCCATAGCAAAGGTTGAAATTGTCACTTTCTTACATTTACTCGCTCTCCTACTGCTTCTCATATATCACCTACAAGCAAGCCAAAGATACGAGTCCGAGACATGACTACCATTTGGTATGTGCTCATCTGTTTATACACTACCTGCAACAAAGAAACAACAAGCTAAACACCATCTTCACCAACTCGCTTTTTAAATTTCATCACGTCCTGTCCCTTCTATACTGAGAGCAGCACAAGCTGCCTATCTTGAACAGGCAAAAACAAACAAAACAAAAAGCAAGCTCTCCATGATATCTAGATTGGGAAAAGAAGGCGCAACGAAAAGCGAATGTAGGGCAAGGAGTCCACAGGTTGTGGATGGGTCGGCGAGGAAGTATTGAAGCTACCAGAGATTCTGGTCTGCCAGGGGGATTAGGTTATGTTGGCAGTTGTCGGGCCACCAGTTGACTTTTTTTGGGGTAGTATTCAAGTTGATCAGGCTTTTATAGAGGGGGTCCTCCAATATCTCCCGAGAAGTTTCTATGTTCAGCCATATAAAAAGGCAGGAGACTGTCGATCAGCTTGTTGGTGGTCCGACAGGGGAAAAAAACAAAGGTTAGGTTCGTCAGCAAGCTTAAGCGCTAGCCTGAGCACCCTCCTGGCCCTCAACATCCTTCTTCTCGTAGCCAGGGTCCTCGTTCTGAACAACAGGCTCAGCAACCTCCTTGGGGGCCTCCTCCTTGGGAGCAGCCCACTTGGGGGCACGGGCCCATTCAGCCTCCTGCCAGGGGCCCATATCGGAGAGCTCACAGCCACCGGCACACTTGCAAGAACCGCCGAACTCGGCGGGCAGGTTCTCAGCAGGGACCTGGCCCAGCAACTCCTTCTGGTATCCGCTGCCAAGGACGTGGATCTTGTTGACGGTGACGGGGTCGAGGAAGCCCTTGATAGCGTTGAAGACGCTGCTGAAGCCCCAAGGAGCGTTGATCAGGTAGAGCTTGCCCAGACGCTCGGGATAGTGGTTCTGGGAGATGTCGGAGGCCTGCTTGACGTATCCGTAGACGGAGGGGACGCTGGTGATGCCGACGCCCTTGAGATCCATGATTGTGCAGCAGGTCTCGAGGAGCTTGCCGGCCTTGCGCGAGCAGGCGGGCAGACGGGGGTCGGCCAGCTTCTCGTACTCGGTCACTAGGTTCTGCAGCATGCGGTCGGCGGTGGTGATCTTGTACATCTGGTTCAAGTCGATCTTGCCGAGCTTCTCGATGTAGACGGGGCGGCCATCCTGTTTCATGAGATTCGAGGTTAGTTTCGAGCCGGAGGAGAAGGGGACCAGAGCATGGGAAATCCTACCTTATCGGTCTTGTGGTAGTACTGGGGGTAGAACTTGAAGACCTCCTCCTTCTCGGTGTAGTTGAAGGTACGAGCCAGATCATCGGTGCCAAACTCCTTGCGCCACTTCTCGCTGTTAACGAACCTAGATTATCGAGTTAGACCACCATCTTCGAGTCGATAATCGCCAGACAAAACAGCTGTATGCCAATTCAAGAAAAAAAATAACATCAACCCCTCCGGCGAGAAGCAAGGAACGTACATGGTCTTGGCGGCCTCGATATCGAACTTGCGAGCACGCAGGAATCGCAGAAGAGTCAGAGTATCCAAACGCTCAGTGTAGCCGAGCTTTTCGAGCTCAGCGCGGAACTGTTGCACCTTTGCATCCTGTTCGGGGGAGGTGTGGCCGGGGTGACCAGCCTGTGCCTCCGGAGCGGTGGTGGGGAAGTCGTACTGATCGTACTTGGGATCGGTGGGCAACTGAGACTCTGTGGCTGCCATTGTGACTGAGATGGGAGGTATATGGTCGAGGGAGAAGAAGAAAGGATGTTTGTTCTGGAAGAAAGGCGGGAGGCGGAGGGGGGTTTGGCGTAAGTGGCCACTTTAAGATAAAAAAATGGGGGATCGGCCAAAGTGATTTGTTACTATTGAACAATAAGAATAGACACCACTCTGGCGCAGGTTTATGTGATATTGTTTTTTCTGATTTATATTGCCGAGCAAGATGATACTCAACGCCCCCTTTTATCCACCGATTTGTCTGATTCGTGGTTGGGTTGTCATTTGGGTCGAAATGGCCGTCATTCTATGTCATTGTATAGCGCTTCTTATATACACATATAGGTTCCCGACTTCAGAACTGTACGATCCGACGGAGATATCCCGTCACTAGATATCCTCAGGAACAACAGACACAAGGAGATAGCCCCCTACTCGGGAAAAGGGGCAAAGTAACGAGGGGCAAACGTGGCGGTGTCGCAGTGTCAGTGACGAATCCACTCTGCATCACAGTGGACACCGGCGTTTAGCAGATATTTGACCTCGAAACCATAGAAGATTAGGGAGGATTTCAAGTACGAATCCCGAAATGAATAAGATTCCTAGGCGCTCTGTACAGAAATAAATAAACAATCATAGCACAACATACGGGTATTCAATTCAAACAAGATTCAACGTTCAGCACACATCGCAAACAGACATTATTATACACAGCGCATGAAGACCAGTGAGGTCTGAGCGGTGATGGAAACGAAGCAGAAAGACATGCCGGGTATGAGATTATAGGACTCGGAGCCCAAATGAAACCGGGGGACAAAAAAGCAAATGGCAACAACTATGCGCTGGGTATAGACATTGAAAGGACGAGGAGAGACATAGCGAGAAAAAAGAAAAAAAGAAAACATCAGACAAGACGGATAGTAAAATTGTCACAAAAAGGGGGTACGTTGTATCACAGAAATATCACAAGATCATCGGCATCCACCGTACCAGCGGGGAGAGGCCTTGATCATTCTCCGTTTGGGTTATGTTCGTGTATGAGCATCATTCACACAAAGCAATCGCCCTAACTGCATGGAAAGGCAGGTCGGAGTCGCTGCATAGAGCAGTCATGTGTGTGATCATTTGAAACCGATAGAAAGACATGACAGATATTTCGGTGTCCATGATCATCAAAAGTTGGCGCCTGAAGCACGGCCATTCGTTGAGCAAACAAGACTGGACCGGATAGGGCGTGTTGAAAATTCGGGGAGCTATTCGACCTCTCTGCTCAGGCTCATCATTCATCAAAGGGTGGCAGGCTTTGTGAAGCCTGTAACATAGCGGCGTTTACCACCCCTTCTTTCGTGTAAATCGTTTGTTTAGAAGTGCAAGGACCTTGGTGACATTGAACTGAACGTATTCCAGATCGAGGTCCTCCAGGTTGTCCTTTTGCATTTCGAGGAGATCGTCCAGCTTGAGGTCAAGCTCGAGTAGTCCACGGGCTCGTCCCTTGTAGTGCAGACTGATGACGAATGTTCCTGGCAAGGGACTCTTGAACATAAAGTAAATGTTCGCCCGTCTGTTCTCGGGCACATTGCTGCGTCGGATGACACCTTCCTTCTCCAGCTGCTGGTGAGTGAACTTGTACGGTCCAAGTTCCTGGTTCTTCGGCGTCTTGCCACGGTTTTTGCCCTCGGCCTGGCTACGCACGTTGTGAAGATAAGACTTGTAGGTTTCGAGCTGTCCGACCAAGTAGGCATTGTGATCGCGAATTGTGGCGAAAACTTCCTCAAGCTTTCGCGTCTCCTCAAGCACCTTCTCCTTGAGAGATCCCAGGTGCACCAGCTCCTGCTCGACTTCGTCGCGAAGTAAACTGAACTCGTCAGACCGATCAATCACACCCATGTCTTGTAGCTGGCTGAGAAGCTCCATTGTTCGGATGCCCTTGCGCACCATGACAGCATCATTTTTCAGTGTTGCGGCGGCTTCGGCAATGCGATCGAGTCGCAGAGGTCGGCGAGCAACTGACGAGTTCTGAGGCAAGGATCGGAGAATCTGGACAAATGTGGACTTGGCCTCCATGAAGAAGACTTCTTCTTGGGTAATGTCGAGAGCAGCTGTCAAATCATCGAGAGCAGTCTCCCATTTACTGAATAAAGGCACAGTGATCGTTCGATTCTCCTTGCGGGGAACCTGAGGGGGAGCGCCGCCCAATTCTTGCAGCAGCACCGACAGGTGTGAATATTGATCCTGGGCAAGTGCTTCGCTGTGCTTCTCCAGAAGACCGTGCATGACATACATCTCGTTGAGGGTGATCTGGAGCTCAAGATCCCGCTTTGACAGGGCCACGTAGTTGTCCATCTCGAGACTCTCATAGAAATCCTGGACTTCACACAGATCTAGGAGGAACTTGTTGACACGTTCCTTGTTCTGCTGGATAAAGGGCTGCAAGCTGGCCATGTAAGGCTCCTTGGCATAAGAAGGCTTGTTTGCGAGATTCTGGATCATCTTAGCGATCAGCGTCAGCGTACGGCGAGGCTTGTCTGTGGGCGTAGCGTCGATCAACATATAGGACCGAGGGGTAACAATTGCTGGATTTATGAAGCGGAGGAAGAAGAAACCACCGATGAGGGTGCAGATGGTTTGATCCTGCGCATCAGGATACTTTCTGCGTGACAGACTGCGAATCTGTTTGCAGATCCATCGAATACCATACGGGGCCTCATCCACCGATTCAATGATCGTTGTGATGAATCCATTAGCGATATCCGTCAGCATCTTCAGACGTGGAGCAATGATGGCCTGGACCTGCGCATTTTCAGCAGCATCTTCGGCGGTCACAGACCGGGCCAAGTATTCCGGAAGGGTGCCAGTCTCTTCTTCGATCTGCTTAATCATGGTCTCATAAACCTTCAGGGGATTAATTTCCAAATCGACGTCCCTCAATTCAATCAGGGCGTTGATCTGGTCTGCCAAAACCTGTTTCAAGTAGCTTTGACCGGGACCACGGCGGGTGTATGTGGTCATCATGCGAGAAACCGGGGTGTTCTGGCGCAGCAAGGACGAGTACTCCGGTGTGTTATCAAACTGATACGTGAGGACGGACTGAAACATAGTGAGCAGGAGGTGCTCTTCGCGACTCTCGTATTGGTTTCCGTAGATGGTGAACATGACAGTCTGTAGAAGGGAATCGATCTCGGCCATGGACACGAGACGGCACAAATGGGCGATATGGCGGGGTTCTGATTGTAGGAGGAAAAGTAGATTGCCGTATTTCTGGGTTCGTTCATCGTTGGGGAAGAAGCCTTCCTGCGGGTCTGCGGTATCGTCAAGATGACTGGCGACTTCGTTTTGCTGGATTAAAAAAGAAACGATACGTTAGCGCATGTTCATGTCGATCTCCGCAGCAAGAAAAATCCTTACTTCCTCCAATGCCATTCGATTCTGAATGAGCAACGCAATCCGAGAGTCCAGGTACCGCACATCCTTTTCCAACACAAAGTTCTTTTTCGATTGTGACGAAATCCTCGACTTCAAATCTCGCAGGTGTTTTTGCGCTATTGGAGAGTTAGCGCAACCATTGAGACAAGCTCCAGTTGTGAACACATACCTCGTGCCAAATCATCGGAGATCTCCAAATCTCGGTCCTTGGCAGACATCGACAGGTACAGAGCCGTGACCGACATCCGCTTAGATTGGCGGAGCGACCGAGTATCGTGCGACGACATCGTGTTGTGTCGTGCGACAGGCTGAAACGACGAGGAAGAGGACGACGAGGCCCGCGACTGTCTGGACGCGGGTTGAAGCATCGTCGCGACGGACATTGTGAGATTCGGGGGGGTTGGACAAGTGGTGAGAGTGTGCTATAGGAAGCGCACTGCCAGACTGCCAATGGCGTCACAAAAAGAATGAGGTTTCGGGTTATGTACCGGGCAAAAAGTAAACGGTGCCCCTGAGTACCAAGAAGAAACCGTGAGATTGAGTGATCCGTACCGAGGACCTGAGACCAGGGGTTGAGATTCGACCAGACCACGGTACTGGGAGAATCAAATGGTAACGAGATCCAAGAATCATGAATCAAGGGATTGAAGAGGGAGGGGGTTCAGAGGGTAAAAGTAAAGAGGGGAGATTATTATTTCGTTAGTTCGCTGTTAGGGCGCTTCTGGGGAACAATGATGTGGATTCCTGTTTTCGACTTTTTGGCCTACTTTTTGATTTGATTTTTATTTCTGCTCACGGAGATTTTGGGATTGGATTTTAGTTTTTTTAATTTTTGGATTCTATTACTCGATCACTCCCAGTATACTCCTGCGTCTCGAAAAGAAACGAGAGGAATGATACGTATCTTGTTAGGTACCGATGTACATACATGTATGCAAGGGATCGCTACTTACCCCTGGCCCAAAGCCCCCCCTTGGCCCATCTCTCCTTTCGCCTCCGTATGGAGTATCGCGAGTCTTGAGATTCCTGAAGCTCCAGGAAGATCTCGATCAACATCCTGGTCTTCCTGGGATTTGGCCCATGCGCACTAGCTTGCCCACACTCGGACTGTGCACCGTCGACGCCGATTTTCACCTTGACGTCAGATCTTTCGATTTCTTTTTTTTTTTGATAACGGAAATCAAACTAAAAAGGATCAACGGTTTGACGTGAGGGAATCGAAAAAGCAAAGACAACATCCATGATACCAGGGTAACACGGTCTCATAGCTGCAGGGGTTCAGGCAAATCGGTACCTGCGTCTAACGACCATTGGAGCTAAGACCACGAGACCTCCATGTGGAAGTCTCAGGAATGTTAGGGTTGTCATTGCTTGAATTGTATGGCCCTCTGTACAGAGGGCTCCGTACGGAGTCCTCTGTATTGGAATGAGCAGATTATCTGATGGGTCGCACTATGGATACACTATATTCGCGTTAAACTACTCGACAGGGTAACCGGGTTTCAGGTTGAGTTGGATCGGAGCAGTTAATCAAACGAGGCCCTCAATATGGCCCAGCTGGATTACGCGTATTTTTAGTATTCCGAGATCACTATCAGCACGTCGGACACAATCAGACCACTCGCTGTGCATAAGGCGCGACAGATTGTCTCAGACTACTCCGTATGGCGGAGTCGGGCTCGGCAGCCTCCGACAGGAAAGGTGACCGGTCATTCTGGCCTTTTCCATGATTCGAATTGATGGGCTTCTACCTAAGTAGGTATCTTGATAGTACGTTCAGGACGGACACCAAGAATCAAATGCCCGGAGTCCTCCGTACCCGTGGCTATTTACTACGGAAATACGGAGGTGAACAATTTGTCGCATTAATCTAATTAATCTAATTAATCTCCTAAATCTCCTAAATCTCCTAAATAGCAGAATTAATCTCCAAATCGAAAGGCAAACCATGCGGGGGTGCCACCCACATTGCTTTTTTTCTCGCAACACAGACGTTAAAAGCTGCATTCTCCTGGTCTATGCTTCAGGGGTAAATCGCAAAGTGGAGTTATAGTGGAGACGGGAAGACATCAGGAACAGACTCCGTACAGATGAGTCCATGAAGTACATGAGTACGGAGTACATGAAGTACATGCCTGCACATGCATACATGTACTCTGTGGTATGCAGCTGCATCTGAGTCTCCCTAAACCCGTAACTGGAAGGATGCCAATGGGCTTTTTTCTTTTCTTTATTCACGCCAACCTCCCTGAAACACACCAAAGCTTTGTAGATCACTTGCCCCTGATGTGGATTCTGTCCCTACCACGTAGTACTCCGTACCCTGATAGTGCTTGTGCTCCATCGTACAGCCAACCGAGTATACACTTTCTCGGCTACTTGCATATCAAAACCCAACTAGATGCTCTTAGGTCAAGTCCGCCACTACATCCTGGGGCGGTTGCTGCTATCCGGACTTCCGAATACGGAGTAGCACTCGAGCCAAATCCGATCCTTGCGCTTATGTTCCTCTGGCCATCCCAGGGGTCTTACCATCCGACTTGGAAGTACTCCGTAGGGATCGACAATGTTGGGGTTATGCACCATGTCCACCGTATAATCATGCCTGCCATGTGTTTAATCTCCCCCAAATGCAGTTATCTCCTTCGCAATTCGGTCCTCCGTACTCCGTACTCCGTATTGCTATCTCCCATACCCGAGCTCATTGAAACGGGTAGGATCGTCACACCGTTTTGCCAACTGTGGACTGAGCGCCCGTTGAAGAAGATCCCACTCCAGTATATTTTGTGAGATGTCCAACGCGGTGTTTTTCTTTTCTTTTCTTTTTCTCTTCTCTGATGGCGGGGACTGGTCGGTGCGGATGTAGCCATGATGTCGTTCCTTGGACATGGCAAAAACAAGGCGAGTTGCGCGATTTTCTCTCCATGGTTGAGCCTCTATATGTAGATCAGCATGGCCAGGATAGCTACATGCATATCTTCTATACGTATGATGCATCCAAGGCATCCAAGCATGCTATGCTGGGTACGGAGCACATGTACTCTGGATTCCGCATCGGGCACTCGTCTGTCAAATCACCGCTTGGCAGATCTACCCCAAGATTTTTCGATTAATGTATACCCCATGCAATATAATATTTCTTCTTTGCTGCCCTCGGCGTGTGCGGCTAAATACGCCGGAAAGACTCGTCAATCTTTCGACACGGAGTGGTCGTGCCTTACGTGGATGCATGTATCACCCAGGAAAGACACGGGCAGTATCTTATCTCCTGTAGCTAGTCAGATCGACTGCAAATACATGCCATTACCCCCAATCCTTGTCATATTAGTCGAGAATAGCAGAGCATTGGCATTCTCAACTGGGACAGGATTGGTCAACTGATCACGCCACAATCCTCCAACTAAACACCAGGCCTGTCGATATCGAGAATGCTCGACCGGGAATGCCTATTTGGAATAAGTGCGGGATGTGTAGCGAAAGCCTTGCAATGCCTGTCGGAGGGCCTAAAATTGGAAATTTGCGTGGCTGATCGGATCCTGAGAGATCATAGCGGCATGCGTATACAGTTCATTGGGAGAGGCGGTGGGCTTCACTAATAGTTCTATTGAAAATGACGAAAGAGCTATAGCATATTGGGCTCAATGGCATGTACGAGGCAGGATACTGAAACGGGGTTGAGGCACCTCTCATGCCATAGAGAGCTGCGGGTTCTCAAGAATCCAAGGCTGGTTCCTATAAGATGCTGACCCCCTCACTAGCTGCAGTCGTGCGGGGTATCAAAGAGGATCTCACTGCATGTGCAGCCCGTATATCTATTTATCATATTTTATGTATCGACACGGTGTGTGGCAAACTACTCCGTATGATTTGCGGTCTTACGTGGTAACCAAAAGAAAGATCCAACCCAATCTGATAGAGTAGGAATACTTTTGTATCTCATTGTCGAGAAGGACCTGATATTCCATACGTGTACATACAAGAAGTAGAATCCCAGAGCCCCCAACTGACGCACGGGTATCGCTATGCTAACTAAACAAGAAAGAAGGAACCAACCAAAACCCCATTCATAATGCTTTTTTTTTGGACTTCGGACCAGCCGTCTATTGGCGGAATGTGAGAGACTTGCCGGGAGTCTCCCGCTTGGTCTTCCGCGCGCCTGAGGGGGCCTCCATAGCCTTAGTGTATGGGTTGAAGGCCTTTTTGCGAGGATGAGAGGCTTTGGCAGTAGACGGGGCGTTGAGAACGGCATCGGCGGTGCCATAATCGAAGGGAGCCTCAGCCTCGGGCTGCACTTTCTTGGCTTTCTTTTCTTTGCGTGATTTCTTGCTCTTCTTTTGAGTAGAGTCGGCGTCGTTGCTTATGTCGTCGAGGTCGGCGGAAATGGGGAGAGCTTGCTCAGGGTTGTTGACGGGAGTGACCTTTCGTTTGCGGGGACCGCCGAGGTCTTTGACGGTGAAGTACTTCTTCTCCTCGGGCTCCTGGGGAGCGGGGGCGGGTGTGGGCTTGGGAGCAGGAGCGGGTTGCTTTGCGGTGCCGAGTTGTTCCCGAGTCTCAGAAACAGTCATCGGCATAGGTGGCAGGGGAAGAGAAAGGCGTAGAGCTTCCGCACCGGCAGCAAGGGCATATTCTGGAGGAGGGGGTGATTCTGTGGCTTCCAAGACATTGCCCCAGAATTGAGAGGTTTCGTAACGTTCAGCAATGGGGAAGTTGACAGGTTCAGCTTCTGCGCTGGCAGCCTCGACAGCCTTGATGATGTGTTTCGGGGGTGCCACATCGCGCCATTCTGGACCATCAATGCCCGCAAGCTTGGCTTGCTTGATGATGTCCAAGAGGTCGTGTGACCGTTCCTTTGTGATAGGGGTCATGGGTGACAGAGTGCGGAACAAAGTTCCCATATCCAACGGCATGATTGTAGCAAGCTTGAAGAGCATGTGTTTGGGGAAGACACACTGCCAACCCTCGTCCTCAGCGCGCGCTACTTCGTCACGCCATTGGTGGACCGCCTTGAAAACAGCAAATTGCTCCTTGGGGAGGTTGCCTGAATTGCGCCAGAGCAGATCATACCAGCCGCCAGCACCATGTCCATTGACAGCATCATAGACAGGGCGCTCATAACGCTGCAGGGCTTCATGCTTAGACCGCTCGTTGACGTAATCAATGTGGCTAGCCTCCTCAGTCGAGTTGTCGATGAGATCATTTCGTAGGCGGTCGTAGATGTAGAGGAGATAATGAGTATCGGATCGTGCATAGTCGAACATGGCTTGTGGAAGTGGGCGTGCTCGCCAATCGGCAGTCTGATACCGCTTGTCGGCTTCGAAGTTGACGAACTTGCTCAGCAGGAACTTCAAACTGCGCTTTGGGAAACCCAATGCAGATGCAGCGTGGAAAGTATCGAACATCCCCACCACATACAGGCCCAAGTCGCGTTGCAGCCAAATGATATCCATTGTGGAACCGTGCAGGACCTTCAAGATCTTTGGATCCGCAAACACTTCATTCAGCATCTGCAAATCCTCTCGCCAGGGTTGCAAGGTATCCACAACCCAATCCTTGTCCCGGGTGCTGATTTGCATCAGAGAGACAAGACCATGGTAGGAGTGTACGTCGTGGTGCTCCAAATCGATAGCGATTTCCTTCGCCTGCTTGAGCTCCTCCAGCATTTCCTTGACTCCATCCAAAGTATCAACGAAAGTAGCCGTGGTACTCTCAAAAGGCAAATATTCGACCGGAGGAGAGACTTGGTAAACTGGCTTCGGGTACTCCGAGGCAAGAATCTCCGCCTCGTAAGGATGAGGATAGCCGACTGCACCCTCCATCTTCTTTGTCTTCAGGCACTTCTCCAACGGGACAATCGCATGAGGCTTGGACTTGAGAAGAGGCTTGAAGGGGCCCATATCAGTGTTATCGGGTTTGCGCTCGAACAGCAATTGCGGCTTGGGGATCTTCGACGGGCCGTAGTCGTAAATGGTCGGGAAGTTGGGTGTTTTCTTCACGATAGGAGCTTGTTCCTCCTGTGAAGGGCTCAACTTCTTGATAACTCCTGTGAATTCATCCAAACAAGCATCGGCCTTTTCCAAAAGTGAGTCAATCACATCCACCACGCCGCGCCAATTGTCCTCAACGGAATCTTCATCGTTAAGGACCGGACCGGTGATATCGGTGCCAGCAGTGGCAGCTTTGATAACGGCAGATGTCAGCGCAATGATGCGCTCACTCTGTTCATCTAGCGACTCAGAGAACTCTGCGCTGGACGTGCGATGGAAGTTGAGGTCTTCAGATGAGAGCTGTCCAACGGTTCGGGTCACCTGCACTAGGGCGGAGGTCAATTTGTCCTGGAACGGGGCAAATTCTGCAGATTCCATGGTGACTAGCGGAGCTCCAATTCACTAGATCTAGTGAAAGAATGAGCTGGAAAAAGACGCGGACCAGCAATAGCAGATCTAACTTGCCGAAAAAAAGTCGCGGCAAGAAAATGACAATGGAGAAATGGTAGGCCCGCCCTGACCGCCTTCCCAGAGTGGCGATATTTGTATGAACTTCCGCCGATCTTCAAGTCGTCACCGCGTTCTTTCCTCGCATTTCTCTAAACTACTCAAATTTTGGCAAGCAAGAAGAGCGCAGGCGGTTCAGGGTACTACCTATTACATCGATTCCTCTTCTTATCTCAATATGGCAGCTTCTATCGCCCCCGAGTGTAACGATATCAAAGAGTGAGTTCTAGTGGGCATATCAAGCTTCCATAGGTATGATGTACATGCGAACCGAGAGCTAATATATCGACATAGGAAATATGACACATGCTTTCTCAAGTGGTATAGCGAGAGTATGAACCTATGCCCTTGGTCTAGACACCTAGATAATAGGAACTAACCCTAAAACAGAATATCTCCGTGGCAACACCTCATCCAATGATTGCGAAGAACTCTTCAAGAAGTATAAAGGGTGCTTGAACGTGAGTCCTGTCTTAGCTTTAATCCGGATCTTGAGCGGTTGAACATATCTAACCGAAGTATCTTAATGCTTGCAGAAAGTCCTCAAGGAAAGAGGCATCGACACCATGGTCGAGGATGCTCGAAAGAGCGGCAGCAGCGAGACAGACGCAGAGTTTCTCAAGAAATCTTGAAGGACAGGTGGCCTCTGTGCTATTACCTCTCAAGAAGGAATATCAGAGTAGCCTGTGTCCAGCACCATTTGTTCTTTCCAGCGATTGCTTGCATTTTCCATGTAATATAATGTATTATCAAGGACAGGAGTTCAACGGTGGGCTTGTGGATTTTGTTCTGTATATAGCATATCTCACCTCTCTACTGTATATACCGAAATCTCTATTTATGTACTGTATTATTTTTCTCCTACCTCAGACTGAAAGGACAATATTAGAAAAAAACATTATTTTAGAAAAGCATTAATGGCATTATATACAAGAGGAAGTGGCCAATCAATATCAGCGATGACCTCGTCTCCGAATATCAATTTGACCGAAGTTGGCCGGGACTTTGGCTATCGGGTGACCCAAAGATCCAATACCTCCACCCATAGAGCCGGCGCTACTGCTTCCACCACTGCCTTTCTTGGGCTGGGTGAGCAATGACCACACCTCTGCCATACCGGCTCGACGGGCAGGTAACATGCTGTATTGCATGCTATAAAGATTGCGGCGGTGGATGGGGGGCACAAAACGACCAGTCACCAGACAGAAGATGACCCGAGGTGCGAGATAGTGCTTTCGGAGTCGATGGCCCAGCTGGAAGTACTGGTCGAACATTGCACGAAGTGGAAGAGGGATAGACTAGAAATTGCGTTAGTATTTCTGGAGCGATGCTCTATTGATTTTAAAGACGTACCTCGAGATGGATGTAGGAAACCAGCGCAGACGAGTCAGTGTTGGTGGACTTCTTGTTTGGTTCATCCCGAAGCTCGAAACGGATTCCTCCCGGAAGCCGCCGTGAGTCTTTCACTCGCAGCATCAATGCGAAGAGTGGGAAATGATTTAAGAATGCGAGGCAGGTGTCAAGGGTTGCCTTCATTGAAATGATTAACATGCGAGCCGAGGCAAAGGTCAAGTAAAAAACTATAACGGTAGGCAGTAGGAAGAAGAGGACTGTGAAAAGAATAGTGCCAAGGAGGAGTTGATCGAGGTCGTAGTCGCATGAATCGATTCGGTTGCGCAAAACGTTGCGCTTCTTTCCGCGGAAAAGATGGAAAAGAGAAATAATAATAGTGAGTTGCCAGTTGAAGATACGAGCAGAGGCAATGTAGAAAGAATAGATGTGGACCGTCAAAATCGAAAGAAGATCGGAGAAGAGAGCAATCGGCATGCTAGCTCCCGCAAAGCTTGAGCATCCGACAATATAGATGACAGCTGGAAGATAAGGCTGAAGATTGGCAATGCAAGCTGCCCAATTCTCAATGACCCATAGGAATAGGTCACCGAGGAATGCTGCAAGCTCATTGTTGAGCTTCAAGCCGGCAGGCCAATCCATTAGCCAAGAAATGGTCCGTTGTAACCCTTCTACTGTCCAGCCGGTCAGGACGGTGTTGATTTGCGAGGCGACCCAGTTCGCATTATCAATAATATAGGATCCCAGCGCAATTCCAATGATCACATCATTAGCAACAAGCCATAAGCTGTTGTAGAATCGAATATAGTCTGGATGACTGGTTGTCACGCTCTCCCAATTATCCTTTCTTTGTCGAAGTTTGACATATTGGATTGGCCAGTAACAAAATTGTTGCAACCGTATGTCGACCTGTTGGGCCGTTGCCGAGATATCCTTGAGGGCAGCAGCATCAGGTCGAGCACGCCACTCGAGAACTTGCAGGACAATCTCCGCAACGGACCGGTGGCACACCAGTCCGACGACAAAGACTCGGGTAACGATGGGCCAGATCCATTGCCAGAAAACGTGGGCAATGCAGAGGACAATGAAACCCCATAGGGTTGTCGCTGATTCCACAACACGTTCTCCGACACTCATGCTCCTCTTTGCCCGAACTCCAATCAAATGGCTATTTTTGTGCATCAAATGTCCCATCTCATAGGCACAGTTAACTTGATTAATAATTAGCGGGAGTGCTTGCTCCTTCTGTGATGGGATATGCTTGACGACTGTATGGAGCTTGAGCTTCTCAACCAACAACTTGGGCCCCGCATTGTCCCCCTCTTCCTCCGATTCAATGGTATCCGATGATGGTCCCCATATCTCCTTTCTTGTTGCTTTATCGCCCAAAGCCAAAGAGATTGGGTTGAGTGACATGTATTCCATACGTGTCGGATGTGGGCGATGGTACATGATAACCTGGACAGAGACATTTGCTTCTGGCGGACAGAAGATGCTAGGAGTTTTTGAGGGTGGAATGATTTTCACATCCAGATGGGAGGGGTTGAAAGACGCCGAAGGCTCAAGAGAGTTGGTCGAGCCGAGGACATGCATTTGCGAGCGCCCACATAGCGTGAAGATGCGCACAATCGGATGAGGGCTGTTTCGAAAGAGGATCCCCGCTCGAAGAGCATTATCGACGTTCCGTGGCTAAATCAGGACAAAGATAGTCAGCTTAGATTGAATAAACAAGGCAATCGCAACAACCCTACCTCGACATCTTCCAGCACAGTGAGCACAAACAAATCAAGCTCCGAATTCCGCCAGCCAACAATTACACCCGGGGATGAGGATCGCGGGAGATCATATGGCCAAAATACCCGCAGCAGTCCATCGCTCATAAGCATATTGTCATCCTCCACTCGAGTCTCAGAACGAACCTCGACGGCGCAACTGTTCGCGCGCGGACACGCCGAGATTCACGTGGCGCGGATGCTATATTCCCAATGCCTTTAGTAAATCATTCAAAGCTGACAACAATCTCTCTTGCTTGCAATAGCTACCCAAAGCTCTGGTTGTTCCGGGGGTTGCTCACCAATTGGCCCTCCTTAGACGCGAGATGGTTGATCGGCAAGACTAGGAGGAAAAAGAATACGGAGAGGAACAAGAAGCCTTTTGCAGTTCGTGTCTGTAGATAAATGAGCAACGTGAGAAATATAGCATGCGCCGGCACGAAGCCGATAAAATCGCAAGCGGAGGAGCGGCCAAGGGCCGATGACCGAGGGTCGGCGGGACACATACCACGACACCGTGGTCCCAGGCAAATATGGCTAATTCGTATAGACGGGTAACAAGGTCCCACCTAGCGGTGATATAACCCGCGACGAAGATCCCAAGTGTGAGGACAGAAAAGGGGTGCATGAATCGAGGTGGTTCAGGCCGTCCGTGTTGGGGTTGCGCGCATAGCTGGATGGAGCGGTCGAGGATAGTTCAGAGGTACAGCGATTTCACAGAGCCTGGAGTTTGTAGGATTACTGTAAAATTAATTCCTGGGAAAATCAGAAAAAGAAAGGAATTGGAGATAGTTTAACGAATGATTAACGGGGTCTGGAGTAATTCATCTCAATCCCGCGTTGATCGTCTAGACCGTCCTACACGTGACTGGCCTCGACTATAGCGGCATTTATACTTCAATAACTTGTTTTCTGATATTAAAGAGCTATCTAAGTAATTCGACGGAGTTCGTAGACGAGAATAAAGATTCAGATTCCATCTTAACATACAAAAGATGAATACATAATAATGCCTTTTCAAACCCATGCCTTCCCATAAACGCCAAATCCCATGACTTACACCCTTATAGAGCCTTGATTCCCTGGAACACCTTATTTGCTTGTAATTTTTCATCGGCCTGCGCAAGATCACGCATGACCTGTCGCTTCTGCTCGGCAGTCATCTCCTTGCCCTCGGTTGCCGCTTTCCATTTCAGCAGCATTCCCTTAAGGAGTGCACTGCCCTCCTCCACCTCCTCTTGGGAGTACTTGTCAAGCGAGGGCGCAGGGGCCTGGGTTTGCCCCTCTTCGGCTGTTGCTGAAGTGAAATCCTCAAGCTCCTCAGCCTTTTGACGGGCCATGTTGACGACCTTATCCGGGAAGCGCACCAGCTCGGCGACATGAATACCGAAAGACTGATCACAGATTCCTGGTTCCACGCGGTAAAGAAGAGTGACCTGGCGCTTCTTCTTTTCCTCGGCTTCAGCGTTAGCTTCGCTGTCATTTCCATCTCCGATGAACGCCACGACGTGCAGGTTCTTGACGGCTTTTTGATACCGGTCTGCCAAGGCAGTAAGCTCGTGGAAGTGGGTTGCGAACAGACCGAAACAGCGGATCTCAGTGACAATGTGTTCTGAAATAGCCCACGCCAGGCCGAAGCCGTCGTATGTGCTGGTTCCACGGCCGAGTTCGTCGATGATAATCAGGGACTCTGAGGTGGCGGACTTGAGAATATTTGAGGTTTCAAGCATTTCTGCCATGAATGTTGAAACGCCCTTGAGCTGTGAGTCGCTGGCACCGACTCGAGCGAGGATACAATCGAAAATGGTCAGCTCTGCCTCAGTGCAAGGAACAAAGCAGCCAGTCTGGGCCATCAGTGCAATCACACCGATTTGTCGGATGTATGTAGATTTGCCGCCCATGTTGGGACCGGTGATGATGAGGAAGGAGGATTCATCGCGGATCAAGGAGACATCATTTGTAATGAAGGAGATATCGTCCTGCATCTCCATGCAGGGATGTCGGGCTTCCTTCAAAACGGTGTTTCCGGTTCCTCGGGGGTGCATCTTCGGACGAACGTATCCTGAAGGAGCATGCATCGAAGCATGGGCAAAGCTTACAATGACATCTAGGTGGGCGAGGACACCGGCGAGTTGCTCCAACACCGGGCAATATGAAGCGGCCACATTAACGACTTCGTTAACGAGACCAGTCTGGGTTCTGTTATAGTTTGAGGACAGCTGGTCATGCTCCCGGCGAAGTGACTGCATGTTGGATGTGGTGAAGTATACACCGTTCTTCTGTGTCGAGCACTCCTGGTACTCTCTCTTGTTTCGGATGCAGCCTGCCTCGTTTCGGGTGAGACGGAAGCACCATCCGTGCACACGGTGATTTTCCATGAAGAGTTTCTTTTCCATATCTTGATTTAGATCTTGTGAAACTCGGCGGTGTTCCATGTCCATATCATATCGGAGCTTATCCAGCTTCTTTCTGATGACACGCAGGCCATCATCGAACTCGGGCTTGATGATGAACTCGTGATTCTCCAGAGCAGCAAGATCGACCGTTGTCTCTACCATCTCCTCGAGCATGGCCAAGCTGTCTGAGAATCCACGGAGCTTAGATGTGTATTCCGTCTCTAGAGGTGTCTGATACTGCTCATCCATCACATCGCCCAGCGCGCTGACAAACCCAGGCAGACGAATGGCAACCTGGTATGCTCGAACAACATCCTCCAAGTTGGCCTGCTTTCGCTGGAAACGTTTAGCCAATCGGTAGAGATCAGGAATGGAACGCAAGTGCTCCTCCTGCATAGTCTGACGAAGCTCAGTGTTAACAACAAACGCCTCCACCAGTTGCTGTCGTTGCTCAATCGCAGCCAGATCCATCAAAGGCTGCTTCAACCACTGGGCCAACAAACGACTACCCACAGGCGTCTTGCAGTGATTCAACAAACCGAACAAGCTCATACTCTTAGCTCCATCCCGTGGACCAGGCATAAGGTTCAGCGCCCGAAGCGCCGAGGCATCGAGCTTCATATATTGTGACAGATCATGCTGGTAGAGCTGATACTGACCAAAGTTCGTAGGATCAGTCAAGACATTAAGATACTTGATCAACGCCGACGCCGAGCCCATAGCCAGTTTAAGCTCGGTCTGAGGCAACGTCCCAGCAGAACGCTCATCCCTAAGCAATCTCGTAAGATCCTGCTCGATATCTTTAACGCCGAAATCAGCAACCGGCCGCTCAGAAATCGCAATCCCACAGCTATCAGCAATAGCCCGAATCTTAGCCAGTTCAACATCCTTCCGAGCCACATCCATAGTCACAAGACACTCCTTCACGCCGAGCTGGATAACCAACGACTCGAAATTGGAGTAAATATCATTATCAAGGAATTCACTAACGCCCAGTTCACGCACACTCGCATCGGCAAAACAAACGCCGACGTTGCGTGCCTCCGCTGCGCGAGCAGAGATCTTCACAGCAAGAATGATGGGCGATGAGTCCATAGACAACGCGCCCACGCTGCCAAGCTCCTCTTCCACGTCTTGGAGGTTACCGGGACTGGCCTGCTTCGCCAGTTTCCAGTTACTCTTGCCCGAGCCTGCCGATGCGAAAATCTCGATGCGCTTGTTGAGTCGGAACAGGGCTTCGCGGAGGAAATTTCGGAATACTGTGACGCTCATAGTAACGGAGGCGAGGCCCCCCGTCTCGCTGCGGCCCAGATTGCGCAGCACGGAGGTTGTTTTGTAGACGGTGCGTGCGATAAACTCGGCATCGGCGCCGTGCGAGGAGTACCAGTCTCCCCGGTCGAATACGCGGATGGTTTCATCGTTGTCGGGTTTTGGGAGGCCGCGGTAAAAGCCAATAAAGCCGACTTCGTCGTCGACCTGTGTGTTTTGAGTTAGTTGCTGAAATGGCGGGTTCAGGGACAGCTCTATATCTCGATTCGTACCTTCAGGTCAGGTCGGGAAGACATGGTGTCGGTTGATGCAAAGAAAAATGCAACAATTGACAATGCAAATGCTGTTATCAAGGTGGTTTGGACGAGTCCAATAATTCGACGCGCGCCGTGAGCTCACGTGGTCCGTGCACGCGTCGCGCGTTAAGTGGGATCGACGGAGTGCGGTTGAATCAATTGCCAGGGGTCTTACATGTACCTAGTTTTACTAGGACTATCTTCAGGAAATCGAGTTCAGTCATTATTGGTATTATCATTGCGTGTCCGAGGACCTAATTGCTAAGTACTACACAAGGTAGTTGGATGGTAAAAGACATATGGTAAAAGTACAAAGAGGGTATCGAGCGCTGATGCAAGTGCAAGACCATGAGCAAATCCGCTCTGCGGATGAGAGATATCAAACGATGAAACGAGGGCGAAGGCGAAGGCGAAGGCGAGAAAAATCAGAGGGAAAAAAAAGAAATCAAAGGCGTAAATCATAGAAGAGTAGTCTGCGAGCAAGGGGTGGATTTGTCCCAGTCAGACTTGAGCTGGGCAGCTCTAGCACCGATCTCTTTGGCGGAGACATCCTTGCAAGACTTCAGCACGACCGTCTTCATATGACCAACAGTGACAATGCTGATCCAGTGACCAGCCACTTTCGGATCGGACAGAATCTCAAGACATATCTGCACTTCGTCACGGGGGATCTCATTGCGGGCCGAGTCACGGACGTGGTCAATCATCACATCAAGCTTGAAAGGTTTGCGTTGGGAAACAAGCATGGCTTTGATACCGCTACCCACATAGCCAGCAGGACGCAAGAGAGCAAGGATTCCAGCGACTTCCTCCACGCGATCAGCAGCGGAGCGTCGCACAAGCTCCTCCTTGGGAGGTGGGGGCGGTAGCTTGGACTGGCGTAGCTCCTTATTCTTGATGCGGTCGAGTAGGCTCTGTCGGCGGCTGAGTGTCGCAGTCCGCTCCAGGGGAGTAGTCTCTGCTGATTCCGCGCGCTGTCTCTCGGCCTTCAAACGGAGTAAACCGCCCTTCAAATCTTGCAGTCGCTGCTGGCCCTTTTTGAATACAGTGAAAGGAGTGAGTGACTCGTGGATGGTGGAAAGACCGAGCGACTCGATGAATAAAGATGATTGATCCTCCTCTTTGGCAGAACGAAGCGCCTCGGGGGCCTTCTCCCATAGCAAATCCAGAGCTTCCTCGAAAGAATCTTGCAGAAGAGGAGGCTGCACTTCAATTTGCGCTTTGCGCTCCATGCAAATTTTTCCAAGTCCATAATTTGCCAGGCGATATGAAACATGTTGGGCATTTGAGCTCTGATCCCAAACCCACACAAGACGCTGTAAATCCTTGATCTGCACCTTGCGCTTATTCCATAGACGAGTCACACTGCCAAGGAATTCTCGGAGGTCCGCGGCGGTATTCACGCCATTGTGTGCCATATGAATAGAAAAAGCTTGCACGAAAGAAGAGTGAAGGTTGAGAATATCGTTGAAGAAAGCAGGACGCTCAATCGCTGGAGTTTCCTCGTGCACGGTGATAACTTTTTCGAAGTTCAGGGTTCGCTGTTTCGAGGGGGTCGCGGGTGTCGAGGGCACAGTCTTGACAGGGGCACGAGCCCGTCGACTCGGGGTCCGACTCGGGGTTTTCCGAGGCGAAGCTTTCTGGGTGGTGGAAGCATAGTGACCGCTGCGTGGCGAAGAAACCGACAGTTCACCGAGTCGCAAAGTTTTCGAAGGTGTGCCTTCCTCCTCAATTGGGCCCTGCTTGTTACCGGAGTCGAAGTTTTCAAGTTCCTGCAGCTTGCGTTTTTTGGAAGGCGAGACGGGAAGGGTATTGATATTCTTTGCAGGTAATTGCGGAGTAATGCCGGCTTTGGTTGCCCGAGTGAAGGCTTGAATGGCTGGCTGCTGAGCAACGCAGCTCGACCGGGAAGTGCGCGGCATCGCGGCTGCGAGTTGGAAAATTTTTTTTGCTGGTCGAGAACGGATAATGGAGAAAGGGCGATCGATACAGCTGTATGATAATAGACAAGGTAAGAGATACCGAGATATTAGAGTCACAAGAAGATGTGGGAAAGGGCAAAATGTGGAAAGTGGGAGATCTCAAAGAAGGCACTAGGGAGATGGACGCGTTCGAGAGCGCGTTGAAACTGTACTAGCCGTTTTTGGTTAAATAGAAACGCGTGAGCGGGAACTATAAAATTGACGTGGAGAACTGCGGGCATCAAACGTTGGTTCTGAGACTTTAGACCCTCTTGAAAAGAGGAAATACGGCTTGATATATTAAATTGCTGAAGAAGATTGTCTACGAGGAATCCAATGCTGCGGGGCATTCTTGTCACTATGGTAATACTCTCCGGCATTGGAATGTCATGGTGTCCGAGCTCAGCGCCTAGACATTTCTTGGCAGTATGAAGCGACTGATTGATGGTATCATAGACAATCAGTTTGAAATTGGTCTATTTGTGTCATTAGAAAGGAATTGGATCACGATACTGGGTATTCAAGTCGCGTCCTGTGCAGAGAAATATCTAACCCACACTTAATTTCTAATGAATTCCAGAGACTAGAGCCCCTACGAATACGTTCACAAAAGACAGGCAATGAACTACGGAGTAAGGGCAGGGTACACGTGTTAAAGGTTGAAGATCGTAGAGTCATTGATGATATTCTCGAAACCGACCGACGCCATACTAAAGACATAGGATTAAAATCGTCGCGACTTATACGGCCAACGAGCTTATTTCTTGCCAGCGAACCAACCAGATACGGCACCCTTGGCTTCCGCGGCCTTCTGCTCAATGTCACGATCCACCTGATCGACACCATTGTTGACCTTTTCCACACCGGCATTGAACCTGCTCTTCGCATCATCGCGGAGCTCCTCGAACTTATCTTTGCCTTCCTGAGCTAACTCGGGGATTCGCTTGCTCTCAGCGCGGGCTCTGGCGATCTAGAATTGGAGAGTCAGTACCTCTGTAACAATATCACATCATCCCGGATGTTGGTGGCGGGGGCGCATATGGGATATCGAGGATAAATGCTTGAGCGACACCAATGACGGAATAACACTTACAGCATCATCGACGTTGGCACCAGCTTCCTTGCCCAAGTCCTTGCCGAACTTCTCGGCGCTCTCTGTGCCTGGGATCTTCTCGCGTGCCTTTTCAGCGTCGACTAGATCACAGAAACAAGTCAGCTCAATGTGTCTTGGGAGGCAATTGATCAATGGCATTGGGACATTGGTTGCTTCAAACGGAGCACGTACTCTTGATCTGGTGCTTTGCTGCTTGGGGATCACCACCGGCCTTATACAGGTAGTAACCGCCTGCGCCTGCTGCGGCGAGACCCAAGTACACGGGCATCCGTCTCGACATGATGTGTGGTAGGGTGGTAGGGTGGTGGGGTGGTAGGGTGGTGGTAGAGTGTTTATCGGGGTGGTAGACTGGAGATCGACTGTAATTGAAGTAATTTACTGTCAGGGCCGCGGAGTATCCCAGGTTTTATAGGAGTCGATGGATCGAAACCGGGGAAAGAGTCAGCCGACTATGACGTGGTGTTCCCTCCGCATGTAGAACTGGGTTGCTTTACACTCCTCCCTTGTTTCCCACTTTCCCGGCTTATTACTGCTTTTGATTCCTTCAAGGGCTATTTGATTATGAGCTCCTTTATCTTTCCAAACTGCCAAGATAATATCTTATTATACTATCTACTGAACAAAACCATTGCGGTTCATACGTTGTTGAAGGGTGCAGAGTTGCGAGTGGAGTAGGGCCCAGAGCTCCCGTCGACGTCACCTACAAGTCATCGCTGCCTCATCCCGACTTCTTCCAGGGCTATCCGGTTCGAACCAAGGTCTTCTCCCCCCGGACTTAGTCCAAGGTGGCTGTGGCTCGAGCTAGCCATATTCAGGCCCAGTGAGGAGATTAAGGAGGTGTTTTCTAGCGACGAAAATCCCACTTTCCATTGCACGACGAAGGATGCGCACAGTGAGATCCAGAGAGCAGGCAAAGCCGACCTTAGTCTCATGAAATGTTCTCGGCCAATGAGCATGTAATCGCTGGATGCAATTGACAAATGAATGCGAGGCCTGGAAATAATAGAAAAGTGGATGCGAGATTTCAGGATAACTGGTGTTTACCTAGGTACTATGCAAAAACTACGAGACCAGTATCAATGCATTTCAGTCATATTCAGATCAAAGCAGATATCCAAAAGCCCTCATACTTGCAGTCCGTTAAAACAAAAGACACGATCCACCAAATGAATATAGTAAGACACAAAACGAAAACGAGAGGGAGAGGGAAGGAGGTAGAGATAGAGAAGAGGAAACCCGAGAGACAGAGAGAAGGGAAGGCCAGGATAAAGCGGAGGGCGAAGAATGAGATGCAAACAAAAATTCGGCCACACCGTAGACCACGACTAGAGAGGAAAAGCAACCAAATGATCGATAGACAGGGTATCGTCATGCAGATGACTCCATCCATAACAGAGCTTCCCACACGAACGCCAGGACATGCAGCTCATGATTGAGAACTGATCCAAAAACCAAACAGAAAACGAAAGCCATCCAGGATTGTCCGGGGGGAAAACACAAAACACAAAACAGAAGACTCCCGAACACAAGTAAAAGAAAGAAGGGCCATATTTCCCCGGTCGTGTATCAGTCGTCATCAAAGTCGTCAGTTCATCAAGGGTTTCACTGTCGCGGAATGGCAAGCATGAAAGTCCCCGAAATATATGAAGAAAGATAGAAAAGAATTTGGAACAGCCTGGAGAGGCGTATGGGTTTGTGTAGGGAGTAGGAATAAGCGGGCGAAAGAGTGATGCATGTTGCTAGGAGAAAGTAGTGAGATAGGTAGGATGCCAAAGTATATGATGATAGCTCTTCGGCTAGTTGCAGGAAGCGCAAATGCTTCACGTATGCTCCTATGTAGAATGGTGTAAAATAGAGGACGGTCTTTGGTCCAAACAATTTACAGAAACAGCTTGGCTGCTCCTTTGTTCTCGCTTGTAGCGACGGCGACTAGAGCCTCCAACCGGCCCATGCCCGAAACTCGGGCATGGGATTCCGAGAAGACTTCGGATCTGGGATCTCGATCGTTGTGAGCTTCGTAGCCATCCACATTGGAAGAGTGACGGCCACACATCTATGACGGCATTAGTAACCGGGCCGATAGCCGTCCGTTCGAAGAGGAGTTCCTACCGGTGGAGGGTGATCGGAGGATAGCGAGGAGTCATTAGATTCAATATATCCGCTGCTGTGCACAATCGCTGGATGATACTCAAGCGATGCAGTGGACGGGGTGTGAACACCCTCGCTGCTACTGGAATCCTCCGGGGAAGTCCGCGTGCGGCTCCCTGTTGAGAGACTTGAGCGATGACCGCGATAGTCTTCAGGGCTTCTCTCCGCGGTCGGTCCAAATGAAGGCTGATATGACGAGGAAGGACGCGAAGAGACATTCTGGAGTTCCGCGAGTGTTTGCTGGCTCCACTGCGAAGCAGACGCAGTCGAGGGACGTCGGTCTCGGATATCCAATCCGGTCAGGTTATGGTGGAGAGACATATCCCAGGACACATGGCCTCGTCGGTGACCAGGGCCGGAGATAGGTGGTGCTGGACGATAGGTTGGCTGTGTGTAATTAAACCCAGACCCGAAGGCGGTGTTAGGCAGTGGGCGATGATGGCCATCGAGCTGCATTGGGCTGGCTTTCCGTGTAGGAGGGGTCAGCGGCCGCTGCTGTGAGACTACTTTGTCGAAACTCTCGATCCCGGGCAGCCGAGGCGGATGCTCGGTAGGTCCGTTTCCGCCAAATGAGGGGGGTGCATTGTCCGGAGTATGATATTGGTTCAAGCCACTGGTTCCAGGCCGTGGAAACCCTGTATACGACGAAGGGTGCCACGTTCGCCTCCGCATCTCTGCTTCGGCTGCGCTCAAAGTGCTCTCATCACGAGACACAGGGTAATGTGTGCTAGTGGGACTTGCAAATACGCCAGCGGCATTTGTGTAAGGTGCGCCAGCGAGGGCCTGGTAAGCCGGTGGGTATACGTTGCCATGCTGTGCGAGGAAAGGATTGCTACTACTTGGCACCGAAAGACGACGGGCGGCGGTCTTGCCGTCCCAGAATCCATGTGCCACGCCCGACATGGGCGAGGCGAATTGAGGGCTGCCGCCTGTAGCAGCAAACATGTTCGAAGGGGTGTATGGTGACCCAGTTGTGGAGGGACCAGGCCCACCACGGGCCTGGGCCGGTGGCGTAGTCGGAGGTTCCCCAATGGAATCCATTGCCAGTCGGGATCGAGCTGCGGGGTCGTTGGCCATAATCAAAGGTGGGGGCCGCCGCCGAAGTTCCGGGGGTTGGCTGAATGTCGAAGTGGTGGATGCAATGCTGGAAGTTGATAAATTCCTGCTATGACCGCGGGTATGTCCAGAAATGCTGCCTGCGGTGCCTGCCCGCGCCCGCCCTGGTGGACGCACTCGATCTGTACGGACCTGGCGCTGGAACCGTGTGCCCGTGGCCGCCAGAGAGTCCCCAGGAATTTCCTCGTTGACATGGACCGTTTGAGCATGTTGCCGAAGATTGTCGAGTCGAGAAAACCGCCGAGAGCAGTGGCATTGGAAGGGACGTTCACCGGTATGTTTGCGAATATGACGAGCCAAATGTTCGCTGCGTGTAAAGCTCAAATTGCAAGGAGGGAAATCGGTGCAGAAGAACCGCTGGCCTTTTTTCTTTTTCGAGGGAGGTCCATTGCTCCCTAGGTCCTGATCCCGATCGGACTCATCTTGTTCTCCCTCGGAATCGTGCATCGGTTCGTCAGACATGGACGGGGTTCGAACGTGGGTCAAGGTTGTGCGGGATGAGGCGTCGCTACCTCGGCTGTATTGTGAAGCACCGTCCGGAATTTGCTCCGTCGTCGAAGAATCGTCCGGTGTGACCGGCACGCCATTTGGAATCGCACGGGGTGTAGCTGCTCCGTCCATCGCGTGATCTTCAGAGGCCGAGTTGTTGACGGGGAGAAAGGAGGCCATGGCGACGTAAGAGGGTGTGGGAGGCGGGAGTGATGTCAGGTCTCCGGAGAGTCAAATGCGAACGTTCCTAACCACCAGTGGTCGAAAAGCCGGCAAGCCGATCGGCCGGAATAATCACCCCGGGACGAGCTAGGGCTCTATAGATCTCTATGTCGAATCGGAGAAGCCGCAGGGTTACAGAGAAGTCGTCGAGGAGCAAGACGCGGAGTCTGAAGGCCAGATTAACTGTGAACATTTGCGCAAACTCAGTCACCCGGACCCTACGAGAGTGGAGAGCAGGGACGAGCAAGAAGCCAAAGGAAAACGAGATAGACCCAAGGAAGACTCGAAAGTTCGACACGTACGATTTGAAAGTGTGCTTACCCTCGACGGAACCCTGGAAAAGAGGGGAGAAAGAGAGGGCGGAGATGGAATGCGAGCCCAAATGCAAGGGCGATTCAAGAGGAAGAATGAGCAGAAACGAAGAAAAAGGGAAGGTTGTTAGCTGATCGCGATCATCTCTAGCACGTTCCACGCGAAAAATATCAGGTTTATTCGAGAAGAAAAATAGATCCAAGGGAGAGTGAAATCCGACCAGCCGGAAAAGTCGCCAAAAAAAGAAATAAAAGGGAAAAAGTCCCGAGATGCAGGGTACAGGTTTAAGGGGAAGGTCTTCAGAAAAATGGTGACGATGAGAGAAAAAGACAGAGGCTTATCGGAAGCGAGGGGCAAAGGAGAAAGGCGACCAAAGCCAGGCACTCGAGGCCTAAATGGATCTTCCGGGGCTACCGATGCGAATCATTAGCTGTTTCACCAGATTAGCGTGTCTCCATTGATTCAAAAGGCACCAGGCACCATGATTCATGACTGCTCTCCGTCCAGGCGGTGGTCTACGGATGGTGTAGGAGACCTAGGGGACATAACATTCCTACGTTGTCCGTGGGATACAGGTCAATCCCTCAACTCACAGAGTCCTTGACGTTCACGATCGCTCGACCCTGGGAAATCGGCACTGCCAAGGCCTGACAGTTTGGTTCTTGGGGAAACGAAAAAGGTCGAGACTTGGTGTGGGGATCTTAGGGTTCACTGCGACTCTACTCCTTGCATCGCGTGGATGTATCGCCTCTCGTCATACAGACTCAGAAGGGTTACGCGGTAGGGGAAACCGTTCCGAATGGTCCGTCGCGATACGAAGTTCTGATACAAAATTCTCCATTTGCTGGAAACGCTTACGATCTCACAGTTGGTCCGAGCCCATGATAATTATAGATTACAGACTGCGGGGAGAGATAAGAAGATAGATCTCATGTTCAGCTTCTGTGCATTGAAATATTCTAGAACTGCAGACTGCAGACAAGTAGACTCATGGGATGCACAAATCGCAGGGCCTCTGTCTCCCTGGCACTTGTACATCATGTACTTCGCACCGTCCTTACTCTGGAACAACCCATTAAACAGTCCTCGACTACGTAGTCCGTACTCCGTAAACAACCAAAACAAGAACCCCCAAAAAAGAACTCGTCACCGCGGTGATCCGGCAGCTCCGTGGCAACCGCATCGAGCCCATCTGAAACTTTCCCCCCTGGGGACTAAGCCCGTTGGCCGTGCCTGCGTGGTGACTAAACTCTCTCTCCACTTTCTCGAGACCTTGGGTCCGAAGGCTGCAAACGGCAACTCCCAACTCAACGGCAGATCCCTGGCTCGCAAGTACTCTAATGTACTCTATTTCCGTCATTTGGTGGAGTTCCCAAAGCCCTCAAGTCCATGGGAACAGAAGGTGGGACGCCACACAGAGGGTGTGCTTCTTCGGTTCTGGTATACAACCTTGGGATGTGGTATACTGTTGTAAAACAAGATTCCGGACCACATCTCGCATTGTCCCTGTGAGATCGCCGAGGGTTCTGATCCAGCGAACTCGATTGGTAGGGAGAAGGGAAGCGGGGATACGCCGATCGACCACGGACACACGGTGGCCTCCTTGGGGGTGGACCGCATTGTGTGAATGCTTGTCACAGAAACCTATTTGGTGGAACATGATTCGGGGGGTGTGGGATACGATATCAAGATGGAGGGGGATCCTGCCGCTAATTTAGATGATCGACGGTGTAATCGACCTTGGCTTCTCCTTCTAAGACTACCCCTCTCACGGCTGGGAGCAAATCCCCCCAGTGGGGTAAAACGGAGAATTACAATATACCATATATTCTTGTGTGAGATAGAAAGGGAGAAAAAGAGGGGTCAATGAAGGAGCACGATCGCCAGCTATCACGAGAAGAGGGGAATCCCTGCCCAGACCCCGGGTACCTGTAGGTACATCTGCAGGGCGCCACCGAGGCTGGCAGGAGGCGCACAGCCAAGTAGAGCCAGGTACCTGCAGGGCTTATCGATAAACCTGAATCGTAGCCCGGATCGGCGGGAATGCTGACGTCTTTGACTTGCAAGCCGATCGCCAACCTAGAAGGCTATTCGATCTAACCGTGAAAGGGCGGAATGGGCACCGTTACCAGGCTCATGGGTATACGGCCGACCATGTTTCTCGTCCCTGGTGAATCCGTTTGCCTCCCTTCTGAGCGGTCTGCAAATCTGACTGGTCATTGAACGTGGCGCCGATTTTCGTCTGATCGGTCCAATCATAGGCCCTGTCTCGCATTGCCTGCCAGGTCCATCCATGTATATTGTACCTGATTATGTGTCGGTGCGTACCTGGCCACGTAGGAGCCGCCTTATATCGTGACTATATTACCGACGAAATGTCTGGTCAACCCATTTATATATAAAGCGATCGTCACTTGAACGGATGGGATTCCTCGTAGGATGCAAATCAAGATTGAACCATAGATATGAACATCCCATTTCCCACAGCATCGATAACCCCGTCCCCAGACCTAGTCAACACAGCCGGGTGCAGACTTACAGAGTACATAAACGAGGTATGTAGAGGAGGCTCAGAGTCAAGTCACATGTGAATCTCAGACCGGAATAAACGGACAAAGCGCACTCAGTCCTCTCTAATCCATACATGGATCCATGTCTGTACGCCGTACCCTAGTCTGATCGGAGCCCAACCCCCTCCTAAGCAACTGACTTGCATCCTCTGCATCTACTCCATAGGGTGCTCCGTATGGAGTCAATATGTAGTACGCCCACCAGCCCCTAGCCATGTTCATAATTGTCTAGAGATCCCATGGCGATGCACCGTGTGAGAGTCATCTGATCCCTGGAACATTGGTGCTCAGGTACTTGTGCCACGTACGATGGTACTTGCAGATGTCGATCTACCCGCTTATCTGCGGCGCATCCCAACGGTGTTATCGATGCGTCCGAGGGACAATTTCCCGAACTTCGGAGGTTTGACTTCTTTGAATCAGTGCGATCTGAGTGGCTTGATCCTGTCCATTCGGTGTCATGATAGAGATTTTGAGGTTGGGGTACATATGGGTTTCTTGGTGGGTATCTAGGTATATCCATTGTGCATTGCTTGGTATAGAGTAGTGAGCGCTATCCTTCACAAAACTGATAAAATACCAAATCGAGGAACCAAAGAACTTGCCTACCTAGTAAAGTACCTGCCATAACTGTTACCCCTACACAGTATCATACATAACTACTATGTATTCCATGATTGTTGCAACACCCGTGGGCGCCTGAGTAGGTAGTCATGTTTCCTCGCCTTCCAGTAATGGTCCAGATACTAGATAGTGAGAATATCAACCATCCTACACGTTCCAAAACCTATCCTAGTTGCCATTGCAGCTCACAAAGAGCACCTAACCCACCGGAAGATGGCCACGAGGCTTAGTTACTAGAGGGATTATGCTAGGCATCATACAAAAGTAGTTATGGACTAACTACTACTCCCAAACTGAAAGTAACAAAGCCTTATGAGAGTTCGATTATACATGAACATAAAGGTACACAATTGTTGGAAAAGGCAGTTCTCGCCCAGTATCTCCTAGGACAGGCCACGATCTGAAAAAGGAGAAAGGAAATAAGAAAACCTAGGTTGTGGGTAGTTTCTAGGTGTTCTCCGCATATATCAAATGAAATGTATGTTTTCTATAGGAGCTTTAGGCACCACTTTATGTTTGCAATACCCAATGAGCTTCCAGTATCATGATGATTAAGTCCTAGAACCTTCTCTTTGCCTGTGTGCTCGCTGGAACATCCCCTCTGCCTCCTTCAGCTTCCCTTGATCCTTGTAGAGAGCACCAAGGTTCTTGACTGTACCGAGAGTAGACGTATGATCTGGACCTAGGGCCTTCTCTTTACCTGCCAGTGCTCGCTGGTACATCTCCTCTGCCTCCTTTAGCTTCCCTTGATCAGAGTAGAGAAGACCAAGGTTATTCACTGTACCGAGAGTGGACGTATGATCTAGACCTAGGGCCTTCTCCTTACCTGCTAGCGCTCGCTGGTACATCTCCTCTGCTTCCTTTAGCTTCCCTTGATACTTGTAGAGATTACCAAGGTTATTAACTATAGCGAGAGTAGACGTATGATCGAGACCTAGGGCCTTCTCATCGCCTGCTAGCGCTCGCTGGTACATCTCCTCTGCCTCCTTTAGCTTCCCTTGATACTTGTAGAGAGTACCGAGGTTGTTGACTGTATCGAGAGTAGACGTATGATCTGGACCTAGGGCCTTCTCTTTACCTACCAGTGCTCGCTGGTACATCTCCTCTGCCTCCTTTAGCTTCCCTTGATCAGAGTAGAGGAGACCAAGGTTATTCACTGTATCGAGAGTGGACGTATGATCTAGACCTAGGGCCTTCTCCTTGCCTGCAAGTGCTCGCTGGAACATCCCCTCTGCCTCCTTCAGCTTCCCTTGATCCTTATAGAGAATACCAAGGTTATTGACTGTATCAAGAGTAGACGTATGATCTGGACCTAGGGCCTTCTTATAGCCTGCTAGTGCTCGCTGGTACATCTCTTCTGCCTCCTTTAGCTTCCCTTGATCGGAGTAGAGAGTACCAAGGTTATTGACTGTATCGAGAGTAGACGTATGATCTGGACCTAGGGCCTTCTTATAGCCTGCTAGTGCTCGCTGGTACATCTCCTCTGCCTCCTTCAGCTTCCCTTGATCAGAGTAAAGAGTACCAAGGTTATTGACTGTATCGAGAGTGGACGTATGATCTGGACCTAGGGCCTTCTCATCGCCTGCCAGTGCTCGCTGGTACATCTCCTCTGCCTCCTTTAGCTTCCCTTGATCAGAGTAGAGAAGCCCAAGGTTATTGACTGTATCGAGAGTGGACGTATGATCTGGACCTAGGGCCTTCTCATCGCCTGCCAGTGCTCGCTGGTACATCTCCTCTGCCTCCTTTAGCTTCCCTTGATCAGAGTAGAGAAGCCCAAGGTTATTAACTGTATTGAGAGTGGACGTATGATCTAGACCTAGGGCCTTCTCATAGCCTGCCAGTGCTCGCTGGTACATCTCCTCTGCGTCCTTCAGTTTTCCCTGATTAGCGTAGAGAAGCCCTAAACAATGGAATGCTCTCCATAGCGCAACATCGTCGCCTGACCAATGTAGATGACGTACATGATTGGCGTGTGGGATAAGTCGTTGTTGAAGCTCTGCGTAATCTCTCTCACTTGATTTAGGGACATAGTGCCCAACGGATATCAGCGCAAGTTCGTTGAGTTGGATCGAATCCACGTTTGTATTTGTGCTGGCAATGTGAAGGCACCAGTCTTGTACTACTGGATGCATTGCATAGCTTCCATTTTGCTCCTTGCTCTCTAGAAGAGAAAATCCGATGAGAGACCTCACACCGAGTTTAAACGAGAGTTTGCGTGATGTAATTCTTTCAAGCCAGTCGGGAACGGTTGAACTTTTGCGGCCATTCTGTACTAACTCGTACCAGATATCACGATTGTCAAAATGCGCAAGTAGCAGTAAAAGGTTTGCTGCGTTCGAGTCCCGCTTCTGGATCTCAAGATATGAGATCATCCATGTTTGTAGCATGTTGCCTTGCTGGTACTGCCGACCAGGCTTTGATTGCAACTGTAGTTCGTACCAAGACTTTTGGTAGTGCTCCAAGTACTCAGCGATGCTGGTTCCAGTTTCACGCATAAATGCCCCAGCGATGACAACTGCCAAAGGCAGTCCATCCAGACGATTGGCAAGAGCAAGGATGTCTATAATTGTATTAGCATGATCTGTAACAACTATTCATCAGGAAGGACCTCGGTACCTGGACTACCCTCAAGCTCTCTAGTGGTGCTTTTGGCTGACAGACCGCTGCTTTGGAGGAGTAGTTGAATTGTGTTGTGAGAATCAAGTTTGCGCACCGGAAAATTTCCCCCGAGCTCAGTTAGTTCTTGAAGCCGAGATGTGATGAGGATGGATCCATGGTCTGCCGCAGGGAAAAACTCCCCGATGTCGTATCCATCGCCACCAGGGCTGCTAGAGGGGGAGTATGTATCAATGTTGTCGAAAATGATCAGCCAGCGAGAATTGCCCGCCGATGCTAGCCACCGTAACATAACTCTGGCTCGTTGCTCCACGTCTTGGTCATTGGTTGCCTCGCTATCACCAAGCTGTCCCGGTAATCGGTTCAAGGCAGAACTCAACGATTGCAAGAGTGTATTCCGATCCTTGCCACTCAGCCAGAAGATACCCGTGAAATCATCTTTGTGATCGCGCGCGAGACGAATCGCTAGCTGCGTCTTTCCCATCCCACCAAGGCCGTGAAGAATTGCGACTTTCCGTGATGACGACTTTTTCGGTTGTAAAGACTGCCATAGGCTGTCCAGCTCATCTTGTCGTCCTACAAAATTCTGAATCACAGGTACTGCAGTAAGGTCGAGAGGAACCTTGAACTGATGGCCTGCACATTGAGTACTTCATTTAGTTATGAATTCGAACTAGACAAGGAGTGCCACGAATTGAAATTTAGGATCTCTCACCAGAGTCTGTTAGAGTGTCTCGTGCTGTTGGAGTAGTTTTGATCTGATCTACCGGAACCACTAAGACAAGCTCTTTCGCATATGCCGCTGCCACCGCTGCTGCATAGCCTTGCCACTCCTTATTCTTGTGCGAGTCAGCATAGTCACAAATGCCCCGAATGACTAGACAGGGAAAGTCATTCATGAGCCCCGCCGCCTCCATCTCAACACAGTAGACGTCTAGGTCCTGAGCCAGCTGATCTCGCAGCTTGCTGTCCTTCACCACCTTATTTGCCGATGCAATCAGTCCATAGTGTATTTCTGGCTCTTCATAGTCTCTCGAAGCCCGAGCAGTCACTTTAGACCGATCACAATTGATACATGTATCAGATGCTCCATGTTCATATTCTGTTTTGAAAAGAAGGTCCTCTTTCGATGGTCGTGCAAAGTTTGCAGCTTTCCGCGACGGCATTTTCGCTCGGACGTCGGAAACAAATTCAAGGACTCGACTATCTTGTGTCAAGTGGTGGGCTTTGAGAGTAGCGAGGGCAGTCAGGAGGACCTTGGGTGGCCGGTCAAGCATTCCTGTTCGCTGAAATTGACCGCCGCTCAACGCTTTACCAAGGTCGTATTGGATTACGCCTCCAGATGTGTTCGCTGGTTGGCTCACCACAATATCACCTAGTCGAATATCGGCCTTCTCGCTTGGTACACCTCCACCGATGCCGACCATCAGCCCAAACCGGATAGAGTGGAAACTTGAGAGCAACTGCATCGCTCCCGTTGCAGCTGGAACAATTCCATATGTGCCAGCTGGTAAACAGACAACAACGATGTTATGTTCTCCGATATTGCCCAGAATGTAGGTATTCCGATCTGTCGGCGGGTGAGGCAGACTCGGGTGTATCGCATCCAGCATGAGCTTTGCGGCTGCCATCTCCAAGGATAAAGCACATATCCATCCGACTGTGTAATCATCATGACAAAAAGAGGCCCTGGCTGCCATGATGGAATATATGATCGTTGAGTTCGGAGACGAATTGCCGAGTTATATATTCATGGGAAACACGAGGACCATGACGGTGATGAAGCCTAGATGTTAGGAATCGAGAATGCCAGAGGTCTACTCCGTACCCAAGAGGAGCGGGGTCGACAAGTGAGGCTGAGGCATGATAATCTCACGACCAATCATCTGTGTGCAGTGAAGATGGATTGACAGATTGCCTGTTCAAGAAACACAAAGTTTGCTCGTCTTGCACCAAACCTTCCATTCACATGTAGGCTTCAAGTCCTTTCTACCCTCCACACCAGTAACATTCAGGATAAAACTCATGTTATGTGCTTATTTTCCTGGTTCAACATCACAAGGATCCTTTACGCGCTATCCATATCTGTATTAGCGTATGGTGTGGTGGGATATGAGCGACATTGCCCTAAAACCAGTCCCTAACTCGAGCCTTCATGATACCCCAAGCCACTACAGAATGGTACAAATCTCGAACCCTGGCAACATAAAACCATTGTTTATATAACAGACAGCAGGAAGAGAGTCATCGTTTCACAAATGGCCTGTGGTAGAGTGTAGTTAGCTTTCTGTCAAGCGATTATCATATTGGAACACGATGTGTGTGCAGAAGATGCCAGCCAGGTAGCATCTTTTTAGATGCTCACCCGCTTGACTTTCAAAAATTAGTCCATTTCGTTTGATCTGAATTGGAAGACAATAGGGTATAGCATGGGAATGAAGCCAGGCCACCGCGAGTAAGTCGAGAATGATAGTCCTCGTAGCCAAAAGCGGCGAATATAGTATTCAACGAGGAAGTCAACATCTGCAACAACAAGCCCGGAAAACGGCAGTAATATCCACTGCGAAGAGCGATGCCGTAGATGCCGAGGATATGGCGGAAGTTCGGAACAGGAAACATGAAGCGTTGCGACTTTCGCCCGTCGCCACGCGGTAGGTTCCATGGTTCCATGAGATTGGTACGAACGCCTCCCCTGACCAGGTACTCCTACATAACAGTGATATCTGTGTCCTCACGTTCAAAATTCACCCAATATCATTCATCATGTCGTTCATTGACGACCTTCCCATCATGTCCAATGGCAGCAAGGCCATTTTTCAGACGATGCCGATTGATATCATCTACATCGTCTTCGACCAACTGGCTCTCCCAGATGGGAGTCCCGATATTGAGACTTTGCTGGGTACTTTGCCCCATGTCAGCAGTTCCATATCAGAGAAGGCTCTTAGTTATATCAAGAGCTATTGGCATCTGTGTTAGTTTCGAAGACGCATGTGCCAATGTTGTGGCAACACTGTGAAGATTGCTGCTATAATAGCCACTTCATCCGTCGTCCCCTTGATTGAGTGATTCTCACGAATTCGATATCACCATCGATCAGAGATCAGAATCGAGGGAACTTTTGTGTTAAACAACCACAATCCAACCTGCATCGGCCTGTCTCTCGTCAAAGCGGCCCAAGGAATCGTCAACAAATGATCACTAAATCTATCTACCATGGAAATGTCATTTGCGCCGAGGAAATTGCAGCCAATAAGTCCGCCTATTCCGTCGTCAGGCAAAGCGATCGATCTACCTCGGAAACCTGCAAAGGAAACGACTCAACATGATTGAAGCACGTTCCAACCCCATCAGCAGAACGACAATACCCTTGTTTCATCGGAGCGAAAACGCCCTTTTCGGACAGATTAATCCTCCGGACTGTTTACTTCAACATGTACCCCAGTCCTCACGGGAAATCAATTCGAATTCTGATGGCAACATCTTCCCAATTCCTGCGCCACTTGGCGATCTTGCCATTACTTGGGCCTTCGGTCCTCCCTGCAGCCCAGCTTACATGGGGCGATACGCCCCGGTGGGAACGGCTGGTAACTAGAATGTGCCACGATGAGATCAACACGTCAAACATCTTTGTGAAGAAATTGACGCCACCTTCAATCCGAAGTTCGTTTGGTCCTAACAGGTCTGATGATGATCCACTCATCTGAATTTAGGATGCGCTGGACAATAACCGTGAGGGTAGACTGAGTGGGTGATTTGATCCATGGGCCTGGCTCAAGTAGGAACTGGGATGATTGAACCGCTAGCACGTGCCGATCTGCAACCAAGATGTGCGTTGAATATGAAGCTTGATTAGATGTTATATCCGTCTAAATTTCTGTGTATAGAATTTAGCGCTCATGTTAGCGCTTGTGTTGGAAATTACATTTAAAGATGTTCTGTGTTACTGAAGATTAATATGCAATTAAATTTCTTGATAGAGCTATAGTCACCGGAATGACCAGCTCTATCTATCTCATATTGAACGTCGAATCTTTCCTATCGACGTCATGTACATCACGATTCGAAAGAGCCACACGATTAGCGTCCGAGAGGACCAATAATTGAACTGACCATCACCGCAGCTTCTCGGTCCCAGTTTCCGACAGCCACCGTCTCAGTTCCTGACCGACCCTTCTCGGCTGACACGCTGGTGGCTGACACTTGCGATGAGCGAAGTACACACTCCTTGATCTCGGCTCTCAGTCGATCCCGGTTGGATCGCAATGCACGGGCAGAGACACCACCTCGGCTGACAATTTCCTGGACACGCGGACTAAGAGATGAGGCGAGAGAGCGCCAGTAGTAGGAAGGGAGTGATGAGGTATCTAAAGCTTGAAGGAGAAACTGCAGGAGATTGGACTTGTTCAGGCCTGTTTGGGATTCGGTAACTGGCTCCTCAGATGTGGTGCTGGTGGTCAAGAGAGGGTGTTGCGGTGGGCGGAGACTCCTGAGGATGGTCTCCATAGCGACAACATCCTGGCATCGGGCTGAAATATCGGCGAGGGCTCGGTCCATGATTGGGAGTTGGGAAAGAGCCCGGGAGAGGGTATTCACGGACGTCATGATCGCGGTGTGCATGAATCCTTGTAGTGTCGACAATAAGAGTTCGGGCTTGTATTCAGCCGCAGTGGTTGGTCCCTTTGGCATAGGTGAAAGGAGATAGAGAGTTGTGGAGGCGGTTGCCAGTCTTGCCTTGGCATCACGCGCTTGCCTGTAGCCCGATGACATAGATGAATGACCATTGGAGCTTGATGAATTTGGGGACAAAGAGAACCTGTTGATGGTCTGTTGTGCTCTCGACTTGACCATGTTTTCTGCGGGAATGACGAATTCTCCGCGCAGAGTGCGAATGACTTTGACTCGATCTAAACCATAGCCTTCTTCGCCCTCTGCCGAGGCTGAAAACAGTTCACGCAGACTTAAAATTGTGTATGCTGCTCGTTCCAATGCACGGAAGCCTTCTTTGCCAGTTGGCGGTGATGTTGTTCCATCTGGTCCTACTGAAAGGGCGGGCCCTGTTGGTCCTCGGCCTGTAATTTCTGAGACTTGGCTCTCCAGCTGTCTGCCCAGGGTCAGGCAGCGTGCGACAGCCCTTGCTAGGCGAACAGTGGCAAGCGAGTTTTCAGCAGCAATGCGGGCTTCGTCGGCTGCTTCCCATTTCTGGATCACCTCCTTTTGGAGACGTTCGTAGCCTTGCGTGACAGAAGCAATCTGCGTTCCTGATTCTTTCAGGATATGGTCGGCTGCAGCAGTCTGAGTTTGGGTATGTGAAAGCAATGGCAGCGCTGATCTGGTCGTCAATGCATGGATATGTGTGTCGATCTCCTGAAGATCAAAAAGTACCCGCGACAATGGTGTTGATAAATCTAACGGGGTGTCGGTTGCATTATTTGTGCTTGTTACCAATGTATTGGCGAACGAAGCTGGCGAGAAGTCTGGGTCCAAGAAGGCCTCATAGTCTATGTATGACGGCTCTGCTTCCGCCATGGTGGTCTAGACACGTCCAATCTATCTCAATGGGGCCACATAGAAAAGAGGGGGTGAAGTAACTAAAGAACTTTTTGAACCGGCCAATCAGGGGCACGTAGGGTTCAGAAAGCGATAATCTTCAATATGACTTTCCAATGATTTGGCATCAGACGTCTAGACCATTGGAGGAGAGAGGGATATTGGCTGTGAGATAGCGAAGCCCACATGGCTGATAACGGGTCACGTGAAGCTGAGTCATCTTATACATCGCCTCCAGCCTGGAGAACAGTCAGTTCAAAGAGGCCATCGATGGAGTCTGATGGTATAATATATTGCTTGATATGAGTTGGATAATGGCCACATTACATGTAGTCTATGATACGACTCAAAATACCCAGTGTTTAAGGATCCAAATTCAAGAATCAGAAGTAGCGAACCATTGGTGATCACTGATATGCCTCTCTGGGAACATCTTCACAGCCAATTGTGTTACAAGAAGGATAATTCGGAGGTCGTGGCAGTGTATACTGATCTAGCGTCTATTGATATCAGATATCAAATCCAAATGCATCAACTAGTACCCTACATTATATGCTATCTTTTGCTGCCAGCGCCTTCCAACGACAGAGCGGGGTTCCCCCACAGATAAGAGTTTGGGGTAAACTGGGCCCGAGCCTTGACATTTGAACCTACATTATCATCTCTGAGAAACGAACTATAACCCACTCGAACAACGGCGTCATCATGTCGACAACAGCTACTCAGCAAACCGAGTCTGTCCGCTTGACCAACGAAGACCAACTACCTCCACTCCCACCAGCAGCAAGCGATGCAACGTTCCAGGGTCTTGCACGCGGAGGTCGAAACGGAACCTTGAAACTGCGTGGTATCCCAACATTCTCAGACCTAACCGAGAAGCGTAAGTGGATGAAAGAGCACATGGCTGCTGCATTCCGGTATTTCGGCAAGCTAGGGTATGGAGAGGGTGTCTCCGGGCACATTTCAATGCGAGGTAGGTGCGATGACTTCTTTTGACTGAACATATAGTGGAATAAATGGAATAAACGACGAGGAGTATTCTGACAGCTTGCAGACCCTATTCTCAAAGACCATTTCTGGATGAACCCGTTCGCCAAGCACTTCTCGACTATCAAGGCTTCAGACCTTGTTCTTCTAGATTCTGACGGATTTGTCGTCGAGGGTGGAGCCCAGCTACCCGTCAATGAAGCTGGATTCTTGATCCATTCAGAGATTCACAAGGCACGCCCGGATGTGGTTGCTGCGGCACATACGCATGGCGTCCATGGAAAGACATGGAGTTCATTTGGCAAGCCTATTGAGATGATTACGCAAGGTAAGTCTCATGCTGTATTGGGTTTCTGTTGCTAATTTGATGAAGATGCATGCAACTTCTTTGGCCGACTGGGCGTCTACGAAGACCATGGTGGTGTTGTTCTGTCTGCAGAGGAAGGAAAAGCCATTGCACGCGCTTTGGGCAAGGAGAATATCGCATGTATCTTGCAAAACCATGGGTGAGTTAGGAGATGTTGAGTCTTCTCGCATCCGGTTTCATCTAGCTAATCATATATGGACAGCCTCCTGACTGTCGGTCGAACTGTCGACGAAGCAGCAATCCTCTATTCAATGCTGGAGAATGCCTGTCACTCCCAACTTCTTGCTGAGGCGGCAGCAGCCAATGGTCTCCCGAAGAAGATTATCAAAGACGATGCAGCCAAGTTCACCGCTGATGCTGCTCAGAATCCTGTAAGTGGGGTTGCTATCTATGCTAAGGGGTGTTTTCCCCAGAGGTTTATACTGACCGGTTCAAGCACAACTTTTATACAGAGTTCCAACCCGAGTTTGAATTGCTTGTCGAAGAGACAAATGGACGGTTCCTTCAGTAGATGTTTGGGTTATATATGACTCTTCGCCATCATATCTGATCTTAACGAATTTTGAAAATTATCTTGGATGGTTAAATATAATTGGCACAATGTTCCCTTCTTGACAATGCAAACTTGTACTTTTCGCCAGACAGACTGCAGTGGTTTTGATTATAGTATTGCCTGGGGCTACCGGAGTAACGTTTCACTGCAGTGGACTAAAAATTATAATGTTGGATATCTCTCTGTAGAGGAAAGAGATATTGTTCACACTTGCATATAGTTCGTCATATTTATGGACCACGAATAGTACACACTTAGCAGATATTAAATAGCTATCAAACAAATCTGGAAATCAATTCCTTCGGAAAAACGCCATCTATACAGATGCAACCGCTGCAAGGGTATACAAAATGAAAGGATGCATCAAACAGTCCGTGAAAGACCTGGGCGCGAGAAGAAAAAAACAAGTACAACAGGACAACAAAAAGGCATATCATAGCCCCAACGGGGAACATCAAAGATGGGGCGAGTAAGGGACGAGAAGAGCGAGGTTTCATACAGCATGCTCGCCCATGTGCTTCATATCATCCATTTCATATTCTTGCAAGCTGCGCTCTCGGCCACGACCACGACCAAAGCTCGACTCCTGCTGGTCATCCCCATCAGATGTCTGTGACGGGCCGGCTTGCGTACCGCCATGTCCACCAAATTTGATAGGTTCTAGCTCCCGTCGCTGGCAAGCCCACATCCCAAGGAATGTCATCATGGCAGCACTGGCGAATTGGAGTCCCCACCAAAGGACATTGGAAGGGAGGGAATGGGTGTAGAGTGTAGTGGCGATCAGGTGGAGGAAGTGAATCGTGAGAGCAAAATCGGGCACCAGCTTCGAGCGGGATACAAATAGGAGGAGGAAGATGACGCTAGGATGTTCACGAGAGTAAGCTAGTGATCGGAATACTGCCTCCAAGGCTAGGCTACAACTTACCCGATGAAGCAATTCAACAGCCACACCAACCCCAGCATCCATCCAATGGTCGTATCACCGCGTAGCGAGTCCCAGCCGAAGACCAGGTCTAGCGAGAATGGCGCGCCATAAACCACTGTCGTGAACAAGATGAGCACTGTGGCGCTAACATAGTATGCAGCCTGTAGTAGGAGGATCTTGCGGATGATCTTCAGCGGAGGGAGTTCGGTCCGCGACCCCGCTGGAGGACGCCGGCGCGCGGGCATCAACTAAATCGATAAGAGGGGTATTGTCACCCTCGCCAGTTCGTTGGGAATCAGGTTGACCTCGGCGCTCGAGGCGAGAGTACGAAAGTAGAGGCCAAGGGAAGGGACCATACAATGCTTTTCGGGAGCAACGTTCCAAGTACAGACAAGCGGGAATAGCTGACGTGGGCTATACTAGTCCCGCAGACTTGAAAAATATATGCAGAATATGGAACGTGTGCGAGGAGTGAAAAGGGTCTGGAGATAGCGATCGCCTTGAGATCAACAGTCTTGGCGGTCACAGGCCCGACCCGCCAACAACTGGGCATCTGCCGTCACCTGAACCTTTTGGCAGAACAACTCGCTTGAAATCACAACTCTATCCACTGATCTGACTCGAGTCATTTCCTCTCCTCCTCCTACCTCCCACATATTCAACTATTCAAAATGGGCTGGCTACCTTGGTCTTCCGGCGAAAACAAGGACGCTGCCTCCGACGGCGGCCGCATTGCCCCAGATCGAACAAGTCGCGCGCGCTGCTGGGAGGGCCGAGATCTATTCTTCGCCTGCTTAGACAAGAATGATATCCTGGACGGCATTAAAGAGGACAAGAAGGCGCGCCAGAAGTGTGCGAAAGAGGTCGCGGAGTTCGAGGCGGCATGTTCACAGAGCTGGGTATGTATGATGGCATCTGCTTAGAAGAGACATTCTTTTGGATTTCCTGCATTACATATCGCTGACTTCGCATCCCTTGGGTTAGGTGAAATACTTCAAGGAAAAGCGAGTGATGGAGTACAACCGGGACAAGACGATTGAGCGAATTCAGAAAGAAGATGCGGCCACGGTGAAGGAGTTGAAGTCGCAGGGATGGAACGCCAAATAAAAAGCCAGGATAGCAGACAGCTTTTGTACAATATGTAGGATATCTACCTCCTTTTAGGTCCCCTGATGACCCCTCCACTCAATGGTACCCAGCAAACATGGCTTCCATACTCCGTAGTAGAGCCGTCGTGGCACCGAAGACTCGTCATTGCTGAATTCGATCAATTAAATAGGACGGTCCGATCGGGTTACCCTTGGAGAGAATTGACTCAAGAGAACTGCTCACGAGCAATATGATATTTAGAGAAAATCCATATTATGTCCATAAATCGGTAGTCACAAGCAAAATCCTATGTTAAAAGACAATCCCTGAACACCGTGTTGCCCTAACATCTAACATCTTATTGGCCTGTGTGTCCCATGAGAAGCAAAGAGGGGAACAAAAAAAGCAAAACGCCTAGTGTTGCAGAAGGTGGCTTATGGCCAGCCAGAAAGAAATGAAAGCAGAGCACTAAATCCACTCATAAGAATATGACAACGCCAAGCTCCGAAAATGAACAATCGCGGGATGAACTTCGAGTTCGAATGAAATGGTAGATGATAGGAAAGTCGTAAAATCATTGCTTCCACTTCGCCAGGTGTTGCATAAGGTTCTGTACCTGGGGTCCAATGGGTCCCTGGCCCTGCGACTGTTGCCCGCCTAGACCTTTGGTCAGGAGGGAAAGCAGGGTCGGATCTGTGATGACAGGCGCATTTGATGGTTGGAGATTGAAAGGTGGGCGAGAAAGAGGTTGCTGCGGGGTAGCGGGCATAGGTGGCGGCCGATGGGCGTTGGTCAGGAGGCTGGCTAGATCGGCCGGAGGTGGGTTGGGTGAGGAGAATGGTGACTGTGTGGCAGATACGGGCTGGGAGTGCGGAGGTCGCTGGAGTGCCGATAAAAGAGACGAAAGACTCGGGCCATCCAAAGAACCAATGAGATTTGCAATATTGGGCTGATTTGAAAGTGCAGGCAAGACAGGCGGAGGAACTGCCATAGGCTGCGCTGGGGGTACGACAAAGGTAGGATTTGGTGCAAATGCCGCTGGGGCAGCTCCTCGCTGCATCGCCTGAGCTTGGTGACTGAGGAGCTCAGCGGACAAGTTAGGCTCGAGTTCAGGGTAATCTGTAAGAAATATGAGTAAAATGACGAGCGACCCAAAGACAAAATCCACTGACCAAGGAAGCGGACATTATCTAATCCGGCCGTGCGATCAAAGAGCTGCAGAGGAATCTTTCGGGAAACCTGGTTGGGACGAGATAGACGAACAACCGCAAGAACACCCTCAGTAAACTGGCGATGCACTGCGGCACCAAGAGGGATCCGTGGACCAAGCACAAGGACATCTACTCGCAATCCACGGTTGCGGAATGCGTTTTCTACATGAAGAACAAAATTTCTAAGCCAATGTCAGTGACAACCTCGCAAAGAGACATCGTATCCAACCAACCTGTCAAGTTCCTCTAACACCAGGAGCTGCACTTCTGGCACATCTCGCTGAGCTCGTCGAGGCACTGGTAGATCTGCTTCGCCTTCATAGATGCCACGCAGCCTTGGGCTAATGCTGCGATATCGTCGGTCTCTGGAATAGGGTGAGCGTGGAGAACGCGGAGAACGGGAGCGCCTTCGCTCGCGACGATCGAATCTCTCTGGTGTTCTTTCGCGTGACCGATACCCGTCTCGGGACCCTCGAAAAGGTCGCGGGGAAGGGGAGCGCGGCGGGCGATAGTCATCCCGTCTGCTACGGTGTGAAGGTTCATCTCGAAAGTCACTGAACGGCAACCGACTGGCATCATATGGCTTGGGTCGGTCGTAACGATCGTTGGAGGTCCGGGCGTTTGTTCGCCCAGAACTGGAACGGCTGAAGTCTGGCGACCTGGAACGACGTAGCAGGGGTGCGCGAGAAGGCTCTGATGCTTGAGTGGGCCGGGTTGATCGCTGAGGCTTTGAAATTTCGAGATCTGAAGAAACGTTAGAGGTGTGCCTTTTTCCCTCTTTTTTTGGGTTTGTTTTAGGTCAGGCACTCACGTATCTTCCTGCCCCTGACAGTGGCTCCCTGTTCAACCCCGAGAGCCGCATGGCAAGAGCTGGCTTCCAAGAATTGAATGAAACCGTACGCCTGTTTGATCGATATCTGAGCCAGCTTTCCGTACTTGTGGAAAATATGGAACATGTCTCGCTTGGTGACTCTTTCAGTAGGTAGATTGCCTGGTGGAAATGTTAGATTAGTCAATGATAAGGAGTACATTCTTTATACTGACCAACAAACAGTCTGGAGCCCATGGGGAACCGATCCCAAAGACCCTCCGTCACGTAAACCCGCTCATCATGCAGGAACTCGTCGTACTTCTTTTGAACTTCCGGGCCCCAAAATGAGTCATCATCGGTAGGTTTGACGGATCGGCCGGGTTTTTCGATACGACCTCTCTTGAAAGTTGCTGAAGGCTCTTGCACGGTGCCCTGGGTTTCAGCCAGGATAGACGTGGTTTGCGGGAAGGTGGAGAGAGGCGGATTGTTGGCGGCCGCCCCCGGAGCAATGGAAAATTGCTGAGGCTGAAGGCTACTAGATTGGGCTGCGTGGGCTAGCGATGCATTGGAGGGAGGTTCATATGCCACCTCGTCATTTGGACTGTAGGGGGCCTGAGTAGACGAATTATGTTGGGCTTGAGTGTGGGCAGGGATGCTCTGGGGTTGGAGGGCTTCGCCAGCGGTCGCTTGGTGGAGAGATGTGTTCACGGCTGGAGACACGGCGGCTATGGTTGCACCAGGGTTGGGGTAAGAGATATTGTCGAGTAGATTCTGAAAATTGACTCCCACATCTTCCTTCTCGGCGTTCATTTTGGACAGCTCCGCGTGGGCATGATCTACTTCGCTCGCAGTGGCAAAGCCTTGGGGTACCGGAGCAACCGGAGCAGTGTGGGAATGAGTGGAATCGGGGAGAGAGAACCTTGAGCCCGAAAGGCCAGATTTCTCGGACCCCGATGCAGGCTTTGGAGTGTAGTATGGTGCAGAAACAGTTATTCCATTCTGCGTCACACTTGATTGCGAGCCTTGAAAACTACCGGCACCCTGGGTCTGAAACGGTCCCCCCTGGCCATTTTTTAACGCTCCGTGCGACCATCCATCATGGGTTTGCGGAACCTGAGTATACACCGAACGTTCATAGGTTGAGGTATCATTGAAGACTGGATCCATTTGGTTCTCCAGAACTGGGATATTAGCTGGCTCCGGAATGTGCAGCGGTCGAGGGCTTTCCGGAGTCAGAGTCTTTCCGCGAAAGTGAAGCGCTTCATCGGGAGGACCGGGCGTCATGTAGACTTGAAGGAGGAGGACGTTTCATCTACAAGGGAAGAAGGGAAAGTGGTGAAGAAGATGATCCCCGGGGCAGGTATGAATTTTCGCAATCGCAAGCTAAGGTGGGGCGATGAGAAATGATTGGGGATTAATTTTTTTTTCTCTCTCGGTTTAGGAACCTCACCTAAGAGGGAAAGGGGGAACCCAAACGAAGAAAAATAGGCGATGAAGAAGAAGCAAATAGGAAATAGGTGGGGGGTTTTGGAGATGAGAGGTGGGAAATGGGGAATCGGGGGGAAAAAGCTGGGAGTCAGGTGAGCAAGAAGGAAGCTCGAGATTCTTCTCACTAGTTTCTGTACACGCAGACGGAGTTAGAACGGAGATTGGATTGTTGTAGAGCAGACGTTGAACCAAGTGATGCTTGGTCTGACAGGGAAGATCCAAGTCATAATCTTTACATCATTTCTTGCTTGACCTTTACTCCGTACTCCGTACTCTAATCCCAGTCAAAACAAGACTTTCGTCACAACGGTAGTTCGCGCTAGGGGGGCCAGACCAGGCGAGAAGGCGACAACTCTACTGTCGCTCCATTTTTAGATGATTTAATTTGTCACCTCCCTCCACCTTCCGGGCGATAGTGCACCGTTTTTCTTGACCTCCTTTGCACGTTGGATTCGGTTCCTGATGTATGGACCTCAGCGCATACACTGCCTTCGAGGCTTGACATCCATTCGGAGATTTGCGTCTGAAGGGCAACAAGATCTCCAGCTCGCAAGGGATTGGCTCAAGGCCCTTAATTCCAAGACCATTCCCCGTAATATTTGCGAGGTTTCCTTCAGTCGGTCTAGTGGCCCCGGTGGGCAAAATGTGAACAAGTCAGTGTCTCCACTTACGGTCATGCTGCAATGCTGAACAGTCCAAATAGGGTTAACTCCAAGGCCACCTTGAAAGTCCCATTGGAGTCATTGTTACCGTTGGTGCCCCGTTTGATACACCAATCACTCCGCACATCCCGATATGCCGCCGAAAGAGCCCAGTGTTTAGTCATCCAGTCCGACGAAGAGCGGAAACAGTCTAATAATGTGGAATCCTGCTTTGACAAGCTCTACCAGCTGTTGCAGAGCTCGGCCAAGGAGGTGATTCCCGGGGAAACGTCACAAGCACAAAGAACACGCGTGCAGAAACTGTTTGTCTATCTATATCTACGGAGGCGATTGAACGAATCTAACGGAGGTCACAGACAACGCGCTCAGAATGAGAGCCGGATTAAAGATAAGAAACAGCACAGCGACAAGAAAAGCAGTCGCCGAGGAAGCAAATACGATGATTGATAGTAAAAGAACCCTGGGTTTTGTTTCCGATCAACGCCTAACAGTGCTAAGTAATACTTCATGACATGCTACTGTGCCACGCGCTCCGCGTTCCGGATGGTAGCCGAGATGACTTTCTGCAACGAAGGATCCAGATCTTCTGTCGCCTGGACAGGTTGAAGCCAATTGATCACTTGGCGTGCGAGATCCTTGCCCATGGGATACTCTCTGAGGCGGGCAAGTGAAGTACCAAGCGCGCGAGGGAACTCAGCCGAGGTAGCGGAGATTCCAGCGGTCGGGAGCTTGATATAACAGATCTGTGTCCGCGGGCTGGAAGGCTTGTTTGTGCGCATCATCTCGACCACGTGCTCCAAGATCTTGTGAAGACAAGGCGCGTCCTGGAATTCCCACGCCATATCGAAGAACTCCTGACCAAACCGATCATCATGTTCGAAATGCTTTGTAGCGGTATCGAAAATGGTGAGCGGGATAGCACCGCTCAGAGCAGGGGTGGAATTGAGGTTTTGCAGCGCAACTTGGTCCGCTTCTCCATCCTCTCCTATGCTGGGGTCGATATCTTCGGCCGTGATTGCTGGGAGCGCGATCATATCGGCATCGAGATCGAGTTCTGCTTCTTGGACTGGTTTGGGCTTTTGGCTCTCCTCATCTAGACCCAAAATTCGTTGACGAGCGACTAGCTTTGCGACGTAAATCAACTCCAGCTTGGCATATTGAATCCAAATTGTCCGTGCATTCTTGCAGAATCTTAGACCGCGCTGCATGTAACTCCGCGCTTGTGTCATATCACCGTGGTCATCGAGGACGTGCTTAGCAGCGTATACCCATAACTCAGCGCTGGTAGGGTGTAGTCGCAGAGCGTCGGTAAATATCATGGAGAGCTTTTTGTGTGCCTTTTGTTTCCGAGCATATTCAATATATTGGACCCAGAGGTTAATGTCGCCGTGGAACTTGCGTGTCGCTCGCTCAAGAACGAAAAAAATCCGTCGCTGGCCGTTGAATCCTGCCGACCGAATCCCAAGTCGCTTCACCCGCTTCTTTCGCAGAACGTCGAGGTTCATTTCATATTCAGCATAGCGCACAAAGTCCACCGGTTGCGCGCCGCGCGCATTGAGCTTGTGCTCGAAATCGGATCTCTTCTTGACGATTGAGGAAATTTCGTCCTAGATATGGGGATCAGCTTTCCGAAAGCGAAAGAAAGACGTGTTGTAGCTTACCTTGGTGAAAATCTTTTTGCGCTCATATTCCTTGAGCTCAGGCACAGACTTCTCGAGGAAGAATCGAGCCTTATCTGTAGCGGCGGACATGATTGCTATTCTTTGAGGAGGTCAAAAAAAAAGTCGGCATCCCGCATTGAAAAAACACCGATTAGCCCCAGAGGGCGCTTAGCCGTATCCGGTTAGCCTTAAGGACACTTAGAACCACCGAGGAATCCGGACGTTGTTTCCCTTCCTCAGGGGCCATATGCTCATGACATCTACCTTTTTGAGTCTTTCTTTTGGTGCTTTCTTTTCTTGACGCTCTTTTATTTTTCAATTGATTTGTCGCTACAGGTGCAGGGATTGTTTTTGTTCCCTCTGCGCCGCCATGGCTCCCCGATACAAGGACGGAGACGCCGTGGTTGCCGTAAGTTTCAAATGATTCAAGGCAGATCTGGGGACGCTACTGACTTGGACACGCCTGTAGATCAACGGCAAATGGGTCGCCTGGACTCATACGGTCTTCGCCTATGCTGCGTTCCTCAGCGCGTTAGTTGTCGGCATTGCTTTGCACTACCACAAGATTGTTCAAAATGAACATTACGGTTACCCCATTGAATGGTTCCCCTCCGTGTCAGCCACCATCGGTGACCGATATCCCGAACGATCTTTCTTCCAAGTCTTTATCGCGATTACTTCCGGTCCGCGTTTCGCCCTCGTCTTTCTGTGGTACATCCTTACTTCGCGTCCGAACTCGAGCTTGCCCAAATTCGTTGCTGGTGTCGGTGTCTTCCGCACCTTGACATGTGGTGGTTGGACTTATGTGACATCTACCGATGATCATGACTGGCATGACATTTTCATGATCTCGTACTTGGTGGCCACTTTGCCGTGGACTCTGGGCTGTCTTGCTCTCAGCCCTAACAACAGACGTGCAGTCAAGTACCGCAAGATTATGGCCAGTTTGTTCTTTGGAACCCTTGTTCCGTTGATCTACTACTTCATTCAGCACAAAGTGCACAAGGTTCCTGGTGGTGAGTACCTTCCCCTCATCCAATTAAGTTCCTGCTGATCAGTGAATAAGCCTACACCAAATACGCCTTCTTCGAGTGGTCCTTGATTTTGTTTGATGTTGGGTTTGATGCTATTACCGCACTTGACTTCGAGAGCTTCGAAGTCGTGGTGAGGGATGTCAAGGGTGTTAGCAGAGGGTATGTACCGTGGCTTCCAAAATAACACTGCCCGCACCAAATGTATAGTGCCGAAAGCTATATTGATTATGAAAAATATGAACATGTCTAAGTTTATCCTCATTAGGCAATTGAAAACGACTGCGGATTCTGTCTTGGAAAAAGAGTGTGTACAATCCCATTATCTCAGTCGCTCAAAATTGACCACGTACGTAGGAAGGGCAAGTTGGTGGGCAACACCTTTGGCGAGGGCTTCTTCTGGACCGAGATCATTGATGCCGCTGCGGACATTTACAATGGGGTAAATTCAACCAGTCTAATCGTCGGTGCCGTGCGTTTCTGACAGACTTTAGTTTGTTTTCTGGACTATCGTGACCGGTTTGCCTGTTCTTGTCTGGTGTAAGTGATATCTATCCCTCAAAACGAACTTGTCTTATCTTCTTGTTAGACTTCCCTCTCTGGCACATGGGTATTTCCGGCTACGAAGTTGCCATTGTTGCCTGCACATCCCCATTGCTCTATTTCATCCCATCTCTGCGATACGCAGCCGCAAAAAACCTACGCCTTCTTCACCTCATTTCGCTTGTTGGCCTCCTTGGTTACAAGTTCCATGATCCTGCCAACCGTCTATTTGTTACTGGGTTTGCTCTTTCCACTACTTGTGCGGCATGGACCGCTAGCTTCTTTGCTGAGAGGGCCAACACCCATCGTCTCGAGGCTCGGGTCATGGCTTGGGGAATTGGTCTGGTTATGTCTGTTGTGGCCAAGTTTGCCTGCAAGACTAACAACCCCCTTTGGCCGATTATGCATGCTGAGAACGGAGGGTGGAACAAGATCGGTATCTTCCTCGCTCTGTTCGCTGTCTTGAGATCCCAGCGAGGATCCAACACAAGCGGTGGTGATTATCTGCCCGCAGGTGGCAAGAAGGGTTCATCGATTCTGGCTGGTGTTGGATTTGGTGGCCTGATGTTTGCCATCGTTTCGCTTCTGACCGACTCGAGCACCATGATCTCGTGGGTCTGGGATGGATACCCCGTGCGAGGACCGATCGCAGCTCCTCATGGTGCTTTGACTATTTTCGCAATGGGAGCCGGCCTTGTATACGGTATCTTCCACCCTGGTGTCGCTGGAAGCTGGACTGCCTTTGGTGTTGGTTCCGTCGGTGCCGCTCTTCTTACTTGCTATCACCACTGGACCGGATTCTATGGTGCCCTCGTTCTTGCGTTTTACATCATGGCCGTTGCTCCAGTTTTGATTATCTCTAGCGTTCGTCACTCTCCTGCGAGCACATTTGGCGTTGGCTTTGTCGTCTATGTCATCCTTTTGCTCTTCCACGTTTGGATTGTCGCATATGCCTTTGTGCCAGGTGGTCCCTTGCTTCGTGAGCACACTGACTGGCTTATGACCACCACCATGCTGACCATCGGTGCGGGTGTTTTCTCCGCTGCAACCTCGAACTCGACTCGCTCTCGCAAGCCTCACAAGCCTATCAACCCCAACAGCAGGAGACAGCGATCGTATTATATCTATGTTCTTGCTGCACTGCAGCTCCTTTCTGTATCTGTGGCTTACCTCCGTTTCCCCACCAATGACTACACTCCTTATCATAAAGAGGACAAGGTTGTGACTGCTGGTATCTGGACTGTCCACTTCGGCCTTGATAACAACATGTGGTCCTCAGAGCGTCGCATGCGCGATGTCATTGGCGAGCTTGAGCTGGATGTCATCGGTTTCCTCGAGTCCGACAACCAGCGTATCATTATGGGTAACAGGGACGTCACCCAGTTCATCGCCGAGGACCTTGGCTACTACACTGACTTCGGTCCCGGCCCCAACAAGCACACTTGGGGCTCCGCATTGCTATCCAAGTTCCCCATTGTCAACTCTACCCATCATCTCCTCCCCTCCCCTGTGGGTGAGCTAGCACCTGCCATCCACGCCACCCTCGACATGTATGGCGAGATGGTCGATGTGGTTGTGTTCCACTCTGGCCAAGAGGAGGACCCCGAGGACCGTCGCTTGCAGAGTGAGTATCTGTCTAAGCTGATGGGCGATTCCCCCCGTCCTTTGATCTTGTTGAGTTATCTTGTCACCAAGCCCCTCGAGGGCAACTACAACACCTACGTGAGCGAGCGCAGCCAGATGAGGGATATCGATCCTAGCGACTGGGATAGATGGTGCGAGTACCTTCTGTTCAAGAAGCTTCACCGTACTGGCTATGCCAGAATCAGCCGTGATACCATTACGGATACAGAGATCCAGGTATGTTGTTGGTCTTTTCCCGTGTGTCCGTTATCGTCTAACATCATGAATAGGTCGGTAAGTTCGTCATTGGCGAGCCCGCGTCCGAACCCGAGAGCGAGTTGCGTATCCCAGAGGAGATGGTCCCAGTCGGCCGCCGCTTCCCTGCCTTGTTCCGCGGCGAGGGAGTGCGCGGACACCGCTATCACGTCTTCGATGAGCCCAGGTACTGGCAGTAAACAGTATGTCTGGGTGAGTATGAGTGCCTGTCAATGCGCACATTCTCGCTTTGAGAATATTTAACTTCTGTATCGTGACATAATTTTAGTACGACATAAGGCAGACCTTCTGCTATCCTTAGAACTGCCAATTTTATTTACTGATGACTTGTTTCTGTCGATTGCTTTTCTGTGCTCATCGAGGTAGCTCTTCCTAATCTGCATCCAACATGTACTATGTTTTTGTAAACCCCATGGTTTAAGGGACCACGAATAATAGATTGCATCTCCAATCCCTGAGCCCCTTGGTGCCGATTTTCCCTCGGCCTGTGTTATTTTCACAGTTAGTCATTGAGGTATTCTCCCCAATATCAGTTCTATAAATATTCTTTCTGCTTTGGTTTTTGCCCATAAAGAAGAAATAAAAGTCTGAAAGCGTGTTAAAGCAAAGTAGTTATACGTTGGCACTCTAGTTCTAACAATCAAGCAGAGTCAAGATATGCTAGCAAATCCAATTGGCTCCTCTTCTTCCATACACATCGTGTCGGTCTTTGTTTCATAACAGGGACTGAGAATTCCAAACACTTCCAACCTCAAAAAGCCAGTAATCGACTGCTTTCATGTATTGCCTAGGTAGGTATCTGGCTGTTTGTATTACGATGCCCTTGGACTGCTTTGTCCTGCGCCAGTAGGCATTCCCCAATCATAACCCTGGAGATAGTGGAAGACAGCCAATTATCAAGTCAATCAAATCTGCCCATGTTGAAACAGAGTACATTACGCTTTTCTTCTGCGCTGTGGATTTATTATAGAGTTATCTAGGTACTATGGCCGGTATTCGAGATGAAGCCGTCGAGTGCCTACATGTAGGTATGCAGTACAGAGCATTGACACAATACCGAAGTACTTACATGGTAGCAGGTTTGCATGACCTGATCGAGACAACGGTTGCTTCAAGTTCCTTCATGGTCACCTGGACTCATTAATACCCAAAGCTCTTTGTGTGTTCCGGGTCAGATGAAGAGGAAATATGCTTCGCCTTGTTTCTGAGGTATGGCCTTTCAAAATAGGAAACGGGCCAGGTCATTTCCAACTCCGTACTCTGTACATGAACCTCCCTAGGCCTGTAGCTTTGATACCTTGGTGGAGACTAACTGCTGGTACCCCGTGCTGAAGAATCAGCACTTGTAAGTTTCTTGGAAATTCCTCATTCCCTGGCCTTTCTCAACACTGTGTTAGTCTTGGTAGGATATTGCTTCAGTCTCTATTTGTCTGTTTTATTAGGGTGCAAATATCTCAACCAGACCCAGGAGTATCAGCTCAGTTCCCGTCATCTGCGCTAGAGGACAATAATTATTCCCGTGGCCGATGAAATGGCGCGGTTCTTTTCCCTCTTTGATGTAACACTTGTCAGATCTGGTATCGCTTCTTTGGGTGGTGCATCGCTTCTTGTGACTCTCGCCTTTGTTCCTAGTTTCTCATGCGCCATTCGAAGGCCAAGCGTACTTATTTCTCTTTCTCTTCGAGCTGCGCGTTTTGGTAGGCTCGGCGTTTAGATCTATTATTTTGAGCTTTCATTGCGCTTCTATGTACCCTTATGTTGATGTTATCTAGCTTCTTAGGGCTGATATTGATAGTGCGAAAAGTACCAACGAACCTCATTCAATTGCCACAGTATAGCCCTTTTCTTCTGAACCTGAGACAATATATCTTGAGTTGAAAGAAATGACTTAGGGAGAGCCATGCATCAATATCGACCTGAAACGAACAAAGATTGAGAGGGAGTATTCGCAACCAGCTAGTCACGGATAACAAAGAACTGAGTATGGGAAGATTTATTTTTATATTTCTTTGTCCTGCAAACATCGTCGTCCTTGTGCTTTGTCTACTCTCATGGATAGGTGACTCGGTCTTCTATTAATATTAAAAGATAACACCGCCAATATTCCCCTCAGAACTCCAACCGCATTGCCCTTGACTTGAATTTTCCTATCGCTGAATCAAGCTCTGAAATGTATGGCTATATGCTCCTCTTTTCTCTTTCCTCTATTCTTTGGCTAACGGACTAGACCAGAAGACTGTTAAACGGAAATCATGGTTTCGAGAGTACCCAAGGCTACAGATAGCCAGCCAAAAGCCGATCTCCCAGCACCTAAGCTTTCCAAAGTTGCGAAGACTGGGAAGACGGCGAAGACGGCGAAGACAGCGAAGACTGGGAAGGTCGCAAAAGTCGCGAAGGCTGCGAAGGTTGCGAAGGTTGCGAAGGTTGCGAAGGTTGCGAAGGTTGCGAAAACTGCGAAGACCGCAAAAGCTGCGAAGACCGCAAAAGCTGCGAAGACCGCGAAGACCGCGAAGACCGCGAAGATCGCGAAGATCGCGAAGACTGCCAAAACCGGGAAGACCGCAAAGACCGCAAAGTCTGCGAAGACTGGGAAGATTGCGAAAGCTGCAAAGACTACAAAGGTCGCGAATACCAAAACCAGCAAAAAGGTCGCCAAGGGCACAGCTACCGTGAAGGCTTCGGTCCGATATTCTGACGAAGAGAGCGACTACACGCATGCACCACGGCCCAAAAGGCGAAAGATTGCGACTCCGGATGTTGAGTATACTTACGGGGAAAGATGCACTGTACTGTCCGTGTCAGATGTTCCAATTCCTAATCTGCAGATTGGCAAATGGGATTACATGAAGGAACTTTCCATCCCCGAAGTTCTAAAAGACAAATTCGAAGGCCCTCTACCGCACATTTACATCGGAGGCTCAGCCCCGCAGCCTCGCTGGGTGGTTGCTCACAGCGAGGTCATACCAGTCCCTCGCAAACCAGATACCATTCTCCGAGGAATTTTCAAGGCGACTAACTATGGAGGTCCACAATGGGCCTTGGATGAAGGCAATTTCCAGTTTTGGGGTGGGCTAGAATACGAACCTCTCTACGAACTTGCGTACGTGTGCCTCGAACACATGCTAAATGATACAACATTCCGAAAGGATCTATATGCCAGCCTGGCTGATGGCCCTTTATCCACTGCTGTGTCCAAGGGAGAGGAATGGCATCCAGCTCTGCCACCGGCGCCATCCACAAGATTCTTTGCGACTGGATCCTCCCAGCTGGTTAGCCAAAAGGCCAGCAATGATTCGAATTTCTATTTCGGTCAATATGAGCGTCCGCCTGTGGCTGTCCGACCAGCCTATTCGATACAGAAGCCATACCATCATACCATGTCGACAAAGATCTACAATCAACAGAGGTTGGAGCGGTGGCCGACTGCCTCGCGATCTCCAAGTCCAGACCGGCAAAGCCAAGAGGGCAGTCAGGAGGAGAGCCAGGATGAGAGTGAGGAGGACAGCAAAAGCCAGTCCGCCGAGTCCAAACAGTCGTCTGTGACTAGGGACTCTGGCACGGAACAAAGAGAGGAGACCACCGACTCAGAGCTGGACAGTCCTGTGCCTCTCGGACATCGTGAGATGGAAGATATCACTGACACCGACTCGGAACCGGACAGTCCTGTCTCTCTCGGACATCGTGAGATAGAAGAGGTCACCGACTCGGAATCAGACAGCCATGTGTCTCTCGGAGTCCATGAGATAGGAAACGTCACTTACAGAGAACCGGACAGCCCTGTCCCTCTCGGAAATAATGGGAAAGATGCACAATTCGGTGAGTAAAAATCTCTGGTCTAGTCTTTCTCTCTGGGTATTCAAATACTTGCGAATCCTTGGATGATGTATGAGCAACTGTGACAAATCTGCCCAAAGCTTGGTTTGTTCTATACTAACTAATTGGCCAGCTACAGCCTCAGTGGATGGCTCCATTTTTGGCGATGACCCCGGTAATGCCTCTCAGCCTAGATCCAACTCGGCCCACGCTTCTCGAGAACAATCACCTGATGGTCTTTTCTCCAGCTTCCCTCCCGGCTCCAGCTCCGACTCCGACTGGGACGTCGGCGTTTCTGTCAGGACCAGCATGGCTAGCGCCGCTGGGAATGATGGGGCTCAACCGCGGCGTGTCCAATCCTCGAGATCAAATAATGGGCTCTTCGGCGGTCGCCACGTTGAAAAACATCATCGCAACCGCAAAATGCAAAATCGTGAGTTGGGCTCCAGGGCGGTAGAATTCCCAGATATACAGCACCCAAGTTACTAATGTATTGTGCAACCGGAGCAGGCGAGCCTAGGCGGAGTTGATTCTTATAGAACTGAACAAGACGCATCACCAATACCGCCGCCAGAATTAGGAATGGAGAACCTGGGCGCGATGCAAGGGCCACAAGAAGATATTGAGATGGCTGATGCTGGAGGTCGAGGATCGCCGGCACCAGTACTACCTGTGGCTCAAGAGGATACAGCAGCAAAACTCAAGGCATTCGCGTGGGCAGTGAAAGCACAAAGGGATGCAATGAGAGCTATCGCCAAAGAAAGAGTGTCAGGAGAGCATTGGAAGTCCGCAGAAAACAGACGTCCTGAGGTCGAGATCCCAGCTCACCTGCAAGATGCGTTTCTAGAGAATACCAAGTCAATTATCAGAGATCCAATTCAGCGACAGAAACATTTCCCTGACCCTCATGCTGTTCGCCGAATCAGAGTCTGGGCAGGGGAGGATTTGATTGGGCATGAAATCAAACCCATAGTCGATACCACGCTACCCCCTTGGGCTGAAAGCCACCGGCCCTTCCGGTCATGGCAAGATCCGGTGGGTGTCCTCTCGGGGCCTTGAGAGAATCCAAGCTGATCATGACCAAGACTGGTATAATCCCAGCTGCTAGAGCACGCACAATTTCCTCAAGAAGCACGAGCGGAAGAAAACTTAAGACCAGATCAGCACCAGTGTCTGTAAAAGAACAATCAATGTCTTCAGGGCGGTGGTTATTTTTTAGATAATTATGTCTTTCTTTAAATTTGGGAGTGGTTTCATTGGAGAATACGTATATTTCGCACAATACTCGAGCTCTTTCGTTTGACAATCATTTTTATATTAGAATCGATTTTCCAATCTTCAAAATGTTATAAAAATCAAATTGGTATAAAAACTTGGAGGTAAAATTAAAGTATATGATTAAATGTTGGCGTCTGATGTATTACCATCAACCGTCGCAATACTTGATAGATGCTTCGATAACGATAAATAACTCGAGTATAGTGACCACAAGCTAAGTATTTCTCACTACTTCTAATCAACTTCCAAATAGAATATAATCAACATATACTCGTCCTGATAAAGACCTCACCGTCTTATAGTTATACTGCCTGATCCCACCGCCCTAGACCCACACGCCTCGGGTGCAAACCGAACAAACACATCCCCATTGGAGAAGCTCACCCGTCTGGTATCTCATTGTCTTTGTTCGCGAGAGTCGGATCGATTTGACGCACCCGGAGAATGGACCAATATTGGAATTGACCAAATCTCTCCAGGCATACAGCTGCATTGATTCTGACCGATCTGTGGCTCCTGGTCCTTAGCAATCGTGGCTGCTAGGTTCGCCAGCAGACTCTCAAGATGTTCACATTCACTCCCCTCCTTGGCGCTCAATCGTCAGCTTCCAGGGCATCACAGTCTATCTTGGAGCTTGATGGGGGAATCAAGATCTTGGTGGACGTTGGCTGGGATGATACGTTTGATACCCTTGATTTAGCGGAGCTTGAGAAGTGAGCAAGCGGTCAACCATAACCGAAATCCGAAGCTAACATTATCGCCAGGCATATCCCTACGCTCTCTCTCATTCTCTTGACGCACGCCACTCCGGCGCATATTGGCGCTCTAGTCCACTGCTGCCGCACATTTCCTCTCTTCACACAAATCCCAATATACGCAACGAATCCTGTTATCGCTTTCGGCCGTACACTTCTTCAAGACCTTTATGCCTCTGCTCCGCTTGCTGCCACATTTTTGCCGAAGGCTTCAGTCTCAGAGCCAGGTGCATCGTCAGCAGGATCTGCCACTGTGTCAGGTGGAGATGCCGAAGCCGGTAACACAGGCCGAATTCTCCTTCAATCGCCGACAGCAGAAGAAATTTCTCGATATTTTGCCCTGATTCAGCCTCTCAAATATTCTCAACCACACCAACCCCTACCTTCGCCGTTCTCACCCCCGTTGAACGGACTGACTCTCACAGCCTACAATGCCGGTCACACCGTTGGTGGAACGATATGGCATATTCAGCATGGGCTAGAATCAATTGTCTATGCAATGGATTGGAACCAAGCTCGTGAGAGCGTAGTCGCAGGTGCCGCATGGTTCGGCGGATCTGGCGCCAGTGGAGCAGAAGTCATTGAACAGCTGCGGAAACCTACTGCCTTGATCTGTAGTACGAAGGGAGGTGACAAACTGGCACTTCCTGGAGGTCGGAAGAAGCGAGATGATCTTCTCCTAGATATGATCCGAAGCAGCCTTGCGAAAGGTGGAACGGTTCTCATTCCAACAGACACAAGTGCGCGAGTTTTGGAACTGGCCTATGCGCTAGAGCATTCTTGGCGCGATGCCGCAAATGGCGAAACGGAGGATGTTCTCAAAGGGGCCGGTTTATATCTTGCCGGCAAGAAGGTCACCAACACAATTCGACTGGCCCGCAGCATGCTGGAGTGGATGGACGAGAACATCGTTCGCGAGTTTGAAGCTGCAGAAAGCACAGATGTCTCGAATGGGCCAAAGACAAACAAAAGCGGAGGCCCATTCACTTTCAAGCACCTCAAAATCATTGAGCGCAAGAAACGCCTCGAGAAGCTCCTGGCGGAACCCGGCCCTAAAGTTGTTCTTGCATCCGACACCTCAATGGACTGGGGCTTCTCAAAAGAAGCACTCCGACAAGTAGCCGAAGGACCTAACAATTTGTTGTTATTGACAGAGTCTTTCCACAGGGACATGAAATCAACAGAATTGAACACGTCGCATGGTTCGACAACGATCGGAAGCACGATCTGGCAATGGTATGAGGAACGGAGAGATGGCGTGGCCCTAGAGAAGGGATCAGATGGTGAACATATCGAACAAGTCCACAGCGGTGGACGAGAATTGTCCTGGGCAGAAGTGCAGCGAGCTCCCCTTGATGCTGGAGAACATATGATTTACCAACAGTATCTCGCAACCAAGCGTCAGCTTCAGGATACATCTCAAACGCTGGGCCAAGAAAATCTTGAAACTGCCGCGGATGCGCTCGATGACGGATCGAGCTCCACCTCCTCTGAAGATTCAGACCCAGAGCATCAAGGTCGTGCGCTCAATTTTTCAGCATCCCTTGCTCATGCCACTCGAAGCAAACTTGCTGTCAGCGACGAGGATCTGGGTATCAATATCCTCCTTCGACGGAAGAACGTTTACGATTACGATGTGCGTGGCAAGAAGGGTCGCGAGCGTATGTTCCCTTACGTGGCACCAAGAAAAAAGGCGACGAATATGGAGAATTCATTCGCCCAGAGGAATATCTCCGGGCTGAGGAGCGTGAAGAGATTGATATGCAGCAAAGGCGCACCGATGCCGAGACTAAGCTGGGCCAAAAGCGACGATGGGATGATGCTACTGGCCCCCATGGACGCAAGTTGTCTGGTGGCACATCACGAAAACGTCCGCAAATGGATGGCAAGAATATTGAAGATGACGACCTCAGTCTTGCCTCCGGCGGCGAAGATGCTGATATAGCTGCAGAGTCTGACGACGAGGCAGAGATCCAACCATTTGAAGGACCCGCCAAGGCCGTATACCACAACAAAACCATTACTATCAATGCTAGGATTGCGTTCATCGACTTTATGGGCTTGCACGACAAACGCAGCTTGGAGATGTTAATTCCACTCATCCAACCACAAAAGTTGATCCTGGTCGGTGGCATGAAAGAAGAAACGTCAGCATTGGCAGCCGAATGTCAGAAGCTGTTGACTGCCAAGCTTGGCTCTACACTTTCTGATACTTCGTCCAACTCGGCTGCCATTATTTTCACCCCAGCCAATGGCGAAATCATTGATGCAAGTGTCGATACAAATGCTTGGATGGTCAAGCTGAGCAATACCCTTGTCCGACGCTTGAACTGGCAGCATGTGCGCAGCCTCGGCGTTGTCGCACTCACAGCACAGTTGCGAGGACCGGAGCCCGTTGCCGCCGAAATTGGTGACGTTGAATTAGCAGGCAAGAAGATGAAGCAAGTGAAAGACGAAGCAGCCTCTTCGGCCGTTGCCCCGACCTTGGAACAAGCAGAGATCAACAAGGTGGAAGTATATCCTTTATTGGATACTCTCCCAGCAAGTATAGCCGCGGGAACCAGATCTATGGCTCGCCCTCTTCATGTAGGCGATTTGCGATTGGCCGATCTTCGCAAACTCATGCAATCGGCTGGCCATACTGCCGAATTCCGAGGTGAGGGAACACTTCTAATTGACAAATCCGTGGCGGTCCGCAAATCAGGGACAGGCAAGATCGAGATTGAGGCCACGGCGCAGTCTTCCTTGGGTCGGCCCGATGGCCGTGGATCAGGGAGCTTCCTTGCCGTCAAAAGGAAAATCTACGAGGGTCTGGCTGTTGTTGCAGGAAACTAAGGCTGCGCACATGTATTCTATTTGCACCATAGTGTATACCTAACTTGATATCAACAATACATCCAGCCACTTCCATCAAGATGTTCGTAGTAGATTTTTCCCAAAGCCACACGCCCAGTGGTATTTTATCACAAATCAAATCAACACGCATTCTTGATCTGAGGCCAAGATGACTCCCAGATGACTCAGAACTCTAAACATGAGTGCAATCTATATCTAGTCTTATGACAAAAAGGAAATCGGAACCGCAAATTTTGTGTCCTCTAGGCAGTGACTTCACCTGGCTCCTCAAACTCGTCGTCTTCGGTCGGGATCTCTTGTATAATATCGTTGGTTTGAGGGCCAGTATATTTTCTAAAGGACTGTTAGTATGATACGCCACCCAGGTAAATCGACTCTCTTACCCTCGAGCATCAATCCACCACCATATCATAGCAAATGCGGCAATAAAGCCGCCAACGCAGATGGCGTAGTTCCTAGATCCATGTCAGCATACTCACATCGGCAATAAACTGGGGTCAAGCGCCTTACATATTTGCGGGCGTCACAGGCAGTTGTGGCGGGAAGAAGAGAATAGTGCTGATGAACAGAACCCAGATGATGGCGATGATGTTAATAGGAGTACCCCATTTGCCGAGCGTGAAAGGACCCTCGATGAATCTGACTTTCGACTTGTAGATCTGATGAGCAAGAATGACAGACACGTATGACAAGTCTAGTGCAGGGGCAGTGATATTGAAGATTGCAGTGGCTGTTTGCGTGGAGCCAATAGCAATGCAGTTCAACCCAATGCTGAAAATAACCACGAACCATACCGCATTAACAGGGGTATGAGTCCGAGGATTAACTTTGGAGAGGATTCTAATAGCATTTTAGCCTGGGACCTTGGTCCAGTTTATGGATTGCCTTACTTTGAGAATGGTAGAGCATCATCACGGGCAAAGGCATAGGCCATTCGTGTATCTGCTAGCATAGCCGAGCAACCAGTGAAGAATTGGACTAGGATGACAAATGCCCACATGATAGTTCCGCCTCGTTTCCCACCAGCATTCAGGAAGATTTGAGCTGCAGGAAGACCAGTAGGAGAGTTTAGAATTCCCTCGAAGTCAGTGAGACAGAAGCACATTGAAACAGTCAGGAGCCATCCGAATGCCCCAGATACTAGGACAGCTGTTTGAATAGCGACTGGTCCTCGCACGGCAGCATCGTGCGTCTCTTCAGACATACTAAGAGGGATTAGAAGTTGGAATGGTGACTTGGATTCAGGTAGCATACTGTGTTGTCCCATCATAGTCGGTCATGGTCCAGGCAACGGATATGAAACCCAGAGAAAAAGAGAACAATTTTGAACCCCATCCTGAGCCGTCTGTAAAATGGCCAAAGACCCAAGACGCTGGCTGTAGGTTAGGGGTAAGGGTAATTAAGACAATGCAGATACAGATAGTTGCCACAACTGCGAAGTCGTCAGTCTATGTCTGACAAAAGGATATGTTGATACTTACTGTTGATGGGAGCAAACCAAAGAATGATTCGATGCAATGATTTTGTGGTCAACGAGCAAATCACGCCAAGAATACACAGAATTGCGATAGATAGTAGAACAGTCTCCAACGCTGTCCTGGAATGATATCAGCCTGGTTGACATAGAAACCCGATGTTGGCGCTCTCACGGTGCATATGAGTACTTGCCATCGACAAGCTCCGAGTTCATACTAACACAGGCCAGCAACATCTGACTGACAGTGTATGCTACGCTAGAGACTCCTGCTGTCTGACCAAGGAGGTTGCACCAGCCCTGAATCCAGGAAAAGACAGGGACCTGGTCGGGAGGCACAACATGTTTTGTGACAAAATACATCCCTCCGGCCGTTGGATATGCCGATACTAGCTCTGCCACTGAGCTTCCAATGCACATGGCCATGCATGAGCCGATCAACCAACACCATACAGCCGTTGCTGGCCCGCCAGCCGATAATGGCGCACCAAAGGTCGCTGGCACAGAGCCAAGTACCCCCAGGATGGAGATGGCATATGAGACGGTCGACCATTTGGAAAACTCTCGTCGTAACTCCTAGTTCGATCGTATTTGTTATCAGATTAGCCCCGCTATGATCGTCATAAGGGTCTTGGGCCACAATTACCTGCTTATACCCGATGCGGGCTAGCAAAAGCTCATCATCGTCTTGAATGGTGGCCATTGTAGGTTGAATAGGAGCAGGAGTATCCTGTGCTATTTCTTTCTTGGATTTGCAATCTGGATCTGCTGGCTTTACGGTCAGGTCCATAATAAAGGAGGTGTATGTGATCGGTGTATATGCAAGGAGTTTAGGGGAGATAAGGAAAAAAAGAAAATAGAGATATCTAGAAACCAACTTACAGAGATCCTCTACTTTTATTGTTATATCTACTCTGCTCGAGCAACCGAATGAGGACTATCAAAGCCCAAGAAGAGACGGTGAGATGGGTACGCCCGACGAAAGCCCTGAGGAGTTGGAGCCAACACTAGGATCGGAAATTGGTCGTGATTGGAGAATAAGATAAGCGTGGAATCAATTTGTAAGTTGATTCAAATTGAGTGCAAGTAACAACCAATTGCTTAATGCAAAGTGTTGTTACGAGAACAAAAAAGATTCCAGTTGGTCGAAGATCTTGGGACGCGGGCCATCACAGGCACTTGGTCCGAGTGGGATGGTGCTCTAGTCCGTCTCGAACACGGAGGCATTGCAAATTGGGTGATCAAATTGCGGACCCTCAAGACTAGAGATGAATGGCTGGCAGTCCTGGGCCATGTCATATCAGTATGCAGTCTTCTCCATATTGACAAGTAAATGTGATGGAGCAAAAGACGGAGTATAGGACGGCCCACGTGAAGAACCTCGGAACCACGTAAATCCGAGTCAGTTTAGGTGGTCAATCCGGTATACCATCAACATCCAGGCTTTTGTTAATTGTTGCTCGCTATTCCGTTTCATACGTTATGCCTTGTTGCTGAGATTGTGTACCATTTCTCTATATCTCTCGCTCCCACCCCTGTGTGACCTCTCTCGCCTTTTCACACCGCGGCATGATCCACCATGGCCAACGCTTCAATGTATAATGCAATGGGTCAGGGATCTGGCGAAGACCCCTCCAATCCGCAGCACATGGCCCAGCAGGCTCCCTCTCAGCAATACCCCGCGGGTTACCCTCCTGGAGCCGCACCTCCACAACCAGGAGCACCGTACACCAACCCAGCTCCAAACCAGTGGGCCGCCTACGGCTCACCACAACAACCGGGTTTGGCGAGTCCCGGCGTTCCATATAATGCGCCGCAACAAGCACCAATGGGTGTAGCTGGAGATCCTGGAATGGCAGGTCTTGCGTCGCAGATGAGTGGTTTAGGCATTGCGACAGATGCGGGGGCCAGAACACACCGGAAGAAGCACCGTCATGCCCACCATGACATCGGAGGTGCTGCAGCGACTCCCGCACAAGGGTTCAACAACGGCATGGACCAAGGGGGCTTGCAAGCGCCGCAGCAGTCACAATTCCTTAACACAGGATTGAATCAGCACGCTGACCGGCCAGTTTCCCCAGCCGTGGGGTTGGTATCTGGGCAATCTGCCCCCGAGATACCTGGCCGGCCCAGTGGTGCAGGTTCTGTTCCTACCCAAGGGCGAATTGATCCCGAGCATATCCCCAGCGTTCCTCGATCGCGCGACCTGCCCGCTCAGTACTATTTCAACCATGTCTACCCGACAATGGATCAACATCTTCCCCCGCCAGCGGCAATCCCGTTCGTGGCCCATGACCAAGGCAACTCCTCCCCCAAATATGCTCGCTTAACGCTCAACAACATCCCCTCCGCCTCCGATTTCCTTACCTCTACTGGCTTACCATTGGGTATGGTTCTTCAGCCACTCGCGCCTCTCGATCCCGGCGAACAACCGATCCCCGTGCTGGACTTTGGGGACGTTGGTCCCCCGCGATGCCGACGATGCCGAACATATATCAATCCGTTTATGTCCTTCCGATCTGGCGGCAGCAAGTTTGTCTGTAATATGTGCACGTTCCCCAACGACACGCCCCCCGAATACTTTGCGCCACTGGACCCATCTGGTGCGCGTGTGGATCGTATGCAACGTCCTGAATTATTGATGGGAACTGTGGAGTTTACGGTTCCAAAGGAATATTGGAACAAGGAACCTGTGGGGCTACAGACCCTCTTTTTGATCGATGTCAGCCGGGAGTCGGTTCATCGGGGATTCTTGAAGGGTGTCTGTCAAGGTATTCAGGATGCGCTGTACGGCGATGGAACTGAACCAGAAGTTACTGAAGGTGATGACTCCTCGCGGAGATTGCCCGCTGGAGCGAAGGTCGGCATTGTTACGTATGACAAGGAGGTGCACTTCTACAACCTGACGGTATGTTTCTCCGCCGCCGCTTGTGATGTCTCTCTCCCTAACATATTATACAGGCAGCATTGGACCAAGCGCAAATGATGGTTATGACCGATCTGGATGAGCCATTTGTGCCGCTGAACGAAGGTCTCTTTGTGGACCCATATGAATCAAAGTATGCGATCACTCGAATGCCCGATTTACGGCCGTTTCCTAACTAACTTTTTAGGTCTGTAATCACTTCTCTTCTTAGCCGGATACCCAGCATCTTTTCTTCTATCAAAAATCCCGAGTCGGCTTTGCTACCGACATTGAATTCAGCGCTCTCTGCACTGCAAGCTACAGGTGGCAAGATCGTTTGTGCGCTGGCTAGCTTGCCTACTTGCGGTCCCAGCCCATTGGCAATGAGAGAGGACCCCAAGGTTCACGGAACCGACGCGGAACGCAAACTGTTCACTACCGAGAACCAAGCTTGGAAAAAGACGGCAAGCAAGCTGGCCGAAGCTGGAGTGGGCTTGGATGTGTTCATGGCAGCCCCTGGTGGCGCGTATCTCGATGTGGCAACAATCGGTATGTTATATTGCACTCATTGTGAATGGCCTCAGCTAACTCCAATCTACAGGACACGTCTCTAGTCTTACAGGAGGCGAGACATTCTTCTATCCTAATTTCCATGCCCCACGGGATCTCCTCAAGCTGCGAAATGAAATCTCTCATGCTGTGACTCGTGAATCGGGATACCAAACTTTGATGAAAGTTCGATGCTCCAATGGGCTCCAGGTCTCTGCCTACCACGGAAACTTCGTCCAGCACACTCTGGGCGCTGATCTGGAAATTGCCGGTATCGATGCCGACAAGGCCATCAGTGTACTCTTTAGCTACGATGGAAAACTTGATCCCAAGTTGGATGCGCACTTCCAAGCCGCGTTGCTTTATACTTCTGCAGATGGCCAACGGCGTGTCCGCTGTATCAACGTTGTAGCGGCAGTGAACGAAGGAGGCATGGAGACGATGAAGTTCGTTGACCAGGATGCCGTCGTCTCGGTCATTGCCAAGGAGGGTAAGTTTGTTTATAAAACAGAAGGAAGAATGACAAATCCATACTGACACGTATTACAGCCGCTTCCAAGACGTTGGACAAGACCCTCAAGGATATCCGAGCCAACATCTCTGAAAAGACAGTCGATATCTTCAGTGGATACCGCAAGATCTTCTCGGGCTCGCACCCACCTGGCCAGCTGGTTTTGCCTGAGAACTTGAAGGAGTTCTCGATGTACATGCTCAGCTTGGTCAAGTCCAGAGCATTCAAGGGTGGGCCCGAGTCATCCGACCGACGAGTGCATGACATGCGCATGATCCGGTCAATGGGCTGCACGGAAATGTCCTTGTACCTCTATCCTCGCGTTATCCCCGTCCATAACATGCAGCCAGAAGATGGATTCCCGAATGAGCACGGACAGCTTCAAATCCCGCCATCCTTGCGAGCCAGCTTCTCTCGTATTGAAGAAGGCGGTGTTTACATCGTGGACAACGGTCAGGGAATCCTGCTCTGGCTGCACGCGCAGGTCTCACCCAATCTACTGGAAGACCTCTTCGGACAAGGTCATGATACCCTCCAGGGCCTAAACCCCAACATCTCATCTCTGCCTGTGCTGGAAACGCACCTGAATGCACAGGTGCGCAATCTGCTGCAGTACCTCTCTACAGTGCGCGGATCTAAGTCCGTAGCGATCCAACTGGCCCGCCAAGGTCTGGATGGGGCTGAATACGAATTCGCTCGTCTCCTGTTGGAAGACCGGAATAATGAGGCACAGAGCTACGTGGACTGGTTGGTGCACATCCACCGCCAGATTAATCTGGAGCTGGCCGGTCACCGCAAGAAGGAAGATACCGGCGAAAGCGCATTGGCTAGTCTGTCCGCCATGCGTGCTCCGTATTGGTAGATGTTTCATCCGACATCCCCCGTCCAACAACCCCTCCCTCTGCCAGGTACCGTTTTTTTTTTGGCGGCCGGTTCCCCTGGCGATCTAGACTGCAGGTAATCTGCAAAGAAGGACAGCGGAGGGGCATCCATTGGTGGGGCTGAGGGGCAGGGGTCCAAGTTGTCCTACCCAGACCGGGAAGGTGATGACGCTGACTTCAGTGGCTTACAGCTCTGCCCTCGATGGGGAAGTGGAGTGGGATTCAGGGAAAGAGAGGCAGGGAAATCAAGAGAATAATTGTGAGACATTGGAGAGTTCATTTCTTGTGCATACCAGCGTAATCGTTTTTTTTTATTATTGGGAATTCATTGTGTCACAACTTCAACTTCTTCACGGTCCACCTGGCGATAAATCATCCAGGGCCTTGCAGGGACATATTGATACCCACCTTCTACCCACAGAGGTACCAAACGGAGTCAAGTGGCGATCTAGACGATCTGGAAAGAAATGAGCTTCGGTGAGCTATGCCACGACACTTCCCCCATAGTCGGCCCACATCCCCATTTTCAAGGTGATTCGAGTCGACTTGCATCGGAGGTTTACTGGTTCAGAACTAAAGATACTTAATCTGGACGATCGGACACCCCATTTAGAATGAGATCAGTAAATCACATTAACAATCGAGAGAAACAATACGCCTTTTCTCACGATAATTGCCGCAGAAAAGAATCCAGACTCGATCGCCAGGCACAGGCGAATGCACCAGGGTCCGGATCGACGTCAGAGGCGTGTGGTGGGGGAATGAGCTGTCGCTAAATTTATCATTGGCCCAGGGTCTTTGGCACCGAAGCCAGCGCCTTATGAAGCATTGTTTCCTTGTAATCGGGGATGTGAACTGGCAGTGGGGACATCAGCTCTCACCTACTTCATAGGGATAAGCTTGTATCCATTATTGACCGGCATTGGACGAGAGAGAGAGACGGGGATAATGGCTGGTTGGATTGATTATTGTCGCATAACGTCTAGGAGACGTTATTATTGGTCCATTTGGCCCATTTGATATTAAAATACGACATCGTGTATACTATCAGCTTGGTAATGCATTATCTTGTCACTATGATGTTCAAGTACAATGTACAACATCCTTGATTTACCTTCGACTATTCGCCTCAAAATCGTATTAGACTTTTGTTCGGGATTCTAGATTGTTTCTAGACAATGACCATGTCCGAATGTAAGCCGAAGAATAAGATCGAAGACTTCCATGTGGTGGCCAACACTCGCATCCATAGAACAGACGGCAAGCTCGAATGGTTCCTGGCAAAAATGCAAGCAAAGTGTCTGTGCAGCCACGCTTCCAAGCTTCTTGCCATGTTCTTTGCCATGGAGTATCGCTGGATCGAAGTTTGTTCACAGAATTCTCTGATCTGTTTGGGAGAACCGCGGATGCAACCGGAGGCCATGACGTGGAGTTCGGGCGACGAGTGCTGACTATTGCCACCCCCGTCGGGATGTGGCTCGCAGGCGTTAGCGGGGCGATTTTGTTAAAGAATCGTTATGGACACGCAAAATGTCACATCGACACACTGAGAGACTAATAGCGCCAGAATATAGAGCCTCTATGGTTAGCGGTGATGCCCTAACTATCGGCAAGATCCTAGACTGTGTAGTCCACAAGTAGAACAATGTACCACATACGAGGTTGTACATCTGACATATCCAATATCGCAGATTCCTATGTCAGATCAGAATCATGCCCGATTTTGGTATCTTAAACCACAGGTCTGGGCTCTTTGAATGGACTTCGAACGAGGCGAGACGCCCTGATTCGGTGCCATACTTTCGTCCTGATGGATTCGCTTTTTTATTTTATTTTATTTTGATTCTTTTTTTGCCTTTTGCCAGCCCACAATTTTCTAAAGTGATCCATGGATCGAACTAGGCGTGGCTTTGCACGTTTTCTTTCAGTCTGTACATCCGGGGCATCCCCTCCATTGGAAATCTATATAAACCCCGTTCGTGCACCTTCGATCTTTCTATTCATCAACACATTCACTTCAAAGTACATCAGTACATTCCTTCTTTATCACATTCTCTCTTCCATTTTCGAGATTGACTCTCGTTGCATTCCTTACTTCTGTCGACCAGACTTGCAATTTACCCAACTACATCAGTCTTTACATTTTTGTATACCCATCAAGATGATGTTCACCAAGACTCTCGGCCTTGCTGCCCTCTTCTCCGCCATTGCCTCCGCTCTTCCCCAGGACATGATGGTCCGCCGCTCAGGCATGGTTAAGCGGGAGGGCGGCGGCGTCACAATCACCAACAACCTCCAACAGGACGTCTACGCCTGGTCCGTAGCCGGCGACGTTGGCCCCATGCAGACCATCAAGAGCGGTGGTGGCACTCTCTCCGAGACATGGCGCAAGAACCCCAACGGCGGCGGTATCTCCATCAAGCTCGCCCTCGATCCAGAGCAACACGATGTCCTCCAGTTCGAGTACACCGACGCCGGTGACACCATCTTCTGGGATCTGTCTTGCATCGACATGAAGTCCAGCAACAAGTTCACCAACTACGGCTTCGCTGTTCGGCCTTCCGATGAGACTTCCACTTGCCCCAAGGCCATTTGCAAGGCTGGTGATACCGCTTGCTCAGCGGCTTACCTGATACCTACTGATGACCACGCTACCCACGGTTGCCCTATCGACACTGCTCTCGACCTGTCTATTGGCCAGGCCTAGACGGTCCAGCAGTGTCTCATTTGCCGGTTGAACTGTGCATCCTTTCTTTTTTACATTTTGCATTTATATACCTTTCAAACTCGTTGCACTCAGCCCTAGTCGGCAGGTGACGTTTCTTTCTTTTCATACATATCACCTCGAGCTGGTGATACCTTTGGGGATGCAGATTGGTGATTTTTTTGTTCTACACATGTTCGGTTGAGTCGACATGTCTTCTCGCCCTGAGCGGATTGATTTCTGCTGGGGCAGGATGTCTCGTCACGAGCTATGATTTCTTACGCCTTTTTTTTGGAAATACCCCCCCACACTTGAGAATCATGGAAAAACGGGAGTTATATTTGGTGGGGGAGAGAAATAGACTTGTGGATAGACATATGATCATCAGATCTTGAAGATTTACACGAAATATACGATCTTTACTTCAAATTACTTGCTTTGTCCCTTCTGAAATGTTAAGAGGTCTAGCCTTTGAGATGTATCCGAATACTTTGGCACTGCAAGAGTAATAATCCTTACGCCTCCCAAGAAAAAGAGAAAAAAATAACGAACAATCCTCGAATCCACAAATGAGCACATAATCGGCACGAAGCGAACAGTGGAATTTCGTCACCTAACACACCAAACAAGAATATCTCCGATCTAGACCGAGTTCTGGACAGCGACCCTTGACAGATCCCAACACGCGAAATTCCTATTTGCACACCTGGCCCCGCACCTCAGACCCGTTGCACGAATTGTCGATCCTCCGCCAACCGGATGGGCGGATATGCGGATGGCGTCGACGCAGTGTCCACTGAGGGGTCTGCTGCCTTGGAGGGTTTCGATTAAGAGGTTTCGACTTTTTGAGGCCAGATCGGATTCCTTAAAATTTTCTTTTCCATCCAGAAAAAACCCCGAATTCGATCAATTAGGGTCTGATCTGCACTTTTTCCTGTCGGACGTGTGTAATCAATATCTGATACAATCAATATCTGATAACCCCGATGTAGTCATTGGGTATTATAGTATAATTTCGTTCGTCATAGGTATACTAATGACTGCGGTATAGATTCTACAGTATAGACTAGTAGTAGTGCCTGAATATCACACGTGGGAATGCATTCATCGTAAATAGGTACATAACCTAAAGAGCCAAGTTATCCATTCACGTTTAGCAGGCAGCATCTGTCATGAACTGTTCCTATTGAGAGGCAACAGTGATCTCTTGGTTCTACGAGACGTCAACCATGGAATATGCCGTGTGGATGTTTGGGAACGAACTCCACGAGGCGAAGCACGATTTCCGGTTTTGGACGAAAGAGGCTGATTATTAAGGTTCTTTCATCCAATGAGCGGGGTTATGCTTAAATTGATCGGATTCTTTTGCCGTTCAGTCGAATCCGGCTCCTTGCCAAGACTACCGGCTTTCTCTCGGCGTGTCTTAATCCTTGGTTGAGCTGTCTAAGTCGGTCAAAGAGGATTCAGCTGAAAGATGCTGATCCTGTCAACTCTATTCATCGTGAGCGTTCTTTTGCCGTCATGTGCCGGGGGCTGTCGGGTACAGCGCTGAGTCACTATACACGTGGTATTTAACCTGGCATGTTGTTTTCACCACGTTCCAAGGGCTACCATATTAGTCATTCATCTATGTTACGTGAACCTACAAATCGCAGATTGATACCCGATACATACGACGAATCAACCACGTGAGTGTATGAGCAGGCGCTTTGAACAGTGTTGTGCTTCAATGTAACCATCTTGGCATCCAGAGTAGGGAGCACTACCCCGGCTACCATTGCCACAAGATCCCTGAGAGAGATGGTCAAAGCCAAGGCTTCTAGGCCTCAAGCCGGCGAGGTGTAGTCCGAGAATATCAACGAAAAAGAAAAACTAGATTTAGGTTTCATTGTTACTAAATCCTAGTCAAAACATACCATCCATGAACGATCAAAGTCAAAGCGAGCCAGAACAACATCAAAAGGAACATTCCCAACAAAATAAGTCGCCATGGGAAAGGGGTATCTCAATACATAATACACACAGCACAAAAAAGACAATATCCCCCCCAAAACCTATCTAGCACTCCTCTGAGCCCGCCACTCTCTCCACCGTTCCATCAATCTATGCGACCTCATAGCCTGAAGAAACGCATATGCAATAAACCGATAGATAATCGTACAAATTCCCAACGCCATAATATTCATCGGCCCATTCTTATCCAAATTGTAAAGCTTAAGCACCTGCTCACCGGAATCAATAGGACAGCTTCCATTCGCAAGGCTCTGCGCCTCTGAGCAATGGAATACCTGGCCTTGCAGCGAATACGGCGCGAGATTAGCAATGGCGTACTTGATCGGCGAGAGATGGTTGAATCCCTGCAGTACATTATTGACGTTAAGACTCATGATACCACCGAGGATGTTGGAGATGGATAGTAGGATGGAAGTCACATTGACGGCGAAGCCAACGTGCGAGAAGAGCGTGCAGAATACTATCCCCACGGACTCGCCGCAGCTGATTATGCAGAAGCAGTTGTATGCGGCGATGAGGAACATCGGTACCGTGCGTTTCATGTTGTCTGCGAAGGCGGCGAGTGCGCCGAATATGAGCGATGTGATTATCTCAAATGGGACTTCGATTGCCGTGTAGCTAAGGATGAATGTCAAGGCTGTATAGCAGCTGTCTGCTTCTTCGCGATAGAAGACGTCGCGTTCGCTAGGGTAGGTTGCGATGTTTTGGAGCATGCCTGTTCCAGATGAGTATGGAAAATGAGAGTATAGGGGAGGTGATAAGACTTACCCACAAAATATAACGCCGCAAATTCCTGCACGAACCCCATACGTGATTGCACAGCAGCGTAATCATTCTTCAGTGGCGCAAAGAACAGAGCCATGATTATCGCTATTCCCGGAATCTGTGCTGTCCGTGCCATGACCAGCGGAGGCTGTCGCCAGAAATTTATCACTGAGCGATGTAATACTAGGGGAAATGTTACGCGAAACGGCAGCATCTGTCGCTTGAGGCTACCCAGCTCTGCGGGTGTTGCGATTTGCGATGTCTGGCGGCCTAGTCCCATCTCGAGAGGACTGTTCTGCCAGTGGGAAATAAGGTTCTGCACACGCTCGCGTGTGAAAAGTTCTCGGTCTGCTTGTTGCAGATCTATCGTGATGAGATCTAGGACAAAGTCTGCTGGGTTGGTTGTACGCGGACATTCGTGGCCTTGTTCGGCAAAGTGCGCGAGCATGTGTGACCCCGGACCTGCGTAGACGGGATAGCCGCCACGGGCTAGGAGGAGGACTTGAGAGAAATGGGTAAAGAGATCTGAGCGAGATTGATGGAGAGTAAGAATAAGAGTGCGGCCTTCGGCGGCGAGGCTGTGGAGGAGCTCTATTATGGACATTGCCGTGAAGGCGTCAAGCCCCGAGGTTGGTTCGTCGAGAAGGAGGACTTTTGGGTCTGTGAGAATTTGAATTGCGATTGTGACGCGCCGCTTCTCGCCGCCGCTGATACCTTTGATCAGATTACTGCCGATAAGATTGTCGGCGCATTCCTTTAGACCCATTTTGTACAGAATCTCCTCTGCACGTCGGTTCTTATCCTCGCGGGACATCCAGATTGGCAGACGTAAGCCTGCAGCAAATCGTAGACTCTCCCGTACTGTTAAGGAAGGCATCAGTGCATCGTCGTCTTGAGTTACGAAGGATGTCACAGATCGAATGACGCTCTTTGAGGGTATGGCTCCGTTGTATAGCATTTCACCATAAACACGGTATTTTGTCCCTGCGGAACCATGTAGTCTGTGGGCTATTGAATTCAGCAGCGATGTCTTGCCGCTTCCAGACGGGCCCATAATGACATTCAACTCTCCTGACCGAAACTCAGTGGTGATGGGCTTGAGGATCTGGAGTATCTTTGCTTTTTGCCAGGGATATTGTCTCTTTTGGATATCTAGCGCATATTGATCAAGCGATAGCGCCACCCTGCGCACCTCGTCTGCTGGGCGAATTGCGAGCTTAGCCTTTTTGCTGGACGGGTCACCCTCAGTTTTCCGCGCTTGGGCAACATCTATGGCAAATCGGTTGTATTGTAGCAACAGTCCAGCCAAGGTATAATGGCCAACAACAAACGCGACGAGCACCACAATAGGCCGCCAGATCCAGTTGGATGGCATCCCCAAGCTCTCCATTATGTAGCGGCCGGTGTACTGTTTGCAAGCTGGGTCCCGTGGATCGTTGGAATATGGACAGTCATAGAACTGGCCCAGCTCTGGGCCATTGACACCGATGAATTCGTTTGCACATAGGGCACCAAATGTGTAGAAGCTATAAGCACACCACTTTAACCACTTCACGTAGACTGGGATCTGGTTTGCCTGGACGAAGTACCCGCACGCAAACGATTGCAACGTGAAGGACAGGTTGGTTACCAGACTGGCTCCAGGGAAACTTCGCGCAACACCAACAGCTACTGCGGCGAATGTGACGGCAATGTAGTGAGTGAGCAAGGTAAGAACGAAGAAGACAAAGAACTGCGCCGCATCAAGACGGTACCCCACCATGAAGTAGAATATGAGAGAGAAGATCAACGGCACAGGAAGATCCTCTAATGGCAACCGAGCTGCTCGTCGGCTAAAAAGGAAAGCCGGTACGCTAACCACGCCTTCGTTGCGCTCACGATCGAACAATTGAATGTCGATTGTCAGCCGATAAGTCTCATACAACAGAATGAGATAGCCATTCAAGCTGCTAGCAATGTACAGACTACCCTCACGCGAGCGTATTCCTGCCTGGCTCTCGTCGAGCTGCAAGAAGATCCACCCATTGATGACACCCATTCCAACAGCTTCCAGAAGACTACCAGCGACACCCATTGGATCACGAATAGTAGTCTTAAAAGTGCGAGCTGTCAAAACGTGGAACTGTCGACGAAACGAGACCGGCTTCACAGCTCTAGTCTCAGGGCTATCGATCTTATGCTTCGAGATTGCCTCTTCGCTCTGGTTCTTCCTCTCCGTATGTGTGATCACGGCCTTCTTCGTTCGCCACGCCTCCCTCAATCGCTCAACACGAACCTTCGAAGCAGCCTCAAGCGTCTCCGATCGATTATCAATAGCAGCAAGATCGATCAAAAACTCAGCTGGATTGACGAACGGTGGAAGAACATGACCACACTCCTCGAAATGCGCCAGCGACCCTTCCACGGAGCCACTATACAATGCTGCCCCTCGAGCCAATAAAACGACATTATCAAAAAGGCTCCAGATCTCCGAGCGCGGCGCATGGATTGAGACAACAACCGTTCGCCCATCCAGCGCAAGACGCTTCAAAGTCCTGATAATCTGAAACGCACTGGTAGCATCCAACCCCGTCGTAGGTTCATCGCAAAACAACACAGACGGATTCGCCAGTAGCTGCACGCCGATGCTAGTACGTCTTTTCTCGCCACCACTGCAGCCCTTGTGAGCAGTTGTGCCGATACGGGTATCAGCGCACTCTTTCAACCCGAGTTCGAGAATGACCTGTTCCACAATCTCGCGGCGCTCAGTCGGAATTGTTGGTGGAGGAAGACGCAGGTCTGCAGAATAGCGCAGGGTCTCACGAACTGTCAGAGTTGGAATGAGGACATCCTCTTGCATAACATAGGCGCTGCGGATGCGCGTGATATCAGGGTTGTCGTTGAAGGTTGTACTTCCGGATGTATTAGTTCGGGAAAGGCTCATTCGGCTAGCCATTAGGTTGAGCAGGGAGGTCTTGCCCGATCCGCTGCTTCCGATTATGGCGGTTAAGCTTCCGCTTGGCATGGAGGCAGATACATTGTCCAACACTGCCTTGGATGTGCGTGCGGGGGCTTGACCTCTCAGACGCTGCCAGATCTTTGATGGTGAGGTCTCCCATATTGGTGTGGTGTTGACTTGGAGGGATAAATTGCGGACGTCGATATCCACTGGGTTTACTGCGCGCAGAGAGAGGTTGTATGTAGCATCTCGCACATCTGCAGGAAGGACCGCATGATCTGTGCTCACTTCGGTGATGATCTCCTCTTTCTCCATGGCGAGTCGTGCTCGTCTAGTGAGATTGGGTGGCTGCGAGTCATGTATCATACCCCAGGTCATTTCCCCCAGGTTCTTCTTTCAAGGTCGGCTTCCCCTCTTTCATCGAGTCGCTGTTGGTAATAAACGGGATGGAATGACCGCAGGATGATAGGCACCCCGAGTTTCTAGATTCTGCCCCAACAATTGATCCCTGGTCGGAGGGGTTGGTGCAAACGCTAATCCCGACTTGATATCCTTGTAGTTCACAACTCACATTCGGAGAAGTAAAATTCAGTCTCCTTACCTCGGACCTCTCCCGGACTATAGTTAGCGTCCGACTCTTGGATTACGATTGGACTGTCACCCCGCAGAACGTGGTCCTTGCATAAGCGAGGAGCTGTCATCCACTGGGGGGTCCGGAGGGCCACCTGGTAGAGGGTACATCACAAAACATGTGGGACAGACTTAGCTGATATACTCCATATTGAGTATATAAGCTCCGGAGGTTTCAACCCGGGCAGTCATATCGAAAGACTAGCAAGGACACGAAATAAAGGACGGGAAAAGCTAGAGCCTCATAGCACTCGTCATAACTTCTGTCCATGAGAGGCTGTGTAGGTACGACTCTGCATAAGATCCATAAGATCACAGCTGAAGTCAAGGATACCCCCAGCTCAAGGGAAGAACAAAGAAACAAAACTCCAGGAACCAGAGTCTAGACCTTGAATACCGGACAAATTAAAACCAAAAAACAACCATTCAATACTGTACAAGGATGAAGGCCCTATTTCCTATTCTGTCATGCAAGAAAGCCCAAGCCTCGATATATACACTGCCCTGAATAAAATGAAATCCCAGACCATTATCCTCCAAAAACAAGAACGCCTACATCACACATGAGATCATCCGGACTCTCGACATCAATTCATCGCACAAAATCACACCGCCATAATTTTTGGTTCGGACCGGGGAGGCTTTTAGGAAAGGCGCTCGTTTGTATTAGACCATGCACAATGCACAATGACACGATGACACGCCCCCGGAGAGTCCGCGCACCGGTGCTCGCAAGCCAAAATTGGAGAGACACAAACGCCAATGTAAGCGGCGATCCTCCCCAGTCTGGAAGATGCGGGCAATGCATCGGTCGCAGTCAAAAAATCAAAGCCAAAACGCCGCATGGTACAACCTCGGTCTGAGGAGATGATCATTATGTCCCCCGGTCCAGGACAGGGCCAACGCCTCTTCCAAGAGGGCGGTAATAATCAAAAGAGAACAAAATAGTAGTTTAAAAAAAGGACAGGGTGTTAGAAGGGTAAGCGGAGGAAAGAGAGGGGGGGAAGAAGAGGGACATTCAGGTGATCAAGAAATCCATCTTCATATCATGAATAATCCTCTCCCAATCCCAACTGTCCTCCATCCGGGTATCCATTACCTCCCAAACTCGCGAAACCACCTTAAAGGCAGGTTCGATATTCCGCAGGTTGGAGTAGGACTTGAGGTTATCAAAGCCCAGTTTGACTCGTTCGCGCTGTTCGGGAAGGAACGCGGAACACCCGAGCAGAAACAGCGGCATGAGCACGATACTAAAGGCACCTGAATCATGTGGCAACTGGTCCAAGTAATTAAGCCCGTCGTCAACAACTTGCGCGATCTTATCGCTCGGTCGCGAAGGCCGGATTGTGCGGTATAGATATACCCAAGTGGACTGGCGGTATAGCTGGGCCAGAGACCAGTTCGGGGTATCGGGCTCGTGAGAGGTTTCCCATCCGCGGATCGCTGTGTCGATAGAGACGGCCTCGCTCAGTGTCTGGTAGTCAACCGCTGGTTCGTAGCCTTCGTTGAAGCGTTCGCGGATACGGTCGCGTAGCTGGGTCACCTGCGAGATATAGTTGAACAGCCCGTCGAAGACGCCAAGGAACATTCCTGCCGATGCACCGGGTACAAATTCGGGTATATGAAACTCGCTGTGTAAAAGGTTGGGGCGGCGATCGAGGGAGGTGAGGGAGTTCGAGACGTCGTGGTACTGGAAGAACTCGACGATGAATTGGCGGAACTTTTCGTTTCGAGGCTGCTGTGATAGTAGCAGGTATCGGGCGGCATCCATGTGCGGTCGGTATTCGCCGTTGGTTTCGCCTTCGCAGATCGTGTTCAGGCTAAGGGCAATGGTGGAGGCGATGATCGGATCCTCAACGAGCAGTCGCTCTTCCTCATCTGGGCTCTTCGGTGACGACGATGAGGCATTAATGTTGTCTTTCAGATCTTGAATGGCACGATGGAAGTGGAAGTATTTTCGCTCCTTCAGCTTCTTATCGGGGTCCAACCCTGAGAGATGTGACCCGGACAAGCACATCAAGGAGTGCATCAGCCCTCGGTGCTGGGTCGCCATCGGGAGAAGGATCTCCTTAAAGGGATTCGAATCATCATTGATAAGAGTCAGGACACGACTGAAACCATACACGAAATGATCCAAAAAGCGACGGTCGACTTCCGTTTCGATGCCGTCGATGAGGAGGGGTAGACTGCGCGGCACGGCTGCAAGGGACTGGGATTGAGCTGATTGAAAAAAAAAACCACATTAGTCGGTGTGAGAGAAGGGGGAAGATAATAATAAAATGCGCCTACCATCAGCCAACCTCTGTCTCCCACTCTTCCAGATCTCCTTGGGCGGGTAACCTTCGCAGACGACCGCATTTTTCTGACAGTTGAGACACCTGACCTGTTAGACAACCCACAGACCAGGTGGGAGATGCGAACTTACGCAGGTTTTGTCTCGTCACACTTCTTCTTCCTGCGACGACAGGTTATACAACCAGTCTTGGAGCGACCTTTGGTGACCTTGGCCTGACCTCCAGGGACCGGCAGCGGGTGTTTGCGTGGACGACCACGTTTCCGTGGGACGGCAGCGGGAGCGCCCGACTCCACATCCACCGGCTTGATGCTCAACAGGTCGTCGTCGAGTTCTTCCACCTTGGGGATTTCCATGATGTCCTCTAGAAACTGTGCAGTCGAATCGAATTGCGAGTAATCTTTCATTTGCTCTTGGTCTCGATCGATCGATGGCGATTCCTCGCCATTCCAATCGGGCGAATCAGTCGACGCATCGTCAGTGCTGACTCCAGTGCTCGCACTGGATGTGCTTGCTCGGATGAGAGAGCCACGAATCCCTGATAGAGGAATGGCGGACATCTCCGGTCGGGCATCACAGCCCTCCCGAGCCTCAGAGTCATTCAAATCCACATGGGTGAAGAACGGGGAACTATGCATTGACAACATCGAGGGAAACAGGACATCCGATAAGAGCCCAGATGCGCTCTGCTGACGAGAGGGGGACTTTCGGGTATAAATGGAGGGGGGAGGAAGCTAAGTACGGGAAAATGTGCTTGGTCCACCAACGTGCGTGTGATCAGAGAATACACTTTCCAAATCGTAGAAAATGTAGAAACTGCCAGATAGACTCAGCAAAGAGAGGGGGAGAAAAACTAGTCCGACCTTGAAGGATATTAGGGGCATTAATATAGACTGAGCTTGTGGTAGGTACGGAGTACTCCGTACGTCTAGTAGGTATAGGGCTTGGGTGAATCCAATGCGTAATGAAAATCCAGGCTACATTAGTTTCTACCTATGAACGCATTAGCCCGGAAATCCTCAATAATTTCTATTCCCTCAAATTTTTCCTAAATTAAATATTCTCAGACCTATGTCTCTGTTAACCTTCGCATGCGGGGAGGCTGCCAAGCATGTTGGATCTGACGCCCTGATTTGCAGTGAACAAGCCTCAGCAAAAGCAAAAAGAAAAGAAAAAGCGAATGGTTTCTGGGGTTTGGGTTTTATTTGCTTTTTGCTGTTCGATTTTGCTTTGCTTTTCTTTTTGGAGGACTCGTTGCCTTGGGATCGGCCTCTGATCCATAACTCCTGCCTCGTATGATTCTAGTCCGGAGCGCCATTAAGCAACTACACATGCAATACTTCAATACAGAATAACGTGGGTGATTCGTCATGATGCCACATGCGCCAGAAGTCAACCCTGTAAGACATTCCCCCTTGATCCGTGGGGTTTCCTCGAGCCAAGACAAATCACCCCGGATGCGATGACACCTAGTCCCCGGAGCTGTACAGACAATATAGGTAGAATGATGTGTAGCAATACGACTTGATGAGGATTCCTCTGACGAACCATTCACCAAGCGTGAAAGGCTCCCCTCCCCCACTATGAAGCTTTCTTCTGCTTCCTTTTTTTTTTGTTGCTGCTCAGATGCCCCTCGATCCAAGTGACGCCTATTCCCATTGGGAGACCCCCCCACACATCGGGCCTAAAAGGCCCCGGTCTTGATTGAAATTTCCAGCTATTTCCGAGTAGGATTCTCTTTCGTGAAATGCCGCCAAATCTGGGGTAAAGAGTGGGCCAGATCGTTTGGTGCGACCAGCACGGACATCCGCTGCAGGGAATTGACAAGGTTCGGATTACAGACGCGATCCTGATCCCACTCCGTTGTCGGTTCAGAATGCCACTTAGGTCATCTTCTGTGAGCAGTCAATATTCTGCACTGTCGTCCAGTTTGTATGGCTTCTTGCCATGCTTCTCGGATCCTGTTTAGTTGCTGTGAGCTGTGACAGCGAAAAGGGGGTGGAATGTGGCAAACTGCCCAAAGTACTGACTGCGCAATGCCCCCATGGATCTGCCGGGAGACTAACAAGGAAACACTCGTCTGGAGTTAATGACGGGCTAGCGTTAAGGCCCTTTTCTTTTTGTTGGAATTTTTTTTTTTTGATTTAACCGAATTCGACCCATCAGCTGAGACGCGTCAGAGGCTAGATGCTTTTCATATCCCTGCTAGTAGTTGCCTGGTACGAGCTTCTTCGCTTTCGCTTATACCGATTTACACATGCATTGAGGTCAAGTTACGAAGTAGATCAACGAGAAATTTGTCACCCTTTTTTTTTTTTTTTTTTTTTTTTCCTTTTCTTTTCTTTTTGATCCTCAAGATTGACACTGCAAGTCCATTGATCTGACGGGTTGGACCAACGATACGAGCCAATCGTTCGATGGTGGAATGTGCCGCTAACAAGTCAGGCAATTTATACAGATGATCTCGCGTAAAAAATTATGGGGAACGTTCTGAAGGCTTTTTTTGGCGTCGCATTATAATTCTTGACGGGGCCACAGTCTCTTTATCTCGCCTCTCTTCTCCATGCGAGTGTTTCCAGTGTGATCTAGGTGGTTGATATACTTCTATACACCGTACAATACACACGATTCAAAGTCTCCGCTTGAGCCAAAGGCGGGTCGACGGTTGTTCCCGCTCAGTGGGGCCGTTGAAACACAATGCAAACAAAGAAGTCGAATGTTTTGCTTTCCCTCTCGTTCCTGGTGAGAGCAAGGGGGTGAGCGACACACCATCTCCTCCGTACTGCGTACTCTGCTTGTGCGTCTACGTCACACATACCCAGAATACAAAAGCACCAAAAGTTCCCAGCTTCCGGGTAATCTTAAGAGCCACATGACCCTCCTCAGAGTTTGACTAACACAGCAAGTGAGCCGAGATTATGGTCTGGACTATCGTCCGCCCTTCAATTTGCCCCTCTCGAGATCTTTGACCTCCTCCCCCATACAAACATGGAAAGGATTTCCTGGTCAAGTTACCAGCTTCGGAGGGGTTCCGAGAGGATCCGGAAACGCCATGGTAGTGGACACGAGGGGAAATGAGTGTCTAACCGGTGTTCGTCACATAGATGTTCCGTCAGGCACAGTCCACTACAGTCCACCGGAAATGCACGACCACTCCTAGGATGATATTAAACACCAATCACGAACTCCTTATTGCACGGTGGGAAACTTGCGACATCCGCAGCGCGCTAGTCAGATCGTCGAAAATAAGTTCGGTTGAGTATTCTCCTCTTATTGGGCGCAGGCAAGCCCCGTTGAACTCATTCAACGTGCCTCTCCAATCAAACTACGGAGTACGTAGTATTCCGTGTCCAGAAACCAGAAACAAATCCAAGGTTTGCTGCACTCGTTCTCGCTCCACTTACGGAGCGTTCGGTCTCTTTCAGCCGCGGCTGCTCAAAATAGGAACAAGATCGGGCTTTTCTCGGCACGGTGGTCTCTGAGCTGTGTTTGGGATTTGACATGAGACTGGATCAAATGGGCCTGCAATTTTTCTGCAAGACATTATGACAAAGAATATCTTGTGTCTGAGGAGGAGCATACATACTCCGTACTTATGTTCAAACAGATATAGCTCGGCCTGCTCGGATGCAGGCCTGACAAAACAGGCCGCCAAAACTAAATTTCGAAATTGACCAGGTGAGCAGTACGGAGTAATCATACTGGAGGTTCTTTTGTTGGTTAGGTCACGTTTGCTCCATCTCGTTAAAGTCATCTCCGCATGATGAAGGCGTACATCCAAATCCACCTGGGCAAGACAACCCAAGATTAATCAACAGAGATATAGGCGGCAATCACGCTGCCTCGAGTCATGAGTATAACTCCTCATTGAATCTGAGTGATCAGACATCCCCTTGGTCCAAGATCATATCTCTGGGCAACGATATTTTTACTTTACCCATTGATGGACTTTGGGCATGTCTGGGCTTTTTTACAATAAATCTCGCCACGGATGACGTTGAGTTTGAGGATCACCGCATATCGGAGGCTACATGTATCAGTATATGTTTTGTTGGCGACACAAAAAGAGCTTAAATTCCAGTCGCTGACGTTCTGGTTTGGCTCTTATCTTCAGAATTCAAGCCCCGAAATGCAAGGAGTATCATTCCACCATGCCTTCGGGCACCCGATTACAACCCCATACGACACCTTTCTCAGCCAAGCGAGCCGGCTTCCTGTAGAAAAGCACAGTTTGAACAAATTCGAAGCAGAGGAAATCCCACACACTCATAAGGCGAGGATCTAGAGACTTCTGAGCACAAGCATATCGCAGATCCCAACCCGGAGCACATGAGCGATGCCTTCCAAAGAATTAAGGACAGGCGCACCAAAGCCATATGTCAGGTATATTTCTCTACTTCTATGGCGAGGCTAACATTGCAGCCAGGAACTGGATCTTGCGAATGATTTATGGAGGCGTCAATGAAGATTTTGGCACAGATACACCACACAGAGCCCCAATCAACCTTCATCTTTCTAGGTTGAATAGGGCTGTCCTCAATGTTCCTCTCGCAACAAGTGCCAAGAAGCTCTTTCCACTGTTCATCTCCATGGTCTTTCTTGATGTGATGTCTGCATATACTCTGTCCAGTCCGACAGGCTCACGCATTCGCTAGAGTAAGATATTTGATCGGATTGAACACCAAGCAAATATCAATTTCGCAGACACGTTGATCAGATTTATACCATCGAGTCAACAGCCAAAACCTCCCTCTTTCTTGGGGCTAAAGTATTTATGGCTATAGTTATCATTCAGCATGGCTGTCTTTGCATGAACAAGATGGAGTTACCTGGAAGGGTCCTCGTGGCAATTCCATTTCTTGCATTTCCGTATTATAGCTTTCACGGACGACCTTGCGGCCAGCTGAGTCTGACGCATAGCATTGCTGGATATCATATATTTGCCGGTGATACCGTTTGATTTGAGTATCAAATTGAAAATTCCCTTGTCCAGATATACCTGATATTCATACTCAATCAGGGCTTTTCTCAGTGGGGTTGTAGTTTGCCACAAGCATTGCAAGAAGGATAACATCATTAGCGTTGGAGACAGCTCTCGGCACAGTCTTGAGCTCCAAAATCCTCGAATAGAGTCCCGGTTTTGCATATCTAGGTATTGCTCAACCTTTGATGCCAATTGGAGATGGGCCAAAGCCTTGGTAGTGCCTACATAAGGTAAGACCCTCCCACCTTGGTTGGACTACTTAGGAAACTAAAGCGAGCTATGTATAAGCCTTCGCTTCATCTTTGTTGGCAGTTTAGGATTCTCTTCCCCAGGGATTACTTGCGATAATGGAAACAACCTAGTCCACTCATCCATACCAATTATCCAAGATATCCCGGTTTGGATGGTCTTTGAGTGTTGCAATCCGAATAGAATGAGGATTCTAGACGTCGAACCCCAAAGGCATCGACGAGGACTTCTTACATCGTCGGATCTTCAAGGAACTGCTAGGATGATAAGAACAACACTATCTTTTCTTCAATAGCCAATCACTGCCAGGATTAAGTCTTGAAAAAATGAGTTGCTGCTTGATAACCTCAACAAACGATCATTAGGGAAGATCCTTCTAACTTACAAGGTTATATGAAAGATAAGAAGCAAGTATACCCAATATGCCCAATATCTTGCTAGGGTGCCAGCATAATAAAGCAGAAGCGACCATTCCCTATCTGAGAGGCACCAGGGATCTTGATAAAGAAAATTCCAACGGGGGGAAACGGCCAGGCGAACCGAGGTCTTAGAGATCCTTACAGACACTCGTGAAGCTATTCGCAGGGTCTAACTCGTAGTTCTCGACGTATTCAAGGATTTCGTAACATTCAAGTTTCACATTGTTTAATATACCCAGAACCTGACACATGCTGCTACTCATGGGCCTAGGTAATAGGCGATAGACATGTGATGCGAAAGCAACGAGAGTGGCACATACAATCGATCCGAAACATTCCAAGATTGCGGCTACAAAGCATTATCTCTAAGCATATAAAGTCCACAAGCAGAACAATATCAGGATTGTGGAAGGATAGAAGCAAGTCAACTGACAAGACACAAGTAGCCCATTTAATGATAATAGCCATACCCCAACCGTGTAAACCGTTCCCAATGCATCATATATGAGAAGTCCCATTTGACCCCATAGCCATGACCCGACCACACATTAAAGAGACAAAGACAGATGGCCCCGACCCATGCAAAAGGCTAATAATGACAAATACAAAGATAAACGCAAAAACAAAACAAAAGCAAAGAGGATATCACTGAGATAACAACAGGACTTCCCTTTGAAAAGGAGTCAAAGCAAGTAGAGAAACATAGACATGAAGATAAAACATAGGGTTGAGCTGCATCCCAACCATGTGGAACGGGTCTAAAAAGTGTTTTGTTTCTGGTTTCACCTGGAAATTGAAGGGGCTGCTTCATGCGATGAATGCACGATCTAGCTGGCGCAACGCCCTGGTGTCCTCGCCTCCGAATCCGATCTTCTCGTTGGGGATATCGCGGGGCCCATCGGCGATAGCACTCTGAGCGGGCGCTCCATTTGAGACCGCGGTGGCACCACCGGGAGAGGCAGTTGAGGAAGATAGAGGGGCTAACGATGCACCGTTCATTAATGAACTGATACCTGGGACGGCATTTCCAGCGCTCGCAGGAACCGAAGGCTTGGGCGATGCGGCAATAGGGTTGAGGGGGTGTAACGAGGCGGAGGGCTCTTGCTTCACTGGGTGAGGGCTGTGCGCATGCCCGTTTGGCTGCACGAGGGATTGCACTGCCACACGCGGCGATGCCATACGATGATCAACCAAAGGATGTCCGTAAGCCGCTGGGCTCCGTTGCTCATGAGCGTGGGCATGTGCATGCTCGTGCATTGATCGCGGCGATCGGTTCATATAGCTCGGTTGGTGTGGCGGTCCGGCTGGAGGTAATGTAGATTCCATATGGGGTGGTCGTTCATATGGGCCCGCCATTCCGTGCGGAGGTGGGGGAAGGCCAGCTGGATGTTGATGCGGTAGAGGCTGATGGTGTGGTGGGCCGTAATGAGGATGTCCATTAATAGCAACCGGGGGAAGATATGAAGGACCGGGACCATATTGTACTGAAACAGTTGGTGGTGTGGCTAAAGGCGTGGGTGGCCAGGCGGCATAAGCTGGATATGGTTGTGTATGCGTGGCGCGCGGATATGTGCCGAGAGGGTGAGGAGTAATGGGGTAGGCAGCACCTGCCATAGGTCCTCGAGTGACGACAGGAAGGTTTTGCTGGTCATTAACTGTCGACTCAGGATATAGACCTTTTTGGGGGCGAACGTGGCGCAGTGCAGGATCTGAGGTTGGTTGTTGTAAATTGGCGGCAGAAGGGTGAGAGCGTGAGTAATAGCTAATCAGATGCAAGTGCTGGCCGTTGGATGTTGTAATACTGAAGGACTGCTTCATCAAGCCATCTGGCTTATAACGGTACCCATCTGGCCCCTCGTCCGTTCCATCGGCGCGATCATCATCACTGCCCCGACTTTCCGGTGTCTTGCCTCCCCGGGACACAGAGCCCTGAGAAACACTGCCCCCTCCCCGCTTTCCTTCCATCTCTCGGTAAGTCAAAAAGCTACCAGACACACGGCTGGCACTCCATGACTTTCCGTCGGTCCATCGTCGCATACCCGCTTCGCGCTCATCCCATACAAAGACTGAACCAGATCGAATTGATTGTCGCTCTTTTTCTGAGAGTCGCCTTTGCACCCGCGGTAAGAGGCCGATACGGCAGGCTTCGAAAAGAATGATAGCGTCCGCAGGAGTGCGAACGTGCCCGTAATATGTCTCCATCCAAGCTCTCGAGTCGACCGACGACTCTGTGTGATTTGATCTGATGGCCAGATTGAATGAGACAAGGTACGTGTGTACGATATAATAAGATGGAGTGTACTCCGTACAAAAGAGTGTTTGGGGGGGTGCGTAAGATCTAAGGGAAAGAAAAGAGGCGCAAGTGGAGAGGGAGAAAATAGGGTTCAGGTCCAAATATAAAAGGAACCAGGATCCGAGTCAGTTGGGTATGGGGTAGCCTGTAGACCGGCGTGGGTGGGTAAGGCCGAGCTTTTACGTCACCCAACACGGTTAGACCGGCTTGAAAGGCGTAATTTCTTTTTTTTTCTTTTTGCCTCTTTTAGAAGGGGGGGGGAGTGCAGATATTGTTGTGGGCCAAGTGGGCTTGAGGGCCGTAAGAATGCCGAAAAAAGACAAGGGAGAGAGCCAAGGCTGAACAAACACAAAGAGAGAGAGTGGGGGACCTACTTTGTGACTCCACAAGGTTTCTGAAGGAATGGCTTAGCCTGGTATTGTCTCGGGAACTTTTTCAGAGAGAGAAAGAGAGGGGAAAGAGGAAAGAGATGGAGGGGGAAGAAACGAGATTCTCTTATTCAATTAAATGTCCCGGAAGCTTATAAGACACAATGAAGAAATCATAAAAAAGAAGGTTAAATAAGGGAAGCGGAGAGACAAGAGCGGGCCAAGCGATCCAAGCGAAAAGATCGGAATTTGCTAAACGCCGAGATTCCAAGAATGGGCCAAAGGATTGGAAAAGAGAAACCTGGTTTACGATGGTAATTTCTGAAGGTTGATTTCCATTGGGTTTGGGTAATACGAAATGTAGAAGGAGTGGAGGAGATAAGGGCAGAATAATTATACTGTGTTTTTTCTGTTTTTTCTGTTTTTGCTGTTTTTTTTTTCTTTTTTTTTTTTTTGGGACTCTCGCAATCCACTCGGCTAGTTATGCATGGGAACCTTGGAAAAGGAGATGAGTCTATGTTGTGGCGAGGCTGAAGTGGCACGGATATACAAAGACTTCATGTAATATGGTGTAGCCTGGGTAATCTCAATGTGTACGGAGTAAATTATATCCAATCAAATCGGTAATTTTCAGGAGTCTAAACTTCAATGTACGGAGTATACGGAGTACAATTTTGGAGGTTGATGAAAATCAAATGATTTCTTGGGTTCTGAAAAATAGACTTGTTTGCTCTTCGGGTTGACGGGGTTTGAAAAACCTTGGAAAGCAGTAAGGTTAATTTGGCCCCTTCAAATGCGCCCCATTCCTGGCAAATAGATTAAACTAAAATACATCGTAAAGGGTAGAAGAAGAGATCAGCATTAATAGATGGATGGACTCCGTACCCTGTAATAATACCGAAAAAAAAAGAGAGAAAAGAAAAAGAAAAAGGGCTGTAAACTGTTCTGTGTCAGAAAAGTGGCGCTCTGATCGTAAGAAAAGGTTAGTGCGGACCTCTTAAGCTTAATCCAACACGAGGAGGCCGGCGCTGAACTTTATGCTCGCTTACAGAGGCCACATCCACCCCCTCCACCCTGGATTAATTTATTCTTGGTAAAGGGGAGTCTTCATTAATTCCATATTAAAGTGGATCTTGAATAACTTGGATAACGTACGGAGTATTCCGTACTCCGTACGGAGTACAGAGTAGTCAAAGACATATTTACCTTCGGGTCTTTCAACCGGGAGAATTCCCATTCCCATGGTTCTATCCCCATCATACAATGCATACCCCAGAGTGCCATTTTATTAAAAGAATAACGATACATACATATCGGGATTTGCCCAATGCAACTGCATCCTCCAGGTGATTTATAATAGCCTGGTTGCGGTTCTGTCCGATGCAGCCTTATCCAATCATCCCTTGGCATTGGCAATTCCCATACGAGTCACATCCAAACAAGGTTGATCTTAGCGAATCTAGCCCGGAACATTTTCATTTATGTCCGATATCCGAGATTCCATAGGTTAATTGGAATCATAAAATAAAAGCCACAGTGGCCCTATCCTCGTGACTCGTACTCGTATCGGGTCCAGTGACACGGTGTTTTGGTTTCGCCTGCGCTGACCACAAAGCTTGACAACATCCTAGTCCAAATCAAAGCAATAATCCTGAAGACAAGTCTAATGTACTCCGCATAGAGGACTGTTTTGAATGTATGAGGCTATGTACATTGTTCTGCGCACGTACAATGATGCACAGCCAAAGGCTAACTGGGAAGCCACGTAATGGGATCGCCATAGCCCAGGAGGCAAAGCACTCAATGTGTGCTACGGCTGGTTGTACTAGCTGCGCTTCCCATAGGAAGTACTTTTCCGGATACTCCTTCTGGTTGAAATACAGTGGCTTGAGATTAGCATGACTTGCCTTATCCATCGGCCAGAACATGATTCGACTGAATCATATTTACTCCGTACATCGATAGCCGCTGACACCTTAACTCGGCGATAAGGTTACCTGGCCCGAGTTTGCCCTCTGTGCCGCTCATGTTTACCGCGCAGCTAGGCTTGTACTTTGTAATTAGCCTTGCAGATGGACGTGTTCTAGGGGGCCGTCGCACTCTAGATCCCAATATCGGACCCCTGTACATTGCATGAGACGTCAAAGGTACCAGAGACATTCAAAATTGGCCGCCACACCCATACCTTACCATGAAAATTTGGAATAATCCATGTCCAATCCATGATCTTCATGGTTTTGTGCTATATGCTATTATGATTCCCGATGTCGCGCACGGGCCGAATTGAAGCCAGTGGAAGCGTATCGCCAATAAAGTCCCGTTGTACGAGGATCAATCTAATAGGGTTCGGGGGGCTAGTACACCTTGGCAGCTGATTTACTTCTTGGCTTCGGGCCTGATCTGGATGTGGTGTTTGGAAGGTTGGGGGGTCCATGTTATTTTAACAAATATATCACCGTGTCGGCGTAGTTACATGCTTGGAGAGCCTGCATCACATGTCTCACATGGCGTCGTCGTGACCTGGTCTTCCATCTACCAGGTCTACGGAGCAGACAATGTTGCACGGCTTCCTTTGATGTAGGTTCCAAGGAACAAAAGACAGTTTGGAGAATGAGAACAGGTATAGAATTCCATTACATATCGTGTATCATCCAACATGCATGCCTTAAGTATTCGCAAACTAGTACAAAATATGTTGTGTTCTTGTGCTGCCGGGTCAAGTTGTCTAATGATTAATGATAGGCTATGAGCAACAATCGAGGTTGATCAGGGCGGAAAATTCCAATCAGACGACGGAGCTGGAATAGTTACATTCGCCTTTATGTAACGGCGTCAGTGTAGGTTGGTGCTTTCTAGTGGAATAAAATAAGCATAATCGACACCACGAATCACCACATGTATCCCTTCTGTGAAGTATGCAACCATGTGTGAATTCGGTTCGAGATGAGTGTAGAAGCTCAGGCCTCCGACCAAAATTTTCAATGATTCATTTTTTAAGAAGGCCGCCCAGTTCCTGACAACCGTGAGTTTGTGTCTCTTGCTCTATCAGAACAATCTATCCCTGGTTTCCCCGGGTGGAAAAATTTATCAGGTCTACCTTGTCCCTGACTTGATCCTGTCTCCATGTCCAGGTTGGAAAGCTGGAAACACAAACCATGCCGCGAACTGCCGCGTATTCTCAAGGCTATATCCGACTATCCGAATACTGCTTTTGCCCAAGTGGATCCAGCTCCACACCTCGCTAACCACTCCGTACCTAATATCTCGCTGGTAGAACGCACCTTCGCGGGCGAAGCTGACGATTTTGCCGACCGTGGTTCGGGCAGCGCTTTCTACTGTTCTTAATGGCCTCGGACTACTTTCGGGTCGATGTATAAATTTGTAATCCGTACACAGCATTCGTTCTCATGTATAAATAATATCCGATAAATGATCCGACGTGGGTGGCCTAATGCTTAAAAAGTCCCTCCTACAGGTCAGCCAAGGTATTTGACAATACAGATTTCTCCAGTTGGGGGACAGATAGTCTGGTAATAAGGCAACCAACACTAAGACATCACATAAAATGACGTACGATCAAATGTCCTTGTATTGTAATGCATCCGTTGCAACCTTGGAATTAAAGGTTGCCAAGAACCAATTTTGTGAAACGTCACACGAGCTTATCTCCACTAGCATAATTAAGGTGTCTATTGTCTGGATGAATAGGGAATGTGCTCGAGAAGCTGAGGTTTCTTTTTCTGTTCCCTTTTTCATTTCATTCCCGTCGATTTTATAGCTCATGTTTCATCGCATGAGGTCAGAGTGTCTCATTTGATTCTAGTCCAGTATCTTTTTTTCCACAATACATACTAAATTTATTGCCAGCGACTTGGTCTTTTACGGAATACCCCGTACAAATCACAAGGGTGCAAAATGCTGGTGCCTACAATAAGAATGACGAGGAGCTCAACATATAATCCCCTCAAAACATGAGGCCAAGACTCCCGAGGCCGTCAGTGCCAAGAGGATGTCAACGTTGAGTGGTCAGGTCTGTGGCTGGCCTGCGGAGGGGGCAATGTCATCGAAGCCTAAAATCCAGTTTCCCCCCCCTTGTGAACCATGGAATCTGTGGCTGCAAATTTATGGTTAATGTTTATTTTTCAACTTAACTTTACTTTACTTAGCCGAGCCACTTCCCAAGGTTTCAGTTGCTTTGATCCCCGGTCTTACATGAGCATAAACCATGTGGCGGGAATGCATTATTCTCCTCGGGGACTTTCTAATACCCGAATACGAAGTTGATTCGGCTTTTTACGAAGTAATTTTTGTCCTGGTCTCAGAGTTTTGAAGCCTGGATTATCAATTACGGATCGATTACTCCGTGCCCGTGCATACTACAATAATTCCCTATATGTTGCAAATCACATCTTCACCCTGTAGGCTATCTGCAATGTGATATGTCAGGTAGGGATGGCTTCCAGGCTGCATAGTTCGTACTCCGTACGGAGTACGGAGTACCTACCGCGCACTGCCTTCTTTCTGCTTATGCTTAACCCTGGTAAGGTTAGGGCCCCTTGGCCTGCTGATCCTGGCCTTACTCCGTGTTGGGGATGAGTTTTTGTGCTCGCTTGAACAAAGTCTATTAAATTAATTCAAGGCTGGGTGTTTTCTTCCTGGCTGTACGTAATAGTCCAAGAGGTGTTTGATATTGACAAGACTGTGAGATTATTACTCCAATATGGAGTACCCAGCATAACTGTGACAAACGGCAATGAAAACTCCACAAACCGGAATACCCGGCATAAATAAGCACGCGGGACTAAATGAGACCACGTTTTCCGTTGAATACGCCATCCACCGAACATTGGATGCTCAACCATGGAATGAGAATTCCTCGTCTCGCTTTCCAGTTTCCATCGGAGGACACTTGTTACCTTTTCTTGTCATCAACCTACTCCGTAGTCCGAACTCCGCGCGCCCGTGGGGCTCGGGCTACCTACGGAGTAGTACCCCCGACGCCCCGATTTTTTACATTGAGTCAGTGGACGCCTCGTTTTGAGACTATAGTGCTTGGCTTTTCTTGTGGTCCGGAGCTCCGGCGCATAAATCAGGGATGTGATCTCTAAATGTACGGAGTACGCCTATGCCACCCCCAACTATATGCATAGGAAGAAAAACGTCCCGGTCTAGACGCTACTATCGTGAAACCATCGCTGCTTTGAGTTTTACTTTGTCACAGCCCGAACATCCGAGCATCCCTCCATTCCTGCTCACATATGTTGTACGCTTTACGTTTGAATTGCCCTGATTGCCCTGCTATTTAGAACCTGATTCCTGCAATGTTCAGCCTTGCCCAAGAATATCAGTTGAAATAAGCATATGTTGTACGGAGTACGGAGTAGATCAGACCCTGTTCTCGACCTGTGCATCATCCGCATTATCCTTCGATATCACATACTCTGTCCTCGTACGGAGTACTCCGTGCTCCTACATAGTGAATGTCCTATCCCATGTTTACGAGACCCCAATTCCTCCAGCCACGTACGTCCTAACTAGGTGGGTAACATTCCTTCCAGTGTTTAGCGTTGCGCTTTGTTCTTACTTCCTCCCGGCCGGCCCCCGGAGCCATATAGGACGATCACTAAGCGGACTTATGGGAGGCGGGACGGCAATATGAGGAACAAAGCCGATGGATCGACAGCGAATCAACTATGGCATGATTTAGAAGATCGAGACGATCTATGTAGCCCGGCTCCATTTTCTAGTTATGGAGCAATTTGAGCTCTCCTGATTACCACAACGCGGTTCAAATCTATGTTGTAGGAACTTGGACCAGCAAAGACTGCCAAAAAGGGAGTAGGAAGATGGGCAAATCAATAATCTCTATACCTAGTTCCGGATCTAGAAATCGCGGTTGATTCTCCGTAGGGGGCCAGACTCTAGACAGGGGCACCTATCCGCTGGCATCCGCATAACGGGGCCATCGCGCCATATGCCTAAATATGACTAGTGAGAATACATACAAGTTTCTTACCTGGAGCTAAAACATCGCTTGCAGGGACTAACCGGTAGTGCCCGGCTCAGCTTATAACAGCCCATCAACTTTATGTTGTCCGGTGTATGCAAGGGCGATGAGAATGGTACGAAGATAATTTCTTTCTCACCACACATACCCATCACAGCTCAGCTACGCCATAGTATGTGAAATGAAGCCCAGCCGCTATAAATTACACAAAAAGTGGATCAAGAGATCATGTTTCGTTGGCTTCATACCTCCGATCATTCGGTTTACATATTATAATACAAATCTATCATACAATGACTTAGTATATGATGAGTCTCAGCAATCAGCACGGCCAAAGTATCTTGGGAAAGATACAATATCCCGCACGCTGGACACGCCACTCAAATATCCCAAGAATCGATCAAATCCTAGTCCAAAGCCTCCGTGAGGGGCAGAGCCCCAGCGTCGGAGGTCAGCGTACCATTGAAGGTGGCTCAAGTCCTCGTCGGGCGAAAGGTAAGGGTACACCGGCTCGCCTGAAACTGGATCTCCGGACTCGGAAAGTTGTCGGGCCTTAATCAGGCCGTGCTCGCGCATATTCTGGATAATATTGGGTAGGCGATGCTCGCGCAGGGAGCCTCCAGCAACTTCACTGACTTCGGGAAGGAGCAAGTCGAAGCATGCCACTGTCTCCCCAGGAGTGTTGCTGCCTTCCGCAACCTGCGAAGGAGCCATATAAAAGGGCTTCACTGATTTCGGGTAGTCCGTGACAAAGACAGGACGTCCCTGGTGCAGCACCTCGACGATGTACTTTTCATGCTCAAGCTGTAGCCCTCCATCCCACGTTGGGGGATGCTCAAATGATGCACCATCTTCGGCGGCAGCACGTTGGAGCATCTCCACGGCTTGTGTGTATGTGATGCGGGCCCATTTCGGTCCATCCATCAAATCGGTCCATCTTTGCCGTAGAGTCCCCACACTCTCAGCGCTGGTGTCCTGTCCCGGCTCACCAGACCGTTTTGCTGTCAATATTTCTTGTCCCACAGGAGTGTTATATAGACGACGCGTCAGATCGCGCAGCAGGTATTCCACTAATCCGGTGAGCGAATCAAGATCGGACATGAAGTTGACTTCGGCTTCGAGCATATAGAATTCGCTAAGGTGACGCGGTGTATCACTCTTCTCCGCTCGGAACACGGGTGTTAATGTCCATACGTTGCCCAATTCTGCGGCGTAGGCTTCAAGATGCAGCTGCGAGGACACGGTGAGGTATTTTGGCGCGCGGAAGAAATGCTCGTTCTCAGCGGTGGGTGTAGCGGCACCGCGTGGTGCCAAGGTGAATGTCTCGCCTGCGCCTTCACAGTCCGACGACGTTATAAGGGGAGGCTGAACTTGTGTAAATGCTCCATCCGGATGAGAATGGAAGACATTGGCAAGTTGGAACATGCATTCAGACCGGAACCGCGAGAGAAGAGAATTGAGGGGAGTTCGGATACGAAGATGAGGAATCTGGCGCAGGAAGTCGGGGCTGTGGTACTTCTTCTGGATCGGAAACGTCTGCAATTAAATATAGCATCGTTAGTTGTAGGTCTTGCGACAGTTGCACAGTAGCAGCTTTGCAGACTCACCTCTGGATCCGATGCGCCTACAATCGTTACATCGGTTGTTTGAAGCTCATGGGTTTGTTCTTTGCCTGGTGGGCAGGCTTTCCAAATACCTGATATCTCGATCGCGGTTCCGGTTGATAAGCTGAAATGGAAGTGCTCGAGTTAGTCTTCGTTGATCTAACAGGGTCGATCGCGACTCGCGATCAAACTTACTCTGCTGCTTGCGCGGGTTTCAGAATTGCCTGCAGTGGCTCCACGGTTGAGCCATCAGAGATCTCTGCGAATGCGAACCGTTTCTGCTTTCGTACAGACCGAACGAACCCATTCACTTTGATTTCTTGGTCCTCGAAGCTGCACACTCCACCATTCTTGCTAGCTTGGAGGATCTGCGCACATCGCACAATCGAAGGCCGAGAATTAATTGCTGAGTTTTGGCTAAGTCTGCCCACAGACGTGGCGAAGGTTCGCCGCCATATCTGCATTGCTGTAGTTGATGCAGTGGGTTAACTCGGGGAGTTCGGAGATTGCAGCCCCGGAAACTTATCGGCGTTGATGTCGGTCCGATACTACATCACTTTATGTTCAAATGTTGTATAGCGACTTACATTCTCTTGTCTTTTTTTTAGCTCTCGTATCTAACTGGCAGGCCAACTAGGCCCTCGATGTTTTTTATCTGGATGCTAATTATGCTCGTAGTCGCTCGGGGGGTTCTGAAGATGTCATCAACGACTGTGATTTGAACTTTTATTAAACATGTCATGACCGTTATATATATCCTTCCCTCCTTACAGAACATTATCAATAATATTCTACACAAGTCATGAAATTGCCTATTAGATCTAAGGGCATATATCCAAGACAATGTGCCTTGTATATGGTGGGTTGGAAATTCCCTGACCAAGTTATCAGCTCACAGGACTGTGCTGAATCTAGACATCACTATGCGCTCGCTATTCCTTTGACTTCTGATGCAACTCCATGAAAATAGGTCTATCCCCGTGCAAAGATGCAGGATGCTCAAAGCTTATACAGAAAGATTCTACTGTACAAATTCGCATTAGAAAATTAAAGCAAAAGGTGGGATTCCAACGCTATCGAGAGGTTCATTAAATTAAAACACGATTGGGCGTTCATATCAAACATCACAATAGTTTCAGCAAATCAGAGACAGAAGCAAAACGGAGCCAACTCCCTGAAGCAGAAGAACTACAAGTTCTTTTATTGCGAAGCTCGTCGTTCGTAAACCCTCCTTTCCTCTTCAATCATATCGATCGCATCCATGAGGACACCATTTGCGGCAGCTGCATAGACAGACATCCTGGATCGTCCACCCTCTTGTTCGGTCCCATAGCCTAAGTCGACAAGAGTAGAGACACATTGTTCAATCGTAGCATCATCAGACCGATGATCAACTGAACTAGGGACCGTGGCCTGCATTGTATCTTCCGCCGGGAAGCTTCCGGGAATTTGTTGGTTGAAAGATGGTGCACTTCGTTCTCTCCTAGAAAGTCGTCCCCATGTATCTGTCTCTGGAGTACCATGTGATTTATGCCCAAGATGACGCATGCTTGCGGAATGCCTGAGAGGATTATGACGAGCAGTCCCCGCAGCATGGCGATGATTAGACCTATGGGGTTTGAACCCAGTCGTTTCGTGATTGGCCGCACGTTTGCCACCAGACTGATGAACAACAGCAGATGGAAGTTCGGCGCTAAGAGGAAGCGAAGCCAGAGACGCTTCTGAAGTAGGCTGCAGGGACAGACTGTGAGTAGAGTGTCTCTCACGGCGTTCTGGGGTGGTTGGTGATTGGTGGTTCAAAACAGATGTAGTCGATTTTGCTGCATGGTGCTCCTGCTGGTTTGCAAGAAGCTGGGCCTCCCGCTGAGATACGGGAGGGAAACGAAACATACCCGTTGCTTCGTCTGTGTTTGAATTTGAGGGAATGTCTCGATCACTCAATGAACCATTATGCTGCGCGGTTGTGTCGGGCAAAAGCGAGGGAAACTGTGCGCTGAATGCGGGATCATCGCTCGGAGAGTCGAGTAGTGCAGAAGGGTCAATCTGGGTTTGGGTATCAACATTTTGTGTCGAATCTACGAAGCTGACAGACTTTCTGCGAATTGTCGATTTTCCGTGTGGCGAAGCATTATTTGGCTCAGCTTGTGACTGACTTTTCTGTACCGGTTTATTGTTGAGTAATCTCTGCGAATGCACACTTTCGATGGGGGGATGATCCATGGGTTCCAAATTTATCGAGTGACCGTCGATGATGGCACCTTGTAATGCTTCCATAGCAGCAAAAGCCGGATATTCTGATGGGAAATAAACGTAGCCGAAGCCTGCGTGTCTTCCTGATGCTGTATCAAGCGGGAGATCCACTGTGACGAGGAAACCCTTTGAGGCGAACACATCTTGAATCATCTTGTCCGTGACCTTGAAGCCCACATTGCCAATGAACAAGGATTTAGTCGCCGAGTCTTTTTTCGGTGCTTCAGACTTGGGTTGTGCGGGAGGTGCAGGCGGAGGCGTGGGTGCAGGCGGCCATTGAGGCCATTGAGTGAAGCTTGGCATCGGAGCAGGTGGGAAACGAGGGTGGGGTGGTGAGGGAGCATTGTAATTTTGGAATGGATTCCAAACGGGCGGTCGCCATGAGGGTGGTGTCCAATAGTTTGGGCCAGTGGGCATGAATTGGCCAAGAGGGGGTACCCTCGAGGGCCTCGGCTGGCTTGATGTTGACTTCTCGTTCGTTGGCGTGCTTGAAGGGTGCGTCTCTGAGGTCTGATACGTAGGCACGGGAGTCGCAGATTGATTTCCCATATTAGCATCAAAGACTGGGACGGAAGCCCCAGAGTTTGATGGCCCAGCAGTCGAATTCGAAGCAGAAGCTGTCGATCCAGCTCGTCCAAATTCACTTTCGAATGCGGCATACAGAGTTTTGCCAACCTCATTGAGCTCAGAGGCCATCAAACGTAAGCCGTCAGCGGCATTTTCGGCAACAGGGCGTCCTGCTTGGAATGCATCCTCTGCCATCTGTCTCCCGCCATCAGGGAGATTATTGAAGGCGGTTCTCAGATGAGCCTCAATGGTAGTGAGTAGTGTTCGCAATGAAGCTTCGACGTTCACAGGCAAAGATCTCTGTGCAGCCTCAAATTGTCTCTGTGCATTCTGTAGTTGTCGCTGTAACTCCGGAAGTTTTGACCTCCATTCAGATTGTACCATAGTAGCCCCATTGATTATCTGACCCAAAACCTGTGCAGCCAAGACCTCAACAGGATGAGTGGCCCGATTAGAGTTTGTGCTTGCTGATGGCTCAGCAGTAGGTGGCAAATCAGGCTCAGGTGCTTTGTTCTCCGAGGACTTAACAGCATGAAGGATGTTTGCTAGCTCGGCCTCAAATGCTTCCATGAGAGGCGTAGGCTCATCTTCAGAGGCTAGTGGTGCAGTTGAAGTATTGACGGCCGGGACTTCGTCATGGACAACGGCCTTGGGAATAGCTTCCACATTGTTTCCCTTCTGTTCTGTGTGCTTGCTTTCGAATCGCTTCCACAATTCGGTCACGGAGTTTGATCGACGAATGTCAAATATGTGCATCGGAGTATCATCACAAGGAAGTTGGGCGGATCCGAGCTGTGTAATAGTGGTATCTATGGGTTCTTCAAGGCGCTGGGAGAGTTCGAGGGCGGATCCAACCTGAGGGCAAAAAGTTGTGAGATTTAGGTAATAGCTGATAGAATGTTGCAAACTTACGGTGATTGTTTCGTCATCATCTTCCTCATCCACGTAAGTCAACCTTGCACGGGGATGATTTGATGCTAGATCATCGTAGTCGGCAGCAGATATCTGGACTACTCCCGAGTAAGTAGAACGAGGATCCGCAGGCTGCTCAGGTTGTTCGGCCTGCTCTTGAGATACCCGGAGGTCTCTGATCTGGAAAGGCTTCAACATCGTGGCAAAGAAGAGGCGCTGTGAGCGCTTTAAGCCAGGATGATCCGGTGGGGAGGTGTTACAAAGGTGGAAACTAGAGGGGATCAAGGAAAGTATGAAATAATGTGGAATTATGATGCCTCCAGGGCTATTTTGGAGATGGATAGGGTATAAACGAGGGCTGCTGGTGGCAACATTTATGATCAAGCTCTTAGACCTACATGTAGAAAATACATGCGGTTTCAGGCAACAGGATAACCGTCAGAAAAGACCGGACGATGAACCTCGGACGCTCCATTCCCCGCCCCGATCACGTGACCCAGGATGTCACTCATAGTTTTATACATTGGCAGTAGCACAATAGGCAATGAATACCCATTGAGAATCATGTCATTTTAAAAAGCGTTCAATTTCTGCGCAACCGACTGTGTTCATTCTTTCCATCTGAACGGTTAGCAGCTCTCATTTCCATAATACCAATGGCTGGACCATTGGAAACGGGTACAGCCCTCGAAACTTAGCTTCTCAATACCACCTCGCCTCCACAAATGGCCACCCCGAAGTCCGCGCAATTGCAGGCTCCAGCCGCTCGCAATGTAAACAACGTTGTGCTGGGCGATCTCCTGTTCAAGCCATGGAACCAATCGATCTACCCCGAAGAACTTGTCGCCAAGGATGCCGATCGACTCTACGTCTGTCGCTGGTGCTTTCGATATTCATGTGACGGCGACGTATTTGAGGAACACAAACGCGCCTGCGAGCATCGCACGACCCCGCCCGGCACAAAAGTCTACGACTATGGCGGGTATGCAGTGTGGGAGGTTGATGGGGAAAACCACAAACTATTTGGACAAAACTTGTCCCTTTTCGCGAAACTCTTCCTCGATCACAAGACGGTCTTCTTCGATGTCGCAACCTTTCTGTACTACATTCTCACCTTCACCGACCCTAACGAACCCGGCAGCTACTACGTTCTTGGTTTCTTTTCAAAAGAGAAACTCTCCTGGGATGCGAATAATCTTGCCTGTATCCTGATCTTCCCGCCTTATCAGCACAAGCAGCTTGGCAAATTGTTGATGGGAGTCAGCTATAAGCTCAGTGGATGGGACTCTCATAATGGGTGCATTGGTGGACCGGAAAAGCCACTGAGTGAACTAGGTCATAAAAGCTATGTGCGTTTCTGGGCCGAGCGGATTGCTAGATTCTTGCTCCGCGGCAAGCCCGGTGATGACTCCAAGCCCACCCCCAAAGGCTCTCGCAAGAGACCCTCGCAGGAGACCATGACGGTTGAAGAAATTGGTTTAGGAACTGGGATGTTGACCGAAGATGTGATCACTGCCCTCAAGAGCATGGGCCTCTTTGAACAGGCATCTCCGAAAAAACGCAAATCTAACCGCATAGCGATGGAGGACAACATCACACCACCAGGTCAGATGGTCACCATTTGCAAATCTGATGTGTGGGAATGGGCTAAAGCACATCACCTCTCTTTTGTGGACCCAGTCAGCGAGGAAGGCTTTGAGGGACTTTGGCCTCCTATTATCGTGTCCCAGGAGAATGGCCAAAGCACTACAGAAGAAGACTGATCCTTGAAACGAAGCAGCCTGTTTATGTAGGCTTATTAATTCTACTCTATCTAATGACGACAATGAGAAGCAACTTGAAGTTTGTGCATTTTTGAATAGATTGGCTCTTGGAGCCTGTCCCACAAATTTATGAGGGAATCAATTCTTAAACTCTTTTTAATCTTTACATGAATGACTTCGTAAATGAGTGCATTACTCTTCCGGACCACCAGGACCACTGGCTCTACTCATCTGGCGGGCCTTCAATAGCTCATCGCACAGAAGGAGGTTTGATGCGATACCAGTGCTAGAAGCAATGCAGTTGCGCAGAACACGGAAGGAATCGAAGACACCCTCTTGGACGGGATCCATGGGTTCGCCGGTGACCAGATCCAGACCGACAATGTTGCCGTCAGTCGCCTCATCGTGAAGAGCAGCCAGCGAATCCTGAATATCATGGCCTGAGTTGGCAGCAAGAGTCTTAGGAATGATCAGGAGGGCATCGGCAAATGCACCGACACCCCACTTGGCCTTGCCCTTGACGGTCTTGGTGAAGTCCTGGGATTTCAGGTGTGCGGCACAAGCAACTTGGAATGCACCGGCTCCGGGAATGACGCAGCCATCGACAATGGTGTTGTAGACAGAGCGCAGACCATCACGAACGGCATCCTTGACCTGAGTGATGGTGTGCCCGTTGGGGCCCTTAATGAGGATAGTCACAGACTTAGGGTCCTTGACCTCTTCAACAAAAGTGAACTTCTCCTCACCAAGCTGGTGCTCATAGACCAAACCAGCCCATCCAAGAACCTCCGGAGACAAATCCTCAACACTGTTCTGTGCGGTACCACCACAGACCAGCTGTAAACGCTCCATGTTTCTGCGCTTGGCTCTCCGCAGAGCGAAAATGCCGTTCTTTACAAGAACATCCAGACTGAGGGGATCGATACCCTTCTGGTTGATGACAACGAATCCCTTGTTGGGGTCGTTTCCACAGACCTCCTTCTTGAGGTCCACAATCTTTTGCAGCTTCGCGTCCACGAACTTCCGTTCGCTCTCAACCAACTTATCTCTCTGCTCAGCGTTGGAGTAGTAGAATCCAGAGTTGATTTCGGACTTCTCGTACTCCAGACTGACATTCAAGGTCAGAATGAAAGCATTCTCCACCCGCTTGGGCATGTCGGGGTGTCTAGCACCGTGGTCCAAGGCGAGACCACGAATAAGCTGGGTATCGGATGACGACCGGTGCTGCATTGTCATAATCTCAACCATGTGCAAATCGGGCTTCTCAGGGGCTTTGTGGATAGCGAGGACGGCATCGACGATGTCGGGGGTAAGCTTCTCGGCGAGAGCACCGTTCAGCTTGGTGGAGAGGGAGGTACGGGCGACAGAAAGCAACAGCTCTCGGTCAATGGGACGCTCGAGCTTGAAGTTTTCGAGGAACTGTGGAGAATGTATCAGATCTGAATTTTGGCATTGAATCTTCACAACACACCTTCAAGGCCTCAGTCTTGGCAATCTCGTAGCCATCAGTGATGACGCGAGGGTGAAGACCCTCGGAGATGTGACGCTCTGCCTGCTTCAAAAGCTCTCCCACAAGCAACACAACAGATGTCGTGCCATCACCGGTAATATCATCTTGTGCAGTCGCAGCGCGAGCGATCATAACCTTTTTCGTCAGCAAGTATGTAGGAGGAAACGAGGGGCTGGTCTTACAGCCGTGGGGTTTTGAATTTGCTGTCAAATGTTAGCTCACAAGCTCAAAGTGGTTGTGGGGGGTAGAACGAACCATCTCCCGCAACAAAACGTTGCCATCCTTAGTCAATTTGATCTATTCAAGCTTGCATTAGAAAGCGGCCGCTAGAGTATCAGGGGATGATGGCATACTGCGCCTGCACCATCGACCAGCCTAAGTTTTGTCAGCTCCAATGCCTTCCAGGGTTCGTATGTGGGGTGTAATCGCAAAAGACTCACATCTTGAGGGTGCCCGAAGGACCCAGGTTGGACTTGAGAACATCTTGAAGACCTTCACCGGCACCGATGTTCACCTTCAAGGCCTCTCCTCTCCGCTGCGTGAAATGTTAGTGGGCATATCATTGAGGGGCCATCTGGGGAATATTTTCCATACCCTCGACTCCGCCTTGGGGTTAAGTAGTTGAGTTGCAGACATCTCCCAGGTAATGAATGACAGGGTATCACGTCTAGGAACCCAAAAATATTATATTAAGGGATGGTTAGAAGTGCTGGATACTGAGGGTGAGGCCCACGTTAGGTCCGGCCAATGCGGTGAAGACGGTTTTTGGCAAAAAGCCCACATTCGGATTCGCACTAGCGGCGAAAAAAAAGCTGCCGACTTCTCGAACTTTGCCCATTTCCAGCCCGTCGCCAACACCCGCACCATTCCATCACTTGTTTTTGGGTTTTCCATTTTCTTGTGATTCGTCCTGAAACGATGGCCGATTTCCTACTTTTCGAGGGCCCTATGGGTTACTCGCTTTTCAAGGTCACCCACCAAGGCGATTCTGTTGGCAATGGCTTGAAGGAAGTCCAGGAGGGTGTCAATGACCTTGCTAAGTTCGGCAAGATGGTTGAACTTTCCAGTTTCTTGCCCTTCGAGTACGCTTCCCATTCGAAAGAGGTTTTCCCATGGTTTACTGACCAAATTGTAGGAACAACAAGCAGGCTCTCGGAGAAATTAATGACATCTCCGAAGGTGTCGCATCCGATACTTTGGTCTCTTTCCTTGAATTGAACCTCCCCAAGCCGAACAAGAAGAAGAAGGTCATTCTGGGTCTTGCCGATAAGGCTCTGGCAGGAAGCATCAAGTCCGCTTTCTCATTTGTGGACTGTGAGACCGGTGATACCAGCGAGGTCGTTCAGGACCTTCTCCGTGGTATCCGTCTCCACGCTGGCAAGCTTCTTAAGCAGCTGCGCGATGGCGATATGGACACTGCCCAGCTTGGTCTTGGTCACGCTTACTCCCGTGCTAAGGTTAAGTTCTCCGTCCAGCGTGACGACAACCACATTATTCAGGCCATCGCCATCCTGGATCAGCTCGATAAGGCCATCAACACCTTCTCCATGCGCGTCCGCGAATGGTACTCCTGGCACTTCCCCGAGCTCGTCAAGATTGTCTCCGACAACCAGCGCTACGCCGAGCTCGCCCTTATGATCAAGGACAAGCAGAACCTCACCAACGAGAGCCTGCACGATATCGCCGCCCTTGTCGAGGATGATGAGGCTGTTGCCCAGAGCATCATTGATGCCGCCAAGACCAGTATGGGTCAAGAGATCTCCGAGGCTGACATGGAGAATGTCGTCTCTTTCGCTGAGCGCGTTGTCAAGCTCGCCAAGTACCGCAAGTCTCTCTACGCTTACCTTGTCGCCAAGATGAGCGTCGTTGCGCCTAACCTCGCAGCCCTGATCGGTGAAATTGTCGGCGCTCGTCTGATTTCTCACGCCGGTAGCTTGACCAACCTCTCCAAGTACCCCGCCTCCACCGTTCAGATTCTCGGTGCCGAGAAGGCTCTTTTCCGTGCCTTGAAGACTAAGGGCAACACCCCCAAGTATGGTCTGCTGTACCACTCTTCCTTCATTGGCCGCGCAGGCCCCAAGAACAAGGGCAGAATCTCTCGTTTCCTTGCCAACAAGTGTTCCATTGCTTCCCGCATTGATAACTTCTCCGAGGCCCCTAACACCAAGTTCGGTGAGGCCCTGAAGAGCCAGGTTGAGGAGCGTCTGGAGTTCTACGCCTCCGGTGCTGCTCCTACCAAGAACGAGGTCGCCATGGTATGTTTCCCGGTAATCTTTGAAATACGGAATACTAATTTATATAGAAAAACGCCATGGATGCCGTTCTGGCTGATCTCGATGTCGAAGCCGACCAGAGCGACGAGGAGATGGAGGATGCCGATGCTGCTGAGGCCAAGAAGGAGAAGAAGGAGAAGAAGGAAAAGAAGGAGAAGAAGGAGAAGAAAGAGAAGAAGGAGAAGAGAAAGTCCGTGGGTGGTGAGGGCGAGTCCGAGAAGAAGAAGAAGCGCAAGCACGACACCGACGCCGAGCCCTCCAAGAAGAAGCAAAAGGCCTAGATGCGTTCGTTTGGTCATGGCGTTAGGATTTTCATTTGCTTCAAAACGAATTGCGGGAATTCGATTGTATCTTTACAGTTTTTGTTTTGGTAGTTTCGATACAGTGTATCTATGGATTATTTCAAAAATTTGTGTTCACCAATTCCTACGATTCCACTGTCGAGTTTCTTAAAACGTTGTCCCCCGACAATGCTCATTTCTCACGAACGAGTTCGTTTCCGTTGGTAGTCCATTCTCTTAGGTATCTTGGAAGATATCTCTCGTTTGCACATTTTGATGGACTTGCCATGACCCAACGCATGGATGTTTGGGCATTGTAGGCATCTCATTCACAAATATCTACGGTTGTCAGTTGAGAGACACGTTGTTAGACTAAAATTCTACTTGACCTCTACATCCGGCCTGACTTCTCAACTAATTCCAAGGAACTTATCTCATTTAAACATGATAATTGAAATTGAGCTCTAAGATTTGATTCAAATATGGGGAAATGGTCTCTTCGGATAGCTTCTAGTGAAGCAGAAACTCATGACTCAAGACCTATCCTCGGGGTTGTATGACTCGCGGTCATCTTGCTGCTTCATCCAAAAGGACCTCTGGCTTCTCGATATTTCTCCAACTAGGAATCAGAAACCCCGTAATTAGATCGGTCAACACAACAGAATGTTCCATCAACAGCCCCATAGACGACAATCGGACAATTGGACCATTCAAATCATTCCACCTCAAGCCGGAGGGCTGAAATACCGACAGAAAGAGGTATGTGATACGAACAGCTATGAAAGGTGTAGATAAAGCAGTGGCATTGAGAATCTTAAGAAGGGACTAGCCTTGAAAAAGTAGATATATCGGAGTCCACGACCTGTTCTGCTTGCAACCGAGAGACACGAGCATTGTGGCCACAAATAGACTTGCATGGCCAGTAAACACCCGGTGAAAACAACCACGATGATATACCCGGCTTTAACCAGTTTAACACCAATGAATACATCGCTGGTGGTGTCGCTCCCTTCCAGAGCTCCACCTGCAACGGTAAGTCCGATGCCAGCAAGAAAACGCACTCGGGATAAGACTAAACATTGCCCAGTTTGTCAGCTCATGTTTTGTTCAAGAGTCACTCTGCAGTAAATTAGCCCGCTGATCATTCATGGCACATATTGATCTGGTGTTCCATGACACCAACTCATGATTCGTAAAAAGCCCAAAGTCGCAGCGATCAAAGGAAACACGCCAGCATTGAGGAGGATGGCTGAAGCTACCATCACGCCAATACTGGATGACTTCTGTGAGATAATAAATAATATTCCCGTAGTGATATGAACTGAAGATAGTTTATGTTAGAAATACCAGAAAAGAAACCCCGAGAGATCTTGTAGTGAGATACTGACAGAGAAGAAAGTCAGGAGCATCCACGCCATGCGAGGTCGCTTGTGCCGATAGCACGCAAGATATAATGCAGTTACTATTACCGGTATACAGAACACAATCTGTGCAATACTCAATCTTGAATGACTGCCCATCATGTTGGTTTCGAGGTTGCTGGATTCTGGGACAGACGTGCTATACTGGCCAGTGCCATTGAAAACAGAGCCTTTGGTTGATCCTGGGTATTCTAAAGATCTGTCCCCAGTGACTCTCTGTTTCCAAAACGCCCAGCTCACTTCTACACTGATTATGCCGTGGGGAACGCAGACAATGCTTTGGTCGGGTCTTTTCAATATGTACGAGGAATTGTGAAGTAACCTGCCCTTTGACAACTCAGGTTCTGTTTCGGAAGTGATAAGTACATTTAATCCTATTAGCCGCTGTGGACAGTACCTATCTGTAGCACATCGAGTCTGCCAATCCGTGGACTACTTCTTGAAAGATGATATGCTGCTAGCTAGGCCTTTATCTGTTTGCCCGGCACTTGGGATTGTGGTTGATAGTTTACGGAATCGGCCTGGTCATGGTCAGGAAATGGCGTGGATACAAGCAGCTTTGGGAGTAGTTCGGCGAAAAGGACTTCGGGTTCTACAGGCTGTGAATCTATGAACAAAACATCAAATAGGTGAGTAAATGATGAGATTCGAATAGGCATTTGTTCATATTAACTTTAAGACTACCTACTCTATAGCACGTAGTGAAAATGGACACATCTTAAGTACGCTGACCTCGCAACCTTCAATATATGCGTTTAACTCATACTGAGACCGCATATCTTTAATTATCTTAACTACACGAGTCTAAATCGCAATGTAGAATTTGGTCTTCGTGGTGCGTCCAAGGGCCGATTTGACCACTGCCGTGTACAAGGTTCCGTCAGAGCATGGCGGCCAGAACAGGCATAACTATTGATACACTCCATTTCGAGTGAAGTCCCTCATCAATGGAGCATTTAGCTGTTCATAGTCTGCTCAATCTATCATTGATAGTACCTGAAGCATCAGACCATCTGAGGCAACGTGGTCCAACACGAATGACTCACCGTTCAACGCCAAGGAGGCTTCGGCGGATCCCAGTTGCCCTAGATATACTTGGCTTTCTATTTAAACAATCTTTGGCGATTGACATCATATCTTATTCCGCACAACTGCGGCTGGAGACGGATACATGAGGAGACAAGTAAGCCGACATCGGGCTAGGATAGCAGCATCTAGATAGTTAAGATGGGGATTCACGGCTTCATTGAAGGTGCTCACTTCCTTCAAATCTATTAAAAGTCCGATAGATATCTTTTCAAAATGCTCTCCACACTAAACATTGCCCAATTAAATACCAATCCCCCGGCTCGCCGAATCATTATCGTCGGGGGAGGCATCGTCGGCGCAGCACTCGCATTCCATCTTTCCAAGGCCGAGACTGAAAATCACATTATACTCATCGACAAAAGCCTAGAGACCCTATTGGGTTCCACCGGCCATGCTCCTGGATTCATTGGCCAACTCAACGAGTCGGCTGTCTTGACTCGGTTGGCTAAAGATACCGTCCTGGACTACCTCACCATTCCAGGCGGCTTTGAAACCGTCGGCGGTCTGGAGCTCACCTCTACAGCTGCTGGGCTGGAGAACCTGGAACGTCGACAGAAAACAGCACAGGGCGCGGGTCTTCCTGCGGAGCTTCTTACTCCAGAGGCAGCCGCTTCTCTGGCCCCAGACTTCATCGACGCGAACTCGATCAAGCACTGTCTCCATTTCCCATTAGATGGGACCGCAAATGCAGGCATCATTACTTCTTATTATGCCAACCGAGCTCGCGCTAGAGGGGTGGATTTCTTGGAAGCCACCGTAACAGGCTTTGCAACTAAGAAGGACGACGAAACCTCAAAGATAGCGACTATCAAGACTGCGAGTGGAGATATCAACTCGGAAGGCAGTATTGTCATTCTCGCCACTGGCATTTGGACATCTTTCTTGGTTTGCAACGACAATGCCCCTGTTACAGAACTCCCAATCCCTATCGTCCCCGTCGCACACCCTTACACCTTTACTCCGCCTCGGGCTGAACGTGTCGGTACCCCGTACCCATTCGTTCGCTGGCTAGACCATCACGTCTATGCAAGAGACCACGGCAATCGAGACGGTCTAGGCACTTACGATCATCCCCCGATGCAACTTGATCCCACTGAGAGCGCGATCGGAGCCTGGCCATCAAGCTTTGACCAAGTGCTGTCGGACGCCTGTTCGAACTTGAAGAACGGAAGTGAGTTCCAGGTCCAGGGACGAAACGCAGACCCGGCAAAGCCTTGGGTAGCGGACAAGCCATTTAATGGGATCTTCTCTGTCACGCCTGACAACTTGCCCTTCGCTGGTCGGGTTCCCGATGTTGCAAATCTATGGCTTGCCGCTGCTATTTGGGTTACCACTGCTGCTGGTACTGCTAAGCTATTGGCAAGAGAGATCCTCAAAGATAGTGAGGATTCGACAAGTTCAGAGGACAAGGTTCTTCTGGATGCCTTGAATCCCGCACGTTTCAAGGGTGTTGAGGCGGATTTGCTTCTGCGGCAATCATTGTCGAAATACAATGATATCTATAACCGAGAGGTTTAGGCTAGTTTGAAGGAAGCATGTATTTTTAGACGTTGGGCTATCTTCCCTGGGTTGGATGTTTCTTTCTTTTATGGATTCAAATTTACTCGGGTTGAGGATTGACGGCTTTAAACAAATGTATAGACTTGATGAAACCTCCAGGAGAACTGTCTGGACTATAGATATCTTGTTTTAGCAAAGCTTTGCAGAGTTTCAGGATATCATGGATGCCACTGGGCATGCCAGTAGAATAGAATGTTGTAACATGTCTCATTCGAGGGAAAAGAGCTAAACCCAATACTTCCATTTTGCAGATTCGGCGCATATCGACCATCGATGGATGTTTCTTCCAATTTCCAAAACAAAGCAGTGACCAACTAAACCTGAGGTCTCTCCTCTTTGTGTCCAATTCTACCTAGGCAATGACCGATGACTATCATACAAGATGTTACTTCCTAAATGAGCTACGCCTCTCGAACCACGAGCGTTATGTCCGTGACGAGGCAAGATGGTTGAATGTCTGCCATGTCTCCCTCACATTCAATATCTTCAGATGATAAATATATGCTTATCATTTGACATGGTTGAGACTTTTATCTCTCTCGTTATATAGCACCTATTGTCAACATCTAGTACATCTGCACCCGGCTCTGTATGATTTTTGATATTGGCAGCAAAGCCGAACCTAGGTACATGGAGGCACGACTGAAGTTATGTTATGGTATGGACATGACATCTCTCTCTCTCTTCCTCGTATCCAGTGCAAATAATGCACGGAGAAGTAAAAAAAAGAAATCCAATACAGACAAGAGAAATAGAAAAAAAAAAAAATAGAAAAAATAAACGCCACATGCGCCAGGTCCCGACTCGTCTCCGAGCCCCTCCTCCATGCGAAATCTATCGTCGGTTCGTCACTTGATCGGGGGTGGATTCATGAACTCATGTCATGGATGGGAATCAATCAAGTTGTCTTTTTTCTTACCCCCGCACACATTTTGTTAAAATACGAAAAGAGGAAAGTGAAACATTCGATCGACGCGAAAACGAAAGAAAAAAGAAAAGCTTTCCACTGAAATCGCTTATGCGGGAAGCTCAAAGCCACGGCGGATGACACGACCGAACTGCTCAATGCCGACGTGCTCGCTCTTGACCTCGGAGCGGGCCTCGTTCTCCTTGTTGGTGGGAACGCGGATGACGGCACCATCGACCTTCCAGCCGCAGACGTCAACCACGAACTTGTCGAGGGCTTCGCGGCTGCGGACATCGAGCCAGGACTCGAGGTTCTCGGCGGTGATGGAGCGGAAGGTCTTGCCGACCTCAACGGCGATGCGGATGCGGACGAGCTCCTCGAAACCGGCGACATCGGCGGTCAGATCGGCGTACAGGTCGTCGGAGTTAAGGGTGGACCAGAACTGGGCGTACTGGGCAGACTCGAGGAGAGTGGACAGGCGGGCGAGCTTCTGAACGGACTCGACGAAGTCGGAGGTCTGCGAAGCGGCTTGAGCTTCGGTGGTGGCGGGGAAGGGCTGGGTGTTTGTGGGGAGCAGAGCGAGGCAGAGCGAGAAGGCGGGCGAGGGGAACACAGTCAGAGCCTTGACAAGGATGTTGGTCACGGTGTCGGGTTGGAGGAGGTGAGGGTTGAACTGGAAGCTGATTTTTTGAAGCGGGATATTGTTAGCGTGAATTCGACAATTTCATGATGATTTGAGGCATTTGCGAGAGATATGCTATGCTTGCTATCTCAAGCAATGGCATTGGTTCTTTGCTTTCAGTATCTTCACAGGGTTTCTCAACATTCCCAAGTATATTATGGGGTGTCAGGTAATAGGAAACGCTTAAAAGATACTCATCATAGGAGAGCTTCTCAAATAAAATTTTCGCGGCGCGATGCATCGCTTATAAGGAAGGTACTCACAGCTTCAGCAAGGCCAGGTTGGCATAGCAGTCAAATGACCGGTCCTCGCACTGCTGGGAGACATAGTCCTGGAACACAGTGGTGGTCTCGGGGTTGTACCGGTCAAGGCCATTGAGGATGGCCTCAATGTGGGCCGGCCGGGTTTCACACTTGTCGAAGGCGACCATTTTGATATTGCTGGAGGAAGGTGGGAGGTGATGCGGGTCTTTGTCTCTGCGGGATGTTCTTTTTGGTGGGATTTTCGATTGTGGCCTGTGTTCGGATTGGGTTAATCCGGCCCGACAATGTTCCGACTATAAAAAAAAACATGAGCTTTCCGTATAGCTATCATATAGCATACAGCGTTTGAGAGATGATTAAATTACAAACTACAAAGTTCGGTTTCCGAGAAGGTGGCTAATGCCTTAATCCGTGTTCAAATAATACATAGAATACATAGGTATCTCTTGAAAGCCTCGTGAGATCGTAACATCTCAATCATAACCTGGCGCCAGTCCCAAGAATGGAACCCGCTAAACAGACGTCCTTGAATCGCTGAAACTCCGTCGTGAAGATCGAACGAGGTGCCCAAGAGAAAGTGAAAAGAAGACATCACTGAGAAAAAAAAGCAAAATTGAAACCAGGGCTGTTAAACAAAAACTCCGTGCCGTGTTTGTTAGACGCCATAGTCTATGCCCATGCCCATACCGCAAGAAAAAAACGAGAAGAAAAAGAAACCCGAATCATGACGCAGAGTGAGCAATGATGAAATCGGTTGAAAACCTTGCCAAGCTGAAGAGAAGCACAAACGGAAAAAGTAAAGAATAGAACAAGGTTGAAGGTGCCTGGAAAACAAAACGAACAAAGCAGGCGGGTATCTCAATAAGAGGTTCATGCAAACGATGAAAGAAAATTTCATGCCATGACGGGTCGGCGAGGTGCAATGGGAATCGCCTGAGGTCCCGTGGAGATTTCGAGGTTGGACATGTCTAGGTCATTACCGTCATACTTCTGGCCGTCCTTTGGCTGTCTTGCTTTCGACACGAGAACTGGCTGAGAGGGACTGGTGGTTTCTTCATCACCCACAGTGCTGCAGACAAAGCGGTCCTCATTGAGAGGAATTCCGCCAAACATGGAGCCCAGCTGCTGCAGGAGTGCGACAAAATGGGCATGCAATTCGGTAAAGATGTATTCGTTGCCGACAATTTCGGCCAAGTTACGGGCACGAATTTGACCAGCTGCACGTCGGCCGGCCGGGTCCATGCCGCGGCCAGTAAGGAAGGACGAAACCGGAGGGTACTGACGACCAGGCTGTCTTCCCGGGTTGTTCTGCTCATCGCGGGTCTTCTCGGCTTCCTGGAAGCGTTCAGCAGCGTTGACTATGCTGGTGGCAATGCGACCAAATGCGCGCCAAATAATGGGGCATGCACGGAATGCTCTTCCGGCATCTCGCCCGGCCAATGCGACTAATGCGTAACTGCGTCGCTTGCCACGAGCCATGGGGTCGGGAAGGCGGAAAATGTAGGCGATGGTGTAGCCAGCAACTCCATCCCCGAAACAGATTGGGCCAGACGAAAGACCACGGGGTAAGAGCTCGCAACTCAGAGTGCGAATAGAGGAGCGTCGGAGAAGTGCGTAATCGGCGGGATTAGGCGGCCCACGTTGAGAAAGATAAGTATGGATGTGTGTGTGACATGAGGAATCGGAGGCAACTGAAGCAGAGCGAAGGGAGTCGGGAGGAGAGGCATGGGTATGATAGTCGGTCTCGTCGTCCAACTCCGAATGGCTGTTGCCGCATGAGTAGACGAGCTCGCGTGAGCGGAGCACAGGGCTGGTGGAATTTCCCTTTGCGTCGCGACTGCCGGGTGCGCCGGGAGGTAACTGCTTGCTCACATTTTCCGGTAGAGACAGGCTGCAACTGGCGCATGTGTCGCCATTTGCACCACCTCGGTTGGATTTCTCATCGGGTGAGGCCGGATGTCCCTTGAGGAAGTACGGGTGATCTTCGATTCTGGGCGACTTGGGTTCGGCAGATTTGTGGGATCGAGGCTCGTGCTCAAAACGAGACTCGTGGGAAGCAGGGGTGCCCTGCGGAGAGTGATCGGAGTCGGGGTGGCATTGCGGACATGAGAAAGGTAGGACTTGTGAGCAGATAATCGAGGTGGGACCATGCACCTCGCAAAAATGCGTCAAAGAGAGCTGAAACTGTCAGTCCAAGGAAACCCTTTCCCAGCTCAGTGTACTCACAATGAAATCCATGGTGGACCGGATCAAGCAATCACCAGCATCTTCACTTCATTGTCGCAAGGCATGCTGTGACTGGATAATGACGAAAGACTGGTATGCGGGCCCACACAGTGACCAGGTTCCCGGGGAAAGGATAAAATTTAAGGTCGAGGAAGAAGAGGGCAAGGGGGGGGGGAAGATAGATATTAAAGAAGAGGGTATGGAGTGTGTAGTGGAGTTACCCAATGTGATAAATAAGAAGACAAGCAATAATAATCGAAGGGGCTTGGGGGAGATGCTGGGGGGGGTCTCTGTTTCGGTCGAAGGCCGGAGTGACCTACCGACAGGGTCACTTCCTCCAAATGGAAGGCCGATGGAAGAAAAGAACGTTCTCCACTCACTCCGTGCCCACTTTTTTCTCTTCTCTTCTTCCCAATGACTTTACATTGCAATTCGATCTATCTTTTTTATCTGGAATTGCTTTCTTTCGTTACATATACTGCATCTGTCATCAATACTTGCAGCTCTTCAGATTTCTTTGTCTATTCTGTACTTCTGACCTCTGGAGTTACACCACCCTTCCGGATGTCTTCCGATCACATTCCTTTCCCACCCTTCCTCCTGGAATGCTGCATGTGACAGTCTTTCTAGAATCGGCCCGACTATTAATTCATACGTTTCCGCGCTCTGCCTAGCGTGTTGACCCGAGGGGCCGTTCTCGTCAGCCCTTGGACCGTTGCGTGGAAGTGGGGACAGGTGCAAACAGGGGCTCCATCGTGAGATATACCAATGATCGTGCAAAGAATTGGATGACCTTTATAGGATTACTTGAGATCCCAAAAAAAACAATAACAAAAACAAAACAATCTAATGGCTTCATCGTGAGATACACCTCCAAAAGTCCGGACAGTTCTGATCTATCAGCTGGACCAATCTTCAACCTGGTCAGGATTCACCGCTGAGTCTTCCGGCATCCAGTCGCGCGTGTTTTTGCTTTTTTTTTTCTTTCCTTTTTGTCATGTTACTCGAAAATCAGCATGTGTCAGATCAGTCGATAGCCGTCTCCATTTGACAATGGATAGGCGGGTTTCCTCGGGGGGTAAATCTGGAGATAACTCCGTGTTAGGGGCACGGCAAGGAGGTGAAGGGAAGGATTCCTTGACCTCCGATTTGCTGGCAAGAACGTCGATACGAGCGTCTTGACTACAGTTGAACGTCATCATATTTGACATGTACGGACTGCTCCGTCCATCGGATTTCCTTGTCAGGAGCTCGGCTCCTAATCCGCGCTTAGTTCTTGACGTTCCAGACGATCCTAGGTCGAGGACGCTCATCGTTCCCGAAGTGGGACACCAAGCAGTTGGGAAAGTGGGAATCGGGGGCAATTAGCGTTTCCTGTCCCAATTGACAAGGTGACAAGGATCTAAACTTTGGCTGAGGACAATTCCCGACAAGGCTCTCGGGGAACTTGAGGGGGGGCTTGAGTCGTCGGATCATACAACATCTACTCCGTAGACGACGTTGCAATAGTACATCCCTTTCGACCGGCAATGAACTTAACTCCCGGTGTGTTATGGTTAATCAGCTTTCCCAGATGTGTCCACTCAGGATCTTCAACCACGTCCTCTAAATCGGGATAGATCCTCTCCGGAGTGCAACTCCATGGATCCTTTCATCCGTTCCCGCCTTCAATAGCAAACGGAAATTACATCTCCGATCCTTCTCCGGACCAGGATGCGCGCAGGTTATTCCCAACAGATGAAACATAATATGGGATTTTCCGATGGCTCCGGCATTGCTCCGGCATTCTCAAAACTTAGATCCCTGCCGGCATTTTACAAAGCCCAGTGTATACCCTGGTTAGTGTGGTTAGTGTGGTTAGTGTAGTTAGTGTGGTTAGTGTGGTTAGTCTGTTTGGTCTGTTTGGTCTGTTTAGTGTATTTAGTTGCAGTATTCTTCCACCAAACAGTTAGAATACCCAGCCCTTACAACATAGGGCGACCTCTTAGCCCTGTCGGCCGCATGGTATACGATGTAGCCGACAGGGCCAGTTTCATCCTTCGCCTCCGGACCCCATCAGGCCGAGATTATTTCCAATTCGATAACTCCATATTAATTGTGAGGGATTTAACAACAAACTGAAGAAAAGGAAACCAAACTAAACTGAAAACGAAATCCAAAAGAGCTAGAGCGACCGGTAAATCCAAACCCCGTGTGGACATGAGCGGATCCCTATTAATTTTTTTCCCGCCACCAAATAGGCACACGATATTTTAACGGGCTGTACGAAACCGATGGTCCATACATGTTTCCCATCTTGCAAAAGAATCGGGTCTGGATCCTGGGAATACCCTATTCCACAATAAAGTGGTTCTGTCAATGACTGTCCTCTATCCACAGCTCGGGATACCTGACCTCGAGGGCACTGCAAGTATATAATTGAGTTCACCGTTACCCACCTCCTGTCGAGCATCCTCAAAATCCGCAATGCCCAACGTGCGGTTGTTTCGGGCAGGTAGTCTACATTTTGTGGCTTGAAAGTACTCCGTAAACTAAGACCAATTAATTTACCGCAACCGTTCTGATCGGCGAAACATCCGTAAGACTTCGATGGTAACAATCGGTAAGCTAACCACTTAGCTCAATATGTACGAGATCGCGATCTATGTCCACGTGGAATGCGCTTTGATCGAATCTTGTAAGTACAACATACCATGATCAGCGACTTGATCATGCATAAATGGTCTGAGAGCTATAATTGGAGTGCATTGCTGCATATCTGCACAGCCTTGACTGTGTCAATGGATGGTCACGAGGCCTTTCTCCAACATTGATCTGCTCGGCGTCGGGAACAAATCCACAGATGCTTCCGCGGCTCTCGGCACTGTGGCTACTCTGCGGCTATACAAGACGGTTCTGGTATTTTGTACTCCGTACATCGCTTACCTTGTTGGATATTCATTATCATTCCATGTCATTGCAATATATATAGAGAGAGAAGAGGTGAATATCGAGCGAGACTCGACCAGAAGATATTTGGGGGTTTAATCCGTATCGATGATTCAATTATCTCCTCGATCTTTGGGAGGCTAGCCTAAGCGATACGAAAAGAGACAAGGCTCAATGATGGGCGGCATGGCCTATTATCACTTCGTAACTGCTCACGAAAAGTCTGAGCATGAGCATGAGCATGAGCATGAGATGTACCATGGACGGAATACTATCTTGCATGAAGATGATTGTGGCACTTGTGAGACATAGATTATACTGTATCGTCAACCCTGTTTGCCGGAGGGTATACACAGATAACAAAAAGCCATATTGACCAACAAGTTGGCTAGGAATGGCTTTTCATGCTTGATCGAGGGTCCCTTCTTCAGCGAGACGAGGTAGTTGATTAATCATACAAGTCTGATTTGTACCCACCTGACGATGTAAGAGATTGTCCTTCAAATATGTCGAATGGTTACCCCAAGACATATATGGAGAGCATCTGCTGTCATCTTCAAGGTCGATCACCCTTGGGCATGCGCATGTTCATCATTGACAACATATTGCCGGCTGGGCCGGAGACTCCAGCTTGACCCTGAAGACTCTCCAGCAAATTCTTAGCAAGGTTGATGTTAATATTGTCATCCTCATCATCGTAGTCATCAGAAACCTTGGCAGCCTTTCCTTTGGATGCACTTGAGTTGCCAGAGGACAATTTGTGCTGACGTTGGTTGAGATCGAGCACGCCCGTCCCTTGCAATTCTTCTTCCATTCGCCTAGACAGCTCCTTGATCTGCTCCGTGTCGTCTTCCCCATCTGAATCGAGCTCTTCCACTCGTTTGCGGATGGAGTCCGATGAAGATGGCATGCCCATCATTTCTTTCATCATTCTGGAGAACTCCTCTTCGTTGAATGATGCGTCCTTATCCTCGCCTTCACTGTCATCGTCTTCTCCGTCATCATCATCATCATCATCGACATCAGAATCAGACTCAAAGTCGTCGATAAAATCGGCACCATCGAAGCCTGCCGAGTTGTCATTCAAGAACTCCTCAAAGCGAGCCACGATCCGTTGAAGATTTTCCTGTGCTCCAGAGTCACCAAAGTTGCCAGTGTCTGCTCCCTTTCCTTGGCCCCTTCCTTTGAGCTCTGACTCGAGATCCTCAAAGTTGATATCTAGCCATTTTTCATCATCTTCTCGTTTGTCCCAAGTGTCCTTGATCTCTTGATCTGTGGGCAGTGTTTCATCCCCTGTATCCACATCCTCAAGTAAGAGCTTCATTTCTCGGACTGCAGCCTTATCTTGATTCTGGGGGTCGGACAGCAGCATCTCCAACCCACACGCGAGTTTCATTCCTGCTTCCGCGCGATCATATGCTTTTCGGTCCTCAGTCGAGGGGAGCTTGCCTGCCCAGGTACTTGGTAGGGAAAACTCCTGGCTTTTGAGCTGTGCATATCCAACCCGGGTGAATCGAACACTGACGTCGACCAAATCATCTGGCTTGAATACAAGGTTGGAGGCATCCTTCGCTCGTAGTGGTCGCAGAGCGATCGGATCACGGATATAGAATGCCTCCACAGCAGGGGAGATATAGGCTGGCTTCTGATGTAGGAGGAAGGCGGCTTTGCGGGGAATGGTGAGGATGGCGGAGTGAAGATTCTCGCTGATCTGCTGAGGATAATTGCGTAGACGGTAAAATGCCTCTTCTTGAATTATGGTCGACCGAAGAAGGCGACCGGGTTCATTTCGGAGTATATCTCGCGCCTCCGAAAGCGACAATTTTTCGGTGACCTGTCTCTTCGTCTCCTGCTTGGGCTTGATGATTCGGAGCTCTCCTTGATGAATCCACACCTGATGAGGTTGAAATTATTCGTTAGCAAAGTTTCCAACAGATCCACAAAGAGGAATTGGCCATCACTAACCCTGTTGTCTGCCACATCTGGTTCTATCCATGCTGGAAGGGTTCCTGCAGCTTCAATGAGAAGAAACTCGCCATCGCTGTCCACCACTTTAACCCAGATATCTTTATGACGCTTGGTCAATTCGCGCAGAAAGTAAACAATGACCCATTCGTCTTCAATTGAGTCACCATAGTTGGTGCGGCCGTTTAACGAAGTGATTCCTGAAACCCCGCGACAATTAGATATGAAATGAATGTTGATAACAATATATTTGGCAACGTATGCTACATACCATCTTCTTTTGAGATTTCTAATCGGAAAGCCTCGCGCTGCCAAATGTAACCCTTCAGTAAGTCTTTGGTCAACTCTGCTGCTGTGCGCTGCACTTCAAGCAATCGCGCACGAGTCTCGGCAGGTTCATCGATAACGGTGGGGGTGGGGGAGGAGGGGATGTGATAAATTGAATAGTCGACAGCGTCATCAGGGAGCTCCGGTTTCGGGATAGGACGAAAGGTGGATTTAAACCACGCGAGATCCTCCTCCGAAGTCATGATTGATTTTGTATAGCTTCTACAAAACCATGACCTCATGGCATTCCTCCGATTAAAAAAAAAGGCGGCGACACCCAAATCCCGTGATTTGGACGCTAATCCGAAATAGGCTAGAAATCAACAGAGGTGTTGACGCTAAACCAAAGGCGGCCGGGATAACTCGCCCAAAACACGTCCGTGATTGTCAAGCGTGAACTTTCTGTCAGCAACCTCATTCAAAGCCCTTATTGATGGTACTGGTCGCGTGCTGAATGGTTCCGGTCCATTACCAACCCCCTATTTAACAATGGCCTTCCCCTACATCGACACACCGCGCACCGAATACGACGGTAACGCGACTTATCTCACGACTGGGTTTCGCAGCGCGGGGCGACATCATTTGTCTGCACTTGATTCTCTTGAAAACTCGTTTCAAACACCATCCAAGGACAACGATGTGATCAAAGGATTTGAAAAACGCGTAACTCCACGACCTGGAGCCGCTTCAAAGTCAACGAGAAGCGCGTTGCGACATCTCCCGGCGGCAGCTCCCGAAAAGGGCGAGTTTACTCCGTTAATGAAAAGCGCAACGAAGAACAATCTTTTGAGGAATATGTCTGCGGCTCGAGAAAGAGATGGCCCGAAAACACCCGGATACCAGCGAGAGACCTATCGTAGCAACGCCCACACACCCGGCTTGCCTGCGATGGATATGTCTGATATATACGAGGAAGACCGGACAATGGACGAGGCAACGCCTGTTCCACAAGCTGCGAGCAGTAGTGGGCAAAGTACACCATTGCCCGGACTTTCAGGACGCGATGGAGGTATCGTGGGCGATGGGCGGAATAACTTGTCGCTTAAGGAACAAGCAGTGGTATGACTACACAATTCCCGACTGATCAACCCAATTTTCATAGGCTAACGCACAGACCCCATCTATAGGCTCTTGATCAGTTAAGTAAAACCAATTTCGCCTTGAAATTGAGGATTCATTTCATGGAGGAACAATTGCAAAAGGCCGGCCCGGAATACAACAATGATGCCCTCAAAGAGAACAGAGAGCTCAAGGTATTGCGCGTGACGATGCAACGTGATATCTCCCGATACCGGAAGAGCCTCCAACAGGCGGAGAAGGATGCCGAAGACTACCAGCTCCAGTTGGTGGAATTAAAGGAGAAAGCATGGAGAGAGCAAGCAGATCAAACGGTTCAGCGCGAAATGGATATTATGCGCGAAGAGCTTGAATCGCGTGACCAACAACTCCGAGAAGCGCGCGACGAGCTGAGACAAATGAAAGATACGCAATCGCAAGAGACCGACAAGCTTCGAGACGACATCGAGGATCTGGAAGCAAGCTCGAGAGAGAAAGACCGCCTGCTCGAGGAACGTGAAGAAGAGCTCGAGGATCTGAGACGCAACGCCGAGGACAATGGAGCAGCTGCAGAACTCCAAATTGAGCTAGATCGCGCCAAGGAACAGATGCAAGATCTTCAGGATAGCCTTGCTCAGGCCACGTCTGAGGCCAGAGAACTAGATGAAGCCGCAAGGCAAGCCATTGAAGAGAAGAACCGCGTTGAGGATGATTTGAGGGAGTTGCAGGATGAGATATCGAACAAATCCTTTACCAGCAAAGGACTGAGTCGCCAAATGGAGGAACGGACCCAAAAGCTCGAGAATGATATACGTGACCTGCAACAAGAGAACAATACTCTAAGGATCGAACTTGAGAGTAAAACAGACCATGCAACTCGGCTAGAAGAGCGTTATGCAACCGTTCAACATGGCCTGGAAAGTAACGCACACCACCTGGTTGAAGAGCTTGACACTGCCAAACGCGCTCGCGATGAAGCCCAACATGAACTTAGAATGACTTCTACTCGATTACAGGAGGCTTTGGATGAACTCCAGCGGGGAACGGATGAAAAGGAACTTCTCCAAACTCGCCATCGTGCGCTAACCGATGAGTCGGGTGGACTTCAAACCGAACTCGACCGAGCACAATCAAGAATCCGCGAACTTCAAAAGGCGGTCCAAGATGCTACATCTCGGGCCCAGGATGAAGGACACAACCTTCGCTGGCAGCACAAGGCGGAGCTTGAGCGGCTGCAAGAGGAGATTGAAAACTTGCAACACGAGATTGAGGAGAAAGAGGGACGATTTGCAGTCGATCAAAGTCGATGGGAGAGTAGCAAGCGGACACTGCAATCAGAGAAGGCATGGGCAGAAGGGCAAGCGGCAGACTTGAAGCGCACTATCGACACACTCCAGGAAGCTGGCGTGACTTACTCAGGAAAGGAGTCTAGGCTCCAGGAGGCCATCGACAGCGAGAAAAAGCGCAATTTACAAGAAAAGTCCATGCTTAATCGTCAAATCCAAGACCTCAAAGATGATCTTGACAAGACCAGACGCGACCTTGACGAAAAACGAGATGAGCTCCTCGCAGCTAAGCAAGATGTTCGAGTATCTCGACGTGAAGAGCAAACGCTTGCCGACAAGGTGCGAGCTCTAGAAGATGAGGTGATTGTTTTACAATCAAGTCTGGCAGACGAGCAAGAGCTCGCCAAGGGCCGACAAAATGGAACATCTGACATAGACAAGAATCTGGAAAAATCCATTGCCGAGAGACAAAAACTCCGTGATCAGCTTGCAAATGCTCATGTCGAGATCTTTGACTTACAATCCTCGGTTCAGGAGATTGAACTTGAACGCGCCGAGCTTCAGGCTCAACTCGAGCAAGTCAAGAATGCAGATGACACCACCCGGATTGACCGCGACAAACTCGAACTACGCAAGACTGCAACACGACTGGACAACGAACTCAGAGTGTTAAAAGAGGCTAAGTCGACTCTTGAGGAGCAGCTTATCTCTGAAAGCGAACGATTCGCAACAGAGGAAGGTCGTCTTTCGGCTGAGATAGATCGCCTTCAGGATAAATTGCTTGCGGGCTCGGGTAACCGAGATCGAGAGCTCACCTCAGCCAAGACAAAGGTTCAGCGCCTGGAGCGTCGCATTCAAGAACTGGAAGCTCTTCTTGAGCAGCAACCCGTCGTGGAGAATGAGCCCTCTGGTGCACATGGAGACCTCTCCTTGCTCCGACACAGCCTAGAGGAGGCCAGAAAACGCGAAAAGATTCTTCTCCAGCGTGAATCCAAGCAGAAGTCTTCCGCTCAAAGTTACAAGTCACGAGTTGACGAACTGGAGAAGGATCTCCATGAAGCGACGATGAAAAAGTTCGAGTCAAACTCCCCGCAAAACTCACCATCAAACAAGCTTCATGAAGAGCTGCGCAGCCTACGCAAACAAGTGGCCGAAGCACACCGATCTCTTCAGAAGGTGAACACAAAGAACCGAGAGCTGGAACGTGCCGCAATGAAAGTAGAAGACCAAAAGGATTTCCATGAGCTCCTCAGATCATCCACTCTTGAGGCTGAGTCATTGGCTCTGAAGCTTTCTGAACGAGAAGGCCGTCTGAATGAATTAAAGACACATGTGCGCCGGATTCGCGACGAGCGAGACGCCCACAGGCGCGAGGCCGATGCGGCAACCAAAAACCTCGATTTATTACAAAGACGCCACGACGAAATTCTCGAGAAAAACTCCCTCTCTAAATCAAGCAACAAGACCAAACACGAAAAAGAGATCCGAGGTCTGGGCAAGGAGATCATATGGCTTCGTGCCCGTCTGCAGCGCGAGGAGAAATTCCGCCGTGATCTTGCCTGGAGCAAGGGCTTGATGGAACTCGGCGAACGAGTCCGAGTTGCATGGTTTGTACCCCTATTACAAACAGCAATTGCTACATGGCTAACGAAGATATCAACAGTAACGATGCCGATCTGCGCATGATTTCCGATATGGGAGTGAAGGCTCGTGACCGAGCTCCTGTCCGCACCCCCCGACACAAACTGAGATCCGCCATATCTCTAGTCAGGGCAGCTGTTCGCATGCAAAAGATGAGCAGCGATTGGAAGCGGACCAAGAAATTGGGCGAGGGCTTGAAACGTGCCAAGACCGAAATGCTCAAGCGCCGCGAGAGCTCAAATAAGAGCCTGCTTGGCTAGTAGCTTGGACTCAGGGCTTCTGTGTTTATTTCATATTCGTTGTGATTTTGTCTTTTGTTCTTCCAGCGTCAACCTTCTATCATGAGAGATTCCCCCCGACATGTCTTGCTAGTATACTGGGTTTGTTTTATTGTTTCCGACTTGTTCTGTCTTTTCTGTGTCGCCTTCCATTCATGACCCAGGAGGGCGTTTTAGGGGTGGCTTAATGTCGGTTTGTTCGATTGATCATGTGTGAATAGCCATCCTCAATGAGGAATTTGATGATTTAAGAAGTTTTTCTTTTACGTGGAGTATTCAATTAAGCATCGGTTGGGCGTACACCTAGAAACACCGGGCGAAATAGAACTGTCAAGCAATATGCATGTTACTCGCACTCTTTTCCTATGATGGGACGGAAATACCTAGACACATGGATGGAAATATTTGCTCAGTCAACGCCCTCGCCATTGCCAAAAAAAAGGAGTGATTGATAAACGCTTCTAAAACACCAAACTCTTCGGATACAGACCACCAGCAAACATAGGAATCGGGAACCAAACAAGGAATTGACATGAACACAGATCAGACATATGACAACATTGGAGACCTATAGACAAGGGCACGGGATATTTGGCTTTTCATCCTTTCTGGACGAGTCAACAAACCCAATATTCTATGGTGTTGATCAACTGGAGACGGAAGCAAACTCGCATTTCTGAAACCGTAATGGACAGAATATCGAACATTTGCGAAGACGCCGATCAAGCACCTTCACTGCCAAATTCTTGAGTCCATTCAGCGTTCCTTGTGAGATCCTCTCCGCTAACAGTTGGTCGAGAGTTCTTTACTGCCTTGATGAAATCCTTGAGAACAAGAGGTGGCTCCAGGAGTTGCTCTGCATCAACGTCAAGCCAGCTCATTTCCATTGCGCCTGCATCTCCAGGTGAGCAAGGGGTGAGCTTTTCAGCACCCTCAACGAGCACCTATGTAGAAAAAAAACCGGGGTTAGTTGCTGTGGATTAAGCGTGATAAGAAGCGAGTGTACAGACCTTCTTGTAATGGGTTGCTCCTTGGATCTTGCGGATTGGCTGCATCAGTGCATCCTGCACGGCAATACTAATATCGCTGCCTGAATAACCCTCGCTGAGATCGGCCAATTGACGGTAATCAGTCTGGGTCATTTGACACGGTGTTGTGCCCACCGCCAGCATGAACATCTTCATCCGTGCATTGACGTCAGGCAGACTGATGTGTACTCTTCGCTGGAATCGTCGTCGAATAGCAGCATCCAGCTGCCAAGGGATATTGGTTGCGCCCAGAATCAAAACGCCCTTAGAGTCTTTGCCGACACCGTCCATCTGTACAAGTAATTCGGTCTTGATACGCCGTGAAGCCTCGGACTCTCCTTCGCCACGGGGTCCGCACAGAGCATCGACCTCATCAATGAAGATAATGGCAGGCTTATTCTCACGAGCCATGTTAAACAGCTGCTTGACAAGTCTATAGAGAGCGAATTAGTCACGCATGTCTCATGCTCCTGTGGTTAACATATTGCCTCACCTTTCACTCTCACCCATCCACTTTGAGACGAGATCACTACTGCTAACACTGAAGAATGTGCTGTTTGCCTCTGTTGCGACGGCTTTTGCGAGGTAAGACTTTCCCGTACCCGGGGGGCCGTAAAGTAGAATACCCTTCCAGGGTTGGCGCTTGCCAGTGAACAAATGAGGGAACTTGATGGGAAGAATGACAGCTTCCTTCAAGGCTTCCTTTGCGTTTTCTAAACCAGCCACATCCTCCCATTTCACGTTCGGCTTGTCTGACAAGATAGCTCCTTGAAGTGCCGATCGAAGCTTTTTCGCTTCCGCGTCTTCGCCGTTATCGTCATCTTCTTTCCTGCACGATCCAATACTTTTAGCAAATATGATCTTGGAATCTGACCTCATTGAGCATAGAAAAGAGGAATAGCCGGAGCGAGGTATAGTATCAAATTACATACCCTCCCTTCCCACTGCCTTGCGCCACCTTGCCATTTGCGCCAACGGCGCTCGGTTTTTTCCGATCTTCAGCCAGATGATTCTTCAGTTTCTCTGCGCGATCCATATATTCGCCAGCCTTGGAGCGGATCATCTCCTTTGACTTCGGATTTTTCTCCCATTTCAAGGCCAGCATGAACAGCTCCAGTGCGGAGTAGTACATCTGATAAGCCTTCTCGTACTCGCCATCGTTGTCATTCTCGATAGCCTTCTTCACCGTATCGATCGCCCGCCCGAGAAAATCTGTATTACTCATGCTGGGCAATGTGTAGCTGTGCCTGCCTGGTTCTCGGTGTAGGGGAGAGTGGAAAGTCGACCGCGGAGGCAGATGTTGATAAAGCGGGGAGAAGAGGGGAGGCAAGGGTTAGGCAATGCGCCAAGGGCGGAGGGATATAGGTAGCGGATTAGGAAAGGAAAAGGAACGAAGACTTAGAATCTTCGGTGTAGAGGGAGACAGGAAGGACAATATAGCCCTTCAATCGAGGGTTTGATGGAATTGGAGGGGAAAGTGAGAGTGGAAGTTGTTTACGGGCGGGATCGATTGATTTTCCCTCCCACTTCATCCCCCCAAGTTTACCATGGACGCCCAGAAACAGCTTCAAGCACTCTCCGAAGAGTTCCAGGGAGTGCAGACCGGTGCGTCTTTATATCTCTACTGACATGTAACAAGAGCTGCTGCTGATTATTTCTCGCGCCTCCAGAGCTCGAGGGTTTGGTTGACGCCCGCCAGAAACTCGAATCGCAGCAACAGGAGAACGAAGGCGTGCGGGCCGAATTCGCTCAGCTGGACGATGATTCCAACATTTATAAGCTTGTCGGTCCCGTGTTGCTGAAGCAGGAGAAGACCGAAGCTACCATGGCCGTCAAAGGTCGGCTGGAGTTCATTGAGAAGGAGATGTTAGTGCCACTGCCTTGGGAACAACGTCTTCAGGGAAACGAATGCTAAATGAGTGTCTATAGCAAGCGCATCGAAGACGAGATTGATTCTACACAAGAAAAGAGCGAGAAGATGCGTTCTCAGGTGAATCTTCCTCTATCCAACCCCCCACCATAGTGCATGTTCTGATCCCCTCACTTAGCTCATCCAACTCCAAAGCCAGGCTCAGCAGCAGGCAGCTGCAGCTACCGCCTCTGCATAATTTTGAAAATCCAGGGAACTCAAGGCGAAAAAGGATATGTCCCCAGGAGATACAATCAGCGGCGTGTGAAATACAAGGTGACCCCGTTGCGGGTTAGTCTCCGCACTATACAGCTATCAAACCTTGAAGTTCAAGGACCTCTGCTTGGACGTCGAGGCAAGGTCCCAATTGGAGGGAGAACATGTCCAAAACAGAGCATGAACCATTTTTGAAAAAGAATATACCCTTAAAATGATAATGCAATGCCAAAAAAAAGATCCCAATTCAAGTTGGTGTTAAGGCTATTGACAATTTGGAAGTAAGAAGGAAGCTTCGTATGTGTATTGACAAGGTTCTATTCATTGATTCATAACCAAACATTTATGTGCGAGAAAGTTATCTAGGACTTGACCAGCAGGTTGGCACCCGACATCTCCTCAGGCTGCTCAACACCCATAGCAGCGAGAACGGTAGGCGCAACATCACCCAGGACACCACCCTTCTTAAGGCTCCAGTTCTCAGGGGCGTTGGCCATGACGAAGGGAACCTTGTTAAGGGTGTGGGAGGTCTTGGGAGTGCCCTTCTCGTTGAGCATTTCCTCGGCGTTTCTGTGATGGTAGGTTAGCCACCAAATTCCAGATATTCCTGCTAAACAACTTACCCGTGATCGGCAGTGATGAAGAGAACATAGTTGTGCTTCTTGCAAGCCTCATAGATTTCGCCAATGGCCTTGTCAGTGGCAGCAACACCCTGAATAGCGGCCTCGTACACTCCAGTGTGGCCAACCATGTCAGGAGGGGCGAAATTGTTCATGACGAAGTCAAACTTGTTTTCGCCAAGGCGTTCAGCCACCTTGGAACCGACAGCAGCGGCGCTCATCTTCGGGTCAAGGTCGTAGGTAGCAACTCGGGGTGAAGGGATCATGTCGCGCACCTCGCCAGGGAAGTCCTTCTCGATACCACCGTTGAAGAAGAAAGTGACGTGAGCGTACTTCTCAGTCTCAGCAATGTGGCACTGCTGGAGGTTCTTCTTGGCGAGCCATTCAGCGAGCACATTACCCATATGTTGCGGGGGGAACGCAACGTCGAAGGTGTAGTCGGTCTTGTACTGGGTCATAGTAGTGAGAGAGATATTCTTGGGGTAAGGGAAATCGGGACGCGGGGAACGGTCATGGTCACCCAGAAGCTGGGTAATCTCACGGACACGATCTGAGCGGTAGTTAAAGAAGAATAGAGTATCATCATCTATAGCGTAATTAGTTTTGACACAGATTATAGGTGTCCAGTCCGAAAAAAAACATACCCTGAACACGGCGCTCCTTGCCGCCGACGATGATAGGCTTCAGGAATTCATCGTTCTCTTTCTTCTCGTAGCGCTCCTTGATGGTCTGGAGTGGGTCCGAGCTGTCCTCGCCCTCTCCGGTGACCAGACCCTTGAGGCCAACCTCGACACGCTCCCAACGCTTATCACGGTCCATGATGTAGTAGCGGCCAACGACGGTGGCAATTGCGCCAATACCAATCTCCTGGGTCTTTTGAAGCAGCTGTTGCATGTACTTGTCGGCGCTCTTGGGATCAGTATCACGTCCATCAGCGAAAAAGTGGATGAAGACTTCGGGGATCTGCATGTCCTTGGCGACGTCGAGCAGGGCGAACAGGTGAGTGATGTTGGAGTGAACACCGCCATCCGAGACCAAGCCCAAAAGGTGAAGACGTCCATTGCCCTCCTTTGCACGGGTGAAGGCCTTGGCAACGTTGGGCACCTTACCCATCTCGCCCTTCTTGAGGGTCTGGTCAATGCGAACACTGTCCTGCCAGACAACACGACCAGCGCCAATGTTCAAGTGACCGACCTCACTGTTGCCCATCAGACCCTCGGGCAAACCAACTGCGAGCGAGGAGGCATCCAGTTCAGCGAAGCCCTGGGCGGTCTTCGAGTTGGGGTCCGCGAAGCCAGACATGTATGGGGTCTCGGCCGCAGCGATGGCATCTCCCTGGGGTGGGGAGTCGGGGCCTGCAATACCCCAGCCATCAATCACAACTGCAAGGAGTGGTATTAGCAGACATTTCTGAGGACCTGGGTGGCAATCGGGTCATACTCAAAGCGACCTTTTGGTCGACCGAAGCCATAGTGGGGTTTATTATGGTCACACCTAGATACAATAGATCGATCAATTGTTGAACAAAGAAGATAAATTTTTTTTAAAAAATTCAATTGTAACTTGGACAAAGCTGCTTTACCTTTAGATGTTTAGAGGAGAAAGAGAATGAATAAAGGAGAACTAAAACCCAGAAAAAGAAGCCCGCCGGTGAAAGGAGGGGCATGGACCCCCGACGTCACTGTCACCGGGTGCCAGGAGCGTATGGGATGACATAATACCCATTATGGGCGGGTTCGACGAATGTTCTTCCGACTCTTCCCTAAAACTTACCCCAGTTGGGATCCATTCGTCCTCCAGATATCTCTTCCTCGGGATCTTCTTAGTCAATGTTCCCGATCATGGCTTCTCGATCTCCGACAGTGGGCACTCCGCTTCTGAAATCCTCGGTAGCACCTGAGACGCCCTTACCAGGACCACAAACAGTACCTTTCCCTTCACCCCAGACCTTTGAGATCATTCCGCCGTTGCATGGGATACTCTCTCGTTTGCTCTCCTCCAAGGAGCACCCAACTGGCTCATCGGACGCACCTGGCGATCCAACCGAAGCTCTGGGAGCTTCACAGACACAGACCCAACAAGCACCCGATGGGAACAATGGCAATCCTACATCCTCACATGCTGTGCCAGAAGTAACAGTTCTTGACCCGAGCCCTCATCCACCGCTTGATGTGAAAAACCTTCCCACGGAAACCAGCTCTGTTAGGATTCGAATCCAAAAGGCTCGTACAGTCGTTGAAGCGCTACCCGATGTGCAGCGGTCTGTCAGTGAGCAGCAAAGGGAGATTGCAGAGCTCGAGGAACGCGTGAGACGTTTACGCTTGGTCATCTCTGATTTTGGAACTCGGGCAGGAACCCTACAAGAGAACAACACAAGGACTGTGGAAGTGTGAAGCCTTGGTGCAATTCGAGCTAGTTTGAAGATACTGGGGTGTGGGATGATTTATTTGGCGTTTTAGAAGGAGATATACCCCGGGAGTTATAGCGATCATTTCAAGACGGCGAAAGCGTCATCATTTACCTGGTGGCAACTCCCACAATTCATCCACCACATCTTCTTTTCCCTTACTCCGTACTGTGTTTTTCTTCTTCGAGGGGCCAGAAAGGCAAAATAATCAAATTGACTTTTTAAGCTTCGGCCAATCTGTCGCCAGCAATTTACCATTTTTTAATCACCTAATCACCTAATCCGGTCAGCTGTCTCCGATATCGTTCGGCGAGTTAAAAATCCGGGCAACTGAAGATCCCCTCCCCCACCATTTCCCTTTCCCTTTCTTTTTCTCTTAACCTTCCATCCTCCCATCTTTTTTTCTCTTTCTCTGTTTATCTCCAAAAGAAGAACAGAACATCCCTCATCATGTCTTACGCTCTGTCCGAGTCCCACCGGGACGTGAGTATTCCATCTACCCTGTTTCTTGTTATCTAGATCATTGACTCATCGATTACAGCAAATGCACAACTCTCTCGTGTCCAGCGATCCCGAGATTGCTGCCATCATGGTACGTTCAAATGCCGTTTGTTTGGTGCATTGACATATTTGGATCTCGTCTAATCCTCATGCTCGTACAGGAGAAGGAAATCCAGCGTCAGCGTGAGTCAATCGTGCTGATTGCCTCGGAGAACTTCACTTCCCGTGCTGTCTTCGATGCCCTTGGTTCGCCCATGTGCAACAAGTACTCCGAGGGTTACCCCGGTGCTCGTTACTACGGTGGCAACCAGCACATTGATGCCATTGAGATCACCTGCCAGCAGCGTGCTCTCAAGGCCTTCAACCTGGACCCCGCTAAGTGGGGCGTCAACGTCCAGTGCCTTTCCGGCAGCCCCGCCAATCTCCAGGTTTACCAGGCCCTCATGCGTCCCCATGACCGCCTGATGGGCTTGGATCTCCCCCACGGTGGTCACTTGAGTCACGGCTACCAGACCCCTGCCAAGAAGATCTCTGCCGTTTCTACCTACTTCGAGACCTTCCCTTACCGTGTCGACCTCGAGACCGGTATCATCGATTACGACACCCTGGAGCGTAACGCCGAGATGTACCGCCCCAAGTGCCTTGTCGCTGGTACCTCCGCTTACTGCCGTCTCATTGACTACAAGCGCATGCGCCAGATTGCCGACAAGGTCGGCGCCTACCTCATTGTCGATATGGCTCACATCTCTGGTCTGATCGCCGCTGGTGTCATTCCCTCTCCCTTCGAGTACGCCGATGTGGTGACCACCACTACCCACAAGTCTCTCCGTGGTCCTCGTGGTGCCATGATCTTCTTCCGCAAGGGTGTCCGTAGCACCGACAAGGCCGGCAAGGATATCCTGTACGATCTGGAGAACCCCATCAACTTCTCCGTTTTCCCTGGCCACCAGGGTGGTCCCCACAACCACACCATCACCGCTTTGGCCGTCGCTCTCAAGCAGGTCGATACTCCTGAGTTCAAGCAGTACCAGGAGCAGGTCATCAAGAACGCTAAGGCTCTCGAGAACGAGTTCAAGACCCTTGGCCACAAGCTCGTCTCTGACGGCACTGACAGCCACATGGTCCTCGTCGATCTCCGCCCCAAGAGCCTTGATGGTGCTCGTGTCGAGGCCGTTCTGGAGCAGATCAACATTGCCTGCAACAAGAACTCCATCCCCGGCGACAAGTCTGCCCTCACTCCTTGCGGTATCCGCATTGGTGCCCCCGCCATGTCTTCCCGTGGTATGGGCGAGGAGGACTTCAAGCGCATTGCCCGCTACATTGATCAGTCCATCACCCTCTGCAAGAAGATCCAGAGCGAGCTCCCCAAGGAGGCCAACAAGCTCAAGGACTTCAAGGCCAAGGTTGCCGATGAGAGCGTCCCTGAGATCCTGGCTCTCCGCAAGGAGATTGCCCAGTGGGCCAGTGCCTTCCCTCTTCCCGTTTAAATGGGATTTTGAGTATGAGTTAAGAAAAAAAAGGGATCTGAAACAATATCCTACGAGTTCAACATCATTTCGTATTTTTAAAAGAAAACTACACGGGTGCGTTTTTGGGGGTTAATTACCGGACTGCTTTTTCAACCTGACGCGGGTCATTGGGATATGGGAATGCTACTTTTTTGCATGTGAAACGAGCACTTGATTTTTGGCGGATGAGCCTCGCACTTATTCAACAGCGGGCTCATATGATTTTTTGGAGGGGAAAAGTTCAACATTTATTGGGCACTGTACATTCTACAATCTGTTCTCAACACAACGATCTATAGCAATGGACTATCTTCCTCGACTTTTTGTTCTCTTGTACCTCCAGGGCTGTGGATCTTGATCCCTTTCCCAAAAGGGTTATATTATCTAAGATCGCGTCACGTGTAAATCCCCTCCTTCCAAGGTTCCTATCACCGTCCTGTCTGCTCCGAGTTTAGCTTCTGTTCTACTTCTGTGTTTCTCCTGCGTTCCTCTATCTCTTGCTCTCTGACTTCTCATCACTGCACTGCTTTCCGCTCTTCTATATCTTGGCCGTTCAAATTTAGCCCATTCCAGACCTCATCGATAAGGGCGTATCTTATCACCCCGGACCCCTACGGAGACCATACATCTATACTGGACTTGTGATTGCATTTGAAGCAGTGCAGTGTATCTTTTTGAGAAGTCACTGGCGAGCCAAGAGAAAATTAGGACATTGGCCTGACATGGCGAATGCTGCCCAATGCTACTATTGCTTTGAGTCTCTCTTGGCTTCATTCGAGGATCGCGAGCCCGCTACACTGGCCGCTGTAGAATCCCTCTGGGAACAGCACGAACAAACTAAGAAGTTATCGAAGCTTCGAGAGCAAACCGAAGAAGATGACACAGACCTACAGCAGTCCGTAAATGAGAACGAAGATGACGATAGCAACCAATCGTCCCAGTCAAGTAATCGAGCAAACAAGCTGCAACTCCCCAGCGTCGGTCGTCTTCAGAGTCAACTGTCTACTCCTTCCAGCGCAGCGACCTCTTCATCTTCCCCATCCAATACTTCTTCCAACTCGCTCCAGTCGAGTTCGACCAATGTCACCACGCCAAGTGCGTTCGAAACCCCCTCCCGGCTGGAATCGCCTGATCAGCGGTATCCCCTGTTCGTGACATGGAACACCCTGTCACGAAGCGGACACAAGTCTCTGCGTGGGTGCATTGGCACATTCGAGGGGCAGGAGCTTGCAGCGGGGTTGAAGTCCTACGCTTTGACCTCGTAGGTGAAATCACAGGCAATGGTTACAACCATATATATACAACAGACTAACCAAACTATGATCTTGTATTTCTATAGGGCCTTTGATGACACCCGTTTTTCGCCCATTCCCAAATCGCTGCTGCCATCGCTGTCCTGCTCTCTCACCCTCCTGGGATCCTTCGAGCCTTGTACCAATGCTATGGACTGGGCTCTAGGAACTCATGGGCTGCGGATCTCCTTTATTCATCGGGGCCGGCGCTATGGCGCCACATATCTGCCTGATGTCGCTGTCGAGCAGGGCTGGACTAAAGAAGAGACCGTTGAGAGCTTGATGCGCAAGGCGGGTTGGGATGGTGGTGGTGGTAGTGCTGCGCGGAGACTGCTACGAGGTGCGGCTAGTGGGAATCCCCGTGCCACCAAGCCTTGGGACCAAGTCTCGGATTTCCGTACTGTCAGGTACCAGGGCCTCAAGGCAAGCGCTAGCTATGCGGAGTGGTGGGAGTGGCGAGATTGGGTTCTTTCTCTAGATGACGGAGAGGAAATTTTGGCTTGTTCTAAGGGACAGGCATAGATTTTGATCTGTGGGATTGACGATGATAATGACTCTGCTTTTTTAGTTCAACACTGGGCATTAATGAGAAATGACAATGGCACTTATCCAGATAAATATTACCAACACCGTTAAACCGATGTAGTATATATAGACATGAAAGTTATATTCCTAGTGATATCTCCAGAATAAAGCAAGATATAGAACACCTTTAACGTCCAGTGCGGCTCCATAACCCGGCAACCATTTCCTTGACTCGACGCTCCTGAGCCCGGATCTGCTCCTCAGTCTGCCCACGCGCATTGCCCCGACTATCAATCTGCATTTGACTCCCACCACCAAGACCAGCATCCGCCATTGCAGGCAGCGCATGGTTCCGTTCCTCGATGATCTCATCGCCGTTGACTCGCTCCGGCTTAGGATCGACACTCATGCTGCCGTCCATCATGAAACCACCGCCCTCACGGAGCTTGTTAATAGCCCGCACGGTGTCAATAGCACGGTGCAGCGTACGGCGGGCATTGAAGTTCTTCTTGACGGTTGGCAGCAGATCTTCACCAGAGCCCACCGGGGCATTTTCGTAGGGCGGGTTGACCCATGGGTGCTGGAGTGCTTCATGGGAGGTCATCCGGGACTGTGGGTTAATTGTCAGACAGCGCTTGATGAACTCGCGCGCTTCCTGCGATACTCCGCGCCAGTACTCGAGTGGAGTGAAGGAGTAGTCTGCCGCTAGAATTGCCTGCATCTCTTCGAGATTAGAGTCCCTGTCGAAAGGCGTGTATCCACACAGCAGGAAGTATGTGATGACGCCGATGGCCCAAATATCGCTATGGAATGTGTCAATAACAAATCGGGACAAGGTTTGAAGGGATGAACGTACACTGGCTTGCCGTGGCCGCTTTTTTTAAAGATCTCGGGTGCCATATATCCTGGCGTTCCACAGGTGGTGGTCAGGACGTGGAACTGCTCCTCGTCCATGATCCTTGACAATCCGAAATCGGCGATCAGTAGATCGGCGTTGTCTTCTGGAGTGCGGAAAAGCAGGTTCTCGGGTTTCAGGTCACGGTGCACAATGCCGTGATCATGAAGGTAGGCTACAGCAGAGAGCACTGCGCGGATGAGGTCTGCAGCATCTGACTCGTAGTAGCTGCCTTTGCGACAGATGCGATCAAATAGCTCCCCGCCCAACGCGAGATCAGTAACCAAATACACTAGAGGGATATTTAGCTGGTAGTTCATTCTGCAGAAGCGGGAAAATACCCACAGTTATTCATCGTCTCAAAGTAGTCGACCAGGGTGAGGATATTCTGGTGACCCATCGACACCTTCTTCAATATTGCGATCTCATTACGGACCTTGTTTTCGGAGAGGTCAGTATGCGCCTTTCTTCTTATCGGTTCCCCGGTTTACACACCATATGTTCCCTCCCAGACATTAGGCGCTTGTTGATTACCTTGGCCGCATAATAGCGACCGGTATCGATGTGCACACATTCCTTCACGACAGAGTACGAGCCAGCGCCCAGTGTCTTTCCAGTCTTATATCGGCACGGTTGTACCTTCGGCTTCTGGCCGCTCGGAGATTGTGCTGCCATTGTGAATCAAATCCAAAAGGAAGTGCGGGATGCGCGACGCGGAGGTGGGAGGATGGTGGGGGTATCGTGCGATGCGAATCGCGAGTAGATAATGCGATCAAGTGGGATGTTGGAGGGGTTCAAGTCACGTCGAGAGTGCAATAGGTGCGCTGGTCTCTTGGTATGTACCTGCGCGATCCAAAAGTCAGCTTCACGTAGTCGCGCAAGTGCCACAGGAGCCCGAAGGCAAGTCAGCCCCGCCAAGGCAAGGCACCCGCGCGGAATCACTCACAGTTGAGATGAGACCGATTACAACGCGATCTGAGCTGGTTTCTCCGGTGCTATGTTATTTGGATGTTGACTGCGGGGGTTTGAAGTCGAGAAGCTCGGATCGCAGGCGGGGTTGGAGATGAGGAGCTGAAACGACAATTAAGGAGCTGACACAACTGAAGAGAAATAGAACTGGGATTAACAATTATGGTATGCTATGTACGCTATGTACATTTCAAAACTCCTTCCCAAATGCACGTCAAGACAAAAAGAATTCAAAAACGCTCAAGCACCTCTTCAACAATGCTCTCCAACAGTTGCAGCTTGTGGAATTTGGCCACACTCTCCAACACTCGGAGTTTCTTCTCGATCTCCTTTCGATCGACGGTCGCTGCCCAGGTACCACTGCAAGAACAGTGCTCCATGAAGTCGCTGATCTTCAGGCCGCCACACTTGGAGCATTTGATGTCTTGTGTCTGCCATTCAACAACAAAGCCATGGACTTGACCAATGAGGAATTCTTCTGTGGCCAGTCGGTCATATTCTGCGTGACAGAATGGGCAACGCCATGGCTGGGTAGAGCCGGTGGCATCTGAATTGCTATCGGGCAGCACATCTTCGTCGCGACAAAGATCGAGGTCTCGAATGAGACAGCAGGAGTTGCAAGACATTTCGGGGAGCTTCAAGCTGGCACTGGGATTCTCGAATCGGCCCTCCTTGCTGAACTCTCGGACCTCGAACAGGGCAAGGAGCTCGCGTCGCAGCAACCGCGATTCCAAGGTCGTTGTCTTGGACAAACTGAGAATTTGCATAAGCAATTTTGTCAACTCTAAAGATGGATTGCGTTTGTCATTGGCATTGACGAGGACTCCTGGCAACACGGGGAAAGCATAGTCAGATGCAAGCTCGGGATGAAGCATTTCATCACGCTGTCTGCGGATCAGATGGGAGATTTGCTTCTTCAATGGCTTCGAGAATCGATCTGCAAGAATAGCAGTGACCTCATCATCGTCTGCTTCGTTGGTCCGCCCAATGGGGATCTGTGTCGGCCGAGGCGTTGAAGATAGGCCCCCATCTTCGAGTTGCGGTCGCTTCAAGCCATGCATCAGCTCGATGTACTCGACAATCCAATCATGGAAGATAGTTTGCATGGGCATTGGTAGGAACCGACTGAGCTGCCAGTGCATCGCTGTTTCAAGATTCTGCTCGTCCGCCTCGGTGACCTCTCGGCAGCCCTTGCCTCCATAGTTATATTCGTCATACCACACGAGGTAGTCCCAGTACTCTTTGATCTCTAGATCGATGAAATGGAACGAAGGGTTGGCGCGGATTGACTTGAGAACGTACTGGCTGTAGGCGTAGGCGTTGCCAACCTCGGTCTTGGTCGTTTGGAGAAGCAGGCGTGTAGAGCTGGCAAAGATGACATGCGAGCCAACACGTCTGAACTCTGCCATCAATCTTTGGAATGACTTGCGTGACAGCAATCGCACGTAGTTGTGCAGAGATCGATCATAAAGACGAGACACAGGGCTTTCCACCCATCGGATCAAATGCTGGACCATGATATCAGCCATGCTGTTACCTGCGCAGGCCTCAGTCCACCAGTGTTTGACCATTTCTCGGAGAACGACAACGCCGGCAGAGGCAAATGCCTTCTCTGAATAGAAAACACCTGTGTCTTCACCATCCCCAGATGCTAGCAGCGTATCACTGCCCTCCATCTCACTGATGATAGAAGATGTCAGGATTGTGTTAATGGACAGATTGCGAACTTCAAGTTCAATGCAAACTGTCGAATAGGCACCTGGCACGTTGACAGATGGCATGTTGACCTTGTCCAATGCACCAAGAATATCATCCCTTTCATAGCCTGCATGATCGGGACGCGGCCCTTGTGACCACCAAAGCACAACATTGTTCTGTTGAAGTCGTCTGGCGTACGAGATATCGATGAGGTATCGAGGATCTTCGTTTTCCAGATTGCAAAGCGGAACATCACCGTACCGAGCGAGCAAGGTCAAATGCTGTATCCAAGAGGACAAGTAGAGATAGCGCGTGACTAGACGTCTTGCGACAAACGCCTGCCAGCCCAGTGGGGGAAGTTCTATGTCTGATGCTTCGGGCTTGACGGACAGCACTGGATATTCTTTCAAAATTGGAATGTCATGACACAAACGGTCCTTTTGCTGGGATTGAATGACAAGGACGGCAGGCCGGCTCTCATCATTTCGAAGCTTTCTGACCAAATCACCAACTTCAAGGTGGGCCTTCCTTCGCGTCATCACCTGGGTGATCTTGAAATGGATTTTGTCCTGGTAATCAAACGCGTGCTGCGATTCATCGCCAGATGCAGCTTGCATCTTCCGCGTGAGAAGCTCGGTGTAGATTTTGTCGACGTTCGGGAGACCCTGGACGTCCCTTGTGCGGTTGAGAACGATAATGTGCGCCTCATTCTTGGATGTGGAGAATATTGCGAATACCTGTCTATCCCCAGAGACAATATGATACAGATAATGGTACACTAATGACGAGTCCATCAGATATGGCTGTTCAGAAGATGTGTGAAGTAAGGTCGAAAGGTCGAAGCCCTTGTCCAATCCATCACCTAGGACACCACGTTGTGTTTCATCGAAAGTACAATGACTTCCTAGCTTAAGCAATGCTCGGGTACTCAGGGGAATGTTGCCCTCGTAAACACCCTCAATGCTAGGGTGCTGGAAGAGGATTTCCATCTTGTCAGCCTCTTCGAGGTATTTCTCTTCCGACAAAGACACCTTGAACAGGTGGACGGAGGGATGGCCATTGGGCAGAGTGTGATTGACCTTCTCAACCTCACATTCGTCTACCTCAATGTCTGGCAAGGAATCCTGCTTCAAGTTCAAGAAGAATTGTCGCGGAACTCTGATGCTGAGGGCATGGATCTTTTGGTCGATCAGGACGAAAGCTCGCACAACTCCCGGAACGCCCGTCTCGCAAAGTTGCAGCACCTGCCATGTGCTAATGTACAGCATTTGAGCTTGATTCCGGAAGAAGTTACTCAAGGAGTCAGTGGCAACGTTGGTTCGTTCGCCGAATAACTGACGGCGACGGACCCGTGCTTGCTTCTGGATCTTCCATTTTTGCTTCTGGTACTTCAGGAATCCTTCATAGTTTTCCGACATTGATGGCATAACTGCTGGAAGGCTAGCATAAGGATCGAGGGCCGTCTTTGGGACATTCTCTGGGTGTTTCCTCTTGGAACCCTTGGTCTTTTGGGTGGAGATGGCTTCGTCCATATCGCCAGCATGTTGAACCCGATGATCCAGGATGTTGGCATTTGTCGACGAAAGGGGTGTCTTCTCTGATTTGGTGAATAGATCAGTCATCTTCTTTTGCTTGAATTTGTCTTCCTTCGTTCTGATCCGACGTTGCAACCAATCTGGGTGAGCAACCCGCGGGACTGGATTTGGCAGCTTTTGAAGTGCAGCTGGAATAGTAATCAACTTTTGGATCACAGATCCCAAACGCTCGAGGTAATAGTCCCAGTCGATCACAGTTCGGGGGTCCATGTCACCAGGATCTTCCTTGAGCCATTTGCGCAAGAAGAATCTCTTAATGCTCTCTTCAGCGGAAAAGATAGCAACGGGAATTGCCCTTTCGGTGACAGGTGTGTTGCGTGGGCGTGATGAGATAATGTATTTGCAGTTGAGGCCTTTGTCTTTAACCATCTGCTCTCCCAAGAACTCTGCCAGACGTTTTGCCGTCGTGATGGATGTGGACTTTTGAGAACCGTATTCTTCCAGAGTTTTGGACATGCTTCGATTCTCCGAAATCAGATCAATCAACTCTTCATCTGCCAATGTCGTTCCGTGTTCATACAGAACGTCCAACCAGCGGTCCGCAACTCGGGCCACGGCTGCGTAGGTTTCAGCAAGATTAGAGCCCTCTAGGAAGAATTTGAAGAGCTGCGTTTGGAAGATCTTGATCAATTTCAGCTCGCCTCTTCGCTTGACCTCGAATCCCTTGAGTTCAGCCAAGGAGCCATCGTGATTGAAGACTGCGTATCTTTTCTTCAAGTTCTTGTCTTCCTCCTTTGAAGTTGGTAAAATCATTGCCCGGTAAGGTCCATCAACTTCGAAGAAGATAGAATTTTCACTGTGAGTCTCGTACTTGAAGGTTTTTGGATCGACAAGCGCCTGGTACTGATGGTTGGTGTACCTCGCATGAACGAGGTGATTCAGCATAACACATGGATAGGAGATGCCCAATTTCTTTCCGTTCTTCAGTGTGAAGGAAAAGTTATCGGGGAATCCTCCGGGAAGCATGCACCAAATACCATCGGTATCCAGCTCCAGGGGACGACCGATGCGTTCGACTAGCTCTCTCGCCATCTGAATAATGTGGGCACCTGTCAAACAAGTGACGCCAGCCATTTCCATGGAATACCACCGAGAGCCCTTTCGCATCACATAGCCGTAGAAACTGTTGAGAATGACCTTGTGTGCAAGCTGAAGAGAATCATACAGAATGATCATCTTCTTCGCCTCTTCGATCTCACCTGCTGAAGCGCCTGCCGACTGCAAACTATCCGCCTTGTTCTTCCAACCTTTTTGCTTGCCCTTAAAGTCATATCGTCGGTCACGGAAATCTCGGACAGTATCGACATAGAAAGGATTTTCTCGTTGGCAAATGATGGCTTCTCGCTCCATCGTCTTGCTGTCGTGAATTTTGTGGTAGATCTTTTTGCTGTAATCCTGCAGTCGCTTTTTGACCAAAGTAGCTTGCTCTTCAATGCTCAATTCGCCAAATGATCTCATTGGAGAATTTGGGTACCGGCCTGGGAAACGCTCATTTGCCGTGGCACGTCGGATCATGTTATATTCATCACGCTTGGCAGGCAAGAATTCGCCTCGCCATGCCCAAGGCATACGTCGATCACAAGTTTTTCCGGGTCGGTTGAAATCGCAAGCAGCGCAGTTCGATTCATCAATCAACGAATCTGGTTGCAATCGGTTGGTGATCATGATGTTGGGATACATGGAAGCGACATCCAAATGGTAAATGAAAGGCACCTCATTCCGTGTTGGATTGTTCTTGAGATCGAGCAAGCGCTCCACAATTTGTGCCCTGACCTCATCATAATTCACAACATCGTCCATGGACTTCTTTTCTTCAACCTCGATACTGAATTTAAGGGCGTGATCGAGATCTTTGAGAAGCTCGTCAATTGCAGTAGGATCAACGGTGAAATGGGTAGGAATATCACTTCGGAACACACCAGCTTCAATACTTTCGACGTGGCCACCAACGTAAGTCTCTGACTCAAGAAGATGACCTTCATAGAAAGCTTCTGTCGGATTCTTGTGTTTGTTGGGCAAAACGATCTCATGCTGGTATGCTTGGACCATGAGAAGCATCTCACACAGAGTTCCAGTTCCCTTTCGCAGTGTTTCGTCGGCGTTGAGAGGAATGATCGTGCAGAGTGAGAAGATGAAAGGGTGGACATATTTCATGTACAGATAATAGGTTGCAACGGCATCGGAAACCGAGTATTCCGCTAAGGTCTGTGGTCTTTCACTCGCATACGGTGTCATGAGTTCGGGATCAAGCTCGTCTGGATCGTAACCAAGTTTTGCTACAGTCACGGCTTTTAAACCACGACTTCCTTGGGGAAGATAACTGTCACGGTTGACCCAGGCGAAACAATCCATGTGCACACAGTTGTCAGCTTGGTAGATATCTTCGCTGTTTTTTCGGAATCCGATCTCCATGTACATATCAAGTCCCAGAATACTGGCTCTTGTCTCCACGAACGGCCAATCGAAGAAGTCACCGTTGTATGTCGCAATAACAGTAGGCTTGGCAATTTTGACATGCTCGAAAAATCGTTCAAGAAGTTTCCTTTCGTTAGGTTCATTGAAGATGATAAAAGGTCCGTTGTACTCTGGTTTGGGTGTGTACTCGAAGTCGTGGATGTCCTCAGACACAATCTCTCTGTTGGTAATGAGGAAACCTTGCCCATCAATCATGTACGAAATCATCATGATCTGATCGATTGTAGCGTCGGGGAATTTCAGCGGTAGTTTTGTACATTCAATATCGAAAGCAAGAACGACAGGATCGGCACGCTGAAGCCGATCTTCCAAGCATTTCAGCGTAATCGTCCCATGATCTGCCTGCACCTCATACCATTTTCCAATTCGAATGTCTGCGGTATGTTAGCAAGGCTTTCGCCGCAGATAGAGGAAACACCGACCTTTGTCAATGCAGACTCGAACATGGTATGGTACGTCATATTCTCGGATATCAACAATAAAATCACTCGCTTGTAGGTTGCCATTAGGTCGTTGCTCATTAATTAATTCGTCGTCAAAAAGATCGATACCAGCAGTCGCACTATTAGAAAATTAGTCAACCGTTTCAACCCATATCACATAGAACAAACCTGGTCATCTCAACATATGCGTCCATCGCACTCTCATTTTTTTGTTCTTCTCTGCAAGAGGAAGAAGAGTTCTCCTAACCTCTAAAAGATTGCTCACGTTGGCGAAGCTGAGCTTGATGTAGGTCTTTCGGTAGCCGAGAAGGTGATTTGGGAGGTTAAGATCCTCCTTTTCGAGTCGCTTGAATTTCTTGATCATGCCCTCAAAGGACCGGCGACACCATTCTTCAACATCCATCTCGTAACCTTTCTTGACCGAGATCAAGAAATAGGGATCATATTCCACGGTTGCTTTGAAACTCCCCCCATCGTCTTGCAAGAAGTAATAATCGACGCCAGCACGGCCGCCAGGCACGTCTGGATCCTCTATCGACGTGCTGTGCATGTTGACCAACCATCCAGCCCTTGTCTCGCCGGACTCGAAGCGCGGGAAGCCGAGGGTTTCATCGATGCTGTCGGCCAATCGAATAGCCTCGAATTTCTCATTTTGGGAGGTTGCTTCAGTAGAGCGGAGGGAATGAAAGTCGACCGTTTTCGCGCGCCGAGGGTTTGATGATGCCGCGCTGGACCGGAACTTGTTTCCATACTTGCTGGGCTTTCGTGAAGGCATTGCGACTCTATCGCCCGGCCGGCCCTTGTTAAATTATCTCTGTTCGAAGGGAGAGCCCAAGGCAGAACATGAATTGCGCGCTCTGAGAAGGTGAAATAAGGAAATGAGAGGGTAAATATTGTAGGCAGGCGCAAATGGAACGAGATCTTGTTTTGGGGCCAATTGTGCCTCTAGGAGGGTCCAGCAACCGTAGGTACGATCTGCTCTAATCAAATCCATTTCGGACGCGTTCCAGTTACCGCGGCCGTGTAGCGCGTTGGTTAGTCAGCTTTCCAATTAGACGGGTGGGCCTGTCTCGGAGCCCTGGAGTTGGCCATCGGATCAACTATCTGCCGTATCGATTCTCGGTGGATGGAGACAGTAATGGACATCCAAAGCAATTGACTATACACAACTATGGCGGAAGACTCACAAGAACCCAGCTCGCTCCCCGGGGGTGCTAGCAACACACAAACGCCTGACTCCTCGGCCAATTCGCAAACACCGAAATACGAGCCATCCCAGTCACAAACTGGAAAGCTATGGGATGCCTTCGGAAACCCTGAAGAACCCGCGAATGCGCTCGCGCAAGCAACCTACAAGCCCCGAGGCAAGAATCCTAAAGATGTACCGTACTCCGAGATTATTGGATCCGTCTCGCTCTCCGAAATGTCCACAGTTCACAAACGACCATGTGCCCGAGAATCTTTGTTGACTGGTATCGGTGTCGGATTCGGAGTTGGTGGTCTACGAGGCGTGCTTAAAGGTTGGTCGAATGGATTCTGGGCTGTGAATCTAGGCTAATCCTGTAGGACGGTACTATTTATGGTCTGCAGGAAACTGGGCCGTTGGCATGTTCGCGATCAGTTCATTGGCATCATATGAGTACTGCCGCTGGCGACGAAACAGGGAGCTGAGTGGCATGGCAGAAGCTCTCGATTTGATGAACCAGTTGAAGGCTAAGAAGCAACGTGAGAAGGCTGCTGCAGAGGAAGAAGCGGCACTGCGTGCACGTCTTGCTGAGGAGGAAAAGAAGAGCAAGAGTTGGACAAATCCCTCCAACTACAAGTTCTGGTAGTGCGGTCATAAGGAGTTGAGGTGTTTCTAAACCTGTATATGTATTCTGCTGTGAGGTGGTCGACACCATTTCATAAAGTCATCTCTGTGTATCATAGCTCTCTGTAAAGTTCATATTGACGACCCAATCATCATGAGGTCCTCACAATTGTGCGAGAGGGCAAAAGAAGAAAACAAAAACTACCCATATGCTTGCCCCTTCACAAGTAAAACGCCGAAGTAAAGATAATCCAAATATGGCTGCAAATTGTGAATGCATACTAGAAATCAAATTTCACTCGCTTCTGAATTGCACCTTCATGTATACCGCGCAATTTGTCCATCTCCGCGCCATCCCTCCTTTCGCGTCGTCTTTCCCGAGCCTCTCGAGCTTCGCGATTCTTCCATTCGGTGACTTGCTTTTGTCGCTTTTGTGACCTTTCCCAGGCGATTGAGGCTGTTGGTTTGAAGCCTATGCCGTTGATCCCATATCCATCATCAGTTGGATCGGATGGGTTGTGGCCCGTTATCTCCGAATCATGCCATACAAGCGGGTCTTCTTCAGACGGTGTTTGTGCAAGAGGAGGAGATAATCGTTGCTTGCGCTTGGAGGGCGATGACGGATTCAAGTGCTTTCGAGGGGTTTTCCCGTTCTTCTTTGCGGGGGAAGTGGGCAGAGAAGTCGACGGATCCTGTGTTGCGGGCGGTTCGAACCGCAGCCCTTGGCGGTCGGGCTCATTGCTAGACGGTAGAGCTTCGGGCATATTCTTCTGATAGTCAGATTCGCATGTTTTCTGTGCCGGTAGAGCAGCAGATCCTTGCCGTGAGTCGCCAATCAATGTACCAGGGTCCGAAAAAGGATCGCCACGGATGGCTAATTCTCCGAATCGCCCTGCCACTGCAGCGCGTGGACTGTAGCGCTCTAGCTCGTCTTCGTCCCGAATTGGACTCTCTTGAAAACTGGCGATCGAGATCGTTGATGTGGGTGAGGCTGAGGGGCTATAGCAGTCCGATTCTGAAGGCTCTCGTTTGCGCTTAGGAGAGAAAGATAAGGGTAAGCTGGTCGGCATCATATTGAAACTGGACATAGTGGGGGCGTCACCGAGCAACCGGATGGAGCTCATTTGTAACTAAATGGGGTATCCACCACCAAGTTGATCTCAGGAAACGAAGCTATTCATTCTGCAAAGTCTACGACGGAAGGTTCAGGGCTGTGAGGGGCTTGGTCATTGGACTTTCGGCATTGAAACGGACTGTGGGGTACAAATGATCGCCACTGAACGGCCCAGGGGGTCATATCAAGGGTTTCTTTTTGGCTCTCTTTATCTTGTTTCTGCAAGGAGTAAAAATAGGTCTCACTGAATCATGAGAGGTTTTCCTGCAGGTTTCAAACGAGGTTTAGATCCTTGAATTGCTTGACTTGAGGGACGTCAGAGCTATTAGGCAAGTACTAAATTTGGCAATACCCCAAGCTCATACTGAGTTTATACTACATTTCAGCTATAGCATTCTTCCGACTAGATCTTCTCCTCTCAACACTACCGATTATTTGTAACTCTTGAAGAAGACACCTCCCCAATGGGATGAGGACCTGTATCTTCCGACTGCCCTCTCATATCTCGTTCTTTCACTTTCATCTTTAGATCCTATCTTCAACCCGCCCAAAGAAGCAACCGCTTTTCACCTTATAGATTGCACTTAATCTTTGTCTATCTTCCTTCTCTCAAACGTATCACCGACGCATATCAAAGGTACAACCACTCATTCTACGCATACATTATGTAGGTAGCAGATACCAGGTCGAGCTGCCGGGCCTGAACCCATCATAGATGCTCGTCATAGATGCCGGCAACATCCGAATGAGCCCCAATATTACTGTGGAAATCAACATGTTCATCAAGACAATCGGTAGAACCGAGGCAATCATGTCCAAATCACTTAAGCAGGATTAGCTCTTCCAGAGCTACCTCTCTAATTCGTTTAAATCTGATAATGTTCAGTGTGGTATACACAAATATGAATATGATCATAATTAGCTTGCTTGGTATGTCCTTATATTTGAAACTTCCTAGCATATTCCATAGCTTCAGTAGACCGAATATGTATTAAGATCTTGTTGTGAATGCTGATGCATCTTAACTAAGGTGGGATTGAGGGAAGAGTATAGGTAAACAATTTAATGCAACGGTTTAGTGCTACAACGAGCTTGGGGAAATCTAAATGCGCCTCCGAATTCTTATAGTGGCATAGGACTATCATTGGTATGATACGCCAAGCTGATATTAGGAGTCAGGTCCTATATATCCAGGTTGTTTATTGTGCAAACTTCGGAAACAACCCGGCAAAGCCTAGCAACCGATCATGTTAGGGGTTTCTTGTTTTGCTACTTGAAAGGAAGACGGGGAGGACTTTACTGTCATCATAATAGTATTGCAATCATAGAGCCAAAATAACTCGATTTTTCTAGGAACATGGCTATATACTATGTAGGCACCATCCAAGGATGTGGCCTAATACGATCATCTAATGCAGAAACCCAAATCTAAGCCAACTGCTCCCACTGCACACCAGCCCACTCCTCCCGCCACCCGGTGACACCCAACTCTTGTGGAGCACAGTCCTTACTACAGACACCCATGATGATAGTGCCCCATTCCATGCCAGCATCATCTTTCCCAAGCCCAACACCGGCGCGCCCCTCCTCAAGCATAGCGATGGCATGCGGCACAAGCTGGAGCTCAAACACGCGATGACTTCCACAGTACTCACAACCAGGAATACTCCCCGCACCGAGTGTGGTAACCTTAGCGCCAGGGGCATTTTGAACATGTAGCTTGGCACCAACCGCATCACTAGTTGAGTATAGCAGCGGTGTACCACGGAACTCGTACCGCAGCACCTGCTCCGGGTTGTGTTCGAGGCGCATCGAGAACTTCATGAAGTCCCTGTCAAGATCGGACTCGAATGTGTCCTTAAGCTCTGCGCTACCAGCACCTTCCTCCTCCATTGGTTCTATCTGCACATTATCGGGCACTGAAGGGCTCGATGGCCGAGAAAGCGTCTCATATTCCGCGTCCAAGTAGAAGTTTGTGTACGGTGGGGGGAACGCGGACTGTGTAGGCCACGGTGCGATTGCGGCTGATTCGGGTGTTTGCTTTGTCGCGGCTGACGGGGGTGGTGATGAGATGCGCACTTTATCCGCGAATGATGAGGCTAGTGTGGTTGCGGACGGCGCAGGCTTCTCAGCTGCAGGCGCTGTTGCCGGGAGCGGTGTTGCAAAGGGATTGCTTCCTGCGGGTGATGGGCCCGAGCCTGATGAGAAGGGGTTTGGGTTCGAGGAGACATTGTTTGTCAGGTTTGTGGCACCGAACAAGCTTGCTCCCAGGTCCTGCTTGGGTTGCTCTGGTGCGACGGGCTGGGCTTCCTTCGGCTCATCCTGTTTGTTTTGCTGTCCGCTGCCGATGGCTACCTTGCGCGTTGCGCGGAATGCTCTGATGCTTCCAGGCTTGCGGTTGCAGGCTTTTCTAGGGCAACCAAATAGGTAAAGGCGGCGTTCGTCGGTTGGAAAGTCATTAGGCAAGTCACCGTGCAGCTCGAGGAGAAGTAGCATTGGGTTGTTGCAGACTTTGCAGTTCGCGAAATCACCCGGTGCAGGGGAGGCTTCATCAAGCCATGTCTGCAAAGAAAATCGGGATTGTTAGTTGGATTTGTTATGACAAGTGGTTCGTTGGAGTGACAGAACATACCGGCCATCCTCCAAGATGACTGATTGTGTCTTCGATAACTTCTTCAGCGGCATAGCCTAGAAGCACACCGGTGTCGGTGAGGTCCTCATCAATACTAGAGTCACTGTCGTACGGATCCATTGTGGCGCAATTATTCGGATTTAAGTGAATTGGGCATACATCAAATCTGCGAAGAACCCCTCGTTCAAAAAAATGCCGATAAGCGATATGGAAATGCGCCATTCTGAAAAGGGAATAGCGCTGTGTATATTACGGTTATCGAACGGTATTATTACCAGGGTACACTGGGCAGATCATCTCCGCCTTCAACACTCCAGCCTCGATTCATCGACAGATATCTGATGCTATCTGAGCTATACCCAAATTCCCGCTAATCGGTATTTGTTACTCAGTTGCCAATTACCTACACTTGCCATATCCCAGTCTCACCATAAACATGCGAGCGGTCATGCCACGGCATATTGCTCTCTTCCTATACTCCTTCTTAGCCATCTTCTTTGTCTCCTTTGGCGATGCAGCAGAACAAGAACCACTGCATGGAGCCGTAAACTCAGCCCCGAAGAGGGTGGCAGTAATTGGTATGCATTCATTGAGATAGAACGACAGTTCCATACAGGGCTGATATCCCTGATAGGAGCCGGAGCCGGAGGCTCGTTCGCTGCGTATGAACTGCGCAAGCTAGCAGATGAAACCAACATCCCACTCGAAATCACAGTCTACGAGCGTGAGTCTTATATCGGAGGCCGCTCAACAACTGTCAATGCATTCGACGATCCGGCCTATCCCATTGAACTGGGCGCTTCCATCTTCGTCCAGGTCAATTACAACTTGGTCAACGCTTCTCGTGATCTCGGGTTGACAGTTCACAGTGCTGACCATGCACGGCCTAGAGAGACCGATGAAAGTATTGGAATCTGGGACGGAAAGCAGTTTGTATTCACCATGAAGAATTCGTATAGCTGGTGGAATATCGGCCGACTCTTCTGGCGGTATGGCCTTGCACCGCTCCGTACCCAGAACCTGGTGAAAAGCGTTGTTGGAAAGTTCTTGCGCATTTATGAAGAACCTTTGTTCCCTTTCAGTTCCCTCTCTAAGGCGGCTATCGCTGCAGACTTGATCAATGCCACTTCCTCCCCTGGCGATGTGTTTCTGCAGACAAACAACATCGACTCACTATTTGCGAGGGAGATCATCCAAGCAAGTACTCGCGTAAATTACGGACAGAATTTGCAGCTGATTCATGGCTTGGAATCTGTCGTCTGCATGGCCACGGATGGAGCCGTCTCTATTGAGGGTGGCAATTGGCGCATCTTCGATGGCGCGTTGACGGCATCGGGAGCCAACATCAAAGTGAACACCACGGTCACTGACATTAGACGAAGCGATGATGGAACTCTGCACGTCTCGGCAAAGCCAAATACTGCTATCAACTCAGAGCATGATACATTTGACGAAGTTATCGTTGCTGGTCCTTTGCAGTACTCGGACATCTCCATTTCGCCTCCCTTGGAGCGGACCCCAGATGAGATTCCATACGTCAATCTGCATGTTACACTCTTTGCATCCCCACACCGTATCTCACCGGAGTATTTCGGTCTTAAAGATTCAAGAGCGCCTGAAACTATCCTGACCACTTTGCCTGAAGGCCTTGATCTGGGTTCCAACCCGGCTGGTGTTGGCCCCAGCGGTTTCTGGAGTATCAGCACACTTCGAACAGTGGATCGTTCTGCGGTGCAATCTGGAGAAAACACACAGCAACATTACGTTTACAAAATTTTCTCTCCGGAGCGGCCCACTGGTGAATTCATTTCCCAGATCTTGGGGCTAGAAAGTGAAACTATGCTGAGCAATACGACTATTGGGGACCTCTCAAAGACTGATGTCAGCTGGTTCCATGAGAAGCTGTGGAACCCATACCCTCTCCTGTATCCGCGAGTGACGTTCGAGGATACAATTCTAGCACCGAATGTTTGGTACACAGGTGGTATTGAGAGTTTCATCTCGACAATGGAGACCAGTGCACTGATGGGCCGGAACGTGGCAACTCTCATGTCTCAGTCGTGGCAGAAGTAAGAACGTCGGTCAGATAATAATGCCCCATTTGGGGAAAGGGAGCTATAAGCTTCTAGTGTTATTTATATCTTCCCCTCTCTAACTAGTTAAGCGCTATGCATGAAAACTCTCGTTCATGTTTTTGTCTATGTTGTTTACAGTCTTACATCTAGGTATTATTGACATACCTCTCTCTATGAATCAATCGAAACTAAACATGAAACAATGAACTTGATTCCTTTCTATGCACATGTATTCGTAATATGCATCCCATCATTTTAGCTAAACCTGTATTTGTGTTAGGACCGGCGTGCTGGCGGGTCCTGGCAGGTAATGTAGAACTAGAGTGAAGGAATAGCAGAGTGCTGGTATATTCATAAACTAATCGCTAAAGAGCTAAGTTCCCCTAGTAGTCTCTTCGGGGATGACCTCTGGCGGGTCATGGGACTAGGTCACCTAACCCGGTAGGACTTAGTCTTCATAATGCACTCTCTAGCGGGGGGTTATGCTACCCTTACTAGATCACGGGTTCTAGGTCATAGGACTAGGCGGGATCTAGCCTGTGAGGCACTCTCTAGCAGAGGCTCGTAACAGCAGCCTTATTTCGTGCGGACCAGGCTTATAACTATTAACTGACGGGGTATTTAGTATAATAGGGGTCTAATCAAGGATATTGAAATCTCTGTATTTCTATATCCACTATTCTAGCAGGAAATATGACTTTCTGACTAATATCAAAAATACTGCATAGATAGGATAAACTAAACTTCCAGTATGCCGATCTCTTGCTCCGATAATACCTTAACACGCTTTTGCCTTTTGATATGCTGACATTCAAAGGCCTTTATTTTCTGGAATATACGTCGATTCGATTGTTTCGGATTATACAGACTGGCCTCGTCAGTGAATGTATAAATATAATCCCACTTAAATTCCTTAGTAAGTACAGTCACCGTGGCGAGGTCATTATCTTGACTACATCACTCGCTCGCGAGAGTCGAGACCCCGTTTTCCTTTCTTCAAACAAGCTTCCTATTGCGAGGGGTATATGTATTGAATGATCTCGTTGTGTGTAAGGCATTCGACGAAGCTAGTAATCAGCCAAAGTTCCTCTGATATAGAAAGAATAGGTTTACCTTTCTTAATCTCCGTCTATTCTGCGGAACACGCTTCTATATGCTCTTAGCTTTAGGATTGGACATCACGCAGTCAATCACCACATGGACCTCATCGAAAGCTAAGAAACATACCTTCCCTGTCTGGGCACTTGAACCTCTCAGGAATAGGCTGTATGAGCGAGACTAACTTTACTACATTCACTGACAAAAATCTGTAACGTTCATTTGCTAGAGGATGCTAGGAGAGCTAGCGTCTGACGAGGTATTTATATAGTCTTTGATTGAGTTCTAAGGTTTAGGCGGGCGTTGATGGCAACGCTGATGGGTACGATTAAGCTTCCGAGCAAAGAAAGCAATGTAAAGTTGATGGCATGATTTTTCGGATGAGTAAATGACTCTGTTCACCATCAATCGAAACTTGTTGGAACACCCTTAGGTTGAAGCACCCGCGTTGTATGCCTTATTTCAATAGCCCTGCGTAAATGCCTCAAAGTCCTGCTCTCACGGTAAGCTGATCTTAAAATAACAAGAAAGTACAATCAAAATTGGCTGCTACAGGTTATCTAAGGCTGGAAAAATTGTCGTTTTCATTCTTATCCCCCAATAAACATCATTCTTTCAAGCCTGATTCGATTGCACAACTTGCAAGTCCGAAAACCAATATCGTATATATTAGTCGCCGCAGTGTTCTATCGTTTCATTTACCTTCATTCACTAAGCCATTTACCTTCATTCACTAAGCTATCAACACACACATTAGCCTACTTTCCCATTTCCTTTTTCTTTTCAGGCATTAGGCATTGGCTTAATCTATATGCACAGTCTTAAAGCGCGTTAAAATTACAACAGTATAGAGCATGAAATGTATTTTTGTCATCACAAAACTAAACCTTGTTATATAGCAGAATAATTCATTTCTCACAATCAAATCACTTTGCTGAAAGCGCTTCCATGTTAACGCTTTAAGACTACTCCCATCCGACGCTGAAATCAACGCCCGCGAAACCACTCTGCGAGTTTATTCAACTTTTGGTTTAGCAGTTTCAGCGGAAAAGCATTTGCTTAGGTGACTTACTCGGACTGATGCCTCCCCTCGGCCGAATTAGTTACGGTAAACATGTTGTGTCTTCACGAACTCTCCAGCATAGAATTCTACAGTAAGGTGTTCCTTTGGGTCACCGCTGTGACTACTGGTGTGGAAATTGCATCTTAGGAATAGTTAGTAACAGGAAATGCAAGCGCAGAATAGTGATTTCTTACGTCACGACAGCCTTATCATATATTTTCCATCCTTTCCAAGTAGGTTATTCTGATGATGCTCCCTAACGATCGTTTCAATCTCGGCCCTCGTAGCCAGCTGTGTAGAATACATGGTGGGCGGCTTGAATTCAACGGGTAAAACCATAGTGAATTTGGTAGATAAAAGGATCTTCCGTAGATAGAGTAAGAAACGGCTTGGGCATTTAAGTACAGCTTTGACTGGAAAGGAGGGTTTATATACATACTTATTCACGCTATTAATACATTTATCAGCTGATTCCGACAATGAGCTAGACAGATACCCTACGAGATTAGTCGGCGCTTAGGAAAAGAGCTTGGTTTGCTGCCAATAAAAGTGCCAAGCGGTACGAGCTACAAGTTGATTAGGTGCCCTGAAACGAGGTACGATGTGAAGGGGTTACTACCCCGCACGAGCTGCCCACCCCACTGCCACTTCCCGCTGAAATCGACGCTAATTAGGGGCCACTTCTCGTGCCAAGGATTGCTCCTATTCGTTACTGATTCTTGGAGTGACTTGTTACGCTTTGCTCGTTTCATTACGGAGTACAGTGCTCGAAGCGCGTGCTACAAAGAAATCTACCTACCTAAACAACACTTGTTTCAGCCCTCATCTATAAAAAATAACTACGTAAGAGACGTAAGAGGACCGTGTATTGTGGTTAGTGTATTCGTCAGATATTATTAGACACGATCCAGATTGCTACGGTGTTCATGCCTTACGGCACCGATGATTTGGTTTCGGGGGCGCTAGTGGCTAACTTATATTTAATATCACGTGGCTAACCTTCTCAGAATTGATTGTTCCTTGCTTTCCACTCCGGCGTTTTCCAGCGATACAGACGCCCCTAGTGCCACCATCGAATCAATTATGTTAAGGAAAATGCGTCGCTTCGAACGCATTCATGATGTTGTCGAACCTGTCGAAGAGTATCGTGCTGGAGGCTACCACCCAGTTCACCTCGACGACACCTTCCACCACAGGTATCGGATTGTTGGAAAATGGGCATTTGGCCAGTTTTCTACAGTTTGGATTGCCGAAGATACAAGGTTGTATTCACGTTATCTCGTTTCCTATTTCGCCCGCGACTATCAGACTTACTCTTTCCTGTCCTCTAGGATTGAAAGATATGTTACGTTGAAGATTCTCAAAGCGAATATTTCAAGTAACAGCCGCGAACGTTCTATCCTCCTTCACTTATCGAAAGCGGATACACACCATCCGGGGAAAAACCACGTTTTGCAATTACTGGATCAGTTTGAGCACCAAGGGCCTAATGGCTTACATCTTTGTCTCGTGTTCCCGGTCATGATGTCAGATGGTGAAGCAATGACTATTCGGGAAAAACCACGCTATCCAGGTTATGTTCGCGAGATTTCGAAACAGATATTGCTCGGGTTGAATTATCTTCACGGCCAGGGCCTTATTCATGGCGGTATGTATCTTCGGGGCCGAATGCCCAAAATGATAATATTGATCTGTGAATAGACCTCCAACCAGCCAACATACTATTCTCCCTAAATTGCGACTTATCGGGGGGAATGATAACGGAACCCGAATTTAGTCCTGTCAATTGGCTTCCAGGAGTTGAAGTGGATAATAGTGCCCCGCGGTATCTTATGAGTTCGCAGCGGCCCCGCGGAATGCTAGACAATGCAGCCTTCTCGACACTTCTAGTCAAGATTGGTGATATGGGCGGAGGTCTGAACCCCTTTGGTGATGCGAGAATGTGGATTATTGACTATTACCATAGCTATGTGGAACACACAAGATGATTTTCTTCCAGTCACGCCAATGATGTTAAGGGCACCTGAGTTACTCCAACCCCATTCGTGGAATGAGAAGGTGGATATATGGGCTCTAGGGTGTTTGGTATTTTCCCCATCCTTAATCCCTAGCTGATCTAACCATCAAGTACAGATATTTCAACTTGCTACAAACGAGCCACTCTTCCCGGTAGAATCTTTTGGCTGCACGATTGACGAGGTTCATGGGATTTTGCGATCTCTCATGCACGAGCTATTTGAACAAGGCAATCAAAAATTTGCTATCTACATTAGCGAGAGATTACCGGCGGATTTTGGCAAAGAAAATACCGAAAAACTTGCAAATTTTCTTTGGTCAGCATTGCAGGAACGTCCGGAAGAACGAGAATCAACCACCAGACTTCTCAATCATTCATTTTTAGTTGGATGAAGAGGTGGAGCGGCAACTATGCTAGTATTCCAATGTGTCCTAAAGATGGGCCTGAACAAGGAGGCAAACCCAATTATGTGTGGGGCGGCTCACTTCCGTGGGCCTTAGGCCCGATTCAACGCGTTTGAGGTCTCATTGGTAGGGGATATGAAACGGATGCCCTTAAAAAAATGATACTGTGGAAATGTGTTGACCATTGTAACCAACGAATTCGATAAACGTTGAGTAAATAGGATATCAATAGTTATTGACGGGTAATTTTGGCTATATTGTATCGTTTATTGTTCTCAGTGAACGACTGTAAAATCATTGAACAAAATTTTTGAATCAAACTATTAATTTTTACCGCTGGGCGAAAGCAGCGGGTAGTTGATCACCACTTTAGTAGCAAGTGAAGGATGGCGGTTAATAGTTTTTATTGGCCTATTTGTCTCCACTAAGCTCGAGGTTAGTTACTGTAGAGGCCTGGCAGCAACTTGGCTTTAGTATCCGAGAAGGTCTATGTATTAGTTATATGCAGGTAACTGTCGAGTGAGACAAGCGCTTTTGCTTACTTTCCCCGCGCCGACGCGATGACCATGCCAGGTATTGCCAGAAGTTGATTCAAGAACCCGACGGCGCTTTAACAATTTCACATCCTCCAAGTGAATTACAGTGCAATGCTCTTATAATGGTCATATCATCCCGAAAAGATTTTAAGTTCGAGGGTCCGGCTTATATAATAAGTCGGGTGGTGTCAAAGCATATGAATAAGGACCGCACTTCGCCTCGGAAAGTATAGGTGACCTGTTAAGGCAAGTGGGCCTGACACCACGTTGCAAAACTAGGAAGTAATGGTAAGGTAGAGCGTTTACCAAAAGAGCCACTATGACGACCAACTGGTCGTCATGTCAGGTTACCAACCTAAATACCCGATATGTGCTATAAGATATATGCGCACCGTATTCGTACTCCGCGTACGTTAGGTTGTAACATATTACGTATTCTAATAGTCTAGTTTAATTAAGATTTGGCGATTAGAATATTAGAACCGGCGTACTAGCGGGTCCTAGTAGGTAATATAGAACTAGAGTGAAGGAATAGTAGGGTGCTAGTATATTCATAAAATAATCGCTAAAGAGCTAAGTTCCCCTTACAGTCTCTATAGGGATAACCTCTAGCGGGTCACGGGGCTAGGTCACCTAACCCGGTAGGACTCAGTCTTTATAATGTACTCTCTAGCGGGGGGTCATATTACCCCTACTGGATCACAGGTTCTAGGTCACAGGACTAGGCGGGATCCAGCCTGTGAGGCACTCTCTAGTAGAGGGTCGTAACATTAGCTCTTTAGCGATTAGTTTATAAATATACCAGCACTCTACTATTCCTTCACTCTAGTTCTACATTACCTGCCAGGACCCGCCAGTACGCCGGTCCTAACAATTATACCTCTGTATCTTCAACATTTTCCAACCCTACTAATTATAGTAGAGAGTTACTATGGGCACCCGAAATTACTATAGGCACCCAGCGCTAAGCCTCTTTAAACATTTCTTCCCGCTGGCCGCTCACTTTGATCCTCTAATAGTATGAAATATGGTATGATCTCTGTTTTTAATACTGAGATAGTATATGTATACGACGAAATTACTACTGCTAGAAATATTAGCTGATCCTACCATCATTTGACATCATAAAGCTATTCCTAGTTCACGACCCCATACAAAAAAGGGGGGTTTTCAATATAAAAAGGGCAGTTTTCAATATAGAAATAGAGTTTTCTATATAGAAATAAGGCTATTCCCAGATATTGATTTAATATAAAAAGGGCAGTTTTTAATATAGAAATAGAGTTTTCTATGCAAAAAGGGGAGTTTTCTATACAAAAAGGGGAGTTTTCTATATAGAAATGAGGCTATTCCTAGGTGTTGATTCAGTGTAAAAAGGAGGGTTTAGTAGTGTAGAGTTTTTATAGGGCCCCCTAGATTATATAACCTCAAAATAGATACTAATTTCTAAAATAGTGCTAATCGAGTTTTCTTACGTAGCTAGTATAGTTATTACCCTCCCTATCTACTACCTTAATTTCTACCAAATCTTATTATTTTATAGTGTCATTTTAATATATTCTATACCAAACTTTACTATATAAACTAGATATAAGTCTTATTAAGCACTTCCTCTTCCCCTTCCCCTTCCCCTTCCCCTTCCCCTTCCCCTTCCCGTAGTGATCCTACTAACCGCTATCTAATTATTAGACTCGGTTATCTCGCCCTAGATAGTCTACTTATTATTAGGTCTTATATTTACGGGCTACTATCGCACTAATCGCCGTATAACTATATCCTTATCCTCGCGTATAATTTTAAATTAAGATAGCTCGCGGCGGGTTAAGTTCTTAAATCGCTATAATACCCGCGATAATAGTATAAAGGCCTACTAAGATAATTATTAAGATAATTACTAAGACGCTAGTAGCTGACTACGCGCCTATACTATATAAGGATTTTATACTTAGAGTTCTAATACACTCTTAAGGGATAGTATAATCTAATCTTACTAGATCTAATAATAGCGATAGAAGTCGGCCTAGGTAAGGCTTATACCTATTACCTAGGCTTTATTAATATAGTAGATATATAGATACCCCTTCGTCTACGTCGATCTACCTAAGTATAATTATAGGATAGTCGGCCTATTATTAGTAGGCGGTAGATAGTAATTAAATACTAATCGTACCTTATTAATTGCCTAATCTATAACTAATATCTTAACCTTCCTAAATAATAGACTACTATTAATCTCTCTCCCTATTCGCTAGGAGGTAAGCTCCTAGCTAATCTTAATAGCTAGTCACTTAGTCGTACTTTTAAACTAAATACTAAGAGTAAAGAGGTCCTTAGTACTAATCTAAAGGTTAAGCTTAAGATAGCGATAGGCTACTTTAACGCGCGAAGTCGAGGTCTTATTAAGGTATAAAAACCTACTAGTATAGTATTATAGGAAATAGGGGCTATAACCACGAATCTATTCCCTATCGATATATACTAGTAACCCTAGGTAGTGATAGTATTTCTCTCTAAAAGCTCTCTATTAAGCCTCTATATCGTTAACCTCCCGCGCGAAGACGATATTCTACTAGCTCCCTTTTATAGTATTCTACTATAATATAATCTCCCGGGTGGTCTCTTTAATAGTATACTATATATTAGAGTCGGTAATAGTTTAGAGGATTTAGCGGCGGAGAAAGGGTTTAGCGTAGCACTCGATATTATAGGTGATATACTAGATATAAAGTATCGTATTTATAGCCGGGAAAACCTAGTAAAGATCGATATATTAGGAGGTATATAGAGATATAGGATAGAGATAATACTAACCTTATTAATTATATTTCGTACTACTTATTCTTTATCTATTAAGATAGTCTATAGACTAAAATAGGAGATAGAGATAGGGGGGGTACTCGCGATCTTATTCGACGAGATAAAGCTCGTTAGATACGTACACTCTAGCTAACTTTAGGGAATTAAGGACTTAGCTAGTAGGGACTTAGCTAGTAGAGACTTAGCTAGTAGGGACTTAGCTAGTAGGGACTTAGCTAGTAGGGACTTAGCTAGTAGGGACTTAGCTAGTAAGGCATTAACTACTAAGGGCTCGGTAACGAGAGACTCTATAGTAGTAGTGCGAGTAAGCGTAGGTATACTCGTACCTATACTAATAGCTATATAGATCTCCCTAAGCTAGGTAAGTACTCGATAGTATAAGGCCTACTTCTTACTACTTAAAAAAGTATATACTATATAAAAAGTCTTACTAATAGGTGATATACCTACGATATTAAGTAGGGGTATCTTCTATTTATTAGTCTTATACGTATAGTCTATCTATAAGATATATAGATAGGTACGTAGAAGCTAGAGACTAATCTTATATATTATAAAAAGGGTGCTAAGGGAGTTATCGGCTATATCTACCTTATACCGAATGATCTAAGTACTATCCTTAGGGAGATCTATTAGTAGAGCCTAAATTAGGGTGCGCCCTACGAGCTACTAGCGGGCTATATAAGCCCGTAGATTAGCAATATCGCGAGTACGGAGGTATAAAGTCTAACTATTAGCCTCGGCCTTACCCCGAATAGTACCTATAATATAACGAGTTAGGATACTATTAGTGATCTAGCTAATAATAGCTAATAGTAGACGCTTAAGCTCGATTCTACGGGTAATAATCGTAGTTAACGGATTAATATAATAATAATTATACTTAGTAATAATACTTTTAACTCTCTATATACTACTAGTAACGCGTCGGAGAGTACTTACGAAACTATAGCTTATTGCCGACCGCTTCCGCCTACGTATCCGTATAATTAGGGCACGATCTATCCGATAGTCCCGGCCACGGCTATATTAGAATTAAATCTTCGTATCTATACTACGTACTATCACGATAGGGAAGCCGAGTGGGAGAGACTACGTATTTAACGTTCTTAGTGCCTCTTTTTTAGATAGCGTAGTAGTGTTTACACTAGTTTCGATAGTTTAGAAAGGGGGTATAGTATTAGGAAGGCTAGGCGTAGGGGGATCTATATTATATAGATCACTAGTTAAAGTTAGCTAGGTAATAATATAGTTAAGCTAGGTATTATATCTACCTATATCGATAAGGGTAATAACTATACTAGCTACGTAAGAAAACTCGATTAGCACTATTTTAGAAATCAGCATCTATTTTAAGGTCACATAATCTAGGGGGCCCTATAAAAACTCTACACTACCAAACCCTCCTTTTTGCACTAAATTAACACCTAGGAATAGCCTTATTTCTACATAGAAAACTCCATTTCTACATTGAAAACTACCCTTTTTATACTAAATTAACATCTAGGAATAGCCTCATTTCTACATAGAAAACTCCATTTCTACATTGAAAACTGCCCTTTTTACACTGAATCAACATCTAGGAATAGCCTTATTTCTGCATAGAAAACTCCATTTCTACATTAAAAACTGCCCTTTTTACACTGAATCAACATCTAGGAATAGCCTCATTTCTACATTAAAAACTCCCCTTTTTTGCATGGGGTCGTGAACTAGGAATAGCTTCATGATATCAAATGATGGTAGGATCAGCTAATATTTCTAGTAGTAGTAATTTCGTCGTACACATATACGATCTCAGTATTAAAAACAGAGATCATACCATATTTCATACTATTAGAGGATCAAAGTGAGCGGCCAGCGGGAAGAAATATTTAAATAGGCTTAGCGCTGGGTGCCCATAGTAATTTCGGGTGCCCATAGTAACTCTCTTATAGTATTATTTTATAAGGAATTTTATATTCTATAAAGTAATTAATATATTACTAGACCTTAAATACTAATAAATAAGGATATTTCATTAAGTTTAACTTACTATGCTACTAAATATTAAAGTCTTTCTTAATATAACTAAAATAAGGAAAAATTATAGTAGTTAATTTAGATAAGTAAAGCACTTTATATAGAGAATTATATAAAATTTAGGTCCAATTAGGTTTTTATTAGGTTATCCGGTGAACCCAACGTTGGGTCCGGTGTGGGCCCGGGTCGGGATATTCGACCCAATTCCGGTGCGTGCGGAAGTCTACTAGGGATGAGGAGAGAACTAGAAGAACATGAGAGGGGGAGGAAAAGAGGCATCTTATAGGCGCCCGGCCAGGCAAGACGGAAAGCGAGGGCTCCTGAGAGGGACTGCAAAAGGGAGCCATTTTCGGCGTCGTTTTGGTGGTAGGTGGAATGACCGTTGAACGGGCGCCTAACATCACGGCCGGAAGATGATGACTAACGGCGCTAGGTAGGTGCAAAATAGTGATGGTACTGGACGGTAGGCGGTGAAGCGCCCGCTCGCCCTCCAAAGTTACGGGTGGAAAGACGGCCGTGTCTGGCGCCAAAAGTGGTCATTTTCGGCGTCATTTTCATAGGCCCTTATATTCTAGGTGTAAACTTTTCTATTATAACCCACACAACACGAGCATTTTCCCAATCCAGAAGATGTCTCAAATTTACTCCATCTCGATGGTACCGGGGGGCTTGCTGGTGAAGTCGTATGCAACACGGCACACACCCTCGACCTCGTTGACGATACGGGTAGCGACCTTAGACAAGAACTCGTAGGGGAAGGGGTAAGGGGTGGCGGTCATGAAGTCCTTGGTGGAGATGGCACGGAGAAGGATGATGTTAGCGTAAACACGCTTGTCACCCATCACACCGACAGCGCGCGAGGGGTCCAGGGCGGCGTAGGCCTGGCCAATTTCATCGTACAGACCGGCTTCGCGGATCATACCGATGAAAATGTGATCGGCCTTACGGGCCATCTCGACCTTCTCCTTGGTGACCTCACCGAGGACACGAATGGCGAGACCGGGGCCTGGAAGTAATGTTAGTCTTCAAATCCGGGACTTCTTTTATGGGATTACGTACCAGGGAAGGGGTGACGGCCAACAAGCTCCTCGGAGATGTTGAGCTGACGGCCCAGCTCGCGGACCTCATCCTTGAAGAGCTCGCGGAGGGGCTCAATCAGCTTCAGACCGTGGCCGGCCATGAGACGCTCGGCAATACCACCGACGTTGTGGTGGGTCTTGATGGTCTGGGAAGGACCCTTGAATGAGATACTCTCAATAACATCTAGGAGAATGTTAGCTCAAGTTGAATGACCAAGTTATAAACAAATATGATCTTACCAGGGTAGAGAGTGCCCTGCAAGAACCACTCAACCTTGCCAGCGCTCTTGGCCTCGATTTTGCGGGCCTCCTCCTCGAACACATCGATGAACTTGCCACCAATAAACTTGCGCTTCTTCTCGGGATCGTGCTCGCCCTTGAGACCAGCCAAGAACTCCTCGCTGGCATCGACAACGGTAAGGTTGATACCCATCTGCTTCTGCAGGACTTCCTTGACAAGTGCGCACTCGTTCAGACGCATGCAGCCGTTATCAACCAACACGGCGTGGAAACGGTCACCAATAGCCTCAGTCATAAGCTTAGCGGCGACGGTAGAGTCGACACCACCGCTGACAGCACCCAGAACTTGGCCAGTAGGGCCGACGAGGTTGCGGATACGTGTGATTTCCTGACCAATGAATTCGGACATGCTCCAGGTCTGCTGGGCACCGCAAATGCCGACAGCGAAGTTCTTAAGGAGCTGACCACCCTGAGGAGTGTCTGGTATCCCGTCAGTACCTAAGCCCGCAAAACAAAAAGCTTCAGTCAAACAATCAAAGACTTACGAGTAACCTCGGGGTGGAATTGAATGCCATAGACGGGGTCAGTCTTGTGGGCGATAGCAGCGTATTCGGAGTTCTTGGTCTCGCCAATAGTGTGGAATCCCTCGGGCAAGTTGCAAAGCTTATCACCGTGGGACATCCAGACGGTCATAGCATCCTCAAGTCCCTCGAACAACTTGTCCACATGACCTCCGAAGCGAGTGGCCTTCAAGTCAGCGTGACCATATTCACGAGCGGTACCGGCAACAACGTTATCGGCGTGCAGACGGTGAGCGATCTCCTGGAGACCGTAGCAAATTCCGAGAATGGGGACGCCCAATTCGAAGAAGGCGGGGTCGATGTGGGGGGCACCCTCCTCGTACACGGAGTAAGGACCACCAGACAGGATGATACCCTTGGGCTTCCAGGTCAGATCGGCAAGCTTCTGGGTGCATGGAAGCATCTCAGAGTAGACATTGATCTCTCGTAGACGGCGGGTGATGAGGTGGGTGCTGTAGGTAGAGTTTCGTTAGACCCGGCAAATTTTGTGCAAAAGCGAGATTTTCAACACAGTTTGATCGAGACAGGAGATTCTTACTACTGCGATCCATTGTCGAGCACCAAAATGGTGTCGAAGCTGTTGTGAGGAATCACCTCGGAGTCAGACATGGTCGAGTTGAGTCCCACTGTGCTCTTGATGAAAAAGTTGAGAAATATCGAAAACAATCACAGATCAACTGCAATTGAAGACGACAAGATATACTGGCTAAACAGGAACGAGTAGCCTTCCAAGTGTATGACAAGGACTCCGAGAAAAGAAGAAATCTTGGAAATTCCCGATAAGAGAAAGAAAAAAAGTGGTACATGGGGAACCAACCGCGATTCTGCCGCTATTGGAATGGTTTGATTGGCCAGTCGCTGTTCCGCCCACATGACTAATGAGGGGCAATCCGACTGGGAGCCCGCGGGCAGGTGATAAGCCCTCGACTGAGCGCAAAAAGCCCTAGAAAACAGATGTAACGTTTCTTTTTTTTTGTGCAAAATGCAGTTGCATTGAAGTTCCAGTATATATATATATTTTTTGGGCAGTACGTGGAACTAATGATCTGCCTCACTCTCGCTGCCGGGGTATGCCTTCTTCCTCAACTTCCATAATGACTTCTCTCGCCGCGCAGCAACTTCCCGCTGGTGACGACTGTTGTCTTCGACGACAGTCATCCATGGCACATTGCTCGCCCGACGGACCCTCTCTCGTAATAATGCAAGGGTTCGACTATGCTTGGATGGATCGAGCTCATGTGCCTCCTCACTATCAGAGTCTCCAGCTTTCTTGGACCCAGATGTCGACTGCTGATAGCGCCGCTCCGCCGCACGAGCGGCATGATATTCTTCGCTGATGGCCCAGTTTGGGTTGTCAAGCTGACCGCGGACTAATACAATATCATGGCCCTTTTCAATGGCATTTTGTAGGTGAGATGGGGGGATGGGTGTGGAGAGCTCAAGTCTGCGAGAAGAGGTATCGATCGAGCGGACCAAAGCCAGACCAAGACAGTTCGACGCCTTGGGATCCAATGGAGTGCAACTGCCAGACCCAACAAAGAGGTAAGGAAGGTCTTCGGGTGTTCGTACAACGTTTTCAGCCACGAAAAGCCTAGATGCACCATCCTCACCCGAGTGTTCTGAGTCCTTGTCAATATACTCGTGGTCTTGGTCATGCGACTTCTCTGGTGTTGCCATGTCACCCATAATAGCTTTCGAAGATTCCACTGCTACAACCCCTACGACAGCGCCTTCAAGCGTTTCTTGCAGTAGATCGGGGTTGATTTGGGATCCCATGACCATGATTCCCAGAATACCTTGCCGTACACCAGCATAGTCCACAGTAATTGGTCTTGTGCGAGAGAGCGGTGCATCTGACCAGAGTGGTGTGCTGAGATCGATTGGATGAGACATATGGAAGTATGACTGAATTTGCATCGCACGTAATTGAGCGCTTGATCGGCTCACGAAATCAGTAGGCTGGGATGGGAGGATTGTCAAGGGGACTCGAGCTTCACGAGCCGCCATACCCAATGGGTCCACAACCTCCGATGGACCTTTCTCACTCATATATACCACGTCAGAGAGGCCGAGAGATCTGACCAGCCAAGTTGCAACCTCTAAACCTTGTCCAAAGATCCAACCAGGGTAGTTGATGATCAAAGGGCATTGAGGATGCTTCTCCAATAACGAGCGGTATTGATCCATAAGGTCCATGACAGCTAAAGCATAGTGATCAGGGTCTTCTTTCGGTGACGTTGCACCGATATGATGCGCCCGCACTATCTCACCATCACGGGAATCGTCCAGTGATGGGTGGGTGAAAGGTGGACCAAAGAAGGGAGATTTCAAGCGCGCAAGATATACTTGACCCATAGGAGCGAATTCAGGTTGGCCCGGGTCCAAGTCTAAGAAAGCGACCCCATCCGTATTGGTATATCCGTTCTCGGTCTCCGGTGTTGGGCTGAGAACATGATTCAACAAGTAGCGACTAAAAGTGGACTTTCCGGATGCCTTAGGGCCACAGACTAGCACACGAAGTCGACCTTCACGCTGTGAGAGGGATTTCATAGAGCCACTCCACTTTTTATCAAGGTGAAGGGGTCGGATATGTCTATTTAAGGAATCATCTGACGATGTGTATAGCTATAAAACCAATCAGTATTGAATTTGGCCAGGGGTCGTAGATTAGTATAGCATACCACTGAAAAAGTCCGCTTCGAATCTTTTGCGGCACCTTTCAGGGTGATCTTATCTGCAGCGGTATTCTCGCCAGCCCAGATTCTTTGGTATAGAGGCGAGAGGTCACGGAGGCGAGCGATGCCGCTGTTGCAAGACTTGATTTCGATTTCTGCGTCACCATCAATGCCAGCAACACATTTAATGACTGGCAAAGAGTGGGTTGAGGGAGCATAGACTCGATGCAATTGTGAGGACGGGTGCAGTTTCGCGCCCATCAGGCTAACAACACCTCTTTTGACCCAGAGATCATAGTGGCCTAGCAACGCCAAGTTCTGCATCAAAGTCAGCTCCATGCTGAATAACTGAGAATCTCGTGCCATACCGTGCGCTCCTTAATGCGGATGCAAAGAGTGCTTTCATCACTGTAAATGATATTATCTTTGTTCAAGCGAGCCTTTGACAAAGGAAAATTCTGGAGCTCTGCGGGAGTTTCTGCGGGCGATTCATAGCCATCAGCATCACCCACAACAGATGCAACATCGTCCTCGTTCATCTCATCCTCGACCTCGGCATTTTCAAGCTCTTCATTTTCGGTGCGCTCGAGGTTATCCTCCACCTCGGGCCTTGGTTCTGATTTTTGAGTTTGGATAACTTTGACGGGACGTTCTGGTGTTCTTTGCACAGGCAATGGCTCGTTTCGTTTCTTTGCTGCCCTTGTTCGTGTACCACGACGCTCCTCATTTGTCCCAGTCTTCTCTGGGCCCTCGAGGGATCTTCGTGGCTTTTTCGAAGGTGGCTCTGGCTCAGTAACGACTTGAGGCGCATGCTTTGGTGGCTCTACGACCTGAGCTTGCTGTTGTCGAGCTCTGCGGGCTGCCAAAGCAGCGACAGCGCTAACAGGGCCTAGAGAAACGACAGATGTGAGCCGCGCAATTGATGTCGCGGAGCGCAGATAGAGAGCTTACCAGCTGGCTGCTGTTTTTCGGCCTTGCGTTTCATCATAATATACACCTGAAGCACCCGAACTTTGGGCTTGCATGTAGAAGAAATTCACATCGATAATGCGATCCAAAGCCGATAAGCAAAAAATGTTGGCGGGTGGTCCGTGCTCCCGCGGAGGAGAAAAAAAAGATCGTTGGACTTGAGCGTTCTCACTCAACGCCGGACCAATACATTTTGAAAAAATCGGCTCTGCTGAGCGCTCACATATATATCGTTTGAAATAGCCAATTCTTCTGGCCCATTTGCCGCGTGAATTCCGGGTGTGCCAGTGTCGCGCATCCTTGCGAAAGCATCTTCAGTCTTGCCGTTGACTTTGCCCAATACATTGAACAGCCGCCATGGCATCATCCGATAGCGATAGCAGCTCGAGCAGATCGACCTCACCCGAGCCTACGACCAAGCAAGAGAAGAAATTGACCAAACTTGCAAAAGAGCAGGAGTCAAGCGAAGATGATACCTCAGACTCTGGTTCGGACTCTGGTTCAGACTCGGATAGCGACTCCGATGATTCCAGCGAAATGAAGTCCAACTCTAGCTCAGGAAAGAAGTGAGAATTCATTTCTCTAATACACATGAAAGCGACTAATGAATTTCCCCACAGTGTCGCAATCTCCGGTCCTCAGCCCTACAAACCACCCGTGGGCTTTAAGTCTGCAAAGAAGCAGGCCCCGCTATCCTCAAAAGCCTCCTCCCTTCTCTCCAACCTCAAGGGCAAACAAGTCCTCCATCTCACAGCACCAGCCTCTCTTCCATTGTCCAAGGTCAAAGAGGTATGCATGGCCAAGATCATGCAGGGTGAACCCATCATCGCCCACGACGGTGTCAAGTACGGCATCCCAGCTGAGGCTTTTTCTGAGGCCGACCCCGCAACAAAATCACTACTTCTCTTCGATGAGACGACACAAACATATTCCACGGCAGCCAGCAGCATTCCCAGTTACCACGTTCAGGAACTGATCGGTCTCCCAAGCGCATCGAAGAAGACCGATGCTGCTGTGGCAGAATTGCGCAAGTACGTCAAGCCGGCCAGACCCCAGCCGAAAAACTTGAAGATGCGCTTCCGCCCTGTCGGAACTGCCAGTGCGCCCCCAGAGACCCTCGGATCTAGCTCGGAATCAGAGGCTGAGATGCCTTCGTTTAAGGTCCCCAGAGGAGAGGAACGGAAGAGGAAGCTCGACCACGATGAAGCTGAGAACGAAGCTCCTCAAGCGGCGGCGCTTCCTCGGAAAAAGTCAAAGAAGCTCTCACAAGAAAAGGGAGATGATGATGGACAGAGCCGGAAGAAGTCCAAGAAGTCCCACACAGAAAAGGAAGAGAAGAAGCGGAAGAAGTCTGAAAAGGCATGATTTGGCGTTCAAGGGATTATTTGAGAATAGCTTTGTTTTAACGACGTCCCCAATACTATGTACAATTTACCATCCGGAAAACACAAGGACCTCACTCAAAATAATAGGAAAAGTATCGGTCCAGAATAGTTCGGAGTATATACGGAGTACTCAGGTGGAGTACATCAAATGGCATCCGTGACCAACGCTTGCCCCATCCAGTAGATCCCCAAATGCTTGGCCTTCATAATTCTTTAGGTCGGCCAACCATGCATTTTGATGGAACAAAATCTTGAAAGTAGTAGAACTAAAAGCTATGTCAGTCTCAAGTGAGAAGAACCACCAGAAACGATCATCTAAGACAAACAAAGAAATATAGGGTGAGATATGATCTATATCCATTATTCTGCCTCAGGCACTGTGATGACATAAGAACGATGGAGTCATCCATATCACATGCGGCGCGTGCGGAGAGCCCAGGTGATGTTTCTCCCTTTGTGCATTCTGAGATTCTATGAGTTCTTGAATGGATTTGGGTTTATTTATTCCATCACTTCCGTCGTTACCAGATCATGGCGCTTGGATGCTTTGGAGAGTGCATGGTTTGAGAGCTTTATACTTGATATCGGGCGTCCAAGCTTCGAAGCGCTTATCAGCCTAGACCCTGGATTCCCGTGCGTTATTCACCCTCATACAATCTAGCAGTCGCCTGACCACTGAGTTGACATGACAAAGTCACTTGCAGATGTCCATTTTCGTTGATGGGTCTTAGTCTTATTTGACTGGTGCAAACCTGATCGTCATAGTCCTATTAGCGCCGAGCTGTCACCTGGCTCGAGCTTCTGACTGCCCGACCGGATCCAGTGATTCACCACACCCTAGCATCGTTCACTCCCGTCTATGACCTACATTTCGCATCGATCGTATCGTATCGGTATACCAGCGCGATAAGGATGAGACCATTAAGAGATGCGGCCAACCGCCGGGCAGATCGGCACTTGAGCGCAAGTATGAAACCTACTTCGTCCAACCGTCCATTTTCAGATCGAGTGCCAGACAAATTTAAGGATGGGGATGATGCCCATGTTGATTTCACAGCTCCACCGCGAGGTATGGGTTCACGAGACGGCAACGTGCATTACATGCAACAGTCTCTCTTTTCCATGATTGCAGCAGTTGGATCCAAGTCTGATTTCCATGCTCGATTTGAGGATTCAAGTGACAGTGATGGGGAGATGGAAGGAGACTTGCGGAGGGAACAAAGGGAACAAACTTATGGCAAGTCACCATTTCCGACACCAGTGCCGTCGTTGGACTCGCACCAGCCAGGCGTGGTATCAAACGTAAACCCACTTGGTAAGGAGGAAAGAGGACGCCACCATCAAAGGGCAAGGACGGACAATAAGCCTTTACAAAGTCTATACCAACTCGAACCAGAGTCAAACAAGTCATCAAACCAATGTCGCTCGGCTCTCATCGCACCACCGCGACGAACTCGCAGTGCGACGCCACGGGCAGCACCCATATTGAGTCGCATGGTTGAAGCGCAGACTCATTTTGACTCAACATCCGCAACATCACATTTGCCAACCAATCCTGACAGCACCATAGAAGACCAGCCTCAGTCCTCCACCTCAGCTCTTTCTACACGTTTGATGAAGATGTTTGGGTTCTCAAAGCCTGAAAAGGTTTTGGTCGAGTATGCTTGCTCGCTACTCCAGAGCATGCTACTTCAAGGCTACATGTATGTGACTGAAGATCACATTTGTTTCTATGCCTACCTCCCAAAGAAGTCCAATGTGGCGATAAAGTCAGGGAACCTAGCCAAACGCGGTCGTAAGAATCCTACGTATAATCGCTATTGGTTTGCTTTGAAGGGCGATGTCCTCTCATATTACGCAGATCCCTCAAATCTCTATTTTCCCAGCGGACATGTTGATCTTCGATATGGGATATCTGCATCTCTTGCGGAACGCAAAGACAGTGATGCAAAAGATTTCCAAGTCACCACAGATCAACGGACTTATTATTTCAGAGCAGATAGCGCTACAAGTGCCAGGGAATGGGTGAAAGCTCTCCAGAAAGTCATATTCCGGACGCACAATGAAGGCGACAGTGTCAAAGTGTCATTCCCAATAGCGAATGTGATTGACCTGGAGGAGAGCCCAATGGCCGACTTTGCGGAGACATTTAAGATCCGAGTCCTCGACAGTGGCGAAACATATGCGATTGATGAGGTACGTCGATGGAATTGATGCTAATGTGCGTATTGCTGATCACTTCGCAGTACTTCTTTTCCTTTTTTGAGTCGGGCCAGGATGCTTTCAACTACATCAAAGGATTGGTCAATGCTGTCGTGGCTACTGCGTCATCAAAAGAGCTGCAAGGCCAACATGATGCAAAATTGCCCCCCGGACCAAGCCGTAGTGCCCAAAAGATACAGTCAGTTATCAGGATCCCAACCTCTGGCCGAACGCAGGGAAACTCACCACATAAGCGAAGTTCAAGTGTCCGAAATGCAAACCAAGGCTCAGCGGATTCATTTGCGGAGCAAGGGACCGAATCATCGCCCATTATACAGTCAATGACAGACACCACTGAATCGGCGAGCCAAATACTCAACAGAAGCGACGTATTCCAATCACCCACTATGCGCACGTTGCAAAGACGCTCGTCGGATGTGGGAGAAACCGTTCGACGACGCTCCGATGACACGACACCTTCTGCATCTGCGCGGCTGGCCCAGGGTGCAACGGTAGAATCCCCATCAGAAACCCTCCTTGGTAAAAATACAGAGGATATGCGCTATCCCCTCGGCCAAGCTGATCCAATGAAATCCTCAAGGCCCGGTTCAGTTACCCATTTGAACGAGCTTGTCAAAGCAGGTGCATATCCTCTCCAACGCGCTGCTGGTTTTGCAGAATACTTGAAAAGCCGCTCAAAACAGATGAGTACACTGTTGGCAACCGAATCGATGGGCTATATAGAAAAGGTTTCCGGCATGTGGATTGGTGGCCAAAAGCATTATGGCGAACGGGAAGGGCCGCTGCTTGAAGACCAGAACGTTGATCCCGAAGATAACGAGGGTGGCTTCAATTATGGGGACCGTTTCCGTGCGCATTTTGCTCTTCCGTCTTCTGAAAGACTGCAGGCGACATATTACGCATATTTGCATCGTGTGCTTCCGCTTTACGGTAAGATCTATATAAGCCAGAAGAAACTCTGCTTCCGCAGCCTGATTCCTGGTACTCGGACCAAAATGATTCTACCGTTGAAAGACATCGAGAATGTTGAAAAAGAGAAAGGCTTCCGCTTTGGATATCACGGGCTTGTCGTCATCATCCGTGGCCATGAAGAGCTTTTCTTCGAGTTCAATGCATCGGATGCAAGAGATGACTGTGCTGTCACATTGCATCAGAATCTGGAGTCCGTGAAATACCTAGTGGAATCTGGTTTGCTAGCAGAGGAAGAACGCGATGAAGTTGAGGCCGCCAAGGCCGAGCATCGCATGCTTCAGGAAGCCAGACTGGACAACCCTGAAGAGAATGATGTGCGCCAATCTCTCACCGAGGATTCATCGGAGATACATCCATTCTTTGACGATCCTCGCGCTTCAATCATTAACTTTAAACCCGCCAAGCCCTTGAAGATTACCTGTCTAACTATCGGCTCCCGAGGCGATGTTCAACCTTACATCGCGCTTTGTAAGGGGTTGCTGGCGGAGGGCCACAAGCCGAAAATCGCAACTCACGCCGAGTTCGAGCCATGGATCAGGAAACATGGGATTGACTTCGCTCCAGTTGATGGTGATCCCGCGGAGCTGATGCGTATTTGCGTTGAAAATGGGATGTTCACATATTCCTTCCTTCGGGAAGCTTCCTCAAAGTTCAGAGGATGGATCGATGATCTGTTGTCGTCAGCTTGGGCTGGTTGCCAGGGCAGTGACCTGCTGATTGAGTCGCCAAGCGCCATGGCAGGGATTCATATTGCAGAAGCTTTGCGAATTCCTTACTTCCGCGGCTTCACCATGCCTTGGACCAGAACACGGGCCTATCCGCATGCTTTCGCAGTGCCAGAAAATCGAATGGGCGGAGCATACAACTATATCACGTACGTGATGTTCGACACCATTTTCTGGAAAGCCATCGCAGGACAAGTCAACCGATGGCGAAACAACGAGTTAGGGCTGAAGGCCACTACTTTGGACAAAATGCAGCAAAACAAGGTTCCGTTCTTGTATAACTACTCTCCCTCCGTGGTAGCTCCGCCTCTCGATTACCCGGATTGGATCCGCATTACGGGCTATTGGTTTTTGAACGAAGGTACAGATTGGACTCCTCCAACTGAGCTATCGAACTTCATTGCGCAGGCCAGGGCAGACGGCAAGAAGATCGTATACATTGGTTTCGGATCCATTGTAGTTTCGGACCCGTCTGCCCTCACACGGACGGTCATCGAATCAGTGCAGAAAGCGGATGTCCGCTGCATCCTTTCAAAAGGATGGTCTGATAGGCTGGGTGACCCAGCCAGCACGAAGGCTGAAATCCCCTTGCCACCGGAGATTCACCAGATCCAATCTGCGCCTCACGACTGGCTATTCTCTCAAATTGATGCTGCAGCTCATCATGGCGGAGCAGGAACCACTGGTGCAAGTCTTCGAGCCGGCGTCCCCACTATTGTCAAACCGTTTTTCGGTGACCAGTTCTTCTTTGGCTCTCGGGTGGAAGACTTAGGCGTCGGCGTCTGCATGAAAAGACTAAATGTCAGTGTCTTCTCGCGGGCCCTCTGGGAAGCCACGCATAGCGAACGAATGATTGTAAAGGCAAGGAACCTGGGCATCCAGATCCGTAATGTGAGTGATCCCAAGAGATCTCCTTGGTCAGGGACAGGGAGTGCTAATTTGACTTTCTTCTCCAGGAAGACGGTGTAGCCACGGCAATCCAGGCTCTCTATCGCGATTTGGAATATGCTAAGACTTTGGCTCGGCAAAAGTCACTTGCCTCATCCACCCCATTCTCCCCTACGCCTACGGCTAAGACCTCCCCTGATGGAGGCGATGATGACCTTGATGATATTGAAGAATGGACTTTTGTCGGCGATGAAACCGACATTGATATCTCAAAGCGGATGCGTGAGCGAGCTGCTTCAGATGCTGACAGACTGGCCGACAAACTGGGTACCAATATGTTCCAATGAGTCTATTTTCGTTCAAGTTGAATGATCGATTAGCATGTTGTGTTCACTGTCGAGGTCTTGGCTCACGTTCAGACCCCCTGTCCTGGCTCCTCCTCGTGGCTGTACAGGCCCCACGGATTGAGGGATATCCAAGGGGAAAGTAGTGTGCTCGATCCTCGGGACATTTGGGGCAATGCTCTGGGTTTCTATTTCCGTTTTCCTTTTTCTTCGTGTGCATTTCTGTTGCCCTTTTCATGAATCATGATATGCGCGTCTTTTGTTTCGTTCTATATGCATAGGGCATTTTACATTGCCATCAGGCTCAAGTCTCTATTACGCTTCTAATATCCAATGTTCATTTCAGTACCTTGTTTCATGAAGGATGTGTTTCTGTGATTTCTTTTGTTGGGATTTAATCCGCTGGAGGGAAGGACAAGTATGAGGCGCATGGAGAACATCAAGACAATAGACTTCTTTCTCGAAATCGATGACATTGGCAACATTTCTATAATATAGACATGATAAATCCCTTTGAGAGGAACTAATTCAGCCACCAGGGCGCTTCTTATTTTCCTCTTCATCTCCCTTGCCATCGGCCTTGTCTTTACGTCTTTGTACAACATCCCAGTTGTACACACGCGCCGTGGCAACCTCCAATGTCTGATCTCTTGAGTTAGCAAAAGCCCCAATATACCAAATCCACACTGATGCCAATCACGGCCGGGTAAACTAACCGTAATCTGCTCGCGCAAGAATTCCAGATCCTCCTCGCAGTTCTGCAAGCTCGACTCTGCCGCATTGAGCTTGTCATCCAGCATGGTCTCAGCCTCGTTGAGCGGGTACGCCAACATGATATTCGCTCCAAGCCAGAGGTACACTTCCTCAGCATCGGCAGGCGAGATCGAAGCCCGGGCGTAGAGTGTATCATTGAGTTCGAAGTTAGTCTCGAGGTCTGCGTCGGGGTTGGACTAAAATAGTGTCAGTGATGTCTGGTTCTCTCTTTTTTTTCATGACCACCCCGTAAACCACGATTCTTTTATCGCTGGCCTTGGGGTGATATAGATAAGACGGGTGCGATTATATTTACCTCCTTGCGCAGCTTCAAGAACCGCACCATCTCCAGCGTCTTTCTGATATCCGGGATCTTCTCGCGCAGTCCCTGGCCGCGGCGCTGGGTGTTCACCTCCATGAACTGGTACTTGGAGATCATCTCCTGGAAGGAGCGGAGGGTTGGCTCGACCTCCTCGCGGGAGGAGACGTAGTCGCTGACATTGTCGATGAAGGGAGCGACGGGAATCCCGCGCGGGTTGGTTTGTGTTGTTACCGTGCTATTTTGGAGGGGTCAGTCGGGGTTCTTGGAATGCGGAGGGTTGGAATTGAGGATAGGGGTGGTGGAAGGGTATGTCTAGATGCAGAAAAGAATGTATAATTCGAATTAGAGGGGGAAATAGTACCTCTTTCCTTTTGAGTCCGCCATGATCGCAAAGTTGGAGGAGGGAGAAGAGAGAAGATGACGATGTGGGGAGCTTAACTGCCACTTTTTTGGGTTCCGCTTTATCTCCTCCGTCTCGATGACCAACTCGCTTTAACTGTCTGGGTTCTACGTCACAATGGTTCTGCTGGTTACTACGGAGCGCATCCTCGCTGCGTTCGAGGCTGTTCCAGCTTCGCGTCTTGAAGAGCTGGACTTACCTGCCACGTTGGAGGTCGATGCCCCGATTGCCCATGAGCAATTGATCCGGCTCGCCAGATACCTACAAAACGACCCCGAATACACAGAGAAGGCTTCGCATACCCCGACTATTCTTAATTCGCTCCTCCGCGGCACGAAAGTCTATGTTCCTCCGCCGCCCAAAAAGCCAGAGCCGGTACGTGGTTTATGCGCAATAGCTCGACAATCGTCAAACACATCCGCCCTTTCTTCCTCTCCGAGTATATCAACGATCCACGGACGTATACTAACAGAATACACAGAGCGCAGAATACCTCGCCTCAAAAGCTCGTCTCCTAGCCGCAACAGAACAAGAATCCTACAACCGCCTCTTGAACCCGAACTACAAACCAAACGCCGACCATGCAGACCCACACGCTTCGCCTTATACAACAAACGGGGCAATGGAAGAAGATACATTGACGATATCGCTGGTCTCTAGCATCTTCATCTCGGTGCTGGTATCGGGGTTCAGCGTGTATGCGGCGCTCACCAAGTTTCCGACGGCGCAGATCCTGGAGAGCGAGGCGGTCAAGGTTCTGCTTGGGCTTTTTGCAGCACTAGCAGTTGCTGTTGCGGAGTCGTTCTTGTATTGGACGTATCTTGGTAAGGTGGATCGGGCCAAGCTTAAGGAGAGAGCGGTTAGGGAAAAGAAAGTCGTGATTGGGGCGGTTGGGGAGGAGGTTGAGGAGGAGAGTGTGGATATTGGAGGGGAGAAAGAGGAGATATGGGGGAAAGGAGTTAATGGCGGTGTTAGGAGGAGAGTGAGAGAGAGATGGGAGAAGGAGAGGGATGGAACGGGCGAAGACTCGTGAATGTCTTTGATATATATATATACGTGTAATATCTCATGGACAATGATATCTATGTTCTAACGTATACTGGTTTATTGGAAGTATGGAGACCATAGATTAATGAAATGCTTTTGGTATTCTATGCCTAAAGCTACAACGCGCTGTCATAAATCTAACGGGTATGGATGCTGTGTGATCAGTCATTAGTGCTCATCAAAAGGTTCGATCTCACAGGTCGAGATCGAGATGCAAAGTGACAATAAAGTAGAGAAAGATAAGGCGAGGCGCACTGCCAAGTGTCAACTTGTCTCAAATGTGGACAAAAGAAAGAAGAGAGCAGGGAAGGGCTCAAACCCGTTTCTCGAGAAGCAGCTTGCCGTGGGGAGATTGGTCCTCGAAGCCCTGGTCGCGGCTGAAGATACGTTCACCACGCAACCAGGTCTCACGGACCATGCCGCGCAGAGTACGGCCCTGGTAGGGAGAGCACTTGTTGCGGAAAAGCATGGTGCTTGGCTCGACGGTCCATTCGGCAGAATCATCGAAGACACAGATATCGGCATCGAAGCCGACGACTAGGTCACCCTTGTGCGACTGCAGACCGACTTGAGCAGCAGTGTTGGTACAGCAAAGACGAACAACATCCTGGAGAGCATTCTTGGTATTCTCGTCTTCTGGCGAGGAGGTCAGGCCCTTGCGGCGGCTTAGATCTGTCCAAAGGATGGGCAGGCCCAGTCCGACAGAGGAGATACCTCCCCATGCGGAGAAGAAGTTGCCACTCTCCTCTTCCTTGCCGCCGGCACAGTGACCGGGTACGTGGGCTGGAAGCATCTTCAGGTTGGGTGTACAGGGAGAGTGGTCGGAGACGACGGTCTTAATGACGCCGTCGCCGGTGTGCTTCTCCAGCTCCTCCCAAAGACCGTCTTGGTTCAGCTTTGAGCGGATAGGGGGCAGCACTTGTGGCGGGTGTCGCCGTCGCGGACTTCCTCGGCTGCCAGGGACAGGTAGTGGAAGCAGGTCTCGGCCGTGATCTTGACACCATTAGCGCGGGCTTCCCGCAACAGAGGGATAGCCTCCATTGCGGAAAGATGGACAATGTGCAGAGGGAGGTTGGGGGCAAGATGAGCCAGAGAGAGGATACTTTCAATGGCGCAGGTCTCGAATGACGAGGGTCTGGAGGCCAGGAAAGTCGCATAAGCCTCGAGAGGGCCAACGGGGTCGGCAGGGGCATCGGAGGCCTGGACTTCATCGCCGACAGATGAGGTAACGGGGGGGACCATCTCTGCGTGGAACATGAGGGTCGTTGGCTCATCGGCCAGCTCTGCCATGGCCTTTTTGATATCTTCTCTGCCGACAGCAGGGAACTCATCGACCTATCAAATAAAGTCAATACAATTGAAGGAGTTATGATATGATACAAATTCACTTACACCACTGTCAATCAGGAAACCTTTGAAGCCACGGACACCCTCCTGGACAAGGGCTTTCAGCTCACCCGCATTGCCGGGGATGATACCGCCATAGAAGCCGACATCAACCCAGCACTTGCCCTGGGCAGCCTGGATTTTCTCCTTCAGTCCGTTCACGGTGGTGGTAGGTGGGATAGCATTGAGGGGCATATCAATGACAGTAGTGACTCCACCAAAAGCAGCGGCTTGCGTACCAGTGTAGAAGCCTTCCCATTCCGTACGGCCGGGCTCATTCAGATGAACGTGCGCATCGACGAGACCGGGCAGAAGAACATGAGGCGAGTAGTCGGTGTAGGGAGTGTCGGCAGGGAAATCCGACGCTGGGATCACGGAATCGAAAACAGCAGTGATCTTACCGGTTGTCCGCGAGATCACCACAGTAGCAGAGGTCAAACGGCCAGAGATGACAGCACGAGATGAAGCCACAACGGCAATGGAGGGGAGGTTAGTTGTAGCCATGGCTCTCAGAATATCTCAACAAGACTATAAGGAAGCCGTTCAGATAAGATGGGATGGGAAGATAACGGGGCAAAAGACCAAAGATAAGGGGTCTGGGGCATATAAATAGCTGAAAAAAAGTCTCAGGGGAATGGCCCACCTTGGGGTAGCAGATTGCACTTTTCACTTTTTTTTTTCACGGGCACCGAGTATACCCACACTGCCGAGATAGCCATCGCAGAGGCGTTTCGATTACTCGATAATGGTCGGGTGGCCAACCGACCAGTCCAGAGCCACGGCCATAAGCGATAATGCAGATGCAATGCCCCCTCTCCTTTGAGGAGAATGAGAAGCCTGGACTCCCTACTTCGTGCTGTGGAATATCTTCATTGTGTTAGAATGGCACCTGGAAGGTCAAGAGAAGCCATCGGGCATCTCCGAAGCCCAAGCCGGGCACTTCCACAAACGACTTATCAGAGCCGATCCGCTTTCTCGGCTTTTACTCGATCAAATCTCCAAAGCTTGGATGTCCGGGGCTCCTTGGAGGGTTTCCGGTCGATCGATTTACTCGATCGAAACTGCAGTATTGCCGCGTGACCGTCTTCTCTTGGCTCTTCGCCGGTCTCCGAAGAGGTTTCCATCGAGTAACCACTCTCATTTCTACCATTTCCCCCATTTCCTTCCAATTTCCAGATTCCGATGATTGAAGAAGTCAGGTTTGAAGTTGCGGGGAACCAGCTGGGTATTATTCTCCAACTTCCAGGGATTCTTCCAGGATGTCCAGGTGTGTTCTGTGACTGGCCCACAATCCTGGAATCCACTTGCAGATGCTTAACGTGACGTCCCGTGATATGTGAAAGTACTACATACATAGGCACTACATACATGTAGTCTCCTACATATAACCACTACACACATACATAATGAATACATACACTCCATAGGGATGTACTATAATGCGAAACACACTGTCTATTGTGCCTCTTGTTATGCACTATCCCGCTTCCAGGGTATTTCCTTATTCGACATCTACTCATATACATCATGTAGTAACACGGTGAATTTCAGGCAAGTTTACTCAAATAAGGCGCCTTCAATTCGCTGTCTAAAGAGCGCTAATATCCCTTTCGCTGCCGAGGGTTGGTATTTTTTTTGGTTATTTTCAATATTTGTGAAACTGATCGCTCAAAGAACAAAAGACTGTGGTTCGGCCCGTATAAAAACTAGAAAATGTAGAAACTCCATGATGAACGCCTCATTAATCGTGGAAGCGTTGATGCTGCTTGATAGACAAGCCAGCAGTTCTCATTTGGGATTCATTCACTCGATATCCCGGATGATGTGCAGGTCTGTCAGATCGAAATCACCGGTCTGCTCAAGTATGTCGTCGCCGGTGCCCCTCGCGGCAGGAACCCCAGCCGGGGCACTGAAAGCCTCCCCAGCGTCACCTGTCAGATCAACGAAGGACCCCTCACTTTGTGAGCCATCCACATCGTCTGTTTGCATACTGATATCCCCATCCTTTTCAACGGAAAAGGTAATCTGGTGGCGAGTGAGCCACATGTAGAACACCGATTCTGATATGCTTTTCAGGACAGGACGACTGTGGATTTCAATTTGTCCACAAGGGAGTCCCGGATACTCTGGGAATGGAATGCTGTTGTACAGCACATCAAGCACTTCGTCGCTCAGACCGGTCTCACCGGGGAGCATTTCCAGCTTCTCTTTCGCCATGGGACGGGCATACATAACGTTCATCCAGCTTCGGATGTGACCAAGACCGCGAGTGATCATGCACGATGTCTTTGTACCTTCGCCACAGGAGTAGGTGTTGCATCCATAAAGTTCAAGACCAGGCACACTTGTGCCAATAGGAGTATCAGAGAGAACCCAGGCACGGCAGCGAAATCGGCGAAAAGAGGCAAATGACCTCAGATCTGTCAGGTCTCCAATATTGGTATCCTTGTTGAACATCACCTCGGGGCTGACCAGGCTCATGGACGAAATATGGGGCCCCCAGACGCTCCCTGTAAAATTGTTAGTGTGTGATTCCCGGTCATCCAACCGAGACAGATACTCACAGTGATGGCTCAGATACGCCATAGCAGAATTTCCACCTTCAAATAGACCAAGAATATGGACTTTGGCACCAAGTCCCAGGTTTGGCTTCAGGACTTCATCGAAAATCCACTGGGTGTGCACCTTGAGGGATGAGTTGTTAGCGATCAGATTACGACGGCTCCAAGGACGTTGGCGGCCCACAAGCGAGGAACGCGTTCGAGCATTGAAGCTTTCGGGGGTCATTGCGACACCGCCTCCATTGTACCAGACATTCTGGCCTGAGTTTGCTAGGATAAGTGCAGTTGGCGAGGAGTAAGCATTCTCGCCAAGTACGGCGTTTGCAACACCCAGAACCGATCCGAAAGAAAGGCCCTCATCGCATGCATCACGGTATGAGAAAATGCCTAGGTCTTCGACAACTTCGCCAAAGAAAACAATGACACAAGATGCCGTCTGGAGGTTGCTCGAGATGAAGATGGGAGCATGCGGCTGGGCACCCGGGATCTTCATCAGATTCATGCCGATTCCCACAAGACGGTCATAGATACTGATACGAATAGCCTCTGTGGATTTGTTAGCGCTGGTCCATCACGAGGGGCCCTTTCTATGAAAATAAATGCGAGGGGCTTCCTTACTGTGCAGGCTCTCGAGGTGAGCCTGGTTCACGCGATCATTTCGGTTGATCTTGTAACGTGCGCTCTGATCAGGGCTATGGACATATCTTATCTTGTCATCTTTGGAGATGACGAAGCTATGTTGTTTGATTAACTGTCAGTCTCTGATAGAACTCGAGATCACACGAAAGATTTTGGAAGGCTTACCCAAGCTCACGCAGATCCTCAGGGAAGATCTCATCCTCGGGGAGGTGATCCTCTCCAGTCTTGAACACCATGATGCTAGTTCAAATCAAGGTGCCAGGTTGATTTGAAGAGAAGGTAAAAGAGACAGAAAGGCAAGATGAAAAGTTTGTCAAAGTAGGGGGAGAGATGGAAGAAGAAGAGTGAGAGGAAACAAGAAAGGAGGAAGATCAACTGAGGAAGGAGCTACGCGTTACGCTCGACGATACCTGCTTGTAGGTATCTAGAGGTAGGCGACGGGGCAACAGTCAGCGACGTTGCGCTCCAGGGCTTCTGGCAGACTGTAGCGACGATTTGCTTGCAATAGCTGAGCCCAATACGACTGCAAAAAGGCTGCACCGAGTGATATCCTATCAGAGATGGTGAGCTACCGGACTTGGGTTGCTGAGTTTACGCAATGGAGGATGGCATTTATCAGAAGATTACGTACCAGATGGCTTGATAGACTGGTTTGCAGTGGACCGCCATGAAGGTAAACAACAAGATTGAGAGCACCTCAGGGATACGACTACCTACTAGATAGGGCCTCATTCCACGACATAAGCAAACAAGTACAAGGGACAAATCGATACCTGGACATGTTGACAAGCCGATATTATGCAGCCGGCTTGAATAGTATGAGAACGACAAAGAAGAATGGTATTTCTCTGCAAATGAGAAGTGCATACTGTACATACTTCCACCCAATGGAAGGAAAGAAGAAAACGCCGTCGTGCAAACAGATTGACCAGGTATCTCCCTACATTCGGGAGGGCTACCATCAAAAAAATATCATACAACTACCAACTGGCCTTCCTCACGCCGGGCAAGTCACCAGCCAGAGCCTGCATGCGGAATTGGAACTATAGAAGAAAACGTGTCAGCGATATTCCAAAAGCCCCAGATAAGAAGCAGCCGTTGGCCGGATCTTCCCACTCACTCGGTTGATTCTGAAATCGCGGAAAACACTGCGAGCAGTGCCTGATGCCACACAGCGGTTCTTGATCTGTGTGGGGCGAGTGTAGGCGTGCATCTGCGACAATTGAAGCTGGGCCTGCGCGCGGACTCGACCAGAAAGAGAGGTGTTGCGGACCATGTAGCGGAGAGCTTGACTGTGGCAGCGCAGAGAACAAAATCAGCAATTGGGTTCTCTTTACAGTGGAATTTCCCTTCCCGGGGCTGGTATCACTTGTCGAGCCAACACAGTTGACCATGGAGGGTAGGACGGGGTTCATACCGTTCGGGTTCGGTCTGCTCGAAGGCCATGCGCTTGTTGTGGTCCCGAATCAGGCGGGTGTTGACGAATCCAGAGAGATCAAGCTTCTTAGGGCGGAATAGCCCTGCCATCTTCGTCATTTTGGCGTTGTTGATTGAGGGGATTGCGGAGTTGAGGTCGGAAAATGATGGTCCTTCGGCGAAGGCGGAGTTGGCGAAAACTGGATGCCAAATCGGGGTTAGCGCACTTGATGCAAGATTTCACGCTGAGCAGCATCCAAGCCCTACATTATTGGTAACGTTGAATGCATAACTGTTACAATAATGATTTTATATTACTATGAAGGTTGACAAGAGGCTTATTATGATCTGTCGTTTGATCGCATGGAAGGATAAATTTGGCCCGAAGTGTATTACATCGCGCTGTGTAGATTTGAAGTATAGAGCCCATGGAATTTATACTCTACGTCAAGTAAGAGGTGCTCCGGAATATTCGGCTTAGGGTTATCCCCAAGCTCTCCAAGCTCTTATTAGGGAAATCCTAATCCCAATATAATGTTGACTACGAAAAGGATGTGGCTTGCTCGGAAAGGTACTGGTACAGCTTGTGAATTGATCCAAGTCATCCCCATCGAGGTGGATATAGTCTATATGCTTGGAGAGGGGCAAACTGCCCGCAGAGTAATCACAAAGAATGCAAGCTGGACATGGCCAACTTTGGCCATCTCCGTCCACCCACACATCGCGACGGTCCGTCCCGCTCTTCTTCGAGGAACAAGTGAGATCTCAAGACGCATTCATTGTCGACCCAATTTAGTGGCCAGCCTTGCCAGCGGGCTTGGCGTTGGGGTTGCGAGGATCGTTCTGGAACTCGGCGGCTGTGCGGATATAAAGGTTAGTTGGACATGCGCGCAAATACTCATCGCAATGTTGTTTCGTGCATATTGTCGCATGGCTCCGAAAATTGTCGATGATTTAGGTGTAGCTGCACAGGAAGAACTCACTGTTGGACAGAGCGTTCTGGAGAGAGTTGACGCCGTAGAGCACAATGAGGCCTGGAGAGGAGAATTGTCAATGCAAAGTTCCACCAACAACCGCTTAACCGCTTCGGGTGGGCGGCATTCCGAATTCAAAGCCCATTCGGTTCAGAAAAGCGAGGGCAGTTCGGGATTTAGGGTGTATGCGTACCGGCAGCGAAGAAGGGAGTCAGAGGCTTGGCTGTAGGTGAACAGAAGCGTTAGTCGTTGGTTCGTGTATCATTTCCCCAAGGGCCTTAATCGGTGTCCTAAAAGCACGTACCCATGGCGCCGGGGAACTTCTTTCCGAGGAGAGACATTGTGAGAGGTGGATCGAATGCGGAGTGACTTCGGTGTTCGGGAAGGTGGTGAGGCAGGAGGACGGAAGAGGAGAAGTGAGGTTTGGGAGGTTTGCCCGGTCCCGAGGCCACGCCGCCTTAAAGGCGGTGTCATGCCGCTTTTATCGCCCGATCTATCCCGACCGTTGTAAACAATCATCATCGTTAATCTCCAATTCATTCTTCAAAACACATCATGGCAAGCTCATTGTCCTCGTCAGTGACTTCATTGCAGTCCTCTCTCCAGATACTGGACAATTCTATAAACACTCTTGATTCAGGCGTGAACGACTTCCCTCGTTTACGTAAAGTCCTCCAGACAACGCGAGTATGTTTATTCCAAGTGTCACTGTTGAAATGAAACAAGAAGCTACGAGTCTAAACATCTATTTCCTAATAGCACTTTGAGCTTCTTCCTGAGCCTACTTTGCGCGAAGCCCAGCAATCCCTCCTTGACGAAATCACTCCCAGTATCGCCCATCTTCTGACGTTATCATCAACTCACGTCGAAAAGCTCGCGCGCCGCGAACAGGGCCTCAAGGCAAAATGCGAATTGCAAGAAGGACGACTTTCGTCCAACCCAGAAAGTCGGTCATCAGCTACTCGCAGCCAACCTCCGAGTAGTTCGCTGCGGGGTCGCATGGCGGGGTCTGGCACTGGTTCATCCAGCAGTTCTGCATCCAGGGCAGCGGAATTGCGCAGACTTGTACAGAAGAAAGAACGGCTCAAGTTTGCAGTCGATCGGCTGGAGCTACAGAATACGCAAAAGCAAAGGCAGTTACGAAAGAGCATGGCTGCACAGTGAATATGGTGGGACCGTGTCGTGATAACAAATTATCTGCTACGACGCCAAGTGATCGCCCTATCATGGACTTTCACCTTCAGCACGTCTTCCGGCTAGTCCCGACCCATGTCACTCTCCATTGGGCATGCTTTACCAACTCTATGGCTGCATACAACACGAACCCTGGAGCCAGGGGCCGTGGTTTCAGCAGAGCAATGCTTTCAGACTCCGACATTTGGAAGAATCGCAAATGATTCACCTAAGGTGACAGCTAAAGACTACGGGTGGTTCTTGGACCTGGCGAAATTCCCTCTGGATGGTAAGACCACTGCTCCATCACCACCGGCACCATGGGATCTGGCTAGTCTCACAGTGATCTCATTGGAGCAAAGGAGGATTCAATTAGGCTGAATTACGCTCCAATTACTGAATTGATCAATACATAATGAACAGAGATCAGAGTGAAGATGCTATATTTACATCTGTAGATGTGCGAGAATTATGTTCTAATGTACAGGATCCAGTCCCCAGTCCCAATGCCTAATGCTGCCAGTAGTTAGTAGTAAAATATAGTACATGTTTTCATATCCTTCAAATTCAGGAAATAGATGCGCCACATCAAATCCGCTTATTCGTCAGCGGCACGCTTGTTGTAAGCCTGGCGAAGCTTCTTCTTATCATTATGCTTCTTCCAACTGGGGATATGCTGGCCCCTCTTCCTGATGGGAATATCAGGGATATCTGAGTCATGAACAGCATAGTCTTCGTCCTCTTCTTCGCCTTCGTTCTCAAAGTCACCCTCTTCCTCAGCGTCACGCATAGAGGCCTTGGTCGCCGCACGACGAGCCAGCCGCTCCTTCTTACCCTCACCATGCTTATCGCCAAGGTTCAGGTTGCGCGGGATGCGGGTTTTGGCTCCCAGAGCCCAGAGGTCACCCCAGTGAGATTTGCGGGCGTCACGGTAGGCCTGGCGGCTGTAGGAGCGCGGGACGGTCCAGCGCTCAATTTTGCCAGCGGGTGTGCAGAGATCAAAGATAACATGACCGCGGCGCTTCATGGGTGGGTAGATAGCGCGGGGGAGAGCTAGAGCGTGGAAGGCTGGCTTGTTGGGGATATCAGACTCTTCGGAGTCCTCAAATCCTTCAAACGCGGCATCTGTGGTCTCGGAATCTTGACGAATCGATTGATCTTGTCGAAGATCCACGCCACGCTGCACGGCAAGGTAACTAAACTTGAGGTCCTCGTGGTTGCGGTCCTTTGCTCCCATGATGCGCTGCAAGAATGGCGGGCGGATGTATCGCTGCTCGAAATGGCAGTAGTCCCTACGGCCCTTAGTGGGGCCCGCGGAGTTGTGCATCGGGCAAGTGGAGTGGTTTGTGCAAGGGGCGACAATCATTCCACGCTCCTTCTGAATGACCTCGCGTTGGTCGGGATCTTCAAGGAAGTTGTCGTATTCTGTAGAGCCGGGGCTTGCAATATGACGCTTCAGAAGCATTTCACGAGCACCAGAGATGGCCTCAAAGCCCTTCTGGCGGCCCTTCTCAAGAAGAATGAGAACTCCTCCATTAGGGTTCAGAAGAGACCACAGGTTCTCCACGTGCTGCTTACGTTCATATTCTTCCTCGAGACCGAGAAGAGAGTGCGGTGCAATGATGACATCGTATTGCTTGCGTTTGGGTGCATTTCGCGCGTCGTCAATTGTAGGTTTCTCGCGCACGTGAACGTAATCGGGTAGGCGTGGGAGGAAGCTAGTGTTGTCCAGCATGATAGAAGCACGCAGCCTAAGGGCATCCGAGCCTGTGAGCACAGTCGATCGCCCAAACGGAATGGGTGCTCCCTCAGGATGATCAGGCACCATGAGTTCCCACTCTGTACGAATGATATCTCTCCATGCCAGGATACCGGCGCCCCCTCCGCTGGCATCAAGGACGTTCGGTCCACCCTCTTGTGCAATCAAACGGCGAATCCAATCGACACCTAATCGCTTGCGGATCTCTACCATAACACTGAGTGTTGAAGCGTAGATTCCAGGGTATAGAGCTGCCAGATATGTGTTGGCCTCCATTTCTGTCATTTGACGCTGGGAAGCATGAAGAGGAATAGGGAGCTGAGGTAATTGAGCACGCGGCGGCGCAGTTGTAGTGGAATGGGGCAATCCTGGTCCTCCAAATAGTCGTCGAGCAGTCTCCGAAATGTGCTTATTGGAGAACTCCGACAGGATAACCGATATGGGACCAGTGACAGTATCCTTAGGCAGATGGATGGTGGTAGGATCAGTTCCGAATTTGCCCTCGAGTGTGCTTGGATGCGTCCTTGGTGCAGCGTCTGGAACGGCCTCATTCTCAAATTCTTCAAGCATAATCTCGCCGCCCAACTGCTCTGCCACTTCCCTCGTCCGTTGCATGGCAATCGTTTCGCGCTCTTCTGGTGGTGCATCCATATCATATGCGAGTGGAACATCGTCTTCGGCGGTGGCTGCGCCTTCTTCAAGTTCAACTTTCTCCCAACCTCCTTGTCCATCTTCGCGAAGCAAGCTCAGATCTTCCTCTTCCTCCTCAACTATTGTCTCGATTTGCTGCCGGAAGATTGGTTCTCCGTACAGCCTGGCGTAGATTTGAAGCTCGGCATCATCCAACAATCCCTCTGGCACCTCATCTCCAAACCGTTGTTTGATCATATGGACCCATGACTCTGCTGTGTGTTCATCTCGCTGGCCGATCAAGTCGATTAGCTCGTCTGCTTCGGCTTGCTCGTCCAAAAGTTCCAACTCTTCGAGAATTTGTACCATCTCTGCCTCATTTTGGCCGATTCTATCGATCAGGACATTGATATCGACCGGTTCGGGGGTTTCGCTGGGTTGAGGCGGCGAGTCGGCAGATGCTGGGCTTGAGACAAACCTCCGCTGCGACAGACGTTGTGATACCGCATACTCAGGGGTATGTGTTCGGTGCGCAATAGAGCTGGAAGTCACAAGATGCGACGATTTCCGCGCAAAGTTGTGTTGCTGTGTAGATGTCAAAGGGTTGGTAGTTCTGCGGAGCTGTCGCGAACCAGCCGGGCGGGTAAAGGTGCGAAAAAATTCGCGTGATTGAGACCGACCGGTCCCTGACGCTGTAGATATGGACAGCATTTTGGAGATTTGGTTAACGGTCCTGTCAGAGGTGCAGGTTGGAAGAAAAAGAAAATCCAACGAGGCCCAGAAAATTGATGCCAAGGAGACCATGCGCCCATCACAAACTGCTAGTCTCTAATTGGCTGGTCTCCGTTGTCATCGGGTCCACTCCTTCTAGCTCCATATGTACCTAATGTAGCAGGATTTACATCGGATAGCTGGATGTCTTGTTGGGAGTATGTTCAACTAAATGCTTCTTATTATAATATATCCATGGTTAAATAAATATTTCCTTAATTAACGCTTATTCCTGGCTGCAAGATAGTCGATCAGACACAAGTGGCAAACAAGTCCAGACTTCCATGGTTCATCCAATGCGTACCTGAGTATAGATTTTGACCGCACCAAGCATAGCATAATAGAGCAGCTATCTGTATTCCGATGCAATAGGGTATCGATGAAAACAACTATGCCTCGCTCTCCGTATCTTCATTGCCCATGAGCACACGTAGCGCAGCCACGCACCGCATGACCTCATGCTCAAGGGCCGTTAACTTGGCCATGACAGACATCAGACTAGGATCCTGGCTCTCCACCCGGACCTTCTCCTTGACACGAACTTCTTCTCCCTGCCAATTAAACACGACCCCAGCCTCATCGTGGGTTGGTATTCGCGTGCCGAATATCCGATCTCGCAGAGAAAACCCGGTCAAAGAGATCTCCGAGCTAAAAGCGTTCGGTGCATGGTTGAGCGCTGTAGACTCTAATGTCCGAAGAAGGAGGACCAAAGCGGAGTCAGTGATGGAGAGATGGAAGGAAAGATGTGGTGGCAGCGGAGGGTCAAACATCTATGCAGGACAAATATCAGCAGCGTATACTTGGGTGGCTTTGACCAAACAAATCGGACATACATTTTCAGAAGCGCTGGTCTGCCACCATTTGCCGCGCGTCTCATCCCCTTCCCCTTTCAACATTTGTCGAGCCTCCCTGATCGTTTCGAGCAGAAGATGTAGTTGGCTGAAGATGAAGCCTGCATTGAGGGGATCGCCTGTCCACGTGCTCACATCCACAATATCCAGACTCTGGGCCACCAGATCTCGGACTGACACTAGCTGTTGAATTACAAAATCCGGGGCTTCGGGGGACTGTGATAAGTTCAGTCGGGTGCTGGGAGAGCCCCGAGGATGAGGGAGCGATGCAAGACGAAGTTGAATATCCTGGCGAAAGAACGTTCAGTTGCCGTTGGACGTAGGGTCGGGTCTGGAATACATACCCCCTTGACGACCTTGGTGCCGACTCTAGTCACGAAGCCTTTCACATTTTCCGACCGCAGCGAGGACAGCACTAAGGTTGAACCCGGTTCTTGGGGAGCTAGTAGGGCTGCACATTCTTGGAGACCTTCCTTCAATGAGACGAGTGAATCCTGCAGCGAATGCAAGAGCCACTCGAGCTCTTGGGCCTAAGATAAATATGTTGGCATGATACTGGAAAGGTAACTCCACATCTCTCACGATTCATAGCTACGGCCGAACCGATCTCCATGCGGTAGATCACCTGTAAGGATCCATATATGGTTTACATACCAGCACAACGTCCGCCTCATGATTGACCTGCTCTGCGGGTAGTGGGGGATATGCCCAAGTCGCCATTACAGTGATTTCGATGTACCTTGGTCGATTTCGGTGGGGAGGACAGAATGGGGTTGGCTAGACAAGGTTTTTGGGCAAGAAAATTCTGGATAAGGCAGAAACGTTAATTGATGATCCACGTCACTGCGTCCACCGCGCCCTGTCTGTCGCGAGAGAGCTGTAACGTTGTTTCGTTCGGCGGGCCTGTTGACTTCGTCATGGACCGCGGGGGACTAGCCTGATTGGGTATAGTGCTGACAGTAGAGTGCGGACTAACCACAAACGGCTAGCCGATCAGGTGCAACCATGACGTTATGATCGTCTATACTCTCGATTTTGTAGAAAAAAAGAAACGAGCGAGGATGATGCTCACTCGTCATTATATCACACTGGGGAGGGTCCCGGATACCCCGGCTGCTTTTATACCAGCCATATACCTGGCCGCGCTCTCCAGTCTCTGAAGTACCGCACCTTCTCTCGTCTCTCGACACTCCTTGAACACTCAACCCATTCCTTTGGAGATACAAGACCACCACCAGGCGCTATAAAAGCATACCAATCAAGCAAGAGTGCGACCTGCAATAGAGCTCAAACACAATGGGTTTCAGCAGTAAGTTGACCGGTCTTGACCAGCAACTCTATAATTTCTTAATCTGACCATCATCTATAGGAGCATCATTGGGCTTTCTGGGCCTGTTTTTCATGGCATCGTCCATCTTGCTAATCTTCCTTACTCTACTGGGAGGTGCACGCAACAGCAACCCGCTGAATCAGATCTACTTCCTCCAGGCGGATACGGGGAATATACCCAACGCACCGCCAATTTCGCGTTGGACATTCTGGAATGTCTGTGGAGTGAAAAATGGTAGAAATGACTGTGGTACATCGCACCCGGATTTCCCATTCGACCCGCCAAGCCACCGTAACTTCGACACGACCCAAAATGTCCCCCCAGAGTTCATCGGGTAGGTTGCCAAGTTCTATCTTCTGCTTCATCGGGTCACGCTAATCATCCTTCCAATGTAGTACGAACCACTACTTCTTGACATCGCGGTTTATGTTTCCCTTCATCATCATCGGTCTCTTCTTTGCTGTGTGCTCTCTGTTCACTGGGTTGCTGGCCATGTGTACCCGCATCGCCAGCTACCTCTCTGCTTTCCTGGCTTGGATCGCTCTGACTTTCCAGGTCATTACGACCTGCCTCATGACGTATGCACCCTCACAGATCAAAACAGAGTATCGAATAGAATGCTAACTATGGTTGACAGCGCCGTCTTTGTCCAGGGCCGCAGCGCATTCAAGCGTAATGGCCAATCCGCAACCCTCGGTGTGAAGGCATTCGCTTTCATGTGGACTGCATCTGCCTGTCTGTTCCTTTCATGTCTGCTGTACTGCCTCGGGGGTGCTGTTGGCCGGAAAGACAACAGTGGATACAGTGGACGCAAGGAGCGCCGCCGTGGCTTTTTCTCTTCTCAACGCTCTAACAGTGTGAAGAGCCAAAAGAAGGAGACCACAAACTACGCTTAAATGGAGGTGTCTTTACCTTGTGAGGCTTGTCTCTCCACTTCGAAAAGAACAAGTCACAGACACAGACACCGTCCACTTAGATCTATTGATCTCTGGACAATTCGATATCCAACTTTGTCTTCCTGCGTTGATATCCCTTTTGAAAGTTATTCTTTCTCTTCTCCAGGAGGCTGCTTGTTCTCGTTTGATCCTTTCAAGCTACACTTTAATTCGAATTCGGCCTAAAAGGTCAAACCACCCACACTCACTTGATGCTGTTATGAACCACTTACGATCGTTACTCGAACAAACACACGGCCTTCCCGCATGAAGTGGCAATTGAGCATTTTCGCACAATACTCCCCGCTTTGGTTTCGTTATGCGATATCACGCGAGTTTCTTGATGATTTCTTGATGATCCTAGTGAATGATCCTCCGTTTTGGAGAACATTCTGGAATTTGTGTTTCTAATTGCAAACCTATCTAATCTACTTGTAATATAATTCCATTACCATCAAATATTTTTAACGATTGGCACTTACCTATCTATATAATGTGGCTAGCTAGGCGGGCTACAGGATATACCTAGGTAGGGTTGTGGCCATATTCGTGATTCCCGGGGACCAAGAACCAAATATATAACGACCGGTATACAGATCTACATGTAGGTACAACAAGACCCTTGAATCGCTACATCAGAATCTACCTCGGACTACTAGTAGACTAGAGCTGGCTGCAAAGAAAAACCAATGTGCATTGGTCACTTCTTATTGAGTCTATTTGAGAACGAGTAAAGGGAAAGACTCCAGACGATAACTGCAGTATAAATCGGGGAAAAGCAAAATCACAGCCTCTATCAGTCATGCATGCATCATCACTCCATAAAACGACATCCAAGTCTTTTTTTTATTTTACTGGGGGTAAAAAAACTTAAGCAGAGCCGTTGACGGCACCACGGACGGCGTTCTGGGAACCGACCTCGCGGACGGCGATCTGCAGACCAAGATCGGGGTTGACGTGGACCATGACCTCGATCTTGCCGCCAGCCTTGACGCCCTTGACGGCGAGCTCAGCAACGGGCTTCTCGGTCTTCCAGACAATTTCGCGGATCTCCTCTTCCTCATCCTCCTCGGAATCGTAGTCGGAGTCATCTTCATCCTCAGCAGGCTTGTCCTCCTTGGCCTTGGGCTCGGGCTTGGTGACCTTGATCTCGCGGACACCCTCGCACACGCGGACCAGGACATCACCACCCTCCTTGGGGGCGAAGTACTGGGCAATGCGGCGGGCAGGGAGGGCAGTCTCAGCGCCGAGGAGGGGCTGGAAAGTAGTATCGGTCTGAGAGGTGAACTCAACACCGATGGCCTTGGTCAGGTGAGGGGTGACGGTGACCATGGGGTGGATGGACTGCTCAATGTCCTCGTGATCGAACTCCTGGACCAAGGAAGCCTGGAAGGCGGCGCCACGGGCAGACAGCTCGGAGGGGTTGAGAGCAGTGGTGGAGGAGGCGGGAGCAAGGATTTTGGTCGTCTCGGGGAAGATGTTGCTGGCCAAGCTGGCGAGCTTGGGAGTGTGAGAAGCACCGCCAGAGAAGATGACCTCATCGATATCAAGGACATCGAGCTCGGCCTTCTTGACGACCTGCTGGATCAGACCAGTGAACTGGCTGAAGACCTTGCCGGCGAGAAGTTCAAAGCGAGTGCGGTTGACGGTGGAACCATAGTCAACGCCGTCGACCAGAGACTCAATGCTCAATTGAGCGTTGCTGCTCAGGCTGAGGGCCTTGCGGGTGCCCTCACACTCGAGCTTCAGCTTGGCCAGACCGCGGGCGTTCTCGCGGGGGTCGGTCTTGTGCTTCTTCATGAACTCCTTGGCGAAGTGATCGATGAGAATCTGGTCCAGGGAGGCACCGCCAAGCTCATAATCGTGAGCAGTGGCCAGGATAGTGTACATGCCGCCGCGGCAGGCAACAACTGCAACATCGGAACGGGTACCACCGAAGTCAGCAACAACAACCAGCTTGTCGGTAACGGTTGCCTCAGGACGGGCATCGTAAGCCATGACAGCGGCAACGGGCTCGTGAATCAGCTGAAGAACATCGAGACCAGCAGCCTTAGCGGAGGCAACCAAGCTCTCACGCTGAGCATCGGTGAAATCGGTAGGGATAGTGATGACGGCGGCGTTGACATCCTTACCGAGGAAGTCAGAGGCGGAGCTTCTCAGACGCTTGAAGTGACGGGTAGCGACCTCAGAGACAGTGATGGTGTTGGGGGTCTCGCTCTCGGTGTCGCGGATGGTGAAGGCCACAGTGGAGTCCTGCTGCTGGGGGTGGGCGGACTGGTGGCAGGCAGTAGGGTCAACGGACTTGAATTCCTTGCCGAGGAAATCACGGAAGTATGCGACAGTGTTGGTCGAGTTGCGAACGAGCTGGGCCTTGGCTTGTGTGCCGTGGTACTCCTCGCCATCAATGTAAGAAAGGATGGAAGGGATTTGGCGATCTGAATATGTTAATTCCGGTCCTTGAAACGTGGGGCTTCGCCATGCTCACCTCCTTCCTCGTTGGCAATAACCTCAGCCTTGCCCTCCTGTAAAATTGTTAGTCACTGTCTAGGATCTCAAAGAATGAACATCGGAACGTACAGGTGAGATACGGGCAATTGAACTGCATGAGTTACCAAATGAGATACCGATAGCAAAGCGCTCCGCCTCAGCGGGGGCACTGTTGGCCGCGTCACCCATGTCGAAATTGGATATATGTACTTTTTTGGGATTAAAAAAGGAAAATTCTCACGTCACGGCGTGAAAGTAGATTCGAGGGTATCCGAGGTATCGGTGGAAATCTGGATTGAGGGGGGACGATTGAAAAAGATTTTGAAGATTTTCGTCTGCCGCAAATGTGGCTAGTGCTTATCGATAGCGAATGTGGCGGCACTGATAGGCACCGCCACACTTCCTGTCTTTGGGCATCCATGGCCAGTCCTCCATGACGGACGTAGTTCTCATCCCACTAGTTATAAAGTAGATACCTCTCAGTAGCTATCTAGGCCTCAATAATACCTAGAACCATTATGGCCACTCCCGAAATCACTCTCATGTGCTGGGAAGGGGTTTGGTGAGAGCATGTCCAGATTTATGACAGTGTCACGTGGTGATAAGAAATATCATTTTCTTTGCAGAATCAATGCGCACGTCAATCGACCTTCATAAGAAAGACCCAGCAATTCAGTCTTGAACCTCGATTTCTTGACTCTCCATACTAGGTGGCATCTAGGACAACCTCACCACACAGCCCATCCAGTCCAGCACCATGAGCGCTCCAGTTGTCCTATTACCTAGCGACGAGGTACCTCGAGACCATCTTCCTACGAATACTTCCAACCCTCTACGACTAGGCCCTGGCCTTCGGATTCTATCACAGCCCTCCTCAAAAAGTTCCAATCATGTCTTAACAGCAACCCAAGCTGGTCTGTTGACTACTGATGCGAAACGAAACACCGTCTCACTCCTTTCTTTCCCGAACCGCCGATATATCCCCACCGTCAACGATTTTGTCATTGCGCAAATCCACCATTCCAGTGCTGATTTCTTCCACTGCATGGTGACATCACACACAGCCCATGCGCTTCTGGGCCAGCTGTCATTTGAGGGCGCAACCAAGAAAACAAGGCCAATGTTGAAGCAAGGCGAGCTGGTGTATGCCCGAGTACAGTCTGTGGGAGTCGGCGCCGGCGCCGAAGTTGAAATTACTTGTGTCAATCCAGCAACCGGCAAGGCTGACGGAGGTTTGGGGCCCTTGACCGGCGGAATGGTATTTGATGTCTCGACGGGTATGGCAGCCCGGTTAATTCGAGCAAGCTCTGCATCTGCGGAGAACACGGACGCAATCGAAGGGTTGGTAGTCCTTTCTGAACTCGGAAAGAAGCTTGAGAGCTTGGGAGGATTTGAGATTGCAGTAGGTCGCAATGGAAAGGTGTGGGTGGACTGCTCCAACGCTGCTGAAAGCGCTGTTAAGGTCACTGTTGCGATCGGGCGCTGTCTACAGGAGACTGATCAGCACAATCTTCACACTCACGACCAAAAGAAGTTGGTGACGAAAGTCCTACGGGATATGAAGCTTGTATCGTGAATATGTCCTTAGGACCCGGATTATTGGTTTTACGATTTGCAGTTGATTCTTATGTTTCCTATGCCAGCATGTACACTATTAATGCAATAACGAGCATGATACCTGCCAGTTTTGTGTACAGGTAAAGAGCTTTGCTACATACATAACATATGTATACAGTGATACACCACATGTATCTAAATCGGTGCATGTAGATATTCCAGTATGCAATCATTTATTAATACTGAGATTGAACAGATGCCCCCGTATTAAGATGATTGGCGATTTAGTAGCTCCCTTGAACAATCTATGATCATGGCTTGGATTCCTTGTTTGGATACTATTGGCTCTGTGACGATGGTACATATACTCCGATCACTTGGACAATTGGATGTCAATTGGCCCCGCAGATGTGGGCGGTCAACAAGGCGGTCGTCCAAATTGCCGCATTCCAAGCTTCATGGGTAAATTTTGGTCAGCCTCGGTCTCTCCTTTTCGTTGTATCTTCCACTGTTCCTTCGATCGCCATTGTTGCAGGCTGTTGACATGGGGAATACCTCATCTCAACCCGAGCCTTTCCCCGAGATCCCCGACGATTTTGGGGATATCGGTTGGTGTCCCAAACCAATTGACTTTGACCCGATGCAATACTAACATTTGCAATCTGCAAGTTCCCGAAACTCCTCGTCGGAAATCTTCTTACTCTCCCGAGGCTCGTCGGAAGAAAAATAAGAGTGGAAAGCTAGTTTCCACTGCATCCGACGCTCTGCCGTCAAAAATTGTACCAGGCAACGGTGACAAAACTTCACCAAAATCAGACCCGACCATGTCGAAAGCCGCAAAGCGAAAGCGCGGGACTGAACAAGACCTTAGGCAAAAGACTAAAAAGTCTCGCAAATCAGACAATCAGGTCGGCGCCGAGCTACTTTCGCAGGAAGACAACTCGACCTCATCTGCAATTGGTGTACAATTGCCCCCCAGCCAACCCACGCCATCACAACCCACTCCATCGCAACCCACGCCATCGCAACCCGAGCTTCCTCGGACCAAGAAGCCCCAGAGGGCTTCAAAGAACGACAAAGGCGCAACTGCACCTACTTCACCTACTTCGTCACGTACTCGCGACATGGCGGATGCAGAAAAGCCGTCACCTGTAAAAGAGCTCACTGCCGCCAAGCAAACCCCACCCACAGATTCACCCACCCCAGAAGGTAGTGTCTTGTCGGGAGGCAGGATCAAAGGTGTTCGAGGCTCACGCACCAGAGAGAAAGACAACCTGAAGATTGGCTTCTACACGCCGGATGAGGTGCAAAAAATTGAAGCGTACAAAGTCAATTTTTGCACTATGCATGGTATTTCCAGCATTTTGTTCGATGAGATGGTTCAGCATTCCGAGCGTGGCGGAAGCGGCGATTTCCCAGTCACCTCGGAAGTCATCACGAAAAGCGATTTTTGGAACGAGATCTACGCTCTTGTTCCGGACCGTGACCGTCGATCTGTGTACCGGTTCATGCGCCGACACTTCCAAGCATCGGCACAGAAAGCACATGACTGGTCTCAAGAACAAGATGAAGAGCTGATTGAGCTTCATGCGAAACACGGCGCGAAATGGGCCTACATTGGTAAGCTCATTGGGCGCAGTGATGACGATGTCACCCAGCGCTGGAAGAACAAGCTCGAGCACCAAGGTACAATGAAGCAAGGCGCGTGGTCGGAAGAGGAGACCAATATTTTCCTCAAAGCTGTGGAATCATCATGGATTACCATGAAGCAGATGCTTTCTGAAACGGCTGGTAAGGACTTCTACGAGCTGGATGAGCGCCTTGTTGTTTGGGGTAATATCAGCAAAGAGATGGGTCACACGAGATCGCGACAGCAGTGCGCAGACAAGTGGCGGAAGATTGTGAAGCAAGTCATGACCACGCGGGCCAATGGCCAGCCAGACGCGGTGTACGATCCCAAAGTTGCTGCGAGAAAATCTGCCAACTGGAACACCAGACTAGAGGGGCAAAGGAAGAGCTCCCAATACGTGAAAGAGGACTCTGATGATGAAGGCACGACAGCTACGAAAACTGCCACACCGAAGCGCAAACGCCAGCGTGAGACGGAAGCATCGCCTGTACCCGATCCCAATGCTGAATCTAACCACGAAGTGCCGTCTGAGGAAGATGAGGCCGACTTGCCTGAGCCTCCCAAGAAAGCCAAGAAGTCAAAGTCCAAGCGCAAGCGCACCGAAGAACTTGCTGCTGCACCGATAAACGAAGTCCCGTCATCTCCCGCTACTCCCAAAAAGACCAAAGAGGAGAGGAAGCGCGAGAAGAAGGAGCGTCGGGAGAAGGAGATGCAAGAGCAGCTCGAGCAAGAAGCTAAGGAGAAGGAGGAACGGGACGAAAAGGTCGCACGCAAGTCGCGCAAACAGAAGAAGAAGGAGGAGAAGCAAAAGAGACAAGAGGAAGAGGAAGACATTGCCGTGGAAGAGGCACCTAGTAGCGATGCCGAGGCCCCTGAGCCACCCAAGAAGAACAAGAAGAAGTCTAGGAAGCACGCACCGGGCTCTAGTGACAGCCCTGCCGCTTCTGCTGAGACCTCTCGTTCCGTTGTCGAAGCGTCCCCATCACCCGCATCCTCTGACGCTCATGGCTCTGCCACTGAACACGACGATGCTGACGACCAAAGCGAAATTGACTCGGACGGCGGAGAAAATGACAATAGCGAAGTCGACATCAAGCATGAGACTGACTCAGATGAGTTATGAGCTTTTCATTGAGCCAAGCTTTTGCCCTTTCCTTTTTTTCTTTCTCTCTTGATTTGACTGAATATACCCTTCTTTGCTAAGTTATCGACCCTTAGATAAAGGCGAGTGAGTAGTGGAAGAAAATATCCAAGAAAATAGAAAGAAGATCCACTATTCAATACAACAATTCAATGTAACAAATAGAACCGTAAATGCAATCGCTTTCTCTCTAATGTGACCCAATGGGCCAACTATAATTCATCTTTGCGGTCCTCGCCAGTCTGCGCAAACTCAACGCCAGCAGCAGCCTGCTCGCCAGCCACCCGACTAGCCAAAGCCGCAATCTCATCATCATAGACCGTCCACTCAGGAACCTGTCTCCTAGCCCTCTCCAACTTCGGCTCTTTGGTAAGAGGATTGTTACAAAGATCAATGGTCTTCGCCTGACCCAAATCCTCATCAGAGCACCAAGTCTCACACCAAAGCCACTCCTGCGGTAGACTATGGATGGGGATATGATGCTGCATATGATTCGGCAAGTCCTGGTCGAGATTGCTGAGACTGTTCGGATCCGAAGAGAGCATCTGGTACTGGCCGCGCAGACGGTCACCGGCAGCAAGCTCCCGGAAGCGGTTCAGGTCAACGACATATAATGCCGAAATGTGGTAGGGCTTGCCGCGAAGGAAGGTGGACCAGTAGCCCTGCTTCCAGAAGCGGAAGCCTTCCATGTCGGTTCGGGAGTCGCCCATCGGCGTGAAGCCGTAGGGAGCCTCGTGGAGGTCGTGAGTGACGAGCTCGTACATGTCCGTGCGAACGATCTGGTCCGCGTCCACGAAGATGACTTTGTCTAGAGACAGGGGGAAGAGGACGTCCAGGAAGAGGATCTTATATCCCCAGATCTCGCGTTGTTTTTCTTTCTGGGCGCGCAGCCAGTGCGGCCATTTGTATGTTACCATCTCGTAGGAGAAGCCGTATTCGCGGGCGAGGGAGGGGAGGAAGGCGCGGAAAGAGGGAGAGAGGAATTGCTCAATGAACCAGAACTTGACGGTGTGCTTGGTGTGCCGCATTACGGAGACCATCATGATGTTTAGCATGCGCTCGTAGAGATGTCCACTTGCCACGGAGAAGATGTTGATATCTGCGTGTTGCTCGCCTCCGCTCTTGGAGCCGACACCGACACTGGACAGGACATTGGATGCAAAGTTGAGTCCCTTAGCGAAATAGTCCATCTTCGAGCCTGGCTGGGCTCCTGTCTCTAGGACGTCGTCCTCCTCGTGGCCTGGCTTGCGCGATAAGCGAGGGAACAGGGTTCGCCCGTGGAAAGACAGCAAAGCAACCTCGTTGTTCTCGTCGCCAGGCTGCGGGCGGTATCCTAGACCACCAACGCTGTCAATGTTGAAGAGCTTCTCGCTACGGCCAGGCTTCAAATTGATCTGCCAGAGGCCTGGTTGCGCCTTGAACTGGAAGTATCCCAGATTAGCCATGATGATAGTATCGGCGAAATGACGGTTGTTTTCGGTGCCTAGAATGAGCTGAACGCCTCTGGGGGCAGCCTTCGTTGTAAGATCACGAGAATGGCCCTCAATCAGAATGTGCTCGAGGGCGTAGATGGCATCAACATCAGTGTCGGATTTAACCGAGCTTAGTTTAATGTTGTCCAAGTCATAAACTGATTCCTGGGGTGCTACAAGCCAAGACGACGGCACATCCATGCCCAGAGTCAGAAGTGCTTCAACTGGGACGCCCGTGAAAGATGCATGAGGCCGAGCCAAAGTCCCATCGTCTGTAAACGACGGCTCTGATTGCAAAACATAGCGATAGAATCGCTTGACCGGAAGCTCCGTAAGCCCTTCTTTCGGGTTCAAGAAAACCTTCAGCTGAACGCCGGAAAGTTCTGATAGGACCTTGAGGATTGGCAACCATCGCTGAGCAACCTCAGATGCCGGATCAAGGCTAACTGCAACGTTGATTGCGGGATCGTCGGAGTTTGAAACCATGATCACAGAGTGTTCGGTCCTCCACTTATCGGACACAGCCATTCTGAAGTCAGGAGTGTTTTCAACCATTCCCTCGGGGACATCTGAGATCGTAGAGAGGGCCACGAGCGAGGTCAATTTAGCGAAATCAAGTGGGTTTGAGATCTTAGCATCGAATCCGAGTTCGTCAGCAGCAGCTGCAACGGGATCGATGCGTCTCGCCCGCTCGTAAGCAATCAGTTGACTCAACTCGTTCACGGTCAATGGGTATTCCTTCTGGAGAGGGCCGACTACCCTTCCGTTAACAACAAGACCTTCGGTACCAGGCTTGAATCCAAGCTCCCCGACTAGATCCTCATGCAACGCTTGAACAGCAAAGATTTCTTGGCCTTTCATCTCTGTAATTTCATCATCATCGATATCCTTGGATACGACCTTAGCCAGTACTTGCCCAAGACTCTCGCCCTTCGCAAGCAAGTGACGGAGAGTCAAGTGGAAGCCGGGAAGAGGATCATCAGTATCATCTGCCGGATTGTGCAGTATCAAAATCTCCAGATCATCATTATCCTTCCGAAGATTGAGAACATCGGCGAGGAGTTTCAGACCCTCCTTGGTCTCAAAATCACCCACAGCAATCATATGAGCGCTTTCTAGAGCTGTTTTTCCCGAGGGAAGGCGAGGTATCTTGTTCGATGACTGTTCGTCCAAAGCAAGGATATGGGCAATATCCACAATCTTTACACCCTTGGGATCCTCGGGCATGAGGAGAAGATTGCGGCTTTCAAGTGCACCCATAAGGAAAAACTCCGGCAACCATGCGTCCTCCTCAAAAATGCCTTGCACAATGCTCCGCTGAATCAAATTCAAGTCTTTGCTGATCTGCATGCTCATGGCCTGCATCCAGTTGCCTTCGCGGGAGACTGGGAGACCATTCACCAAGAAGTGGGGTGCGTTGCCGGTTAGACTCAATCGGCGCTGGTAAGCAGACGTTTGAGAGACCAGGGCATTGTATTTCTCGCTTTTTAGGACCTGATCAAGAGATAAAGCTTCATGTTCGCCAACAATGTCGCGTTCCTTGATGGCAGACTGGAAACACGAGTTATCCGGTAGGCCTCTTTTGCCTTTCGAGGCATACTCTTCAAGATACTGCATGAAAGACTCCAGGCCATAGAAATTGAAAAGGTGATGTGCCACCTTCAGCTGTGCGATGGACTCCGGCGATGTACTAGTAGGTACCAAGCCAAATCTCACAGGAATTCCTCGCTTGATGAAGGTGTGCAAGTTTCCAGCGGCAATCATCATTTGTTCTGGGTCAGACAAGTCCATAGACACGATGACATTGTGTAGATCCCGGCGCACCGGGGGCAACTGCCCCGGGTAAGAGTTAGAAACGTACTAGAGACATGTTAGTTTTCATTCCAACAAGCATATTGAGGATGTACGAACCGCCTCAAGATCACTAGGCCAAGACTCGTATCTAGAATCCTTCTCCAGGTTGTTCAACCAGATAATGACCTGGTTTCCTTCTAAACTGTCCCGATAGTCATACCGTTGTTCCTCACCACCAGCCTGGGATTCAGTGAGAAGTCGGTGGCAGAGCAGTTTCACTGCATCATTTGCAGAAAGACCCAGGCCGCGGAACTTTTCGATTAGTTTCCTCTCGCGGCGGAGATGCTCTAGAAGTGAAAATGCATCAATCTGCTGTGTGTCCATTTGCACACCGTTGATCCACATGACATTGTAGCCACCCGGGAGCATTTTTAGCCGATTATGATGGATCTCCTGCGCCAGTTCTTCGGAGGCATCGTGGGCAGCAACGATCGACGAATACTTGGGGAAATTCTGGGACATCTTGATCAATGTCCCCAACGGATCAGCACTGTCCATTACGTAGCTCGCAGAATTTATGCCCAGACGGGCCACCTCGGAGGAAGAAAGAGGCTGGAGATCATCCGGGGCATCTTCTTTGATCTCATCGAGGTCAGTGGGGAGAATTTTGTCGCCTTGTTCCTCGAGCTGCTCGGCATCACGGTCATCAATCACTATATAATCCGTTCGCTTCAAAGCAAGTTCGACGCCATATCCAGAGACAAATAGAGAACGAGGAACCCAGTGTTGAGGAGGTCGGTAGCGCACACGATACGAAATTTGTCCCTGTTTGGCCATCTCACTTAGGATCTCATGGAAATCCCTGAACATTGGAGAGGAAATATCCGCATATAAAACGGCGGGAGGAAGCGACAAATCGCCCAGTACGCGATCAAATGGTAACTCTCTCGAGTCCCTGAGATACAAGCCCAATGTTAGCTATCAGAATACCTAGCCCACGGACAATAATTTACCCACATTTCTCCAACAACATCTTGCTGCGCGCGTTCCATTGCAGAAGAGCAATACTGCTTGCCTTCTGAATGTACCCAGACTGGACATACTGCATCTTGGGCAACCATCAACGACTGCTGAACCGAGGTGTTATAGAATTGGAAGTGTGTCTGAATGCGAGGAGCCAAAGACCGTATCGAAAGCGATAGCTTGAAAGACGAAAGACTTTCGGGAGTCTGCAGATGACCGTCATCTTGAACAACCGTCAAGAAGCGGTCGTAGAGCTCTTTCTCAGTTGTGAGCTCCTCGAAGGTGCCGTCGGCGATGCGATCCAACAAAGGAAAATAGGAGGTGGAGTTTTCTTCGGCCGCTGACTCCCTATATCGATGTTGTTAGCAATCTTATATCTCAGCAGACCTATTCCAGACAAAGAACCGCTCAATGTGCAACATACAAGAGCTCGACAAGGTATGGTGCCGAGTCAAAGGAGGCTTGGAGCGCCACGTTCACAGCCGGACTGGCGTTGGCGATCAAGCCTGGTAGCAGGACTCCAACACCAGCATACCAGAGCCAGGAGCTGTGAAGTCCCGCAGAGACCCTCATTGTCACGCTATGTAGGGTGGAAACGCGGTTGTGTATATGTCTATGGTGGTGTAGGGGATAGCCCCGTTTTGGGCGGTTCTTATGTGATGTGAGATATGTGATATCTAATTAGCAAACATGCAGTTCAGTCCGTGGTAAGCATCACGGGCCAAATGAGCCAAAGCTCTCAACAAAGACAGTAATAAGATCAATGAATCGACTGATCTGGACACTTGGAGGGTTTCATTATCTTATCGCAGCTTCTACGGTGGACTAAGCGGCAACTACCGCAATCTCCGGGGTTTGTGCTGGCTACTCTACTCCGTGCTTAGCCTAATGGTAATCACAAAATCTTACATGAATTTACTAGATAGTAGTAGGGAAAATTGAAAAGATTGAAAAAAAGAGAATAATTTTGAGTTCCCAAATACAGGGAAGTGTGCGCTATCATCAAGGACATTAGTCGTAATAAACACCCCCATATGCTTCCTTTCGAACGCCATTTGTTCCAAAACAAACAAGGTAGATTCCATATGCAGCCCGGCTGGCTCTGTGCAATGGAGGCCTGGGACATTGGCAAATTTGGGAGCGATTGCTCCCACTGGGTCATGTGCTTGCAGGGGGGAGGCTGCAGCGAGTATCATAGGCAGTATGAACGATTGAGATGAAAAGAAATCAAGGATAAATGCTGGGAGGGCGTTCAGTCTCCCTTGGTGGCTTTTAGGTTGTGTCTTTTTTTTGGTTGTTTTTCTCGGCGACAGTTTTGCTTTGTATGCAGAAGTCGCAAGACGTTGTGCTCAAATGGCCACGCCAATGGGTTGAGTGGCTTCAATCTCGTTTTCCATAGCTGCCTTGCGAGAATGGGCTTCATGGATCATTCGAAGACGCTTCTCCTCGGTCAGGTCAAACGAGAACTTTTTGGTAAAGAGGCCGGAGCTCTTCGTGCTGCTCAAATCTTTGCAAGACTGCATCTTCTTCAGACTGCGCGTAGCTTCCTTTTGCTGTTCTTTCTTAGGATCCTTATCCCGCTTCTTCCATGCCAAGGCAAATCGGTCTAGGAACGAGCCGTGCTTGCTGGTGTTGTGACTCATCTCTGGGAAATGAGGAAGAGGCTTTTCAGCTTCCAGGGAATGGGAGCTGGCAGGACGGGGTCCGAAGCTGATGCCAGAGTCGGTGCGGCGCTGTGCACCGGACTTTCCAACCTGGCAAGGCTCATTGATCAAAGTGCACTCATCGATCATATCCAGGACGGCGGTCAGATATCGGTCGATGGTGTCGTACAGTGCGGGCCATCCGTTCTCATCGCCAGGTCGAGCTCCTTGCATTATGATAGGATCAAGGATAGTAGGATTGGCCTCGTAAGTGGTGATAAATTTGAAGAAAGTATCACGATGATGTTCGAGAGTTACTGTCGATAACTGCTGAGTCGGAGTGGGGCTATCGCGATGAACTGGGGGCAAAAGAGTGTTGAGAAGAGCGAGACAATTGGCTTTGTTGAATGGCTCCAGCATCATCTCATTGACAAGCACCTGTTGAAAGAGATAAGTGTTAGTTCCAGAAATAGCAATTTGAGGCTCGAGATTCAACTTACCCAGCGGCGCAAGCCTACATAGACCTGAGTGTACATAAAATCGATCATGCGTGCCTTTTGGCTGGTAGTCTTGTACCACTCCAACACATTGGGATAGTTGCGAGCCAGTTCTGAGTTGTGAGGATCACTGGCATCCTGAGAAGTGACATTGAGTCGGCGGAAGGCAGCATCAATCTCCTTTTTCCAGCGGCATTGGAGATCTTTGGTGTAGTCAAGAGCAGTCAAAGCCTGTGCAAAGTCGACTTCGGATAGTTCCAAACAAAAGCAACGACGGACGAAAGAGATTATAAAACTCGGTGGAAGTGAGCAAGGTTGAGAAGGCAACTCGGAAACAGTCCTCGTCAAACAAGCACGGAAATCGGCATTGGTATCATATTCAGGAGAGTCGGAAGAACAGGAAGACTTGGAGTTTCGAGAATTCTTGGACCAGACAGAATTGCGGGATGAAAAGATGGATGACGACCGAGGCACAGATGCGGTACCCATTGCACTCTGCACCGGATGGCTATTGAGTTCGTATGCAGCACGGAGGGAAATCTCGTACTGGTCGGCGTAACGCAAGCAATGATCGAAGATCCAAGTCAATCCTGCCCCATCGGGAGCATCCAATGTGTCAAAACGGTCGTCGGAAGACATGCTATGGATATTTCAAGGAATGTATTATCGAAGTTGTTGTGTCACGAGAAAGAGTGGTCGGAGTGGAAGTGTAAAGAAGGTAGCGATGAAAAGAAAACAGTGCGATTCCAGTGGCCAGAGAGCAGTAGTTATGGCCACCCAAAAATCACCAGTTGAGTCGTCGCGGCTGGGATAGCTCAGAAACCGTCAAGGGGCAAGAGCTGATAGGCCCAAAGGGGAATAGAAGGCTGATGGATAAGCCCCGGTTGGTTGGAGCACCTGGACCGTACTTTGAGTCACCCAAGGAGGTCAACAAAGAGGGCAATAAAGCTTTCGCGGCTGGTAGATGCTTTTCGCTGGGGTATCCCTTGAGCAGCAAGACCAATCACGATTTAGGATCTCTCGGATCTCCTGCACGCCAGATCTGATGTATGCAAAAAGACGCAAAAAGCGGCTGCACAGGGTGGTTTCCGAACGCTGAAACGTGAGACACGTCTTAAACCCTTTTGAGGGTGGAGTATGGAGTAGAGAACGTAGAATAGATAGCGTGGCAACAATTGAGAAATGATAGACAAAAGCGACTGTAAACGCGACTGTAAAAGCGAATGAGGAGAAATGAGGACTGAGAATACTGGCGGGGGAATGAGTCTCATACAAAAAGGCACCGCCGTGCCTAGGCCATTCGGACGGTGGGGACGTGACTCGAACGCGAAAAGGCGAAAAACAAAACCAATAATTTAATTAATTTCAAATCAATTTAATTAACGCGCCCCCCCCTCTCTTTCCGAGTCCAGATCCATGGATTTCTGCTTTTTAAGGCCACTCCACCTGCACCGACCCGCCGGAAGATGTCATTAGCCCCGATTCGTGTGAACTGGCAATGGCTTCAGGGCCGTTGGTGCTATCTCGGCCCCACTCCATGTGACACGCCTTTCCCCTTCAGGGAGGTTCTAAGCCCAAAAAGTGAATTGACAGCTGTGATTGGAGCAACCAGCCCCCGTACCTTTCCGCTCAAACTGAGACTAGAGCTGCCTTGCATTTAAGGCTACAGTACGGAGTAAGCACACGCGGAACCCTACATCGTGACCGGGACCTGGGAGAGCCGTTAAAAAAAAAAAGTTTGGTCCTATCACATTTACAGTGTGGGATGTTTCCTGCAGAACCGGATTGCATTTGCAGCAGCTAGGAGACCCATCTCAGCTACAATATACTCCGTACCTTTAGCTTGTGCTGTACTGTTTACAACTGTGCATAATTTTTTTTCTCTTTTTTAATTGTGGCGCATGTGGCCACGTACTTTGGTGTTCGCCCCCGGATAAAAATTCAAACCCGTCAATAACGAGAGGCAATCCCACCAAGACATGAACTATCACACACTATCTATTTCAAGGAACAAAGAATGGATCCTTAACGGTGTATGGGGCAGTTCGTATAGTGTCATACATACGGAGTATACAGATGTGTATTAATTGATCCAAATTAATTATCCCTATGACATAGATCCGATTACTCCGTGCTCCGTACTCCGTACGATTATACTCGCTTCGATCTACCTGTGGGGTGCCTATAACCGACGTACGCAATATCCCCAGTTATGAAACCACCATGACCGGATTACTGGGTCCAGGCAGAAAACGAGCCCGTCAGAGCAGTCACACGGGATTCAACATAGAAAAGCAAACTTGATATGCAAAATACCTATCCACCATATGGCATACATACTTTATACACGTGTGGTCATCCTCCAGGCTCAAAAAGATCAATCATACCAAGGCCAATGGCAGATCAATACATGTAGACAAACCGTATTGGAGATCCCAACCCCGGTTCCACATGTGTCTACTGTCCCATCTTCCAAGAGCTCCTCCAAGGTTCCATGGTTTTGTAATCGGCCGTCCAGTCGGATGGACCGCTCGTTATGCCCTAGTTGCCTGAGGCAGGTACAAACTTCGGGTTCTTTGTCTTCTCGGCGATAGGTCACTTTATCTACTCCGTACATCCTTTCCGGTTCATTTTTAAAGTTGTTTGGCTTGACATTACCTGACATACTCAAAATTAAGGATGAAGGATCAAACAAGCAAATGTCCGCCTCCGTGGGCAAACAAAAGAAAATCAACGTTGATCGACATGTCTGTCGATTCCGGGACCCTTTGACCTTCCCAAAGTAGTTTGGTGTGTATCACCTGACCGGCTCTCAGCTCGAGGAGCATGTCGATCCCTCGAGTCCAGACGCCATGATCATCACGCCTTTGCTTGCATGGAGTACGTTGGATTATGCGTCAATCAGCCTCAGGGGAAACGTAGATCTTTGGAGCGTTCTCGTGATTACCATTTCATCAATGCCGATAATTGTGACATGGAATCTTGTTTACAGCAACTACCAACGAATTGAGTAAGCACTTGGGCCTTTTTCTCGCGCTTGGATCCTGAGGGGATGCAAATGCTGTCTTCCAGAGCTTTGGTCAACTATTTGTTCTATATCAAACAATCCAGCTTCGACTACGGAGTACTCCGTACACATTACATATGACAGTCAAGACCCCTATCATTTGGGCCAGTCCTCCACCACTCACTAGGTAGGTACGCACTTTGAGGAAAATGAGAGGAAACACAAAAGAAGATCCATGGAAACACATTTGGAGGAGGGTGGGGGGAGGGGGAGTGGATTGAAACGCTGCCCAAAGGAACCCGTTAGGTAGCTTTTCGTTCATATCTACTCCGTACTCTCCGTATATTCTCCACTTTCATCAAGACAGAACACCCCTTACAGAGTATTCCGTACAGAGTACATACAACATACAACATACAACATACAGACTTGATACTCCAGCGCTGATTGTATTCCGTAGGTCCTGTCTGCCTCCTTAACCGAACAGATCCCCTAGTAATCATACTCTGTGTGAGATATGGTGGTCGGAGTACTCGGTCAGATATCCACGAAAGCTGGGAATCTGTCATAGTTATCCCAATCCACTCCGTATTCCTGCAAGTCTCGTCACTGTGTCAAGGCGCAAATCCTTCAGCCTAGCATTCCTGTTTAGCACCACTTTTTGTTCGCCGAAGGCAAGTTGCCGATGCCGGTGCTACATAGGGCTCCGCAGTCGACAGAGAACGCGCTCGGGCCTAGAAATGCTACGTATATCAAAAGGAACTCCGGTGAATCCCGGATGATGATCGTGTCTGTCTTCCGTCTTCCGTACCGGGGCAAGCCTTGCCAAACATCAATCGCTGCTCGGCACGGAGTACTCCGTACCGAGTACTATGTTCTGGTCCCTGGTGACAAGCTTTCTGGTATCAATTCTATCGATACATACATATTCGCTGGACTGGGACCTGGTGACGGTATTGATTGATATGGCGGTACAAAGGTCCTTTCTACCAGTCTATAGGGTATGAGGGAATTATGGATGGACTGCAACTTTGACCGTCCAGTCACAGCGGCTACCTACATGCAGATAGGTAGATAGGTACGAGGCACGGAGTACTTTAGTAGAAATCTATGTATATGGCAACTTTCATATTCATCACAACAAAACTCGCTTGGACAGTAAACACACTGAATATAGTCGTCGGACCATCTCCTCTGCATGGGCTCATGGTCGTCCTCTCTAATCTTGTTTCTTGTATATACCTATTCTGAGATTTCGAGCCTAATAATCTATCTTTTCCGGCGGAGAACTCCCTCAGTCTCTTCGCCTGGAGGAAAATATGGTGAACAAGTTCCTAAATCACCTCATCGTGACAGGACCTAACCACCATGATTGGCCTATATCCATTAGATCAAGAGTGAATATCTGGAAGGGACAAAAAAATAGAAGAGGCATTTGATAGGAAATGAGGTATAGGAAATGCCCCTGTAGGATTGCCCAGGTGAGTCCAGCTCGCTCCTGGAAAGGAAAAAAAATAAAAAATGATTGAGCGACGCAGGGATCGAACCTGCAATCTCTTGAGCCGAAATCAAGCGCCTTACCATTAGGCCAGCCGCCCTATAGATGACAGATTATCTCCCCTTACACATTGGGTAGTGAAAACAAATCCATCAGGGGCGCAAGGCGACCTTACATAGGTTATCGAAGCCCCCGCCTGGCAGAAAAAGGCAGACGATAAGACGCGCTGCTTCAATAGTTTGACTCTCATTTCACAGCTTTTCAGTATTCAACACCACAGCCATGACGAAGGGGCCACTGGAGAAGAAGCTCAAATTCGAGAAGAACGAGAATCTGAAAAGGCTCCCCAATTGTAAATATTTGCACCTGAATGCTTGGCGCCAATAGGCACTGTTAGGAAACAAAGATCGAAAGCGCTAATCACTGTATGACAGATGCCAAAATTGAGAAGCGCCCCATACCCCATGCGCCAGTTGCTTCCCCATATGTTGGTGCCTCGGTGCCCAAGGTTGTCTACGTCTCGAGGACCACCCCGTTCATGAGTGCCGTCAAGCGCACCCAGAAACTCCTCCTGCAAGCCGAGAAGCGCGCTACTGCAAACATTAACCTGGAGGACACGCGCAAGACCGACAAACAAATACTCGATGAGCTGTCTAAGGTGTCAGAGAAGCGAGAGGAAGTGTTCGTGAAGGCGACAGGACGGGCAATCGAGAAGGCGCTGAACGTAGCCAAATGGTTCGAGGAAAGGCCGACTGAATATGCAGTCCGCGTGAATACCGGAAGTGTCGTTGTCGTGGATGACATCGTTCAGGACGAGGAAACGAAAGAAAAGGAGGAACGAAAGCGACAACAGCAGGAAGAGCAACACCCTACCAGCCAAGAAGATGCGGCTTCCAAGCCAGAATCGAAGTCAGCTACAAAGAAGAGGAAAGATCGCGCCACTGCAGAGGATGATGATGGGGAACTCCCCGAAAGCCGGACAAGGTGGATCAGAATGGTTGAGATCGCTGTCAGCCTAAAGTGAAATTCCTACAACAGCACCGACAAAGCCTACGAATGTCGACCAGCCAATTACCCGACAGTGACCTGCTGAGCTGAAGCAGTTGGCCTACACAAATGCACATCCGGAACCGAGAAGGAATCATTGTCATACACCTCTAACCTCCCAAGTGCCAACGAGGACATCAATTACATGCATATCCTACTGCGTGATCACAATTCACCAGAAATGCCCATCGTGGCTATGTACGACTCAGCAAACCCAGCTCAGAGGCCTTTCTATCTTGAATACATCCTTCGACGGAATGCTGGTGCGGTCAATCTCAACTAGAGCCCAGATCTAGGCATGTGGCCTTGCCACCCTTCATCGAATGCAAACACACAGTGTACGATGTTCCACCAGTGTCATAAACACAATACCGAGATCAGAGAGGATCAAGAAGCATACAAAGAAGAACAACTCGTTTGTCCTTTGGTTTTAGCCACGAACGAAATCATGTACATCGAGATTATTCTCAAGAAATAGAATCTGGTTTAGCCAAAATGCATGCTCCATCCCAAACTCAAAAACATCCCAATGCGCTATAAAAAAAATTACGATACGGGAAAGACGTCCACGAAAAGGTAAGAGACAACAGAACCAAAGGGTAACAATGCTAGGTACTCCAATCAATAGAAGCTTAAGAGAGAAAGCATGAATCATCGGATCTGCCAGCGGGAACCAAATGGCATGAATAAAATAAAATAGCACTAATAAAACTCCTTAATACGCTCAGTGTCCTGTACTGACATGACACGATGAATGAAAATGCCCGAGAACCATTCGTCAAACGAGTTTGAGAAAGGGGCTGCAAAGCATGAACGTATCCTTGATTTCCCCATCATGTACAGACAAAAGAGAAAGAGAGATGCCGATTCTTGAAAGAGGGCGACAGACTAATAGTAACATAGTAGTAGGAGGTAGAAGAAGAGTGACGAGAAAGGAGATGGTATGAAAGAGGGGGAGGAACGGACGTCGAGGAAGACGACCAAGAAGAAGATCCCTGTTGGAATCTTAGGAAAGTCATCAAAGGTTCGTGAAGAGATAAGAGAGACAGTGTGAGCTAAACGAACAGGGCTCTGAATATGAAGGCAAGGATTATCTTCAACTGAGAGAACAAAAAACGACCAGGACATTCATCCATCGCCAGAGAGTCGTGACTGGCGGAAAGTGAAATCCGATGAGAAGGGCAGTAGAGGAAATCAAGCAATGCAAAAGGCCTATGCAATAGAAATAGCCGTCAAAAGAACACCAGACACCAGAAAGAGCACAAGAGGCCAAGCTGGTTTATTTGTCCATCTTTTGCCAACCGTTGAGATAGGCCATCAGGCCTACTCCTAATAAGACCACGCCAAACATAGAGGCATAAGGACTTGCCTCTTCCACATAGTTGTATCGATGGCATTGTGTTGCAAACGTTGTGCTCGCAGCATCGATGTCTTTATTCTGCGAAGCGGCTGTATCAATGCTCTGCATCGATGAAGGCTTCGTCTTGGAATCCGCTGGGATACCAGCGCTCGCAAGCGAGTGTTCCGACGAGTCATTGCTTGGTTCAGAATCATGCCTATCAATTTTCTTATTAAGGGCCGCCAGTGATTCCTTCTCGGCGCGCTCCTGACGCAGAGTTTCGACCATTTCAGCCAATGACTTGCGAGACTGGGTGGTCTCATCCTCAGCCTTCTCCGCACGATCTCTGAAGGATACCATTTGATTTCTCATCTCTGCCATTTCTTCCATCATAATATCCAGGCGGTTTTGAAGCTCAGTAGACTTGTCTTCCACAGGAGGCTCTGTCTGGCTATCATCGGAAATAGAAGTCTCAGGATGAATGCCGTTGACCTGCACGGTAACTTCTGCACTGTCCTGCTCATTCTCGTGAACACCGTTCTCTGAAGGTGGATCAATGTCATCATCGGCTTTGACTTCTTCGGCAACTGATGCGGAGTGCATCTCCAGTTCATTCACTTTTTCTTCTGCCAGTTTTCTAGCAGCTTGCTCCTGGAACAGCATGATCTCTAGTTCCTTGACACGAGTTCCTTGAGTTTCGATTTCTCGCTTGGCAGAGGAAAGCGCCTCAATGAGGTTCAAGATTTGACTGGAATCACGGGAAACGGGTGAACCAGTACCACTTTTCGGCTTCTCCGTATCGCTACGCTTCAAAGACGAGAATGATTCCGGGGCACTTCGTGGCAACGCATCCGGTTTCTCCGGTAGGGGCTGTTGAGGAGGAGGTGCAGGAGGATCGGAAAATCTTGAAAAAGAGTCGACTCGAGGCATTTTAGGCCGGCCATTCATCTGCCGATGAGCACTACTCTCCAAAGGAGAAGGTTTCGCAAGCTTTTCTTTCTCTGCATAGCCTGGCTTCATGATTGTCGACAAAAATTCGTCGGTTTGAGAAAGATCTGTCGTCTGTTGTTTTGCGGATTTCAGTTCGCCCTAGAACCAGTTAGCAAGACGTGGTGGCAATATGAACTGCAATCCATACCGTGAGTCGCTTGACAACCTGCTCAATGGAGATTGGGGAATTCCAGTAGTTCATCTGCCGTTGTTGATGTAAAGCATTAAGTTGAGTGCTAGCAACACTCTGGACACTTCGGCTACTCGCATTGCTGCCGGTTCGCCCGCGCATATGGGAGAGTGGTTGGCTCAAAGGCGAAGGAAGAAGTCCACCTCCAGAGGCGGGATCCAAGTCTCCGAAGTTAAGATCAAGAATATTAGGAGTCGTCCCATAGGTTCCGGCATGTTCAACCTTAGAGGAGACTTTGTGATGGACAATGGTAGATTGGTCCTCGCTAACAATATCAATACCTAGCTCGAGCGTATCGCCTTCTCGTAGTTCGTGTGGCTCCGACTCACGGTTCTCAGGCGACAATCGGTGGCCATTCACGAATGTGCCGTTTGAAGATTTGACATCTCGAATCCAGACTTTACCAGACTTATCGGCCCATATTTCAGCATGTTGCCGAGAGAGAACCTTCGAGTCAAAGAACCCATTGAGAGGCGTAGGCACGGTTTTGGCATTTGTTTGTCGCCCGATTCGCAGGACATCGGGATAGTGTGGCACATTGATTTGTTTCCTATCAAAAGTTCCATTCATTGGCAACAGAATCAAGATTGCGGGGTTGTCAGGAGGTTGTCCGTTGGGCATACGGACGCCATTTTGTTGCGGGGGTTGCGGCATCTGCTGCGATGGGACGATGTTTGAAGGCTGGTGCATTGCGGACATCGTCGAGGATGCGCTCGGGCCCGATGAGAAAGCAGAGACTGCCTGCGATCGCGTGTTTGTTACCCCAGATACCGGCTCAGACTTCGAGCTGGGCCAGATGTTCTTTGGAGGCTTCTTTTTTGCTGATGACCAAGTTCCTGATTCACCGATGGGACCTTGCGCGGCATGGGTATCTTGTGGAGAAGCAGTCACGGTGGATGTAGATGAGATCGAAGAGTTGGACCCTAGGGAGGAAGAGGAGTTCGAACGTTGAACTTGTTTCCGTGGCATAAACATCCGTGACACGTCGTCCGCGTTCACTGAAGACAAAGCTCCTTGTCCTCCGTTACCAGAGCTGTACCATCCCAAGCGAGACCCCGATTCAACACTAGGTGGTGATGCCACAGCAGTCATGGAGAAGGATGCGAACAATTCGAAAAAATGAAACGTCTAGATAGTACACAGAGCACGTCCACGATTGCGAATTGAAAAAGGGGGCCGTATTCTGAGGAGATCTGGAGGATAAAAAGACAGCGTCTACTGAAATCGATTTATGCTCGAAAGTTAGGGATATTCAATCGCGCAAGGGTGATTGAAGCCTCAGTCGCCCGACTAAAATCAGGACGGTCGCATTAGTACGGTTTAGGGAGAGACAGATGGATTGGCCCCTTGGGGGAGGTCTTACCTCGACCCCACAAAAGCAGATTATAAGGATCGGATAACAAGCTTACTTCTGAAACGTGAACTGAGAGATATTTGGAAGCGTTATAAAATAAGTGCTCCGAGGCCAAGGAGGTGAGTGAACCGGGACCGTGGGCGACCGATCTCACGCCAGGGCAATGATAGAAGCACGAGACGGGAGTACCGCCTCGGCGCAGGCTTTATGCAGCCCTTTGAAAGATGTAACAAAAAAAGAGAAATCAAAGATCGGGGATAGTTGCCATGAGAGGACCCGGGCAGGAGCGCAAGAGGGCCGACCGTTTCCTACTCCCTTCACGCCGCCAGGCAAAACAGGTCACGTGACCTATTGGCACGTGTGCAGTTCGCAACCGTTATCTGATCACGTGACTGAGGCGGAGAAGCATCAAGCTGGGGAGGAAAAAGAGCTCATTCCTAAACTGTCACATCAAAATCTCGCGTTTAGCTCCGAGCTGCTGCTTGTCATCTTTCTTAATCCCACAAATCTCTTTCCCGATTTCAATAATGCCTGTGGTTGCTGGTCCTCCTGCCCAAGCGGGCCCAGGGGGTGCGCCCTCTACCTTTGACAAGAGTATGTCATATCCAACCCACTTGCGCCGCAGTATAGATCACCTCAGCTAGTGTTCCTATTGCCTCTTGTGCTCTCCATATATGAAAGAAATCAGCTGACTTAATTCTAGTGAAAATGGGCTGCATGATGGGTTCCAGTATGTGATTGCAATCCAAATCATTCCTATTGACGAGGAGTTCTTGCTAACATAGCTCCTCCCTCAGCCGTTGGTGGCATCATGGGTTTCATTATTGGTTTGTCATCTCTTTAATCCCTCCCCAAAGTTGACTCAAACGCTGACTCGAAGTAGGTACCGTGACCATTTTCCAGTACGGCGCTGGTCCCAACGGTGTCATGCGGACTCTGGGCAAGTACATGCTGGGTTCAGGTGCCACTTTCGGGTATGGTTGAGTCAATGATCTTGGAATTATATTGTTCTCTGTTGAGAAACCTTGGCTAATCAACCTTCAAACAGACTCTTCATGTCCGTTGGTAGCGTCATCCGCAACGAAGGACCCGTCAACGATGCCTGGCTCCGTGCCCGCGGACCCCCAATGATGCTCCCCCGAGCCACCCCCTCCGGCCAACCAGCCAGTAAACTCAACTTTCTCGCAGTCTCAAGACTGTACTCGGGAAACATGCGACATGACCAATCCCTGGCGACGTCCCCTTGTACGATATAATCTCTATGATTAAGAGATAATTTTTTTTTTCTGGTAGTCTCAAGAGACAGGAGACTACCTCAGATGGTTATACGGACGGGTTCATGGGTACTTGCTACTTCAGCACGCAATGTACATAATCTAGCAGTGCCCAGAACACGTTGAAGTTCAATCGTCTTAGTTGTGTCAACAATATTAGGCGTTCTTATGGAATTATATCCCTTTTTTACCCACTTCCACAGATCAGTCCTACCTTTGATCAAAATTTTCTATGTGAGGAACGAGGTCACTTACAGAAGCCTTATTGGAGACCTCAAGGCACTCTTCTAGCTTAAACAGAGGCTAAGCCGCCTAAGTGAGTACCATTAGGCATAGCCTAGTTTTGCTATGGCATGAGTTACTTGAGATATGGAGTGATGTTTGACGTGCGGGCAAGGACATAGTTACTTCTCAACATTGCATGTTCACACGGATCTTATTGTGCGATGTGTCTACTCCGTATCGCTTTCATACCTATGTTGAATGTCCAGCCATTTGCTAACCGAGCTGACAATAAAGTTCCGAGTCTGATATCTCATGACCAAACAGGCAAGTTTTGTCTGTCCTGGTTCACATACAAGTTGAAATCCGGGGTTAACCCCAAACGTATTGCGCTGACAATGCGGCTCAAGTCTCGTATTAACCTTGTGGAGCTACTAGGGACACTTATTTGTAATGACCATCCCAACTATTCTGCCTAAAACAATGTGATGATGCCGGTCTTAGAGCCCCACGGAATTTGATGGCTCGGGCATCTCCATAAGCTTGCAACTCGCCACCGAACATGTACAGAGTGGTCTATTTCTGTTTTTCTCCATCTGCCCTCCGGTGAATCCCGAAATCAGATGCAGAGTTCGATATTGGATTGATGTTCCAGCCGCTATCTCGGGGACTCCAAGTGGCAATCCCAGTCAGCTTATTTAATCCACGAGCGCTCTTCGGTTTAGTATATGCAGGTATGCAGAGTAATCCGTTCTTCTTAGTCCTAAATACCAAATCACTATGAATGGTATATGCAGGTTGTAGCTGTCAGTTGTACCAGCACACGCAGTATCGAAGGTGACTGAATGCCAGTGTACTGCGTAGTGTACGATACGGTCGCGATATGAAAGGAATGTGGGCACATATGATAGAGAAGGAGAAGACGGAGCAATAAATAATAGAATGAGATTTTACCCAGGTATTTCCCCAAAACAAGCCACTTGAAAACACAGCCCCTGTACGATGTACTTTCAAGGGTGTGGTTGATGCTCACCACTCAAAGTGCTCAATTGCAACAACCCACCGTATACACCAATGTAGACGGCTGGATTTCAGTTTGATCTGCAGTTACGCAGCAATGAAGTTCTTTCCATTTCTGGCCTAGACTCTAAGGTCATAGCCCGGTCTGTCCTTTAGATGGCACCGGGATACCCTTCGTTCTCCCAGCCCCCTTGACGCGGTACTTTGTCGGACCGCAGAGTTGCGTGTGATTGCTGTGCTCATGTCCAATGGGAAGTTGCTGAGGCGGATAACAAGGTTTCCTAAGGCTTGATAGAACTGAGGCTCAAATCTGGGGTATATAAGAGCAAGCACTGCTAGGGGGGCTTCCAACAGAGCCTCCCTTGTCCCACCTCCCATCATGGCTACACAGCTGGCCTTTCAAGCTCTTCATTACAGCTGTACTTTGGTCGTCAGTCTTTACATTGTACTTTGTGTTTTGTTCAATCGTCTTCCGGCAAAGAAAAGGCAAAACGCTCGTTCTAAGCGCCGAACTCGATATCGAACAATCTTGACTATACTGATCATTTTCACATATGTCAGTCAAACGATTTTGGGCCTCGCCACAAATGACTTGGATCGTTCCCAGCCTTTTCTTGTGCATATGACCTCTCAGGCTGTTACCTGGTCTGTGTTATGGCTCCGGCAACAACCCCCTTCTCAGTATGAAGTGGCTGGAGCTGCTTTGGTCACCGCTGGTTTCGAAGTTCCACTCCTTGCGCTCTCCTTGGTTTCTAGACCGACACAATGGGCACCAATCACACAAATCACCATCTTGGTGGTTCGGCTGCCCTTGTTTGTCTTTTTGATCGCTGCCTTTCTCTTCGAAACTAGACAGAGGAAGAAAAGGATAGCGGAGGAGTCACGCCCTTTCCTTAATGGTAATCACACAAGATATGGCGCGGTAAATGCCAACGATTCGGATAATAGCACGGTGCAGTCTGAAAGTGAGAGCGAATCGGACACCGGCAAAAGCAAGAACGATGCAGCGGCGCGCAAAAAAAGGCTCCGCAATGGGAAGCTGCAGACGCTGGGCGGTTGGTGGGACTATCTGAAGGGCTTCTCGATTTTCCTACCCTATTTGGTTCCCAGAAATAATCGCAAAGTACAGCTTTGTATTGCAGCAAACGTCTTCTGTTTAGTATGCCATCGAGTTCTGAATATTCTCATTCCTCAGCAACTGGCGGATGTCACTGACAGCATCTTTGCGAACAAAGCCCCGTATGGCTCACTCGGAAAATGGGCCCTGCTGCAACTCATCCGTGGTGGAGCTGGCCTAGGATTGATTGAGTCTCTCGTCAAAATTCCGATCAGGCAATTCTCATACCGTCAAATCACCAATGCTGCTTTCAGTCATGTCATGAACTTATCAATGGACTTTCATATCGAGAATGACTCGGCGGAGGTTATGAAGTCGATCGACCAGGGTGGAGCTCTGAACAATCTCTTAGAAGTTGCCATTTTAGATATTACCCCGACAATAGTCGACCTGGCTATTGCATGTGTTGTCTTTTATTTGAAGTTCAATGCCTACGCCTCCCTTTTGGTGGTGGTGGCAGCTATTCTTTATGTCTCGGTAGAGGTGTTCACCTCGAACTGGAACATGGATTCCAGACGTGACGTTACGCAAACGCAGCGGAATGAAGCTCGTATCATGCACCAGGCTGTGCAGAGCTGGCAGACAGTCACATACTTCAACCAGTTCTCCTACGAGAGATCTCGTTTTGGAGAAGCAGTTGATCTATGTTTGAGAGCAAGTGCCCGGTTTGGCCGGCGCCGAGCAATCGGCAAGTCTCTCATGGACTTACTGAAGCCACTTTGCTTCGTCGGACTCTCCTCGTTGATTGTACATGAGATTTCCGTGGGACGGTCCTCTACAGGCGATTTTGTTTTCTTCATTCAATATTGGACTTCTCTCATTTCTCCCCTGGCTTATCTCTCTGCGCAATATCGCTGGCTTGTCTCTGATTTGGTTGATGCCGAGCGCCTACTTTTCCTATTTCAATCTAAGCCTAGCGTCACTGAAAAGGAGAATGCCTTGCCACTGAAATCAGGCAATGGTCGTGTTACGTTCAATCATGTGAATTTTGCTTATGACTCTCGCCTAAGAACCCTCAGTGATGTGGATATATCTATTGATCCCGGTACAACGGTTGCACTGGTTGGAATGACCGGTTCAGGAAAGACCACAATCCTTAGACTTCTTCTTCGGCTGTACGACGTGACGTCGGGTCGAATTGAGATTGACGGTCAGGACATTCGTGACATAACGCTCAGTTCGCTACGTCAGAATATCGGGGTTGTCCCACAAGACCCGGTCCTATTCAATGCATCTATCATTGAAAACCTACGCTATGCGCGGCCCTCAGCTTCGGATGAAGAGGTCCACGATGCATGCCGCGCGGCGGCTATCCACGAAAAGATTCTCACTTTCGTGGAAGGATATAATACCACCGTTGGAGAACAGGGCGTCAAATTGTCTGGCGGTGAACTCCAACGGATAGCTATTGCACGGGTCTTCCTCAAGAGATCACCGATCCTTCTGCTGGATGAAGCAACGAGCGCTGTAGACTCGAATACGGAATCAGATATACAAATTGCGTTAGATCGGTTGAGAGCTAAGCGAACTACATTTGTCATTGCGCACCGGCTTTCTACTATCTCCGGTGCAGATCGCATCCTTGTTGTTCATGAAGGGCAGATTGTGGAAAGTGGGTCACACCAAGAATTGTTGAAGAAAGAGGGTGGAAGGTATCAAAATCTCTGGCAAAATCAGCTCGGGGGCAGTAATAGTGGAACACCTGCAATGTAGGCTAGATTACTAGAAACATACAGAAGGGGAAGACTCGAGATAACTTAAGTAATGCAACTAATGAATTTGACATACTTGACCTTACAACGCCATCTTTTCAACCCACAATATATAAGAGCTTAACACAATGCACCACGGATCAAGCGTGGTATATTTTCGCCTGCATTACAAAGATGCAAGGTTTCCTTGATGATTTGGAGGAATCTATCCATCACAGCTATGAATATTGTTCCAATCAATTCACTTCTTGAATTCGAGTCCCTTCTCTTTTAAGCTAAGAACAGTCCGCGATACGGAGTAGAGTGTTCAACAAAATGTTCGGTGTGAGATATATAATTCATCCCAACAGGCAATACGCAGAAAGAAGATAGTGATCCTCTGGTTCTTAATAATGTGAGTGTGGTAGTCATATTTATATAAACAAGCCAGCGTCATAGAAAACAAGGTATATCCATTTGTAATGCGTTCAACCTTGAATGTGAACATTGTCAAGTACGATATCTAGCCCAATGAGGACAACATACGGCATATATATGAGTGATATACGTTTATATTTTATCCTTGTGGCTCAAAAAAAGATCCGCAAGCAATATTATAATGTATCTGACTGAGCCGCAATGTTGGCCACCATAAAATGAGATAAATTTGAATTGTGGCCTACATCCAGTGAGTAAACCATATTGCGTACGGAGTCGAGCAGACTCGGATAACCAACCTTGGAATAATCAAATGGGCACATGTGTATCACATCAGGGCCGGAGATTGTGGCACCCGACTTGGTGAATTTCTGTAAAAACCCGGATTTCGAGAATGTTCCCATAGACATCTAGACTAATGGTTCGGATATGGCGGCACTAGACTCCAGGAACCCTGCAAATTCTAGCATCTAGCCCTTTGTTTTACTCAGATCGCGCAGATGAGCCAGTAAAGTATAGCGGTCACGGGCTCGACACTTGGCCCCATGTTTTCTATTCGTCTGAATCTACCTATGCTACGCCAAGGTTGGGCTTTATGGTCAATGGGTTAATCGGGCGAATTCTGACAGGGCGAAAAGTATGAATTGATGAGCCCATGTCCTGGGCTCTATGAGAGTTGTGTTATGTACGGAGTACCTACTCCGTACGTGTATGTAACCAGGTACTTCCATAAGTCTATACATGTAGTTATAGGTACTCTGTACTCCGAAATTGGAATTGAGTCATTGATCACAAGCTCTAATGTACTAAAATCGAAGAATGCCAGGTGTTAGCCTTGGATGTGTCGCCTCATTCATCAGGCACTCTTTGTAACGCATAGATCTGTTGAGGTCCGTATTCGCAATCTCTCCAAGACAAGGTTAGGCACTCAATTAGAAAAACCCGAGGACAGATTACTCCGCACTCCGTAAATGGCCGAGGTTCGGACATTCAGAATTGAACCCAACGCCCCTTTGAGTTTGTTTTTCCAAACCCTCCGGGCCCCCTTTTTGTGTTATCGAGACTAATTCGTATGCTATGTACGGAATATACTCTTGTGCCTCATACTCCGTCCGGAGTAGAGAAATAACAATACATTGGCCAACTTACTGATCGACATGACTCGTGTTAAATGAATGACCACTCCGTATAGGACACCGGTGACCCCCAACAAACCCAGTGCGCCACTCAAGGAACCCCTCGCACAACCCAACAATGACACGTTAGAGCCTGCCAACGCAGAGAAAGAGAGTGCCTTCACGTCATAATAAAAAGACCAGTCATCACGTACTGCGTATCGACTCTACGGTTGGTTAGTGAGTCAGAGTGACATGATCTAACGCTATCGACCTTCCGGGACTCTACTACCCTAAATGTTCCCAACCCAGTAGACCGGAGCGATGATCGAATAGTTCTCTTCTCGTTCCTGAATGGAACCACAGAAGATGGATCCACAGAGCCCCATAGAAAAAGTCTTTCTTTCAATCGTGTGGGTCGGGGCAAATTGAGGTAAATCCCAGTCTCGGCTAGCGTCTCGTGGCGGAATCAGTGTGACTAAATCACTCAGGACGGAGTACGGAGTACTCCGTAACATGAACGGTCTAAAGGGTGAGCTACTTGGCTACTTGGTGTGCTGCAGGTCCAAACCCTGAAGGATATGGATTGTTGTTACGGTTAATATGGCTTGATAAGTCGCCAAATTATACTCCGTAGAGGATCGTTGTTGTGCAGGACGCCAGGGGGCCACCGGAATTGACGGAAATGCCGGACTGTGAGGAGGCGAACACATACAGCAGGATATGTGATGGCGAGAGTCATCAAGGGTATGGCAAAAGCAATATCACAGCAAAAGTGGGAGAAAGTGGGAGAAATTAGGAGAAATTAGGCAAGTAAAGTAAACAGGATGACCATGAGCGCCTAAGGTAACGCCAAGACCGAGATCTGTTCGCAGTTGGATGAGAAAATTCTCACCTAGACTGGGATGGGCAAGGGCCGAAATTACACCACTCCCGACAGTAGTATACATAGGCGAAGAATTCTCGTATTGCGCTGCATGTCTGGGGGCCATGGGGGCCATGTCAACATCTTTCGGCCTCGTTGCGAGGGGATTCGACTGGCACTGGCCTACGGAGGATGCGCTGGGAGACTAATAGTAATAGAAATCATAAAACAAAGTTAGTTCCATGTCATTTGGCAGTAAAACATACATGAAGCAGTGCAGCACAGACTGACCCCTGGCGTCAAGAGTCTGTGCGGCAGACCCTGTTCCTGAGTCCCTGAGGTTTAGGGCTCCGGAGGTCATAGTCTGGTTGGAGATGGAGCCCAATCTTGAATAGTAGGGTCCGCGTCTTCGCAAGGCCAATAGGAGGGTCCTATGGCCCCCCAAAAATCAATAATTCTATAAAGGAAATGAAAAATTTGGACAGGCTTCTTTGATGGACGAATCGCTCTTCCCCAGGTTCGAGGCGTGCTCGTACCTGTGTTTGTTATTTAGCCTGCGCATGCCACGCCGCTAATTCTTCCCTGTCCCTTTTCTCTCCCCTGCGCATCAAGAGATTTCTCTTATATACATTCCTTTCACCTTCACCTCCAGTCACTCGTTTTATACTGTTTGAGCAGTGCTCCCCACGATCTTTACCAGACCTTCTTTTGACGCCCACTCTTTGCGCTCAAAGTCGAATTATATTGCTTCTGCCATCCCGCGATCTTTATACTTCGTGTCATTCCATAACAACACTGCGGTATCGCAAATCTTGGAGCCAATTCAGTCACCTCGCTCTCTCTTCCATCTCAATCGACCTTGAATCCCAACTCAATCAACTTGCAAAATGAAGTTTACTGCTATCATTGCTTCCCTCTGCTTGGCCGCGGCGCCATTCGTCGCTGCAGAGGATGATCTCACTACCTCAACAGCAACCACGACCATCACCAAGACTCTGGTCCGCGTCAGTTCAGTGACTCCAACTTCGACTTCCGCCGTATCTAGCATGACCACCACGACTGCTACTGCTACTGCTACGGCTACTGCTACTGCTACTACCACTACGTCGACTTCTCAGTCCAGCGCAGATTCCACCACTTCGTCAGCAGCGGCCGTAACCTCAACCGGCGCGGCGGCCAATATTGGTGCTGGTATGCCTATTGCCTTGGCCGCCGCCGGCTATCTCGTTGTGATGATGGGCCAGGCCCTATAATCACCATCGCGAATTTGCGACTCTTGACAAGACACTTTGGGTGCAAGCAACAGCCACTGATTGGAGCCAGTTGACAATACCAGTCATTCCATGCTGCACGACTTCTGTCTTGTCGTTTACCGTTCATCTTCAGCCGAGCCGGGATCCTGACCCCTTCTATATTCTTCTTTTTTTTATATTCTTCTTATACCTTTTACTTTTCTATTCCTCTCGGTTTGCTGAAGAACTCATCTTTGGAGAGGAAACGGTTTAACGCTTTTTCAAATACCCCCATTTCATTACTCCTATTTCTTTATGACTTTGTGGACCGATATGAGTTGATGCTGTTACTTTTCTCTTCTCCAATCCCTTTTCCTTTCGATTCTCTTGTCCATATTTGGCATTGTGGGTGACTTACTAGCCGTCGTCGGACTGGTCTGGCTGAGATTTGCATGAGTCGGCTTTGAGTCACTCGCAGAATATCGACACTTTATTTTCTCCCTCTGATACTAGTTCTCACCGTCCAGACCCGTAGAATGACGTTCGTAGTGTGAAGAATGTAGAGAAAATCACGCCGATCCACCTCGACATGCCAGTGGAGCGGACATCAGCCGTAAGCTCCGGGGTCGAATGACGCCCGTGCGCCCACGCGTGTTTGATCTGATCTTATCTTTTGGCCTGATCTTTTTTTTTGTCCGATGTTTCAGGGCTATATTTGGATATTGCGTACTCCGTATAGGTCATTCAATTGATCATAGCTATATCAAGGTCATACTCCGTGAGTCGCGCTAATAGCGTGTTTATTGACGCAGCGCTCCATCGTGGGTCTCCACAACGCGTCGCGCACCCAACTCCGCTTGAACATCAGATCAAGCCGGGTTGAACGACACATCCGATGAGCCAGCCTGGGAAGCTCTAGTGATTCGTTTGAACCAGCGAATCGAAATCGCAATGGATAACGAGATTCCCCTTCCGCCGCCGCGGCGAATGCGGCACCGTTCGCCCGTGAAGATCGCGACCCCCTCAGCGACAGGTACAGCGGTCTCCTCGTTCCATCGAGCGCGGCGACTTTCGCGCTTCGACGATCTTTCTAGCCAGCCATCAAGTGACCCGGCACTCTTTTCTAGCGACGATATTCCAGCTTCGGGGCTGGAGAACTATCATGCGACGCAGTCGGGTGCGGGTCGCAAACGCCGGTATCGCGGGACCTGGTGGGGGGAGCAGGTGCTCGACCCCAAGCGCAAGAGGGCGGACTTTAAGGAGAAGAGGAATGTTGATAGTGGTGTATGGATGGGGAGCGACGAGTCGGTCGCCGAGTCGTTTTTGCCGTCGGAAGATGGCTCAACGTGGGGGAAGACTTGCGCAAGTCGGTCCTTGAACCACGCAAACTTGGAAACACCACACCTCTCACCATGGAGACTGTGAACATTCCTGTGCAGACTCGGACTCCTGTTAGAGCCTCTGAAGAGCCGGAAGCGCATCGGTTTGCACGGAAGCTTGTCAATGATTGTCTGGACAAAGGATGGGAGAGTATTGATCTGGGGTATGTGGACGACCCCATGTTTGATGCGGCTTTCGTCCGATGTTATCTCTATCTGATAGAATTGTACTAACGGTCCCTTGCTATGCAGTGATTTCTATTTGAAAACTCTACCAGCAGGTCTTCTACAGCCCTTGCAGCATTTGACGAAGCTTCCATCAGTCACGCAAGCTCCAGTCTCGGAGAACGTATTCACATCTCTGCAGCCATTCCTCCGCGTCTATCTCCCCAACAACTCCCTCTCAGCCCTGCATAATGATCTTTTCGAACTCAGCAACCTCAAAGTCCTCAGCCTGCGAAATAACAAGCTGACTGAGATACCATCCACAATCCACCGACTGGCAGAACTAGAGGTCTTAAACCTTTCCGTCAACCGACTGACCTACCTTCCCTGGGAGCTCCTTACGCTCACTCAGCAAGGTGAACTGAAACACCTGACCGTACGCCCAAACCCACTCCTCTCGATCGAAGAAGCGCAAATCGCCGAGTGGCACCGCAGCAACAACAAGCAAAACGAAACAGAGGATGACGAAGATGCCACCCCCTTCTCTCCACTCCAATTCCAAGAACAAGATTCCGCTCCCGGCGAAGGCTGGACTCCCATCCACGTCGCCACAGGGCCAACCACCTACATGGACATGGAGGGCATCCCCACCGAGCACAGCTCATGCCGCAACACATTCACATTTCCCACAGAAGGAGCTCGTGTAAACGATGCCCCTTCCCTGCGCGAACTTGCTCTCCGCGCTGTGACCAAACTCCCCTACCTCGAGCAAACCACCGATGAAGAGCTAGCCGAATTCCCACCATTGATTGTCCCATTGCTGCGCCAAGCGAGGGAAGTGCGTCTCGCAGGTGGCCAATTCTGCTCCGTGTGCCGACAAGAATATGTGATTCCCCGCACAGAATGGACGGAGTGGTGGGATATCACACCGTGCGAGAATGGAATGAAGTTACCTCGCTGTCCTGGCGAGAAGCTTCGGCCGTTGCCATTCAAGCGGTTTGGCTGTAGCTTGTCATGTGTACCGGAGTCGTCTTGAGCGTCCCATGGACCTTCTACTTTTGTGATGGTTCGTTTTATCTTTGTTTTTCCGGGATTCACTTTGTATGTATTTTGCCTTGCATGTTGATAGGATTGTGGCGCTGGGATTTTGTATTTTATGACTGGCTACGCTTCATCGTGGTTATTGTAGAAATCATCAAAAGTACATTGACTGCTTTGCTTTCTTGCCGAATTGTAATATTCCAAGCCTGTAACCCATAGATTGCTTAGATGTTCTGAATATGAGGTGCTAGAACTTCAGGTTCCCAACAGAGGGACTTTCTTGCAGGCTTTGCTGGAAGTTCATTAGAGTGTTGCACATAATCATAGGAATTGCACGCTTGAGGCAAACGAAGGAAAACTGATTGGTTCTCAAGCTGCATATGGTGTTTGTTGGCCTTTCTCAGGGAACACCAGGGGGGCTGCGTATCCGCCTCCCAAGCGAAAGAACAAAAAAGTAACCAGTGGCTTGCTAGTGTCTAGATCACAATTACGACGCACTACAAAGGAATCTACTGAAAGCAATAAGAAATCCATGAAACTCATGAATCGTGATATTACAGTCCGATAGCTGAGAAAGGTGCTCAGCACCAGTGATCAGAGACTATCTTCTATCCTGAACTCTTCCTGTCATTATGGGTGTAAGCTACACCCCATGTACATGTGCATTGCGAGCACCGCAAATTCAGTATTAAACGCCTCCAGAGCCAGCGATCAGACTCGACTTATTATCGTCCGGGTAGAAGAATGAAGACAGACTGGGGATGGTCAGCGCATCGAACTAGTGACAAGGAAGACAATGGGGGGAAAAAACTCACGCGATGATGATATAGGCTGCGACCAGGAGGACACCCTCGAGATAATTGCTTCGGCCGTCCAGGACCAGGAAGTTGACAACGAAGGTGGTCACGAAGAGACAGACAGTCTCGAAGAGAGTAAAGTACAAGGACATGTCTTTGTCCATACACCAGCCGAGGATGACGACGAGGGGTGTGACAAAGATAGCTGATGGGTTGTGAGAAGATGACACATTGGAGATGGATGTGGACAGGAGCTTACCGATTTGGATACTACTACCGACAGAAACACCGATGGACAGATCCATTTTGTTCTTAGTGGCGACACTGACAGCAGTGACATGCTCAGCTGCATTGCCGACGATGGGAAGGATGATTAGACCGATGAAGGCCTCGCTGACATTCGAGCTGGCGATCATTTCGGGAATGGCGTCAACTAGGAACTCGGCGCAGACGGCTACCAAAGCAGTGGACAGCAAAAGCATTACAATGGCAGCGGTGCGGGACATTTCGGGTTCCGGGGCTTGAGAAGCTGTCTCTGGGACTACGACGTCGGTTGGCGCGGTGAGACGGGAAGCGCCGCGGGCGAACTGCACTGCATTTCCGGCCGGCGGAAAACGACTAATATGTGCGGGAAGCGAGTTGCTGCGGGAGATTCCTGGGCGCGAGGCGGCGGTTCCGACATGAGGTGAGGATGCCGGGGACTGGGAGCTGAAGACGGTATTGGAAAGCAGGGCTGGGATGGGGCCGAAAGGCGAGCGGCGTTTCTGGAGATCATAGCCGGCGCCGTCAACGCTGGCGAATGTGGGAGCAGATGGGAAGCCCATAATAGCTGGACGTTGATTCGTTGGAGGATTGATGTCTTCGGGTGCGACGATCTGAGCTTTCTTCGCTGCCTTCTGGGCCTTGCGCTTTTTGCGATCCCGCCTCTTCGACTTCTTGCTTCCTTTGCTGCTGCCACGGTCCAGAGGCTGGCCGAAGTCGCGAGAATGGACTGCGTCATCGTCAGCATCATAGCGGATTTCCTCGCTGAGCTCGATGGCGTGTTCGTTGCTGTCGATGGAATTAGGGATCGAGGTCTGGTTCTCATTTGTTGTGGAAGCCGTGGCTCGTTTCTGGAAGGAATCGCGAGATGCTGTTCCCTTCGAGCTTGTACTTGATTTACGATGTCTGCGATATTTCATTGCTCTCTTAATGCGCTTAGCGGTCGTCCATGATGTCGTAGTATCGTCTGAATCCTCGCTGGAACTCGATGAGGAGTCCGACGAGCTGTTCATAAAGTCGGCCAAGACACCGGGGTGCGATTCCTCGTCAATGATGGCCTGGGGAATGCTGGCATAGAGATACGAGTGTGTTCTCAACTGGAAGACGATATAGAGAATATACACCAACAGTAGAACGACACTGGTGCCACGGCTGACCTTGAGAGTCTCTCGATCGGCCTCGGCAATATCTGACCAGGAGGCATGGAAGGCAGTGGGGATAAGAAGACTCATCACACTCAAACTGAGCAGACAAGCACTCATCTGGGTGACAGTACTGTTATAGATCTGTTCCTGGAAGCGAAGACCACCCGCCAAGAATGCCATGCCCATGATCAACAACAGATTGGCCAGAATGGAGCCAAGCAGGGAAGCTTGCACAATTCGAATCTCATTCTTGACCAGGGCGATGATGAAGATGATCAACTCCACTGCGTTTCCGAAAGTGACGTTGATCAATGCTCCAATGGTGTCGCCAAGACGACTGGCAACACTCTCCGTAGCGTGACTGAGCAGTCCAGCCAGGGGAATGACAGCCACAGCATTCATCGCGAAGACGATGGCTGGATTGAGGCCCGCGGCCTCGCATGCAATGCCGACTGGTACGAAGACCAGCAGGACATTTACCCAACTGTGGCAGATTGCATCCTTGGTGTGTTGGTAGAAACGACCGGAGCCATTTCGCATGCGGATCAGAAGACCCGGCTTGGAGGTGTTTTCCGTGACGGACCCTGGAGTAGGATCCTCCACTGGAACATTCACTTGTCCATCTTGAGGTGGTTTTTCGGTGGTGTCAAGGTCGGCACCCTGTTCGGGGGAGGTCTGGTCTGACAGGCTGCGAGAAGACGCGTGAGCTTTCGCCCACGATTGAATCCGGTCTATAGATGGGGACATGGTCAGTCAGATATGAAAATGGAGCGAATATAACATGGGTCTATAGATATGATACTCAAAGCTCGCTCGGTAGCGCCAAAGCTCTGGATTGCACTTACGCATGTATTTCAGAGAAAGACCACTGGCAGAAGAAGGCAACGAGCCTTTGATGATAAGACAGTCGATGCAGGAAAAGCAAGCGAAGCGATCACAATGCAAAAGTTGACACCCCAGGGGGGAAATAGGTTAGCTTTATTTAAGAGCTTAGTAGCAGCTTGGCGTTCTTTAGTTTACCCAACGCCACGCCTTTTTTTCCTTTTTGGTCACCTAGTCTGAAAGGTGAATTGGCCGAAGAATGCTGGCCCAAACCTCATTAATAAGACATTCTCGCCTGCATTGTGTCCTTTGTCACTCCATCCCTCGCATGATGTCAATCCCTTATCGGGATGTGTTCGGAATCGCCAAACAAGTCACGAATGACGCGTTCTCTCTGCGTCCTCCCTATAAGGATGCCAAGGGCGAGATACGGGCAATCGAGATCCACGTCCTTGGCCAATTATTGCCATGATCGGCAATTAGGCTACCATGTTCGGACGTCCTTTTGATTGGCGCGGCTTGGTTTTGCTTGTTGCCTTTACCACTCCATACAGAGTGCCTATGTGCAGAGACTGTACGGAGTATGGAGTATGGAGTATGGAGTACACAGTCGGTTGACAGCCCTTATTCCGAGGTCAACTACTTGTACATAGTTATGTAAGTATTTTCATGTCTCGAATCTGGGTTGAAGTTGAAAATGCGCCCGTCCCCAAATTGAGCCACCCTATACTCTTTTCAGGTGCTTGTTACACGCTAGACAGCCCTGTCGCCACGGGATTTCTTGACTTCGGTTGTACGGTCTACGGTGTACACCGTGTATGGAGTACGCTGTGCCTCATTCATGACTAGAGATGAGATCATTGGGGTATTTTTGGATCGGCTGTGCACATGATATTCTGACAACACCGTTGGTTCTGTTCCAGTCTTCTGCTTTCTCTGGAATATTTTGCTTGTCTTTTGCTTGTCTTTTCTTGGATCTTCTTGGATCTTCTTGGATCTTCTTGGTGGATGCAGAATGACAACTGTGGCGCTGAGCCCCACAGCGTGGCTGTGTTCTCTACGACTCACAAACCGGTCGAGACCCATGGACCGATAGGCCGGAACAGGAGGATGGTTGAGTTGTTGAGGCAGTGTCCAGACGGCAAATGGATAACGCTGTGCCTCCTATAATAGGTAACTAGGACGGATTGGAATAATAATGAGGTAGGACTCGGCAACTCCAACAATGCTATGCCTAAGTTGCACTCCAGAAGGTTCATCTACCATTCTTTCAAAAGATCTCTTCGATCTCAGGATCTCCAATCGATGTGGTAGAAATTGAGGATTGGAAAGAACTGGATTGATTGTCGCAAAATATGGTTCCCCTTCATCGGGAAAGGACTGCAGATCGGCGGAAAATATCTCATCTGCACCCACAGCCCAAGGCGCCACAGATACCTCACACTCCAACTACGCAGGATAGGGATAGGTCACTTAAAACATAGCAATAAAACACATACAGAGTACAGAGTGCGCTGTACATGTACGGAGTATATATGGGCTCTCAAGGACAGATATTATGTGTGGGTGCCAGATCGACCACTATTGGCCTTTGATTGGTGGAGGTACCTTACTCTTTTTGTTTTATTCCCAGCACTATGGGCAGTATACTCCGTAGAATGTAGAATATACATAATAGGAACAGATGCCATATCTCATATCGTTCAGTTCAGACTCAACATGCTGTTCAAACACTGAATGAATGTCTAACGGATACCTAGTAAAATTGTCGAGCAGTGTGAGATGAAGAGAAGTAAGCTAGAGGACAGAACAGGTTTGTCATGAGGCAAAGCTACCTAAAGAAGGAAGAGTACTTACCATTCGGACCATTGAACGTGATATAGCAGGAGCCATCCAAGGCAGATTGTTTAGCATAATAGGGTCGACCAACAAGATGGCAGTAATTCCTCTGCTGAGAACCAGGGCCTGTTCCTCCATAGAAACACTCTTAGAGGCACTATTGGATGTGTGCGATGACTGGTTAAGCCTTTGACCCACTGATCCTGAATATACTGGGTATTGATTGTTTCATTAACACAAATGACCTAGTGTGCCTCTGCGATTCTATTTTTCCCACTGCAACTAATTCCAGACCGGCGAATAGCTTGGAGAAGGAAAGAATAGATTACACTTATTGAACACCTGGTATATCGCCTTGTTGATACTATTGCGTATCATCGTGCGACCTATAAGTCACGAATGCTACAGGAATGACGTCCGAAAGGTGTTGGTCAGCACCCAACAAATTAGGCAGATAGCCGGGCCTCACGTTTCAGATTGATTTTTCTTTTGTTTATTTCCCCCGTTGGACACAAGGCAGAACCAAAGGTCCCTAAATCAATTCCTGGGTGATTTATTTCGTCTGAGTTTGACCACAGCAACATGTCAATCTCCGAATCAAAGCCCTTGATCAACCAAAACCCAGTCCTCCAATCCTACTATGCTTCCCTGGAATCCAGAATCGGATACCGATTTCTCTTAGGCGGGACGCGACATTTCGGATATTATGACACAGACACCTTATGGCAACGCTGGTGGCCGTTCCCGATCACAAAAGCCCTCCGCAGAATGGAAGACTATATGTTTGAAACCTTGAATTTACCAACTGGAGCCACAGTCCTCGACGCAGGATGCGGATATGGCTTGGTTGCAATCCATATGGCCAATCGAGGTCTTAACGTGCGGGGTATTGACATCGTCGACCGCCATATCGCCAGAGCTCGAAGGAACATCCGCGCTGCGGGCTTGGATAAGGCTATTATGATCCAGAAGGCTGACTACCACCGCCTGGAAGAGTTTGAGACAGATTCGCTTGATGGAATATACACCATGGAGACATTAGTACACGCGACAGACGTGAAGTCTGTACTGGAGGGATTCCACCGTGTGTTGAAACCCGGTGGCTCGCTTGTGCTGTTTGAATACGCGCACTTCACTTCTAATGATTCTGAAAGCACAAAGCTTTTTGACCAAGTAAATGTGTATGCAGCTATGCCGGCCAATGCGAAATTTGAAGCGAATACTTTGCGATCGCTGGTGGAAGAGATTGGGTTTGAAGATGTGCAAACTCGGAATCTGTCGGAGCATGTCAAGCCGATGCTACGTCTATTCTACGCCTTTGCGTATTTTCCATATCTTTTCGTCAGACTATTTGGTCTTGAGAAGTATTTTATCAACATTGTGGCCGCGATCGTTGCATATCGGTATTATGATCAGCATCAATATGTCGCGATTCGGGCTACAAAGCCTTTGTAACACCGGAAAGTCTGGTGGGTTTTCAAGGTTGTCTTTTCCAATCGGGGATATGGGATAAATGTGTTACTTAGACCGTTATATGGAATTATTTAGAGAATTATCTCTAACACGAGTCTATTACAAAATAATACTGTGTCTATTAGCGTCGCCATCTACAGTAATTTATACTTCGTAGCGGCAAAGATGCAAATGACCATAAATGCCACAAAACAGCCCAGAATTCCAAAAAACCACGCCAACCCTTGGGTATCCTCCCCCGGAACAGGGACATTCATTCCCCACAGGACTGTAACCAAATGGCATGGCACAAAGATAGTAGCAAGAAGAGTGACCTTGCTCAGACCAGAGCTGATAGTCAAACTCAATCGGAGATTGGTAGCGCTTAACTGGGCCAAACAGTTCGCCTGGGACCGACCAATGATCTCATCAATGTGCCCTAGAGTTGACAACGTCGTAACCAGATGATCCTGAACGTCGCCGAGATACAGAAGTAAATCGCCATCGGGAAAGACAGGATACTTATCAGGATACTGGCAGCGTTTCACAAATCCGTTCAAGACATCGACCTTGCCATGGAGGCAACCGATGATGTGGGTAATTCTCTTGCGGAGGACGTCGACCTGTGGAATAAGAACCTGAGCGTCGTCGATACGCGTAATGAACACTTGGTCTTCGAATGCTTCGGACTCGCGCTCTGCATCCCGGGCAAATGGTTCGAAGCTGTCGATGATATCGTCTCTGTAGAGAATTAGTCTCGATTTCTTGAATTAATGGTGACAAGTGAGAGTTGGGTGACAAGTGGGAGCCGATTGGACATACATCATTGCGTAGCAAACCCAGTCACTAGTCAAGATGGAGGGAGAGTGCATCTTGCGAATCCGCTCTCTTGCCCGGTTCACATGGCCACAACCACTGGGTGAAAATGTGACCACGCCGTACTGGAAGACAAGAATATATAGTGCAGCCGAGATGGGAATGCCCGGTCGCTCCTCTTTGGTATCGCTGTTGACTATAGTCTGAAACGAGATCAAGTAATAGTTTTTGAAAACATCGACTTTCTCTCGAGGCTCACGGATAGCGATGTCCTCTGCCGTCAGGGGATGAATGGACAAGGCCTGTGAGACAGCGTTGACGTCTTCCTCGGTGGCATCACGGATATCAATCCACCAGATTGGCTGGTTGGGATCTGGGCGACCTTTTTGCTTCTCCTGGAAGATGTGGTCGATATTGCCACCAGGAAACAAACCATCCCAGGCAGAAGACGATGTGACTTGCAGTGTCTTGGAGGAAAAGAAGCTAAATCGACCAGTCCTTGCCTGGTCGGCATGCTGCTTCTTTTCTTCTGAGATGTCCATCGCGCTAGCTATGTGTCAGACTGGAGACAGCCAATAAAGCTTGGTATACCGACCGATTGATCTGATGCCATCAGATGGTGATTGGGGATTTCTTTAGAGACTGCGTAGCGGTGGCCCCCCATGAATGTGAAACGTAGTATCGTGGATGATCTATTGCGCCCATTCTACCCAGTAGTTCCTCGGGTTTGTATCCCCAGACGATGTGAGGCGTGGAGATGCTGTGGATGGTCCCCATGGGTGATAGAGGGATGTCCAGAGAAACGAGCGAGGCAAAAATGCTACCCAAAATGCTGGTCAGCCCTAGCCATTGGCCCCGTGCCCAGGGGAGCTGAGCCAAGCGGTGGGGGTGGAGTTGAGAGATCCAATAATAAGCCAATGAATAACAGATTGCCTTGGTCAATGAGAGTTTTGCGGGCTTTGAAGATGGTCTAAACCTGCTACATTATGTAGGTATTTGCATAATATGATTTGCTATGTCTTTGTTGCTGACACACATGTGCTGCCAGTGGACCTTCGACCTCAGGAGTCGTAGGCGTCACTTGGTGTCTATTGCTTTCAGAATGGGACAGGGACACGTTTGGAGATGTAAATTGGTGATTTTTGGGAGCTTCATGTTGAGAGCGTCGTGTAGTATATATAACAGAAAAATATGAAGCGCTCCCTGAATATGAAAGTGGTCTACATAGAAAAGAGGATGAACAATGAAGTATAAACCCAAACGCCTGTTGTGCTTGGTCGCTGCACATTTTCCATCCGACACAAAGGAAAAGAACGCCCCAATGAATTTCCCGTGGCCACTGTAGCGGTGGATGATCTGAATGAATCGTACTGAGAAGAGTATCTGAACGAATGTCAGTCATGCAATTCCATTCCTCAGACACTAAATGTATACATACCGTGGTCCAATCATCAGTTCTTGATCTCCGACTGCCGAGGCTCCATCCCTTGTTCACGATCAAGACCGTATGACTTGCGCAATCGCGGATATACAAGGCCAAAAAATACGATCACCGCTAGGAGAATGAGAAAAGTCGGTAGAAACATGAAGATAAAGAGGAAGACGCTCAACCCGAGGGTGATGTGCTGCCCACCGAATAATCGACGAGCCATGATTTCCACGATTGAGTCCATACGGGAGCCCGGAGGAGAAGTATGTGGATATGTGGCTCAGTCAATTAGGATCAGGAAAAGAGAAGAATCTGACCTGAGCAGAAGCCAAGTTGCTTTGAAGGTGATCTCTCCTTGCGCCCGGCCCGGTCGCGCATGGTCGATATAGCTACTTATACAACAGACAATGGAAGCCTCGGAAACCTATAATTGCACAGCCATCCTTCCAATCGTGGCACCACTTCGAGCCAAAGCGATAAAGGTCATAAATGTTGATGCCTATACCATTGGGAGCAACGTCATTCAAGTTTTTTTCGACCTCCACTCGTCCACTCTTGGCGTGGAAGTCCCAAATTGCCCATTGTTGGGAGATCAGTGGAAATGTGGATGCTCATCAACGATCAAATAATACGCAAGTTGCCCCGATGCCGAGTCTTGGCGCAAGATGGTAGGCAGCAGCATTTTGCCCAATCCTTGCGAAGTCGCAAATCCCTGGGTATCGCTTCCAGACGCTTCAAGTGAATGCCCAGGCTGTTTCACCGTCTGATTACCCCATGTCGGCTACACACTACTGCGTCCAGCCTTGTCGACCAGCGGATGTCCACCAATCCAACAATCTGCATGCGCCCGGGGTGGATCCAGCCCTGTATAATCATCCCTTGGCGAGAGGAACGCCCGTTCGCATCACCTGGTACAGTAGTCTGGTCCGAAGGCAGCCTGCAAAGTTCATAAGGCCGAGACATTGGGATTCTCTTAGGCAAGGGTTCACGCGAGAAAAACGAATGGGATCGGGGACCGGCTGCATGTCATTGGGTGGCAATCCGGATCATCAAGACCTCGTAGGGCTGAAGCTTGGCTAGTGGGGTTACCTTGCGCTTTATTGCCAAACCAAATCAGCACGGAGAGCGCGCCGAATTGATCAAATCCAATTGGGTGGCTGGTGTCATTTCTGGCTGTCGCAAAGGGGGCTTTTCCCAGTTAAAAGGGAGAGGGGGAGAGAGAGAGCTCAATGATCAGCAGGTTCTCCACATGGATGTGTATACGGAGTAACAGCCCTGTATTCCCCCCCCCCCTGTAGAGTGGAACCAAAGTAATATTAATAGAAGAGAATGAAATAGGAAATGGAAGGAATAGCGGTAATTGAAGGAAAATAGTGACGAGGGTTCCCCCACATTTTCTCTGCCAACCTCGGCGTCAACCATTTTCCACTACTTCACCGACCTTTCTCTCAACTACGCGCCTGGCTACATCAACACGCCGGACCTGGTTTCTCAATATGTTCTGGCTCGCAGGGTATGGCAACAGCGAGGAAGAGGACAATGACAACCTGGGAGTAGACTGGGTACTACAATATGAATTTGGGGAGATTGGTAAATAACATGGTTGCATGGATTATCCTTGGCCTTCTGCATCTACTGACGATCTCCAGATCAAGCTCAAGCTATCACAGAGTTTCGGAGCCTCATTGAAGACTTGAATGAAGCTGGTCTTCGCGCTCAGGTTCGTCACGGGCACGGGGCGGCCCTCTTGGTCTGCATTCGGGTTCCACGGGATCATCTGGGGAACCTGGTACATCAGTCAAGGTAAGTGGGTTTCGGGGAGAGGGGGGTTGACCGATGTTCAGAAAACATGGACTGGTGGGAATAGTCAATTGACGCATTACAGGATCAAGGATTGGTTATTTGGGATTACCCATATCTTACCAAATGGCGATGAAACAGCCGTCGCTGACGCCGATACACCATCCGAAGAGATCCGCTCAGTCTATCACGCTGTTACGTGGCAAAAGAAAATAGGCGGAGCAGGTATCACGCCCGGTTTCGGAAAATGGAAGAACGTCACTGCCTCGTTTCCGTTACACGACCAAGAGGCCTGTGCGGAGATGCTCCGTCAATGGAACCGAAAGACTGTATTGACCACGAAAGATCTGGACGCCATTCGAGCATTATTTGGTGAAAAGGTATGGTTCGATCCATCGCGAAATGGCTATCTGACGAGATTTCGCTAACTATTGGCAGGTCGCTTTCTACTACGCATTTATTCATTGCTATTCACTATTTCTCACGGTACCCGCCGGATTGGGAATTCTGGGATGGCTATATCAAGGTCCATATTCGATAACATATGGAGTCACACTATGCGCCTGGTGCATCATATTCGTTGAGTACTGGAAGATTCGAGAGGCCGATCTAAGTCAGCGATGGGACGTTAAGGGTGTTGGGCAACTGAAAGTGAATCGCAAGCAGTATGTGTGGGAAAAAGAGGTCAAAGACCCAATCAGTGGTCAAGTGAAACATGTCTTCCCAGGTTGGAAGCAATTCTCACGTCAATTGCTTCTGGTCCCGTTTGCTTCCGTGGCAAGCGTCGCCCTGGGAGCTTTGATTGTTGCGTCGTTCGCCTCAGAAGTGTTCATATCGGAGGTATATGACGGTCCATTCAAAGGGTATCTTGAATTCGTACCCACGGTCCTCTTTTCTCTATCATTACCAGCCATAACATCCTTTCTCACGGGTATCGCAACCCGCCTGACCGACTACGAGAACTACCGGACGCAGGATCAATACGACCTTGCTCAGACCCAAAAGTCATTCGTCATGAATTTCATCACCTCTTTTCTCCCCACGATATTGACCGCCTATGTTTACGTGCCATTTGGGAAACAAATTGTTCCATATCTGGACATTTTACGAAAAACCGGGCTAAAGGCCGATTTGATCAGTGGCAAGAAAGAGTTTGAGGTGGATACCAACCGTTTCCAGCAGGAAGTGATCTACCTCTCCATGACGGCCCAAATACTTAGCTTTGGCGAGGAGGTCATCCTACCATATGTGAAGCATGTCTTGCGGCAGAAGTGGCAAACATACCGGGATCGCAAGGCAAAGGATAATCGGCGGAGGCATTCTATGCACACAGACCTGTTACTGATGGACTCACCAGAAGAAGCAGCATTTATGACAAGACTGCGTAGTGAGGCCGGCGCAGAGGAATATCATGTGGAGGATGACATCATGGAGATGTGTGTACAGTTTGGATACTTGGCACTATTTGGAGTTGCTTGGCCTCTTGTTCCACTCGGCTTCTTGTTGAACAACTGGCTGGAGCTGCGAGGTGACTTTTTCAAGCTCACCCTGGAGTGCCAGCGACCGCCACCGATCCGATCGGACTCGATCGGACCGTGTGTGCTGGGGCTGGATTTCCTAGCCTGGTTGGGTACACTGTCTACGGCTGCCATTGTGCATGTTTATCGGGGTTCTATCTCCGAGGTACGGCTCTCCTCACTTCTGCTGACGGTATTCCTCGCCGAGCAGGCCTACTTGGCAATGCGCTTCACCGCCTCGACCGCGCTCGAAAAGATCTTTTCGGATACCATCCGGAGGGAAGAGGCTCGTCAATATGCGGTGCGCAAGAATTATCTTGCTGCTAGTCTGGCGAGAGACTCATCCCCCAGCTCCGGATCCCGAGGCTCGCCCAATGGTCGAACCCGTCCCCGGGTGCGTTTCAACGAGCGCGTCAATGTATACAGCTCGAGTGAAAAAGAACCATCATCTGACGGTGCCCCCTCTCCCACAAGAGAACAGCCGGAGGATGATGTGCTTCGTGGGCATGACCGCGAGGCCCAGTTCTGGAGCGCGCATTCAGGGGACACAGCGGACGCAGGCGTCAAGCTAATTCGCGCTTTGAGCAAGCCTCAGGCGGGAAATGATGGTAAATTTTCTAAACAAGCATAGTTATTCTTAGACGCAGGCTGTATTTTTAGAATACATTTTCAGTTTCTCGTACATATCTGCCTGGTAAGGAGTACGCTGGGGACTCTATGTACAGAGTGTAGATCGCATTAATTGGACGTACCCCTATATTTTGAAGACGCATCAGGGGCAACATTTGATCTGGGAGATATGATGGATCATATTTGGGGAAATAGATTTCAATAAAGAATGGCTTGGCTTGACGAGAGGCAATAATGGGCTTAAAATATCCCGGCGTAGATCCTCAGCCCTACAGGGCGATGCCAAGGCGGGTGTCGATGCACCAGGTCCAAGGTTTGAAGGGTCCGGAGATCCCCTGTCTTACACGTCTCTTCTTCCACTATTCCTAATTCCTTCATTCCTTTCTATGTTCATCTACCAACACCTGAATTTGTCGTCAAGATTATCGACATGAGTAGCGTCATGTGAACTTTCCTTCCTCCGGTCACCTGCATCCAACGCCAAACATGGGGAGTCCTACCGACTCCTCCGATACCCTCATCACTCATCCATCCACTGTCCATTTCCCACCAACAATCAAGGCTACGGCCACAGGGATGGACCTTCAACTACAGGCAGAGTCTCCATCATCTGTGGTCCCGAAACTCGTCTGCGAAGCCAGCGACATCATATCAGAAGACTCCCAGGAATCAGCTAAAGGCCGCGTAACGCTGGTCCTACGACGTGGTCGCTTCAGGCTGCTTCATCAACAACAGTTCAAGAACAGCCTACTTGCCAGTGTCGGATATCTCGAGCTCGCCAACGCCGGTGACTTCGCTGCCAACGTCTGGAACGAGGTCCCCGTCCCGAGATTCGCCGCCATATTGATGGGAATTGGAGGTACACTGGCCTTAGGAATGGTATTGGTTGCTGTGCAAGACTTTCGACTCAGCTGGAAGAATGTCAAGTTGCTGCGGGCAGAAAGGGCTCACCTGCAACAGCTTCAACGATCCCCCGACAAGGATACAGAGCAGAGGCGGCTTGTTGATAGCCGCCTGGGTGTTTGGATACGTGAATATGGCACCGAAGTGGTTGATCGGGTGATTATGGACCTGTTGATGGGATTTGGCTCCATGCTAGTCGGGATTGGCACTTTGATGGCTATTGGTGGCGCCCACCCTCGGGTATTCAAGGCTAGCAACCTGCTTTCTGGATACATTGGAAATGGACTGGCTGCTTTCTTCGGTCTTATCAATGCTATTTGGTCAGGATATCTCGTCCATAGATTCCATATGCACCATGTTGCGGCCTGCGCTCGCCAGCCAAGTGATGATATCAGTCGCCGATTACATACCAGGTTTCGACGCTTTCAATGGCACGCTGGTGTGAATGGCATCAATGGTCTTGTGGCTGGTGCTGCTTCAATGATCACCGCTGAGCGTTGGTGGGGATACGTTATTCTGATCCCGTGCATAATCTCCTTGATTCTGTGCAACTACTTCTGGAGAGAGAAATTGGGCTATGATCGTCCACTGCTCGGATATACGTCGTCAGTATATAAGCAGTTTACTCCACTTCTTGATGACTTGCAATACGTGACTATGATGCAGCGCAGTCTCGCTGAATCTGAAAACTCCTTGCCACAAACCATAGTCAAACTCGACTCACTAGAGTCGATTCTCCGCTTCATTGTCCGCGAAAGCATGTTGGAAACATACTGCGAGTCTCTTGCTCGCGACAAAAGTACTCGTCATATGCTCAGTGAGGTCCAGCCCTCAAATACATACCCTGACCAAATAATCATCTCAGTCGAGGCTCTGCTCCGCCTTCCGAGCACACACCTGAATACAATCTTTCAGCATGCAAAAAAGTTCATGCGAACAACCGCTGTCCGGATTTTCACACATCGCGAACGACATCTCCTCGAGCTTTTAGGTTACGCCATTTATCAGGATCATATCAAAGCGACAGCAGAGAATCATGACACACTAGAGCTCACATAAGATCTTGGGCACAGTGGTCTCTGCTTGTGTCAACGGCTATGTCTCAAATAATCAACTTTGATCAAGCGACGGAGACTCGGCATTAAATGGAGTTTTTTTCTTGCTTGTTTGCATCGCTTTGCGGGAGTTCTGTCCACTATATTATAGATGTACCGACTGTGAAGTTTTAGCACAGGGTAAATATACATAATCATCAAAGTAATCATGAGTTGACGGTTGGCTTCGCTAACTAACTTGCTTTTACCCATGCAGAATTCTTCTACACATCAAGCCCCAATTTTGAGAACTGTCACATGCTGATTAGTGTCGGAGCTACAAGTATATCAGCTCGAGATGTCGACACTTCCATGAAGACTTTGCAGGGCTCAGTGGCTTGGCTCACAACCTAAACGAGGCAAGAAGGTATCCACTGATCTTGAATATCTGCAAGCTAAGCAATTCCACGAAATGTTGCTTTTGACTGGGTGTGTTGACAAGGGCCTAACAAATCTGGAAGTTTCATAATTGTGCTCCCGAGTCAAATAGACAGAATCATGTAGTTATATGACCAGATATGGAATTAATATGTTTCCGACAGGGAGAAAAGCAAGGAAGAACTATTAGTGGTGTAGCTAAAGCTGAAGTAAGGACCTGAAAAAACTAGACAGAGAACCTCTTTCTCCGACAGATGAGGGGAATGTTTATCTGCCACTCCATCGGGCTTGACCCTTTGGATCATCCACGACCGCAAAATGAGGATATACGGAGCCTCCGGTAATTATATCTGGGCACTGTCTCATCCAGGAAAAGGTACACACACTAAACCCTGGACTCGCGGGACCGTGAGCATCGGAATGCTCGTTGCTGTGTGGAGATTCGCTGGCAGCAATGGAGCCATTATGGAGCGTAACTAATAATTTAAGAAAAATGACTGAGGTACGCAGGACCGAGCGGATTTCTACCACAACCAGGGTCTTTACGACTTCACGACTTTAAGAGCTGCTCATTCGAACCACAATTCTACCGTTCAGACATCTCTATGACCCGTTCGCATTCGATGTCGATTGGACAACCTCAAGCATGGAAGGCGCAAGACGTCGAAAGTGATCGCTCATATATTCTGCGCCTGACTCCCGAGGAAGTTGAAGGTTTTCAAACGGCACTTGCGTATACAAAGAAATACCCCAACCCTCTTCTTGATATGACGCAAGCCGACTACCCAGTCCCCGATTCATCGAAGAAGGCACTCGAAACAGCCATCGCTGCAACCTAAGGCCGTTGGGGCATGTGTCTTGTGAAGGGCTTTCCAGTCGATCAATGGAAAAAAGCAGAGATGCGTGTGGCTTACTGGGGCATGGGACTTTACATGGGCGTCGGTCGCACTCAGAACCGCGCCAGAGAAGTCATCAACGATGTCCGAGATTCGGCAGGTAGCTATAAGGTCAAGGATGGCCGTGGATACAACACCAACGCCGGTCTTGACTTCCACTAGGATTCGGCGGATGTGGTGGCTCTTCTGTGCCGTCGCACCGCTAAGGAGGGTGGAACGTCCAAGGTCATGAGTAGCATTGCGCTGCAGGATCATATCGATGAATTCTGCCCCGATTCGCTTCCGGTGCTTGAGTCAAACAATTGGTTTTATCCTTTTGTCGAAATATAGATTCGTGTTGCTCTCGCATCATTATGCCAAAACCAACATGGGAGACCCTCTACATTGGTGAAATATGGCTTACCAAGAATCCTTTGGAGAACACTCAAGCATTTAGTTCAATGACTACTATAATTTGAGAACCTGGGAAAGAGAAGCCGAAAATGACCACTTTCAGCGCTCGAAATGGCCGTCTTTCCACTCGTAATAACCGTCGGCCAGGGAAGGTTCCTGTTCACAATGGGAGCGCCAGATATGAGGCTAATGAATGAGTTTCATTTCATAACAAAGTTTTGAATGTTCCTTGGAAGAAACATAAGTAATAAAGCGCCCTGAGAGATGCTGGGCTATATTCTACCTAGGTAGTCACCTAACCTTGCAATTAGTTAGTTGTAACTCTATCGTATTCCGTTTCGGACTTTGCCCTGTCGTTTCTGAGAGGCTACTTGTTTCTCTGCAAAACATCGCTTCCTTCCATCAATGTGCCTTTTTATTGATTGATAATTCACTTCTCTGCTTTTTCCTGGCTATCTGATTGAGATATGGAATACGACCGTTTCACTGCGGATAGCTCTATATCAGGAATCAGGTCGGATCGTGTCTCAATCGACATTGCCGAATCATTTCCATTCCGTGAAAGCATCGTCCCTTCACTGCACATACTCGGCGATCTTCTGTTTCCTTTTGAGCTATTCTGCCTAGCTCTGTATCCGGCCCTGGACGCCGATTCCCCTCTATGTGAAAGATGGCGAGAGGAAGGTCTCTTGAAGGACTTCCTGGCTAGTCTGTATAGAAATGGGAGATTCGCACAAGCGATTCCACAAAGTAGTTCGTATACAGACATAATTCCAAATGGAATACTAGCCCCTAATGTCTCCATTAGCTACATGGACATTGGATCGGGAGGAAACTTTACTTGGATGTACAGGTGAGGTCTGGCGACTCTTGTAAGACCAGGACGATCAACCGGGCAAGTGTAATGGCACACGTGCTACACAGGTTATAGGACAATTACAAAGAGCGAGGAGGATAACTTACAATAGACCAATGGTAAAAATACCCGCAAGTTCAAATTTTCGCTTTCGAGTGGCGTGTAATCCGAAGATAATCGGCAGGGGAAGGAGGAACACCCATATGTCGGTGATCAGGTTTGTAATGTTAGCGAAGTAGGAGAATGCTGCCAAATTTATACACTTTCCCTTAACATCCGAGTTCCATGATCTTTCAATTGGGATACACTGTAGTCCTAGGCTAATCTCCATGGCTGCAAGCCAGCAAATGATAAAGCCCGCTGTACCAATGACGACTCGGCGGAAGACCATGGTGCTGAACAGGCGATAGTATAGTCCAAGGATCGAAAGCTTAATGCTGGTGATAGCACAGGCATAGAAATGACTCAACATATATTTTCCCTAAGAGTACATGGTCAGTATGTAACTTGATATAGTGAATATGTTCAAATCACCAGTAAGAAAGCGTGACCTTGATAGGTAGGGAGAGTAGCTTGAGGTCGATTGAAGTTATAGAGTGGTCCTAAATGTCATCAGGTTTCAAGGTTCAGTATAGATCAGTGTCATACGCGATTTGCATTGCACATATATCCTCTCGTAACAACTTACCATAGACCAAGCTACCTATACACATACCAACTGATGTTGCCTATAATAAGTAGGAACGTTAGAAAACCCAAGATCTTAAGGAGATTAAAACCAGTGCGAAGGGCATCAAAGGCAAGGTCAAGACAGGAAAAAAAAGAAATTGGCACAAACCGTGGAAATAGTTATCATATAATCATCGAAATGTATGTGATCTTTAGATGAGGGTCTTAGGACCACGAAGAGCCGCAGCCCGGTGAGCAAAATCATGACTGGAATAGGAATCGAATAACATATATTCACGGTGGTGACCAGCGATGCGTTGAGAATGACTTCGTTCGCCATTCTGGTGTGAAAGTACTAGCGAATAGACCAGTCTATGAAGAGGATCCAAAGGAGTCAAGAAGAGAAAGAATTCAAAGGAGAGGAGTTCTTTAAAAAGCCCCGACCGTATTAGGGATATACCCTGGTAAATATTGATCCTTACATGCTTAGTTTGCTCTATTACTACTCCGTACAACGTCCATGGATAGTCAGGAGCTGACCTAGGCCCCCATGGTACTTTTGTGTCCTCGATACATATTGAAACGGTGGATATTGACTATGGATGCTGAGAGATCAAGGGGAACGTTTCGAATTCACTTCAATAACTATAGATGGTATGATAGCTTTGACACTACCCGCACCAACCATTCAGGAGGCATGTTGTTAACCATGTCATATCAACCCCCCTTTATTTCCACGGTTAGGGGATCAAGAAACAACGGGTCTCGGGGTGACCCGCTCGGGTCAAAGCTTAGATCCTTGAAATATCACTTGGCGTGCTCTCGCTTACGGATCACCTAGGGTACATTAGCCCTGCGGGAAATGCAAGTTCCTAAGGGGCTGTGACCGGCATGTTCGCCTGTCGTTTGAGCCAATAAAAAGGACACCCGCTTCCCCTCTTCCCTCTCATTCGCACCGCTGTCCCAACAACTGTAGAGAGTACGGGAAAGTTAGCATGGGTTTCGCAGCTCGAATAGGCGGCCTTGTTCTTCTGACTCTCGCCACTGCCCCAGGTGCTCTGGCTGTCGCAGTCCAAAAACCGAGCCCAGTAGTTGATTTGGGCTACGCTAGCTATGAGGGATATCATGACAACATCTATAACCTTAATATCTTCAAAGGGTGAGAAATATACCGTATTGGAGTGTACTAAGCGTTCCATTGCAAGGTCACTTACTGTGTAAACAGGATTCGATATGCTGCCCCTCCCCTTGGGAAGCTACGATGGCAGGCACCACAGGCCCCTCCAGTGAACAGGACATCGATTCAATCTGCCACTGAACAGCCCCCAGTCTGCCCCCAGTCCGGTGCTGCAAAGGTTCCAGAAATATACGGCTTCAATTCAGCGCTGGGCGATGAGGATTGCTTGTTCTTGAATTTGTATGCTCCACCCGGGGCCAAGGATCTCCCTGTCATGGTTTGGATTCGTAAGTTTATGCGCAAGTGGAGTACCCAGAGACTCGACCAAAAGCACATGTTCTAAGGAATTATAGATGGTGGCGGATATGCGCTTTTTGGGGCCGAATACGACCCCAGTGAGTGGATCAATACCAACAACAATGGATTCATCGCAGTTATGATCCAGTACAGACTGGGGGCCTTTGGCTTCTTGTCATCAGAGGACGTACACAAGTACGGGAAGACGAATGCCGGGCTGCTCGATATGCGGTTCGCCCTCGAATGGGTCCAGGGGCATATCGCAGAATTTGGCGGCAACGCCTCCCGAGTCACGATTGCCGGTGAATCTTCTGGAGCAAGCTCAGTGGTACTGCAATCAATGGCTTATGGTGGTCGTGAGGATCGTTTATTCAATAACGTAAAGTTATAGTGCCATGAAATCGGGGACAGCATGGCTAACTTGAATAGATTATTGCCGCTAGCCCGTATAGCTCGACCTTGTACCAGTACGATGGTGACATCCCGACAAGTCACTATCGACAGTTTGCCGCACGAGCGGGGTGTTCCAAGAAGCGTTATATGCCCGAAGGAGCGGTATTTGACTGCCTTGTCAATGCTGACACCGAGACCCTGCAATACGCCAGTGCAAATGTCTCTATCTCAGGAGCATGGGGTACTTGGGCCTTCCTACCTGTGGTTGATGGCGATTTCATTCAGGAACTACCATCAAAGCAGTTACATAAGAAGAAAGTCAGCGGCCAGCGCGTTTTATCCGGGGTAGGTTCATTGCACTGAATCATCGTGTCAAAATATCGGGCTTCATGGCGCTAACTCTCTCAGAACAATGCCAATGAGGGTGTTCCGCTTAGTCCCCCATTTGTGAACAGCACTGTCGACTTCCTAGATTACATCCACTCCACTTTCCCTTTCTTTTACCCCAGTGATTATTCTCGCCTGATGAATGAATATGGAGTCCGAGCCAGCTCTCCCGAGAACACCGGTCCCCGATACGATACACTAGGTGATCGTGGACCAACAGCTGTGAACCAATCAGAAATGGCAACTGGTCTTCAGCAGACAGTCTTTGACATATTTGCCGAATCAAGCTTTGGCTGTCCTTCTTATTGGCTTGCGGATGCGTTCGCCGGAGGCCATGCCAAGGAGAGTTGGAAATATCAATTCTCCGTCACCCCTGCGTACCATGGTGCAGATTTGACCGCGTACTTCTCTGTTGGGGCGACTACGCCAACTCGCAGTTTCATCCACGCATTCCAGAAGATTTGGGGAAATTTCATCATCAATGATACTCCAGTTATCTCTGTAATAGATGCGAAGGGCGGTACAGACAACTCTACCGTTCCTGAAGGTGCAGATGGAGATATAACCTGGCCAAAATGGAATGACAGATCCCCTGTCCTAATGAACTTGAATACCACGGGTGGAACTACATCCTACCAGCAAGTTACTGATCATCTGTCTTACTGGATTCGCGAAGGACCCGGTGTCACAAATGAGTTCAGCTTGGCAGATGCAGCAAAGTGGGAAGGTGGCCGTGGTAAGCGTTGTGAGTTCTGGAGAAGCGTTGGCCCACGTGTTCCAGCATAAGCCATTTGGGCTTCTTTTTATTCAAAATCTGCTGTAGAGATCCTTTCAGTATTTCGATTTGCAAGTACAGACGTTCCGTATATTTACAATCGGAGATATGCTTTTTTGTACACAGATTTTCGCTCGCTGTTACTGACGGGCCTCTAGAAATATACCAGAAAAGTCTGCATTACTTATGTATCTGCCAATCATTGGCATCTTTATATTGTTTGAAGCCTATTGGGCTTCTACCCTAGTTCCACAGACCATCGATGGGCCCAGGGACCGGGCCCAAAGCCCAGCCCATTTGTAGATTGGGGCGGGTTGGGCTTTGGGCTTTGCGGGCTGGTGAGGAGGTCTATTTTGGATTGATGTAAACCATTGTGAAACGAGTTGCAAACCCCAAAAGTTGATAAATTCTTTGAGGGAAATAGAGACTTTTGGCAATTACAATCAAACCACCGAGCTGCTGCCTCACATTATCTTTGTTGATATCCGTTATCAAGCAGGGGTTCGGTCCATCCGTCGGTGCCTCCGACGCAGGAATTGCCGGGATTTGATCAACATTACTCCACTCAATGACTCGGGCAGTTGACGAAGATACTGTTGGTTGAACTTCGAAGGTACTATTGGATCTCCATGCTGAGGCTCAATCCCTAACGACGATGAGGAAGGAGTTGGAACTTGAGCGACGGTTGTAGTTACGCGGTGCACATAAGTGCAATTCGATAAGTTTCACTGCACCCAAGCCTTCCGGACTTCGTGGGCCAGTAGACAACACCGATCATGACACCAACTCGAGGAGAGGTCAGCGCGCTAACTAAAGGACTCTCATTCGAGATCACCGAGCATGAGATTGGAGACTATGAAGCGCTTCTTGCGCGTACGCAGAACACATTGGAGCTTGTCGCAGCGATGGAAGGTAAGTGGGCGTGGTTCTCAGATACAGTTGAAGGCCCGATTTCTGAGTCCCCTGGCAGATCATCAACCCAAACCGGACCAGACAACCATCCCCAGGCAAAATATACGCTTTCCTCGGCCGGCGGATAATCCTCTCGGGGCAAGTGGCACGATGAGCAGACGATATTGCAGGTTGCTCATGTTTGGGAGCAAAGCGCCAGCTGGAAGGACTTTGGAAGGTGGGATAGTCCATGCAATCAAGTTAGTGATTCCTCTCTGCTCTGTCTGTTGTATGTTTGCCCTGGAGATCCTGGTGCATATATCTCCGCAGTCACTGAATCTCCACGCTCTCACGAAGGTCGCAAGGATGAAGCATATTTCAGACTCAATGTCGAAAGACCTTTTTTGAGTTCCAAGATCAGCAAAAGCGTAAACTGAATCCTTGACCGCAAACCCATCAAATGCGCATATGGTAAATGAGCCTGCCAATCCGAGAAGTACTCACAAGCAAAGCGGGCGCTCCATCGCATCCATCCAGTGAGAAAATAGAAAGAACGATAAAATAGCTGAAGTAGTATGTGGGCAGTGTGTTTAGGGAATTTTTGACTTCCAACAGCACGCCATATCGCTGTCAGATTCTTGCAAAGGTTTTATTCTCGCCGAATGAGAACGTCGGGATTTCCTTCCCGATCTATTACTCTTGCAGTCATGATATTCCCTAGGATGAAGGGAGCCCAAAATAGTGACCGGGGTGTGAAAGTGCTAATTTCTCGGGGACTTGTTAAGGACTGCATCCCCTTGCCAAGTCCTCTCTTGACGGTAGAAAATAGCATATCTGTAGATCTAGATGTAAATGGTCTTTTGGTCGTGCTGGTTGTCTTGAAATGTGATGTTGTGAAGGAAATGGAAAGTGAACTCCTACTATTCTACAACATACATACTCTGGAGTGGACGTGTTTAGGACGTAGAGTAATCTAGGTGACAGCGGGAGTTGCCTAAAGCAGAATGCTACTTTCCCCAATCAGGCGCAGCACACTTACGTATATTTGGTAGTTCTATTGCATACATCATCATAGTGTCACAGTATCAACACGATCCCAACAACTAATCTCCAGCGCCATGAAGACCAGCACCTTAGAAACTGAATAAACCGCTACGGGCTTTGCCGTACGGATAAACCACCAGTGCAGATATGAACAAACCGATAGTAATGCCGATAGCAACTTGGATCATACCAAATCCTAGACTGAACACAGAACTGTTGGATGACAGGCCAGCCCCGGGAGCCGAACTAGCAGCACCATGAGACGACACATTCTGTCGAATCTCATCTGCAGACTGTACACCGGTGATGAGGGAGCCAGTTGCGGCAAGTCCAGATGGCACGAGAATGAAAATGCCAGGTAGAATAGCGGTTGCAGCGTGGCCATGCCAAAATCGACTGTACAAGTTTCCCATAATCCCAATGGTAAACGCCCCGACCGTATTTGCCACCTGAGAATTCGATCCCAGTTTCTTCGTACTGAAGTAGTTGCTAATGTAACCCGACAACGCGATGATGCTCATGGGTGGGAGCTGTTTCCATTTTCCTTGATTGATGATCAAGAGCCAGACTGTCATGACCGCGACAAATGGGAACCGTTGAACGTAGGGGTTCTTAAACGCTCCCTTTGACGGACAGGAGGTATCTGAGACGGCAGCGTTGTCCATCAACCCGTAGACCGTCGTGCCGACGGTGATGCCATATCCGATAAATAAAGAAAAGATGATCGCATACACCATTCGAATCGAGCCGGCAATGATCTGATGCGACTGGAGCTCCAAGCTGCTACACAGCACCAAGAATCCCGGTAAAATCAAGGCAATCGAAGCTTGGGCTATGGCAGAAAAGCAGAACAGATACTGTGGTTTACCATCCACCACTGTAAGTGCGATGCTACCAAAGGCCCGGGCGAGAAAGGAGGTCACCACGGTCGATGTCACTTCGAAGACATTTGAATATAACACCGAGCGAGGTGCAGCAACATGTTGCATCAGGCCAACAAGAATCCCATTTAGAAAAATGATCGGCATATCAATCGGTCTGGCGCTGAAGGCGAAAGGCCCAACCGTGGCAGTGGCCAGACCATATACCAAAACAACAATCCATTTAGCATACCGAGGCTTTTTCTTCACAATGGTATCAAGCTCAGTTACAGCTTCTTCAATGCCGATCACATCATGAATGACATTTTTGTAAATGAGATGGGTGTCCGATAAGCGAGCAAGATCGACTCCCTGAGCCACGCGAACCAGCTTCACCTCCGTTGTGCGGGTGGAAGGGTCATCGAACGACATAATCATGCAGCCTGGCAAATAGAGAAATTGGCTGTCGACCTCCAAAACCTTTGAGGTCATCTGCATGTACTCTTCAAGTCGATGCGTAGGAGCGCCAAACAACATCAACGCTCTGCACAGCTGCATGATATATCGTTGTCGACAGATAATCTCGGCAATGTGCACTGTTACGCGAATTTCATCCTCAAGTCGCATCTGTCGGTTCCCACCACCAGCCAGAGCAGCATCGCCGCCGCCTTCCTTATTGCGTCGCTGGGAGGCCTGCGATAGAACTTCGCTTGAAACGGGAGTGCTTGCACCACTGAAAGACTCCGCTGTCCCTCCAATCAAGGTGGAGGTGGACGTGTTTTGGGGCTTTTTATACCATTTCACAGGCTTTTGTTTTTTGGGCTTCCCGCCTCCGGCAGCGGGTGCGGATTCGGTGCTGCGCAACGAGTCAGAAGAAGTTGATTTTCGAGGCTGATTTTCACCACCTGGTTGTTGACCCTGCTGACCCTGCTGGCCCTGCTGGCCCCCGTTCAATTTGATCAACTGCGACAGAATACCACCACCGCCAGAGCGATATCTCAAGCTCGCATCTGCTCCAGTCTCATTTTCCTCGTTTTGGAATTCGTTTCCCGCGTGCGGATAAGGCTTCCCGCGACCTTTGCGACGTTTCTGGGAATGGTCTTGGGTCAGATCCCGCACCATACGGTGAGCCTCAGAACTGCTCCCTTTCTGGTGCCGCTTTTTGTCTTCTTCACTTTTATGCTTGTTATCGGTCATGTCGGACAAGGCAGCTGCACCACCCGTCGCCCAGTCCGCGTGATACTTGCCCGCCGACAAGTCATCTCCTTCGGTCTGTGGACGGCCAAGACGGTCACCCAACTGGGAGGCTTTCTCTCTCCAATTTCGTGCCATCGCCCGCCATTTCTCCCTTGCTCCTAGTTGCTCAGGAGGAGGGTGCTCGGGTTCCTTTTTCTCCCCTTGTGCTTTTTGCTGATCTGCCCTCTCGACACCGTCCCCGCCTTGAGTCTCGCTCGGCTGAGACTCGCGATCCTGCAAGGGCGTATCGGTAATATCCTCAGTCTCATGTGAATATGGCATTGTTGGTCGATGGGGCAGCCCTTGGGAGTGAGCATGATCCCATTCTTCGTGGAGACCCTGACTCGGCGGCTCGTGGTGAGCCCCTCGCAGGGCATCCTGATTGGATCGAAAATGCACCCGGATAGGTGACTCGCCATCTTCTGGAGTATTTTGCGGTGCCTCCAACGACTCTTGTGACGAGCTGGGATTGTCCGGGTCCGAGCCATAGTTGAAGTTCTGCATTGATCCTCGTGGCATGAAGACGGCGGGCGGGGTTCACGGCTTCGTCGACATCTAGCCCTAGATTGTACTGACTGAGACAAGCCGGGAGATGTTGATGCCTTTTGTCTGTTATTGTGAAGAGCTTTTAATTCCGTTCCCCTTGGAACCCTCGGGATTCTCATTTCAAAGTGGGCTACCTATCATAGTCGCTATAATGAGCTCACGGAGACGTGACCGGGGTATAAGTGCGACCCATGGTCTGGAATCGACAGCAAAGAGTTCATTTTAGAGATATTAGAGAGGTGTAAGAGATTATCAACTCGGGATTGAGAGCCTTCCCACCAGTCATGAGCTAAACTTGTGTCCGTTGTCGCCTCATCGGAAATCTATCCCACGCAACTGTCGGAGTTAGATAACTGTCGCCACCGAGTGTTCTGTCTAACGAAATGATCTCATGTATATAATGGAGGCATATTACTAGTTGAAAGGCAACAATTTCAAATGTCTGGTTTCTTAGTGTTGGAAAACAAAACCAGACTGCCCTGGTTTTATATTAGGAGTAGTATAGAAATTCAAGACCCGTTTGCGCCCACCGAATCAAAGTCTTTCCTCTTCTGAGCCATAGTAGATAGGAAAGGACAGAAGAAACTCACAATTTGCTCCAATTCGTCTACAAGTTCATGCAAGTTCCACGATGTTGGAGCTGATATATTGATCGCGCTCCCCAACAAGACGCCTGGGTCCGGACGATTGTACTATATATCTTCAGCACTTAACCAACACAACTTTAAAACCCCCAATACTCCGGAGGACAATCCTGGAATCACTATTACTTGCGAATATAGACACGAATATAGACACTGGAAACAGGGAGTTGTGAATATTAAAAAGACAGATACTCTCTTCCCTCGCGTGTTGCGAGCATTGAGACCATTGAGACCGAATCCATTTCAAATGCGTCCGAGAAACAACGTTCCCAAGTCATCGTGTCGCCTAATCGACAATTTTACCGCGTCAGTCAGATAAATCCCAAGCATATTTTACCCTTGTTACATAACAAGTGTTCCAAGGTTGCAGGGTTGGTATGTGGGCGTGTTATCACTTCGCTAGGCAACGGAAAGGGATGACGTAGGAGATGAGACATTGTCGCTCCCGACATTCCACCGGTTACCATGTGGCTCGGGTTGGAAGCAGGGAAGATGTGTCGCATGAGATTGAGGACATGTGTTTGGCCATTGCGTACGGAGGTCGTCGCTCTGCCTTTTGGGCGATTATCATGTCAAACAGCCGTCCCAACACCCAAACAACGACATTGAGTCATTCGGGTGATGAACGTACTGAGATATATTTGATGCACATCCTGTCTCTATCTCAAGATACAACGAAACACACCATAGAGGGTGTAAATCGGTCAATGAATTCCAAAAAGACTACAAGTGCTTACGTAGAGACATGATGATAGACTGCTTCAAGCCTGGGATGTAGCTTCGTCTAATGGACCCAGTCCACGCACACACAGCATCCTGAGGCTAATCAATTCTACGGGAGTCTGCAGAAGATCTAGATCCCAGGCCACGCAAGGGTTGTCGATCGCCAAGGCTGCCTCAGTCCACTGGACGCGCAGCGACAAATGTTTGAACATTCCGTATACTGCGTACCCTGTAATTTGTTTCTAGGAACATACCAAGATAGCCTGCAGGGCAACTGTCAAGAGCCATAGCACTGGGACTTATATGTTTATCATGCATTGATCCACCGGCTGTTTCCTTCGTCATTCCCGTATTTGACGTTGAGGTTAGATTTGAAGGGCGATCATGAGGGGTTTTTCATCTCTGTATGCGCTGGCAGCTGTTGCCTCTACAGCATCGGGTGCTATTGTTCCCATACACTTGATGCGTTCGTCTTCATCGCATGGCTCTTCATCATCGCCTGTCCCTACGAAATCATATGATGAGTTCACGTTTGATTGGGCCCTTGCATCGTCGTTGGCAGGTATCACTGGGCCACCGGAGGGTGCTACTATACACCAAGACGTGACTAGCACAATACCATCAACCATATCGACTACTCTCGCAACAGCCACCAAGGCCACAACAGAGGTTACGGGTGGGTTATCAAAGCCAGCTACTTTGTCGTCAACGACGAGTTCCAAAATCGAAGTGATATCCCAAACGACATCTGTGTTGACCCAAGGCCTTGGTTCACCCAGGGTATCTACTCTCTCATGGACGAATAGGCCTGTTATCACAGAAGCAGAGAGCAGTTCTAGGCCAACAACCGGGATCCAGACCAAAGTCCCCACATCATCGGCGAGTTCGACTAAATCGTACGTGTGGGTTCATGTTATCGAGAAATCAACTCAAGCTGACCAGTGTCTCTAGTCCGATCTTTCAAAACATCAAGTCGTCCGTGGCCAAGACCTGCCCTGCGCCTGGTAGCCAGGTACCTGAAGTCTACTGGCTGGACGAGCAAGACCATAACGAAAAAGGCGCAGGATTCGCTCCCTACGCTAAGAGCTCGCAATACCCTGTCTACCGAAACGTGATGGATTACTCTGTCGTAAACGATGGCAGCGGTGATCAAACTCCAAAGCTTCAAAAGGCAATCGACGACGACGGTGTCGGCGGGAGCCGCAAAGGTCAGGGTGTCACACGGTACCCGGCTCAAGTTTATCTCCCAGGGGGCGTGTACCAGCTTCAAACAACCCTCAAGCTGACGGTGGGCACCATCATTGTTGGAAACCCGTTGAACCCCCAATTCTGAAAGCTGGGGCGGAATTCAAAGGTGACTATCTCGTTATGGGTTACGACTCGCATAATGGGAATCCGGAAACCAGCTTTGCAACGGTTATCAAGAATGTTATCTTGGATACTACAGCCCTCAAGCCAGATCGTCACTTCACTGCCCTCCAATGGGGAGTTGCGCAGGGGTCGGGATTGACGAATGTCAAGATCCGCATGCCGACACATTCCACCGGTCATATTGGAATTGACGTCATTGCAGGTTCAACCATTGCTGTTACGGATGTGGTAAGTTGACCAGTGAGCCTATGAAAGACACAAGCCTAATTGAGTATAGCATATTACTGGCGGCGCCATTGGGATTCAGAATTCCAACCAGCAGGTTAACTTCAAGAACGTTTATTTCAAGTCTTGTAGAACAGCCTTCAAGGCCGCAGGTGGCTGGACTGTACTCTTACAGCAGGCCACCTTTGAAAGCTGCGGTACTGGTATTGATATGACCGGGAATGGCCTGGGTAGTCTGGTACTCCTTGACTCAACTGCTGTCAACAGCGGCCCGGTGATTAGATTCCATGACTCCTCCAACGATTCTGGATTCCGGAATAGCCAGTTCCTCATCCAAAACCTCAACCATGATACCGAGAACGCCATCGCTGTCGACGCCCAGGGCAATGTTGCTTTGGCTGCTACCCCTCACGTTGATACATGGGTATGGGGCAATGTAGTTCCATATAACTACCTGACTGGAGTAAGTTGGGAAACAAAACGCTCTTCCGCTTTGCTGGTGGGAGGCAAATACTTCACCAAGCCACAGCCCACCTACCAAAACCACGACAAGGGCGATATTGTCAATGTAAAGCTTGTGTCTGAGCACTCAGTTAAGGGTGACGGGAAGACCGATGATACCAAAGGACTGAACGCAATTTTGGCTGAGAATGCTGCTTCGTGCAAGATTACATACATCCCCTTCGGTGTCTATCGAGTTTCAGACACAATCTTCGTGCCAGTTGGAACTCGCATTGTCGGAGAAGCATGGTCGGTCATCTCTGGATATGGCGCGAAATTCAAAGACTCAGATAATCCAAGACCAATTATGCAGCTGGGAAATCCAGGCGACGTTGGGGTGATTGAAATTCAAGATATCCGAGTCGCTGTCGGCGAGATCCTACCAGGTGCTAAGCTCATCGAAGTCAACGCCGCAGGCAATGAACCCGGCGATGTCGGCCTCTGGAACACGATGGCCATGGTTGGAGGCACCGCTGACACCAGTGTCGCCACTGGGTGTACATCACAAGACCCCAAAGACTGCATGGCCGCTTTCATGGTGATGCATCTGACCGAGACATCATCTGCATATATCGAGAACTTCTGGGGCTGGACCGCCGATCATAACCTCGATAGTGACTCCATCTTCACAATCATCTCAACTGGACGTGGTATTTTGGTCGAGTCTACCAAAGCCACCTGGATGACTGGTACTGGCTCCGAGCACCACTGGCTATATAACTACAACTTCCACAACGCCGAGAACGTATTCGCAGGGCTGTTGCAGACCGAAACTCCATATATGCAGGGCCAGGGTGAGTACCGAGCAGCACCAGCACCATGGAATGCGGTCGCCAAATACGGGGACCCTGATTTCTCGTGGTGTGCCGGCGAGGACCAAAAATGCCGCACGGCGCTAGCCACCAATGTCGACGGTGGATCCAACATCGCGCTGTATAACTCAGCTGCGTGGGCGTTCTTCGATGGATATTGGAATGGTCTGTATAACGAGCCCTGCAACGGGAACTGCCAAACCAATATGATGCGGGTGACGAATGATCCTCATAATCTCGTTTGGTACTCCATCAGCACGCGCATGACGGATGTCATGGTGCTCGATGGGAAGACCAACCCTCGTGAGTTCAATCATCCAGGTGGATGGGAAGCTATCATTCAGGTTTATGGACAGTTTATTGCTTGAGATTGGTCGTGTTATGATTTTGCATGATTTTTGGACATATGCATCCACGTTAGTGTTAAGGCTCGTGGGTTGGGTGGATCAATCACCTCAAATATATCTTTTAATTGAACTATAATATAAGTGCAGCATATTACGTCTATATTCATACTCAATCTAGGTACATAGAGACTCAGAGCATGTAAAAATATAGTCCTCCGTACAAAAGGAGGCTGCAATGAGGATGACGTCACTATGAAGTACTATCCAAGTCGTCATTGGCACCTCTCGTCGCCCGTAGTCCATTGTGCACCGGCCACCAACACACAGTGACAACTCTCCCTCCTTTTTGTACAAGGCTATGCCATTTAGGTACGCTCCTCAAGCTGCGAAGGGCGTATATTCCCTCCCGAGAAATAAAACAGAGTATATTCCGAGTTGTTTCTATTCATGCGTTATCTCCTGGGCCGTAATACCTTCTGCTACTTATGCAAGAACGATTTGTTTGACCAGTTCCGCCGCCTCCTTCAAATTCTCACAGAAGCAAGTTGCGCGGTGTGCCTGCGAAGTTACGACCGAGAAGTACACACTGCGTCAGTTAGTGAGCGCTCGGGTTCGATATTCAATCGCCATGAGGCGCACTTACCTCTCATCATAAACTTCGTAATGCGACCAGACTGCCTCGGGATCTTTCCAGAGACATCCCTTCTCCATCATGCCCGTTTCGAAGCAATTGCTCATCATCAGTCGAGGCCGTACCCTGGTATGAACTGGGTCCTTATATAGCTCAGGCAGCTCATCGGGGTTCTCTGCCAGCGCTCTCAGAGCGGTCAGATTGCGCTCCCAGCCAAGGTTTCGTCCTGCTTTGTTTATGGTATTGACATGCGCCCGAATGGCATCGACGAGGAGAGCACGGCGCTGCGCTAATGGGACTCTAGAGTCCCTGGCGACTTTCAAGAAAGTGGCAACTGCGGGCACGATGACCTGGATGATGTCGACGCGCCCGAGATGGTAGTGCGCTTGGTTCACTGTCTCCCAGCATGGGGGCGTATAACCAAATGTTGCCAGGGAGGCAAGCTGGACGACCATCTGGAAAACGCTCTTTGGAGACAACCTTTGGGCACGCAAGAAGGTTGAGCCGTACCCATCGAAGAGCAGGTATGCGTGTTCGGATCCTGACGTGCTTGCCGCATACTCTTCTTGCACTTTGATAATGCGAGTTTCGAGCGCAGCGTCTGTCTTCAGAGGCAGACAGGTTATCGACAAGGCTCTTTCTTGTTGGATCACGCGAGCGTCTAACGGCTTATATGTGGCGATGGCTTTGATTTGATCGTCCAAGAACTCATTCAATGTTAGAGCATCTAGCATGGTGTGCTCACCTACTATACCGGAAGCACCATTGCTGCAGACCACGAACTGGATTGATTTATCCTGCCAGCGATTAGCTGCATCGTTCTCCCCTCCAAAGTGGAACTGCCTTGCTCGTTCAGTTGCAGTTGAAGGCATGGCTTCATCCAATGCAACTATGAACGCCGAAGATTCAATAGTGGCAATGCTAGCAGCATTCACCGGATCGAGATTTTGGAGCGCTTGCCTTGCCTTGGCCCACGATGGTCTGTTGTCGGACGTGAATATCGTCACATTGGAGCGTTCCAAATCTTGACTCAGGATTGAGTGGAAGGCGACCAAGAAGTCCTCGAAGAGCGCCGCCCTACCCCCAACAGAGAGATTCAACTTGAAGGCATGGCCTCGCCATAAAACCACACAGTGGTCGACACTTTGAAAGGTCTCTATTTCATCACTTCCCACGTGCGGGACCCGTACCGTGCTGAAAATGTAAGGGTAGTATGCAGTTGTTAGCTCTTGCTCATTGAGCATGACTGGTTTCACCAATCCAGCCCTCAGCTTTAATTTGAACTGGCTGGCTGAGAATGCAAGCAGAGCAGCACGTTCTGCCTGTGAATGCTGAAGCTTGCTCAGTGGATGACTGAACCAAAAGTTGGTCCAAGGAGCGAGGGATGCTCTGCGGTCTAGAAAACCACGTCGGACTTGCAATTCATGTTCCCAGTTCTCACATTTGGGATTTGCATATCTGGCTACCGCACGATCGTAAAGGAGACGACCCCTGCTGCCTGCCTGTTTGAATTCTTCGGTCAGACGAATGGTGTTTTGGAATTCTTCTGGAGTGGCGAAGGATTTGACACCAGTAAGGTATGCGTCCAGTATCGTGTCCAACGAAGGCAAAGGGTACTTTGGACAGTTGTTCGTGACAAAGCGATTCTCGCGCTCAGATGACAGCAACTGAGTGCCTTTCACCATGACTGGGCTATTTTCCACAGGGTTCGACGCTTGAATGTTCATTGTTCTGTTCGTAGCAACTTTGAAGTCAACTGTGCCACTTGCGATCATTTCCGATGCGACCGCATGAATTTCTTCGCTTTTTTGGAGCTTTGACGTCTGTTGTCCTCCAATCGGTGTTGTGTGCCAATCGACAGCGCTTTTTGGCGGCGAAGCCTGATCTGATTCTTCTGGCAAATCACCGGGGACGAACTTGGACTTCCGTGCCACCAAATCCGCCAGGGCTCCAAGACAACTAGCATCGAGAATGTCGTGTACTCTGATATCAGCCCCCAGGCTGCGTCCAAGCCAGTTTTTGAATTCTATCGCGATCAGCGAGTCGAGGCCGAGGTCGGCAAGAGGTTCCTGAGGGTCAAGCTGCTCCGCGTTGACTGATACAAGTGATGATATCTTTTTCAGCTGTTCCTCCAAAACGATGCGTCTTGCCTCTTGCAGGCTTGAAACAGCAGCGAGACGCCTTTCTATGCTCACCCTGCTGTTGGTCGGATGCGAGGATAATTCATTGCTCGCAGTCGCAGACGATACATCATTGTCTGTGGCACCAGACTGTGCGATCAAAGCAAGCAAGGCCTTCTTCTGGTCTTGGGAAACAGTGAGGTCATTGATGGCCTGGATGATACGATCCACTTGTGCGAGACTAGTCGCTGGGACGACCGCCTCCTTGACATTGACGAGCGCATTGTCGTCCCCAAGCAACACCGTTTTACCAATGTTCTTCTGACTTTGCACCGCCTTGAAAGCCGATGCGACCTCCGATATGGGCGTTGCAGTGATAGGTAACCAACCATCAACACAAGCTTCCGGTAGCAAAGATAGCACCGTTTTGAAAGCCGAGCTTGCCATTGAGGGAAGACACCTGACAAGCTGACCTGCTTCGAAGGAGACATATTTGATCGCACGATTTGCAAAGGTGGAAGGCGCAGGCTGCTGGTGAAGATCGACTACTGTGCCGAAGGCCTTGACTGATTCAATCAACTCGGCCTGAATGGGTGTTGGTGATGTGTTGAGCACTGCGTCGACACCTGTACCCTTTGTCAACCGCAACAATGATTTTACAAGTGCAGAATCCTCGGAATAGAGTATATGAACTGGCCGTGTAGTGTCAAACCACTCCAGTGCCTCTTTTTCCGCGTTTGTCTTGACCGTTGCTAACACCCGGATACCCAGCAAACTTGCAACAAGAGCTACAGCCTGTCCAAGCGCACCCTGTGCATTATTGACCAGCACAGTCTGGCCCGGCTCGAGCTGAGCACAGTCATGTAAGGCGTGATAAGCAAGAGACGTGTTTTGCGGAAGAGCTGCGGCCGCTCCAAACGACCACGATGCTGGTATCCTCTGCACAAAAGGGGCCTTGACCCGTGTCCTAGTAGCTGTCAGCCTCAGTCATCATAAAAGCAAGAACGGTGGAGTCATGATCCAACTTGCCTACTCGCGAAAGGAACGCTGGTGTTCCAGGCACAGACTCGCTCGCCAATCTGGAAGGAGTTTGCCAAATCAGATCCCACAGCCGCAATTATACCAGCACACTCTCCAATGCTGGTAGAATTACTACTTTTGCCAAGGATCATGTCGATATCGGCTGCATCTAAGGCAAATGCCAAAGCCTTAATCTCAACCTCATCCGCCCGCAGGGCAGCCTTGGAGTCCTGGTCTTCAACAAAGCATAAGCTGCTGACTACTCCCGGAGTGGCAATCGTCATTCTGAGGGGCTCATGCACACTGTGCAATGGACGGGGAACATATGTTGCTGGTGCGGATGCCACGGTGGTGGCGATGCCTTGGAACTTCTGGCCACGCAGAATGACTACTGGGATTGGCTCATTACCTAAAGGTAAACTGCCATCAGCAAATGTCTGCAAAATATCACTCAAAACGGGTGACTCACTGTCTTTTTGGAAAGCTGTTACGTCGACCGAACCGGAGCGCGGTCCTGAAGGAGAGAGGGCAGCGCATACGTCGAGTTGACTGCCAGGTATTGTCGTCATATTCGCCTACCAATATGATGATTAGTTGATGTCTCAGATATCATATGTTTGGGTACACTGAATTGGCTCACCGTCACAATAATTTCCTCGATAGAGGTCAGCATGGCCGTGCCAACGGTGCAATGACGGAAGTATAAGGGCAGCACAATGTGCATCAAACCGTCAAATGTTGCCGGATGGATAGTGTGAGGCTGCTGGTATCCGGAGGGCATGCACTGTCCTACGTCGGGAATCACAATTTGCCCAATCGCCTGACATTCCCCAATGCGCAGCTCTTTAATGGTCGCGAAATTTGTACCATAATCGATTCCATTGCGGCGCATTTCCTCATACAACGCCTCATGCTTGATCGGCTGAGTGCAGGCTGCTTGGGTCTGGGAGAGGCGGTCTCGGAGATCGGCTAGTGCCCGCAATTGCTCACGACCTCCATCTACCTCGTTCGCTCCGGACTCATATTCGAGCTTGATCTGCCCCACACAGTTCAAAGCCCATGTCTCCGCATCAACCGAAGATGTGATCTGAAAGGTTTCCCACCCAGACGACTCTTGCGAGGTAGTCCCACTATTGCTTTGTGCCGAAAGGCTTATCATGACCTCCACCTTGCCGGGCGACTCGGGAATCATGATAGCCTTGGAATAGTTCACCTTTTTCAAGTGGAAACGCTGAATCTTGTGAACACTTCGTTGGTCGTTCAATTGGCGCGCTGCTTCCATGGCCATAGTGAGAAAGCTAGCGCCCGGTAGAATGGCGAATCCGTCAATGACATGCTCGGATAGCCATGGCTGCGCGTCAAGACTGAGAATATTTCTCCATATTGGCTCCAGTGGCGTGCTGCCAATCAGCCTCAAACCCAGCAGATCATGGTAAGGATACTTTCGGAAACGGTATTCCTTGCTCAGGCGCGATTCATGCCAGTATCGGTTCGAGTAGTCCCATGCGTATGGGGGCAGGTCGAGGAGCATGTCAGGCTCGTTTGCGCGATCATACATGTTGTTGACACCTTCAATGCTAAAGTCCAAGCCGAACTCAAATAGTTTACCCGCAAGAGTGAGGACGGTTGTGTGCGCACTTTTACCACGTACAAGGGCAGATACGTACTTGTGGTCCACCTTGTTGGGCTCCGATGCCAGTATTTGCTTAGCCGGCCCTGCAAGTGCCGAGTGAGGTCCAACTTCCAAGAAAATATGAGGTGGAGCTTTTGAACGCGACGCAGTACCAGCCTGGTCGCAAGATGCCAATAATGCCTCTGGGAAGCGCACGGTTGAGACAAGGTTCTGCACCCAGTAAGCAGCGCCAAATCCAGAGGTTTTCCGTCCGCCGGTGACGGATGAGAAGAGCTGAATATCGTCACGGGCCTCGGAACCTTGTATCACTTGTAGAGCCTCGAGATATTGATCTGCCACAGCTCTCATATGGTGCGAATGATACGCAACGTCAACTGGAAGAAGCTTTGCCATGATGGATTGGCCGCTCAGAAGCTCTTTCAACTCTTCGAGAGCATCCTTGTCGCCGGAGATGGTCGTACTGCTCGGACTGTTGATGCAAGCCAGGGATAACCGATCCTTGCCAATCCGATCGATGTACTTGTGCGCGTCGACTTCGCCAAGGGTAGTAACCATCATTCCGCCAGGTATATTGATGACTTGCTTCACCAATTGCGAGACTTTGCTGCGATGGAATGAAACGCACAAGGCCTCAGCATGCGACAGTGCGCCGACCACATATGCAGCTGCGATTTCACCACTGGAATGTCCTACTACGGTGTCGGGTTGAATTGAAAAACTTTCCAGTAGCTCGACCAGTGCTATCTGTAGGGCCGTAGTGACAGGTTGCGATATTTCACTTTCGTTAATCCGAGAGGTCTCCTCACTGCGACTTAACATTTCGAGTAGACTCCAGTCAACCCCAAAGGCCTTGAGCATCTTCTCGGATTGTCGCAGTGAAGTCGCGAAGGCCGAATCTGTCTGAAGCAGCTCACGGCCCATCGCATACCACTGCGCACCTTGCCCAGTGAAGACGAAAGTGAGCTTGGGCTTGCTAGTAGCCTTTTCTGGCTGTCTGGCGGCTGCGCTTGTAGCTGCGGCTAAGAAATCCTCCACCGTACTAGCAAGAAAGCTTGTGCGGATGGGAAAATTTGTGCGCCGCGCCGAGAGAGTGTATGCAAGTTGGTTCAGTGTGTCGGGGCCGACATGTGGTTGGGAGCTGATCCATTCCCTGAGGTTCTCAAGGTTGCCCTTGAGGGATTTGGAAGATTTTGCCGAGACAGTAAAGAGGGTACTTTGCCTCTTATCTCCGTCAGCACCATTGACAGGGCGGATCGCTTGAAGTCCATTGGCCCTGTTTCTTTGCTGTACGGTCTCATAGCTGTCCAAGATGGCCGCTACGTTTGTCCCGCCATAGCCGAAGGAGTTGATAGCTGCCCTTCGAACCCCTTGGGTTGGCCATTGCTCGAGTCGTGTCGGGATCCGAATGTTCCGCTTCTTGAGATCTAGCCCTTCCTTTATGTTTAGTACATCTGGTGTAGCTGGAATCACACCCTTCTCAAGCGACATGACTGTCTTAATCAGACCAGCCAAACCGCTGGCACTCTCACAGTGCCCTAAGTTTGCCTTGATCGAGCCGACAAGCAACGGCTGGTCTCTCTTAACGCCGTCGCAAAAAACTCTGGAAATCGAGTTTATCTCGGCGTTATCTCCCGCTTGCGTTCCAGTGCCGTGAGCTTCGATATAAGTAGTCAGACCCGGGTCCAACCCCGCATTCAGGTGAATTGACCGCATAAGCTCCTCTTGAGCTTGCGAGTTGGGGAGCATAATGCCGTTGGTCTTGCCATCTTGGTTTATGCCGGTGTTTCGAACGATAGCACGGATGGGATCCCCAGCATCAATGGCATCGGACAAACGCTTGAGGACAATAGTCGAGACGCCTTCTGATCGTGCGTAGCCTTTTCCACGGCTATCGAAAGCATAGCATTTGCCGTCATCGTTCAGCATACTATCGCTTGATTAGCTGACTGCCAGGGTGATCTTGCGGCCGAAGCGTTTACTTACTGTAACTTGCCCATTGCCATCGTCATATCTGGCGAAAGCAGCAAATTTGTACCACCGACGAGAGCCATATCTGTCTCTCTGGAGCGTAGTCCCTGCACCGCGAGATGGAGGCCGACTAAGCTGCCTGAACAACCCGTATCCAGCGAAAAGCATGGGCCCCTCAGGTCAAACGTATATGAGACGCGTCCAGACGTGATAGCCTCTCCACAACCAGTGAGTTGATACTTGGCCAGATCCTGTGGATCTCGATAGGCATTACGGTCATAGTCACGACTCACGGTGGCCACATGGACCGATGTCTTTGAACCTCTCACACTATCCAATGGCAGACCGGCGCTTTCCAATGCCTCATAGGCCGTCTCCAGGTGGATTCTCTGCTGGGGATCGAGACCGCTCGCTTCTGCGGCGGGGATGTTGAAGAATGCTGCATCGAAGGCTGCAAGGTCACGGTCGATATAACCACCGCCTGTTTGGTTGTGTGCAGCTTCTGCATCGGGATGTGGATGATAGAAGGATCTCCAGGTGTAGCGGTCCGCTGGTATCTCAGACCATGCAGACCTTCCATCCGCGAGCAACTGCCATAGCTCTTCGGGACTGTTGGCTCCACCTGGAAACCTGCAGGCCATGCCAATGATGGCGATAGGCTCTAAATCCTCTATTGCGTGAGGCATTGTGTTCTAAAACGGATACGCAGAAAGAAAAGGATAATGTAAGTGCACAATTGGAAGATATCTTATCTCATGGACGTGGGTGAAGGTTTGAAATAAATATGCCAGTCTTGTTTGACTTTGCTACACAAATAGACGCTGTGAGCTTCACGCCTTCACTAACAGACCTAGGCTTACGCGTAGAAATCGCCCCCAACAACGCCATGCTTCACAGGTAATCTTGTCTCAATGGAACCATATGCATATTGACTCGGTGGTATCAACGGAGAGAATCTTTTAACTATATTCAGAACGGAGGAACGGACGTGCCCTTTAGAGCAGGGGTTCGATCGGGACAAAAGGACGCCAGGGGGGCCTTGCATCCTTAAAATCTCCGTGGGCTTACTCCACAGAGCCTCCTAAATTCACGCCTGTCGTTTTGCGCATACCCATACCAGCACCTAGTATCCGATTTCTCCTCTCTTTGTGGAATGTCAGAATCTGTGTCGGCAATGGCATAACAGTATATAGGATGTTCCATATCCCGCCAACATATGGTCAAGTGGATGTGCTGACTGATAGGTGAAATTACTGCCAGAATATAGTCGTACGGTGAATGGCCAGTGCGCACGGGACCGGACGGTGTATCTTATTAGGGTTTGTTAGTGCACGTCTAAAGCTGCAGAGTCAGGGCCATGCCACTAAGATCCAAGCTTCTCATTGGCCCTCAAAATGGCCCCCTACATTAGCTGGCTGAAATCATCAGCTTACTATCCATTGTTTCTGCATCCATTTTAGGATCATTATATGCAGCAGCCAGGGTAAGCAGAGATTATGATGCATAAACACGGCAAGGTTGTCCGATATCCCGGGAAAAGTACGCTTTTTGACACGCCGTGTTTCTTGAGGATAATGGTGCAATAAGTGAGGAAGCCTCAATTACGAAAAACAAGATGATCTAACACGTTGAAGAATCCTTCAGGTGGGGCCTCATCTTTCTGTAAAAGCCCCAGGGAGTTTCCTTGTTCTTTTATGGCCATGCAATTTACATAGCGCAACATTCACAACTTCCTCTTCTACACAATTGGGCAAAACTTACAATTGGCAATGGCTTCCAACAGCAAAGGAGCTGATTATCTCAATGACCATGACACCAACGATCACCCTCGAAAGGCTGATACCGCTCGCAGTCTCTTCTCTGGCTCTGCTCTTGAGGAGCTACTGAAAGATGAATCCATCACATCCCAACTGCCTCACGATGTTATTCATTCTCGCCTTCTATTTGATAAGACAGACAACTACTGGTGGGATACTACCGCCGTTACCCTGAGCAAGCTCATGCTCCAGGCTGATTACCCATTGTCTCTCCACTATAAGAATCTCGCATATTTCTACGACATTGTTTTACCAGCATGGGGTCCCATCCCCCTCAAGACAGATGGTCAACCAGGAGGTCGACCATGGAAGCCCACCATGCTTGAAGATGGCTCGAACTATGAGCCCAGCCTCAATTTGAAAACTACTGGAACCACAGAGACCGCCGTACGCTTTTCCATCGAGTGCAGCGATGCACGCTCAGGGACAGCGGAAGACCCGCTGAACCAGAAGGCGGCACATGATCTCATCATGCGCTGTGCAGCTGCAGATCCAGATTTCGATCTCACTGTGTACAACTACATGCGCGAAGCGTTGATGTTTGACGACAAGGAGGCCCTGCGCCTGCAGCACGATTTCCCAGACTGTAAGGTGCCCCAGATCTTCTTTGCGTTCGATTTCGAGCGTAGTGGGAGAATCCTGGGCAAGTGTGTGCCATTCCTCTATTGGAAGAGCAAACAATTAGGTGTCCCGCAAAAGGAACTCGCCATGAGAGTAATTTCAGGCGTTCCAAAAGTCGGGCACCTGTACAAGGATGCTCTCGCCGTATTGGACGGTTTCATGAGCTCGTTCCCGGCTGACCTTGGCGGCGAGCCGTCTGCGGAATGCCTGAATTTTGACGTTGTAAAACCTGGCAAGAGCTCGAGAATCAAGGTTTACATTCGCCCGTCCAGAACGTCGTTCAATTCGGTAAAATACTTTTACACCCTTGGTGGCCTGCGAACAGACGAAGCGACGCTTAAGGGTGTAGATGTCCTTCGCATCTTCTACGAAGTTGTTTTCGACATCAAAGCCGGCGAGGAAGACAAAGAGCTCACCGTATACAATCCAGGATGGGGCAGCGTCCTTTTTAATACCGCATTCAAACCTGGTGCTGCACTTCCTGCACCGCAGTTCTACATCACGATATGGAAGTTCTTGCCAAACGATAAGTCCATTGTGGAGCGACTGATTGCCTTTTGGAGACGGATTGGATGGAATCAGCAGGCCGACAAGTATATGAAAGATTGGCAGGATACGTTGTAAGTCTTCGCAAATCGGGGTCTCACCTAATGTGTATGCTGACAAAACTTAGCCCGTGGATTGATGGCCGTGGGTCGGGGAACATGGATGTAATATCGCTCGCATACAAGGAGGATGGATCCGGTGTGTATCAGAGCGTTTACTACTCACCAATGGCGCATGTTGCAGCTGAGAAGTTAGGCTATCGCTGAGCCAATGTGACCCTGTTAGACTATCAACGGCTTATATTCTTGGACAACATGGAATGAGACTGCACTTATCTTTCAGCCCAATCCTGCACGCAATACCTGGGTATTAGGTGTACTTATGTAAATTTAAACTCAATTATGCTCTTATGTACCGTGGTCCTGCAAGATCCGACCATTGGTAGCAATACGAATCAGGACTAGCTCAATCATGAGAAGACAGCATTGAAAGCTATGTACCCTACTACTTTCAATCTGTCATCCCAGTGATCATTTTTTTTGTCTTCGGCTTTGAAAACTACTTATCTTCCTATCAATCACACATTGCCCATGTCTACCTCACTGTTGAATACTTGGTTTTCAATGGTAGATCAAATGCTTTTCTTGCACTCTTTTTGGTTAATTCTCTTCAAGTTCAAGAGCAGTCACCCGGATTTTTCTTCCAACACTCTGTGCTCCGTATATCCCCATTATTCGTCCATCTGGATGCAATCATAAGGCCACCCACCAGGCGGATCGACAAAGGCCATACAGAATAAGTGCAAAGAGAGGCGGCTAGCCAAAGGAAGAAGTTCGGAGGCGGGCCCGTGGACATGCTCATTTTGGATTAGTCTTGCATACATGTGTGCAGCAGGAACCCCCACCATACAAAAGCCACCCTGTATCTTGTCGGCAACAGCGTCCGACATCCCGAAGAGAACAGGGATTTTATGTTGGGCGTTTTCGGAAGGATTGAGTCCGGTGAGGGCCCAAAAGGCCGTAGGGTGAGATTAGGGGTTATTTGCCCTCATCAACTCCTAACGAGCGGCTGACGCTTCTGCTTGAAATTCGACCGAGTGAGCTAGTATGCCATACATTTGCTGACGCTGATATCATTTGGTATTCTCTTGCTCTATGAAATTGCCGCTTTGAAAGCCAACTTTGTTGGAAGCATGTCACATATTAGTCCACAGGGAAGCCATGTCGCTGAAATAGCCGGGGAGAAAGATGATAATGTGATTCTGGGAGCGACAGACGATCAAAACGATGATACATCAAGTGGCGAGGACAAGTCTGTCTATCTTCATGGCTGGGCGCTGAAGTCTCTAGCCATGGCCCTGATGAGTGCTGGCTTCATGTTGTCGCTCGATGACACAATTTTGGGTACGGTACTCTGAGTCTGCAGATTCTGAATGCGAGTCTAACAAAAGGACCAGCCACCGCGATACCGCGCATCACGAGTGATTTCAACAGCCTCAATGACATCGGCTGGTACGGCGCCTCCTACCTCGTCACGCAGATGTCTCTTCTCCCGACCTGCGGTCGTATTTATACATTCTACGATGTCAAGTGGTCGTATATGGTTCTAATGCTGATTTTTGAGTTGGGATCTATCATCTGTGCCGTATCACAGAACTCAATGACGCTCATTGTGGGACGCGCGGTATCAGGCCTAGGTGCGGCTGGGTTACTGGGTGGAGCAGCGATCCTTGTTTCATACTGCGTGGAGTTAAGACAGCGCCCACTGCTGATGGGGCTAATAACGGCAGTATATGGCCTCGGGTCTATGATGGGCCCGCTCGTTGGGGGTGTCATAACGGATAATGAGAAGCTTACCTGGAGATTCTGCTTCTGGGTCAACCTGCGTCAGTGATTCGAACCGCTCGGTACAACATTCACTAACGTTTTCACAGCATTCGGAGCGATTGGGCTGGTTCAGATATGGTTCGCTTTAAAGAACCCTCCTCCGGCGGCCAAAGGAGGGTTACCTCCTATGCAAAAGATACGCCAGCTGGATTTGCCCGGCGCTACTGTTTTGATTGGATCGATAGTTTGTCTGTTACTCGCTCTTCAATGGGGTGGTATCGTTTACCCATGGTCGAATGCGAAGGTATATGGCTGTCTGATTGGATTTGGCTTGATCCTCATATTATTCATTGTGATGCAGATCAAAGATCAAAACAGGTGAGTCTTGTTATGGAAATATCTTGATATCCACTTACCAAGTTTAGTTGCACCATTCCACTTCACCTGTTCCGGAACCGCACTGTATGTGTCTCGAGTGCTTTCATGATGTTCCTACAACTGGCTATAGTCGTCCAGACTTACTACTGGCCTATATACTTTCAGTCGGTCAAAGGTCACACTGCGAAAGACTCGGGCGTCCAAATGCTTCCACTTTGCATTTCGAGCAGCCTCTCCGCCCTTACTACTGGCTTGATTATATCCAAGATTGGCTACTATGTTCCATTCATGTGGATCGGTGCTCCTGTGCTTTCACTGGGAGCCGGCCTCTTCCAGCTCATCCATACTCATAGTCCAATTTCGACATGGATAGGGTATCAGCTTGTCAGCGGGATTGGCTACGGTATCTGTGGGCAGCTCCCAATACTGGCAGTACAGATAGTCCTTGACAAAGAGGATGTGCCAACTGGTTGCGTTCTTGTCATGTTCTTCCAATGCCTGGGGGGTGCCTTGGCAACCAGTATCGGCCAGAACCTTTTCACTGACAATCTACTGAAGAACCTACGCTCAATCAATGGCGTAGATGCAGAAGCGGTGGTCGATGCAGGTGCCGCAGACTTCAGGCGACTGGTATCGTCCGAGCTATTGGACAGCGTGATTGAGGCATTCGAAGCCGCAGTCAAGAATGTGTTCCTCCTGGCTGTTGCGACTGCAGCCGTTGCCCTGGTTGTGAGTGTAGGTATGGAATGGCGTAGGTTACCTAAGGATACGAAGAGTGACACCGGAAGTGAAACAGCGTAGATTGAGTGCCAGGGATGTATTTATTATGGCTAAGAGAATCTCCGAGTGCGTCAGACGTCGTCATCGCGTCTGGACTTACCGGGCTTGGGTATTGCTAGCCTATCAACACTATCCTAATTCGAGCCTTTTGATCTGCGTCCTTCCGGGGCTCGTCTCCTGTCTCATGGCCGCTAGGTCCACGCAGTTAGTTTCCCCTATAACCTTGAAATATGCATGACCCCCACAACCTTGACATGTCGTGGCTCATGTTCGCGGTATGCACTTTCCCTGCGAAAAGGGCGCATGGTGCCAATAGCCTTGAACCACTTACCTCATGGATTGCCTGTGTAATTCACTGGTAATTCAATGAAGGTCTATAAACCTCTACTGTAAAATGGAGACGGAACATCCGATTGGCCGAGTCAGAAGAGATGGTCTCATTCGGTGATTCTGCGCCCAGAGATCAAATTCCTTGTTTGCAGCTTAGAGATGATCTCTCTTTCAAGATTCAGTGTCAACATCCCCGGTCTATCAGGCAGCAGAATACTTTATCCAAGCATGTGTTTTCGAATCTTGGAACCGTGGACTCAACGCCATGGAATTTTTGTTCTATGACGTCCTCTTCCATTCTGCCCTTTTTCGGGTTTCTTTTTTAAGGCCGGACGCCACACCACGTGACCTGATTGATGCCTGAGGTCCACTATCATCCGATAGATCCGACTTCAATCGCCCCCGGCATCTGACCCATAACCAATCATACCATCTTAGAATCATGACATTTCTCCTGCGCTGTCCCTTTCAGTATCAAAAGACCATAAAGTCTGCTAACGCGTCATCGCTCTTGGCTACTGTCAGCCAAAACAAACCCAACAGGGAGTCAGACTGGGAATTAGGAGTCCCCGTTGCAGTGTCCGAAGACTGGATGGGGCCGAGAACCAACCTTGACCCACCTGTATCGAACAGATTTTGATCTGGATTTTGATCTCATGCGCTTGTCAACCACTCATGAGCAGTGTCATGGAGACCCTTCCCCATAGACACTAAGCCACCATGGGAGGCTGATTGTGTGGCGGAGCGATGAGTCCCGAGGTTCCCGGTGTCTGTTGGGCCGTTGCGTTGGGACGGTAAGATACCGCGGAGGAATGTTGTTACCTCGGTCTTCGATGGCTGTGCTGTATTTTCCACGAGCACGCAGAATCAAGCCCATGCGAGAAAGATGCACGCCGTCTCACTCGAATATAGATCTTGCAATCATTTTTCCGGGGAAAACAACAAGGGCTTCGACACGGCCCCATTATGGTTACGCCCGTAACACGAGGTGGACCCGGAAATGACGATTCATTTGTCCAGGGTCGCATGGCGGAGTACTTGATACAGCCTTTGACATGGTACCGACCATTTACAATTGAAAGACCCTGGGATCGACATGAAAATTACTGTTCACAAGGCTGAGGTCCGGTCGCCACTGCGCCTTCAGGACATGCGCAATCAAACTCCATTACTATAATAGGGGTAAATTGCGGCACATGAATGAAATATAAGAAAGAGTTGTTTTCCCCCAGGTCATTGCAATATATTTTAATCTCCTTATCCCACCCCTCTCAATTCAATTCCTCCACTCCTCAAACCAAACAGTGCTCTTTTAGTCAATCTTCACCTCTCCACACTCTCACAATGAAGTTCACTCTGATCACCTCTGCCCTCTTCCTGGCCACCGCTGCCATGGCCTCCCCCGACGCCTTTGAAGACGTGAACAACATCGTCTCCGAGGTCGAGGGCATCTACGCAACTATTGCCGGCGGCGCCCAGTCCGTCGGTTCTGAAATCGCCTCAAAGGCCACAGCGCTCGCTGCAGCCGCGAGCACTGGTGGTGCCGAAGCCCTGTCTTCTATCCGCAGCGAAGCCTCTTCCCTCGGATCTGCTGCAGCCAGCGAAGCCTCCGCTCTCGCCTCCGCCGCAGAAAGCAAAGGCAGCTCCATCGGTTCCGAGGTCACTAACCGAATTGCCACTGCCATCGCTACCCAGACTACCCAGACTACCCTGACCAATTCCGCCGGCGAGCCCACTGCTACTGAGTCCAGCACCATTACAAGCACGGTTCCAGTCTCTGAGTCTACTGCCGCCGCTTCCGCCACTTCAGACAACGCCGCCTTTGCCCGTCCTACTGCTATTGGCGCCGCTGCCGTCGGTATGGCTGGTCTCCTCGGTGTCATGGTTGCCCTGTAAAAGTTTAATAACTTGTTTCACGATTTTGGATTCCACGTCAAGCACGATATCTACAATGCCACTTTCCTCACGACCCTCCTTGAATGTTTGTTTTTGAATTTTTCGCTCGCTTCTGAGCAATGAGGCTTAATACCGGCGTTTTCCTGAGACTGTACATATACCTCATCTATGAACTATCATTGGTACATTTGAATCAAGAAAAATATCTTATCTCGCCCATCATTGCCGTCTTTTCTAGATATCAACGACGTAATGCGTTTCCATCGTCATGAAAGCAACGATAAAAGCAAGGACTTGACGATCAACGGGGCCGGTGCTAAGACCAGAAAAACAAGGTCCTCGCCAGCCACAGACAGGGGTAAATGCAGTAACTGAATCATCTCTTCGTAATCGCGACCCTACCACAGTTGAGACACGTTTAATGCCTCGGGCTCTCCGGCAGGGTAGCAGCAATGAAACCACCGAAGCCAGCATCCAATGGCATTAGGATGTGAGAATCAACGTAGCTCAGAAACTCATATTCCGGATGTAGAAAGCTATCCCACAGCGAAACCGGCATGGATAGGAGACATAGGGAACACTCCTGGGCCTCGACTACACCCTCAATAGTGACCCCAGACACGACGTTTGGTAGCCCCCTTCGCCACTCTCCAACTTGGTCGGCCCCAATATTTCCTTTGACAGATATGGAAACGAGCACCCATCATTGCTCCGTCGAAAGCCAAGACCAACGGCCCTTTCGTAAGGGACTTCATTTGGCTTGCATCGGTTAGTCCCTGGCTTGGGGTTTTAACCACGCCGTCAAACCTGCGTTCCCATTCACTGAAATGGGTGGTGCGATGGCTTGGGGATGTGTATTGCCGTTTGGATATTTTGAAAGATACTCAGAGGCTCCCGGCACTCACACGAAATACTATCAAGAGTTCGATTATAATGATCCTGGGATCTTTGGTTGATGAATGGTGAACATGATGTAGGAAATGCCTGTGCAATTTGAAGCCGACGCGACACCACGAGATGACATTTCCAACCCGCACTCGCATGTTTACATCAGGTCGGGGGGTTTGATATCGAACTGGGTAGTATTTATTTAGTATGAATATTTAAATAGGGGAATATTCATCGCCAACCATCGGTATCTCTGACTCTCGATCTCCTAGAATATAGCATAGAGAAGGCAATGTATCCTAAACTTATATGACACGCAGCGTCTACCAGGAATAAATGTGTAATTGATAGGAGCAGGCATCACTCCACCTTAGAACCAAGCGGTCTATCAGTGTGAGTTTCCTGGACGCCTTGGGCGACAATAGTGTTGTTCGAACGGAATGAACTAGTCCCATCAACAGTTACCTGGGGCCCAGTATACCAGCGTCTGGCAAAAAGGAAATAATAAGCCATACAGCCGAACCAGACGAAGCCGTTGATGACGATAGTGTAATTCATGTTTAGTGCTATGAGTAAAAAAACAGGGTTAGTCGTCCAATCGAGAGTAATAGAGAGAAAATGACAATGTTCATAAACATACGGGTTGGGTTGGGGCCCTCAGTTGGGAACATCGACAGAATAACACCAAAGAGAAGATATACAACGGAAACCCAGGCAATGGGCTTGCTGAAACGGCCAGTATAAAATTCGCCCGGCGTAAATAGCTTCTGGCCCCAGACGAGGCGACAGAAAATCGGGGTCCCCCATGATAGATAGTTGCTTGCGACAAAGAGCGAAAATAGGGCATTGGCGGCGGCCGAGTTGATCAGACACAACAGGCCTAACAAGATTGAAACACCTGCTATGCCACAGACCATACGCACTGGCTGGTACTGGATGCGTTTGCTGACGTGACGGAAGAATGTGGAAAACGGCAGCGCGCCATCGCGAGAGAAGGCCCATGCTTGACGCGAGGCCGCAACAATCAAGCTGAGACCGATGAGGAATTGAATGAGACAAAGTACAGCCATGAAGGCCAAAGCACCTTCTCTACCCAAAGCATCGTAATAGATCTGAGCCATCGGCTGACCGAGCTTGGTGCTGATGGTCGCGCTTACATCAGGGTTCATAGTTGCAGCAATGACGGACAACACCAAGAAGCCGAGCACAAATGCAGAGCCTGCCGACCAGATAATTCCAAGAGGAACAGCCTTGCCCGCATGCATAGCTTCTTCGCTCATATGGACGCAAGAGTCGAAGGAGCCAATTGACCAGATCGGAGCGAGCCATGCCAGCATAAATGCCCATCCGGCTGGCCATGTGGTCTTATTGTCGGTATGTCCGTAGACGAAATGGCCTGAGTTCAGTGATCCACCTCGGGTCACCTTTCCAACTGGAAGCGCAATCACCGTCGCAATAACGAGCGCAATGTTTATATAGATGCAAAACGTTTGGATTTTCGGCATGAGGCGTCCCCCTAAGGAGCCACACAGCCCGTGCAGGAGGATGAGACCAACGTAAACGGCATAGATGACACCTCGTGAGGCGGTCCATTCATCATCTCGGGACATCGAGACGCAGGAAAGAATCATGAGCGCGAGGGTATCTACCGAATCACAGTAAGCAGTGTGATCGACAGTCACGCGGATGTTGATTTTCCTTACAATCTACCGAGCACATCCCTCCAATCAATCCCAATGTGTTGCTGTATCCGATCAAGAAACTCAATGGCCTCTTCCATTTATTTCCAGCAAAGTAATGTGTCCACCAATATAGACCCCCCGCAGTCGGCATGGCGGAGGCGAGATCGGCCTAGGCAATGTCAATGTTGTCGTTCCCCGGATAGCCCCCTCACACGAACTATACCATTGCCAACCCAACCAAGAATATAAATATACTCGCTGTGAACCACCCCTAGACTCTCTCAGTCAATCCGAAGCGCAACCAGACACATGGTGATTCCATACCCAAACCATGCCGACCGGGCCCGCGGGAAGAGAAAACGCGATTGTTGATGCGATCGAGGGCACCAGGCCCATGATGCTGAACGCGATCGCAAAGACCTGCAAAGTGGAGTACTGGCGACGAAGTTCCTGCTTATAACCCATCCGGGCTAGGAGACATCAGCAATTAGGATCCTCCGTAATGAGAAACACGCCATCGTACCTAATAGCTTAACATCGCCGGGATCTCCACTCGCCTCGGTCGCGACTGACGCGACAGGCGCAGGCTCAGCAGATTTTGTGTCCATCGTGGACACTTCGGCTTGGGATGTATATGCTCAAGCGAACATAGCGGACAAGGCATTATTCTTCAATGCTCGCTGTCAATGGATGTGGAGCTTGTCAATCTTCTCTGGGCCATTGACAGGGGATTTCTCCAATAATTGCGGTTTCCTGCAGAAAGACAAGCCAATGTATGGAGGCACCTCGTAGCACCATCGAGTTCCTGTACGTATTCCGTCGAGACTGCAGCCCTTGCATTAGAATTGCAGGGGCACCAATGCGCGTATGGTGTTCGTGTCCACTGCAGCCTCGTTTGGCGACTATTGAGAATGCTGGCGCACTGATGGTCTGGGCAGCTAATATGAATCGTGCCAATTTTGCGACAATCGTGCCAACTGCAGCTCACGGTCGGGCGTCGCACGAGCTGTAACCGACTTGGCTCGTTGATACTCAGTTGACACGAGCGCGTTCTCCGTAGCAATGGTCGGGCCGATTACCTTGGCTAAAGAAGCCCCGTCCTCGTTTTCAGTACTGCGAACGCAACCTTGCTTCGTCATGGAACTTCTTTGCATCCTTTTTGAGATTGATGAACTATGGTTTGTTCTCTCACACAAAATATAGCCGGATAAGCCTCGCCCCCTTCTCCAATATTGACGATCATGCAGGTATTGAAGTCTTCCAGGTTGCTCCACTATATATAGAGCTATGAGAGAGATAACCAACTTCCCTATAGATAGCTTTATGGGGAACATTATAGGGCTCAAACCTGATCTTCAGGCGTCAGATTCCCTCTGACAGGGTTGTTTGCGAATACCCGATCGGTGATAGTGCTGTCCGAACCAGCCAGGGACTCCTTTCTCGCCCGATATTCCCATTCGTTATAATCCTGCCCAGGATTGATTTTCTCCCAGCGCACTAAGCAGAGAAGATGGTAGAAACCAGACGCAAGGAGGGACCCTAGCAGAGGGCCGACCCAGTAGATCCAGTGGTATCCTGGGAATGTGCGGTTGATCACATCCGGTCCGAGTGAACGAGCAGGATTGAGAGATCCTCCTGTGTAGTAATCACCTGCGAGTAATGGTGAGCTAGGTCCGGGGTCTGGGACGCAATAATAAGCATGACATACCAATCATTTCGGCAACAAAGAATGCCAGACCGATTCCCACCGGCGCCAGATACGTGGACTTGTGTTTCACCACGGCCAGCATGATGATGACAATCACTAGCTGCGCCGTTAGGAACATCTCAATGAACAGTCCTTGGGAAATAGATGTGCCGCCGCCAAGTCGGGTTGCGCAATTCAACGGGCCGGGGAACAGAGCGGAAACTACGCCTGCTGCTGCAATGCCGCCAATCAGTTGGGCAGGGAAAACGCATAACCCCCGTAACGGAGGCATGCCACCAGTGAGACAGAGGGCAAGAGTTACCTAGTGGCTATTAGCGTGGTAAATCTCTTGGTCTAGCTTTGAATTTCATACCGCGGGATTGAAGAGACCACCGGTGACACGGAAGAATGCCCAGACATTGACTGTCAATGCGAAGCCAAAGGAAAGTGCCGAGTATAGTAAGTTCGAAGTATTCGGCGGAGATCCAGGCGGTGGCATAGGTGTATTGGACACCTGGGTACCCGCAAAAGAGAAGAAAAGAAACAGGAAAGTGCCCACGAACTCGCCCATCACACACAACAAGTTGTACCGCATCTTGTCTGGGAGATGCAGCATAGGTAACTGGCTACGTCCGCTGGAAGCCGACCGGCCCTGAATCATCGGTTCATCAGCCGAATGCCGTTTCTTGAACAGCATCGTGGATAGCGGTGGAGCTTGGATTGAGGATCTATAGGTGAAAGATATGAATGAGAAGTGACTCCAGCAAATCACGCCTGGATCCAAGCGTCCTCCTCTCTTCTTCTGCTCTTCTATTCTTCCGATGGTAGAGCCATATATCCCCTTCGCCATTGCATATCACCGACGTCACTATCATCGAAAAGGAGGGGTGTCAGCTTGGTGCATATATCAATGATGAGTACTCGCACCAGACACCCGTGCCATTCTGCTCGCTTATCCTATGCCAGTAAGACTTTTAGCGAAGAAGCTGCGACGGGATAGGTTGACTTTTGTTTGATCCCAATCAATGGCATGGAGTGGGACAACAAGGTCAGCATTTTGAGTTCGGGCAGTGGAGCGTGAACACAGACACCGTTGGCCAGCATCAGCCGCAAACGGTCATCAACTGTCTAGATCTCCCCCCCAGATCGTCTCCGCGCTTTTCTATGCTGCTGTCATTGGATTGACAGCAGTTGTGGACCACGCGCTTAACAGATCAACGACGCATGAACCAGTTTCGCATTTGACATCTCGGGCTTAGCCGCTGACCCCATGACTCGCCCCTCCCGAAGGAAGAAGATCCAAGATTCACTGAGTCGACAGTCGACAGTCTACAGTCTACAGTGTAACTCATGTCCAATATCACGGAATGGCTACTACACTGGATAACCTAGTGGTATTCGTTCTTATATAGCTCACGTCTTTCGTTATTTCGAGGCAACTTGATGCCAAGACCTGTCCTCTTTTGTATTGCAACCGTCGTGGCTCTATGGGCTGTGTAGTCACAACATCACAAATTATTACGAACAATCAATGCTATGAAAAACCACGATCGCGGACAGTCTCTAAGGGGCAATGCTTGTGCCATAATCCAAATGCCCGACATGGAGATCAATCGGGCCGGTGCCTCAAAACGACACGCGGGAAATTTGCGAGGTTGGTTCTAGCATGATCTGGAATTTCAGCCCGTTGGAAGCTCCGAGGAAATGTTGAAAGAGACAGGTTATTTATAGGTCTTCGACGGAGTAGTCCGTATTGGTCTATCTATTGATCTATCGCCTTTATAGTAGTTTGTGGGCCATGCATCCCATTCTTCAAGATTAGGGCGTTGAAAACAACCCACGCCTCACGACATATGCATGTCGAAGCTTGACCCCGAATTCGCATGCGGCTACTCCGTATTTGTCGTTTATATCGTCAAACCCCCCCGTTGTCGACATGGACTCCAGTGAAAAGGAGAGGATTCCGCCAAGACCCCGGGGGCGGCGGCAGATGACTAATTGCACGTGTTTCATTGGCAGAGCATCCGTTTGGACCCGGTGGTTCTCCTAAAGATTCTCGCGTGTGGCCTGACTCGTGGCACTAGGGGCCAAAAATGGATCATCGTGATTCGTTATGCTGGGACATAACCACACAGGATGATCTTGTACAGGGGTACTCCGTACTCCGTACAGGGTGCAGGGTCCAAGGGCGATCTTGACTGATCGGCGCTTTGACGGGTTGTAGTATGGAGTATCAAAATAGCATCTATGACTTCCGTCCAAATACATCATTATAGACTCAACAGGTGGATCGGTTGTGACCTCCGGCCAAATCAACATCTCGGCCATTGAGTATGCCCGAGCGAATGCCTATATCCGCCAGGTACGCAGGTATGAAAGGTCGTCTCCGCGGAGATGCTGTTTCTGTTCCTGCAAAACCATCACAAATCATGCCAGGCGGCCTTTCGAGTTTTTCAAATCCCGCTTTGGACTTCGTGGCCTGGTCGGGGGAATAAATAGCTGGGACAACCCGCAAGAGTGCCAATTGCTCATCCTATACTTGGCACTGTTTTACTTGAAGCAATCCATTGAATGAACAAAAAAGCCTCTTCTTCTTTCGACTACTCACAAAGCAAATAAAAGATTCAATCATGGCTTCCATTCGGCAAATGCTCCCGGAGCAGGTCGCTCTCATCAAGGCGACAGTGCCTGTTCTGGTGGAACATGGCACTACGATCACCACCGTCTTCTATCGCAACATGCTCCAAGCCCACCCCGAGCTGAACACCGTGTTCAACACTCCCAATCAGGTCAATGGCCACCAGCCTCGAGCATTGGCCGGTGCCCTCTATGCGTACGCTTCACATATCGATGACCTCGGTGCTCTGAGCGCGGCGGTCGAATTGATCTGCAACAAGCACGCCTCCCTATACATCAAGCCCGACGACTACAAGATCGTGGGGAAGTACCTCCTCGAGGCTATGGCTGAGGTACTGGGTGCAGCATTAACCCCGGAAATCCACGACGCATGGGCCGCCGCCTACTGGCAGCTCGCTGACATCATGATCGGCCGCGAGAAGCAAATTTACGACCACAGCAAGGGCTGGACTGATTGGCGCGATTTCAAAATCATCAACAAGGTCCCCGAGTCCGAGGAAATCACTTCTTTCTATCTCGCCCCTGTCGACGGAACGCCCCTGCCAGCTTTCCAGCCCGGCCAATACATCTCCGTCCAGACCTACGTCCCTGCGCTCAAGTACCCCCAGGCCAGACAGTACTCTCTTAGTGACCAGCCCAAGCCAGACTACTACCGCATCAGCGTGAAGAGAGAGCTCGGCCTCAACCCGGCCGAGCCTGATGCTGCTGCTCACCCAGGCTACATGTCAAACATTCTGCATGATACATTCAACATCGGTGACACCCTCAAGGTGTCCCACCCCTGTGGCGATTTTTTCCTTTCCTCCGCTAACGCTGAGACCGCTCACCCTATCGTGCTGATCTCTGCCGGTGTTGGTCTGACACCCCTGACTTCCATGCTGAACACATTGACTTCGCAAACCCCCTCCAACCGCAAGCTCCACTTCATCCACGGTGCGCGTTCAACAAATGCACGTGCCTTCAAGAAACACATTTCCGAGCTTCCCGAGCAGTTCCCCTCCATCAAGGCAACTTTCTTCACCGGAAGCCCCTCCGAGGAAGATAAGGAAGGCGTGGACTACCACCACGTCGGCCGGGTTGACTTGACCAAGCTGGAGGATCAGGATCTGTTCCTTGATGATGCCAAGACCGAGTACTATATCTGTGGACCCGATAAGTTCATGACTGATATGGAGTCCACACTCAAGGGCAAGGGCGTCGGTGCCGACCGCATCAAGATGGAGTTGTTCGGAACCGGCGGTGTTCCTCATTAAGCGTCGTTTTACCCTTGTGGCATTTTGTATAATTCCACCTTTTGTTTTGAGGCCGGAGTTCGAAACTATATATTGTTGAGAACCATGCCTGAGGCAGGATTCTCTCATCCGCAGGATTATCAACGCTACGCCCTTTTTGTCTTTTCTGCCGAAAAGCCCACCTTTGGGGGCCAAATTGAGGACTCCGATCCTCGGCACACAAAGGGGCATAAATAGCAGGAAAAGGCAGATATTATCTAGATCTTCAGACAATTCAATACTTCCATGAGAGATCCTATTCCTAGTATCATTTGAACCCATTGTTGAAACCCTACATGCTATATCATACCTCTATATCTTCAATAGGTTATAAGCCCGGCTGTCTCTAATAGCCGGAATACCTAAATTGCGCAGTATAGTCCATTTGCTATATTTGCTAGCAAATATTTGCTTGCCCCTATACACCTTTCATCTGATCTTTGCCTAGACCTATATATATAGGTCCTTACCCTAGGATCTCTCTCTCCTTCTTATATATATCTCACCTCTTATTTCATACCTTACCTTTTATACCTATACCTCTCGATCTCTCGTAGATCTACCTATTTTTTTATTAATTTTATTATAACCCCTATCACCTAACGGTCCTAGCGAGATAGGGGGGTATCTAGTATACCTAGTATACCCTATACACCCTACGAACCCTCCGACTCCGACGCCGACCGACTAGACGAATCAGGGTCCGATAATAACTATAGTAGCGTCTTAGGCGAGGGTAGCGATAACGAAGGAGGAAATAATAGTCCTATAGCTCCCGCTAGCACTAGAAATATAGACCCCGGCTAGGGCCTATAACGTCTAAACCCCGCGGATTAACTAGCTAGAGAACTCGAGTCGACCGAGCATCTCTATACCTAGTAGCCCTAAGGACTAACTAGGTAGCTCGTAGCGGGTAGACCCCCCGCTAAAGTCTCCGAGTCTATCGAGACTAATATATAAGTCCTATTAATATAGATTAATAACCTAAACCGATTTAATCGAGATAGCTCTATATTCTCGCTACGTAACCGCTACGCTACCCTAAAGAATAATACCTAAGAAGAGAAAGAAAACGCCCTTCGATACCTTAGTTTCACTAAGGACCTCGGGAAAATATTTAAAAGAAAAGAAGAATATAAAGGACTAAAACTTATAGGATTAAATAATTACCGTACCTAGGCCGCTAATATACGGTAAGTGCTAAACTAAAACCTTCTCGAATAAGTTATCGACGGTAAGGTAGGATTATTACCCCCTTCGCACGAGAAGCACTATATACTAAATATATAGAAAGGAGTAGCCTAGCTCACTATCCTAAATGCTATATACCTAGACTTAGCGAAAAATATTATACCACTAAGCCCTCTAGAACCCGAGCGTATCTAGTAGGAATTATAAAATTAATACGATATAAAGGATACTTTTACCGCCGAATAAGGCGCTATTATAATAAAAGCACTATATATATCCCGCGTCCGTAACGTCGGAACCCTAATCGAGGTATTTAAGACTATATAGACTAATAAAACTATTATATATCCCCCGATCGAGAGTCTACTAATTAAGCTATAAGAAATAGACGAACTCGAAAAATATACGGAACTTATAGCGTGCCTCGATAGCCTAGAATAGCACCCGTAGAAGCTTAACTACGATAAAATAGTTAGTAGGTTAACTAACTAGCTAGACTAATATCTCTTCGATCGCCTATACGGCGAACTATAAAGAGAAGAAGATAATCTCGCCGCCGGTAAAAAGGTAGCTATAAGGACCTTATCTATAGAAACTAGTAAACCTATAAAACTACGAGGATCCTATATATAACGAGGACCTCTAGGATTAGTATATACCTTCTATAAAAAGAAGGGGCACCCCGCTAAGAAATACTAGCTAAAAAACCCTAATTTAGTACCTAAACGGACTACGGAAACCCTAATTATATAGATCGAATATAGTTATAAGGTATAAAACTTCTTAACTAGTATCTTAATTAATAACTAGATCTACGATATAGCCTACGACGAATATATAATTAGCTCGCTAGACTATTTTATATTAGGCACTACGAAACTATTAACTACTACGATTAAAATAGCCCTAATAAACTAGCCGGTCTAAGGTATAATCGGGGATATTAAGATTATAGTCGACGACGGGACTAAGTAAGGGAGAGATCTTATTCTTACTAGGACTATATATCTCCCTAAACTCCGTAGTAACCTTATCTCGTAGCCTAGGCTCGCTAACTATAGGATTATAACGATATACGGAGACGAGGTTATTTTCCGGAAACTAGACGGTAGTATTCTTATAAAAGGACTACGAAAGGGTAAAAATTAGATACTAAACGTTCGCTACGTATACCGATACTAGACCCTAGATCTAGAAATGTTAGTTTTAATAACGGTATAGGAAGTAGGGGGCGTTAGATACCTAAAAACTTAGGCTAATACTTCTATTCCCGCCGAAAAAACTACCTATAGATACCTAATTTCTTAGGCTAATAATATAGAGGTTATCCTAAAAGACCCTTACCCTTAGCTAGGGGGCCTAAGTACGTAAAAATAGGAAAATACCGTAAGTTTACCTAACTAACTAGTAAAAGGCGCTATTCCGCTAAAAAAGGTAATATCTCTTCTGCTAAAAAAGGGACCCTTTTCTTAGGTAGAAAAGGTAGAAATACTCGCTACCTATAGAGTAATAAAGATATAGAGGATAAACTCGTCTAATAGCTTAAAATAATAGTCCTTAGAGACTACCTCGACTTCTCCTAGCGAGACTCCCCCTAGCGAGCTACCTACTAAGCTTAAAAAGGATAGGGTTAATATCGACACTTAGTACCGTAGACTATACTATATAGGGATTAAACCCCTATAGGAAACGGTAAAAATTACGGAAGGTATTAATATTATAGGCCTATCTACCCCTAAAAGACCCTATAGCTACTACTAAATTAGAAAGGCTTAGCTCGTACCCCGTAGAACCCTAGTTTTATATAGATCTAGTAAAATAGGAGATCTCGTATACCTTAATCTAGGGGGCGGGGGTAAAATACCTAGAGGTTAGGGAGGTAGCTACCGATACTAGATAATTAGTATCGACGACTTCGACGGATAGGGAGAAATATAGTTCACCTCCTATAAAGACTTCGTCCTAGACCTTATAATTAAAATAGTAAAACTATATTCCGCCGAAAGAGAGATAATAATTAAGACCTTTATAACCTCTGATCTCCCCCCGCTACTAGTAATAGGAAGTAAAATACTACCGCCTAGTAGACTAGAGATCGGAGCCTTCTAATTAGATTACGGAGGAGAGTTTAATAACTTCCGCCTATAAAAATAGGCTAAGGATACTAATACCCGTCTATATTTCTTAGCACTATACGTATATAGGTAAAATAGTAAAGTCGAAAGAATGATACGAATAGTGTAAGAACGCACTAGAGCTATTCTCGACGATACTAGACTCTTAGATATATTATAGCCCGAACTAATAAAAATAGTAATAATAACCCGTAACCTTACTATCTATTTCGGTAGAAAAAGAGACGGTCTCCTAAACTAGATACTATATAAAATACGATTCGGTAGAAAACCTAATATCTTATTCCTATAGATACCCGGTAGTAAGGCTTACGTTATAAGAAGCCCCGAAGAGATTAGGGCTATAGTTAGTATATTAATAAGTAGATATTTATAGCCCCGCGCCTAGATAGGTAGACTTATCGGGTATAGTAGCTACTATAGTGTATAATACCGTATCTAGCGTCTAAACGTAGATAGAAATAGGGGAGAGATTATAACCCGGAGAGACGTTATTTTCGACGAAGGAGACGACTAGACCCTATATAATAATCCTAATCTCCTAGTCCTACTAGAAACCCTACGGTCGGTAAAATAGTCTAGGTTCCTATTCCTAGACTCTAGGGACCTTATAGACCCTAAGAACCTTATAGACCCTAAGAACCTTATAGACCCTAAGAACCCTATAAATAATATAAACCTTATAAATTCTTCCGCCGAAAAGACTCCTATAATTTCTTCCGCCGAAGAAAGTACCCCTTTTTCGGACTCTAAGGGAGATCTTAGACTTATCGACGAGAGTTCTAGTGACGAATCGGTCCTATTAGTAGACCTACCGAGACTATCTACCGAAGAACTCGCTAACCTTAATTATAAGATCTAAAATAAGGTTTTCTATACTACTATACCTCGGGTAGATAAAAAATATATATAGGATCTAGTATAATATACTACTATCTTATATACGTAAGCTAGACTAACCCTATTATCTAAGGATCTCCTAACCTTACCCCTACTAATAACCCTAAAAAATATAGACCCTAAATAGATAGAAGACCCTAAATTAGTCCGATAAGTACGTAACTTACCCCTTTAGCCTTAGTAGTACCGCGCTATAAAAATCGAGTTTAAATAGCTTAGTTTAATTAAAGCTTAGGAGATAATCCCTACCCCCGTACCTACTAAGAATATATATATCCTTACCGGTAAGTAGGTATATAAACTAAAACTCGACGCGGATAGAAACCCCCTAAAATTTAAGGCTCGCTAGGTAGCGAGAGATTTCTAATAACGGGAAGATCTAGACTATACCGAGACCTTTACTAGTATAGATAGCTACGTTACGCTATAGATCCTCCTCGCTATAATTACGTAAAAAAAGCTTTTTATAGCTTATATTAACGTAAACGTTATATATCTTAACGCTACGCTAAAGGAGAGACTCTTAATATACTACCCTAAAGGTTTTGAAGATAATACCGATTTTTTAGAGATCTAAGGTAAAGTCTACCTCCTAAAAAAGAGTCTTTATAGTCTAAAATAGTTAGTAGTAAACTAGTTTAATATATTAGGGGACTACTTATTAACGAAAGGCTTTATACGATCTACTTCCGACCTATATCTTTATACGTAGTATAATTAAAGAGGCGCCGGTACGATTATCTATATTTTTATATACGTCGACGACCTTTTAATTATAGCTTCTATAGTAGATCTCGTTAAAACTATAAAGGACCTTATTTTAATAAAATAGTCTACGTCGGACCTCGGTAAGCTATCCTACTATCTTTCGATAAAAATAGTATACGATAGAGAGGCGGGAAAAATAATAATTTCGTAAAAAATATACGTTAAAAGATTCTTAAAAACCGTAATTTTAAGACCCGTAATCTCTTTATCTATTATCCTAATAAAGGAAGAGACCCTTACCGCTATAAGTAAAGTAGTAAAATAGTACTAATCCGATATAAGCTCGATTAACTATACTAGTATAGTTATACGTCTAGACCTCTTACTTATAGTAAGTATACTTTCGTAGTTTACTATAAACCTAAACGCTAAATATAAGGATCTAGTATAAAGAGTAATTACTTATATAGGACGTATTAGCTATTATATAATTATATACTAATCTAGACCTAATTAGGACCTCTAGGGGTATATCGACGCCTTATACGGATTAGCCCTAAAAAGTAAAAGTAAGACTAGGTATATCTTCTTCCTTATAGGGGGTCTAATATTATAGAAATCTTAAAAGTAGACTAATATAGTAAAATTAAGCGCCGAAGCTAAATATATAGCCCTCTTAATTACTAGCGGAGAGGCAATTTAGCTACGAAAACTACTAAAAGATCTTAATTTTTACTAAAGAAGTATAGACCTCCCCCCTATCCCTTTATATAGCGATAGCTAGTCTACGATTATAATAACGAAGAACCCTACTATTTTAGGATATTTAAAATATATCGACGTGCACTAGCACTAGATCCGCGAGTAAGTTAAAAGGGGAAAAATCAAGCTTATATATATAAAAGGGACTAAAAATATTATAGATAGACTAATAAAGCCCCTTAGGGCTCCTAAATTTATAGAGTTTATCATAGGTTTAAACCTCGACCCTAAAATATATAGACTTTCGGCAGAATAAACCCCTACGTCTTTCGTAGTGCAAAACTAGCAGTTTTACACCTTCCTACAGTCCAAAAGCTACACCTTTTAACTAAGAAACCTCATTTATCTCAGTCCCCGACAACATAATCTTACGATATACAACGGCTGCACGTTAAGGGGGCGTATTAAGAACTATGCCTAAGGCAGGATTCTCTCATCCGCAGGATTATCAACGCTACGCCCTTTTTATCTTTTCTGCCGAAAAGCCCACCTTTAGGGGCCAAATTAAGGACTCCGATCCTCGGCACATAAAGGGGCATAAATAGCAGGAAAAGGCAGATATTATCTAGATCTTCAGACAATTCAATACTTCCATGAGAGATCCTATTCCTAGTATCATTTGAACCCATTGTTGAAACCCTACATGCTGTATCATACCTCTATATCTTCAACATATATATCTCATCTCTATAATCCAAATTATGATTAACCAATGGAATAATTCCTAATTGATTACTACACTATATAAAACAATAGATCAATCCATGAAGGACTTTAAACTCTGAAGAGAACAACTTAGTCGCTATAGTAATCACTTCGGTCTTGATGCTTTTAACACCGAATTCCGACTCAATTTATAAGCAGCGTTGCAAGCCCTGAAGATCACACCAACCCCACTAGAATAGAGAAATCGCAGCAGTATAAAAGGAAAGGAACATATTTTAACAAAGTACATCAGTCAAGGCCATCGAAAGTACAATTAATCCCCCATCATCCCAATCCAACACCAACATGAGTCCCAAGATCGGTGTCTTCCCTGCATCCGGAGGCCTTGGAACAAGCATCGTGAACCACCTAGCAAAACTCGTCCCAGCATCCGACCTAATCCTAATCGCACGAAGTCCCGAAAGACTGAATGATCTCCAAAATGCCGGCGCGACCGTACGCAAGGCAGACTACGACGAGCCATCCACCCTGGACAATGCATTCCAAGACGTGGATATCCTGATGTTAATCTCCTACGCATCATTCGAAATAGACCACCGAGTTAAGGCGAGTAAAGCTTTCGTCGAAATTACGTATGCATTTACGATCTAACAAAAAATCAGGCCCACCACCTCGCAATCAACGCAGCCATCAACAGCAAGGTCAAACACATCTTCTACTCCTCCCTCGGCTTCGGCGGCAATCTGAACAACCACACCGTCGCCCACGTAATGGGCGCACACGTCGCAACAGAGAATTACCTCTCCTTCCTTCAAGATAAAACAACCTACACCAACATCCGCGAGGGCCTCTACTCTGAATCCTTCCCAATCTACACAGCCTGGTTCGACCCCCAACATCCAGCCGACGAAATCACCATTCCGCACTCTGGTTCAGGCCCAGGCGTGGCGTGGGTAAAACGCGACGAGCTGGGGGAAGCAACAGCCAAGTTGATTGTCTCGTATATCAATGAGCCGAGCAAGTTTGAGTATCTGAATAAGACACTTCTATTATCTGGATCACGGGAGATATCACTTGCAGAAACGGTTGAGATTCTTGGTCGATCTGTTGGTAAGGATCTTCGGATCCGGGAGATCTCGGTGGATGAGTACGTCAGGCTTCCGCAGATTGGGGATAAGCATACGTATCATGGGGTCGATTTGTCGAGGGAGTGGGCTACGGCTTGGGAGGCTATCAGGCTAGGAGAGACTGCGGTTGTGTCGCCGGTTCTTGGGGGAGATTTTGGGCAGGGAGCCGGAGAGTTATGATACCACCATCAAGGAGTTGATAGGATGAGGTTGTGTATGAATCTTGATGGATTTTCGAACTGTTGCATAGCTTGAAGCTCCAAAATAGGCCTATGTACGTCGAATTCTTATATGGGAGTAGAGAAAAGAAGGGAATGAGGTTGGTCAACATGACAGTGCTCCTTGGAAAGCGAGCAACCTCGAGTGAATGAAGGGCCACGGCACTAAACCCGAACTGACATGTGGGCGCCCTAATCTTTGAGCCCCTTGACCCGAAGCTTCGCACCGTGGTAAGGATCGTGAGCGCCATACCAGTAGACATCCTTGGCCCCACCTGTTCCTGAACCTCTGATCGGGCAACCGATCCATGTGGCCGTGATCGAGGAGGCTCTGGTGGCTTGGGTCAAAGCGAGGACCGCAGCCGAGCTCGGGCACAGCATCGGACAGCGGACCAAAGCGGATAAGATGATGTTTTCGACAATATAGATGATTTGGTAAAAGGTGGGAAAGCCGTTCTACCCAGTTTACTCCGTACGAAGTACCCATAGACTCCATAGGGGCCGAGGCTGTTGGGCCCTGCCGCTAGGGATCGAAGCAAATGAAGCCAATGTACATCGTACAACGTTTTCGGATGTGTACGGGGACCAATTCACCCAGGACCCATCCCAGTCCCCGATGAAGATCCGGCGTTCCGGGAAAATCAAGATCTGGGGACGATACGGAGTACTCGGTGGTCAAATCGAGTAAAAGTCCGTGTATTGGCCGCCGATGGCGGGTTTAGTGTCCGTGATTGCCCCACTGGGCCAAGAGGGTGGACTGATGTTCATGTATTCATGGAAACTAGTCATGACACAGGGGTAACGGGTCACCTGCAGGATGCCGACTTAGCCCCAACGGTCTAGACGACCGAGCACAGACGCAGAGTGGTCCAAATTTGTTTAAGGTTGTGATAGATCTGAGATGGAAGGGTTGACATGCCAGTCATTGGAATCGCACCATGAGCCACAAAGCCTACCAATGCATGCCATTGAGAGATCACAAACGACGAATCGGATCGGTAGAGGCCTGTATCTCACGAAGAGAAAGGTTTGAATCCGAGATGTCCAACTATCGGGGAGTATCAGGAGAGCATGGCTCCATAGCTAGGAGGTTGGATACCGGAAGCCAAAGCTGAGGCTTCCGTTCGCATTTCGCGAAAGCTTTGATAGTCACAGGGGCCAGATTGCTTTCGTAGGAACTCGGTGGACATCGGGTTGGAGGTTGGCAAACGGGAAAAGGGAAGAGAGGATCCGAGTCACCCCACTGATCCCAGGTGCCTGCGGCGCTGACGTAGGGGAAACAGACGAATAAGCGACATTCACCTGTATCGTGACTGGTCACGGGCGCCCGTTGAGATGGCACTAGACTCCGTTCAACTCCCATGTCACAACTTTGTTGATTGTCCAACCAATCCCGGGTAACCTGACGTGTCCTCAATACATGTACGGAGGACCTCTGGATCTTACAGGGTCGTTTTCGAGATTAAATGAAACTAATCAAAAGTGGCTCCCGCTGTCAGTTGGACTGACAAAAGTACTAAACGGACCCGTCCTCGTAGACATTGCCACAGGCAAAAGCAGTCAACGTTGCCGAGTAGTACGTGATCTTTCCATCAAGTAGCATTGAGGCTATGTGAGCTCTCGCTACACTGGTGTATCACTGTGGCTTGGTCGATTGGCTGATGTTCACCATTTCGAACGGATCAATTTTCATCATTATTATCACCACATTACTGTATCTGGGCTATTGTTCGAGGTCCCAACATCTCTCCAGCGCGTAACAACCTTGGGAGTCTCGACATTGATCGATGATGCATGTTTTGGTCACATATGCCAGTTTGAGACAGGGGTCATGTGGCGACAGGTGGTCGAAGTTTCTTTAGTGAGGCGAGCAATCAGGGAACATGAGAGGCCCGTGAAGAAACAGGATATGACTTTTACCGGGTGTGGGTAAAGAATGTATAGGTACAAAGCCGGTTGTGTACATTATTTTAGTCCACCTACTCCGGACTCCGTATCTACACGTACGATGATACAGATACTATATCCCGTTTCTCCATGTATATGGTATACTGGGATCTTGGGTCATACTAGGTACCTCTCCGTACTCCGTACTCCGTATCTCATTCACGATGGCAGCATTGCCGCTTTTATCAAAACAGTGTGGAATCGATTTAGGGCTACATATACCGCGGCGTGAGAGTATTGCAACCACGTATGCGTATGCTGTGAGAATCTGGTTCACAACTACCTGTCATATAGAGATCATACATATCCCGAGTAGGGAGTACGGAATAGTCTGAGGGGAAATATGGACTGACAATCTCATCTCCGACGACTCGCGATGCATCCATTGAAGGAGATGAGGCAGTGGTGATTCCAGGGGGTTGCCCATATGTCGCAGTGTCGCAGCCCCTATAAAAATCCCGTTGCATTGGCGCTAACCATATACACTGGATCGGGTCAAAGGATTGCATGAAACGACGCTACTTTTGAGATCGATTTTGGCAATACCATCCTTTCGGTCTATTTTTGCGATCTCCGTGGGTATCCCCTGAAAGTTGCCAAGCCCCGATGTTGATCGGAGGTCGACATACACCATCAGTGCCGGTCTGTAGGAAGCAAAGTCAGTTACTAACGAGAATGCTAAGCGAAGTCCATAAATATCACACGCAATTTCGTCGAACTATAGGGGTATCTCGAAGTAAGACCTAGTGCCGAGGTCTCAGGCCCAGTGGAATTAAAACGCGATATCAGACAGCCTCATAGCCCCATCAATACGATATAATAGCCAGATTACAAGCCCAAACACGAATAGAATACCCGCCTAACGGTTAATCGACATAAAAAACGACATAAAAGAGCGTCGGATCCGAGACTCGGCCGTGGCAATCTTGGCAAGGCCCAGCCCACTGGTTCCCGCGAAATGCCACTTGGTCATTGGTTTCACACGCCTTCACTCCCTTTCGCCTGACAGCCTCTGGGGGAAAGAATCGGAATGTCATCGTCGGAGCCGGCCGTTGGCGATCTGGCCTGGGGTGATTTCGGCTTGATATGACCGAACAGCAGTCTAGCGAGTACCCATCCGGAGGCTAGGCCGTTTTGGATAGGGTCTGTTAGAAGCCTGACATCACAGGTCAATTTCGGCTTCGTACACAGGCGTAATTGTCTGTTCCGGTTCACCCTCGTACCCCTGTTTTTTTTTTCGGGGAAATCTCTTGGATTTATATAAATGCCCTGCGGCCGAAACCCCCATCTCCTGTTCCATGGTATCTCACAGTTTTATTTATATATCCCTCGCCACTCCATCTCGTGGTAAATCCTCAACTTACTATATATCCTCACCTTTCTATCAATTGCCCTCAAAGGCCAACGTATGATCATTCAAGATGTGCATCATGGCTTGCAACCGATCCAATGAGATCACCAATCTCTCCATGGACCAGGGGACCTACCTCAGCCAACAGCTGAGTCCCCAGTCTCGACCCGCCGACTTCTTTGATAAAGGCCCCGACCCCCTCGCTGCCAACTGGAGCTATGACAACGCCATCGATCTGTTCTCTCTCAACCCTGCCGACATCGAGCCCGTTTCATTTGACTTCGCCGACAGCCTCACCAACCTTGAGTCGAAGGATCTCTTCAACGACCCCTTCAGTAGCTCTGGTATCAGCGGATATACCATGCCCATGGCTGAGGATGCCAATTCACTCTCATCGGTAAGAGCCTCAATGTCCTATAGACCTCGCCTGACATCACGCTAACTCCTTCTGCAGGAGTTCGACAGTGACGATCAGACATGGCAATCCACCGCCGCACGTCAATCAATCGACTCTAATGTGTTTGATACTCAGTCAACCAATCACCCTTCCACCTATCCCTCTTCTCAGCCTGAAGCACAGACCCAGACCCGATCATCAACACGATGGTCATCAAGCCCAGAGATGAAGGAAGAAGAGATCGCTACCCCCCAACCCATCAAATCCACCTCCACATCCCGCAAGACCCGCAGTTTCTCCCGAGACTCAAATCGCTCCTCAACGGGCAGCCAAGACCCCCAAACGCGGAACGCCGCCAAGCGTGCCGCCCACAACATCATCGAGAAACGTTACCGCACCAACATGAATGCCAAATTCGTTTCCCTCGAGCAAGCTATCTCTCCTTCCGGCGTTCAAAAACACGCCAAGCTGGGCGCGGGTTCGCTCAAGAAGTCCGAAATCCTCACCAACGCCCTGACCTACATCGATGGTATTCAGCAAGAGAACCAGGCCCTCCACAAGGAGCTTGCCCTCCTCAAACAAAACTTGCTACCGGGCGGCATCTGGCGCCACAACAAAAATACCCGCCTTTGATCAGGTACACACCAAACACGCAGTGAACCTGTGACTTTCCCTTCAATTCTCATTCTTGTTTTTATGACCGTGACGAGCGTTCTATACTTAGAGTATCCGGAGAATATGATTCCGGTCGGCGTTCGTCCCTGTCTGTTTTAACCTATTTGTTTCTTTCCTTTGTGGGTCTGGTGGAGGCGTTTGGATGTGTTGCTTGAGCCCCAATTTGGCTCTATCTCATCTCTCAGACATGGTTTCTTTTCGGGTCCTGGCGACCGCAAAAGTGTTTTGTGACTTGTGATTCCCCCCACCTCGCACGGGAATCTCCTGGATTGTATCCTAAAGCATTAATATAATTGCCAAGACTCGGATGATTCATCCTGTTCAATATTTTTTTTGCCCTTGAAATATGCTTCTGTGTGGTCTGATTCTTCCTGAAGTGGAGTTAGTTGTAGGGTGGTGCCATACTGGTATATATACCTGCTATGTAAGTGAGGCGCACTCGTCATTTCAAGTTGTGTCTGTGCTAGACTGACTGTCTCAAGCTGGTCTACTCTTTACCGGTGAGTGTAATCAATCTTTCCAAACTCAATTCTCAATTCGTGCGGTCTCATGACCTCGTCTGGATGCTCATTTCGGACGCTCGTTTCAACTTCCCACTTCCGGTCACGACCGTGCTGAGCGCCAGTCCAGTTCAATATTGGGGGTGGACCGGCCAATATCGGAGTGCCAGGAGGGATCATAACACTGGGTCATCTATCAAGTATTGACAGGTGAAATTGATGACATTGAGGCTTGGACAGACGGGCGATATTCAAAACCCATCTGCCATGGCCAATAAATATGAGCCACAATGAAGGAAGCAGACCATGAACCTTTTGAGTATTATATCTGTCGACAATCAAAGGGAAAAGAGCGTCTGCACTAATCGCAGCCACGAGGAAGAAATCCGTTCGTCTTCAGGCACAACATGCCTTGTTTGGACTAGGCCGCGGCGCTGTGCCTGAATATCACTGCAGCTCCTCGGCTCCAGCCTCCACGCCTGGAGACGACTCTTCATATTCTACCTATTGACTGATGCTCGGAGCATGCAATCGATCCGGGGCAAGTTTCCGATTATGTCATGGCTGCAACATGCCCAGGTGCTGGAACTGATATTGGATTGAACCACGAGAAAGTTCACAAGATCTCCAGAACTTGGCCATCTGACTGCGAAGCCAAGTCTGGCCCAAAATATTCCCACAAAAGGAAGGAGCAAGCGATGTGTTTACTGCCCACCGAGACGCGGGGGTCCGGGCCAATAACAAACAGTCTGTAATAGACATAGTTGGGGAACAGCACTGCGATGCCCAACTGAGCAGATTCGCCAACCAGACTAAAGAACATGATTCTTATTACGAAGCTATTATCGGAGAAGTGGACCCTATTGACGTCGTTGCTAGGACGGAGCTCATAGCTGCTGCCTCCGTGCAGGTTGCCTGCCGAATGCGTCCTTCCCCTTTCTTTCGATGAGCACAGAGCCACGGAAGGTTTCACTTTGACGCTTATGTCCAATCTCCAGTTCATGCTCACCGGACTCCGACTTACACCCTCTCGAATCCAGTTTGATACGACACTTGCAAATGATACTGCTAGATAAGCCTCGAGTATCAGGCATTGTGGAACTACCTCCACCCCAAGGGTTATTTTCAATCGCTCCAGCCGTCACATGGAGATATGCATGACGGCAGCTCGAATAGCGCCGAGCTAAACGCGTCTAATCTCGGAATTCAGGCCCCAAATCCTTGTAGAGCCGTGCTCCAAAGTGCCTATCGCGAATCTTATCTGCCACGCATGGACTTACCGTTTTGGGCTAGCTATCGCCACTGATGATACCGGAGACGTGCAGACGAGATTGATGCTGATATGGGAAGATACTGTGGCTGGATTGTCTCTTGCTTTACGAAATACTTTGGTGAAAGATATTTGTGTTGAAATCTCAGGGAGTCTCCCGGAGCACCAAGTTGCACAGCGGTCGGACCCCGCGTAGCATAGAGCCATGGAGTAAGTGGGCAAGTTGGGCAATTTGATGCCAAAAGGGAGTCAAAAAGGAGCCAAAAGGAACACTGCATGTTCCTTGATTGAGATTTGGTGTGAATAATGGCATAAACGGTCTAAATTTCCGATGAATGAGCCCCCCCGTTACCCCGGGTCTTATCTGCTCCATGGCGGCCCACTGGAGGAGGTCCTCCCGAGACACCCCCGCAAATTCCAGAATCACAAATTCACGCGAAGATCTTTTCTACTATCTACCGCGCTCCAGTCCATGACCAATCGTTTTGATTCACCCTCTCAGGGCCCAGTATCGGGTCCACTGCGTCATTGGTTGCTCGGGTTGGTCTCCAGCTTTATCTAAGCCCCCGTATTTCCCTCGGTGGCAGGCTCAGTGCGTGAGGGGTGGTAACGCGGAACGCACCCAGCAAGATTTCAGCTATATAGAATTCGCTGATTCTCCCCCTGGATCATGTCTTTTTTTCTTTCTCAATTGATATTGAGCTAGAAAATGGGCGCAACCTTTTCCCGCTTGCCCACTAAGTTGATACAGATATTGCGTCCGGCTGAAGAACTCTGGGATGGATTTGGAGTCCAATTCGCAACCCCTTAAGCCGCCACTGACGGATCAGAATGTGCAAGATGCGGAGGATCTCGCCGCCCTCGGCCACTCCCAGGCCCTAACGAGGAAATTCGATATGTGGAGTATGCTTGCGCTGGCCTTTTGTGTGCTAGGTATGTTCACACTCTTTGTCGTACTATCTACGAAGAACCGGGGTGCTGATTTGTTGTCTTAGGAACCTACTCGACCTTCGCCCAAGATCTCAGCAGTGGTCTGACCAATGGTGGTGCCATCACTATCCTCTGGGGTCTAGTGCTGGTCACAGCATGCAATCTTTGCGTTGCGCTTTCGCTGGGAGAGTTGACCAGCAGCATGCCCACGGCTCTCGGCCAGGCGTACTGGGTATATCGACTATGGAGTACACCGCTGGGTCGATTCGTCTCGTATATGTGCGCTTGGATCAATACATTCGGATGGTGGACCTTGACTGCGTCGCAGGTAGCCTTCATGACTGAGTTCCTGCTCGGCATGAAGACCATGTTCAAGCCCGAATGGGATGGAGTCAACAAAGGCTGGCTCAACTTCATTGTGTACGTTGGCGTGGTCCTTTTTCTGACTTTCGTCAATGTTGTCAGTTGCCGCAAGGAGAAGATTTTACCCTGGATCAACAACTTCGTCGGAGTGTGGTTCTTCGGCCTGTTTATTGTGCTCTCTCTTGTGCTGCTGATCTCGGTCGGAACCAAGAGCGACTTGTCCTTCCAGCCTGCTTCGTTTGCTTTCGGTGTTTGGATGAATAACACTGGCTGGGGAGATGGTGTGGTTTGGTTCACCGGGTTGGTCCAGGCAGCTTACGGATTGACGGCGTTCGATTCGGTCATCCATATGGTCGAGGAGATCCCCGCACCTAGGAAGAATGCGCCCAAGATTATCTGGATGGCTGTTCTGTTCGGCGCCGTAACCGGTTTCATCTTTATGGTGGTCTGCCTATTCTGCATTCAGAATGTGGAAAATGTTGTCAACGCCGACCTACCATTTATGGAACTGATGGTTGAGACCGTTGGGCTCAAAGGCGCCGCAGCACTTATTGCACTGTTTATTTTCAACGGCTTAGGCCAGGGTATCAGTATTCTCACCACAGCCTCCCGTTTGACCTGGGGCTTTGCCCGTGACGGTGGCATCCCTTGGAGCAACTACTTCAGTCATGTCGACCCTGTGTGGCAAGTTCCTGCTCGATCTCTCTGGGGTCAGAGCGTCATTATCGGCATCGTTGGTGTCCTTTATCTGTTCTCCGACACCGTCCTTGGGGCCATTCTCAGCGTCAGCACCGTCGCACTGACCGTGTCGTACGCGATGCCCATCCTGGCCTTGCTCGTGACCGGACGCGAGAAATTGCCTCCGGGTCCGTTCAAGCTCGGTCGCGCTGGGCCGTGGTTGAACTGGGTCAGCATCTTCTACTGTATCATCACCACCATTTTCTTCCTATTCCCGGAGACTCCGAATCCCACAGCCAGTGATATGAACTTTGCTATTGCAGTCTTCGGTGTTATGTTAGTTATTGCGGTCACATTCTGGTTTATCAAGGGTAGCCGGACCTATCTTCAAACTGAAGATGCTATTGCCTCGATGGTCTACGCGCACCATTTGGAAGTGAATGATTCTGGGGCAGGTGACCATGGAACAGTCGTTCAAGATCGGGTCATTGCTGCAGAGAAGTGATGGCAGGGGATCCAAGTATTCCAATGAACGTATTTTTGAAGCGGATGGTGTAGCGTGGGGTTGTATATATGCATGAGGTGGTTGGATTTTGTATATTTCTTACCGGGCTGACGTTTATAGTATCAATAGAAGAAGTGAAAGGAGGTTGAAATAACTTATTGCAATATACGGACTCCCCCTAACTGGATATACACCAAATAATTGACACAGTCCTTTTGGCTCCAACTAGGTACGATGGTCAACCCCATTGTCACGGGTTCTCCCGTTGCCTCAGCCCCACTGTCCAATTTGGTCCAACTAACTCATTCTAGTTCCACCCTGACAACGCATATGAGACACAGCGCCCAGTTGAAACTCTATGGAGACCGAAATCTCCTGTGTCTCAATCCTTGGTTGGTGTGGACTGCACGAGCTGGCGATGGGCTGCATACGCGGTATACCTCGTCACCTTGGGCTTGTGCCTAAGAGCAAGGCTGCAAGCAATACGTGCAATAATGGCGCAAAAGCAATCAATATCACCCGCCACATCTGCCTTCAATGCCTATGATATCACCTTGGCACATTGGGAATCTTGAAGTGTCCCAGCCCCCACATAGGAATGCGCACAATCTTGAGGCGTGGCCAGCGGTCATGCGGGTCACAGCATCGGTTACAGGATAGGCGCATCAAATCTCAACGCCACAGAACGCGATCGCCCAGCCCTCCAAGGATGTCTTATTTTTGATGAGATAGCTTCATTGGTTGATGACTGGTGTAGCAGTGCATGATCACCATGGCAACTTGCCCCTTCAGAAGCTTGGCAGGGACGGCCGAATCCTCTAGGACATCATCAAACACACTGGGCCGGTTAAGCCCTGTCCAATTTGTCTAGATACAGAGGAACATTGGGCAATATTTGAGCCAAGTTTAGAACAGATCGCGTTGATAACCGGGCCGCCTGTCCAGCCACCTTGAAGCAAGCCCCCCTGCCACCCCTCACATTGTGCCTCTAACGAAGTGGATCAACCCCTGCCGATCGTCGCCTGAACATAGGCACACCCGCCCAGCGTTACAATGGGAAGGAGGGTTTACCTTCATACCGATCATGTCACTGGCAATTCTCCGTTTCTTGGGAGGGGGAGACCGCTGGCTCAAAGGATGTGAATAATCAGCTCCCTACGTTGAACAATGCAGACCCCGCCGCTGTCAACGAGTGATGTGGAACAGCCTCGTCCTCCAAACGAGCATACGCCACAGGGTCCACAAGAACGGTGGAACTTGTACAGTGCCAAGCGAGTGACATGAAACTGGGACAAAACTCTCGACCTTGCGAATTTGGAAATTGTCGAGGACTCTTCGACACACATTCTTCATCGACCGTTCATTCCACCCCGCCAATGCAACCACAATAAACAGCAATCTACGATCCCTACCCCTCCTTTGTATTTGAGCGCCTGGGCCCGGAGTACTTATATTTCTTTCTTTCGCTATCAATACTCCGACCGGTGTTTGGCAGGGCTTGCTGATATCACTCCTTTTCACGCTATGATACTTTCCCTATTGAACCGTGGAGCATTATCGCTCGCGGTTGTGTCGCTTCTTGCGTCCTCTGCTGCTGCTGATGTCTTCGAGAGTCTATCAGGCGTGCCTCAAGGTAAATTGACTTGTTCCAAAACCAAACCGACATAGTCCCAAACTGATTGAGCGAAGGATGGATATATTCCCGCACACCGGGTGCCAAACAGCCCATGAAGCTGCAGATTGCCCTGACACAGGGCAATACTGTAGGATTCGAAAAGGCTGTCATGGACATGTCAACGCCGGATCATCCCAGCTACGGACAACACTTCAACACTCACGAGGAGATGAAACGTATGCTCCAGCCCAGCGCCGAGTCAGCGGGTTCGGTCCGTGACTGGCTCGAAAACGCCGGTATTACTAGGATCCACCAGGATGCCGATTGGATTACCTTCTACACCACTGTAGAGACTGCGAATGAGCTGCTGGCAGCTAATTTCCAATTCTACATCAATCGCGTGAAGCACGTGGAGCGTCTTCGCACACTCGAGTATTCCATCCCGGAGGCGCTGATTCCTCACATCAACATGATCCAGCCGACCACCCGGTTCGGCCAATTGCAGGCCAACCGCGCTATTTTGCACGGCCAGGTCAGGGAAAGCGACACTGCTTTCCGCAAGAATGCCATGTCTGGTTCTCCTGACTGCAATAACATCATTACTCCCCAGTGCTTGAAAGATATGTACAATGTCGGTGATTATGAGGCTAGCGAGACCGACGGGAACAAGGTCGCATTTGTCAGCTATCTGGAGCAGTATGCACGCTACTCTGACCTGGAACTGTTTGAGAAGAATATCGTGCCCTATGCACAGGGCCAGAACTTCTCCGTTATCCAGTACAATGGTGGCGGCAATGACCAGACCTCGCGCGGTGACAGCAGCGAGGCAAACCTCGACCTACAGTATATGCTTGGAGTCAGCTCTCCTGTTCCCGTTACTGAGTTCAGTGTCGGTGGTCGTGGTCCACTTGTCCCTGATCTTGACCAACCGGATGTGAATGATAACAACAATGAGCCATACCTGGAGTTCCTCCAGAATGTGCTCAAGATGGATAGCAAGGATCTTCCCCAGGTCATCTCGACCTCTTACGGCGAGAACGAGCAGGTATGATTGCCCCCGTCTTTAATCAAGTTGTCAATGTCTAACTTCCGCTTCCAGAGTGTTCCTGAGACGTACGCCCGCACTGTCTGCAACATGTTCTCCCAGCTCGGCAGCCGCGGTGTCTCCGTCATCTTCTCATCTGGCGACTCCGGTGTCGGTGCTGGTTGTGCCACAAACGATGGCAAGAACACAACTCATTTCCCACCCCAGTTCCCTGCCGCCTGTCCCTGGGTTACCTCAGTTGGCGCAACCACCCACACAGCACCCGAAAGGGCCGTGTACTTCTCATCTGGTGGCTTCTCCGATCTCTGGGAGCGCCCCCAGTACCAGGACGAGGCAGTGAGTGAGTTCCTGGACGACCTGGGCGACCGTTGGTCCGGTCTATTCAACCCCAACGGCCGCGCGTTCCCCGATGTCACAGCCCAAGGCCAAAACTACGCGATCTATGAGAAGGGTTCGTTGACCAGTGTTGACGGCACATCCTGCTCAGCACCCGCCTTTGCTGGAATCATTGCACTCCTCAACGACGCCCGTCTTAAGACCAACCAGCCACCCATGGGCTTCCTTAATCCCTGGCTATACTCGGCCGGTCGCGACGGGTTCAAGGACATCGTCGATGGCGCCAGTACCGGCTGTGATGGCAAGAGCCGCTTTGGCGGACCTAGCAATGGTGGTCCCGTAGTCGCTGGTGCTAGCTGGAATGCCACTAAGGGCTGGGATCCCGTTTCTGGTCTCGGGTCACCCAACTTTGGTATCATGCGCAAGCTTGCGAATGCTGGATAGATCGTGCATAGCGCATATTGACGTGGTGCGACGCGTGGGTGTCGGAGGTCTTTCTTATGACCTGATGAATGCCCTCCATATGTTTGCTCATCAGTTGTATACATATAGATTTCGTCTCTTATACTTGCAAATATAATCGCCTTTTGGCTGGCTCGGCTGAAGATTTTGGACCTAAGTAGACGTCTTCAGCTTACAGTTTCGTGGTGTTGTTTGTCGAACTTCTCTCTCTACGATAGAGCAGCAACCCCTAACCCCCCAACATGTTGCTAGATTATCATGAGCCAGAATCACTGATTTGAACTGCTCCTGCCTAACCAACATATGCGACCAAGAGCCATGACGTATTTTTGGGACCGAGCAAGCCCTTATGTAGCTAGGTGGTATCGAGTACCCGCCAAAGGAAACAAACGCAAATGCAGCTGGTGAATTTCTTTCCTGGCTCGCATGTTCGATGATCATAGTACTGTCTGCGATGAACTGTACGTCGACACCCATCTATTCTTGAAAAATCGGCTCCGACCGTTCAATCTCCTCTTTACTAGGACACCATCTATCCTGCAACGCCGCATCAAGACTCAGCGCATAAACATCCTTCGGCCACCATTCACCCCAGCTAGTCAGGAAAATCTGTTCCGGATCAGCGGGCAAATCATCAGCAGTCACAGCGCGGAGAATATTCCGGGCACCTATTGATTATCAGAAAACGTCCAACTACCAATCCCAACAAAGAAGTTAAGACGACTTACCCTCGGGAACAGTCTTCGCATCCGGCATATCCATCGTCAATCTCAAGCTGTCATGCTGCGCAAGCTTGGTATTGGGGATGAGGCCAGGCGAGACAGCGACGACTTTGCAAGTCGGGAGATTGCGACGCCAGTAGTGTGCGCCTAATAGCTGGGTGAATTTGGACGCGCTGTATACCACTCTTCCATTTGCGCCGGAATCTGCCTTGAGGTCGATGTCAAGGGTAACTTCGATGGAGATCAGCATTGACGGGTTATTTCAACAGTGAGATAATAGAATGGAAGACTTAACTTACCTGCGTCGCCGCCCCTGACGTTACGAACTGCGCCGGAAGATACGACCACAATGCGTGACTGCGAGGCAGCAAGAGTCTCGGCGAATTGGTGAGTCAAGTAATGCTGGGCTATAAACAAAGTTGGGCGCCATCAGCGTCCCCGAATCTACATGGAACAATAAAAGGGTGGCTGGAACGTACCCAGATGATTGACCACGTACGAGTCGCACCATTTCGAGCCATGTGGACCCGGTCCCTCGGCACCAGAGAGATATCCTGCAATAAGGAACAAATAGTTCAATGGCCTTTCACCTAGTTCAGATAGCGCTTGCTTGGAGAAGGACTGCACGCTCTTGAGATTCAGCAAATCCAGGGGTAAAACAGACACGCTGTGCTTTGAAGTATCGAATTTTAGATCATCGTACGCCAGACGGGTTTTCTCTGTATCTCGGACCCCCAGAATGAAACTATAGGGCGTTGTCTGCTGCAACAGTTGCTTAATCGCTTCGAATCCCTGGTTTCATATTAGTTGGTGGCGGGATGTTTCAGGGTAATGAAATCATACCAGGCCTGACGAGGTGCCCGTCGCGATGACAGTTTTTGCAAGCGATGACATCCTGGACCCCAATGACTAGATCTGGTGATAACTGGTTTCTCCAATTGGGCGTTTCGAAGGTCTCGGGGGGAGGGGCTTCCAGAGTCGATGAGATGACGTCACGCAGACCAGAAGCAAATAGCCAAGGAGCGCGATGTACTTCCAAGGTTGGAGCGGCCTACTGTGTGTATTTGTTATTGGCCATTCGCTTGAAGAGCTTCATATATTCAAGTAGCTATTTCAACTGCAAACACCGGATCAGAGACGAAAGAACATCTGGGGCAAGGGAAAAGTCCATTTTGGATGCAAAATACTAGTTTACACAGTGAACACCCATATGCAAAGCGATGCGAAGAAAAAAAAAAAAAAAAACACGGTCGGTCCTCCGGTTATCAAAGAAACAAACAAGTATTATGAGAATAACCATTAAACCCTCTCCGAGGGGGTAAACATCAAATCATTCGTATGGGGACATCATTTAGGCCAGTGTCGCCATGAAAGCAGAGCTGAAGAGCAGGGCAACCAGGCCAAGACCAGACTTGGAGATTGGCTGGTTGGCGATAGCAGCGTTGTCTGTGGAGGTCGAGGTAGCAGTGCCAGTGCTGGTGCTCGTGCCTGTGGTGGTGGACTTGGAGCCGGTGGAGGTGGCAGTCGCAGTCGCGTTGAGAGCCGCATTACAGAAGACGTCGTGGAATCTGCCGCTCTTGCTGGTGAGGCAGGACTGGAGCTTGTCGATATCTTGGCCCTGGGCGAGACAGTACATGCCGCAGTCGTTGTCGTATTTGGTGACTTTGGCATCTTTGCAGCAGGTGTCCATCACATCGGTCATATTGCCGCCGGCGATGGCCGCGCAGGCGGCATCGGTGGTGGGGATTTGCCAGACGGCGCCGCCGCAGGCCGTGGTGGTTGCGCTGAGGGAGGTGGTGGTGGTAGACATTGTGGGTTGTGGGTGGAAGTTGGATTGGGGAGAAGGTGTTGTGTTTATGTCAAGAAAGAATGTGAGGTCACAAGAAATCAAGAGGCTGACACGAATAAAAAGAAGATCCAAAGTCGGTGGTAAGACATATGATGCCTAACGTTGGATATGACTGGTCTGCCAACCGTCTTGGCCCCCCGTTGCTATACATAGAAGCTGAAAACCTTGAAGCTGGTTCTTTGGTTGTTATTGTCTGACCGGTCTAATGTTTGTGCATGTGAGAAGTGTGATGCAGTACAACTTTACATATAGAGGCAAGGAGAGAAGTAAAATGAACTAGAAATCTCTTAACAAATGGCAGGTATTGCATTAGGTATGTGTGGCGGGTTCCTCACAGGGCTGGGAATGTCAGTCGGTCAACTTAGCGTTTACAGCGATCGGCCATTCCTTCGTATTAATGCCCAACGTGCTTCTGAATTCTTCAGGACCGGACAGCATCCTCTTCGTGCTTAGACACCGCGACCGTGCTATTCTCAATGCTCATCGTGCCGTGTTTCTCATCGGCGGGTTCCACGCCAACCAGAGCGAGAAGACCAATTTCTCTTTCAATACGGTGCTTGCGTCCATTATCCGCAGCAGCCAGTCCAACGGATCCGAACAATTCGTCCATCTCCTCGAGTGTGCGACCCTTGGTTTCGGGGACAAAGAAAATGACATAAAACACCGCGATGGTCGTGATACAACCGAAGAAGATGAATGCACCAAAGTTGCTTGTTTGGAGGAAAGGAGAAGTCGCAGTGCCGACTGCGAAGTTGTTCAACTGCGATGAACCTAGTTAGAGTCTTCCAATAAAGTTGACGGTCGACATCCCGACTTACCCAGTTGCTGCTGCCTCCCAAACTGACACCCTTGGCACGCATGCTCAGTGGGAATACTTCGGCAGTGACAATCCATGCAACGGGTCCTGCAGTGAAACAATGGTCAGCAGTCTCTTGAATCGCGCAAGGAACATGAACCTACCCCACGAATAGGCGAAATTGATGACGAAAATCCACACAAAGACAATCGCGACCCAACCGGCGGCTTTGTGTTCTTCAAAGCTGCCTTGATAGGCGCCAATGATGCCGGCGACGATGAAATGACATGAGGCCATTCCAATCGCACCCGCAATTAGGATCTTCTTACGTCCAATCTGGTCAACCCACAGGACCGCTGGGATGGTGAAGACAAACTCGACAATGCCAACAACACCGGTTGCAAGGAGGGAGATTGTATTGCCGCCAATGTGCATATCTTTGAAGATGAATGGTCTACAAGAATGTCAGCAGCTGAGCTCTTCGAGGCATACATGTGGTCAATCATGTATGTTCCATCTCTCCCGCGACAGGAATGAATCCTTGTGAACTTACGCATAGTAGTTGATTGCGTTGATACCTAAAATTATGATGTCAGTAATGGATTCAACGTTCGGAGATTTGACATATCATACCATTCCATTGTTGGAATACCATGACCAAGCACTATGTTATCATTAGCAATCCCCACGCTAGATCGAGATAGGACATAAAACATACGGCCGTTGCCGTGCGCTTGAAGAGAGACTTGTCGGTAATCAATGACATGTAGTCATGCAGGCCGATCTTGAAACGACTGGAAAATGAATCATCCTGCCAGTCAGGGTACTTCTCGGCAGCTGTTTCACGTTCGAAGAGGTACAAGCTCTTGATTTCAAGGAACTCGATGCGCACAAGGATGTCGTCTGTAGAGGCGTTACGCAAACGAGCCAGGGTATGCAGGCACTCTTCCTCGCGGCCGGTATTCATAAGATGACGTGGGGACTGTGGCATGAACATCATCATACCGACAGCCAAGACAATAGCGGGCAGAATTTGAATACAGACTGGGATGAGCCATGCAGCATCTGATTGTGTATCCCCGGTTCCGCCGATATAATTTGTGCCATAGCCGATCTGCGAAGGTCAGGGCTGAACAACTCCACTCGAAAAGACATGACATACCCAGAAGCTGACCATGATTCCAAACGTGATAGCCAGTTGCTGCACAGCGACGAGTGAGCCACGGATCTCCGGGGGTGCCTTCCATTCAGATTAGTCTTCCCTTCTTGCACGGTCATAGGGATTCCATCCACTCACCAACTCGGCGTTGTATAGCGGCACAACCATACTCAAACTACCGACACCCAGACCAGTCACGAATCGACCTCCAAAGACAAAATCTTTATTCTCCGTGCATGCTTGAACAATAACACCAACGCAGAAAACCACCACGGCGACCAGGACAGTCAGACGACGACCAAGCCGATCGGCGAGATATCCGTTTGCCAATGTTCCTACCCAAGCACCCAGTTCGAGGATGGATGTCAGCATTCCCTGTTTAATACCCGTTTCTTTCGCATAATCTTGAGTCTATTCAGGGGCAGGTGTCAGCTTTGCACGATGTTGAATTCGGTGATTGGAGGGCATACAGCGGCTTGAAAGGCAGGCATTGTAAGGACCTGGGCGAACATTCCCTGGTTGTCTGCAAGATGATCAGAATCTACTTCGAGGAATCGTACCAGCGCTTCATCCACTCACATCCATACACCAGACCACCCAGTGACGCGAAAAGTCCGATACATGTTGTTTTCTTATTACTGATCAAGCCTTTGAAGCCAGTCTTGCCAGAGAGCTCCGCACGTTTGGCCGAAATCGCCGTCTCTCCCGCAAGAGGAGCCACCATTGTGTATCAAGGGCTAATACAACTAAGGTGTTCTGGTACGGATCAAACGGACTCGAGGTGGGTGAGAATGGAAGGCCAAATAATGGCAAAATGCGGAGAAATGTCTGCAGCTCTCTGGCTCCATGACAGGGGATCTGCGAATATTTATTTGCTCGGGAACTACGGGTAATGAGCTCTAAGCTATCAAAATATCCTCTCGGAACTTTGCCCCATGGGGGGACTGGATCAGGTTTCAAACATCCTGAAATGAGGTAACCAGGCCAATCAGCCCATAGCAACCAAGCTTCGTGGCGCGATCACCCTTTTTCAGCCCGTGTGGGCAATTCGCGTTGACTGTGATGAGACGGGAAGGGCTCTACTAGCGTGACATTGGCTCTGCAGGACCGTCAGTGGCTGCTATGGTGTTGTTCCATGGGCCGTGCGCGACAAGATGCGTTCGAGATGGCAGACTTTAGCCGGTGTGCTTGTTCAAAGACATTGGAACCTGGATAAATGAGTCTATGATTGCACGTGGAAGAAGGGGCAGGCCATACAACGGTCGCCTTTCCACCAGTCAATCGATCCCCATGCCAAATTGTGGATTCTAGCCAATTCATCCGGGGGTTTGAGGGTCGGCATCTGCCGCAACCAGACCGAGCTGCCTCGGGCAACATCGCTCCACTTGATGGAGACATCCCCCCGGGGACCCCACGCCGTTCGGAATCTGGAGACCTCCCCGATTTCAACATGCATGCAACGCTTTCACATTGTGTGGTAGGGAGATTTATATTCTGGGTGCTTCGCTCTTGAACTGAAAGAGATACCCCGCACCAACAAAGCAAGAGCTCCAAGGCCGAGAGCTGCATGATTCAAGAAATCACCCAATTCCCCACATCCAAACTCCGTTCCAAGCCGGTTGAATAGCTTCGATTTAGCCGGCGTGACCCCTGTGTTCCTACTCGTTCTCAATCACACGCCACCCAGCCATTCCCGCTGCGCCCAGGCTCCGGGGTTCACGAATCGGCTTCAGCCAAGTCCTGTTGCCGACAAGTTCAACCCGCTTAACTCCTGGGGTCAGTTGAATTTTCACATTAGCCGGGTATGTACATCGGCCCATGGATCAACTTCGTGACCGATAATTTCCCCCAATACCCCGGAATCGATTCGGATGCCCGCCCCGGGAAATATCTCGGCTTCGGACCGGAGATTCATCGGTCGCGTGTGAATTGCGGAGGGATGCGCGGTGTAGTCGCTACCCGGTCTGCTCCTGATCTTGATGAAGCTAGATCATCGAAATTTCTTTCGGCAGCGTAGGATATCAGTATGCTTCTCTAGAGCTACAATTTTCCCTATGAGGATGACACTTCCTATCTTCCCAGCATTCTTCATATATTCTTCACAAAGACTACAGGTTGTCTAGACTAGTGGAGTGCGAAGGTGTTGTGATAGTGTGCTGTTTCTCTCTGGGGCTCATGGCTTGATGAGAAATAAGTAGCCTGCTCCTCGCGACCAGCTACTGATATCTTAGATATGCCTTCACGTTCCTCGTAGTTGGGAGAGAAATTCAGCAAAAGAGTACGGAGAGTACCTACAGCTGGGGGTGACAATTTCAGAGAATGAAGGTGTGACTACTGTATTCGCTAGAGAATTCTGCATTTTAAACCTACTACCTGATATAAATATATAATCTTATGAACCTATACCAATCGCTCTTTTGGCCTCTCGGTTAAATGTATATAACCGCAATCATGTCCCAACAGTATAAGATGTCCTCTAGTCTCATATGAACCTAATGCGATCATCAACACGCGCCCCACCAGTGACCAGTTCAGAGAATTCTAGAGAGTAAGGAACGAAGAACTGGATTCTAGTGCTTTCCTACTCCGTACATACTCGGCTATTTGGCGATTTTTGGTTGGAACATTGCGCTAGTAGCTTATACCGAGATTGACCCTTAAGAGAGTTCGAACTATAGGACTGAGGATAATTCTTCAAAATAAGCCTGGCGACTAACAATGAATATGCCCCCCATGTAACGAATGAATAGTAATGCTAGCCAGAGGAGCGCCGTGTAAAGCTGGATACATCATTTGCGACGATGGTATCTCGGGCACCAGACACAATATCCCACATACCCGATGTCAAGAGCCAAATGTTTTGTACAGAGTACTGATACACGTCTACAGATTTATTATTGTACCGTTCTTCAATGCTCGCCGTTGAAAAATATCATCCTGATCAAGTGACCTTGTGTCTTTGAAGTGGGGAGACTTTTACGTAGAACTCTCCGGTTCCCTCCGGTTGAACTTGTACTTCGTGACTCAATGTTTCTCGGAATCATTTGGTGGCTTTTAAAGGCTTTTTCTCTGGCCATTCCTTTTAGCCTCGTCATCTTCAATGGAATTGAATTAGCCTGTATCGTACAAGGGGGGAACCCGGTTAGGTGAGTCTCGGAAATTTCCGCTTCCACCTGTACCTCAATATATACCAGAGCCTGTTTCGTCGTACAATCAACACAATAGAGCACCTGATGATCCGAGTCATTTGACCAATTATCCTGAAACAAAATCAGCTATGGTCAGAACTAGCCTCTTTCGAGTATGCGTCTCCTGGGAGAATTACAAAATGAAGGATCAATCACATGACCTATACTTTACTCTGGCGATGGCCTCGGTCTCCGCCACTTGCTCCCGCGACATCAAGCCAGAGACAGCTTTTTTCGATCTGCCTTCCATCGTAGATCACCTCTCAAATCAAAATCTAAAGGAGATTCAGGAATTGCCAGGTTGCAAAAATCTTGACAGTACTCGACGACTCGCCACAGCCGATACATGTAGTCATGAATTCATTCTTGAAATGGGCCAGGACGGCAGTGAGACGGACCCCCTCGCCTATACTTCGTTTTCCGAAAAAGGGATTCGAAACAGTCAAGCCCTCGCACATTCTGGAAGAAGAGCGCTTTGAAGGTTTTAGGCGAGGACACTACTATCCTGTCCATATCGGTGATGTATTGATCTCCAAATACCAGATACTAGGCAAGCTGGGCTTTGGAACCACTTCCACGGTATGGTTGGCTCGTGATCTGGAGTAAATCAAGCCCTTGACCTTCTTCTAAGATTGAAGTATACTAACCGAGGCAGAAATCGACGATATGTCACATTAAAGGTGTATACAAGAGGCGAAGCTGGCCCAAGGGAGTTTCAAATTTACAAACAGCTTAGCGAAGTGAACTCGTCACATCCAGGATACCAGCATGTGAGGACTGCATTGGACACATTTGATATCCCGCATCTGGGAGGCGTACATCAATGTCTCGTGCAGAAGCCTATGTGGGGCAGCTTTCGAGATCTAATGCATCGGAGTCCAACACATCGCTTCGATCAAACGCTTCTCAAGACCGGGCTGAAACGGATTCTCCTTGCACTTGATTTTCTTCATACTGAATGCAAACTCGTACATACTGGTATGTACGTGGATTTTGTTCTCCTAGACTAACTCATTGATAAGCCTGCTAGACATCAAGAGCGACAATATTCTACAGGAAATTGAAGATATCTCAATACTAGACAGCTTTATCGATGCTGAGATGAAGCGTCCTTCAGCACGGAAATTTGTCAATGATAGGCCGGTCTATGCTTCTCGGAGATTCGAGTTTCCGAACAAGTTTGGCAGGACGGCTCTGAGTGACTTCGGCGCAGCTGTGTGTGGCGAAGAGAAAAGGAATAAGGATGCTCAGCCGAACGTTTACAGGTCCCCGGAAGTGATGCTGGAGGTTGAATGGAGCTACCCGATTGATATTTGGAATGTTGGAGCCATGGTCCGATCGCCCTCCTTTCATAACCTGCCTTTCCGACAGGGCTAATTATATGAGATTTATAGATATGGGATTTGTTCGAAGGTAAACACATGTTCCTTGGGAATGATCCGGATGGGAAGGGGTATTCCACACGTGCGCATCTGGCTGAAGTAATCGCGATGCTGGGCCCTCCTCCGTTATCTCTCCTGAAACGTGGACAGCGGAGTCTAGAATTCTTTACCGAAGACGGTACGTCATGCTTCAAGAGAATGATGCATACCGACTTTTTCTTTCTAACACAAGAAACCAGGTGATTGGAAGAGTGAGGTCAAGATTCCAGGGAGAAGATCGTTGGATAATTCTGAGTTGTTCCTGAGTGGACAAAACAAAGAGATGTTTTTGGAGTTCATGAGGGGAATGATTCAATGGAAGCCGGAAGACAGAAAAACAGCCAGGGAACTACTGCAGGATCCATGGCTGAACGAGCAAAGCTAGGGAGATTCTTCATTAGGCTGTACATTTCATACTATTCGATCCCAGGCTTGATTGCTAACAATGTGTCAATCGATCAATGAGGTGCTGTAGTGCAATCTTCACACAGAGTCCATGTATATAAATGGAGAGGAGGGAAACATTCGCCCTTTTATTTAGCTAGTCGTGTGATATACAGGATGTTGAATTGGGAGAGGCCGAAATCGGCAAGACTCGATTCACTGATTGTAGATGCAGCCTTGATATGCTATCCTAGCTACCAAGTAGATTCTAAGGATTGGAAAAAGACAGGTGTTGGCGAACCTTTTACAATCATTATTCGTGTTTCACCCCAGAGTTAGCCGCACCCCAACAAACCCTCCTCTACGAGGGACCGGAGTCGATGGTCACACCTATCTCGCATTGCTTATATGCAAGGTGGCGGAGTTGAGAAGGAGGACAGTGATTGTGGGTGCGAAAAAGAGGATGATGATCTTGAATCTATTTGGCAGATATAGCTCGCTTTAAGATACCTCCTGCAACGCGAGATAGCTCCCTAAAGCCACTTTAACAACAACTATTGGTGGCGCATCCCCACTCTGTAGATGGGTCCTCGCGGTGTACATGAAGCTACTCCTCGGAGTCCTCGCGGGTCTGACAGTGCACTGATTATCTCATCCTTTTCAACCAATCACACTACGCAAAAGCTGCCACTATGCAGCTTCAGAACCTATACTCGACATTGTATATATCTGCCTTCATCTGACGCGGAACACTAGTGCTTTTTTTCAAATTTCATGAACCACTTTATTTGTTTTTATCTTCCACATTGATTTTCTTCGCGCCTTGCTCATTTGGACTGATGCTCCCTATGTTTGCTCTCCCATTCACCATCCCGTTTTGTCACCTCACTAAAAACGATGATTTCAATTGAAAAATAGATATAGTACTTCTAAATTGAAGGCAAGAGTAATTTGCGAGATATCTTCGTTTCATGGCTACAGTTTGTTAGATCGAATAGGGTATCTGTACCTCCTAGGTCTGCTCTACCCTCTGTAACAGTTCCGGCAACACGCACTCATTAAGACCCTGCGCTACGAGAATAACAGGAAACAAGCCAGAGGTTCTGACTCCGAAACCACAAGCTGCTTTTGCTCACAGCATGTCCTTCCACCGTGACTGTGCGTCCACAGCCTTCTCCAGGCTTGAATTGAGATACTGACGTAATGAGACGTCCAGCTTCACTTTCAATCGAGTCATATGGACCCTCATATCCATCGTCCGGTCCAGTGTAGTCATCATATTTCGTGACGCCTCGACCTCTCGAGCCTCCCACTTCTCACGAGCCTCCCACTCCTCACGATACTGCCGATGAGCCTCAACACGTGTGCGCAGGTACGAGTTCCACATGGCAGAGGCACGATCCATGTCCCGGTGAAACATGGGGTGGAGGAGACGAAGTGAGTTAGCATGGCGAGTTGCGAATCGCGGAGCTTGCCATTTCTTCTCGTCGCAAATTCGCACAGCTTCATCGAGAAGTGCTGTGCCAATACCATAGCCACGGAATTGTTGGCGGACTGTCCAGGCACGGATGAAGGCCTTGTAGGGTTCGCCGGTGGGAATACTCAGCATGATCGTGTCCGAATTGAGTCCGGCATCACGACACACTACGCTCATGACAAGGGTGCCTATGATTCGGCGCTTCAATCGGTGGATGAGGACAATGGTTATTCCATTATCTGTGTTGAAAGGAGGATCAGCCCCCGGAGACGAAGCGTCGGTTTCCCTGCCTGGATCATGCCCATACAGCCAGTTCAGTGTCCCGACCCTCTCGGCCTCATGAACGTATCCACTGACCAGGTCCAGGACGTAGTGTAGGGCAATCGATGGCACCAAAGCGCCAGTCACGAGGATAAAAAGCCAGTTGGATGGATCGTGGTAGATGAGCTTGATGGTAAATGCCAGCAAAATTGCCACGAACACCAAGACGATGGGATGATAGATGAGGTGTTTGCCGACGACTTGGCGCTGTTCGGCCACAGAGCGGGCGACGAGTTTCAGTGCGGTGACGATTTCGATGTCTTCGGTCGCTACATCGGTGTATTGCCCTGGAGACGTGATTGCGTTGAGCACGTGCCTTTGGGTCGGTGGGCAGGCATTTTGAGATTTTCGCTGGTTGTTGACGGCGTGGTTCACTGGGGGTCTGGGGCTAACGTTGTCCCGCCGCTGCGGCGAGGTGACTACACGTGCCATTGTAATAGATTGATCTGGGGTGTAGTGTAAGCAAAAGATAGACCTCGTTTGTGAAGTGAGGAGGAGTGTCAAGGTGAGACAGAATGGGAATCAGGCAACGGCGGGATGACCAGATGGAATGAGGAGAAGGAATAAAATCGTGCAAACGGAAGTAGAGGATGCATTTTTTGCTTTGGGTTACTTTTGCGTTTTGCTTTTACCTTCAAGCTACTCAGGTGAGAGGTAAGCTTACTAGGATGCTTGGAGACGCATGCATCGGCCCTCTGCTGGTACTTGAAAGCATATAAAATGTATGACAACTTCCCACGCAATCCGAGGTAATGTAAAGACCATCTCAGTGGGCTCTACCTATGCCACCTACACATTCAAACCACGCCAACCCAAAGCCTCAACACTCCAGCACTGGCTCTGGCTCTAGGACCAAGTGTACTCAAATGTGCTAGTTGCGTGATAAAGCGCTGGTTGCCACGGTCTAGAAAATGAGGATGGACCATGTTTGGCCTAAAAGGCTACAAATAGAGAGAAATGAACAATAATATTGAATTAGCATTAGCAACCACGAGGCTAGTCTGCGTCTGTAAACAAATTTGACAATTTGAACCTCGATAAAGTGCCTTGTAAACAAGATTAATGGAAGATAAACGCCATAAAATAGCGTCCGCAAGAGAGGGAGCGAGAAAGGAAACTGGCAGCAGACCTCATTACAGCAATACGAGGTTCCTAGCGAGTAGAAATGCCTCTACGGGCTGGTCCCGGTCGAGGAAGTGGTGCTTTACACTGTCACAGCCCCCACTGCCGCCTCCTGGGCCTTGATTCGCCCTCCCTCGGTGGTAGTGTAGGGCCGGTCGTGGATACGGGGAGCAGGATCGTACTCGCCGGCAAGAACCTCAAGACTCTGACGCTTTGTTTCTGGAATCAACAAGGACGTCAAGAAGCCACAGAGCATGAACAAGGAAAAGATTTGCATCACATGGTTGAGCCAGGGCGAATCTCCAGCCTTTTTGGCACCCCGATGAACAAGAGGACCGAACACGCACTGCGCAATGATCGCGCCAATCTTGCCAGCGGCAGCACTGATTCCATGTGAAGTAGATCGGTAACGAGTAGGGAAGCATTCGCCAGGAACAATGAAAGTGGTTGCGTTTGGTCCGAAGTTGAAAAAGAATTGCGCCAAGACGTAAAGAGCCAGCAAGCCATTGTGAGTATGCTTTAAACTCTCGTAACCAAAGCCGATTGCGACAAAAAGAATAGTCAGAATGGCGAATCCAAGGAGTTGAATGGGCTTGCGACCGATGGTATCGACAGTTGCAACGGTGACCCAGTATCCTGGGATTGCGCCAGCACAGATCAAAATCAGATTTCCGACTGCGTTGCGATAGAATACTTGGTACACATTGTTACCTCCAGTCCATCCAATTGCTGCGAGGATAACTGAGTTGTTGAGGCCAAGGCCGTAAAAAGCTGAACAACAATTAGCACATGCGAAGAATTGACACGCTCGGTACACTTACCAACGTCAAGGAAGAACCAGGAAGCAGCTGTGCCAAGCAGAACTTTACCATGCTTCCACTGAGAATAATGGCGGTAGAAATCGGACCAGCTGGCCTTGGGATAAAACTCAGTGCTCCCATGCTGCGAGTATGTGAGATGTTGAACTTCTTCTGGATGCGCTTCACCCAGACCCTTCAGGTACACACGGACGCTTTCGTCAGCTTTGACGAGATCGCGGGCGACATCAAAGGTGAACCGGGGAGTCTCAGGGATGGTAAGACGATAGTACAACGCAAAGCAGGCCGGAACAGCCCCGAATCCGATAACGACACGCCACATCTTGTCAACGGCCAGTTGACACATACCGGTACAGTGGGCGACATCCTTGGCGCTTTCTAGAGACTCCTTGAAACCCGCCGTAACAATGAGGGCAACAACTGCAGCGGCAAGTTGACCAAAGCCCTGCATAGCAAAGACAGCAGCCATCATGGCACCACGCCACTTGGTGGTAGCAAACCTGATCTATCGGTTAGCGGAGTCTCATTTTAAAAACTCAATAACTTACTCAGATGTAATGACCGAGGATAGAGGGTAGTCACCACCGATTCCAAGACCCATGATGACTCTCCAGAAGACAAGAAGACCCGTGATAGAAAGAGCGCGGGAGGAAGATGCTAAAGCCTGAGCAAGAACAGCCAGGATAATGATCATGAGCTCAACGCCATACATGCGTCGACGACCAATGCGGTCCGCAAGCCAACCGAAGAATAGTTGTCCGATCACAGTGCCGCCAGATGTTGCGACTTTGATAGCAGTATCAGCGCTGGAGGGAATCTTACCAGGTCCACTGCTCGCACCCTGCCAGTAGACAACACCGAGCATGCTGACAGCGAGGTTGATAGCGAAGATATCGTATGAGTCAGTGAAGAATCCGACTCCGGCGATGATGATCGTACGGAGATGAGACCAGCTGAAAGGTGCGTCATCAATTTTGGCGAGGGCAAGACGGCGGCGCTCACGAGGGTCTTCAGGTTCCAGAGCAACAAGCTCTATGGGAGGAGAGGGATCCTCATTCGTAGGGCAAGAGGCAGCGCGAGTCACAGCGCGAGCCGCGAAGGCATTGCGACGGGGATGCGGAACAGCTTCAGCCATTTCACTCAGTCGATGGTAATCAAAGTGAAAGGAGAATGAGATCAAAGTTCGGGAAAACGCGAGTCTTCTGGTGGACGCAAATAGCTAAGGGACGGCTGCAATGTGCCTTGACTGCCGACTTGGAAGGAGATAGGAAAAGGAAGAAAGAAAAAAGTCCACCCTGGTCAATAAATAGAGGAGCCTCACGGGTGATTGGTCTTTCCCTCCGCTGGCCCAGCATGACAGTTACACGAGTCGAACAGCTTTGTCCGACAGGTACCTGGACTGTGTAGTTCACGCGTAGGGCTGACAGGTACCTGCAGGACCGGCATGTGCGGCTCCAATGGGGAAGGAAAATTGACGACAAAGCGGCTGGGCCAATAAACACGGAGGGATCGAGCACGTGGTGGTTTGCACGGAGTAGAGCTTGAGGTACTTTGAGTTGGCAGACAATTTGGCTGGTGGACGCGGTACCCACGGTTACAACACCACAAGAGCATCCCGGGACTTTATTAGCCCACTTGAGCAAAAGCCTTATGTAGCCTTGGAGATAGTGACAATGGAAGTTCCAGCCCTTAGGCCCTGCACAAGGGAGTACCTGGGAAAGAGGGAACGATGTCATGCATACATACGACCACAAACTACAATCCCGCCAGGCTCCGGGGCTTAGATATAAGATTCATTAATTAATATGACTGACTAGGTCTCTTTGGCTTCCGTAAACACTCATTCCAAGTAATTCACTGTATCGAATAAAGAATCGCATCCCCCAATTATATACATGAAGAAACATCAAAGCCCGTGAGTGAGTCGTTACTGATACAGCCCGATGTCCACCGATAGATCGGGGAGTGATTTCAATCTCCCTAAATGTTTTTCAGAGCCCTCTCTTCATTTTCCACTGCATAATAAGGGTTGCAAAAGGATAAACCACCAAAGAGACTGCAATCCAAATGAATAAAACACCAAAGTCCAATCCAATGCGCGAGTGGGTATCAAATAAAATGGTTCGCAACGCCTCAACAACTGGGAATGGCTGTTAGTTTCAACGGCAAAAACGACAAGAAGGGAGTCAAAGTCAAGATAAAAACTTACTTCGATGCAACGGCCATGCATATCCCCACCCGTAGAACCCTGGCATCAAATCGATGGCATAGAAACCCGTAGCAACATTCGTAATGACCCAAAAGATCAAGAAGAAGGCACTCCATGGGAAACCCATTACCATGGCCATATTCTCACACGGGAATCCTAGAGCAGCCATGCCGACCCAGTTCAACATCCAGAAGACAACGAATGATCCACGACCATAGGCATTTGGGTTCTGCGCTGACACGACATCGGATGCGCTGGGATTGCTGAATGGGATCTGTAACGCCAGAGAAACCAACGAATAGAACAGCGACAGGAAGAAGTACGCCATGATGCTGGAGATAATACGCCAAATGATCCAGTGGGGGACTTTCATCGGTGGATGCCCATTTGGTTTTATGAAATGAGCATGAATCGGCATCAAGAATGGGAAGTTGAAGAATGCAATAATTATCAAATAGATCAGCCCAACCGTCACAGCAGGTGTAGCTACCGCCGGTCCGAAGGGGCGTAGGTCGATATTCGTGAATCCGATACCCGGGTTGATCGCCTGCGGAGGTACCAATGAGAGGTTGGTGGTAGATGAGACTAATTGGCGGGCCCACTGCGGCCCGAACTCCGCCAGCACCATACTCTGCAAGACTGCCAGGCTGGGGTTGATATAGCTAGAATACGATGTTGGATCGCGCGCAGAAATGGTGATAATGTCGATGGCGCCGGTCGGATCATAGGCGGTATTGCCGTTGGAAACTGCATCGCGCAGCAGCGCTGTCGCGTTGGGGTTGATGATCACGGCAGCGTAGGCATGCTCGTCATAGATGCCCTGGCGCACCGCCAAGAGGTCATAGTCGAAGTCGGAGGCAGGTTTGAAAATATAGCCGAGCTGGGGGCTGTCAGACTGGAGGAGGTCTTTGGTGACTTTAGTGACATTGGGGCCGACAATTGCGTCAGTGGAGCGGTATGGATCAATTTGACTGTCAAAATCAACTATCCAGACCTTTAACGCTGGGTAATTGGCTTCGACGCTGTACTGGGACCCCCAGAAAAGAGAGAGCACCCCGAATACGAAGATACATATGATCAAAACTGCCAGGCTGTATTAGCTAACCCTTGCATTCCGCGCTGGGAGTCCGAATTACCAGTGCGAGCCCATTGGTAGAATACTCGTTGGCGAACCTCCTTCAGGGACGGATCGAAGAATGACACGGCCGCGGGTGGGCTGTACTCATCTGTCAATGATTCAACCTTGACAGTCATTATTGAAAATTTGCATATCTTGTAAATGTGTGGAAATGACGGCTGGTTTATTGAAGAATTTGATACTTCACCCTGTGCACCGTTTCCGGCGATGTAGTTCGGGATTAGTCCATTTTCGGAAGTTAAACAGCTTAACTCCGAGTTCTAGAAGCTCTGATGATTCTCAGCTACCGATAAAACATCTGTAAAGGGGCATACATAGATGTACATAGGTGGTTTTTTCGTCTCCAGGGAGCTTGTGCGATTCTCTATTTCAAACATATGAGTGATTCAAAAAGATCTAATCAAGTCCGGTGTTGGCGTCCATGTTAAGTGACTATATGACGTCATGTATATACATGTAGTCAGGACGACGCGTCATTGGTACAACTATGTATTTACCTAGGGAATGTGCCATTATGAATGAAAGAAAGACCACCTAGAAGATTGCTAGATTTCTCAACTTTCAGTCTGCCGAGCGGAGAACATAATGCGTAATGCTATAAGATGAGTTCCTGAAAGCACAAAGTAAACAACAATTTTGAAATGTGTTGATTGGGAAGGGTAACTGCTGGATAATTTTCAGTTGTTATTAGATGATACATTAATATTCTTGATGGGTACAGTTGAACAGAAAAGATAAGATATTGGTATTGCTTGGTTCATTCTCATAGAAGAAACTCAAAAGGGTAAGAATAAATCTCCAAAAACTATCATCAAGTCATCTCGCATAATGATAGTCTAGTAATTGCGCTGAGTGTAAGCTGGTTCCTTTTCTTGGACTCTAGGGTCGAGTTTGTTCATGATGTCGGAGTTGTGAGGACCAGTGGTCTTTCCAGTCTTGGAGGTTTGAGTGTTGTAGCTGCTGGCACCAGTCTCGTGTCCGCCAAAGTTGCCTTGGCCACCGTATCCAGCAGTGGGGCCGTGGCTGTGTGTATTGCTGCCGTAGGTGTCGCTGCTAGACATAGGGTTATTGGAGCCATAGCCCGAGTGCCCAGTAGAGTGACCGGTAGTACTGCCGTAGTTGTGACCGGCAGACATGGTGTTGCCAGAGCCATAGCCCGACTGGCCAGTGAACTGAGAGCTGGCAGTTCCAGTGTGGTTTCCACGGTTGTCTGTGTTTGGGCATGTCAGCTTTATGATCCGGGCCCATAAATGAGGCGATTGATCCACCAGCGTTGTGACTTACCTAGATCACTATCAACACGGGGATCGAGCTTGTTGGCAAGTTTAGAGCCATGTGGCCCTGCATTAATGTTACCAGCACCAGTACCACTTGAACCATAGGCACCTGCAGTATTTGATCCACCATAGTTCCCAGTCGTCCCTGGACCAACATCAATTGGGCCCTTGCGGGAGTCATGAATTGTACCAGCACTGTGACCACTGTGACCAACGCCAGTACCGTAGCCTCCACCTGCAGTGGAGGAGCCATGCTGCCTGTTGGTGTCATAGCCGGAGCCCGAACCGAGACCCCCAGTGCCAGCGCCGAGGGCACTGGTAGTAGTATTGTCGCGGTAACCTCCAGTTCCGGTGGTAGATGAGCCATGGTGAGTACCAGTCTCATATCCGGCTCCGGAGTTTAAGCCACTCCCACCAGTGCTGCCGCCGACACCATAACTATCGCCTGCTGCCATGGAATTGCCATAGGGAGCGCCAGTTGTATGCCCAGGGCCTGAGCCAGCGCCATAGGTATTGGAGCCTACTCCAGTCGAGGTGGATTGGCCAGGAACATTGGTTGTGGTGTTACCAGAGGATCCGTAAGTATGCTGGGTGTCTAAATACACAAACATATGAGCATCACATTCCGCCATTCAAATTCCCCTCGTCTGAAACTCACCATTGGAGATCTTTGAATGATTTGTAGCATCCTTGTCATGATGACCAGTCACGGCATCCTTGACCTTGTGAATAATGCTCGACATGACGAGTAGTAAGTTGTTGACGATGTGGTAGATAATTGGAATTGTAGCAGTTGATTGAATGAGTCACTGAAGTTTTCTTTAACTCTTATGAAATTAAGAATGGAAGAAAAGAGGGAACCAGCTGCAGGAGGGGGCTTATATGCTTCTTTTCGGCGGGGTCGTTTCTATCAGATCATGTAGAGGACGCGGAGACTGTGACGCCATATCGCGGGGATCCACAAGTACTCCCGCCGGTGAAAAATGTCTCAGAGCTCTTTGACTGCTACTTTTCAGATATAATGACGTTCAAAACGGGTTTCATCATCCAGATAACCTTCTTGGCGCTAAATGGGAAGAGCTATCAATGTCATCTGTCGTCATGTCCCGGATCTACAACACTAATAACGCCACCGACACATTGGTCTACAGGGCCAGCCAGATAGCAAAAGGGTAGAGAGCCTTGGAGGGCTACAGTAATTTCCATTTAGCATGATGTGGTGTCAAACTCAGTATACCCCCACGGACATCATCTTCAGGGATTCCAGAATGATTTCGAAGGCGACATACGTCATTTCCGGGGTTGGGGCTACACGCTGAGCCACACATGGCTGGTGCGACCTTGGTCTTATATCAGTAAACATTCAATAGTACCAAATAAAACACATCTCTGCAACATGCAATGAGCTACGAGAGGGTATTCTATTCAGCATTTGAAGGTAGAAATACAAAATCCCTAGTTTGAGCGAGATACTGCCAAGCTCTAGCGCTTGGCGGCAGATTACGTAGTTTCAAGATTGGCCCGCGGGCCCGTAACCGTGATGACATGATCGGCGGCTACCACCTAACATACACGATCAACTCAGTCTTCTTGAGATATTTTGGGTCTATTTTAGTTATGAACGTGGTGTTCAACTGTTAGTGGACCTGGGAAGTGCAAACATTATTGGCATATGCGTATTGAATCTATAGATTTCTCCGGGGATTTTGTCGGACATTGATCAAGCTTTCTAGTGATCTCTGTACAACATAGGTTGTCTCAACGCAGGTAAGCTTGACAGCTACCAGTATCATTTCTCCCTTAGTTTCCCCATGCAAAGATTGAGTTCTGATGAGGCTACTGCTAGGGAGAGAGAGAGAAGGAGAAAAAGCTATATTCTCCATAAGCTGGAAAGGCTGGGGATTTGATGGTCCACAAAGACTACATAAGAATGTAGCAAACAGGCAAACTGCAAGAGGTATACCGATTGAACAATTCTAGCATATGGATCTGAGAAAAGTTTCGACTTTTAATTGGGGGGGAAATTTACCAACAGTGCTCGACGAAACCTCACATATTTTCCCCATTGGTGATGTAGAAAGGATAGCAGCAAACAAGTGCACGACAATATTAATTTCATACTAGTATCATGATGAGATCAAGGAATTGGGTTGCATATTCTTTGAAGGTGAAAAATGGCTAGTATGGAATGTTTTCTCGAAGATGAACGAATGCATTCAGGCTATTTTGATCGTGGGACCATAACAAAGCTTGCTTGCATATCGGCCAAAGCTTCATAGTCAGCTCCGCTTAGAACGTCAAGATGACCCTTCCCTTTCGCCATGTGGGCAGTCTTTGGCTCCGGCAAGCTATCAAACAACGCTTGCTGCTTCTCGGCGGGCGAAATCGTATCCTTTTCTGGGATGATCATAAGGACCCTTGTCTTCGACAAATATTTCATGATCTCAAAGGGCTGCCAAGCCATCATCTTATAGTAACTCTGTAGAGTTGTTCGATTTTCGTAGTTAGGTGCTCCTCTGAACTTGGCGTTTACCATGTAGTCGTATTCCATTTTGTCGGCGCCGATTCCCATACCGGCGGGATTCCGTCCGTCTGGTGTCAGGACGGCAAGAGTGACTGGCGAATTGCCGACCAATTGTGATTCACGGTCCTGCATACATTTGGAAAGAACCTTGGGAAGCATGGCTGGCTCGGGCTGCATGCCAGTCAACGGGCAAACGGCGATGCAGCACCTGGCCCGCTTGTCCAAGGCTGCGGCGTTGAGAGCCACGAGAGCAGAGAATGACATCCCCCAGAATGAGATATTTGTTGGGTCAACGATAGGTTGTGTCTTTAGGAATGTGAGCGCATCCGAGTAGTCCGAAGCTTGGGCTAGGGGATCTATGTTGTTGCGGGGGAGACCGTCACTCTCGCCCAGCGTGCGTGGATCGTAGACCAAGGCAGTCACATTGGCCTTCTGGAACGACTCGGCTATTTCTGGGACGAACATCTCTTTGACACAGTTGAACTAAATCAAGTAAGCAAATTTAGCATTGGCTACATGCATGGAATAAGGCAACTTACCCCAGGTGTGATGATGACTGCTGGGCCATAATTCCGTGCCGGAAAGAGCAATCCCCGAAGTTTGAGGCCATCAAGAGTTGGGAACTCGACACTGAGACGAGGGGCAGTTTCTTGACCCGGCATTGTGAAAAATAGATAACCGTTGATGTGTGTGGTCGTAGTTTCAAGGAGAATTTGGAATTATTAGCAGCGAAGTGTAGATGTTAGAAGAACATAAATATACTTCCAACCTTGAAAAGGCCTCCCTCTAAGCACTAAAAGCGGGCTAAGAACAGTGCCCCAATCAAGAGTAAGATACAAATAGATACTTTGACGCTCTGGCTCTCTGGAAAATTGGTCATGAGCCACTTCTGCCGACTCCAATTCTAACCACAGTGGGATTCTTACATCCCACTTCCCCGGTGGGGCGGAGGATTATCCCAACTTCTACGCATCTAAAATTAGGTAGCCGATAGAATTCTCGATAATTAATTTCCTGTCAGATACTTCATTACCGGAAAGGTTTTGGATTTATCTAACTGTAGTCAAGATGCAACGTCCTTCATCCGTAGGGTGTAGATAACGACACTCCGGTAGCGAATAGGACGTGGTATAGGTTATTATGCAGGATTTGCCGTGCATGGTGAGCACATATCTGCAGGTTGCTCCTCATGGCTAACCCCGTCCCCGCAGTATCCCACAGCCCTCGTCAGCGTACCATTGCAGGATCCCTCGTACATTGTTAGCCTCCTTCTGCGCAACTACTCCGATACCATTAGCCTATTCCTGCAGGAATACCGGGGCGTACTTGGCTGATCATTGCGGAATCCATAATACAAAATTTCACAAAGTACCCCCCACGTATGAACCCATGGCAAGGAGGTGCTGAAAAATCAGATGCGACATCTAACTGCGACATCGGGGTTTGTATGCTGCTTTGGGGAAATGAAGGCAATACATATTTGCTCCAAATATTCTCACATAGAAAGGAAATGCAAGACTTACCTATTAGAGCCGGGAAAATCTGGGACATTAAAGTCCCAAGTTCCCGGGATTCGTATTCTTGATTTTGGGCTGCTTGGGTACTCGGGTGATCATCTTAGGGTTGAGTGGTAGGGATTCTTGATCCCTCACCAGTCGCTGACATACAAAAGTCCAATACGAAAGGATGTCAATGAAGCCTTCCCAACGTACATATACCACCTTAGCTGCTGAAAAATATCTCAATCTGATCATCTGAATGAACACCTTACTTTCAACTCATTTGCACAATTTATACCAAAATGCTTGAGCCTCTCTATGGTTACTCGCCGAAGGAAATGGCCTTGGGTGCGACAGCTGCGGCCGTTGCCACCTACAGTCTAACCCTCATGATTTACCGTCTTTTTTTCATCCTCTAGCTAATATTCCTGGCCCAAAGCTCTGCGCTATCACAGGCTGGTATGAGATCTTCTGGGATGTTCTTGTCGGAGGGCAATTTACGTTCAAAGTGGAAGAATGGCACAAGAGATACGGTATCCTACTTCCCTCTTCATCAGCGCTTCACTCACTCACTGACTTGGGCAGGTCCAATAATGAGAATCGGCCCAAACGAGGTACACTTTAATGATCCCGACTTCTACAATCAGCTGTACCCCACGATGGGCGCCACATACGAGAAGCCTGCACAGTGGCGCTGGCGGTTTGGTTGTGGCACTGCAATCTTCGATACTATCGGTCATGATCACCACGCCCAGAGGAAAGCTCCCGTCGCTGCTTTCTTCTCCCGGCAGAAAATCCTCCAGTTTAGCAGCTTCATACAGGACCAGACTGACTTGCTGGTCGAGCGGATCCGGGATAACCACAAAGGGCAGGTTATTTGTGCTAATGAGGCTTTCGATGCGTTGACGATGGATATCATTGGCTACTATGCCTTCGGTCTGTCATATGATTCCATTCAGTATCCGCAGTTCAAGGCACCGTACCGCAATGTGACTGCGGATATTGCGCGTATGGTTCATGTCGGAGCTCACTTCCCGTGGGTCTTCAAGATCCTCAACGCTCTGCCAGAGAAGTATATCACCAGGTTGTTGCCTCCCATGTCAAAGATATTCATGTTCAGAAAGGCACGTAATAAATCGCTCAGGGAGCGGCTGTCGTCAGTTGCTAATCCTATCGTTCTGCAGGAAATCAGCTCGCAGATCCGTCGGATCAAGGAGAACAAAGAGTACCTGGACAAGAACACGAATGAGCATCGAACCGTCTTCCATGAGATCCTCAACTCCAACCAGCCCGCTTGCGAGCTCAATGAGGACCGCATCTACCACGAAGCCCTCAGCCTTGTCGGTGCAGCCCTCGAGACATCAAAAAGAACCACTGCGCTAGCTGTTTATTACATTCTGGCCACCCCGGGTGTAGAGGCTAATCTTCGCGCTGAACTTGCCGCCGCCATGCCCGACAAAACAAAAATACTGTCTGTGCCTGAGCTTGAGGCTCTGCCGTACCTAAACGCCGTTATCAGAGAAGGTGCCCTTCCCCCCTCATTTTTCTCAACTGTGCCTAACTTGAATCAATCTAACTGCCCGAATTTAGCCCTCCGCCTCGCCATTGGGGTCTCTCAGCGCATGCGACGATATTCTCCCCACGGAGACAATTACGTACAAGGATTACACCATCCCCCCGTACACCGTTTTTGGAATGTGCCACTGGGAACAGCTCCGCGATGCACGTATTTGGGATCGTCCGGCCGAATTTCTCCCAGAGCGCTGGCTAGGAGAGCAGCCACTGGCGCTTAACGGCCAGCCACTCAACAAATACTTTGTGCCATTCCATCGGGGCCCGCGTATGTGTCTAGGCAAAGAATTTGGGATGGCACAGCTAAACATTGGGCTTGCTACCTTGTTTCGCCAGGACGACATCAAACTTGAGCTCTATGAGACCGACAACAAGGATGTCGAAGTTGTGGCAGACTATTTCGTACCTTTGACAGTAAAGGAGAGTCAGGGGGTCAGAGTTCTGGTGAAATGAGAGGTTGAAACGTGTACTCCGTACAGCCCCTGCCTCGTGGGGTCCAAAGGGGCTGCACCCTTGATCGGAATGAAGGATTCGTGCGGAGTAAGTGGCAATGTACGCTTTGAGTCGAGACAAGTGAGACTCTTGGTGGGATGTATCCAGTGTGAGGCGGCGTGCCAAGACTGTATTTACGCGATCAACGCGAATGAGATTCATACTCCTTACAAATAGATTGCTGATGATGTTTGGTCACAGACCTACGTATGTGGGGCTCAGGGAGGAGGAAGAGAGTTGTACGGAGTATTGGGTCGGGAGACGGGAACTCCCGACATCTACGGAGCAGATTACGATGGTGATGGCCGAGGCACCAAGGCACAGCACAAAGTTTCCATCTGAGATAACAGATATAAGCGAAGCAGAAGCAGAATTAAGAAGGGAGAATAGAATACTGGAAAACTTCGAAGGAACTGAACAGTAAACATGAACTAGAATACACGTACTCCGGACGGAGTAGGTATGATTAAACTCTTTCCCGATCGAGCTTTCAACATGATGAATATCTTGAAACAGGGTCCCGTGATAACAGGCATCCATCACCCCAGTAGGTAGTCGGGGGCCGAGTCTCCTTCTCCTAATACAACTCTCTCCCGCCTCTCTCTCCGAGCCCCACTACTGTAGGCCTCAACAGAATATTTTGGCCCCCGGAAGTTTGGCCAGAATGCTGTCGACATCCTCCCCAAACTCTATGTACAGGTCCTGCCCGATTAAAAATCATTGCTAGATAATATGAGTTGCGCTCCCTGGACTTGGCTGCGCACCAACCTAATGGTTACGTTCTAATTTAGACTGCAGCTGCAGTACTCCATACACAATCTAACGCTTTTCCATGCGTTGAAATCATGAGGAATTGAAGGAATTAAAGACCAGTTCTATATTCTATGAGTGGCGGAATATGAGCCTGATTACGAGCTCTTGAAGGAATTAGTGTATTTACAACTCGAATTCAGTAAATAGGCACCCAGCACTCGAGGGAATAAATCTTGTTGCAGATCGGTAAGCCGCTGCCTCTTTCTACCGAGGCAACATTCGAAAGCTAAATACCGCGGGACTTCCTATCTAGGTACGGGGTAGTTACACGTTGTTCTTTTCACAGGGGGGAGGAATGTTCCAATCCAGTGTGGCAATTTCACCAGGAAGTACGAAGTTGTATCATCTTATCTCACTGGCTACTCTTAAGGCCGCACTCCGTAGTTCCTGTCAGTTGATTATGCGACAATACCCAATTAGGTAGTCGCTGTGAAGATGTGTCCTCGCTCAATATGCGGTTTTCGTACTCGGACCGATTCCTAAATAGGTGTTATCCGCTGCGCTAGTGTATACCCTGCCAAGCAAGGCTAAAGGAGACCATGAGATTACCTGCATAAGCCGCTAGTAATAAATCCTGTTATTTGACAAAGGAGGACAAAAATGAATCAAGATCCGTACGGACCATGCACTGATTGGTCGGCCCAAAATCTAGCACCCCTAGACTCTCAATCTCCAGTATGCACCTCCCTGTCCTGTTCCCCCATCAAGCGCTTTGCCATCTCCCAGATGCCCCCAAACACAACATAACTAGGTGTTTATGGTTCCTCAATAGGAAGCTGGTATATACTCGCAGCTTGCTTCAACTCATTATAGAGAGTATTGGTATTACGATGAAATTAGGCTTAAAGGGGCTAATGGCCGAGTTGAGTCTAGGGGCTATTCTCACTTGATCTTGCGTGGCAGGATAGTATGTACCATTGTTTCACACATCGGGAGATTGCACATCACCACGTTTTGCGAATTGATTATTACAAGTGCCTCGTGGATCATCCTGGAGAACATATTCCTGCAGCATTCCTCGTGGATCTTCATGCACAACCTGCAGAGTGGCCCTGCGGGGCAACTTCAGCCGTTCCCGTACAGAATCATGCATGACGCACGGAGTACTCTATAAGCATATAAGACTCCTGCAGGATCGCTCGTACATTGTTATGTATCACCTCATCCTCCAGGATTCCGCATGTGATATCATGCGTATTAGAAATCCCTAAGCGCTACAGCGGTGTCATTTCTGAGAAGACGGATGTGGTGGAAAAGCTAGCTCTTCGGTCTTAAACCTCACATGGGTAGTATCACCTCATCTCCTCGGATAAGGCCCAGGAGTCTGATAATTGGTGACCCCCACACTTTTCTATGTGAAACGGGATAGAACATGGGCAAGATGAGCTAGCTGCATCGTCACCCGTAAGGCAGCGCTTTTGGCACGAAATCTGACCGATTATATCGTGTAATTAGACCGACTTTTACATTAGACTGAAATACCTTACCGTACCATCTTACCATCTTACCATCTGTCAGGAGCCTGTTTTGCACCCTTTGATAGATGACAGTCAACCTGAACCGTAATAAGAATAGGAAAGCAGGTCCGAATGCCTGCCACACACTCATCCAGTCAAGCGGACTGAATATACATTTTCCTCGACATGCATACTTTGCTATTCTTGGCCAGCGGAGTCCTGGTCCATCTATGTGTTTTCAGGCACGGAGAATGGGAAACTCGGTCACCCACTGTAGTTCTCTACTATCTTGTGACTGCATGTGGAGGGAGCCTGTGGCTCAGTGCATCGAATGTCGCGGCGACCAACAGTGTTCTTCATATTATGCCCACTGAGTTCCTGCTTCTCCTCACGTTTCATATCACTGGCCTATTTACGAGCATCGCTATTTACCGCTTGTTCTTCCATAAGCTGTCTGGGTTTCAGGGACCGTTTATTGCGCGACTGTCCAGTTTCTACCTGACGTGGCTATCGGCAAAAAAGCTTCATCTCCACGATGAAATCGACGCCTTACATTCGCAATATGGAGATTATGTTAGAATAGGTGAGATATTCACCTCCCGCGTAAATACATTGACTAACATCATCCAGGGCCTCGAGAGCTGTCCATAATTGATCCTCAGTGCGTCCAAGTCATTTATGGTACACAGACAAAATGCATCAAAGGACCGATATATACACTTTTGGATCCACGAACGAATCTATCTTCAACTAGAAATCAGCTTGAGCATGCCAAAAGACGCCGGGCATGGGATCGTGGTTTTAGTACAACAGGTAATTAAGGGATGTGATAGTTTAGCAATGGATACGCTATTAATAATGATATTTTAGCTTTGAACACCTACGAACCAATGGTACAGGAATTGACTGATGAGCTTTTGAACATCATCGATGAACTAGAAGACGGCCCTGTCAATATCACTGAATGGATTGACAAATATGCCTTCGAGGTTATGGGCCAATTGACGTTTGGAAAGCCATTCAACATGCTCAAAGAGCGAAAGGCAGCCTACTTCTTACAGGTTATTCGACAAGACATGAATGCCATCGGGTATCTTCTCAATTTACCTTGGCTTTCGTATCTGTTTATGCGGACACCGGGGTTGAATCAAAACCACTTGAATTTCTGGAAGTGGATCGAGAATGAATTTGCGCAAAGGATCACAGTAGGAGACCTTTCATTTGCCTTCTTAAACGCTGTCTGACACATGTGCAGAGAGGACAACAGCGACCTGATGTTTTCCACTGGCTTCATCAGGCATATCTGAAGGGTCCGCAGACGGAGTCTGACACGTTGAAGTTGCATGGCGATGGATACCTCGTGATTGTTGCTGGAAGCGACACGACCGCCTCAACCATTACGCATCTGCTCTTCTATTTGGCATGCAACCAGCATATCACACGGAGGGTGCAAGCGCAGTTGGACACACTCGATGAACTGAAAGATGAGACTCTCCGGGATGTCGAACTGCTAGATGCGTGCATCAATGAAACCCTTCGCTTGCGTCCGGCAGTCCCAGCTGGAGTCCAAAGGGAAACCCCAGAGGAAGGAATCCATATCGGTGATCGATATATTCCAGGAAATACGATAGTTAAAGTCCCCATGTACACTCTTTTCCGAGGTGTGTAAATCCTGTTGACCTTAACTATTATCGAGCTTTTGATGACCGATTTCATAGACCCGAGATCTTTTGAACAACCGAACGACTTCATTCCGGAACGTTTCACGACTCGTCCTGAGCTTGTGAAAGACAAGTCCGTCTTTATTCCCTTTCTCACTGGTTCCTACGCCTGTGTAGGAAGGCGACTTGCTCTCATGGAGGTGCGCCGTGCCATCGCTGCCATTATTTCCAGGTATGATATTGCGCTTGGTCCAGACCAGACTGAGCAGGGATTTCTCGACGGCAAAATCGATGCTTTCACCTTGGTCGCTGCACCCCTCAGCTTGAAATTTACCCGACGATATGGGTCCAAGTAATAAAGAAGAATCTGCGGTAGAGCCAGAGGAAGCAAAATTGACTGGTTGGGATCGAGCGCGGAATGTCACAGATAGGAATATTTAGCCCCAGTTCAATACAGCTCTTCGGTGATTGAGTCGAACTTCGAAACAGGATGATAGGGTACATACTAGAGTGCAGGGGATATTATAGAAAGATCTTTCTGAAATCTGATTTGAATATCTTAGGTATATATAGGTACGGAGTAGTTTGGTTGGCAAGGACATAAATGTACAACACGGATATATATCTATGAACTCGGGAAGCAGGTTGGGGGTTTCGCTTATTGGTACCTCAACAAACCCCCCTTGCACTCATAATAACATGACAAATTCAAAGAAACCACTTAGATTATCGTGGGAGACAGGTTAGCAAAGACAGAATGTCCTTTGGGTTTCTTGTTCACATGACAAATCAACTCGACCTATCTACCTAAGCTGCTCCACATTCCTCCAACTTTGCATCTCGTTGAAAAAAATACATTCCTGCATCACTGTTCATCGTCTTCTCCTTCCATGAACCCCTTCCAATATTTTCCGTCGAGACTCCAGCACTAGAGCCATGACAGACCTCAATGGGCTGAAGGCTACTTCACGAGAACACGCACACCCTTCGAGCCTTTGACACAAAGTGGCACAAAGTAATCTGCCACGATATCTACAGCCGACTGATCGGTCTCGAACAACTCAAGATGATCGACCCGGCGGAACAGTGTCGCGAGCCCGATGTTTAACTGCGCCATCCCCATCTCTTTACCCAGACAGCCACGCGGTCCTCGATGGAAAGGAACAAAATACTTGCCCAACGGCTGCCCATTGAGAGCCACAGGATTTCCCTCATTCTCCAGCCAGCGCTCGGGCATGAACTCGTAAGGACGATCCCAAATGCGGGCGTCGCGAAGTTGCTCCCAGTGACACATGCCGAACACGGTGTTTGGGGGAATGGTGTAGTCCTTGTACTGGGTTGGGGCGTCGGCGTTATAGCGGCGAATACGCTGAGCTACTCCAATGGCAAGTCGAAGGGCTTCGCGAATACACCCCGCCAAGTAGGGGAGGCTTTCTAGCTCGGGGACTGTGAGGATCTTGCTCGGATCTGGCATTGCATTCTTCAGCTCTTGACGGAGCTTCTTCTCGACATCAGGCTGGGCCAAGATGTAGTAGATTGCGAGCGCGGTGGTCATCTTTGAGGTTTCGAGCGCCGCGCCCACTAAACTGCCAGCTTCCATTTCCAGTCTCTGCTGGGTCAGTTCGCTGGGATCGAGCTTGGAGCTCAGGATCTCGTGGAAGATGGTCCGATGCGAATTTTTCTCCTTGTCCAGACTCGATCGATTTCCCAGGATTCTGCGAATCTGAGCGGAGATCTCTTCGTTGAACTTGAAAATCTTCTTCATGGGCGGCGCGAGCGGTGCCACGATACCCTGAGGAATCGATTTGAGGATGGTGAACACCCACGGGAAATGGGCGCCAGTATGCACCAGACGAGCCACATCCTCAGTAACATGGTTATAAGGGGCTTGGAATTTGGGATACTCGATCGAGTGGTAGGAGAGGCCAAAGGCGTAGTATCCGATGATATCCATGGTGAGGGCGTCAAAGGCCTCATTGACACAGATAGCCTGACCTTTGTACTGCTGGATCCGCTTTACCAGGAGGTCTGTCTGTTCCTGGATGAACGGAGCGAATTCCAAGATTTTCGATCGGGAGAAGAACGCTGCCAATGGAGCACGTCGCCTGGCATGATGCTCATGGTCCGCGGTATCGAACAGCGCAGATCCAAAGCCGAAGCGGTATCGCCACTCTTCTGGCTTCTGATAAGTTGCAGTTGTTGTATACAACTCATTGTAGAAGTCCGGGTCATTGAAATGCACCTCATTGGGTCCTATACGCATGATGGGCCCATAGGTCTTGTGCCATTCCTCAATTTTGAATGTGAACTGGCCTCCAACCACGATATCCCAGAAGATCTCGTACCATCCAGTGATCGCACATAACTTTGGTCCCGGTATGTTGGCAAGAGGGTGCAAAAAGAGACGATACCAATACAAGCAGATGAGGTATGCCCCGACAGCTCCCGCTGATAGCCACAGGCTCAACATAGTGACAGGAATTGGAATCAACCTGGGATATTCGAAAAACTCTCGATTGATGGCCCAGAATTGGGAAAGATGAGTGCGCGCGTCCTGGTTTGAGGGAGTATAGTAGGATAATAGTACAGTATTGATGCGAATTACTACTCAGAGCCTATTCCCACTAGCAATAAATACCTCTTGGTAAGGAGGGATGCGGAAGTTTCAGAGATAGGAATTTACTGTCACATTTGGAGAGAACCTTGTGTGAATCCCCATGTGTCCTGGGAGCGTAGCAACGTGGGGCAAGGAGTGCAGGTAGTAACAACCACGATACCGGTGTTATTACGCCTTGTATTTCGCTCTGACCGTATCCCGAAGCGTATGCATCAAGTTTTGCAATTCTCACCGTACATAACACTTTGCCAAGTAACATAGCCTCCAGGCCCGGTGGGGTTCATTGGAAAGGATGTGGTACTATGATCAGATTACACTTCACAGTGGCGCCCGGGATCAATATAGTCTGTTCCCTCAGGATCTCTCGTACATGAATACGGAAAGCCGACGGGATAAGCCTACAGCATTCCTGCGGGATCCGACGTACATCTGGATCCACAATCCACGGGGTAAGCTTGCAGATTTGTACAGCATTCCGCGTACTTCGTGCGTCTCCACAATCACCGAGTACCCTGCGACGCAGGATCAGAGAACAGCCACTAGAGTCCATTCGTGCATTAGCCCTTTTAAGCCTAGTTTCACCGGAAGCCCGATACTATAATGAGTTAAAGTCAGCTGCAAGTCTATACAAGCTTCCTATTTAGGAACCATAAACACCTATTTGTGACCTTTTTGGGTGGTAGCAGGGAGGTGTATACTGGAGACTGAGAGTCTAGGGGTGCTAGATTTTGGGAACGATCAGCTCCTAATCAGTACGGGTCTTGATTCATTATTGTCCTTCTTTGTCGAATAACAGGATTTATTACTAGCGGCTTATGCATGTAATCTCATGGGCTCACTTGCGCTTGCTTGGCAGGGTAGGCCTGCGGGATGCCTGGAGGATTTCTCGTGCATTTGGAATGCGTAAGTTAATGGACTTTCATGCACGTTCTGTTTCAGAGTCGAGGCCGAGAAGAGGCTAAGGATCTAGGAATACGCATGGAGTTATCCGGAACAACGATTGCGTGCCGGGAGATAAGATATTATTCCATGAGAGACATAGTGGAGCAGATTGTAGATTATGATGGTTGCAGGATCACCCTAAAGGCATTTCGGGGTGGCGATGTAGGTCGTAAACGATGTTGCTAGTCTATCGTAAGCGTATGTTGCAAAGGACGACGAAGTGAAGGTTCGATTGATCGGATCGGGATCGCACGGCCTGAGGATATTGGTATATAATATGCAGAGTGCAACAAAAGAAGTTTTGTATACTTCCTCAACCTCATCCTTTCTTCCTCATAGCTCTCTTAGCTTGATTATCGGTCGATCTCTCTTCGACAAGTTTGACGCTTGACATCTTCACTCAAACCGACCATCATGGCCGCTGAGAATTCCCAATTCTCCCAAGATGGAGGCTCGCCCACCCCGAAAGCCTTCCTACAAGAGCCTCTCGCTGTCGTGGGCATGGCCTGCCGCCTTCCAGGCCACTCAACGACCCCAAAGAAACTCTGGAAATTCCTCGAACGCGGCGGGATTGCCGTTAACGATACCCCCTCAACACGCTTCAACCTCTCTGCACACCATGACGGTTCAAAGAAGCCTAAGACCATGCGTACGCCTGGCGGCATGTTCATTGAGGATGCCGACCCGCGGGACTTTGATGCCGGGTTCTTCGGTATCTCGGGGGCGGACGCAGCAGCCATGGACCCGCAGCAACGGCAGCTGATGGAAGTTGTATACGAATGCCTGGAAAACTCAGGTACAACACTTGAGAAGCTGGATGGAGCGCGGGTTGCGTGTCACGTAGGCTCATACGCCGTGGGTAAGTTGGATCAAATTTTTATTTTGTCAGTTTTGTATATACTGGGACGCTGACCATGGTGCACAGATTATGATGCCATCCAGGCCCGCGATCCAGAGGATAGGGCACCAGGAGCGGTTGTTGGTATCGGGCGTGCAATGCTCAGTAACCGCATAAGTCACTTTTTCAACTTCAAGGGTCCTAGCATGACTATAGACACTGCTTGCTCTGGGAGTCTGGTTGGTCTAGATGTGGCGTGCCGGTATCTTCATACCGGGGAGGTGGATGGGGCTATTGTTGGCGGAGCAAACATGTACTTCAGCCCAGAGCACAATCTCAATAGTGAGTTGAATTCGCAGAAAGATCCCATCGCTTGCCGAGGCTAACTGAGGCGCCGTTGTTCAGCTGGTGCTATGAGTGTCGCAAATTCCCTTTCTGGTCGTTGCCACACCTTCGACGTGAAGGCCGACGGCTATTGTAAGGCAGAAGCAATCAATTGCGTCTACCTGAAACGACTCAGCGACGCAGTCCGTGATGGCGACCCTATTCGCGCAGTCATCCGAGGAAGCGCTACCAACAGTGACGGTAACACACCCGGTATTGCAAGCCCCAACTCTGCTGCTCAAGCTGCTGCCATTCGATCTGCCTATGCCAACGCGGGCATAACGAATCTGAATGACACCTCTTACATTGAGTTCCACGGCACAGGAACACAGGCTGGAGACCCTCTTGAGGCAAGTGGTGTAGCTTCAGTCTTCAGCCCATCTAGGACACAGGAGTCGCCTCTGTACATTGGCTCAGTCAAAAGCAACATCGGCCACTCAGAACCGGCCGCTGGTATTAGTGGGCTGATCAAAGCTATCTTGAGCATTGAGCAAGACCTCATTCCTGGAAACCCGACCTTCATCACTCCCACCCCAAAGATCGATTTCGACGGCCTCAAGTTACAACCCAGTCGGGCCAACCGCCCCTGGCCTGTCGCTCCATTCAAGCGCGCAAGCGTGAATTCCTTTGGATATGGCGGGTCTAATGCGCATGTGATTGTGGAAGAGCTCAAGGTTCTGCTGCCTGATATTGGAACCACATATGTCTCCTCGTACCAAGGCGAAGACGATATGTTTGCCGATGACGACGAGGCCCCTGCAAGCCAACCTCAGCTCCTCGTGCTATCTGCAAATGACGAAGCATCCCTTCGTGCAGGTGCGACAGCACTGAAGAACCACCTGACCAACCCGAACGTGAAAGTGTCATTGGAAGATCTTTCGCACACGCTGTCAGAACGTCGGTCCCACCATTTCAACCGTGGCTACTTGATCACCGACACAGTTTCCATCAATGAAACGGAGCTTGTGGTTGGTAAAAAGTCCACTAGGGAGCCACGGGTAGGTTTCATCTTCACTGGGCAGGGAGCCCAGTGGCCTCAAATGGGCGAAGCCTTGATTAGGACATTCCCCGAAGCCCGGGATATCGTTGTCGAGCTTGACAAGTGCCTCCAGAGCAGCTCACGTGCTCCATCGTGGTCTCTCCTGAGCGAACTCACTGAACCGCGCGAGGCGGAGCATCTCCGCAAGCCGGAGTTCTCTCAGCCTCTAGTCACTGCCCTCCAGATCGTCTTGGTTGACATTCTCAAGAGATGGGGGGTATCGCCAAATGCAGTGGTCGGTCACTCCTCTGGTGAAATTGCTGCAGCCTACGCAGCTGGTCTGCTTTCCAAGGAAGCAGCAATCAGAGCAGCATATTACCGTGGCCAGGCTCCTGAGTTGGCTGAAGAGGTTCTAGAGGACCAGGATGCCAAGCCCGAGCAGTCCTCGCAAGCATTTGGCATGATGGCGACAGGCGTGGGTGCTGAAGAGATCACCACCTACCTCCAGGGCTTGGGACAGACTGTTCAGATTGCCTGTTACAACAGCCCAAGCAGCCTGACACTCTCGGGTACTGTGGAGGGACTCACTAAGGCGCAGAAGCGACTGACCGAGGATAGCAAATTCGCCCGTATGCTACAAGTAAATCTGGCCTACCATTCGACCTTCATGGATGAAATCAGCCATGGCTATACAGATTTGCTCTCTAAAGACTTCGAGCATCTTCCCTTCAAGGAGGGCGCTGTACGGATGTTTTCATCTGTGACTGGAAAGCAGTTGGCTGGCCCGACCGACGCCGAATACTGGAAATCCAATATGATCTGCCCTGTCCGTTTCGACGCCGCCCTTACAAACATGTTGACGGCTAGCGATGCTCCGGACTTCCTCATCGAGCTTGGTCCTGCTGGTGCTCTGAAGGGCCCAACCTCGCAAATCTTGAAGAACCTGCAAGGCATCAAGGCACAGTACACCAGTGCCATCGCTCGTGGTGCAGCGGACATGCGGTCAATCTACGAAGTCGCTGGGTCTCTTTACGTCGCCGGGGGGAAGGTCGACCTGAGCCAGGTCAACAAAGTCGAGGGCGCTACCCCAAAGATGGTTGTTGATCTACCCAATTATTCGTGGAATCACTCAACGAAGTACTGGTATGAGAGCGAAGCATCAAAGGATTGGCGCAACAGACTCTTTTCACCGCACGATCTGCTTGGCAGCAAAGTTCTCGGCAGCCCATGGCAATCGCCAGCGTTCATGAGGTCATTGAACGTGCAGGACCTGCCATGGATAGCCGATCATAAGATGGGTCCGGACATCGTCTTCCCTGCCACTGGTTACATCTCTATGGCGATCGAGGCGATTTACCAGAGATCCGAAGCCCTGCATATCCTTGAAGGCGAAAAGAGAGTTGAGAAACCTCGTTATCGGTTGCGCAATGTTCAATTCAAGAAAGCACTGGTGTTGCCAGACAATCAGTCAACCCGGATGTCCCTGACATTGACAGCCCACACTGGCGTTGGCAATTGGTTCGAGTTCAAGATATCATCCCTTGCTGGCTCCGGGTGGACTGAACACGTTCGTGGCTTGATTCGAATCGATGAGGACGTGCCTCAAGTGGCAGTTCCCGAAGACACTAAGCCCCTCCAGCATCCTGTCAACGCGAACCTATGGCACAAGGCGATGCTCGATGCCGGATATAGTTTCGGTCCAAAGTTCCTCAAGCAGCTTGAGATTGAATCACGTCCAGGGTCACGCAACAGCAGATCAATCTTGGGACTAGAGGTTCCTGAGTCCAAATATCCCCAGTCGAAGTACCCCATGCACCCTGCGGCCATGGACGGGTGCTTTCAGACTTGCGCGCCATCTCTTTGGAACGGAAATCGTCATGCCGTCAACGCTGTTCTCGTCCCTGCGATGATTGATAGTCTGGTGATTACCTCCAGCACGGCTGATCGTGGTCTCTCGCTCACATCCGCGGCCTACGTCGGACTTGGTCGTCCGACAGACAACAAGAACTACATGTCAGATGCGAGGGTGTATGATCCTGAGACTGGCACACTGCTATTGCACCTGTCTGGCCTCCGCTATACTCGGATTGATACTGGCGCAAGCGTTTACGATGCCCATACTTTCAGTGCCCTGGTTTCCAAGCCTGATGTGACTTTGCTCACTACACAGAGCCTGCGAAGACTGGCTGAGAGAGAACAAGATGCCCAAGACGCTAGCGTTGCCGTAGCGGGTGATATAATCAAGCTCGCGGCACACAAGAAGCCCAGTCAGCGTGTTCTCGAACTCAATTTCGCTCGCGGTGTCAGCCAAAGCGTATGGGCCAGCTCTATTGAGGGCCAAGACATCATTGGCAAAACTTACCGCCAGTTCGTCTATCGCCTAACAGACCCGAAGGCGCTCGTTGAAGCCGCTCAGAAATACACATCCGAGAAGATGGAGGTCTCTCTGTTGGACTCTGACAACATCACTTCAGACGGAGATGAATTTGATCTTGTCGTCATCCGTCTCTCGCCAGCGGCTGTGAACGTGGAGCAAGTGGTAACCCAGCTCAAGCAGGTTCTCAAGGAGGGCGCTCAGGTACTTTTCCTTCGCCAACAGGCTGTGCAGAACAGTGAGGAAATTGTCAATGGAGAAGCCGAAAAATTCGACAATGGCTCGTATGCCGACCTAATCGAATCTACTGGCTTGACATTCGCCGGTCATGTGGCATTTGACGATGACAAGGAATTCGCGGGTCTCATTCTTGCCAGAGTACAGGGTGAAGTTGACTGTACAAGCAAAGACCTTTCGATTTACCAGTTTGGGAAGCCGAGCAAGTCAGCAGTTGAGGTGATTGACGCACTGAAGGAACACGGATGGAATGTCACCACTTACGATGCCGAGGACGACACCGCCAACGAGGCAAAGCGCGTGCTTGTACTTGACGAGCTTGACACGGCGTTGCTCCCAACCTTATCATCCGAGCATTGGGAATCATTGAAGAGTTTGCTTGCGTTGAATAAACGTGTTCTCTGGGTGACAAAAGGGTCGCAGGGCGCCATCACTAGCCCCGACAAGGCCATGATTCATGGCTTGGGTCGTACCGTCCGTGCAGAGGATCCACTAGTTCAATTCACAACGTTGGATGTCTCAGGAACTTCGATAGAGGCTACTGTGGATTCTGTGGAGAGCATTCTTGAGCAGTTGGGCCGACCCGAAATATTCCACCATGTTGAGAGCGAATTCATTGAGCGCGACGGTCTGATTCACATCAACCGCATCCAGCCAGACGATGAAGTCAATGCTGTCGCAACTGAGACTTTCCAGGGCTCTGAGCCGATCACACAATCTCTGCACGATTCCCCCAATATGATCCGCTTGCGATGCGAGCGTGTTGGAACGACCGATTCCCTCATGTATGCCGAGGTCGCCCCTTACGAACTGCCTCTGGATGACAACAAGGTCGAGGTTGAGGTATACGCTGCCGGTTTGAACTACAAGGATGTTGTCATCACCATGGGGATCGTGCCCGAGAACGAACATGTTCTAGGATTGGAGGGCGCTGGTATTGTTCGCCGCCTCGGAAAGAATGTGCACCACGTTCGCAACCTTGAGATCGGGCAACGGGTACTCGTGTTCAAGAAAGGCTCCTTCAGCAATCGTGTTCACGCTGAGGCCGAACGTGTGTATCCGATTCCAGATTCCATGACGTTTGAGGAGACTTGTACTTTGGCATCGTCTTACTTGACTGGCATCCACTCTCTCTTTAATCTTGCAAACACCAAGAAAGGGTCCAAGGTCCTGATTCACTCAGCATCTGGTGGCTTGGGTCTGGCTTGTATTCAGCTTTGCCAGTATATAGGTGCAGAAGTCTTTGCCACATGTGGCAATCAGAACAAGCGCGACTTTTTGATCAACCATGCAGGTGTCCCGGATGATCACATCTTCAACTCTCGCGATGCCTCGTTCGCAGCGGGGATCATGAAAGCTACAAATGGGTATGGCGTTGACACTATCTTGAATTCACTGACAGGCGACCTTCTCGACGAATCCTGGCGCTGCATCGCTGCTGAAGGAACCATGGTCGAGCTCGGTAAGAGAGACATGCTCGACCGCAAGGGCCTTTGCATGGAGCCATTCGGTCGCAATGCCTCCTACCGATGCTTCGATATGGGTCACGATATTGTGTCCGATGCCATGATCAACGACTTGCTCAAGAGGCTCTTCGTCCTCCTCGAAGCTGGCCATGTGAAGCCTGTTCATGTGGCGACAACATTCGGTTGGGACAACATGTCGGGCGCGATGCGTTATATGCGTTCCGCAAACCATATCGGAAAGATTGTCATCACGAGCGGAGACGAGCCAGTAAACGTTCCCGTACGCCCAAGCAGGCTGCCGCTTGAACTCCGGGCTGAGGTTGGTTATCTATTGATTGGTGGACTGAAAGGTCTTTGCGGAAGCGTTGCTGTCAAACTAGCTACTCTCGGTGCAAAGCATATTGTCGTCATGGCCAGAAGCGGATACAGCGACGAAGTGTCTCAGCGCGTGATCGCCGACCTCGCAGCGCTGGGCTGTGATGTTACTCTTGGTCAAGGAGACGTGTCCAAGGCTGAAGATGTTCGCCGGATTATCAAAGAGTCTCCAGTATCCATTGGCGGTGTGATTCAGGGAGCCATGGTACTTCGCGTAAGTTTGCGCCAAAACAAGAGATGATTTGAAACATGCCTGCTGACATATGATTGTAGGATCGCGTCTTCACGGACATGAGTATTGAAGAGTACCACACCGCTGTGGATTGCAAGGTTGCCGGCACGTGGAACATCCACAACACCCTCATTGAGGAAGGCATGACGGTCGATTTCTTCACTATGCTCTCATCAGTGTCGGGCGTCGTGGGTCAAAAGGGCCAAGCAAACTATGCCGCTGCTAACGCATTCTTGGACGCATTCGCCATCTATCGCCGCAGCCTCGGTCTCGCCGGCAACTCCGTCGACCTAGGCGCCATTCAAGACGTCGGCTACATGAGCCACCACGTCGACCTGCTCAATAATCTGAGCTCCGATGCGTGGACACCAATCAATGAAGCCTTGATGTTGAAGATTGTGAATTTCTCCCTCAAGCAGCAAATGACGCCTATCAGTGAGGCCAGTGCTGGTCAGCTGGTTACCTCGATTGCTGTACCTCAGCGCGAGAATTCCAGCCTCTTGCGCGATGCCCGGTTCAGCACTCTGAATTTCAGTGGCGGCGATGATGCGGGCGCCAGCAATGATGGCAAGGACGCTGGTCTGCAGGCATTGCACATTCTGGTGAAAAACAAGGCAGCCGTTGGCGCAATCCATGATGCTGTCATCGATGTCACCGTGCGTCAGTTCACCACGATGCTAAGCTTGAGTGAGCCAATGGAGCCGGCCAAGGCCCCTTCGAGCTACGGATTGGATTCTCTTGCTGCAGTCGAATTTAGGAATTGGGTGCGATTAGAGCTCAAGGCGGAAGTGACGACTCTGGACATTATTTCAGCCACGAGCCTCGAGCAGCTGGCCCAGAAGATTGTTGGCCGTTTGACGGCTGCATAGATAGATATTTATCGGCTTTTTGGTGAATGAGAATTGCCTATATGATCTTTGAAGTTGGTCAATCTGTTCAAACACAGATTGAATAGACGGGGCAGTGTTCAGTTCAATCAGCTTATGTAGATATATCACGGGCATTTCATCAAACCTCAGACTCCCTTATTCGTCATACAGCTATCCAGGGCGCTATCTGAGGTCGTATTCCTCCCAAAAGTGGGCGTTGGCTCTTCGCAGGGGATATCAGCTAGGGGTCGGGGAGAATGAAAATCGAAGTTTCTGCCTGAATTTTGCCTGGCTCTAGCCCGCTTTGTAGACCGTTCTACCCTGTACACTATAACCAGATCCCCATAGTGAAGCCATTCGCAGGCAAATTCCCATTTGACCTAGTTCCAGGCGCTGAAACCACTCCGAACGTATGAATTTCCATTTCATTCTACCTTTCTCGTCTTTGGCATACCTTAGATGCCTAGGAATTGCTGTAGATAGAGATTCAGGGTGGAAACGGCTTCACGGCTGGGAAACCTTCTAGAATTCAGCGACCTATCGTCTTATACTACATCAAACGCTTCATCTTGTCTGCCTGTTTTTTAATAGTATACGTATACTGAGCTGGGTTACCTAGCTTGTCAGCGTTATGATCATGCAATTTAGTAGGTAATTCAGTCATTTTCAATGTCTGTTAGCTCAAAATGAGGCATATTCGGGCAGAATCCCTGAATGCAATTCAATCCATTCTCCAACCGCTATGTCTTTTTGCACTTGAAGATTTGGCAACTTGGTCGGCTGAGGAGATCTCATCCATTCTCATGCAGGTGGCATTCGCACCAACCTATAGATTGTTTTCTACATCGTCACTGCACGTTCCCACTCCAGGAAATAATTCCTCACGCAAGTGCGGCAAGAATACCTCCATCCTCTTCCATGTCTCGTTCCACAACTTTGTTTGCTCCGGTTTCTCTTCCGACACGACGAGATATCCGCCATTTGCCATGACGAGGAGTGTGTTCTTGATGTTTTCGGTGACAATCTCTTCCTATATGTTGGTCAGTAGGTATACGGAGACCGGGGACCTATAACTTTTCACAGTCCACGATAAACAGAGAACCTGAACCTACCAATTTCCCAGCCTGACCGGTATTGAGTAAACGGTGCATCAGATCAATAATGTGCAACCATAAATCCAGTAACCCAACCGACTCCGCCAACTCAGTCAGATAATGTAGATAGCAGCGGCACAACAACGTGGAGACCCTCACAATCATCTCGCTCATACTCGAGGGATCAGACTGATAAATCTCTGGTGTCAATAGCTGGGCGACTATGGGGAACAGCACCTGGGTAAAGATATTGGTCCACTCCGTGTGTCCTGCGGAAACTAATCCATGCTTTCTAAGGAGTGTACTTTGAAGGAGTTCAAATCCTTGCATGCGGACCTCATGGCAGGGATTGAGGCATTGTGCTATGAGCGTGCGGAAGATGGGTGACCAATGAGCGTTCCAAGCTTCAGGGGTGGGAAGCGAGGATTTGTCAATGAGTTCAGGAACCCGGAGTGTCAGGTTGGAGAGAATGGTCGTGGCTTTGATTCCGCATTGGGCCATCTCGTTTAATCTAGGAAGCTATTAGACCGTAGTAATTTCCGCGTTATAGATGACGTACTCGGCGTTCTTCGGCGCGTGCTGCTCCTGACACTTCGTTCTCCGTCCTCGCAGGGTGTGCTCTGGTTTCAGCCCAGCGCTGGAAGTGGTGGCGAATTGATCTAGTAGTTGAACGATTGCCTCGTAATTTGCTGTGTTAATTGTGGTCTGTACCGTGCTAACTAGTGTGTCAACAACCCTGAGAACACTTGCAGCGTTCTCCGGTATTACGCGCAACTGATCAACAATAGACCAGAAATCAGGACAACGAGTTATCTCATCCCGTAACCGCGGAGAACTATCAATGCAAACCGTTATACCCTGGAGAAGGCAGCTCGCACATGCTTGCAGAAGATGAACGTCAAGGCCAGCGAAGGCATGCAGGAGGACGGGAGTGTCTATAAAGTTGCAGTTCTGCAAAAGTATCAATATAGCTCGACTCGCACGACTTGGATTATCACTCACATTGTTCCCTTTTAATAATAGTAGCAGGTAGTAGACAACTCTAGACACGATGATGGGATGTACCCGACCCGCGTCATTTATGATGTTCTGCAATGCGTTCGCCGTGTCTCTACCAAACACCTCTATTGTTCGGCAGTCTTGCAGTGTAAGTATTGTAAGCAGCTCCAAGATAAAGACAATAGATGGATCGTAAGTCGCCGTTGACACAGTGCTGTCATCGTGGCTCTGGTTGATGGGACTTGATGAAAGCACATTTGGCGTTACAACGATGTCTCCACGCGATATGTCTTCGGATAGTTGGGACAAAAGTGCCGTGAAGAGAGCTTTCAACCCTTCTGTGGACATTTTGCTGGAGAGGGTGTTAGGTCGCATTCAGGCTGAGGACGCGTGTTACGACTTACGAGACGTTGGACGCGATTTCGTCCAACAAACAAGCGCTGATGGTATCGATTGCACATAGGGTGTGCTCGATCTCTTGGTCCGAGGGTTCCAGAGGCTCGGCATTTGCGAGGCTGGAAACGTAAGATGTAAAAGCAAAAATCAGACCTATTTCCGCCACTTCGTGGTCTTCATTAATGATTTGCGTGGGGCTTTGTAGCGGGATAGGTGGAAGTTCCAGTGGTTCGCGAGATACGGCGAACGAGGAAGGCATCAGGGAATTCACAAAGAGGTTTCGTAGTATCCGGAGGACCTGTAGCTGTTACTATGGGATTCCCAATACTGCCGATCACAGAAGGATTTACCTGTTCCCATCCATCTCGGATCGCACACTCGTTGCCATTGAGGATTCGGCACAGGAGTAGCATTGCCATCTGACCTCTGTCATTACGCCCAAATTGAACAGCAGTCTCCGAGACTACAAGAGTATTGTTCTCGTGCTTCACTTGGATTTTGAGACTCGTATTTGGTGCCACTTCGGGAGCAAGCGTGGTGATATGTGACAGACATGCTACAATCCTGTCCAATAGATCACTTAGTCCATACTTCGCAGCAATATGAGCGCAATGGTCGAATCCAGTTATCACTCTTAGGATGACAGCCTCGTCGGTCGCTGACATAAATACATATGAAAGCGACGCGACAATTGGCTTCCACGTTGCCGCAAACATGTCTGCATCAAAAGTATTGGTGTTGCAGTAAATCAAATCTGGAGTAGACTCGGCTTTGACTATCATCTCCTGCCAAGCATGGTCATAGGCATTGTCATCGTTATGCTCCTCGGGTAGGATGATCTCACGTGTCCTGATAGAATTGAAGATTTCCTGGAGAAATTCGATATCGAAATCCCTCCCATCGTTAACACCGCGAAGATTCTGGGCGAAGTTCTCAATTGCCATGCGCTTTTGGCCTTTAAAATTCGGATTATGCTGATCGGTGTTCAATAGGATGGTGGCATACACGAGTACAAACGCTGCAGTCGAGTCTGCAATTTCGGCCGGTTTGGCTTCATCCATGTATTGTGCAGCAAACACTTCCATGATTCTCTCTATGAGTGCTGACTCGCCAGGGAGACGGAATGCGCCTAGTAACTCGCGGGTAGCCTCGTCGATTCGTTTTCCGGCGAAGTTGAAAAGCTTCATAAACTCTCGCAAAATATTCTCATTGGTCTTCTTCGAAATGAAATCGCCTAGAGTTTTCTTTTCGATCGCAGTGGTTTCTTTGAGAAACTTTGCAATTTCCCTGGGGTTCTCGAGGTCTTGGATGATGCCTTGGGCGACGAGAAAGCAGAGGCCGTCCTTAGGATTTTCGTTAAATTTAGAAGCACCTTGCATGATTATAATTTTGTGCGACCGCTGGTGTCGTAGACTTTCTATGCCGGGCACGCTTTCTATGTTGGGTGCATCTTCCAGTCTATCGGCGATTGATTCCACGTAGGACAAGAGTGAGTCCAAACATAACGCTGAAACGGTACTCCACGGTTGGTCTGAGCATGTGAAGGTGTTCCGCGATAGAAATCTCACCATATCAGAGCACAAGTCCCTTCTGTCAACATCACAATCGTAATTGACAAACAGTTCGACCATAAATGAGGGAATCCTGATTAAAGCACTGAGGCTTTCTACTATCGCCTCACGAGCATCTGCTGTCCTCGCGCCGTCCTCGAGTCGCAGATCTTGTGGATTTTTCATGGACCTCGATGGCGCTTTGCCAGCGCTATGGATTGCCGCAGACGAGAGAGATGGCTTGAGGACCCTAGGTAACTCTGGTATGCACTCGAACAGGAAGAGCTCGACATTAGGCTCCAATGCGATGTCCCCTGGCGGAACGGCACCGCAAGCCACCACATAGGATAGGAATAGCTCCTGCTGCAGCCGGAGGACATTGCGGCATGTTGTAAGGAGCGTCCGGCACACACACAGCGAGTGATTGAGGAGGGCCATGTCATTCGATCGAATCAATTGGAACAAGTATCGGCACAGGGTGTCCTTCGCCAGGTTTGCTAGACCGGCGTGGTTTATGATTGATGGTCCCGCTATTTCGAACGCAACATCAAGAATGCGCAATGCAATGATACGCATTCTATTTGTAGTTTGCTTGTTGTGAGGATCTATCATCTCGGTAAGGACAATGAGAAGCTTGCGTATTGAAGGAAGGGAGTAGGGCTTGATCGAGACTGTCCTGACTTGGTTTTGCTGGCCGTCTTCGAGGATGGGATTCAAAATCTCGCCGGCAGTTTGCATTTTCATGCTTAGGGACCCGTCAATCAAACTATCCACGCTCACGAACGACTGTGTCTCTTCCACACTTGAAGGATCATATGCGCGTAGTTCCGCTGTGTAGGTCTGCAGTTTTGAAGCATCTATGTTCAAAGTTTCTATCTTGGCTTTGATGTTATCGTGCAATGCCTCCGGCTCGGCACTCGCCTGAAGTTCCAGATATTTCCATCGCTCAAAGACCACTTGGCAGATGGATACCATGGTCATCTCAGCTGACTGTCGTAGGACTACCGAGAGCCTGAGCTGGCAGGCCATGCTCAGAACAGTCTCCATCATCTCGCAAACACTGTCATCCCCGAGAAATTCACCCTCTGGACTCAAGATTGTGCTTTCCATGATGTTCAATATCTGCAGTAACACAGTTTCTTCATTTGCCGAAGTCGTTGCCTCGAACCGGCAGTGTGCGATAGCCGACGATAGTAGCTCCATGGCCTCCGCCAGCCGAGGGGACTCCAGAGAGATGACATTATAGGAAAGAAACTTCGTGATGGCAATGAGAGCGAGCGATGTAATCTGAGCGGGTGTGGAGGAGGATCGTACGACTTGGAGGAAGGGGTGTAGTAGCGCGGTTGTATCGTAATTCCTAATGTCTGTTCGTGGTCAGCAGTAGGGCCAGTCATCCTGCTGTATACCTGATACACCTCTGATTTCTCACTTTTGCAGTTCTTGAGGTTCGATCGCAGGCTCGAAAATGCCACCAGGAGGGAGTCCTTTTCGAGTACCTCCTCTTGATTTCCTCGCATAGCCCAGCGGCTTGATACCATATCCTCTTGGTTTAAGATCCCCGCATTGTCAACTCTTTCAACACGTCGCGTAGACGGTGCCTTTGGGTAGCTATCCCCAAGGATCCTCGACCCGCTGGAGTGTGTCCAACGTGTATGCTTGCGCATCGCACTTGTGATCGTTATACATTCTGTCACGACGAGGGCCACTTTGTCGACACCGAATGTAGTCGTAGACGAGCGCGTAAGCTCCGGTGCACTAAGAGGCGGCTTCAGGCTCTGTGCCGAGCTTTGTGTGTTGGCAACGTGATACTTGACCATGTTTTCTATGTATCTGTGACCACTTTGGAAATTGCAAATTTATTGTACCTGGTTGATGTACGTGGATTGTGTACGGAAACTCAGCGGCCCGGAGGACAGTTAGCCCACAGGGCCTTCGTGACCGTCACTTGAGTGATAGATCACAGTGGACACTGATTGGCCAGCACCCTGCCAACCCCCCTCCCCCTGAGTGCTCAGACAACCTGTGTATGTACGAAGTAGGTAGGTGGATCTAGGGATGGTGTTTTCGAGCTTGTATTTGATCCAGCCACATTCCGCGCCCATACGGCTTCTGTACGGAGTACCTCCACCCCGTCCGAGTCTACCTAGGTACACATGAGTATTAGAGAGAAGCTTATCAATTGGGCAAAAAACATCTATATGATACAAGAGGTTTAATAATAGGAGTCAGTGAGACAAAATATGAAACAGGATTTAGTGCTAGATGCCCATAATGATTTTGTGCGGCCATAGGATTTGTCCTTACTCCGTGTACATACATCACGACGATGGTGATGATGATGCATTCCTTGGCCCGGTGTAGCTCGTGTAAAATGCATCCACCAAAGCAAACCTCGAAAACAACTGATGATGGTGCATCCCCAGTATACAAATCCACTGTGTGGATCAGTCGTCGCGATGCAGATGAAGTTTCCATGAAGCGCATGGAGCCTCGAGGACAATCCAACTGAAACCTCAGGCCGCAAAACCCCCGTTAGTGCAAACAAGACAAACGAACAACATTGAAAGTGAAGCCGTGAAGAGCCTATGAGGAGTAGTCCACTTTTCTCTCTCTGCAATTGCACCTCACAACCATATAGCCCTCAACCGCTTCCAAGGCTGTTTGAGAATGTTGATCAACTTGGCTTACGCGATGATGAAGGGGTGTGGCAAACTCAAACGCGAAAATAATACGACACGGCTGACAGGTTTGATCACCTCTTTACGTTCATATTCGATGTACAGTTAGAGGACTGAAGGTACTCAAGAAGACCAAAGGAAGAGTCGATAAAGGGAGCCGAAAATCGACTAAGAGCTCGCTGTGTCGAGCCTCCTGCCAAGAAACATTTTCTCCACCAACTGTTCAGCAACCAACCAACTCAACCATCAACCAGCTCAACTGCCCAAGTCGCCCAGCTCAGTTTCTGAACAGTGCAATATTTTCGCTGAACACATTCAAGTTATCAGCCTGGTCTGCAACGCTAACACCGTCAATATCAATCATGCTAGCTGATCCCAGCGTGTTGAGATTATAGATGGAGATTGAAGACGAGCCCTCGAGACTGAAGATTGAGTCCTGGCAGCTTCTTCCCGAGTCTTGGGCCGAGCATGCTAAAACGTGTCAGATCGGATACAGGGGAGAATTTTAAGGTATGGAGAGGCTTACAGGCGTTATTGTTATCAAAGAAGGAGTACAGCCCCGCCCCGTAGACGAAGATATCGGTCGAATCTAAGACTCGCAGACCCCAACCCTCACTGCAGTACTTGCCTTTGCCGGCGCAGGAGGCGGCAAAATCGGGATCGTGGATGGAGGAGACGACTGGGAATGGAGTGGTGGCAAGGGGGTTGGGTTGGTAGTATCTGGCGTTAGTGAGCAAAAGGACTTGAAAGTTGACTGGTAGGCAGATACTTACGCTGACTCGGTCTGTATCTGTCCCATGTAAATATTCTTGGTTGATGCCAGCTGATATTCGTACAGGACGTTGTGTTCCACGGAGGTGCCTGATCTAGATTTGAGTTAGTTCATCTGGAACCTGTGTTGGTGAATTTCAACGCGGAACATACAGCCAAATATTTCCCTGTGTGCTTTCAATGTTCATGCCCCGACCACTATAGACGGTGATCTGGCCGTCTCCGTCAAGATCACTAATAAGTTAGCACATGTCCTCAGAATGCTATCAAAGGCAACATACTGATCCGCGACCCAGAACCAGTTGTTTTCCATATACAACCCAGTGGCGGATGGCGTGATGTGCATGAGCATAAAGGCGGCAATGCAGTCTGGATTCGCCGTGGTGGTATTTGTATCCGGCGTTGCAATGCATTGCGCAGCTTGAAGCCGGGAGCCTGCGAACCCTCCAACTCTTACGTGCACATCCCACATTCCCGATGGACTACCAGATGGAGACGCAAGATTCCACTCAATGCCAATAGCCCCTGCCTGTGCACCTTGTGTGCTCACAATCATGTCCGACAATTCGACCTGACCACTGTCACCAGAAGCGCCAACCTGAACGACTGGCTTGGGGCTGCCCATGTCGTTGAAGTAATTACCACTGGACATGATCACTGGATAGGCTTCGCCAACAATTTTAGAGCCTGCTGGGATTTTGATAGTGCTCGTCACGCGGTAGGTACCCGCATCGAAGTAAACTATTTTGCCACCGGAAGCAGCATCATTGATGACTTTTTGGAGCGCAGCTGTGTCATCTGTCTTTCCATCACCGGTTGCACCACCGCTTCGAGTGCTACTAAATGAGGAAGGGCTCAAGCTGCTGTACTGGGGCTTGGATCGTTCATAGAACTGCTCTCCCTGAACGAGCGATGCTGGACGGGAGTTGGGGGTGAAGGTGCCTTGGAAGGTCTGAGGGCCATTAGGTGTGTAGCTATGCCCTTGTCCCCAGGCATCGACATGCTTGGTTCCACCAGTCAGAACAGTTTTCTGGCCCGGACCTTGCACAACGACGGGGACATTGTCAACGAACAAATTCTCAAGAATAACACTTCCACCCGTAGGAGGCTGAGAGGTAGAATCACGGGCACTGACAATACCCACTGGGGTATTGGTAATGAAGCTGTCCAACAAGGTAAGCGAGCCGACGCTTTGCTCGTCGTGGCCCCCAGAGGTAATATCAATGCCGACCTGGCAGTTGTTGATGTGGATGTTCTTATAAGTCCATCCCCAGTCCCAGAAGTGGCTGATGGCAGTGACTGCGTCGTTGAATGTCAAATTCCTCATTGTGAATTGTTGGTTACCGAGTGCTGCACCGATATTTCCTCCATTGAAAACAAGGTCACCCATGTAGCCAGCGGAACCTGCTGATTGTTAGCCATAGACCACTAATCGCTATCACACAGGTTTTAACTGACCGCTTTCACAGAAAACACCCTGATGCTTCGTACCAGGGGCCGAGCTCATCTGGAAGACCATGTTCTCCAGACTAGTTGCCTGTGCTGTTGGCCAGTGTATGCCACTCACGGCGTTGTCTGCAGGGATCTTGCGGAGATCCAGGACAAGGTTCCTGATTTGTCGGAAAAATACGACGGTGGATGGCCAGTTCAAATCAGCAGTGAAATAAGGGTCGGCGTCGATGAGGTATCCGCCTTCGAATCCTGCTGTGGCTTGAATCACAGGCATGTTCGTGGGATCTCCAATGATTTGCGTATAGTAGTAGTCGAAGATCGGATACGAAATCATGTAGGTACCAGCAGGGAAGTAGACCAGGGCTGGGGTTGTTGTATCAGATCCGCAATCCCGTCCACATCGGTCGCCGCTGCTAATAGCCTCATTGATTGCTGCAGTATCATCCGTAACACCATCACCTTGAATTTATATCAGTATGTTTGTTTTGCCATGTACTGTCAGAGGGGGCAGGTTACCTTTCGCACCAAAGTCTTTGACGTTACGAAAGACTTGATATCCAGAAGCTCCAAAAGCAGAGATACCCTGATGAGCTATCGATTCGAGCCAAAATGAAGATTCACTGGCGAGCGAAGCGCTTGTTTGGATGTTCTTCACTTTGCCCGGGGGCTTCTTTTGGGGACCAGTGTATGCTTCATAGTTCCCATATTCCTTGAGAGCTGCAGAGACAGCAGCATCCACAGACGGGATATCAATCTGAGCAGCGATTGCAGTAAGTGCCAAAGGCAAGACGGTCAAAATACCAAAGCGAACCATGTTTGCCTCGGTGAGTTGGACAAGGTGAAGGGTATACCTCAGAGTCCACGGCGCTGATATCCTATTTATATACGACATCATAGTATGGGGAAACCACGTGTAAGTCATCTTTAACTCTTTTGTCCGCGAGACTGAATTCTGACCCTGGAGTAGCCAAGAACTGGAAACCCACTTCCTCTCAAAGTTGACTATGCGGGGATACACTAAGCCGATGCAGTAGTGGACTTGTCCGAGCGACTATACAGCACACGATATATCCGACATTCCGCGGGGTCAAATCCGACCAAATACGAGTGAAAGTGTAACGCTAATGCAGGTTATCCGTGAAGAATACCTATCTCATAGTAACGCTCCTTCGCCCGAAAATCCGCACAGTGAATCCAAAACAAGCAGACATCTTGGAAGGACTGGGACCTTCAGATTGAGGGCTCCTACGGATCCGAAACTCCGCATATTAATCCCTTGGTTTTCTTCGGTCATTCACCTGATTTCGGTCATCGTGATGACAAGGGGAACCGCCAGGGTGAGACAAACGAGCTGTCTGGGGAAATAGCGCAGTCCTTGAAAATACTCTAATTGAGCAATCAATGACCACCTCGTAAGGGTTGTATGAGTCCTTATCATAGTGGAAATTGAAATCGAACTCGGCATACGACTCAAGAATACTCTCAGCTATCCTCAAGCGTCTGTCCTCGCATCCTACAACAGGCCACAAGTTCAAATCAACTTAATATCCAACCAAATTATCAGCGATGTTTTATCTTTTTCTTCTTGTGACATCTCTTCTTCTTCGTGCGGCATATGGTCTTGCGACGAAGAGAGGGATTGCTTACAACAACAACAATCCTTCCGCAGATGCGGTCTATGCGAACCTTTTCAAGGGACACACCAAGGTATCATGGGGGTTTGATTGGGGATATCCCTCCTGGAATCTGGACTCATCATTCGAGTTGTGAGTCAAACCCGACGGAATCGGCTCTTGTGCTTTATGGACTTATCTTTCAGTGTTCCCATGCTGTGGGGACTACCCAGTGCTGCTGATCCGGACTGGACGACCGCTGTGCAAACTCCAGGGACGAGGAATATCCTTGGGTTCAACGAACCCGATCTGACCTATGACGCTTCATCGAATATCATCCCCGAGAAGGCAGCAGCTGGCCATCTTGCCTACATACAGCCCTTTGCAGGAACCGTACGAATCGGGTCTCCTAGTGTGCTGTGGAATAATGTTGGCTCATCTTCCGGCGGCTCCTATGATACAGCTACGTGGACTCAATACTTCCTGGGAAACTGTACTGGGTGTCATTTTGACTTTGCAGCTATTCACTATTACCAGGACTGCGTTACTCCCGATGGTCAGAATGGTGCCGTTTGGTTCGAAGGCAATGTGACCGATGCGCATGATGTTTTGGGGCTCCCGGTTTGGATTACGGAGTTTGAGTGCTATGGAAATGAGGAGCAGCAAATTGCATTTTTGGAGCAGGCTCTTCCTTGGTTGGACTCACAGGCTTATGTGGAGAGATATGCGTATTTCGGTGCTTTCCCTGAATATCTCGTCAATGCGGATGGAACTGGGTTGTCTCATTTGGGAAGCGCTTACGCAAGTCTTTGAGTGTCCACTTGGGTCACATCTCACTATTTGGTAAAACAGCCATGTTTGCTATGCGTCATTGAACGAATTGCACTGCATTTCCAATGTGTGCTCAGTGTTGGCTCGGAATGATCAGATGCTATCAACTGGGAGGACCAGTATAATTCTGAAATTGACTGCCAATATCACTAAGTATCGTCTTCCCTTGTTTCGCGTTCTCACTACAGTTGCAATTTCTACAGAGGCCGCCCCGCCTGGCCTGCTCTGCTCCGTTGGTTGTTGTTGTGAAACAAAAAAATGGACTCGCGGGGAATCGAACCCCGGACCACTCCCATGCTAAGGGAGTATTATACCACTAAACCACAAGCCCAATTGTATATTGTGATCGGGCTGCTTAGTCCATACTTGCTATTCACACAAACTGGTGCTTTGGTGCCTCAGTCATCACCCTCGTAGTTCAGATAGTCGGGAGTTCCATCTCCTTTCCCAAGATAACTCTCTCCTTCCTCCCTAGCTCGCACCTCCATAGGCCTCGGTAGTTGTTTAAAGTTCTACGTTGTTTAAAGTTCTACGGAGATACCAGGCGGACTTATAGGACCTGATCTACCTGCGTGCCTGTAACCTCTCAGGTGGTATATGCACAGGCCAACCTATGGAAGCAAGTATGAAAGGGTGAGATGACATCTATGCTTGAATCCTTTGTTAAATGAATAAGTTGTTAGCTCCAACTATACCCTCTTATTGACAAAGAATGGTTCTAGGGGGGCTACCAGAGTTTTCATCGGCCTAGACAAGCCTGTCCAAAGATACAAAGATCGGACCCCGAGTGCAAGGGTTATTCGTTTGGGCAAAACCTCCAGGGGTCAGGAAGTATCTAGATGGTTGACCCGGAAACAGGAATGGAATCCGTGTGCAGTAAGGTTCTAAGATTCTCCAAGAAGAATTCCCTCAAATATTCTTCCTTGTTCGGAGTTGTTCCTCGCGGAGTGCCTGGGTGATTTCCTACTATTACGCCGCTTTGCCAGCTCCAGCCTCGCAATTGCACTGGGGTCCTTTCCTTTAACGGCACCCCCTGCATTCCAGCGACACTACTACATGTCAACCCCGCAGAACATGCATGTTTCATATAATTCTGGGGTTTGCAGCCATATTTCCGCGGGCTTCTTCTGAACCAAGCCAGACTTGGCAAGGGCTCTGCCACCGCCTGTTATTCAATGTAATCGTGTGGAAATGTCTATTCTGTATTGATGGCTGAAACTGTCGACTGAGCTGTGCTCCGAACCTTGTCCTGCTTTTCTTAGAATGTTCTTTTGCAAGACATGCGGAATCTCGGGGATAGAAACCATGCATCACTTCAGCGTATACAATTTCTTGCATTTCGAGCTTGAGAGGGACAGCATTTAGAATTCTGTGAACAGAATAAAGGCTCATCGGCATGAGCTGTTGGAATAAAAGGAGCTCATGCATTCATGGTGAGAGAGGATTACTCGAATTTTACTTTGAGCGAAAAGGACCCACCAAAGCAACGATGAAATCGCGAGTCTGTGCAACTCATATCACCTCCTTGCTGATATATATATCAACCCAGCAGTCGCAGTCTTCAGAGTGCCATGTATTAAAAGCTTGGTGATTGAGATAGCAGATCCCATCGTTTCACCTGGGGTGGTATCCAATCATATCCATACCATCATGGGTGGATCTGACACCGGATTTACCATGAACTACGACATGACACAGAAGTTGGGCTGTAACGCTTGCTCTGAAATTGAGAACAAATCCAAATACTGGGTCGCTTCTCTCTATTACCATGCCCAGAATGGAAGTTCATTCAAGTTCCTCAGAATGGGGGAGCTTTACTATACTGTGAGTAAGAGTACCCTTGTCATCCTTTATTGCAAACCGATACTTAGAGCTGAGTCCTTAGGCAGCGCCCTGATCCAACCACATATGGGACCATCGTAACCCCACCAACAGGGCTCCGCATGATTGCAGGAGGTCCATTCGATCGCCGGTATAAGGACACTATCCAAATCGATGCGAGATGCTTTGCCTGTCTCAACTGTAATGGTCCAGGAATGCTACAAACAAACGGATCCCCAACGACAAACTGTCCAAATGGCCTTCGCGCCTAAGTTTAGTTCCCATCGTGCCGGGACGGAGTGAATCTAGACAGTCCGGATCGCAAGTCGCATGTAGCTTATCCTAACCAGACATACGACAACGGTCCATGTCCCACGACACACCCGGCCCGCATTGCCTTCATTTTCTACGAGATAACATGGCACGCCGAGAAATTTGCAAACGTGTGGTATGGAAACAGCTAGCCTTTTGTCCTTTCCTTTGGTGATCCTACAGACTATGGACTACATGCCGATTTCTCAACGGATGGGATGTTTCAGTTCTTCAGCAAGCTATTGGCACTTGCAACCACGACGGTGGAAGTGTTCGCCAATCCATCTCTATCTGAACACTGTCACGGACGGGTGTCTGGTAGAACCATCAGTCGAAGAACAGGCTGGTGGATGGCTACCTGCTCTACCAGGCTGTAAACCCACCCAATCAGGGCCAAACAACGCGGCACTCAAGACCGGCTGTGGAGCCCCCACGGAGATCGGATCACCACTGCATTACTATACCGACCTTACTGATGAGCTGGGCTGGGAATGGATTGGCTGTGCAGTCGATAATGCAGGCGCTGTCAGGACTCTTACGGGCTCCAGCTTGGGTGGCTCGGACATGACAGTCAAGAAGTGCATTTCGAACTGTAAAGCTGCAGGACATACTCCGTAAAATTGCCGGCGTTGAGAAATCTCACCAGTGCTACTGTGGCAATAGCATTGACCCTGCCAAGAAACCTACTGTTACCCCAATGGGAAATTGTTTGTACCCCTGCAGCGGCAACCCTGGTCAGAACTGCGGGGGTTGTGGATTTTACAGAATTATCGGGCTTTATCAGCAATGCACCGGCAGCTGTCACAATTTGCAATACTCCGTGGTTCCGCACTGGGAGGCGGGACAAGGGTTGTTTCTTGGGGAGGGGAAGAATAGTAGTCAGGGGTAGCTAGTGTCGCATAGTTGATGCTTACTGGTTAATTTCTTCGGTGACACTTATCTTTTGGTCACGTCTTAATTATGGACTCATCCCAGAAATAGTCGAAATCGGGGCCAAAATTTCTTTCACGTTCTTGGTTTATATTTCCCTCCTCTCGCTCCAGTAATTGACACAGCCCCGCCCCCCGCCCTCAACCCCACCTCCTCTCCCCTTTCTCCTGTTCGGATTAAATACAATCAGAGAGAGTCAACGCACAGAACAGTATGTTGGTGTTTTCTGTGACTTGAGCAAGGAAAATCATACATAATCCTTTGTTGTGGGAATCCACAAGGACCATGCGCAGGTTGAGATCGAATCGGGGTCTAGGCTCCCGGGCCGGGCCCTCCCGCCGCGAATGGGCCCTAAGGGTCTGGAACATCGTACAACATACTTGGGTGAAACCGTAGGAGAACTTGAAGTTTCCCGACCCTATCTGCAGCATACAACCTTGAGACCTTCCAATCGAGGGTGAGACGAGCGGATTACAAGCCAGCCAGCCAATTCACGACAAAGATGGATGAGAGAAGGCATGTATTGCTGAACTAGGGGATATCGTAGACATATTTATTCCGCACGGAACTTACAGGATCGGGCTCTAATATTATCGAGAGATATTTACCGAGGTTGCTGTCCTTGACGAAACAATTCCTGGGTACATTGATATAGAGACTTGGGGAGTATCTAAGTATTAGGAAATGCACGTGATCTGGAGAGTAGGTAGGCTGCTAGGCAGGACGCCCAAATGGGTCCAGCAAAGAATGAAAGAGACAAAGTGGGTGCTTGCGCGACCCATTCACATGGACCGAAATGATCGACACTTCTGCTGCGTATATATCGCTTCTTGGCGGAAAAAAATCCATCACTAAAGTCAAGCTTACATCACATGTTCTCCATATAGATCGATACGATAATGCTGTTGATATTAGATCTGTGTTATTGACGAATCACAAATGCACCACTTGCTGTGGAGTACTCCGTACCTTGGTCGAAATTGAGCAGGATACATAGGGAGATCCGATTGGCCTCCTTCCAGTAAACGTGAGATTCTTTAGATAATTTGATACTTCGTAGTAATCTACAACCAATTATGGATTAAATGACACGCATTTGGCGGATCTGGTCCAGTATTGCTATCGCACACTTTGGTCACGATTTACGCCGCCAGTACGGAGTACTCGAGTGAGCGGGCTTCATCTCCGTGATCTCTATGGGTATTATTACGATCGGGCGGGTTTCTTGCTCCGGGGAGTGACGCGCCCAGTACGGAGTAAGAGGCTGCAGATGCCGAGATTGAAGGATTCTGCGCCATGTGCGCCATTGGCGCCATCACAAATCCCCTTGCAGCCTTCACGGCTCATAGTGAACGTTCTGTAGGTAGAGTAGCAAATCAATGGCCATAACTCGAAAGTCGACATTAATTGTTTGTGATCCACGAATACCTAGCACATCCAGCATGGTGTCACAGCATAAACTACCAGCCTCGATGCGGAATTCTGTGTTGGTATGGAGTACTCCGTAGACTGCATGGGGACGGAAATTGGGACCGAGCCAGTCAGACTAAACCCGTAAGGTTCGCGAATACGGGCAAGCCTGCAGTCACTCTAAAAAGAACCTTATTCCTACGGGTTCAGCACCTGGCACTCTTCACACCCTGTGCCAAATCGTGCCCAGTACTAATGAGAACGGCAGCGGTGAGACTCGCAGATTGAGGTTCAAAGGCGTTCGTTGATCCGGCCCCGGCGAGCCCAGTCTGGATTTTCCACAAAAGGTTGAATCATATCATCTAGGTTGCTGTTCAAAACAGCCCTAACACCGTTCTCTGGGACAATTACTTCGATCATAATAGCCTGGGGATCTCCGTCTATCCAGTCCAAAGTAGAGACTTTTGTCCATAAAAGTCTCATACGATGGATTCCTGCCTTACTTGGCTTCCATTCGCGGCATGTCTCACGTCCTCCTTACACTGCCAGGACAGCTCGGGCGAGAGTCTCCACTACCCCACTGTCTGCACTAGTAAAATGTTTCATGCTGATACAAAGGTTCTTATATGAACTCACTGGGATAAGACTGCGCTGGTATTGGTATTACGATAAGGCTAGTCCTTAAATAGGCATGGTGTAGCCAAGGCGCTAGTGGCGTTCTCGCCCGAGCTGTCCTGGCAGTGTAGTTACGCTAGCTTCCTTGGCATTGTCAGCCGTGGTCACATATTGCCCTTACAGGGTAGTCCTCGGTGCCATTCATTCACATGGTCTTCCACTGCGCAAATCGACTCGTCGGCTTGAACGCTACTTTTATCACCTTCCACCTAACATCTGAGTTAGGCTAGCCAATTGCAGCACTAGCTTGTTGAAGGACCTAGTCGCTCACACACCCATCTTGTCTGATATCTTGACCGGTTACGGCTCCGACGGCACTGCCACCTAGCTTCATTAGCCTGCTAGCACAGCTAGCGCCGGTCATCTGGATGCCCTCACTCAATGTCGTAAGGGAGGCACAAACGATATTGTCAATGACAATAAGGCAAGATTCTCTGCCTGGAAGCAACATGGATCCAATGAGCTTCCCGCTATATGTATCTAGAATGCTCTCCTAGCAATGGCTTTTGTGCAGTAATTTTGAATATTCCAGCATATCTGTAACCTCTGCTGTAGCCGTGCACGCACTGTCCTCAAAATGATAGAACAATCATCGTTCTCAGTCGGAATGCAGTCCTCGAGACTATCACTCAACTGATAATCCAATGCCTTAGCAATAATCCTGATCTGTGAGCATAGGCATTTTCTTGCTAGTTGTAGTAGGTATCTGAATATTTTAGGGGTTCTGCTCCAGGATGATAGACCAGAGAATCCCGCTATTGATAGGCTTGGCCAAACGATATCATGGGCATTAGCGCAAATTCGATACGCATATGCGATAAGGCGCCTCTAGGGTTGAGCGACATCCAGTCTTACGGCGGTATTGACGTGTACGATGCAGCTTACAGCTGCAGAAATATGCCCTTTCTGTCAGCATGCCGCATTCGGAGCCTTGACTCGTACGTTTATCTTTTCTGGTGGAATGAGAGCAAAATTCACACCACTGCCTAAATCGTCCGCTACTTACTCTTCCATTTCGCGGCTAGCTAGAAGCTGAGGTCAGCATCATAGTCTCACACCCATTTTTCCATCATGTCATAACTCCACTACGTGCAGAAAGTGACCACACACTGAATCACGTAGCATAACGTGGCCGGCCTTCAGATCCCATCCATCTGATGGCCCTGTCCCACCTTGCGTCTAGCCTCCGGAGGGAGGCAACGTGGGTTATTGTCTCACTTTAGATGCTGAATTTGGGGGCTGAAAGAAAGAAGTATCCACTTGTCGGCCACGCAAACCCACCGTTTGAAGATCATAGGCTCCTTAGGTCCTTCATTGGGCTCTCTGACGGTTGGAATAGGCAATGATTACAGCACATCTGCGTAGCAAGGCTCACTGCCTAAATTGGTAAATGGCTTTGTGCCCTAGTATGTAATGTGTTTTGATGCACCAACCAGCATTGTCCCTTCGATTATCCGCTAGCATTCGGTATTCGTACTTCAGCTCTCGATGCCACTATTCGGGTTAGTATGAGCCACACTAGAGAATAATCAACATTAGGCCCTCTCGCTCTGGGTACTTAAATTTTGGGGACTCGCCTTTCTAACTACAGCTTGATCTTTCAGACAAAAATTCCATCTTAATCCATACTTGGTGCGCCTGTAGAGGCTGATTGCCATCCACCCGGGAAAAATCTCATGTCCGCCGCAAGTGAACTTCGGTTATTAAATCTCACTGTATGTCTTTCCCGGACTACCTTCCCCCACCCCCGCCCCACGCCCCTCCCTCCTGCCGTTCCTAGATTCCTCCACTTGCACCTAATGTTTCGGAGGTCCTTGGCCTGCATATAAGCCCCCAGTCCAAAATCTTGCTCGCGAGATATTTCATTTCGTCGGTACAGTCAACACAATCTCCAAGATACCCCAGCCTCACAGCAATTAGCATATGTGTACTCCTCTCTGACTACCACAATGAAAGTGCTAGGCTACCAACAAGGCGCTGTCCCAATACAATCCTCGTGGTGCTTGAAGAATTCTATGGCTATTATTGGAGGAGACATACGACCGTCTCAAGTCACCATGTCCGCTATTGGTCACCAAGACTCGACTGCCTTCCTAGAATCCAACTCTACTTCCGATAACTCCCTTCTAGACTCCGTTGTTTCAGCTTCTGTTCAGGATGGTTTGTCATCTTTCTATGGGGCCAATCAGTCAAGCAATAGGATCGGTAAACATGCAAGGTAACTACTCCCCATATTCAGAAAGGCCATCTGACATCTTACCATACCCCTATCTATTAGTGAGATTAAAGCCACGTTATACTCTGTGCCAACCCCATCGGAGACTTATTTTGCTTGTCCCTTGCAGCACAAATGGCCCCGTACGCAACGAATATACCTTATATATCAGCTTAACCAATGTCTAACAACTAACTTCTAGACTATGTTTATGCCAGCCGCCATTTCCAGCCGACACAAACACTGCCAGGACACTTAAGCCAGAACTTTCCCCTCTCACAACTGTGTTCGTCGTCGGACCCTTCTCTTTGTCACAATGAAAACATAAGTGGATCAGTTCATGACTATCCTCGGGATCTACCACCAGTCTCCTCATATCATGCCCTAGACCTTGATTTTGCTCAACGGCAAGTTCCCTCTTTAAGGTGTGTTTATCCATGCGGTTAGAAAACGGGTGGGAGGGGAATTGAACTGATCCTCTCTCTAGCCCGCCGATCTCTTATCATTCTCCCTCTCATTCACCTCCGAGACCGTCGTCCCATCAGCCCTTCAACACCACGTGCGTCACGAGATCTGCGCTGAAAAGCGATACCACGAGGTGATTTACTAATAGCCAATTTCACAGTCCCCTGCCCAATATAGAAAATCGCCAGCCTCATTCTATGCTGAACACGGCATCAATCCCGTGAGTTAATGTATTCAGATCGTACAGTGATTGTACTAATGGCAAGTCTCCAGTTTTCCCCACCATTCTTCTATAAGCTCGCAGAATTCCTCCATAATTGGAGACCTCTTACATTGTGAACAAGAGCCGGCAGAAATTGCTTTCGATAACAAGTATCTAGTGTGTGTGCTGAGCTCACGGCCACGACCTCAATGTTGGGACCATGGTTGTAATGGCCGACAGTTCTCGACTTTTAGCAACCTTTTGCGACACCAGCGTGAGAGGTCAGGCGCACTTGCTAAAGCAAAGTGTGCTACATGTGGAGCTGTATTTACCCGCACAACTGCACGCAATATTCACATTATTGAGGGCAGGTGTCGCGGGCGAGACCAAAACCAGGGAGCCAGTGGGTTTAACTGAGGTATACATGTAACTCGAGTTTAGTTTCTTCAGGTTTGGATTGCTCATGCGACCACCCTCTGCCTGCTCTTTGATCTCCTTCTAGTCTTCCTTCTTGTTCCATAGCATAACATCAAGATAATGTAGTCCTACCTGATCTGTCTTTGCGCCGTAGACCTCCATTACTTCAATCATCTCCAAATCCAAAGAGTTATAGACTTAATTGACGAATAATCAACCTTGGTAAGAGAACGTTGTATCGTTTTATTTTCATTGTTCCGTTTAGCTCTTTTACAATGAAAGCAGGATAGAAGAAAGCAACCCCATTGATTTAGAAGAATAACAGCAGGCCTCCTGTATGATCACATGCACTTGATCAAGTAAGGCACCAAGGCCTCATTGCTGGCCTCAGGCGTCAAACACATGACACTGAGCACGGGCATGGATGCCGTCACCTGCCCACCTGGAAGTGGGCACTGACCCGGGGTTAGATAATCCACATCATGAGTTGAGGTCACTTCCCCTTCTCCACTCGTCTTCACTCCCACCTGTCTCCCTGTGTCATTCTCTTGTCCGCTTTGATTTTGCTGCGCTCGCGTTGACTGTCATCCGTGTGCCTCTTTTCAAACAGCCGTAGTGCTGATCATTGTACTCGATGTGTGGTACCCTGCTCACTTGCCGCCAACCGTTGGATTGGTGATAGAGCCCACCCACCTAAAAAGTACCCGCGAACTGTGATACAGCGGAGCCACTGGCATCATTAATCACTCACTCGATATACCACGCCTTTTCTGCCGTTAATATCTCAAGTTAGACCACTCCTCGGTTTCCGTGGTAAAAACCATCTAACCAGAGACATGCGACCACCACGCTTGATCATTGTCCTCTTCTGCCTAATCTTCTTTCCGATCCTCCTGACTATCTTTTCTGCGCTTACTTCGCCCGATGTATCGACTCCGAATACACTCACTGGTCAAAGGACGGGCTTGCGCGCTCTATTGTCTTTCAACATTCCGTCATCCCTCTTTCCGCCATCGGCCATTATTAGTCTCACTGACGATAACTCGACTTTCTTCCTCGCGCGACCAGCAGCATTTGGTCCGCTCCTCCCTACCAAAGGTCTCAGCGGTCAGCTATGGGTAGGGAGTGGTTTCGGAGAGGGAGGGTTAGCTGTTGGGGTAGAAGGAGAATTAGGCTGCTCCGATATTCCCGGCTGGGGTGAAGGCACCAACCATAAGAAACAAGAAAAGCCCTCTAGGGGCGCAGAACACAGTTCCGGCCGGTCCGGGGGTAACACAGTGAATGATCGGCCGTCAAAGCACGCGCGGTCGGTGTCGCAGGCCGATGCCATACCACCGAATGATCGAGATGATACACCCATTCGGCCATCCACAAACGACGGCACTGACGATTATTTGCACCATCCACTTCCTGGATCCGGCGCTTCGAACCCTGGAATGTCTCAGAAATACGGTGATCATGTCCAAAACAAACCACCGGCACATGCCGATATCCAATCGCTACAGGAAACTGCCGAAATCCAGGGTAAGGTGGTGCTTTTAAGTCGAGGTGGCTGTGGATTTTTAGAAAAGGTCAAATGGGCGCAACGGCGAGGAGGAGTCGCTTTAATCGTTGGCGATGATACTCGAGGTGGCAGCCTGGTCACCATGTACGCGCGAGGCGATACATCGAACGTTACAATCCCAGCACTGTTCACATCTCACACAACTGCTCACCTTCTATCTTCATTGATACCCGGACATTCTGAGGGAGCTGCAAGCTTGGAAGATGTCCTGAAATCGTCTAAAGCGAAGCTTGCAGGTCAAGCTGACGCCGATAAAGAACGAATCATAACTACCACGACAACCTCGATTGCACCAACTCCAACAGCCAGCAGCCAGTCTATGGCAAAGGGAAAACCTGAAGTGTCATCTAATCCAAATGGTGGGTTCCTCCACGCCATTGGTTCATTCCTCGGGCTGTGCGATAAGAACGTGGGCTCGCGGAATTTGGAAGACAGCCGACGCCCTCCCAGCAGCGGCAATATTGACTGGGTCAACCTAGACTCGAGGAATTATAAGGAACCATCTTCGAGCTCCTTGAGGAAATCAAGAGATCTCAACCACCGGGCTCGGACCACAGCCGACGACACATTCGCTGGCCGCAAGGCCGAGATCTCGGCTGAACGTTTTCAGGACGATGACTTTGTTATTGGGGTTCAAGATTGGAGAGACCCCGATTTGATGCCTCCCAAGACTAGCAAACAGGCGACAGGTAGCACCTCTGCCACCGGCAAGAACACCTCCAAGACGGCTAGTAAGATCAAAGACGTCGCTTCTTCCTCCCATGGCCTTGAAGGCGGCAGCATCACACCTGGAAGTGGAGAATACCAGAGCATCGATAAGTCCAGTCTCGGTTCTCATAAGACTCCCCCAACGGGGTCCAAAAACGAAGACATTGAAGTTCATGGGAAGTCTGGATCTTCCCTGAAGGGTTGGTTCTCGAGCCATTTTGGCTGGGGAGATGGTATAGAGCAAGACCCCCGGCCTTCTTCATCCCCTTCGGTTCAGAAAAATGTTGTAGCGAACCAGAAATTGCAAAATAGCCCTCATGTATCGAATCGCCTCGGCGTGGAGTCTTTTGAGCACGAAGGACTATGGGTTACAATGACACCCACGAGCATGTCCACCAGCCCCTTCTTCGATACACTATTAGTCCTTGTTGTGAGTCCATTGCTCACACTGACAGTTGTGTATGCCCTTTTGCTACTCCGATCACGAATTCGCCGTCGCCGCTGGCGTGCTCCAAAGTCAATCATTGAACGACTTCCTGTCCGAACCTATCACACAATCGCCACCACTTCTTCCTCGTCTTCCAACTCAACGCGCCCCTCGAGTCCCAGTAACCTCTCCCCTACCTCTCCTCTCCTTGGCAACGAAAGCCGATCAAGCCCATCCAGATCAACCAGATCACGTTCACAAACATTTTCAGGCATTGTGCCAGACTCGTCTGTCGTGCCTAAGGAGGAGAAGTGCAACCTACAAGGTGGATCCACCCTGTGGCGACGGAAGTATACAGGAAGGCAGGTAGAGTGTGTTGTATGTCTCGAGGAGTATATCGATGGGCAGAGCAAGGTGATGAGCTTACCATGTGGTCATGAATTCCATGTGGAATGCATGTAAGAACCCCGAACTCCCGCAATCGCTTGCGCTCTTTTACTGATTTCTTCTCTTAGCACGCCCTGGTTGACTACTCGTCGCCGAACTTGTCCCATCTGCAAAGGCGATGTTGTTCGTTCGATGACTCATTGTCAGTCCAGTCAATCCCGGACTCACCAAGAACAACCACACAATGAAGTTCACTCCCCGGATTCAGGTTCTCGAAACAGCACTTCTTCTGCTCCAGTACTCATCGAAGGTGTCAATGACGCGTCAGATACAGAGCAAACTGCAGGTCTACTTGGTGACCATGCAAATTCTGCCCCACAGTCAAGCTGGAGAAACCTGGCGACCCTCAGCTTTTCAGCTCTCAGCGGTGATACTATATGGCACCAGGCCCGTGCAGATCGCAATCGGTAAACCTCTTTTTTTTGTTTTTCTATTATCCCCCTCCCAGCTCGACCTGGGAGATTTTGCTCGCTTTGTATTGAAGCATGGTGTATTAGCGATATCTTTTTGATTTTTCGGCTTGAATGTGCTCGGCGTTGGGTGAGAACACATCGGGGAGCTGGGCGGTTGCAAAATGTCTGCAACCATTGTTGGAGCGGCTGGAATTTACCGCATCAATGATTCAAAACTTATATTCTTTTGTGGAATGGATTCCTGACTGAATTCCATTACTGATATTTGGCTATCATTAACATTATCACTATGCCATGACCACCTTCTCATCTTGTCCATAATGACATTAAAAGGCCATGCTCTATAAATATGGTTTCGCCTGGACAGCACCACATACTGATCTGCCAAAATGCGAAATTATTCATGAAATTGTTCATTCTCAGGGACACTTACCTCTCGCATCATAGCCCTATCCTTCTCTATCCAGATAGACCCTCCCAGCAACATCTGTAAATGCATCAAGAGAATGTGCCAGCCATGATGGTGGCTGTTGGGTGATACTCAAGTAAATTGCGATGATTAAGAGATTGTTGGGCTCTGTCTGACCCTGAACTGCAACAATAATGCTCTTTTATATATGTCTCTCCTCCACATTGTAAAGCTCATCTCCGTCCATTCAGAGAGGCTTGGACCTAGGGGTGCAGGTACGGAGTTAAGATGGTTCCAATTCTTGATAAATACTATTGTAGTGTGATTCAAAATATCCCTTCTCGCTATATATGTCGGAATTTCTCTCAAACTTGTTGAGAACCATGCCTGAGGCAGGATTCTCTCATCCGCAGGATTATCAACGCTACGCCCTTTTTGTCTTTTCTGCCGAAAAGCTCACCTTTGGGGGCCAAATTGAGGACTCCGATCCTCGGCACACAAAGGGGCATAAATAGCAGGAAAAGACAGATATTATCTAGATCTTTAGACAATTCAATACTTCCATGAGAGATCCTATTCCTAGTATCATTTGAACCCATTGTTGAAACCCTACATGCTGTATCATACCTCTGTATCTTCAACAAAACTTGGTTGGCTCGACTTTGCGAGGATAGAAGCATAGGACGTTACCGTCTCACACTGAACCTGGCTCGTGATATATATTTTGACCCCCATTCCCCAACCCATTACATATATATGCAACGGACTAATTACCTAATGGCCTATTTACTTTATACTGGCGTGGAAAAGGGTATGGGATGTTTATTTCCTCGCTCATTGAAGGCCGATGAATTTTATAGGGCGTAGAACACTCCCCCTCGGCCACACGGCCCACACGGGGTTTTTGGGGGGATGGGCGGGCGAGGTACATATCAGGGACTGAACCCCTGCAGCCAAGATACAAGTCAGATGCCGATAGATAATTTGAAGGAACCATACGATTGGCAATGATCAAAAAGAATAAGTGGCTTTTACCAACTGTAATGGCATGATGGCCCTATGCCATTATTGCAGAGATAGTATGCAGGATGTACATATTGAGCCGAGGCTTATGATGAATTGTAAGGAGCCACTGAGCCAAAAACCACTGCTTCTGGATGTCAGGGAAATTATTAGCAGGCGACATATTCCTTTTGTCTTGGCTTCAATGATCAACATGTTTGTACGGAGTCGTCTGTGCTCCAGACAACGCAAATGGCCACAGGTCGCGCGACCTGTCGACGGACTCCTCCGGAGTACGGAGTTGACGCCGCACATATAATCTGTAGCGCCCTTGGCTAAATACCCTGGCACTTTAATAATTATGAAACTATTTGAAACTGGTCGTGTCGGAGCACACCATTCCCGTACGGAGTCGACTATTATCCACCAGCCACGTGTGTGACAGTCAGTGGCTGTGTTTCCCGCAATTCGGTTGTCTGAGCCACATCGTGGCTGGGCGTGGCTGGGCACGTAATTTAAAGCAGTCGAATTCAGCGATTTCGGCTCCTCAATGCCCCTTTTGAGGGGAATTCTCTACGGGGCATCAACCCCTGATTCGTTTGGTTTCTATTCTGGAGCCCGATCAATATAGGATGTATCGACCCCTTTTATACAAATTGTCCGAAACGCCAATCCTTGGAAACAAATAGTCAAGCTCTCGGGTGGGGACAGGTTCCGACAGAACTCCTGATCGGCTTCTATCTGCAATGTAACCCCTCATGTGTTGGATAGGTGTATCACTTGGCTTATTGTGATCCTGGGGGCCAATTGGCGTACGGGAATTCAGTCAGGGTGAACGGGATGGGATTGTCAATCTGACTCTTAGGATTTCATGCCACCCCAGGGGGCTCGTGGAGCTGTGATATTGCGTCTGCCTAATCTGGGCCAACAACGACCTAGGCGCTGACATGCAACTCCGCAGTGGGGGCTCTCATTCTAGCGTCGGACAGAGTCTCTTTCGGTTCTGGGCGGAATAAGGTGATGTACAATCACAACGGTCTTTGGATTTCTTTCCCATAAAACCCGCCTCATCTCTTCGCTTTCTCGGTTTAATTCATTCTTCTTCCATCTTCCTATATCTATCACTCATCATGTCGTACGCTCCACCATATGGCGACCCTTACGCTCGCCCTCCCTCAGATCGCCCTGCATATGACCCCTACGGACGTCCCCCTTCCGATCCCTATGCGCGCCCTCCCTCAGACCGTCCTCCTTATGAGCGTCCCGCGTACGAACAACCTCCATATGATGCCGGTCGCCCAGCATACGACCCCGGTCGTCCAGCATACGATCGTGCCCCATACAGCGCACCCCCACCTTCTGCTCGACCCCCTCCTGGCCCTCCCCCTCCATTGCCGCAGGGTTGGGTCCAAGAATGGGAGCCCAGTACTCGCCGCGCATTCTTTGTAGAGCAGGCCACTGGCCGCTCTCAATGGGAGCAGCCTTACCCTCAATCCGGCTACGCTGGATATGATGATGGTTCTCGCAGCGTTCCTCCACCTGATTCCCAGGGTGGCTACTATCCCCCTCCCCAGGGTCCTCCCCCTGGTGCCTACGATGACCGTAGCCGTGATTATTACCAGCCCCAGGAGGAATACAAGGAGAAGGAGGAGAAGAAGAGCAGCAATACCGGAAAGTACCTTGCTGCTGGTGCGGCCGGCTTGGCTGTCGGTGGTATTGCTGGTGCCATCATCGCACACGAAATTGGTATGTTATATCTTATTCTTTGAACATTCAATTCCCTCTACATTGGAGCTGAGAACTAACTGTCTTCAGATGAGGATGACGAGAAGTCTGATCTCGAGGAGGCTTACGAGGCGGGCCGTCGCGATGAGGCCTACGAGGACGACAACAGTGGCAGTGGTGGTGATTGGTGATCTCTATCGCCTATGTGCATCTCCCGGAGCTTTTCTTACCACTTCATTCATTGCAAATCACATTTTTAATCATTAGCGTTGAGGCTTGCATCTTGCAAAGGGTTTACATCAATACAATTGCCTGTGCTTCTTTCAAACTGCTCTAGGGCATCTACGTTTACATTATTTCTAACCACCATTAGACTACGAGGCTGATCCTCAAGTTAGTCCTGTCAGTCTATTTCCAGCACAAAATCTCTCCATGCAACAAACCAAACCAAGCATCCTCGTTGCCCACAAATTCCCTCCATCCTTTTGCGATCACATCTAGATCCTCTGGCAGCGCATAACCCTCCTCAACAACATCCTTCGCAAACCCCGAAGATCTAGCCCTCGCCTCCATAGATCCACCCCAATATGCCCTCTCCTCATCACTCCCGAAGCACCAAGCCCCAGCACTCCTCTTCACACTCGAACTCTCAAACCCGGCCTCCCGCGCCCAAACATGAATCATCCTTCCGGGGTGTGGATTACCCCCCTTTGCACTCTGCATACGCTCCGTAACCTCACGCCACTTAGAAATCCCCACAGATTCGGGATACCATGTCAACTCCGCCGATTCCCGGCACGCAATGATCCCACCTTTCTTAGCGACACGGCGCATTTCCTTGATTGCATGCACCGGGTTCTCGATATGCTGCAGCACCTGGTGGGCATGCACAAGATCAAAGGTGTTGTCATCAAACGGCAGGGCATGGATATTGCCCTCCTGGAAGGTGACGTTCGACACTCCTTCGGTTTGCGCGAGGGCACGCGCGCCTTCGAGCGGATCAGAAACATATTCTGTGCCTGTGACATGACCCTGGGGTACATGCTTTGCCAGGGAAATGGTGATGGATCCCGGGCCGCAGCCGACATCTAGGATCTTCATGTCCGGCTTGAGGTGTGGCAGCAGGTATGGTGCTGAGTTGGCGACTGTGCGCCAGCTGTGGGTTTGGAGGACCGAGCTTGAGTGGTCGGTGGTGTAGACTTGAGGCATGATGAATGTGTTTAATTGGAATTGTAGTGATAACTTTGATTGAAGGTGAAGAGTGTTTGCGGATGGATAGGTGGTAGGGATTTATACTTGCAGAGGATATGGGGCTTCGGAATTCCGTTACAATCTCTTGGTATAGCTTGGCTCTGCTGCCCCAGCTCAATTTAGCATTGTTAATCTGTGCATAGGGCATCCATTCTAAGCTCCAATCCAAGTTCATCCTTTCGGTTCATATAGCAAATCACAGGTACAAGTCCGAGCTATGAACACTTAGCAGCCCTCTAGATGACTACAAAAGGCCTGGATTTATTTCAAATTGAATAAATCAACTGATTTTTGAGATTTTATCTCGATAGGTAGGTAGGATTGCATCAATTAGGTTGACGTCTATATTACCGTAACGGGCCCCCGGGGCATTTGAATATCTGCCTGTTCAACTACACTCTTATAGGAGCCCCTCCATGATATGTGACGTCATGTCTTGGCATTCCGGAACTCCGAGACTCCTCACGGAATTCCGCACTTCCTCGGATTCAGTTGTCCACATGGAACCCCAAACCCCAGCCAGATCTGGACCCTGCACCTCCGCCCATTCACGGGTTCAAGGCAGCACTCGCAAGAAATCTTGCCGGAAATGTGTACAAGCCAAAGCGAGGTGTGACCTCGGCAACCCGAAATGCAAAAGATGCACGGTTCGAAGCATTATCTGTGAATATCCAAGCCGCATCGAATCAAACAACGGTCTAAGCAGAGAGAATGAACAGAGCTATGCCAACTTCATGCCGGCGAATAGTATCTATGATGCAGGATCTCTGGATTCAACATGGCCACCAGAGTTAGCTGCCGGTATTGGGAATCCTTCCCGACATCAAGCTCATTCAGCTATTCCCAATAGTGAACGTGTTTATCTCGATCCCAGTCTTGATCTGGACTTCCAACACAATGATTTGGTAGCAATGACAGATGCGGAAGAAATTCGTGATCGCTGGCTGCGCCCCTACATTTCAGATTCGACGGGCCAGGAACCCAAGCAGCTGAACGCTCATACCATACAGTATCTCACCTGTGTTTTGAAATCATACGTTAGAAACTTACTTGATTCAATTGCTCCGCCTTTTCTGCATCCTTTGCAACTCGCGGCAATACATCCACCAGTACTGGCTTGTTGTTTCACACTGGTTCGGATGTGGTTGACCCGGATACCTGGATCTGAGCCCTTGATCCTAGGCACTATACATGGAGAAATGAAAAAGATTACTGACCAGGTAGAGGACTCTCCATCTATTTATCCTATACCAAAATCTAACACACGACAGCAAACTTTTGGGAATGACTTTGATGGGCTATGCTCCTTTCAGGCCTATCTAATCTACTTCATGGCCCTGCATTTCTTTCCTGCGGCCAACACTATTGAAGAAGCCCATCCAGCAGAAAACCAGACACAGATCAATATGCAAGAAATAGCCTTCCGATCAGCAAAAACAGGTCTCACATGCAGGACAGAACAATGCAAAGCCCGACCGCGCTGGGAGTCATGGATAGTCGCCTCCGCCAAGCGCCGTACACTTTTCACCATGTACCTCTTCACCAATGTCTACAACACCCAAGTAGGACTACCGAACTTCGTTGCTGAAGAGCTCAGGGGCGTCATGGTCCCAGAGAGTAAAATCCTCTGGAGAGCTTCGAGCCGGACCGATTGGGAACGGGAATATAATCGGCACTTGTCCCGCTGGGAGGATGGAATGCTTGAGATCTCGGAGCTGTGGAAGTCTTCTGATACTGGAACTGACGCCCAGCGCGAGAGAATCGAGCGGTGGTTGCAGTCCGCTGATGAGTTTGGCGTGATGCTGTTTGCTGTTTGTGCACATATCCATGGTTGCTAATGGGGATCCACGTTTCTTTTGTGTATTCTGCTTTCCTCGGCATCCCGAGTCGCAGCGCCCGAGGATTCTGAGGTCAATGTGATCAAAAACGACCACGTCCTTGATAGAACTCAATCTTTCTCTTTATTTTGTGCGAGTTGTTCTAGAAGCTAACGCTCATGGAAAATATGATTCATCGCTACCAATTTACTACCAATTTTTGCGCACTTTTTTCGATTCCATCTCCCTCTAGCCAAGTGCCAGGGAGGTTGCAGCAGCAATATGCTTCATATCAACGTTGTTGATGCCTTGGCCATGAGGCAGTTAGTTTGCTGCCTGACAGATGGCTTGCAGTGTTAGTTACCTACAACATACGGTGTACGCACTACGAGTCCCCAGATCGGGTGATCCACACGTTGTATCTAGCCCTTACTGGACTCTTCTTTAAAGGGACACCAGTTAGTCTATCAGTCGCTGTCGCAATACTCCGTACGGAGTACTCCGTATGTTGTACCCCTCTGATCTCCCTCGCCCTTATCCACACGAGGACCCCTTGGGTCCTCTGATCCTCTGTGGGGTCCTCTCAGGCATGTATGCACGGTTAGTCGTTGTCTTTACGAAAGAACACAGGGCGCATGAGCCCGCGAATAAGCCGATTGCAACACTTCCTCGAGCAAACCATCCTAGAGAGCTCCAGTTGAAGCCTAACGGCTTTTTATCAGCATGGGAATTCACCAACTCGACTGAAGTTATTGATGAAATAGCAAACATCAATCTGGAGGCAATGCAGTGCATGCTACAGAGGTTCGACCCGTACGATCATTGGCCTGTCATTTTGAAATGGTGATCTCCATCCGCATGCAGTTCGTGAAACCCTAATACAAGAATAGTGCAGGTGGAATAGACTAGTAACGCCCAGTGGGCACTTCAGATCCTCTTTTACCAAAGTTTTAGGCAAATTTACAGTCTGTGTCTCTGCAGAAGATTGGAGCTGAAAATTGAAATGGTGTGTCGAGCTTAGGCTGAGATCAGGAAATTGTGGGTTTAATTCGAACTCAAACATATTGGGTTGACTTGATTTTCACTTGATATATAACGTGTACGGAGTAAATGGCTCAGCATGATGCTACGCGTACGATCTTACGTATTACCTTGAAGCATCTTTGAAGACTTAAAAAAATAGTATCCACAATATAGTGCATTCTCGAAAATTCCAGAACATTAAATTCGGCTTACTTTGAACATTCTAAAGAGCCTCAGGCCAAACGGAACAGTAGGGAGCATCTCACACCCATCTCGAGGTAAAAGTCTGGTAAATGATTCAACTTTTACTGGCATGCTATACTTCAAGTAATCTAATCGCGTGTTTGATCGATGAAACTAATCACCTTCCGCCCCGTAGTACTTCTAATGAAACCCGAATAGTCAGGCAGATATGTCAAATCGAACAACTCTTCGTTGTTCTCGAAAACCTTGAAGAAGCTCCGCAACTTCCGTGTCAGTTCGCTTTTGCTAATCGTGCCCGGCTCGTCATGCCGTAGCACACGCAGCTCAAGAACAATGCCAATATTGTCCTTGTCTCCTTCACTATACCGGAGAATGATCTGGTACTGCAAGATTCCCCATGACTCATCTCGCATTTTAGCCTGAATGACTGGGAATTCGAAGTACTCGCCGTACCAATCAAAGCTGATTCTTCGATCGCGTCCGTATATCCGCGCGACTTTGTAGTGAGGTGCATCTTCTGGTGGGACTTTGGCCTTCATTGAGTCAGGCAAAGGGTGGAGCGAGCAAACATCACCACAAACATAGCGGATGAGAGGATGACGCAGCCTCTGCAGGGAGGTTTGCACAAGCATCCCCTTCTCGCCATGAGGAAGAGGCTGGACATCGACATCGCATCGGCCTTGGGGGTCCTCGATGGAGAAAGGGAATATCTCGAGGTGCATCAGACGTTGGTCATACACAAAATCGGCGTAGTGATGGTCCCATGTGGTCTCTGTCAGCTCAGCTGGCGAGACAGCCCAGGGCCCAGCTTCCGCGCTACCAATCACCGACGAGACAGCTATGTTGGGAAAGACAGAAATCAAAAAGCTGCGCTGGGCGGGGGTCATTGGCTCCGAGGTATACAGTGCTTTGTTGATCAACAGTTGTTTTCTCTTCTCCTCTGAGAGGGTGGAGATGTATCGCGCCAGCTGAACGATTTGACCTGCGTCCCCGGCAATTGCATTCACCCGATAGCCAATAATTATATCAATCATCTCGTCCTGTTCCATCTGGCTGCCGGCACAAAGAACCGTGGCGCCAGACCCCTCTAATACCTCAGCCATGAGGTCCAAAGCTCTGTCCACGTTAAACCGACAATTTCTCCAATTGAACACAACTGAGACATTACCTGTAAAGATGTCCCGAAACATGCATCGTCATGACCCAGTCTCCTGGTCCTACGATCCCACAAGAATGCAACAGAGATCCAATAGCTGCTCGCTGTTGACGGGTCTCTCGCGAATCTGTTGCGAAGACCATTGGAGCTCCTCCACCGGATCCCCCACCAGTCGTACTGATATAAGTCTCCCGTCGATACCCATTTCGGGGGTCTTGGTCCGTGGTAAGTCTAGCAATCTCCTTATATCTAGCAATTTTAGCTATGCGGCCTAGAGGAGCGAAAGCGGGAAAGCGGGAAAGCTCACAATGCTTCTTTCCGAGTCAATGGAAAAGACGATAGCGATAATTTTGTTCCCAACTTTTGATGCTTTGCTAACAAAATAGGCAAATCTTCACTCTTCGGTGGATATTCCGTGTCAGAATAAAAAGGGTGGTTGCTAGCGATGGCCAGAACCTCGCTCAAGTCGAAGCCGTTCGTCATCTTCAGATTGCGCGCAAAGTCCAGTTATGAACACAGTGAATATAACAACCAGCTACGGAGTACTTCGTACCTGGGAAATATATAAGGTTCATATATATTACTAAATCCCAAAGGTAAAATGCCACTATTTCTGGCAGAAGCAGCGTGATACATCGAGAATACAGGTGGAGTGCGCTACTCACTAGCGGCTTTTCGCTAACGCGGATCAGACGGCGATGTCTCGGAATGTAGATCATTCCATCAAATACCGGTATTTGTCAAATATACGAAACACCATGCATTCAAGGGTATTTGGGTTGAAATACGGCAACAAAAGTGTATCAAGAGTGGCGGTTAAGACATAAAGCCTCCAGAGTCTCGCATCCGCGGATGAACACCATATCACTGCGAGCGCAACCATGAAGAAGCCAGTGAACCAATTCAGCAGTATCTGCTTTCCCCAAAGTGGTGAAAAGTTCTCTTCCCCAGCAGATATCTGCCCCGAAACTCGATCTGCTCTACTTGAAAAGTATCATGCCGAGCTTGAGAAGTGTAGCCCACGGGAGACCTGGGCCGGCGATGCCCACCAGAAATCGGTACCTTATCCAGTGCTCGGTAACGAAGCTCATCAACGTCAGCTAGCAGAGCTAAGCGAGGCGTTGGTGCTAGCAATCACGGATATCGTGGAACGATGGTGGTCGGATGAGAAAGCCTGCTTCCCCGAGCGGATGCCGCTTGAACCAGTGGAGGAAAGGCTGCTGCAGGTTGGTTCAAATCGTTCGAAGCTCGTTGATTCTTGCTGAGAGTTTTAGTGGATGGAAAATCTGGATGGACGTGTGCTTCGTCCTTTCAAATCCTGTCAAGGGTCATGGAGACCGGACTTTCTGCTTGAATCCTCAGATGACCCTGAGCAAATTGAGAACTATCGCATCTGTGAGATCAACGCACGGTTCTGTTGGAATGGATTCCTTTTTACTGCGTTTGGCCAACAAGCTCTTCTCAATATGGGCATCGAGCAATATGGTATCAAAGGAGCCACGGACCCGCAAAAGGTTTGAACCCCGCGCGATCATATAGACGAAAGGCGAGTCTGATAAATTACAGGTTATTGCAGGTTTGAACGGTCTTTTTGACTCTTCACTCCCATTGCATCTAGTCAAGGGAGAAGAATACGGATATGATATCCACATGCTCGTTCCATATGCACAGCGTTATCTGGGGGTGGATGTTAAAATCATTCCTCCCGAGAGTCTGCGATTGGTGCCCGCCACAGCTCCTGGTGGATACAAACTGTACTGTCTGTCTAGTGCAGATAGCAAACAGCCGACAATACTCAATGATGCTGGCGAGTCATTGGAAGAAGTACATCAACTCGGAGTGGAACTCCATCAACGAGAGTTACTTGCCATGAGCTTTGAGATGCTTCAGCAAATCAGCTTGCGATGTTTCAATGACCTGCGTACTGTGCTTCTGGTTCACGACAAGCGCATGCTAGGCCTGGTTTTAGAAGAGCTGGATTTGCTGGTTGCGCGGAACGTGCTCTCATCCCACCAAGCCGGTATCCTTGATCGGGGACTCGTCCACACGATTATACCTGGATCCGACAAATTGAAGCATTTTGTATCCGGATGCAGGGCAGACGCCTCCACCAAGGATAAATATCTGCTGAAGCCAGTTCGTAGCGGCAAGGGAGCCGGGATCTTATTTGGAGACCAAGTCACACAGGAAGAGTGGATGTCACTTCTCCAGGGCATGCAAGACCCTCATCTAAAACATGGCAAGACAACCTACGTGGTTCAAAAGCAAATCCAACAACTGACATATGATGTTCTTCTTGATGAGGAGGCTGGTGTTGGGAATTTTCCTCTCATTGGCACCTTCCACATCACACATGGCACATTCCTGGGCCTTGGACTCTGGAGAAGCGGCCCAGGTCGAATTTGTGCTTTAAGTCGTGGAGGAGCTTGGATGTGCTCCGTGATTCAACAATGATGCAGACTGATTTCTTCCTGGAGCGAACATTGTTTCAGACAATCTATCTCATTATCCCTTTCGATTCTATACCATACTGGGGATCTTTCTCTAGCCACTTTGGTTCAATGGAGACATTTGGAAAAGATATTCTTTGAAACCAGATACTATATGTATGAAAGATAATGAGTGATCCTATGAGTCTTGGATCTGACTGGCGTTGCCTTTGATTGGTGTGAATTGTTCGTACGAGATGTCTCGCTCAGGTACCTCATACAACATAGACGAGATCAAAATTTAGATCCACATTTACAAGGGTCGTAGCTGACTGTAATATCCGTAGCAATGGCGATGAGTGTCTTGTCCTAACTTCTAAGCGAGTTCGTCAACAACTCATGTTTCATATGACCGTATTGATACATGATACATGATACGTGCTAGCTGGGTTTGGCTGGCTGAGAAAACACTTATTGCACAACATATGTACGGAGTACTCCGTACAGTAGGGAGTGATCCACTGTTCGCGATTGAATGTGGGTAAGCCCAAGGGGCAAACCCAAAACATGTAGCAAATAAAAAGCTCCTTTGAGATATATCCACCTTTCCTTGCAGAAACTAGTTGTGGGAGCTGCTTGAATACGGAGTACTCCGTACTTCATACAGATGGATCTGAATATTCAGTCCAGCCGTACTTAGTATAAGCTCGTGGGTCTTTTTCCGGTATACAGTGTGGAGAATGGCTCATACACAAGCGTGATAAAGAAGATGAAATGGATAAGCAGCAATCAGAAAATTCGCCGTATAAAACACTTTAACGCCCTTAGGCCAAAGGTCTTTTCATCCCATCGCCGTTCAGAATGGCCACAACTACAGTTCAACGAGTAGCACGATCTTTCCCTACCGTAGGGAAGCAGATTTCTCGAGTGCCTAGGATATGTGAGCTTTTAGTACATAAGGATTTTCTTATCTCTGCTAATCCAAATTGTCATTTTTGATCTATAGCGCGTCTTACAGTCCCAAATCTTGCGATTGGCTCCCACCCCGAGCACCTTCGTACTGTCCACCAAACCCTTCGGAGCGCTGGCGTTCTACATATTCAACTAGACTTCCCCGATGATGAAAGCAGATATCTCCATGAACTGTTGTTGAATTTGCATCAACACCATGGCCATGGCCTACCAATCACCCACAGTGCAAATCGAGGTTGGATGTGGGACATTCGGCCCAGTCCCGAAAGCTTTCAGAGCAACAATACTCAAGCTCGATCTGAGACTATGGAGGAATTCCCCTGGCACACAGACTGCAGCTACGAGAGCTGTCCACCGCAATACTTTGCTCTCCAAGTTCTCCAGCCAGACCGGTGTGGCGGCGGTACATTATCTGTCCTGAATGTCGACGAATTGCTCACCTTGCTCTCACCTTCCACCCTTGAGACGCTATTCACCCCCAATTTTCAGATTACCGTCCCACCCGAGTTCGTCAAAAGTCAGGCCGATACGCAGATCATCGGTGGCCTATTGACAACTAGCCCCGGAACCAAATCCATCAAGCTCCGCTTCCGAGAGGATATTGTTAGGCCGCTCACAGATCAGGCATCAAAAGCGCTAGCGGAGCTGAAATCAGTCCTGTTGGGGCCAACAGCCCGCTCTCGGATACTCAACCTGAAAGCCGAGGACCTCCCGCGTGGGTCGATCATCTTAATGGATAATGGACGCTGGCTCCACGCACGGAACGAGGTCAAGGACCCAAATCGACATCTGCGACGAGTGCGCTGGGACGCACGGCCATTTGTCACCCCTTCTCCTGCTGCTCAGCTAGGTCTCTGATGTACCGTGATCAGCGTTGGGCTAAGCGTGCGCCACTGCTTTTTTGTTCCCATCAAAACCATTTATTACACGATAATTCCATGGACGGAGTATTGCCGGCGTTATTGGCAATCGGCTACCCTCGAAAATGGGAAATCTTTCGATCTACCCACAATGTGAATCTGTTGAGCCCCATTATGCTTGTCAGCCGTCCACGGACCCTCTCCAGCCAATCGAAAGGGACCAAATCTCAGCTGATGGAGTAAGGGTGGGGGCATACAGCTCGGATCCATGGATGTACGGAGTACATCCTGACTCCATACTCCTCACCCTCAATCACCTCCGACAGATCCAGATAATTATTAAATCGTCGCCGAGTTTTGGAACAATCTCTGCCTGAGAAATCTGATGTCGAACTTTATTCCCCCTTTATTCAACCCGCTCTGAGCATAACAGTTATATTCGAGATCCAAGAACCCCCAAATCCCCTAGGCGTAATAAGGCCCTAATAAAGGGCTTCGCGCTGCCTGGTGTGAGTCAAGTATGTTGAAGATGGCAGAATCACCACCAGGGGTAAGCCCAATGATTATATAATAATTATTTTTGTGTCCAGCAAATCCAGGTTATTCCGCACGGAGCACAGAGTATATGGCTGGGAATTTGGTAGCGGTGTACTCCATACTCCATATTCCGAACGTCAAGCCAACGTTGACAGAACACCTGAGCTGCACAGTGGCATTCCGTATCGTTAAAAGATTCTAGCACCGAGAACCCCGGGGGATCTCGGTGCGGAATAGGCCCCACTTTCATCGGCTTCAGTGGAACACGAGCTCGTAACTTTTTTGTTTCAATGGTACCAAGCGGGACCATCCTTCTTAGAACGCAACAAGGCAAATCTGCAGCAGATCGGAAGTGATCGACGGACATCTTCCTGCATTTGACCTCACATCGCTTCCGATGCGGCTAGCATGAGTGTTTGCAGGTCCCACCCACTCTACATATACTCCGTGCTTTGTTGTGGCTTGCTGAAAATTATGTACAACTGTGGTGTACTCCGTACACCGCACGGAGTATGATATGTGTAGCTCGACTTGGCAATGCGAGGCGTCGTTTCCCAAGCAAAGTGCATATATCTGTGGCAGTGTAGATTGATTTCTCCCCAAACAGAGTACATACGCAGAAAAAAGGCAGGGGGGAAAGAAGGCGAATGCTAGCTCAAACGAAATACTTTCGGTTAGACCAGAGCGATGGTTGAGAACCGTTGGGTCCGTTAATATACCTGTAACATACATGTGCATGGTAGCTTGTCAAATCACCTATGCTTCCTAATAGTCTAGGACTCCCCAAAACAATGCTAGAAATAATTTTAACCACCGTATATTCGGTGCCTAATAATGTGTTGACCTATACACAGAGCTCGGACCCTCAGCCTTTCCGGCTGCTGGTCTCTCTTTCAAGGCATCCAAAATAACATTAATTACTCACATTCCAAGACTTCCTGTAACATCGAGGTGGGAGCAGGCAGGGGTCGCCAGCCCCAGACCTCACAGATATTCAGGCTTCCACAGAAATAATTATTATGCATAAGTGCGGGTGCTATATGCTTACTGGCGCTAGAAGACGGCCCCGGGGTAATTGATCAACCTTATTTCCTATCAGCCTTGGAATACCAGAGAAACATCTACGCATCCTCCGGTGGAACACTATGAAATCAAAACCACGAATGGAAGCATTGATTAATGGCCACCAAGCTTCAAAAAGATGCTGTTGAGCCAGTGGGTGCCTTGGTGCCTCAGACAGATACCTAGGTAGACTACGTGTGATGTCGGAAGCTTTGTCTCTTCCCAAGACAACATCTCACTCCTCTACCCGAATCCTATTACGTAGTTCTCAGCAGCTGGGATACAAAAGGACAATTATGCTCACCCTTGAATCGGTAAACTGACTGCATCGCCAAGCCGGGATCAAGCACTAAATTGATCCATTCTGCTACCAAATGATTACAGAAATCAGGCGCTTGTTTGCTTTTTGTTGAAGAAAAGGATGACCTGCCAACTCGCCTGCCGCTTTTCTTGCGTCTGGGTGCTAGGAAAGCATTCATTCTCCTCTCCCGTAAGGAATGAAGCTGTATCGTCTAGTCTACGGTCCGGGATTATGTTCTCGAGGAGAAAGCGACCTGATATATTTTACAAATCTTGAGATAATTTGTTTGAGTTAGGAGACCTAGTGTTGCCTTTTTCGTCAAAGAATGGCCCACCGAAGTACTCCTCCGCGGTCTCACATACTCTGTCGTCTTCTGGCCTGACAGGGTTCGGCCACGAGTATGTACTTACTACTTTCGCATATACTGATGCCTCTATATGATCTCTAGAGGTGGTGGACCGAGTAATGCTATCATTTCAGCGATATGTAATTTAGCATCGTAGCGACCTTCCCGACCATGAAGCTGGAATAGCTCTTGGCGGTCGATCGAATGACACAACTTATCTAGCGTTAATGGACGCAACAATTCTAGAGAATATCATGACATGCCAAGAAACCAATATTCCAGATTTTCGCAGGATTTTGCCATCCATTACCCTTTATCACCTCTGATATTTTGTCCAAAGGATGCTATCAGATCTGCTACTAGGTAGCCTGTAAGCCTTTTTCCTACAGGATTTCTCATCGCCAATGTCCTTTTGAGGCATTTGCAGGGATTCTATCATCCCGATCCCTCAGGCCACCACCTCGGCCAACGTCGGCCAACATCGGGCTTGGCAGATCAACAAATAGGGGGTGTGTAAGGTCCAAGAATCTCTCGACATTTGATGGAAGCTGGTCGACTCTTAGGATATCTCATAGGTCTCAGTCGATGCTCATAGGATCAATTACTACCTGTCTTTAACAACATCTTCAAGGTGGTACATGTAAATGTGTGTTCAGGAGTGTACTCCATAGATAGAGACTCAAAATCCTTGGTTGTTGAGGATATTCGTCAAAGGATGATTGGCTCAAAGCAAGCCCCTCTGGTTTCAATTTGTATATGATTTGAACGCTTATAGGTGCGGTGTATTGGTACTTCACATAGATGTCCATGCTGCCGAGACATAAGGCCGAGACAACCCCGCACTTAGGACAGGATACCCCAATATAAAGTCCATGCATTTCTATTCCAACGCTTTCTTCCTTCTTGAAATCACTCGGGGATTCTCCAGTTCACTGTGAATACACGGGACAAAACGGAAACTGCTCGACTTGGACCAAACAAGGCCTTTCATCTATACGATGTCAAACCTCCGATGAGCAGCTAATGTGCACTCATTGGGGGATAAAGCAACAAGAGAAAGCAGCTCGATGGTCACAGTCTGAGCTCAACCATTATTAGAATTAGTTTAATTACACATTCCCCCTTCCACACATCGGTATCAAACCCCGACGACGACAAGTTCCCACATTGTCGCAAATGTGCGGGTGTCGATTGTTGTTTGCCTCTAGATACCAAAAGCGACGGGAGACCTACACAGCATGTTGACAAGTTTCTCTATCTGTCTACATGATAAGATGGCCTCCTACATTTCTCTATTTCCCTATATTTTGGAATGTCAATCATACAATGTAGAATGGCTTCGTTCCGTGATATCATAAGTGAATGCATCATCTAGGTACATGCGACAAAGTTATTTCCACTAGCACCAGTGTGGGTGATCACGCCAGCGAGACCGTTATTCCCGTTGAAGATCACACGGTCCGCACCAGGAGAGCCACCGCTATAGATGCTGCCGCTGCTGAGAATGGGGAACTCGTAGTAGGTTCCTGCCACATCGAAGTCGAAGCCTTCGTAGTTGTGGTAGACGTGAGGGTAGTTGTTGACATCGTCGTCTGCTGCATAGAGCTTGTAGCCTGCTGACTTGGCGGCGCTGACAGCACTGCTGGTGTAGCAGACCGTGCCGCAGGTGGCGGCACATGCGCTAGCTGCGACGTCGAGAGGGACGGCGATAGCACTCGAGATGAAGAGGGCAGCTACGCCCAGGATCTGGAGTTTGTGTTAGAAGTTGAGGTTGTCCATATAGAATGATATTTTAACCTTGGTATAAAGCATTTTGGAAGGGTGTTGGCAATTTTTGAAGACTTGAGTATACGGCTGGCTCTGGAGATTCCTGAGATGATAAACTCGCTTTTTTCAGGACCATTTGCTAGTTTAAATAGATCTCTTCTGAGCTCTTTGGTCCCTTTCCAGCGGGAAGGAAGCGGACATCTCCTATCGACGTGATGTTACATTCTGCAGCCAAGCCTTCGTCGCCATTTGTTGCTTGAGAAGTGCCGGAACTGCAAAATACCATATGTGTAACAACAGACTATGCCGAGTCGAGGAAATCCGCCGATCTGCAACCCCGAAGTATGTATTGACCACATGCAGGAGATGCACAGGTCGTTCCTGATTGGTTGATGGGGGATGTCATGAAGAATCGAGTGGTCCTAGGACTCCGGGTGTCTGTAGATGCGCCGTATCCGAGGGGGGGATCGGCAGGATGCAACAGGGGTTGAATCTTCACCCCGTCGTAGACCGATGCAGCTAAGACGGGAACATGGGGGTTCCCCCTCTTATCTGGACCAATCACAGCATAAATAGAGACACGCTGTTGATCCAACGGTCAATATCCCAGCGGCGTGTGGGGGGTTGGATATTGGAGCTGTCGGCATCTGAAGACCGAGTGTTGGGAGGAGAAACTGATGTGCTCAACGACATAGTAACCTTGCAATCTGAACACAATCCAATTCTCCCATCGCCTACATGTAGATAAGGAACTCATCCGACGCCAATCCTCATATATTGTCTTCCCCTCGCGTATCTCGCTGTCCGACGGTTCCCGTGCTGATCTCGGAAACTCTCGTCACCAGTCTGCTGCGTGGTGACCAGACTTCATTCGTCGTTTGGTGCTTGGCTACTGTTAATTGGACATCATCATCTCGGGCCGTGTGGCTGGGCGTTTAAATAGATTTGAGTTCATCACAGCCCAGATTATGTCAAAAGATATGTTCAAATTATGTGTGGTATAAGCTAGGGCGCGAGGCAAACAATCTATCCTATGACGACAGAATAAATGCGCGACCACCATGTCCGCTCCTTGTCTGCCTCGGGCTCTTCGAACTCCATGGGATTTCTTCGTCCAGTCCAAATGTCCATATCTTCAAGTCGGACCAGCTTTGTCTTGTTCCAGAATTTGTACCCCACGACAAAGATCAAGAATACAGGGAGAAGGATATAGTTGATCACAAAGTCTGTCGAGCTGAAAGGATTCAGGAAGCAAGTGTATCCTTGGAAGAAAACGAGGAAGACATTGGCTGCCAACGCCAGATAGGTACCGTATGGGTAGAAAAGTGCTTTGAATGGGAGCTTGGCTGGGTCTTGGCCTTGCGCGACCAGTGCTTTGCGGAATCGGATATGTGCGATTCCTATCACAGACCAAACGATAAACGTAGCGACTGATAATTGGTTAGCACAGCGACAAGAAAATTCTGGAAAGAAGAACATACCTCCTGAAAGGGTGATTAGTGCGGAGTAAACCCTTCCAGCACTGGAAGACTGCTCCAAGAACACGATGCATGCAAAGATATTTGTGAATACTAAGCCAACCCATGGTACTCCGAGGCGATTCGTGCGGCCGATGAACTTCGGTGCTTTTCTGTTGCGAGCCATGAAAATTAGGGTTCTGGATGCCACATAAAGCGAGCTGTTTCCGGCGGAGATCACACTGATCACGATGAGAGCATTAATGAGGTGGGCGGCGGGGAGAATTCCGGCATCCTCCAGCGAGATTGTCAAGGGAGAGCTGGCCGTCTTGGACGATGCAGCCAAAAGTCTCTCGTCGTTCCATGGGATGAGCATTCCAATGAAGAAGATAGTACCTGGATATTTCAGCGATGATTCAATCTTTCGTTGCGGTATTTACTTACCGACATAGAAAATCACGATGCGCCAGAAGACCTGTCTGATAGCCTTTGGAACTGCCTTTTGAGGATTATCCGATTCTCCAGCAGTGATACCAACCCTAATCCATCGTTAGTTCTTTATCGTTCCCAACCATGACGAAGATCTAGGTACATACATCTCAGTGCCGGCATACAGCGTGCCTGCAACAACGAATGTCTTCGCAACTCCATTGATTGAGTCTGCAAAGGCGCCAGGGTCATGCCAATGCTTAAAGCCGATAGCGCGTGGTCCAATGCCTCCTGCGCTGATGATAATCGCGAGAATGAAAAAGACGATTAACGCCAACACCTTGATCCTAGAAGCTGTTAGTCAATTTGTTGCTTCGATAAAAGCGGGTAACCTACAGGGAGAGCCAGAATTCCATCTCGCCATATGCCAAGATCCCCAGGTTTGAGAGGCCCAGGAACATCACCCAGAAGATTAAGATCCATCCCCATTGGGGAACAGCATCTGTCCAGTATCCAATCACGAGTGATATCGCGTTATATTCATTTGCGAGAACCTGGGATACCGGGTCAGTGATAGATCGGAGTTTCTTTCGTCTCACTGCAACATACCGTCACCCACAAGTACCAGTACGCCCATCCCAGAGCAAATGCAAGGGAATCATCAATAAAGCGCTCGGCATACTCGGTAAATGAGCCGGTGACAGGGATCAGGGTAGCCATCTCACCAAGCGATTGCCTAAAAAGTTAGCGTGGGTTCAGAAACTCAATAATTTCATCCTAGTTATCTTACATAACGAAGAAGACGATGATGCCGACCAGCGAAAAGCTGATCAAAGATCCTGCTGGCCCACCATCGTGCAATGCCTTTCCAGAGCTCACCAGTAGACCGGGGCCGATAATGCCTGACAAGCTCTATTAGCAAAACTGTAGCAGCGAAGTCAGCCCTGGTTGCAGTCTCACCTCCAATGGCAATCATCTGCAGATGTCTGGACTTTAGCTTTCGCTTCAAGGGCGCCGACATAGGATCGGTCGCGATCTCTTCATCCATATGGGGGACTTCCCCCGATTGGAAGCTCTTCGTATCGGCATCTTGCACATGCCCTCTGTATGTGACGTGGCCTGGATTTGATTTATCCATGTCTGTGAAAAGCGTGTGCCAGGAACAGAAGTCAGACCTGCCAGATCCGAAGACCTTTATGCTTTCCACGTGCCATATTTAGCGCGGGGATATCCCCTCGCTACAGTGCAAAGATTTTCAAATCTGCATGGAAAACGTCGAGCCATAGCTATTTGCTGCCAATGTCGTGATATGCCCCGGGCGCGGCGTCATTATCGTGTGGGGCTGTTTGTTTAGAGCACTTCGCCTTCAGCCTAAAGACCCGAAACATCGTGAACGATGCAAATGTAGAAAGGACTCGGAAACACACTCCATATTCCGATCTCGTTCCAATCTCTGACTAGGGATCCGAGGTGGCTGATCTGGTTTCGTCGGGGTGAAAGTCTGCACCCGGCCTCGGGGGTTGCCAAGATGTGTATCTTTAAGCAGGCACACTTTTCGCCAACGTTCAATGTGCACAAAAACCCCGACATATACCGTTTCTCATAGCCAGCGAGTTACCTTGAAAGCGATTCAGTGGTGATGAAGTATACAGTAATCGACATTATCGCCGAGGGATTACTGTTCAGCGTGGGGGAAGAGAGGGACATGCAAACACACGCGCTTGATGCCATGTGGGTCGGCAAGCCGATCTCTCATAAGATCCATCCAGCATCAGCATCGATACCCAAGCAATAACTAAGCCTCCAGGTTTGAGATAGATGAGTGCCGGAATATCGCGCAAAGATCGACTGGCTTAACTTATCCTACTTCGGGCTGCTCGTACTACACAGGGGTATACCATAGACAGGCCGCAAGCAGACTCAGATAGGAGCGATTCCGCCTCGAAACGTCCAGGAGATCAGTGTCGAGAACTGCATAGTTTCATGGAGGTCATCACCAGTCCGACATGAATCAATACTAGTGTTTTTGGGTGTCTGTGGGTTCAATGATGCGTTGGGCAATGTTCAAATAAGATCACTGCAATGCGACAATGCCGGGAAGGGCCAAAGCGTCCTCAGGTACAAACACAGCCCCTTCCATCGGATCTCACGTGGATCTCTTATATAAACCCTTTCTTAGACACCAAGGGGATACCCACGACACCTGGGGATGTGGGTATCTCCTTGGTGTCTCCAATAGCTGGGCCCCACCGCAATCGACACAAGGTGCGAAGGTGTATAGCGGCCAGTGTTCAGTTTCAATTAAAATATGCATTGCTGCCTGAGAATGCCTGGATAATGCCTGAATAATGCCTGATTTCAGACCGCTTTCGCTACCGCTCTATACGGTGTATTGTAAATGAAGCTATGATAGCCCCTTTAACCTAAAATTGAAGGTATTCACACCATACAAATTTTTAATTTATCTTTTCCTCAGGCGTTGAAGCCGTTCCGACCTAACAATAGGGAATCTGGCGAATCTAAATCCGTCGGAATTTCACGCCCTCCCTAGTCTATTTTCCTCCGAGGAGTAGCTTTCGCTGAAGGACGAGTATATTTGATTTAAAATTAATTGATTAATGATGATAAAGAAATGGATTTTCCCTTCGAAGTTGAATTACGAGGGATAGGCGGTATCGATTCTGCCGAGGGAAATATTACTACCCCTTTTCTTCGGCGACCGGTCGTTTTCTCTTCCCTTTACGGGATCAGACTCGGTGATAGAGGTTTACCTCGATAGGAGTACAAAGTAGGGCCGATGAAAGATTAACAGTAGTGATAAAGGTAAGTAAGGGAAGATATATAAAGGAGAGAAGAAGAATAAGAGGGCACCTACATTGATGCCTACCTAGGAATAGCTACACTGTAATGGTAATTCAGGTATATTAATTTTCTGCTGGACTTAAATCAGGCACTAAAGCAGAAATCAGGCCGAAACTTAGATTTTAATTGAAACTGAACACTGGCCGCTATACACCTTCGCACACAAGGTCTCACACGGCTTATCGGCCGCATCCCGTTAAACAATTCCTTAGCACGCACGTTCAGTTTTTTGGCGTCAAAGTATTCCTCAATAACACGAAGATGCCAAGGGCCCCTGACAGAATATAGCAACACCCGAGGACACAAATAGTTGCGTGATGACTATGAGTTCCCCCCTAAGAAGGTGTTCATTGCCCTCAGCCTGGACCTAACATTCCTTTGCCCTCAGAAATAACAACAAATGGCCGGCAGGACCAAAGCTTGGAGCTATCTGCAGATGACAAGATAATTGCAGCTATTACACCCGACGGGAAAGGCTTTGTCTGGGATTTTTCTACACAAAGCAAGATTACGACTATCGAGGGATTTACAGTGGCTGCATTCTCTCCCAGAGGTGGAATATTGGCAACCGGGGGAAGGAACGGCCTTGTCAGGATGTGGGACATAGTCTCTGATCGCCAGGATAGCACAGCCATTAGAAAGCTGAGCTATCCGTTTGGTATCGGGGTCACAGCGCCGATCGGGGAGGGCGAAATAGTTCTGCGCCACTATAAAGGTTTGGCTCGCCTCAATCTTTCTCCAGATGGGCGATGGGTCGTTCGGAATTCGATGGAGTCTCTCGAAGTGTAGGATCTGAGGGACATGAGGACCGTCTTATCCCGTGCATATCCCGAGCAAGATCCATCGGTTCCCCCATCCACAAACTGGCAAGAGACGTCCATCCCCTTGGAACCAAGAGCGATATTTTCAGCAAAGAGCGACTCTATGGCCATTGTCGTTCAAAATGGTCCGAAAGGTTCTTCTGGATCACTGGAAATCTGGCAATTGGACCCATGCATCCTTCAAAAATGGATTAGTGGTCCATGTATTCAAAACTTGGTTGCGACTTTATACGCTCTCATTCTCAGGGAATCGGCAGTATCTCAAATTTGATCGAGGAAAAGTGCCTCTTCGATCTCAAGATTCCCCAGTGACTTCTATGTCCCACCGATCTTTGTGGGTGGGAGGGGGCTGGATCTTTCAGCAGGGTCGGAAACTCATTTCGTCGCCTCCGGTCGTCCGAGGCTGCCATGTCACAGTGAATAATGGCACAATTTGGCTCTATCAGAAGTCAGGGCTTATCTCGGTGCTGGAAATTGATCTCGATGCTACTCTGTTGGCTGCTGAAAACCTGCCAGAAAGGGAAACGCATTTTGATGTGCTCCTCAATGTCAATTTCAATGAACCTCGTGATGCAGAAGTCGAAAAAGTATTTACGTTGACTTAGAACCAAGACGATCTCTTGGTGACCAGGGGCAAGAGAGAAGAAAGCTCACTATTTCTCTTTCTGCGAGACAATATTCACATGCGCCAAAACACGCACATCATCCGTCTAATAGCTTAATCCGTATGCCCACATAGACCACAGGAATCGGGTAAAATGACAGGCAGATAACTTTTGCCATACTGAAAAGGTTCATGGGTAGGAACGGATTAACAATGAAAGTACATAACACAACGATCAACTAACTATGGGATGTTATGTCGACTTGGCACATGTTGGATTCAATGGAGGCAGCGAAGCACCGACTTCGCTCCTCTAGATTCTCTTCATTATTAAGCCTTTTGCATAGCCCTGGAGGTCAAGCAGCATCCCGCCGGGGTAATGTCAAGTAAACATACTCAAAAGCAATACAAGTATATAAATTAGGGATGTGACTCAGAAGTTGTTTTCTCATCAACGATCGAATAGATCTTCGGATTGGAATGAGATATTAGTCTCGTCATCGTCACTATCATAATAGCCCATCTCAACCCGCACGATCAAGCCAATCGGAACGAACGTGTGAAAGAAGAACAAGAAGATTTTCAAGGCAAGTCACCCTGCAAAATATGAGGAGGAATTGGGAAGTACTCGTATGATGCCTCGGACCGGCTTTAAGTTGTGAACACGGGGATTCACCGATGTGCTTTCTTCATCATTGGCATCAAGCAAATCTCTGATGGGGAGTTCGGAGGAAGGATAGAAGCGAGCAACATGAAACCTAACTTCCGGATACAAGAAACCGTGACTCGGATATTGTCTCCTCGTCATAGCCTCCGTAAAACTTCAGATTGGAACGAGATTTGAGTCTCGTCATCGTCTCTAACATAATGGCCCATATCAGGGCAAAGGTGAACCGATCTGGGCAACTGCGGAAAACTAAATACTAAGAATCTCAAAGGAAAGCTCAATGCGAGACAGCAGGCAGAATTAGGAAGTGCTTATATGATGCCTCAGACTGGCGTTAAGTTGTGATCACGGGGGTTCAGCTGAACAAGATTGTCATCATTGGCATCGAGCACATATCTGGCCGGTTATTGGGATGGAGGATAGAAGTGAGCAACATGGAACCTAGTTTCAGGAATTAGTATGGTCCTAAGCAAGCAGGAGCACTGCCCAGGACAAATGGATGCCAAAGGGTCAGATCTGCAACAATGCCCGAATTGTGTCTCAGATTGCCGAATTTTTCATCAATATGAGTCAGGCCAAGCAATATCTCATCATCGACACGTAGCAGGTCGGGTTCGAGGTACATAGGGACAGGAGACGACTTCACCTAATAGTAACTGACTTCACAAATCAGCAAAGATTCTATGCAGCAATAGGGTAACAGTGATAGTAGTAATAGATACTTCCAAGTGGCTCAGATTGACAATATGATATCAGGGATGCTCAGAGCATGTGGTTTATTATCATTGCCATCAAAAGGACGTATCGATGAGTTATAGGGGGATAGGGGGATGTGGGCAATGGCGGCTTACCGGATGGAATGGATAAAACCCTTCACAGTGACGAAGGAAATGACAGTCTAGAGCTCACAACGTGGCTCAATCCAACAAATCTTCTAGCAGGGAGATTCACAAATCTTGAGGTCTCATCTTTAGCACTGGGAAGATCACCGATGAACCGTGGAAGGTAAGATGTCACATAGATGGTTCAATGGTATATGGATCTGCATTTAAGAGATCATGGGGTATTAGCATCGCGCATGAACAAGTCAATCGGAGAAGCAATGGGAAATTTGGAACGTAGTTATAAGGTGGCTCAGAATGTAGTGTTCCCTTCTCGTCAAAGTGGTGTTTCAGTGGCTCTTCTGTCTCACAATCGGCACCACGCAAATATTAAAGAGTATTCCAGACGATAGGAGAAGAGCTACCAGCGGGATGAAACGGCGAAGTACTCGAAAGCTGCCTCAGAAAGTCCAGTGTCGTTCAGCCATCAGGGATGCTCACATCATCGCTACATTCATCATTGGCATCGAGGGATATTCGGTGTAACATGCAAGCATATGATCCTATACTCGAGGGATTATTTATGTTAGCACTGTGCATGAAAAGGACCAATCGTGGAGGAAGATGGAAATGTAGAAGTAATCATAAGGTGCATGAAGAAAGTGTGTAGTGCTTTTTGTCCTCAACCCTTTGGGTAGCTCTCTGTTGTTTCTTCATTGGCACCAGACAAACCCTCAAAGGGAGGAGGGAAGGTATTAGGGAAATCTAACCGGTAACAAATAAACATTCAATGACTCCCATCAGGCCATTCGATTTAAGAAGAGTCAATGGTAGCTACCTATGTGGATGGGGCGAAATGTCAGTGGGCTAAAAATATGACCAGAAAAAGAACAAAAGTAATGAAATAGGCTCGGATCAAAGGGAGTTCAGCAGGCCTCAGCACATGAACGCTTATGTTGAAGTCATCACCGCCATTTAGATCCTAAGAAAGGCAAATATGAACTTACCATTGAATAGGCAGTCACCATTGCACAAACGTGCAAAGGGAATGCCCGAAACTTGACAAGAATATTTGCACTGCGTAATAAGTTGCCAATGTGACCCGCTGCTGAATATTGGAATCATCATTCTCAAGTCGAGCACTGGAAAAGAGCCTAGAAAATAACACATTCATCAACGAATTGGACTTCCAAAACACAAGGTTGTACGTTAAGCGGGCAGGCATCAATAGCAAGTTTGCTGCAAGTAGAATGGGTCTTGAATGGTGGCTCAGTTCGGGATTCGCTTTGCATCAGGCCTCAGTGCATCGCCCAGGAATTTTATCATCATTGCACACCAACATCAAGACGAAAGGATCCACGGAATCATAGATCAGATATGACAGAGAGAGAAAACTGGAAACTTACCATGAAAAGTTTCAATGGGGGCGGACAGGGAAAGTCGTCCTATATCGCATGATCGAGATAGAGGTCAGCCAAATGAACTTGTATCTTGAGATCGGAACAGCGTGTAAATGTTTCGAGTTGTGATTCAGACGATTTTTTTTCCTCATTGCTCAGCAATAGAGCTAAAAATGCGATAACGATGTCATCACTTGACAACTAGGATCAACATAAACCTGATGAAAAGGACCAAGAACTTACCAAACAGGTTGCCGTCCATGAACGGCGAGGCGAGGGAATGACATGTTGACCACCAAGGATATGTATGAATGGGAATGGATCAAGGGAGGACACTAGAGGGTAATGACTGATAGAGATGTTAGCAAAGATAGACACGCATGTCAATGACCAGACAGAAGTAAGATAAAGGTATTGAGAGGACTCACAGGCGGATTTTCAACACATTCGGAAATGATATGTATGAACTAGCGAGATGGAACCAGTGAATGACGGACACTAGACCCAACCCCAATGAAGTGATGTATGTGAGGCATTTAGAAGATGGGTAATAAGTCTCACAGTGCAGGGGGATGGGAAAGAGAAGAAAAGCCAGATGGCCAAGTGGGAGACAGAGGCATTATATAGTCAAACGTATAACACGTACGGGACAAAGCAAAGTACACGACTAAGCGAAGTAAACGAGTCAGCGATGCGATGAGTCGCCGAGGTAAGCAGGTTACTAGGGCATCAAGGTAAACGAAACCGTCAAAATAAACGAGTCACCGAAGTAAACGAACAAATTCAACGTGAAATGGAGTAACCATGATCGAGTCCGAGTATATACATGATGGTATAGAGAGGCGGGATCAAGGTATTATACTCAAGCGCAATGGGATGGGCAAGATTGAGAAGATGGGGAAAGGGAAATGAAGAAGAATAGTCTACAACAATTTTATACTCGTCCTGGACGCTGATTGGCGGAGAGTAGGCACCTCACGATGTCCCTCGAACGCTTATTGGTCGACGAGGCTATCACGTGTATGCGTATAGGCAAAGTATACAGGCCTCATGGATTACGATGCTGAGGAGGAGACAGGGCCCATCCTGGACGTTTCTCTTACGCTTTATCTACAAGATTTGGTGAATCGCGAGCAGACATATGAACTAAAAGGTATACGACATATCGTAAGGCCAATCGACGTAGTGCGCTGAATATCCACGGCTATTTATTTACTCCTTATCGGGAGTCAAGTCAAGGGTACAATGAGGATGTTTTCTACAAGTCACGAGGTGTGGTAGTCCGCTATCAATTTACCGCCCCTTGAAGGAGGTAACCTTTGACCAAGAGCGAGGTTTCAACATGACAATGCTCCAGGCTACAGGGCACAGCCGAGCACATGGTATTCGAGCTTCTAGCAGAAGAGGACAAGGCGATTGAATTACTATGGCGAATCAAGATTCCCGACAGACAAGAAGCATCTCCAGGGAGGGTGATACATGACAACCGGGGAAAGTCAACGCTCAACACGGGTCCTCGGGGCGTCTACAGCGTTGGGATAGTTTGTCGATGAAGGTCTCGCCCCATTTCGCACTGCGGATATTAGCAACTAACAATGTTCCGGTAGGGAAGTCTTGCACACCTTGTGTTGGTATTGATGAAGTCCCGAAGATACTCGTACTTCGTCTTGCGTTCGGCCGCATTCAGATTCAGTGCAGTGTGGAGCGCCTCAGACATCTCCGTCGTATTTGCAGGATGGAACGGGATACTGCCGTTGGTCATAAATGACGCTGCGCCAGCGAATTCCGAGAGAACGAGTACGCCGTGACGCTCTTGCTGGCAAGCAACATATTCGAACGCCACGAGGTTCATTCCGTCTCGGGTGGAGGAGAGAAGGCATACATCGGCCACAGAGTACAATGCTGTCAATTCATTGAATGGGACCGAGCGATGCATGTATAGCAGCGGAGTTCCCTCCGGGGTGGCTAGCCAGTTAGTATACTCCCTATATCTGGGACGGGGGCTTACCATGTTTCCCATTGATTTTTCCAGCCAATGTGCAGAGTTCCGTTTCGAGGTCCTTATATTCCTTTACATCCTCGCGGCTAGGGACGGCAATTTGCATGAGGACGACTTTGTTTTGCAACTCCGGGTGATCATCAAGGAATGCGTCAAAGCCCTTGAGTTTCTGCGTGAGGCCTTTGATGTGGTCCAGACGATCGACACCCACAATGATCTTGATACCTTTATAGCGTTCTTTGAGATTTTGAATGCGCTCTTGTACCTCGGGCTTTTGCAAAGTATCAGTGAACTTTTGGGGGTCAATGCCGACAACGAACTTGTTCACACAAACCAGACGATTCTTATACTGGATTTGGTTGGGGATCTCGGTGCGTGCTTCACTTGCGGGGTATTAGTTTCCTTTGCCCAAGCCCACAGCGAAAGCAAGTTAGGGCTAGAACTCACAGGAGACCAGCGCATGCATCGATGAAATTTTGCTTATACTCGTCCGTATGAAATCCAATCAAATCGCTAGCCAACAGTCCCTCTATAAGATGTTTCCGAACGGGAAGATTCCTCCAAAAGTCCTTGGCTGGAAAGGGCGTATGGAGGGAGAATCCAATGGCACAGGCTTTACCTCTTTCCCTTAGTCGATCGCGGAGAAGCTCAGGGAGCAACATCAGATGATAATCGTGAACCCAGATTAGCGTTCCATTTTCTGCTGAGTCCACAATTGCATCTGCGAATAACTCATTTACTCGCCGATATGCTTGCCATGGAGTATCGTCAAAGATCACGCCTGACTGATAATGGAGAATGGGCCAGAGGATACGGTCTGGCGGTCAGTATAAATCGAAATTCAAGGGCAGGTTGCTTACTCGAGAACCCATTATAGTGCTCGTCGGCCAGGGTGCTGTCCAGAAATATGGGAATGGCATTGTGAGCTTCCAGGCTCTTTTGTACATCCTCCCGATCCTTCGGGTCTCTAACTTCAAGTCCCGGCCAGCCAAACCATTGGAATTGGGTGGACTTGGTCAATCCTGAGAGAGAGGTGACAAGGCCACCGCTCGAGATAGAGGACTCAAAGGCACCATTCACCCGTTTCACAGATAATGGAAGGCGATTTGAAACAATGAGAAGATTTCGTTTCCCGTCGTTAGATGAGCCCATCTTGGTACGTGAGATGGAGCTCTATATATCCTCAAAAGCAATGAACCTCTGATAATTTGACAATGAGTGAAGGACTGATCTACAACAAAGATCAACTTTGGCTTTAAGAAGACAGAATATTAAGGTGAGAATCGGCTGTTACACATGGCTGCAGAAGAGGCAAATGGCAAATTTACGTCAGTATGAATCTCAAGACCTGCCTTTTATGCGTGTTATCCATGTTGTGATTCATATGCCTGGGCCTAGGCAAGGCCAAACTACGATATTTAATATTGCTACTGATCTAAAACCAGCTTGCTATATAAAACCTAATTTTCAATCTCTACAAGTGCAGCTACGAAGGCATAGATGGGCTCACACAAGCTCTATACAAGCCATTTGATGCTACATTTTACATATGAACTCCCAAATATCACAGCGCCCAAAAGCATGTTTTGATTTGTTTTCTTATTCTATATACATATCATTTCCTGTCGATATACGCGGGTGCCTTCCAAGCTTTGTGGTCCGATTTCGTCATCCCCATGTCAGGGCTCAACACTCGGCGCCTCAACTTTTCGACCGATTTGCCTCTTTGGTTTTGCAACAATTTAACAACATGATGGCGCTGAAACTACCTGTCACAGCGAGATTACTGATCAGAAATCCCTCTGGGCAGGTTGTTGAGTCGGTAATTGGTTCACTCTCTGGATATATAGAGCCTTATAGCTATTCTACAAAGTCGATAGAACTACAAATTTTCTACAAAATTCTTGAACCTCAGCCATTATCAATGCATCCGATGCCATTGCGACTGCAGGTGACATATAAATTCGCCGAGGGCATTGTCAACAACGGAATTGGTTTGCACCCGTAGGTTTGCGCTGGATCTATATATGGTATCGGCAAATGGGCATTTAGTGTTGATCTGAAGAATTCCACCGCGGTCCTCATACTTCGGGTAGCTCCATGGCAAATACCGAACGAGTCATGGCCGATGGTCGAGCGCCCTTCTCGGTGGAGGCTGGCCGACTTGGCATCAGTGAACCAGCATGAGTCGAACAGACGCTATGAACACAATTAACCAGCCAGAAGAGTCCTAGGGCGATATATGTTGTAGATCCGTGGAATATGTTTCAGAATGTTGGCTTCGTAGTAAATCGTCGAAATACAAGAGTTCCGCTCCCACTATATTCCATACTCAAGGCCCATTAAGCTCACACGTGTGGGTGTCTATGGACACCACGTTCTGTTCCTTGAGACCGAGGCAGTTCGAGCATGGGAAGACACACGCCAAGTCCCGCGAAAGAATTGTTTCTAGGAGATCTATGTCAGATAAAACAAATAATGAAGGATCTCGAATGTATGACGACAGAGAAGCTAACATAGCCCCCGAAGTAGAATTGGCTCATAAACAATTACAAGAAAGAAATAAAAAAACCATGATGATGGTATGAAATTAGAAACACCAGTATCAGACCCAGGTAAAATCCGAATACCAAACACAATCCCAGCAACCTCTGCTGGTTATGCTGCCAAACAAACAAATACGCCGACCAGACCCAGACCCATATATCGAAGTGTGGTTTAGGCAAATCTGCGCTTCGTTGGACTGGGTGTCCGGAGGTGCTGTTCGCGCTCACGAGTGCGCTCAGTGACAAAGTCTATTGCCCTACTGCTCTCAATCATCAGGGGCTGGTCTTGTTTCTCGTGGGATTGGGCTTGCCGAGAATCTTCCTGCCCAGTATAGTATCCGAACGAGGGGTTATGTTGCAGCTGAGGGTGCATACGTGGGCCTTGAGGTGGGTTCTGCGCATAGTCCTGTTGCTGTAGACGGTGTCTGAATGAGCGGAAGGACCAGTTGCTAACGACTGTGACTGTAGAGATGGTTGCAAGGAAGCACAACTAGTATGCAAGTCAGTATAGGTCTAAAATTCAGCACGCAGGGAATCTCACAATCGCCTTCCAGCTGATGGGGTCAATGAAGCTGTTAATGATGATAGCCATTGTGTGCGCGGAGACCTTGGCACGGCCGACCCTCGCCGGATCGCGGTTCATGCAGCGTTCCCAGTTCTCGCAGATGGTCTCCAGGGCTGGTGCCCGACTCGGTCGGCCGCAGTCGTTATCGACGTAGCTCTTCGTGCAGACCGCCATGTCTGCCAAGATTGTATCGGACATTTCCTGCGCGGCCTGCTCGAATTCGCCCCGAATCGCTGAGACAAAACCAAACACCAGATATACGGCAAGAGAGAACAGCGCCAAATTGACCACCAGCTGGGCCCACCATGACAAAATGGCAGGGACATTCGGGTGTGCCTCGAGTATGCTGAAGAACTCAGACCAGGATGACACTCTTAATTCCTCTTGTTCGGACCTCTGCACTTTCCCTTGTTTCGCGACTTTCATCAACTTCTGATCCTTGCTGCTCGGCCGGTCTTGCTCGCTCTCATCATCGCTGTCGACTCTGATTCGTCGGCCGAGTTCTTTGTCTCTCCGTCGTTTCTTTTGTATCCGGTGCAAAGCTGCGTTGGAGTGGTGAGTCAAGCGGGGGATCTCGCCACGCCCCGGACTTTGCGGAGCGCGGGCATGGAAGTTGAATAGGGCGTGCATTCCTTTCCCTGACTTGTACGGCTGCTCAGGAGTATCCTCATTGTCGGCGAATTCCGGAGACGACATGTTTTCGGCACCTGATGAAAAATCCACCTCAAATTTGCGTGGCGTCTGGAAAGCCGGTTGGCTAAATTTGGCCTTTGGCGACGGTGGTCCGGCTTGTTGTCGGGGCTGTGAGAACAGGAAGGGCTGAGAATTTGGTTCGCGGAGGGACGGTAGTGACTGCTTCTGCGGGGATCCAAATGCGCTATATGGTCCTATACAAGTGTCAGAGAGCTTGAAATTGCGGGCGTCCTTGTTCAGACCATCGCTTCTCCGGGGATACAAACGTTTCTTGTCATGCTGCGCTCCAAGCTGGTAAAATGGCGAAGTGACATCTCCTGGAGCTCTGGTTTGCCATTCGAAGTCCATTGGACTCTCCCCCGTTCGCTTTTCTATCATGGCGACCATGGTATCGATCTGTAGTGGGTAGATGGGGAGGGTGGAAAGGCGGGAATTTTTTGTTTGGGGTAAACATCCAGACTCCCGTAGCAACCTTGGCGTCAACACTCTTTATATATCCGAAGCCACATTTTGCGGCTTCTTTTCTTACACATTGAATGAATGGGAAGTTTAGCATTATTTGTTATATGATATAAAATAAAATTCACAAATTCATAAAGCGGAATAGGCCAATATTGCTCAAGTGGAGCAGGCTACATACACATGCAAGCATCCAGATAATGCAAGGAGATGAATGGAATTAAATGGAACAGGACCTTGAGTAGCATCATTTGATACACTGGGCGACCAGCACCTAGTATGGGTATTAAAGAAGATGGGTATGAAAGAAGATGACAAGTATATCAGACAACTACTCGTCCATCTGCCACTGATATTCCAAAGCCTGGAACCGACTCTTCTTATTCCGTGCCGCAAACCAATCCTTCTCGAAACCATTCGCGCGATCCACCCCATCCCACCGATGCCCCGGTCGAATCCCATATCGATTAGGTTGGAATGCACCACGGTATAGCGGCCGCCCTGTGGCACTGGATCCCGCATCACGGCGGGTTGTGAGGAACTCTGCAGCGGGATCATTCCACCGATCGCGGGCCATCATTTCCTCATTCATTTCCTCATCTTCGACCGTCCGTGCGATGGGCATGGCCTTAATATCTTGTAGCTCCTTCCGACGCTCCTCACGCTGCTGTCGCTGTACATCGCCCATCAGCGCCTCGCGCGCCTTTTCCTCTTTCTCGCGCTTTTCTTCTTCCGCGCGCCGGGCTTCCGCGCGTTTCATAGCCACATTGATGATTCGGCCGGAGGCGTCTCGATAAATCGTTTCTTGGGCTTGTTCACTCGTTGCTGAAGGATTTCGGTACAGTGCTTCTTCTGCTTTGCGCCGCTTTTCTTGGGCTTTGACCATCGCTGCAGTCTGAGCGGCTGTTTGGAGGCCGCCTCGTGCTCCAGACTCCATGCGGCCCACGCCGTCATCTTCGTCTTCTATCATCGGTGCATCATCGTCGTCTGCACCTTGTTGGGCGGCTCGTTCTGCTGCCGCATCGGCGAGGATGGCGTCGGCGGCTTCCTGTTCATTTCCGGGTGCGGGCCCTCCGATCGTCTTCCAGCTTGACTTCTTCGCCCGGCGGAACTCTGCCGTGTTGGCGGTTGTCTCAAAATATGGTCTGTCCTCATCATCTTGTGCTTGGTTTCCTAGTGAGGCGCGAATGTCTGGTGGGTCATCGTCGGCAATGATGAGGCCGGAGCCTGCAGTATCGACGGCTTTGGTCTTCTTGCGCTTTTTTTTGGGCCGCTCAGTTGCCGGGTCTGCAGTAAGGTAGTTCTTTGCTAGGTAATCGGCGAGTGAACCAGGCATGGTCTCGGTAAGTTTTGATGGAATGTGAAATGTACAATATTGTCGAGGTGCAAGGTGAGCCCAGCGATTTATTGATATCGGATCAATGTTTTCCCGAACTGTATGCCGCCTCCCTCGCGTCCTGTATGAGCAAGGTGTGAACGTTATGTTGCGTGTTTGTTTTTTGATTCAGCAATGTAAAGCAGAATATCGAACTTTTTTTCCTTGAAAACCGAGTAGGGTCTAGGCCTTCCTATTTGTTGACAACACCATGCCACGTTCCGAGGAAGCAGAGTGGTGGGCCAACGCCGTCTACGAGGCCATCCAAGAGATCCCCCGGGGCAAAGTCACTTCGTATGGTCATATCGCACGGCTGCTTGGAGAACGTAAGAGCTTATTCCTGTGTATATGTATATTATAGATGCACCTACTAATTAACCCCCTCTGAAAATAGCTCAGCGTCCCCGTCAGGTCGGTGTGTGTCTCAAGGTTCTTGCGTCTCCAGAATCCGGCTCACATTTCAATTCGGATACCGTGCCATGGCAGCGAGTTATTAACTCAAAAGGAATGATCTCGCATCGGTACGTTTAATGACAGCTCGTCCATATCCCCGACTGTCAGCCTCAAAACAAGCAGTTCTGACAAATGAAGCAGCGGACCCGGGAGTGCCGAGCGTCAAGCTGAAGCTCTCGCCCAAGAAGGGGTTGAAGTTACTAGAGATAGCATGGGTGAGATCTATGTTGATTTCTCTCGATATGGATGGTTTCCAGGCCAGCTACCGAGCGAGGGAATGGATGGGCAGCCATGAATAGAGAGGTGAAATACCCATATCTGCTGTACGTCGTGGAAATGTTGGCAGACTTCCTATGTTGGCTCTGCAATGGCACTACATTATATCAGAGTACATATCAGTTTAACGAAGGGTGTGAATATTGCATTCATATATCGCCAATAGCCATCGCTGGTCTGCCCGTGGGAGTGATCTAGAGGACGAGGATGACTTCACTTAGTAGAGGTAAAGCAAACTTGCAAAACTATTCCATCAATAATATTCAATGGAAAGATGTCAAGCTGGGTCTATCAAAGAGGTATGAGGGGGGAAGAAACCTGTCAAAGAGAGGTGCGGAGGGCGAACGGCAAAAGGCGAGGGCATAAGCATACGAGCATATCGAAAAACACCCCATCCAACCAACTACCGGCAGAAGACGAAAAAAAGCATTGAAGAGTAAAAGACATAAACCAACCAGCATCAATCCGTAAGTGGAAAGAAAAAAAAGATCGTTAACTCACATCATCGCCATAAGGGCATGTCCGCAATAAGAACCAGGGGTTATGTCCCCATCTAGGCTAAGGAAAGAAAACAAAGAGGAAGATCACGAAAGTCACCTTCATCGCTTCTTGACCTCGGTAGCCCACCCGTCAATACCCTCCCCACGGGTTCCAGGGGCAATGCCCAGATTGACCCCATCCATACCGGGAATGTCCTTTATCCACTCGTGAGCTGCCATGCCGCCAGCATTGGCCCGCTTCTCCGGTGACAAATCAAGCATGGGCAGTAGAAGTTCGCTGATACGCATGCTCTCCTCCATCGAGTAATGATACTTTTCTCGCAGAACATCTGGCAGGGCCCAGTGACGAAGTCGGTGGATATTGCGTAGTTCGCCCTTACGGTTGAAGATTTCTTGAGACCATTTGCCGGACAAGCAAAGTGATTTAGGGAAGGGACCGAGCAGTTCGATGATTTGGGCAATGTGGTCATCATCTTTGCCGTACTTGGTGCCTGATTGGGGATCGAAGAGATAGTCTCCGGTGATGAGTTCAAAGACCTGGACAGTTAGAATAACTCGATTGAGGTCCGATAGGGCTCATGTCACTCACCATGCATGCCATGCTCCACACGTCAGTGCTTGCACCCCATTTAGAACCTAGGATAACTTCAGGCGAGCGGTATTGACGGGTTTGAATGTCGTTGGTGAAATGATGGCCGACCCAGCAAGCATTGCCTAAATCTGCAATCTTGACAGAAATGACGTTGACGTCAATTTCATCTTCTGAGGATTTGCTCGAAGAGCCTTTATCGAGAGAAATTCCAGACACCTCTCGCTCCAAAAGATCACTATATGTGTGTTGTTAGATCGGGTTCTTGTCCATTAGGTCGCAAGGTATGAGATCCAATTACGTACGCGGTCTTCTCTCGCTGATGCTGCTTCTGGTCTTCGTCCTTCACGCCGAGTAGCTCTTTCATGGATGGAATTTCTGTAGAAGATGCTAAATCGTATCAGTTCGTGCACATTTGTATGGTAGTTTGATCCAGGGATACTGACTTGAAGATTCGTTGACCATCTGGCTGAGGCTGCTGTGTGAGTTGGAGGAGCTGTGTTTAAAGTCAAAGCTACTGAAGCTGGTGTTCAGTGGACTAGGGAGCGGCTGGCTGCCTGTGATAAGTGTGCGCCGTCGTCGCCGTCCATTTCGGTTATCCTCTTTCTCTTTGGCCTCTTTCTTAGCTTCTTCCTTCACATGCGCCTTGACGATCTGCTCCACATCTCCGATCTCGATCAGCACATTCTCCGGCTTCAGATCCGTGTGAATGATGCCACACTCGCGATGGAGATAATCTAAGCCTAGCAGCACCTGTTTTGTGATCTGCTTTACTAGCGGCATGGGGATACCGCGATGGTTCCAGCGCTTGATCAAACCCAACAAGTTCTCGCCCAGAACTTCAAACACCATACAGACATGAACACCGTTCGGCCCCTTATGCTCGAAGGAGTCCAGCAGACTGACCACGTGCTTCCGACCAGGATGCGAGGGTTTGGCCTGAACTATTTTGTTAAGAAGCTTGATTTCGTCGATCGCGGTTTCAGTGTAGTGTGCGGCGGACCGAACCACCTTTAGCGCGACGTGCTTGTTGGTGGTTGTGTCCCGCGACAGCCAGACTGTAGAGAAATGACCCCATCCAAGTTTGCGCACAATGATATAACGACCATTGTTGTATGCCTCGCCGACAGCGACGGGGTGGTATCCGCCCTTGCAATAATCTTCAGAGTCCTCCTCCTCCGCTGTGGCCTCGAGCTCTTCGCCCGACGATGAAGATGAAGAGCGCGATCCGGGTGCTTTGGAAATTGAGGGAATAGCGCCGGTCCTGTTGAAAATGGGGGTTAATCTTTGAGAAATGTTCCTCAGAAACATCGACACATACGATTCTGTGGAGGATGCGCCGGGCGCAGGGTTCCCTTCGTTCGTGAGGATGGGCTTCAAGTCGGTACCCTTTCTCCTCTTCTTGCCGGCGCTGCCATTGGCAGCTGAAGCTGCGACGTTTGCCATCTGTTTACCCTTGTTGAGCATCGCCTTGGTAAGATCGACTCCCTCCATGGTGTGGAGATTTGGGAGGTCAAGCTGAGAGGCGGGGCACACGGGCTTTTGGTTGGCTCAAGCGGAACTTAGAGGCGGTGGATGTTGGAGGGGCGTTTACACCCTCACAGAGGTCAAGACACGTAACCGTGATATAGCTTCGATGCAGTTGATCCGCACTGGCCAGGGGAAAAGTTGAGGAGCAAAATAATAATCGACTCCAAGACGGAAATAACAGGTAAGGTGCGAAGGGCCAAAGAGAGTCGGGAACGACAATCCGATCGCGAATCCCCAAGGTTTATGACTGGTAACGATCACCTCGCAGCGTCGGAGAAAAAAAAGGATGATGTCCAAGTGTTCGAGTGAAGAATGGAGAGTGGGATGGTTTTCCGCAAGCAGCCACAGCGTAGTGGTGGCAAATATCGACGCATCGAGATAAACAATAAACAGCGTATAATGTGAAGAGGCTAGAATCTTTTTCAGATGAGAATACAATTAAAAATGCGAGTTAAGAGAGGCGAATTCAGTTCAGTTTGCTAAAAGGTACGAAGGCAGTACTTTGAATCAGCGGAAGAAGCATTGCAAACAGGAAGTACCTGGATGTAGATATGCGCAACGTGGAGATTCTGGATGCCAACCAACTACCTAGGTAGACTATATGATCGTTGACGATGCGAATGATGCTATACACTTCTTCTATTCACGGTACATGTCCTATGCTGGACTATATTCTTCTCAATTATTCTCCGTAGCACGTTCTCAATAGCTCAGGGGAAGAAAAAGATCGACTGCCCGTCCTGATGTCACGATCCCCGCTTGGGGTAACTTTGCTTTATCTCGGTGGATTCACCAAATTCAGTGACCGTGGTCTCCAACTCCGACCCCTGGCCTTGATATCATGACAAGTCCCTTCCACCGCCGCCCTCTTCCCGACTACTTTGTCGCCTCTCCCCTGGTGGCCCTACTCTACCCGGTCCACCAAACATTGCTCCGTCTACGCGGACCTCCTCGGCTCCCTCCTCCAGATACCCGACCAATCCGTGTGGTCTGCATTTCCGACACTCACACCCTCGAATGGCCAGAAGTACCGGATGGAGACCTTCTCATTCACGCCGGTGACCTCTGCAATGATGGCTCGGTCCGCGAGATCCAAGCCTCGGTTGACTGGCTCCGAAGCCTTCCCCATCCGCATAAGATTGCCATTGGAGGAAACCACGATAGCTACTTCGACGTGCGCTCAAGGCTAGATGAGGATCGTGAAGTCCCATCTCCCACTGGATCTTCCTATGCAGCCGTCTCATCCTCCACGGCGTCCATCCACTCCATCAAGGAGCTAAGTAGCGCATGTCGCATCGACTGGGGCGACATCCACTATCTCCAACACTCAGCCATAACCCTCTCCTTCGCCGACCCCTCGTCACCCTCATCCGCAACCTCTCTCTCGATCCCCCGCTCCCGCTCCCTAACAATCTACGGTGCGCCCCAAGTCCCAGCCATCGTCCCCTTCGGTCCCGAGCATGCCTTCACCTACCCTCCCCAACACGATGCCTGGTCCGGCACCGTCCCCCCCGAAACGGACATCCTCGTCACCCACACTCCACCCCAGTCCCATCTCGACCTCTCTCCCATATATTCCATAGGCTGTCCCAACCTGCTCGCAGAATCATGGCGTATCCGTCCGGCCCTCCACGTCTTCGGCCACGTCCATGAATCCGCCGGCCAGGAACCTATTTTCTGGGATGAGGCCCAACGCGCCTGGGAAAGGCTGTGTGCCTCGCGTCGGTCACGCGCCCGACTCACCCGTCTGTCCTCGCTAGCAGGCTTCCTCCGCGACCTGTTCGATCTATCTGGTTGGGTGGACGCCGCGCGTGTCGTGGGATATGGCATCCTAGGTGTGATTTGGGCTCAGGTCTGGGGTGGAGAGAACCGCGGTGGTGGGTGGATGGTCAATGCTGCTTGCATGTATCGGGATAGTGGCAAGCTCGGTAACCCGCCCAGGGTTTTTGAACTCTGACCTTCGGCGTCTTGTGTGCATAGCGTGCGATTCTTATTCATGATACCGTATATTCTCGAGTGACCTAGGTAGCGTCTTGGGTATCGCAACTGTAAGTCGGAGCGAGCGGTCTATACAGGCCACATAAAATGTCTCTATTCGATCAATTATTTACATTTTAGAAATCGATACTCTCGGTGGCTTTTTATTTCCTTGTAACTTGATCCGTTGACAATCTTTGTTTCTAGATGGTGTTATGTGGTTAGCATCTAGCCCTAGGTTTTGACTTTGTTGAGCTCTTATTGTCCCATGCAGGCCTAAATTTGAGATTAAGAAGGACATAGCTTCAATTTATGCCAAATCACTAATCTCTTAGAAGAAATGAAATAGATATCTGTGTGTTGAATTACACAAGTCATAAGCATTAAATGTTGGAAATATATGTTTGGGCAACCCGGATGCTCGCCCAACTAGTGCACGTTTAAAACCTACAATAATGAAACTGAGAATAAAAATTCGTACTCATTGCATGGGTATAGATATATACATAAATCTGATGCTAGGATCCCCAGAGGAGACCATCCTGTATACCGAGGTGGACAACCTTGGCCACCAAACAGCAACAGCAACAAAACCCAACAGTAGGGCAAAGAAGACTACAACTTGGACTTCTCATTGAACCGTGGTGCCTCGAGGGGATCATAAGCACCAAGTCCAAGGGTATCAGAAGGCACAACGCCAGAGTGGCCACCCAACAAACCACGGGTATCAAGCAGACTAGGATTGAGATCCGCAATAGTGGGAGCACCAATCAAACGCATGTTCATCTCCATCTCATCCTTAAGCAGCTGCATAGCCCGATCGACACCGTCAAGTCCATAAGCAGACATCGCATAGAGGAATGGCCGTCCAATACCAACACCCGCAGCACCGAGACAAAGCGCCTTGATGATATCGGTTGCGCGGCGCACACCGCCGTCGACGTAGACTTCAATGCGCTTCTCCCAGCCGCGCTCGCGGAGCGCAGGCATCACCTCGGCCAAAACCTCGATGCCGGAACGTGCAGTCTCGAGCTGACGTCCACCGTGGTTGGACAGTACGACACCATCACAGCCGGCCTCGACGGCGCGCAGAACGTCCTCAACGCACTGCACGCCCTTCAGCACGATTGGCATGCGTGTGATCGACTTGAACCAGGGGATATCCTTCCACGAGAGAGCGGGGTCGATGAACGAGGAGATGGCACGGGCAGCGCCCTGGGAGCGATCAATGTCATCGCCGTCGGCCTGAACGTTGGAGCCGGGGTCGGAGAACTTGGAGCGCATGTCCTTCTCACGACGACCGAGCTGGGGTGCGTCGACGGTAATGAAAAGACCCTTGCAGCCGCGCTTTTCGGCGTGTTCAACGATCTTGCGCGTGATCTCGCGGTCTTTGTTAACATATAACTGGAGCCATTGAACTTGGTCACCTTGTTTCGCGTCGACGATTTCGTCGAACGAGCACGAGGCTAATGTGGGGATCATTTGCACTACATCGTGTCTGTGCGCGGCCTTTGTAAGCACCACTTCGCCTTCGGGATGTCCTAGTTTGCCGAGTGCGGTGGCGGTGACATAGAATGGAATTGAGCACTTTGTGCCCAGCATTGTTGTGCTCATGTCGATGTGCTCGACGTCGACGAGAATTCGAGGTCTGAACCAGATCTTGTGGAAGGCCGCGTGATTTTCGCGCATTGTCTGGATCGGGTTAGCATGGGTGGTTCGATGTCCGATGTAGTCGGTATCGTCATCATGTAACGTACGATTTCATCGTCTGCTCCACTGGAGTAGTACGCCCACGCGGTCTTTTTCATGACCTGTCGTGCCACCGCTTCAAAGTCCATCAGATTGTAGCATGCTGCGAGTGAAGGCATGCGGGAGATACGCTCTTGGCGGCCGGCCTCCTCCGGGTCGAAGGCCTTCTCCTCCTGCTCGACAGTGGCCATGTCTACTTCACCCAGGTGTTTCGACTGGTCCAGGAACTTGTCCAGCGTGTCGGGTGGGTGGATTGGGTCGAACTCTGCGGTCGCATCTTTGCCTGCATATTTGAGGATAATCTTCTGGCCGCCGGGATGCTCTAGGAGTCTGTTAGTATATGGTGGACGGCGATGGCGTGGGCAAAACTCGTACCTGGGAGGAATTCGGTTACATCATAGGCTTTGCCGTGTACAATGACCCAGCATGAGTCCTTGGAGTTGTGTTCGGCGACCTTAGCGCCGGTGAGCTTGCCTTGGCTCATTGTGAAAGGAAGGATGATGAGAAAAGAGGCTATTGCTGAGAGAAGAATAGAAGAGGAGGAGTAATTAAAGTCGAAAAGGGCCCAGTGGGCCCTCGGGATAAAGGCGTCCGGGGATAAAAAGTTGCGGGGAGCCTCTCGGCCGACTCATCGGATCGCATATATCGCATTGATGGTCGTCGGCTCGGTAGTTTGGAGTTGTGCTCGCATATTAGAGATATTTTGAATAATAAGTGAATACTTAAGTTTAGATTTGGGGTACGATGACCCAAGGATCTTATCTGCAGAGGTCGATTCGTGATGAGCCTCGGTCTAGATCTATCAGCCAGTAGCATCTAGCGCATTATACACATTCTGCCCTATGTACGGAGTACATAAGGTATGTACACAACATAGGTTAGTGCTTCACGGACATCGTTTGCCCGAAGTTATTCTAGTCATGTTGCATTCAGAAAATTCTAGAACGCGCAGAAACCAAAGAAATCGCCGGTGACAGACTATATCTACATTCCTCATTGGAATGTGGATGCGTCTTTGGGGAAAGACTGCCGGGACGCCTGAGGCATGAGCACGTGACACAGGCAATGGACTCGATCACCTGACCATTGATATACACTCGATGTTGACCCTCAATGCATTCAGATATACACGTGTCTCGCCATTCAACGCCAATAGAAAATAATGTGAGGCAACCGTTGTACATCTTCAATGGCCCCTACAACGGTGTACAGCGTCGTAAAACTCATCCAACCGCGGATGTGGAAATCACAGACGAAAAATGAGCCTACAACTTACCTCGGTCTGGGCTGACAGCGCCACCGTCGATCCCCGGGCTATTAAGCTTCTTCAAAACTTGGTTTTTTAACTTGTACTTCAAGGACACGGCAGAGAACAACAGGCCAAGTTGGCAGTGTGTATTTTTATTTAAGATAGTACAAGTCACATTGATATCGTGATCAATGCAAGTACTATCATCAGATACGATCGATTATTTCTCGTGCCCCCTACGCATGTCCCTGGCGTTGCCGGCGCCTCCGACATCTCCACCCTCCCACACCTCCACCATTTCTCCAGCTTCGCCCGCGATCGCACGAACCCCCATTGTTGCCTCGTGGTTGCCGCTGACGTTGTACGGGGAAGGGATCGTTTCAAGTGCACAATCCATGATTGGTACCGTGTACGGGAGAGCAAAGATTTTTGTTTAATCTATGGAATGCTTCGCGGATAAACCAGACGCTTCATAGTCGCCACCACATCATGATATTAGCCGACAAAATGCAAAGAATGGGTATTATATCCATGCTTGGTAGATGTGGATTGCTGGGTTAGCCTATCCAAACAGACTTGGTAATGAGAATTGACTGAACCAAAAAGATACCACCCACGCATCGGCGGCCCCGATGGCCCGATGAGAGGCTCCGAGATGACGTCTTCAATATTTCTACAGGCGGATCCTACATTTACATGGATGCACTTTGTACTTTGTACATGAGTACAATCGTATGCACTGTGACATCGTCTAAGGTTGAGATTTGATATCGTCCAACCAATCTCTCATCGGCGAGGTCTGTGGGAAGTCTCAGTGGACCACGGGAATTGGAGATAAAGACGGACCTACGAGATTGGGAAGGCGCTTCTTCGAGATGCATTAACCGAAGGTGCCCCATCGATCTCCATGTACTCCATACGTCGTACATCTAGTAGACAACGCACGCGCGGACATCTCATGACCCAGTGCACTTGAATGGGCAAGGGCTGCACCATTCTAGTGTATTCAGACGTCGTACATCGTACGGACATATCCGAGTAACAGTGGACGATCACGACCTCCGTACCTACCTAACGTCTGAGAATCTACATAGTACGAGTGATTTCTATTCCGTTCATTGGTGCCTAGCGATGGTACAATGCACATTATACCTCCTGCGCCCGGGCCGTCGATGTGCACTTAGCTTGCAGTTCGAGAAAACTTCGAATGCGCCGGGAGATGGTACAGCGACATCATTGCGGATACCGCGCGAGGCCTTTTCGGCTTAATGTCCGATGAAAACTCTGAGACGGGATTTGATTATCTTCGCGCGCATCTCTTTGAGACACGACGTGGGTCACCGTTTGACTGGTTGAAGAAAAAAAATCTGAATTCTTACCAACTTGGATACTTTTTATGTGTCATTAGATGATTTTAGGCTGAAAAGAAGCAACGGTCAAGCAAAGAAATTACGCCCGGCGGGGACCTGGGCGTCTTGGCTCTTGGCTTGATGCATAAATGGGGAAATTGTTTATATTGTTTATATTAACCAATTTTATATGGGGTTTTTTTTGGATATCAGAGGTATGCAGCCTTACACGACATGTGTAGTACCTATAGCCTAGATAGGCATCCCCACGGGCTAAAAGAACCAAAGAGGGGACGGTTGACACACGTATATCCGAGATATTAAGTGCAAATATTCAGCTCAGCAAGGGAGATTATGCACATGCTTGATCAAGTAAGCCGACATGACGATCCTTTCAGATTCCCCGATCCTTTTAGTGCGACACTAGCCCTTTTGCGGCACATTCTCGTCGCCGAGTCTCGGGATGGAGACGGCTTCCCGAGTGCCGTTCTTTTGCAACCAGCGAAGCAACGGGAGTGGCTTGGCGCTTGGACTCCGAGTTGCATGCGATCTTGACCCCGTGGACGGAGCGTGGAGTACACACAGATGTGCTATGGTAACCTCGGAGCCCTAACAGTCGTACCGACCATATTGCCGCGTGCGTTGCGCCATTCCGCCGATCAAGATTTATGCACTATGTCGGCATGCCTTCCTCAACAGTTAGAAAAAAAAAAAAAGTAAGGTAGTGAGGGCTCGTTTGTTCACCCTTACTGCTCCGGGGCAATCTCGCTTTTCAAATGAAGAGACGCACTCGGTACAATGCCTTCGATATGACCCAGAATTCATTTGCATATGAGGTTTTATGTTTGGTCAATCGGTGCGGATCCCCAAACCACCCCGAACCACCATTGTATACCCACTCAGCACCGCCAATCATGATGTCGAAGTATCACGACGACCCTCTTAAAAATGCGCAAAGTACAAAGGGAAAAAAGAAAGGCCCCAAAAGAAACCGAGATTTGGCAACTGATGTCATCAGGGACGCAACCTACCGGACCAGCGAGTGGGACCTTGGGAAATGCTTAACACGCCATTATTGATGCATCCGGACAAAGGGCTCCGCTCTACTCCGGACTACGCTGTGATTTGTTCAACCATCCACAACTAACAGTATGGGGTGGAGTGCAGGTCTTACCTAGGCAGGTGATGCTGTCGGCTTGGGGTTATATTCGGATTTAATTTTCTTTGATCTGTCCCGTGCGAGGTGTCGGGCTCAACTCGTATGGGGGAAATATTATGGAGCCCCATAATGCACCTCCTTGCCATTTTCGTCAATTCTACTGAAGGAGACATTCAAATATCGCCCTATTTCCTCCCTAGAGCGTCCCTTTCTCTTTCTGCGCGTGTCTCTATCTCCAGCCATTCCATCTATACCCACGTGTTGACACTGGGACCAATCAGTCTTATTCGGGACTTGGATAGATTGGTTATATTCACATATCATTCACCATGGCGCCAACATATTGTGGCTTGTCGGGTAAACCCCTCGAGTTGACCGTGTCAACTATAGCGACTATGGGTTTCCTGCTGTTCGGTTATGATCGTGAGTGTACATTATCGTATAGATATGATCGCTGTGGCTAACGGACACACAGAGGGTGTCATGTCGGGTATCATTGACTCCCGTGCCTTCGCCAGGTTCATGCCTATTGTAGATGGCGACTCCACCATGCAGGCTTTGGTGACTGCTGTCTACGAGTTAGGGTGTCTGGCTGGTGCCATGTATGCCCTGTTCGCGGGTGACAAGCTGGGTCGTCGTCTCATGATTATGCACGGCGCTTTCATCATGATCGTTGGTGTTATCATTCAGGTTGCTGCCGTTCACGGCCAAGGTGAAACCGCTCAGTTCTTCGTCGGCCGTATCATCACTGGTATCGGTAACGGAATGAACACTTCTACCATTCCTACCTACCAGGCTGAATGCTCGCGATCTTCCAATCGTGGTCTCCTCATCTGTATCGAAGGTGGTATCATTGCCATCGGTACAATGATCGCCTATTGGATTGATTTCGGTGCATCTTACGGCCCCGATGACCTCGTCTGGCGCTTCCCCATTGCCTTCCAGATCTTCTTCGGTGTCATTATTATCGTTGGCATGTACTACCTGCCTGACTCGCCTCGCTACCTCATCTCCAAAGGCAAGATCCACGAGGGTGAGTATGTGCTTGCGGCCCTTGGTGGCTTTGAGATCGATCAACACGAGACGCAGATGCAGAAGCAGCTTGTCATTGAGTCTATCGAGGCTGCCGGTGTTGCCAAGGGCGCTGGTTACTCTGATCTCCTCACCGGCGGCAAGACCCAGCATCTTCGTCGTATGCTTATCGGTTCTTCCGCTCAAATCGCCCAGCAGCTATCTGGTTGCAACGCTGTGATTTACTATCTGCCCGTTCTCCTGAAGAAGTCCCTCGGCCAGACCGAGTTTATGTCTATGCTTATTGGTGGTATCAACATGATTGTTTACGCCATCTTCGCAACCTTCTCTTGGTTCTTCATTGAGAAGATTGGTCGCCGCAAGCTTTTCATTGGTGGTATGACCGGTCAGATGGTTTCCATGATCATCGTCTTCGCCTGTTTGATTCCGGAGGAGACTGGGCCTTCCAAGGGAGCCGTCTTTGGTCTTTTCCTCTACATGTCCTTCTTCGGTGCATCCATTCTGCCTCTCCCCTGGCTGTACCCTGCTGAGATCTCGCCTCTCCGCACTCGTGCTAAGGCCAACGCCGTCTCGACCTGCTCTAACTGGCTATTCAACTTCACTGTCGTTATGATCACTCCCGTCATGATTGAGAACATCTCTTGGGGAACTTACCTGTTCTTCGCTGTGATGAACGGCATCTTCATTCCCCCTATGATCTTCTTCTATCCCGAGACCGCTGGTCGCAGTCTGGAGGAGATTGACCTTATCTTCGCCAAGGGTTATTGTGAGAACATGAGCTACGTCAAGGCTGCTTACGAGCTGCCCAAGCTCACCGACGAGGAGATTGAGCAAAAGGCTGCTGAATACGGGTTCACTTCTAGCCGTCGCCAGGGTGACTTCGAGAATGCCGGCGAGAAGGGATCTCGTAGCACCTCCAGTGATGACAAGAACATCCACGAAGAGAACGAGAACTACACCGGCCGCCCCTAAGAATTTCAATGAGCGCCGCTAAGTGGTTCCTTTTTCTCCTCGGCGTGACAGCGCTGTGCGCTGCCATTTCTTAAATGTGATGGCTGTGCTGTTCCCTCTATTTAATAAATAGATGAACACCAGATTCATTGTTCTTTTTTTCGCTAGTTTTCCTTCTGATCTTATATACCCATTATTTCCGGCCTGGAAGGGAGATACCCTGGCCTCGGGTGCCGGTGGATTGAACCTGTCTGCACCCAACTCCTTAACAGCGCAGTGCTGTTGTCTTTTGATGATGCATGTCTTTGTTACTGACCTTCAAAGTTGGGGGTCGGGCATTGGATGTGTCAAATTCATGTACATGCGCTCTGTAAGATACCAGTTAAAGAGGATCCAATACATACTCATCTTTCTTTACCTCTTTCCATTATGTGAATTGTAAGGACACCATATAAAACATCCCATTTTGTAATCCCTTCATTAAACCCTGCATATGCTTGGGCCTTCAACGTTTGACATGCTGCTTCAAGGCTGAGTTTATGAGTGACTCATGCGAGGGCGCTGCCTTGCATGGGGAGGCTGATAGCATCCCTGAGCAAGGGGACCAGTTAGAACTCTCCTAACCAGCGCGATGATCCACACGAGACTCAATTATACCCGATGCAAGCACCAGCACCGATGAATCATACCGACATGCAGCGAAATATGATGAACTCGGTAGTCCACCTGTCAGGATGCCTGAAATTTCAGGGGTGAGACGCTCGGGGCTGCATGGGACTGACTAGCATGCTCAGCCACTTTTATAGAAGCTGAATGCCCCTTCCTTTTTTTTTTTGCTTTTGTTTGAGACCTCAAGTTGCCCTAGACACGTGCAGGTGACCAGAACCGATCGGCTGATACCGCCCGGAACTTTTTCTAGTTCTTTATTTCCTCTCAGTTCGCCTTGACTTCCAAGGCCTTTCTTTGACCGCGCTTTCTTTCTGCGGTGGTCAAACTGTCCGACTCGGTTCTGTTAAAATATCATGCGCATACAAATCGTTTTGCCCCGCTTCCTCAACTTCGGGGAAACATGAGTTCGAGCTTGGAAGCTAAGATTGTGGTGCTTGGCGCACAAGGTATGTGTGCTATAGAACAGTTTTCCAAAGGGGTCGATATGGTTGAGTAGATCAAAAGGACTCCCGAGCACCGTACTAACGTCTATCCTAACTAGGGGTGGGCAAGACCGCGCTTGTGGAGAGATATTGTAAAAACACATTTAACCCCGCAGCGCCCTCGACTATCGGCGCGTCGTTCGTCACGAAGCGCGTCCTCGATTCCACATCCGATACTATCGTCAGGTTGCAGATATGGGATACAGCCGGACAAGAAAGATTCCGCAGTATGTCCCGCCTTTATTACAGAGGCGCTCAAGCAGTTCTTCTGTGCTATGATGTCAGTGCATCCCCACATTTCCACATCTCACGTTGTGGTCTTTCCTTCCTCCCCAGTTATTTGTTTGCTGTGTCGCATATCTGCGGTTCATATGTACGCAAACAAAAGAACATGTTCTAGCAACTAACACTTACGGTCGAAACTAGATCACCGACCATAACAGCTTCCAAGAAATGGCCGGCTGGCTTCGCGAACTCCGCAAGAACATCACTCCCAACGACGACGGCACCGATTCCCTAATCATCCATGTCGTGGGCACTAAATCCGATATTGTCGCCGACGATCCTTCCCGCCGCGGCGTCCCCTTCGAACTCACAATCGCCTACGTCGCCGAACAACTCTACCCAACCCAGGCATCCACCCCACCTCCCACCGCAACAGCAGGAATGGGTAGCCTCGGGTTTGGATCCTCCGTTTTTGGCGGCAGTGGTGGAAGCGCATCGAATGCTAGTGCCAGTGCCGCGGCTCTACAAAGCCCGGACTCGAAGCGCAGTTCTGCATTCTGGGGACAGGAAATTGGATGGGACTGTTGTCACGAGATTAGTGCTCGTGACGGAGAAGGGATTGATGAGGTTTTCCGCGTTATTACGCGTAAGCTAGTGGAACAGCGCAATCGGCGCGATACGGAACTTGCCTTGTCCATTGCTGGGACTACTGCGGCGAATGGGGTCTCCGGGCCCTTTGGTCCTGGGTTTGTGGAGGGTACGGGTAGTTTCCGACTAGGTCATGGTGACAAGCGACGGAGTTGGTTGGGACTGACAACACCCGGTGTTAACGTTGAGGGCGCGGACGAGGTGCAGATTATGCATACGGCGCGCAACAAGGGCCGCTGCTGTTAATCTTTGACGGGGATGAGTGGATTTTGCATTATTTTTGATCTTTTTGCATTTGAGCCGGTTGGTGTTTTGTTGATGACGTTTGTTCACTTATGTCTTTTGTACGAGTTAGAGGGCTGTTCAGGCTGGGTTTGTTTGTGGCCTTGATGCCTCGATTTCTGTTTCCATCGTACCTGTATGCATGGGATTTCTCCGGAGTACATAGCACATATGCCGATGTAAGCACTGTTTGTTTCTGCTGTGCATGTCCTCGTATTAGTGGACGTCTGAAGATCATGAGCCACATGCATGTAGAGTTGTAAATTTATTTAGTAAATACTGGCCTATCGGAGCTGACAGCTACTGGGGATATCCCTGGAGAGGCGTGGAGTGTACGATCAACACAGCCTCTAACTTAACATTCTGTACGGAGTACGGAGTATGGAACACCCCGTATGTCGGCAACCGGGTTCAATATGACACACTTGATCATCTATTACATCCGTTTTATAGTAGAAGCCAAGGCCAATGCCAATGACACTGTGGGGTTGGTGGATCCGATCTTCACCTGGGGTCAGATCGATGTCCCACTGATTTGCGTTATTAGTTAGTCCGTACTTTGTGCATAGGGCTCTCCGATCTTTCGCGAAAACAGATGCATCGAGAATCATTCACCTGGGATGGCAGGCTTCCGTCAAAGGGTCACCAGATTGGGCGATGACTGTCGCTCAGCCTCGAACCCCCTCATCTCGCTTATGTCGGAGAATTATCGTCCCCATTGGCTGTGGCAATTGTGCAGCCAATCGACAACCGAAGTCGGATGGACTGTGCTCTTGCTATCAGTACCTATTCCCAGTCCATCGATGGGCTAAGCACTCTTTTCGCTTTGCTTCTGTCGGAGTAAGCTACGGCCTTTTGCTGGGCATTTCTTCTTTTCTAGTCGGCTTTTTCCAACGTCAAACCATTGCAGATTATTGCCGAGCCTTCCTATTGCTGTACCTAGGGAGGTATCATTTGATTCCGAGGCGGAACGTGCTGCTCGTATCCAACTTATTCAACTCCCCCTCAACACTCAACCCGGTACATCCCAAATTACATCTCGCCCACCATGTCGGGGGCGGAGGTGATCGCGGTTGTAGCCTGTGTGGCAGCTAGTATGACTCTCTTTCTCCCCAACATGTATCGAAGATGAACACAACAGCTAATCTCGAAACTAGTCGTCTCCGCCTACAGCGATGGATCGCGCATGTTCACCGCCATTAGGAAGAAATACCATGAAAGACGACGAGTACCAGATCAGTCCACTCGGGACTTGGAATGGTCGCTCGCACGCGGCCACCATGATATTTTGTCACAGTATAATCAGCATCAGCAAGAGCTCGGCCGGCGGTACGAGGAAGGTGACTATATCGCCCGTGAGCAGATGAAAGATATCATAATCACCCTCCAGGGTGCGTTGCTGCGACATCTCCGCGAGGCGCAGGAGCAAGGCACCACCTTGGACCTGATGGCATTGCAGATCGAGTCCGAACAGGGACGTGTTCGCACTCTTGTCATTCTGGGGGACTTGTACCACCGTTTGGCGAGGCCATCACCTGTTCCGCCACCTTTCGCGATGTCCATCGATCCCACGTATCGAAGAGTAGAGTCATTCGACCGTGGGTATTACCCTCACAATCCAGATGGATTCTTGCCATCCCCGACGCCGGAGATAAGATATTCTTCTGCCTCATATCCCACCCTACCACATGGTTTCATACGGGAAGAGCTATGCGCCTCGCCCACAGAAACGCTGGGGTCGCCCAGAGAGTTTGAGGCACCGAGCCCAAAGACTCGCCGACGATCATCGGGTTTGGGGTCTGTCGTGAGCAGTATGGGTGATCTTCTTCATTCCCGCTCGCGCCACGGGAGTACACCGTCAGTTGCTTCATCAGCGCCCGAGTCCGGATTCTCCTCACACCCAGGAGGAAACAATCCCCGGCCGCCGTCGACGCCGGAGACAATCCCCGAACTTGATGTCAGACCAGCCACTCCCCCACGTAAACCAAAGTCGCAATCGAATCCGATAGCTCACGACGACTTGTGGGGGAACCCCTGGAATCAAGAATATGACACAGACTCCGGACCTGACGATATCATCACCCGCCCTGAGATTAAAGAAAAACCAAACGGTTACCTGTCACCCATCTCCGCGCCCCTCTCGCCGCCCCTCTCGACGCCCATCCAACCTCGGCACAACTCTCTCTCCGCGCCCTCTATCGCCTCAACAGACTCAACTCACTCAAATCCTTCCACTAGCAGCAGCACTGAGCCACCCAACAAAGCAGTCAGACCTCTGTGGCCGCCTAGCAAGGCGAACAACTACCTCGGCTTTTGCAAAGGGGCCTGGAAAGTGCACGCCGGGTTCCGGGGGTTCAAGATTTACTCCGAGCCCGGAACGGGGTATTATACCCAGCGGTCGTGGCTACGGTGTGCCAAGTGTGCGTTCGAAGGACCAATGGCCCCCAAGACTTCCAGCCGCAACCCGCAATTTGATGACAGTGTTCGTACGCATAAACGTAGCGGCGTGCGTTATCGTTTCGAGTTCTTGGCAAAATCACACGTGCCATGTAAGCGGAGCTCGGGGACACAGTTTACCCCTAATACTCCCCACGGGGCGTTTTGCTGTGTCTTTTGCTGTGCGATGGCGCAAGGCTCCACGCAGGTTTATGGCAATTTAGATACCTTCATGGCACATTTGGCAGAAACACACTGGAAGGTTGAGGGTAATACACTAGCGGTCTTACCAAATACCCGATGTGTGGTTGGGAGAATGGCACTGGATTCGGAGTACTTTGACGTGAACATTCTGCCGATGCGGCTGATGTCTTAGTTTGGGCGGTGAGTGGGTCTGGTGTCTTGGTTTCTGAGGGTTTGGGTGGATTGGAGATTACATTGGCGTTGGTCATCAGGAGTTGGGATTTGGACACGCGGCTGGGCATTTGCTGTACGGAGTATAGATGACAATCTTATGTCTCTTTTGATCTGCACTTGCAACGTTGGTGACATTGTTTCACATCGTGCTATCGGGAACGGAGGAATCCCGTATACCGCATGCAGCATAGAGTCTCGCCCTATCCTACAATAATACGGCTCAGGTAGGTGGAGCTGAACATGGATTTCAGGGTCTCCTCTCGGTACGGAGTACGCGTAATATGTGATCCATTAGATTAAGAAGCACATCAAGTCAGCGTCGAGGTGACTCCGTACCCCTGAAATAAGATAAAGTACTCAAGCCTCCTGCAGATAGGCCGAGAACGTTCCCCATTGGCCAATCAGCGGTGAGCAACCGATCACCGGAGGCAAGCCCACTTCTCCAAAACGAGGAAAGTGCGATCCTCGAGTCCTGAATTTTTGGGAGGATTTTTCCTTTTCTTTTTTCTTCCAGGCCTTTTTATTAAACCTCTTTGCTTCTTGAAGTACTTTCCGGAGTATAGTAGCCATATCCCTTGACTCGGCACCTTCGTCATCTTGCGTTCGGGAGAACTCTATCGCGCGTGTGAATTTGACAATCCCGGCCTCCACATGGGGCGGTGCTTATTACTCTCCTAAGATTGCGTGCCCCAGTGTTCTGAGACTTGTGGCCTTTTCTCATCTTCACTGGACTTTCTCTTCTCTCAACCCCCTATACCCTCCTTTCCCCGAATCTCCATAATCGCGTGATGCCATGAGGCTGTCACTTCGAGTCGGTGCGGCTGCCGCAATCATTATCATAACCATCCTCCTCATCAATCGCAGCCTGAAGACCGAGGGTGAATCATTCACAGATCTATTGCACTTTGACAGGGGCTCTTTCCGCACTTCCCTCAAACCCAGACCCCAATATGATACAAGCGCTCGTCGGAAATGGCGGGTCGCCTCGGACAATAAACCTGCCTTGGTTTATCAGACTACAGACATCGAGGTGCCCAATCAGGGCGCTATCGTGATGGCCAAGCTCAAGGAGGAAAATACCGCTTGGGTTTCGGCGGAACTGTCAGAGTAAGTGACCCGGTCGTGGCGGTTGGTTGGAAGCACGAGCCTAATTGATGATCTCCAGGTGGCGCAGCATCGTCTACACCGTCGACGATACCAATGCTCCGATGCACACCCCGAAAAATAAGGGCCGCGAGTCTCTCCCTTACCTCCAGTACCTGGTCGATCACTACAACGAACTTCCAGACGTCGTGGTCTTCCTGCACAGTCACCGCGACGGCATCATCGCCGGTTGGCATATCGATACCATGGATTATAGCAACGTGGACTCGGTGCGCGCATTGCGGAAGGAATTCGTCGCCGAAGCAGGCTTCGTCAATTTGCGTTGCCAGTTGAGCCCCGGATGTCCCGTTGCCATCCAGCCATTCCGTTCACCGCCGATCCCTGAAAGCCCAGGCGAGGCGCACTACGCTAATGCCTGGAAAGCGCTGTTCCCCAACGAGCCTGTTCCGCGTGAAGTCGCCGCCCCCTGCTGCTCCCAGTTCGCCGTTTCCCGAGAGCAGATCCTCCAGCGTCCCCTCTCTGATTATCAGCGCATGTACGACTGGGTCATGAACAACGATTTGCCGGATGAGGTGACCTCAAACATTATGGAGTACACATGGCACATCATCTTCGGCAAGGAGCCTGTCTAGTAAGTTGTGACACCGGATATGTTTGATTACTTTCCTAACATGCTATCTGCAGCTGCCCGGATCTGTTCAAGTGCTACGGAGACGTCTACGGCGAAGAAGTCGTCTTCACGTAATGATCATCGAACCCATTTTATTCATGCCTGCGGGAACCCATACTTCTCCTTCTATCTCTACGAGGGATGCTTTCTTCTTTATCACCCGGCAGTTGCTGGATCTCCCTAGGGGAGAAAACTCACGGCTACTGGAAAGACACAGTGCCAACGCCATATGATGACTTGCTTAGATGTCTAACTTCTTCTTTTTTCCGTCGGGGCCAAAATGTACATTGAAAACCGAAATGTGCCGACATGGGTATTACCGACATCAGCGATTATCATCTGTTTCGCCTTGAGTTGCACGAACAACCCAAGAGGATGAGACCTTTTCTTCGTGCTGCGGCACATATGTACATTTTATTTGATTCACATTTTTACTTCGTTTCAATCATACACTGGTGTTGTTTCGTTGCCACTTTTGAAATCCCCCACGTAGCCTCGCATCGCTATCCCTTCGTCTCCGGGACCATCTCCCTCGCAACTTCATCCCACCTATACATCCCCCCACTACCCACATTATAATGATAATAATTATTCGTCCCACCAGGAACAACAGCCCGCCGAAAAGTGATATTAATCCGCCCCCTCGTCGCCTCCCCAGCTTTCCCCTTCCGTTTTGGAATACTATGTAGCCAATTCGACTGCGTCGGCCCACGCATCACAACCATATCACCCGACCCAAGATTCATCTTAATCTGCTGCAGTGCCACCGTGCCACCCTTCGGCCCAGAAAGCTTTCCATCCAACCTCCCCGAAACAGGCCCCTGTGTCGCATTGCAACCCAACCCGCCCATCGCTGCACCATGCACGGATCCACCTGCAGCCCCGTTCGAATTCCCACCAACGAAAGGCTTATGCTTCATTAAAAAATCCCGCTCTCCACCCAGCGACAGCGACGCGATATTCGGCTCCGGCCCCAGAAACCGCTCGTCGTCGGAGTGGAAGGCGATACTATCTTCCCCGCTCGCGTAGTAATTCACCAGACAGAAATTGTAGCTCGTGTCTGTTCCCGCCGCGGCGTTTGCTGCTTCAACCTGTTTGCGGAGCACCTCGAGACAGGCTGGGATTGGGCGCGGCGTGCATTGGTATTTTGTTGGAAGGATTGGGAGGTTGGTTTTTGTTTCGAGGAGGCTTGGGTTGCGGGTTTCTGTGAATGTGGATGTTGCGTCGACGCCGAAGACCGTTGTCCAGCGGGGGGTGTTGATTTGGGTTTCTATGTCGCCGCGTCGGGCTGTGTATCTGACGCGGTAGAAGGGGAGCTCGCGGCGGAGGAATTTGAAGAGTTCGTTGGCGGTTGTGCGGGGGATGTAGGGTTGGAAATGGAGGAGGTCTAGGTGGGGTTGGTTGTTTACTTTGAGGGGTTGTTTGGCCGGTGTTGCGTGTTCTAGGCCGACTTCGATGTGTGATGGGAGTTGGGGGATTGGGATTGGGTAGCTTGGGTGTTGGCTTGGGGGTTTGGCTTCTTCGTTTGGAGCTTTGGTTGGAGGCTCGGGGGTTGGGATTTGGGGGTTGGGTTCGAACGGTTCGGTCTTTGGACGTTTTGGAGGGGTGGTGGAGGGTTTGAAGAATGCATCGAGGGTGCGTTTGGCCATGGTTGTTTTGGGTCTGGTTGTCATGTGGGAATTGTCGTTTGATTGAGGAGAATTGGGGGGCATACGCGACGCGCTGAAGAATTTATTGCTGGTGATGTCATCGCGATCCCGATCTATACATCCCGATTTGGTGTGGAGACTGTTCGGTTTGGTGAAGCATCAATTTTCATAATATTCATACAGTATGAAGTAGAGTGAGGGAGCTATTCTAGTGTCTCAGATACTATCACTATTGCTGGACTCCCTCGGTCTCGGCAATTCTAAGCACATATTTCACTGCGGATGCTTTGCCAGCCGCCAGATCCTTCAATGCACTCTCAATGCCTCCCAGACCACCCTTTCGCAATTCATGTGGGTGACCTGAGAACCAACCCTGTGCAAGGCCACGGCCGATAAATTGGAAGATCGCAGCTCCAAATTCCTTGTCGCCGAGGGTTTGACCCTCAGCAGGAGGCGCGTGCACACTGCCAACCATGATCTGACGAATTTCAATGTCTTCGTACGCCTCATCCACGGTTGCAGGCAGAACGACAGCAATCTTTCCCGGTGTATCGAGAGCAGCACTGATATTAACATAGCTTCCCTTCTCGGAGACAGCATCGTAGGCGTGGTGAACGGGGATGCCGTTAGCAGCGTTTCTGATACCAGAGCGAATGGCCTCGTCGCCTTCACGGTAATCGATGATCGTATCACCCTTTTCTCTGCTGATCAGAGTCTCAACAAAGGGAGCGCCTTTACCGGCCACGGCAATGATAGGGTGAATGTTGGATAGCTGAGCAAGTTTGATCGCGAAAGCACCAACTGCTGAGGCGGCACCGTATACCACCAGTGGGGTAGGCTTATTGGCAGGACTCCAGGGTAGAGGCAGTTTCAGCTCTTGGTACAAGCCCAACGCAGCAGTCATCGCAGCGAGGGGGACAGTTGCAGCCTCTGGTGGGTTCTTTTGTTAGTCTCGTTATAGTGCAAGATCGCTGGACTGGGACATACCTTCAAAGCTGGTCTTCTCGGTGAGATGGAATGTTGAGTGTTCCCAGGCAATGGCATACTCGCCGTAACTTCCATGCGGACTGAACATCTCATGGAACGCGGCGACCTTGTCTCCCTTACGGAAGCCGTGGACTCCCTCTCCCACTGCCTCGACATAGCCGGCGATGTCGTCACCCTGGTTGATCGCGATTTCTGGTTTCCATTTGGGGAGTTTCCAGTCCTTTGGGTTTGTACCTGACACCACAACCCGGATGAGAACCTGGCCGGGTTGAGGAGTGGGGATGTCCACGTCGCGGATGGTGACCGTGGTGGTGTGGTCAACAATGGCTTCTTTCATGTTTAAACGTAGGGATTGGTGTAAGATAGAATGAGATAATGCAGAAGGTGAGACCTTGAGACCTATTTAAAAGGATCATATGTTGATTTGTAATATCTTGAGGGGATCCACGACTAAGCAAAAAATGAAGTCATCCGCAGTGGGGCCCGACGATGTCAACGATCAAGAGTTGGCTCTATACCTCCTTACAATGCAGTCTGGTATTTGGGGATCGTCTCGCCAGCACGCCACTTGTACTGACTTCCAGGATGATCCTCGGGCAATCGCTGCGTTCCAATAAATACTTCACGGGCTGTAGCACCCTCCTTCTCAACTTCTTGCCGGAACCGTCCTCTCCGTCGCAGTTCCGGCAGTAAGAACTCGATGATATCTTCAAAGGTTCCAGGATTCACAATATGGGCTAAGTTAAACCCATCCACGTCAGATATTTCAATCCATCTTTCCAACTCATCTGCAACTGTCGTGGGACTGCCAACAATCTTGGCTTGAAGTCCACCGACACTGAGATACTCCACAATTCTTCGCTTGGTCCATGGCAGATTATCACTCCCGGGCACAGTCTCAGACAACCTTTTAAATATGCCCTGGACCTTTGGAGAGTCGCTGAATCGGAAGTCTTGATCATCAGGGTAACTTGACAGATCGACTCCAGTCCATCCACCAAACAAAGCCAAGCAACCTTCCTCATCCGCATATTGAAGATAATCCTCGCGCTTTGCCTTTGCCTCCTCATCAGTTGCGGCAACGATCACATTGATCCCAACAATGACTTTAATGTGATTGGGATCGCGACCATGCTGTTTGGCAATATTCCGTATATTGTCCACAGTCAAGCGCGTGGCCTCGGGAGTTTGTCCGCCGACGAAGATTGCTTCTCCATGCTTCCCACCAAACTGATTTCCAGCCTCTGACACACCGGCTTGGAAGAGAAATGGAGTGCGCTGTGGAGATGGCTCGCAGAAATGCGGCCCAGGGACATCAAAATATTTCCCTTTGTGGTTGATCTCTCGCACAGCATCAGTAGCAATATATGTTCCGAGTTGTCGGTCAGCCAGCACGGCGTCGTCTCGGAAACTCCCTTCCCAGAGCTTGTAAAGCACCTCGAGGTACTCATGTGCGATCGCATATCGCTCATCGTGGGGAATTTGCTCTTTCAACCCATAGTTCCGCGCGGCACTATCCAGATACGAGGTGACAATATTCCACGCCACCCGACCTTGGCTGAGATGGTCCACGGTAGACAGTCGGCGCGCGAATGAGTATGGTGGCTCGTATGTTAAACTGGCAGTGACGCCGAAAATGAGATTCTTCGTAGCTGCAGCCATCGACGGGACAAGATACAAAGGATCGTTGACGGGGAATTGAGCGCCTGATGCCAATGCCGGCACCACATTAGCAGGGCCTTTGTACACGTCGTATGCACCTAGGGTGTCTGCAATGAACATGGCATGAAAACCTGCTTGGTCGAGCAGTTGGGCGAGATCGGTCCAGAATGACAGTGTGTTGTACTGATCGGTCTTGTTTCTGGGGTGTCTCCATTGCCCGGGTGCCAAATGGCCGGGAGTGTTCATCACGAACGCATTGAGAATGATTTGTTTTTTGCTGGGAGTGGGTAGTGTTTCACTCATTTTGAAGGAATATTTTTTATCTGACTTGGTGAGTTTAGAGAGACACTGATGGCCAGGGGAAGCGCCACTTTGTATAGTCCGAACTATACGCCAAGCCTGTCATCGCCAGGTCCCCGAAGCTTGCCCAGTTATCAAACTCCTATTCGAACCCCATTTCGTTATTTGGATGGAATATGTTGAATGCTCTCTATCGGCCGACATATGGAACCCCTGTCGGTGTATGGAGCGCAACGACTTTTAGTTGTTCGCGATTGCACATCTTTTTCTCGCAATTTGGCAACGAGGGCACGCCATACCAACCATCATCCCCACCATGTTCACATATTATTCGCACTTCGTGTTTTTTCGCACTTTTAGCTTCATTTCGAGGTCAAAGAGCGTTCAATTACTAGGCCCTTGAGGATGCCTGGACCCCAATTGTCCCGCATAACGCAATTGAGGACATGGACGACGTGAGAGATGTCCACCGCATGGCGACTGTAATTGTTGCGCAATTCGTCAGAAAACAGCCATTGGCTGGAGCTCCACGATGAGAAGGCTCGGCATTCAAGATTTGATAGACCCTCCAAGCAATAAATATCTCTCGGCCTGCACATGTTAGACTTGGCTTTGGACTTGGCTCTACTTTGCCCAGCCAGACATGTCGAACTCCATAGATACAGCCAAATTGGCCTTGATCCCGCAGGGGGCGGCCTATGGTCTGCTAATCGGCCTCAGTGTCGTGTTCTGCGGTGTGATCTTAATCGCCGTCAAAATCCAAAAAGCGTATCTGGCCGAGGATTCTGGAAAGTCGGAAATGTTCATGGTCGCCAATCGCTCGGTAGGAAAAGGCTTATGTGCATCTGCAGTCTTCAGCTCCTGGATGTGGATCAATGAGACGGTGTTGTGTGCGTCTATGACATACAAGTATGGTCTGGCTGTGGGTCTGGTATGTGTTCTTGTATCCTTCCACCTGTACACAACTGACAAAGAATTAGTGGTGGGGATCTGGTCTATGCTTCCAAATTGCTTTGATGGCCGCACTGGGCGTGATGGCCAAGATTCGAGTTCCGTATGCGCATACATCACTTGAAGTGGTGCGCATGCGCTATGGCAAGATTGGACATATCGTGTTTATCTTGCTCAATCTGGTCAACAATGTCTTTGGTTGCGCTTCTATGATCATGACAGGTTCACAGCTTATCCATGGGGTTTCTGGCATGCATTATGTTGCAGCGACTGTCCTGGTTCCGTTAGGAGGTCAGTCTCCTTCGGATGATTATTGAGGAAGAGGAAGCTAACCTCACTTCTCTGCAGTGGTGCTATATACAGCTGTGGGTGGTCTAAAGGCCACGTTCCTAACGGACTTCCTGCACACAGCTATTGCACTCATTCTTATCATCTACTTCACGATCGCCGTTTTGACAAACTCGGCTATTGGTGGACTTGGGGGTTTGTGGGAGAAGGTTATGGCAACAGCTGGAGATAATTACGTTCCTGGAAACTATGAAGGTTCGCTTCTCACATTCAAGTCCAAGGATGCAATTATTTGGGGGTTGATTCTCAAGTTTGGAAATCTGGCACTCGTCGTTATGGTAAGTTCATTCCCCACCGTGATTTAATTGGAGAGCTAACATATCATCGACAGGACACCGCGTTTTGGCAAAAGAGCTTCGCGACAGAGGTGAACGCAACAGTGCCCGGGTATAACATCGCCGCGTTGGCCGTCTTCGGTATCCCCTGGGGCCTGGGCACTGTCATCGGTTTGGCAACAAGGGCAATCCACGACACACCTATTTTCCCAACCTATCCTGGTGTACTCACTGCCACCGAAGTGAGTTCGGGCATGGTGATGCCGTACACCATCAAAGCGCTCATCGGAGACAAAGGAATCATTGGATTCTTCATCCTCCTGTTCATGGCTGTCACAAGCACCGTGTCCTCATCGATGATTGCCGTCAGCAGTATTCTTTCTTATGACATCTACAAGACGTACTTCAACCCGAAGGTCACAGACCAGCAACTTGTGCGCGTGAGCCACATGACCGTAGTGATCCACGGTGTTTTCATCACCGGCATTTCGATCGCTCTGAATTATGGAGGAGCAAACATGACATGGATCGGTTATCTGAGACCGATTATCTCATGTCCCGGAATTATCCCCATGATTCTGACTCTGTTCTGGTCTCGGCAGACCCGACTAGCTGCAATTGTCGCTCCCATACTTGGCTTCTTCTCGGGTCTCGCTGTCTGGTTAGCCACGACTCACTCAATGTATGGCACTATCAACATCACAACAACCACAAACAACTATCCAGCACTATATGCTGCCATTGCATCCTTCTTCTCACCCGCCCTTTACTCTGTTGTGCTGTCACTCTACAAACCTTATAAGTTTGACTGGAGAGTCTTCCTGCGAATCGAGCTAGCAGATAGCGCAGAAATCCAAGCGTCAGACACAAGCACACTCAATGAGAGCAGCGAGGAAGATCATGGAAGCGAATCGAAGAATGCAGCCGCAACTGTGACGCCCATTTCCGACAGTCAACCAGAAAGCATCAACAATGATCCTGAGCGGATTGGCGGCATCAGCGAAAAAGCCCAGATAAAGTCAACCTCCCAGTCTTCTCCTAGTGAGATCAGCCTTGATCAATTCCAGCATCCATTCGATGAGGCGACATTGAAAGAGTTGTATAGATGGCTCAAAATTGCTTGGTACATGTTCGGGACCATTGTGCTGGTCACATTTGTTGCTTGGCCGCTTCCACTCTACCGCGACTATATTTTCACAAAATCTTTCTTCGCGGGGTGGGTTGTTGTCGCTATCATCTGGCAGTTCGCTGCATTTGGTGCAGTGGTTATCTTCCCGCTTTATGATGGGTGGAATGACATTGCAATTGGCGCGAGTGGTATTTGGAAGACGCTGAAAACGTGTGTTGGGAAATGAAAAATAAATGGGACAATCTGGATGATAGAGAGTGAGAAACCCTAGTAAATAAATATGGATTTTGATATAGAGCGGGGACCGGATTGGGACACTCACAGCTTGACCTCCTCAGCTGTTCAAATACGATATTCCATTTTCTTTTTTTCTTTTTTCAAAATCATGGAATGCTCTAATCTACTAAGCCTGCACCCGATACAATAGTTTAAGATTTGACCATTTATCACTCCTGCCATATCATGAGCTTGTTTACGCTCAAAGATTGTTCACGTGCACTATAGTTCGATTGGTATAAATCACTTTGGATAAGATTCCAAACCCCAACATTGTTACTAATGACATTAATTCTCCTCGCGGATAATGACATATATTACTATAGACATAGATTCCAGATCTAGTCAAATGACCAACCACCAGTCTTGTCAGCAAAGAAATTATCCGGATCATACTTCTTCTTGATCTCCTGCAACTTTGCATAGGTTGAAAAGGTTGACAAAGGCTTTTGATCAAAGGCTGCATCGTTGATGAATAGCGGAAGACCTTCAGCATCGGTGGTAGACTTTACCATATCTCGGAAGCTGGATTGAATGGCATCAACATCAGGTTGACTCATCCCCGGCAGCGTGGTGAGCAGATAGTTCAACCAAAACCATGGACCATCTGGCATGTCCATCGCGTTCCCACCTTGAGCCTTGCTGGCATCCGTCAAGGACTTGGGTACGGGTTGATAATCAAGCGATAGGAGGAAGTATTTGCCCTTGTTTTTCTCGGCCCAATTGCGCCAGATGTCAAGGGCACGCTTGCACTCATCGTTATCGGCACGGTGAACTCCAACTCGGAAGTGGTTTCCTCCCCGTGAAATCTCGGTGGAAATGGGGATTGGCATGTCGGCTATCTCCGCATAGGTCTTGATTCCAGTGGTGTCGAGGAGAGAAGAAATGCTGGTGAAGTTCTTGAACGCGTCACCTGGATCGGGGCCGTCATAGACCAGGAACATGATGATGGCCTCGTCTAGATTCAGGTTTCCATTAGGGGTAGGTAGCTTCTCATAGGTGCCGATGATGCTAGCTTTAGGATCGGTGTTGTATCGAATGAAATCACTAATAGCCTCGATAACAGTGTCTTTCTGAGGAAACGCGTAGATAAGATTCCCAGCGAAGAACTCGCCAATTGGGCGACTCTGCACGGTGTACTTTGTGACTACACCATAGGCATTGCCTCCACCGCCACGCGATGCAAAGAACAGATCGGGATTTGAAGTGTTGGATGCCGTCACAATTTGGCCATCTGGAAGAACAATTTCCAGCTCTCGGAAGGAATCGCACGCCATGCCGTATTGCGGCGACAGATAGCTCATACCGCCACCAAGCGCTAGGCCGGTTCCCACTCCGGAGAGTCGGGCGCCCACCACGGTGCGATTGTATTGCTCGAAATACTCGTAGATGTCACCGAAGACACCACCTGGCTCGTATGTAGCCAGGGTTGTCTCCGGGTCATAGGACTTCTTGTTGAGCTTGGTCAAGTCAATGAGCACACCCTTGTCGGTTGAGGAGAAGAACTTGTTGGGGTTATGCCCTCCTCCTTTGATCGCGAAGCGGCTGTCGGCTGCTCGAACGGCTTGCAGCACCACGGAGACATCCTTTGAGGACTCAGGATAAATGATGCAAGAAGGTTTATATTTGCCCTGAGGGGTGCTCCAGTACTCGGTGCTAGTGATGTACTTCAGACTCAACTTCCTGGTGACAACTTTCGAGGACCCCAGTTGGGTTGTGATGTTGGAACAGGCGGATGGACCAGGCTCACTGGCATATGAACCAATGGGCCCGAAAATGCCTGCCAATGTCAATGCCAAAGGTAGCATGTTGGCTGTGTCACAGCGCCAAAACATTGTCAAAGACCGAGCAATTGAGTCGATGGCCCTGGAAATCCCCTTGAAAACAAGAACCTGAGGACATTCTTATAGTTCGCTTTATCTATCAGAGAAAGCGGCCTCGGCATCTCTATACGACGGAAATACGATATCCGGGGGAAATACGACGGACTTCGGCCACCAGGCCAAAAGGGACCAAGACAGCGATGATCCTCATCTTTCTGGGATGTCGATCACCGACCTTCTCTGCATCATGAGCACGTTCAGGAAGCGGGGAAATGTCTAAAGACACAAAATATGCCGTACATCCTTCGTACTTCGTACGCCAAATAACCTAGTGGAGCTGAACTGCCAAAGGCGAGAAAACCGGTTCAGAAAGGCGATCGCGAAGCTTGTGAAAGCGAATTTTGCGCAAATAAAACCACATTCCAACCCCTATCTCGATCTCGGCCGGCTACGGCGCAACCCACAGTAAGAAAATCTGCTATGAGGCGCGGATGACTATAATTCTCGCGTTGAGGAGATGATGTAAAAATAGGGCAACAGCTTGGCTTCAGAAAATGCGTGTCACTTCTCCCTTTGACAGCCACCCGTCTTGTCAATGCCGACACTCAAGATTACTACCGGCGGGCTATACGATATAATACGAAATGACTCGCCCAACCAAGATAGACTGACTTCACGAATATACCTAAGTCACGAGTTGCGAATCAGAAAACGAGCTACAATAATAGCTGCATCAAATGAGTTAGGGCGGGGGGAAGTCAAACTCGATCCAGAAATACTTCCTCCGATGGAAACCAAAGCCACTCATCAAAAGTACAGCCGGAATGAATGAGCTATGAAGCTTGGAGAAAGTGGGTTCTCAGCAGTGGATGTCACTGTGAAACCCGGTGATCATGAAACGCTGCCATAATAATAACAACCTGAATACCTAGGCAGATGGCCCTCCCCACATGGCGGAAATTGGCAAAGCGTGGTCAAGCAAGACCCAAATGATGACCGAAACGACCGCCCCCTTACTGTACATATGCTAATCTCGTAGGTCTTTCACGAACCAACCTCTGTTTGGCCCTTGTCCTTCTAACTTCTCACATAGGATGATGTATCACAGTCCTATAATAGCTTGGTCTTTGATCGGAATTGTTGATATGCCTCCTAATACCTGATCCATCGTAGTAGATTGAGCTGATAGTTTGCTAGTTTCCAGAGACTATCAAGTTCCGTGTGTTTCCAGACCTAAGGAATTATAACTTCTTTCTTCTTATTCTGCTTCTTCCTTCGCCCATCAAGGAAAGGTTCCATCAGAAATGTCCATGCTTCTTGCTCATAGCATGGCAGCGACACATATCTCAGGGTCGATACTGTCGATTATGCCAGATTTGTTCACTGCTTGGTGCTCGGACAGAGGTCTGCTTTAGGTTATGTCGGCGTGGTGATTGTGATTAGATCTACGAGGTAGGGCTGAAAAGGGAGAGGAGGGAGAGAGTTGTCTTGGAAAGGAAGCGAACTCCCGAACTATCTAAACTAAGTCCTAAATGTGACCATGTTGGTTATGCAGGTTTTCACAGCAGAGATCGACAGGTCTGCGCAGTGACTGGGCCCTACCCCTGCTGATCCTTACATCCCCAAAATCTGATATGTATCACTTTTGGAAAAGGCAATGATGAATCAATTTGATCTGACTTAGCCAATGGCGATCCTCGCTTTCTGCCACCGATCTTCACTGGAAGCACCTCATGCCCAGCCTCCTTTGCTAAGATTAGTGGCTTGAAGAAGATATGGACATGAGAGGTATCAAACCCCATCATTGCTGAACAGACCCGACGATCGTAATAGCACATACGAATAAGAAATAACCAAGCTTTCAAACCTCTCACCTAGTGATTCATTTGTGGGGTTTCGAGAGAGGTCGCCAGGCGATAGTCCTAGAGATCTATCGCCTGAGAGAACATCTTGGCCTTCCTATCCGAGGAGACCAGGACGGTGGCTATTAAGCTGCATTCTTCTACTCCATACCATGACATGATGAAAAGGAGTCTCCACATGGAAATTCAATGTCACCTCCATAAAATGACACTGCTTGGTGAATCAAAAGGAACGAAATCGGCGGTGGAGAACATGTATGACGTCAGCACTGGCCGTGAGGTCTGTACATGCGGCGATGCCCAAACCGAATGGCAAAGCAAAAAAAGAAAAAAAAGGAAATGGCAGCCTTAACACCAAACTAGGAGGATCATAAGAACTCTAAATTCAATGGATTCCTGTATCTTGTCTCAATCCACGGGCTCTCCAATTGTGCCCATGCGTGGATTCCTCAAATGGACAACACCACAGGCACTCCCTTGTTCATTGCACAAGAGACTCTTTGCTACTATCCTATCAGTACCGTCTACAATTCGTGTCCCCGATACCTATTCTATGCCCTTCTTTTGGCTACCTGTGTGACTCGATGGACAGGATGGGTCATGAACGTGTTCCTCGGAGCTGCGGCGACATATGCTGGGACCGCAGCAATTCAGACCTTCGTCATGGTCTCTAGTCACCAGAAGCCACAAGACCCTGGGCTTGTCACTATCCCATATCTGCCTGCCAACACCAGCCTGCAAAACGACTTTTCATCCTTGATCACCGAGACCGACCATGTGATGGTCTCGCCCGCATCATTCGAGCTTGACGCAGATGCCGTTCTCGCAATTGTCGTCACTGGTTATCTTGTCTTTCTGCCCCTACAATGCTGGTCCCGAATCCTGACTCATGACCGAGCAAGGAACCTTTTGTTCTATATATGGCACGCTCTGATGCTGGCCGGTACTATTTGTGCCCTCGTATATGCGGGCAGAAAGTCGAAAACACCCCCTCAGTACATGTTTTGTTTTCCGGATCTCCCACCTTTCAGTGACACAACCAATGATGGCTGGCAAGCCTCGTGGAGGACATCCACATGGAACAATAGTGTGTGGGACACATTTTCGAACATGACGCGGTGGGGCCAATTAGGAGACATTTGCTTCAATCCCTGCTTCAATTCGAGCCAAATTTTACGACAACCGACCGCCTTGCATTCAGTCGCTGAATCAGGAGACTTTGAGGTTAAAGCTAGTCATGGATTCTTGGAAAAGGTCATCTACTCCAAACGATACATCTATAGTCTTATCACTCTGTGTCTGATCCTCAATGTACTGCTCTTGACCTATCGGTTCCTTCCCTACAGATCCCGGATCCCATCAGCACAAGTCATGGTCATCTGGAAACAAAGAAAGGCTATGTGGAGGAGTTTTAAAGAAGATTTTATTGCTGGAACGACGCCACCAATCGACCGGGATGGCAACCAACAAGACCTAACACCGACAACCAAAAGAATCAGGGTCTGGCGCCGTATAAGATTCATCTTCCATCATCAGTCTCTCAAGAAACTTCTGCATTTGCTTGTGGACGTTGCCATTCTCTTCGGCATTCTCTTTAGCATGATTGTGAGCCCATTCACTATCATTGCCTTCGTGATTTGGATAGAGATCCAAATCTATAACGATGGGCCCGAACAGGAGAGTCCAAGTCAGGTTGGTCAATGGGCGTATCCTGCCTCCATTGGTCTACTGATGATCTCAGCGGCAATCATGGAGCTCAAACATCGAATCGCGTCGTCGGCTGAGTTGGAAAAGCAGATGTCGGAGCTAAGGGAACAGCTGGAAGACTTGGAGAAATTGAAAGAAGCACGATCGGGCTCTGACTCGATCTTCCTCAGGTCCTCGGGCGACCAGTCCAAGGCCAACTAGATAACACAAATCCGTCAATAGAATAATTTGCATTCCCTAGAGAAGTGATTAACTGATTTAGCCAGCTTCCAACCATGAACAAAGCTACGTTGTACATCTCCTACCGTTCACTTCTCTTCTGTCGACGGACGCTAGCTATTACGAGTGCCAAGTCATGCCCTGTACCTAGTTTGGGCTTGTATATTCTGATTGCTTTTTTGGGACAAACATTGATCCCGGAGATGGGGAATCCCACAACGAGAGCATAACATACTGGGCGCGGATACAGTGAACAGCAATTATCGATTTGATGAGAAAATAACTGGATCTCGCTACATTCTAAACTGGGCTGCCTCGGCTGTTTAAATGCTTACGAGGACGGCTGGTGCAGGGCTAAATCCGCACTCCTTCTTCACGATCGAATGGAAGCCGACGTGGCTTTCCCTATTGGCTTTCTCGCTACGCACTGACAGGCACATGACCCCCTATTCCTGGCAGAGGAAAATGTCAGAACTCGTGTCCCTGCTGTTCTGTCAAAGCGATAGTCTAATTCTCAGAGCCGATCACTTGGCAGTCGTGCGGGGGTGCGCCTCGTCCTCAAATGGGATCAAGAAATCAGCCAGTTTCTCCTGGTCTGTCACACATCGCGGTCAATGCTTTGGAAATCCCCAATGAAGCACTCGATTTGAGAAGGGCTCCGAGCTATATGTAGGTTGGCATGGTCTCTGGCCAAATTTGGGCTTTAAGAACAGCGGTGTTCCCTGCCCTCGCCCCCTTTATAGTTCGGGCGCATATTTCTTTGTCTGCGATGCTGGAGTGGTTGTCCATAAATTCTGAACAAAGAGAGATCCCCTTTCCCTTCATCAACTCTTCAGTCTGCTTTCATTATGAAGGATAAAGAAGCCATGTCTAGCTCCAACTACCTTGAGAATGTCTCAGATCTGGATGTGCATGGGAAAAGCACCCACATACCACTCTGGCAATCAGTCAAGAAATTCCCCCGGATTGTGGGCTATTGTCTCGCATTGAGCTCGGCTATTCTACTCTACGGATATGACCTGGTCATCGTGGGAACGGTGGCTGCAATGCCCCAATTCCAGTACTTATGCCCATCCTTTCTCGAGACTATACAGTCAGTGGCGGCTAACACGCAAAAGACATGTTTTCGGACAGGAACTGGATGGTAAATACATCATCCCCTCAATGTGGCTTTCTCTTTGGAACGTGTCCAGCTGCATCGGCTTGATGTTCGGCTCTATCCTCGGTGGATACTATCAAGATCGACGTGGGCGCCGCCTCACACTCGCCATCGGCAGTTTCCTCTCTACCATCGCGGTCGCAATATGCTATATCTCCGATCTGCCCGACGGAATGGAAACTCGCCGAGGGGTGTTCTTCGCGGGGAAGCTCTTCCAGGGTATTTGTATCGGCATTCTTCTGTGCGTTACACAGACATACATGTCCGAGGTGCTCCCTGTTATCCTCCGAGGGCCGATTATTGCATTTTACCCGATCTTCACTCTTCTCGGACAACTAGTTGGCTCGATCGTGGTTTACACATCGCTTAAGCACACGGGTGCACAGTCCTATCGCATTTGCTTTGCATCGCAGTGGCCATTCTCGGTGATCCCGTTCGCTTTGGCATGGTTTCTGCCCGAGAGTCCAACCTGGCTGATGAGACAAGGGAGGATGGAAGATGCTCTGAGGGAGCAGAAAAGGCTCGATACGCCGCAAACTGACTCGCGGGCAGTGATCGACGAATTGCACGTCTCCATCCTGGCTGAAGACGAGGACAGCGCGACTCATACATATGCGGATTGTTTCAAAGGAGTGAATACTCGTCGCACATTGATTGTGGCTTTCGCCAACATTATTCCTCAGATGTTCGGATTGCAGTTACTGGCTAGTGCCTCGTACTTTATGCAGGTCGTGGGTATGAGCTCATCGAACAGCTTGATATTCTTGATTCTGGGCATTGGATTAGGCTTGATTGCGAATGTTGTCAGTCTATGGGCATTGAATGCACTAGGAAGGAGATTCCTCATTATATTAACCCTGGGTATCGTCATGGTTCTGTGGTTCGCGATGGGAATTGCGGGAATCTTCACGGGGGTTGTCACAATCTGGTAAGATCACCAGTTCACCGGAGATCCCCTAAACCCCAATCTAACTTGACTTCAGGTATTCGGCGGTCACTATGATGGTTATTGTCATGATCTCCGGTTTAGGATCCTGGCCTGCATCCCATGTAGTTGCTGCCGAAGCATCATCTCTGCAGCTTCGAGCGAAAAGCCAGGGTATTGGCTGGTTTACCAGCGGTATTGGCACCGCAGTGTTTGCCATCATTTTACCTTATATCTACAACTCCGACAAAGGAAATCTCAAGGCAAAGACAGGTTTTGTCATGGCAGGATTCGCTGCCGTTGCCCTCGTTGCAGTGTGGTTGACTATTCCAGAGATGAAAGGTCGGACGGCAATGGAGATTGATCGCATGTTTGCCTTGAAGTTACGAACTCGGGCATTCAAAGGTTGGCATGGTGATGCAACTCCGACGAGTGAGACAGAAGAAAATTGTTCACCTTCGAAAGCATGAGTGTGTATCAATGGATTTACCAGCGATGTGATGTTGGCAAAACAGTTCTGAGCGCCCGAGATTCGCGAGATATATATCGTTATCTCAAAGCGCGATTTTTGGAATTCCTATCTAATTTGAATTGAATCAATATAACCAATGCTTCATCTAACCAGTCTTACCATCTAGCTGCGTCACTATTGACTAGAACCGCGGCCCGCGGGCATCGACAGTACTTCCAAGCTTACATTCATGTAGGTATCTCTTTCATGTGATGCTGACCGCAAGTACTTCGGTTACATGACAGACATTCCTGCAGTGTTTGAGTAATGAAGGATATTAATGGAAACTGGGCGGAAAGGTTCGACGCAAACAGAGCATTATCCTCCCCTCGTAGGTGTCGTATTTGCGGGTCTGAAGGAGTGTCTCAGTCCCTCTCGGTAGTCCCCCGGGCTGTGACGGGAACTGACTAATCTGATGCCGAGCCCGGTGGAGCGGGGCCCTGCGCCGGGCTCCGGGGCCAGTGGAACACCGGGCCTGGGCATGCTCTTGGCTTTCTTTTCCCTCCATATCAGATCTTCAACGGCCATGTCAGACACCCCAGCGGACACACCCACGAGCCGCAAAACACGAAATTCCCTTTCGTGCACGCAATGTCGGTACAAGCATGTTCGCTGCGACGGCCATAGGCCAGTTTGCTCGCGCTGCGCCACAAACGCAATACAATGTGTTTACGCGGCATCACGGCGGCGCGGAAATCCTAAAGCAAAGAGAATCCTGCTGTCGCCTACAACAACCGTTAATGCAAGCTCGCTCCATTCCTCACTACCAACATCTACTACCTCATCAGCCTCGTCTATCACCATTAGCCGAGATGTTGATCCATCTTCCAATTCGGCTTCCCAATTTCTCAATTTGTATTACGAGTTCTTTCATGCGGCCCATCCTTGCATCTTGCCACTTCAAGTTCTGAAAGATCGTCTCACGGAAACGCAATTGCAACCTCTTATTCAAGTAATATGTTATGTCGGATCTGTCTTTGATAATTCCCATCCGCAACTATCCGAATCATTGGCCCAGCAAGCCCATGAGTCCGTGGCCGAGATTCGGGCACAAACACGGCGCCTCAACCCTTTCGATGTACAAGCCCTACTGCTTTATTCTATTGCTATCTACTGGTGCAACAAGACCCAGAATGGCGTTGAGCTTCTTGACGAAGCCATTCGTATGGCGGTCGCCCTTGGCATGAACAAAAAGGAGTTTGCTCAAACATACGGGGAAGCTGATCCTGTTGTTGAAGAGAGTTGGCGGCGTACTTGGTGGGTGATCTATATCACCGACGCTCACATTGCAGGTATGAAACTTGAGCCTGAGTTTGGTCTGGGCTATATCGCTGATTATTATAGGATCAACGCATATGTACCCATTTCGAACAAGTGGCATTGAAATTACCACTGATCTTCCTTGCGAAGAAGAGCAGTATGAGAGAGGGTAAGGTAGTTGTGATGTTCAAATTTCAATATCTCAAGTTGACCTTTTAATTAGACAATCCCGTCTCCAAAGTCACTGGATGATTATGAGAACAGGGAATTCCTTGGTGAAGATGAGACAGAATTCTCATCTTATGCGCAGCTTATTGGCTTGACTGTCGGAATCGATCGAGCCTTGGCCCCAGGAAACACGACTGATTATCACCTCTACGCTAGAATGGCTGCCAACTCCGATACTAGTATCTTGGCATGGTTCTCCCTCCTTCCTCCGGGGAAGAGGCAGTTGGTTCGTCCAGACGGATCATTTGATGAAGTCATGTTCAAAGCCCTCTTTATTATGCACACGTAAGAGCTACAAAACTCTTGGTTTTTCAGCCTTTCTTTCTGACACACTTCCAGATATACTGTCGAGATCCATCGGCCGCTGTCGGGCTTGACTCACAGCGCAATCGAGTCCGTCTCACGCTGTGCTCCATTAGCCCCTTCGGACCAACTCAACTGTAACAACGCACATGAACGCGATCTGCATACTGCCAGATGCACGCAAGCCATCAATAGCATCGATGAGCTATTGACCCTGCCGACTGATATGAATATGCATTCGCCATTTATCATTTGCATGATAGCTAATGTGACCATTGCTCATTTATCGGCTTGCAGATTCATATTTTCTGGGGATCGACGAGCCGCAAGTCGTGAGAAAATTCGTCTGACTATGGGTACCTTGAAGCGTCTGAGCGAGCACTGGACTCTGGGCAAACGAACGTATCGTGAGATAGGTACCATCGCGCGAGAATTATTATCATTGGCAAAGGACCCAGCGACTAGTTCGGCGACAGTTACAACCATTGATACCATTGATTTGCCTCTTTCTGATTCACAATCACTTGCATTACCGGGCTTCGACATGTTAACCGACGGCGATTTCGATTTTTCTGCCTTCTTAAATTCGGGAACTACTGGTATAACCGAAGCGCGTTCAGTTTTCTTATAATAGGATCATCGATGGCTCTCAGCTAAACAATCCTCAAAAATGTCACTTCAACAGATCTTGAACTACAGACATTGCGATTCCGCTCATGATGCAAGACCTCATGTTGTTGATTGCTTTGATTCGTGGCGATTTTATTTCAAATATTCCTGATCAATTTGGATGAGAGCCCCCATTCCATCCCTCTCGAATGCCTCAGTATCCGTGATTATGGTAGCAATGAGCGTCGCCGGCTCGGTCTTGCTAGCGTTATCGCTGATGCGATGATGACATCCCGGCGCCTCGAACCAACTTCCACCCTCTTGAATCGTTTTCATCGGCTCGTCGTTCATTTTATTTAGAAGCGTTCCTTTGAGAACATATGCGGAAACGTTTGCACCTCCATGACGATGCGGCGGAGTGGATCCGTTCGGTGGGAATTCGACACGCAGACTGACGACTGTTTTGTTCGGGATGCCGACCAGTTTGTACGAGTAGACAATCTCGAGGGATGGCATTGGGCGGCTGTATGTTGAGTTAACTTGTGATCACCTGAGCTGTATTGGTTCTTGCTCACCTTGAGTCGTAAGTTGGTTCCTCCATTGTGAAGTTCGAAGATGGATTGTGGCACGGAGTGTTCGGAAAGAAATAAGTTGTCTTGGTGAAAGGAGTCAGCGGGAAGTTCCGTGGGGATTTTATAGAGGGAAAGTGCAAACGTGTACATGCAAGCAGCTGTACGCAATATGGGCTCATATGAAATCTCCCGTATAGCCTACAGGCTTGGCGACGTCATTGTAATGGATCCATAGACGTCCGGATAGGTTATCAATAGGCTATCAACACGGAACAGCGGCAAGCCACGTCCAGTTCGAGCTCGAGATCGGTTTATGGTTGAATAAGATTTCGATTCACTTCGAATAGGGTCAATGCGTTTCTGGCGTCTACTTCGAACAATGTGGTGGTAATACCTGCCTAAGTGCTGGTGTCAGTCGCGACCGGAGTTGCATCTGGTTGTCCAGTTGACTGGCTACACAGGCCGGCGATTCCTTCTTCTCTACCTCAGGCTGCACTGCTATGTAGCTACCCTAGAACCCATATCATACGTAGGATTATACTTGCTCCAGAGATGCAATTTTATTTCCCGTGAGATGTATCAAAACAATCATCACTCCGAGTGTCGTCAATCGTCCCCGAAATGGCTTATGAGAAGAAGTATCCGAAGAATCCGTCGCCGCCGAAGATAACATTTCTGGATCCCGGTTCCACGAGATCTAAGACATCTGGGATGAATCCTCCAACACGGACGAGGGCCCTCTTAAACATGAACGCCTATAACAAATCGAACAACCTTTGCCAGAGAGATCATGGGCTTTCTATTTTCACTTACTCGTATTTCGGCGGATATAGATCTTCTTCGGCATCTGGAAAAAGCCCACGCTTAACGGTGCTACGGACACCATCTGCGCCGATAATTAGATCCACCTCTACTAGAGGACTGTCGTCGGTGAAATAGACCAGATTTCTCTCGTCAGATCCGGTTGTATCTTTGCCTATTCGTTTATTAATGATATTTTGATCGGGAATGTATATCCGCAAGGTTTCCAGAATGAGTGGCGACCACTTGCGACTATGGAAGGGCTTTCCGTGTTGGCATTTGACGAAGCACTATTCATATTGGAAGTGGCTGTGACGTATCCCCTGCGAACAAAATCCTTCAGAAGGTCTTGATCAAGGCGTTTCAATACGTTCAAGCCACTGGAAGCAACACCAAGTCCACCCCAAGAAGGATTATAGAGGGTTTTTTAGGCATCTCTTCCCTTCAGATTGCTGTAACCTCCTGACTATGTAGTACTGTAGGTCCCATAGATGGTGATCTCGTGAGTCTCATCTGATCCAATGGGCTGCGGAAGATGTTTTTGTAGCTTCAGGCGAGCTGCACATCCACCAATACCAGCACCAATAATGATAATTTTCATTGTAATGTCTGAAATGGGACAGAATGACCCGAGAATAGTACTATCCTGAAAAAAGATAGGAGAAAGGTCAGTTTATATGTTTGCTTTTGCACATTTTAAGGTTAAGATTGATGCAGGCCACTGCAAAGCTAACCTATCGCGGTTAGCGGCCGAGAAACCCAGCAATCACTGGTCGCATCCGTAGATGGTGGAGTTTCAGTTGTCTGCGAAACACGAAGTCACTTGCAACGACAACACAGGATCGGATCATCAAGCAGCGGGTGAGATACCCCTGTGCTTTATCTCCAATCAGGTAGCTATAGGGAGTCGTGGGTCGCCTTGTCCCTTCTCTCAGATCATTGACATATTGCGATTAATGTAAGATGCTAAGTGAGTAAAGTATCCGCATGATTGTGACAAGAAGAAGTCCACACAGTAATCATTGCAAGAAGAAATGCCATCATTGAAGTCCCACGGCTAGAGGCTGGGCTGGGGATTGCCGTGCGTATCTCTCTCTGACTAGCCTCGAACCATTGATCGGCAGTTGCTTCAAGGGTCGGTCATCGACTAGAATTTTGAGTACCATGCGCTTAGTCTTGATATTGCTTCAAGCACCATAGTGTTCAACTCTGTCTTTAGCGAATCGCCATGCTTACCCTGATCGTTGATCATGTTTTCAGCAATTGATAGACAAGGCACCAGTGCCAAAAGAAATGTCAACGAGGCCATCAAATGCTGTCTTTGGGTGTGTGTATCTGGAAGGGAACATCGACCCACAGGCACGTTGAGAATGCATGTTGCTCGTTTTTGAAGATAGCTGCAACAAACTAGCTATGGATATAATGATTAGCAAACTTGAAATGGTGGTAATACTGAGTCATGCATGTATCAAAACTAATAAGATGTGCTCACTATTAAAAGTCTAAGGTGTCGAGAAATCTGATGGCGAAATCCCTCTTGACAGCTCTCTGGCCCACCTGCCTCAATGAACCTTGCTGCACGCTGGACGTACTCAAAGCAAACGCCGACATTCTATGCAACGCCTGCTTCGTCCTGGTATATTACCCATGGCCAGTTTCAGCACTAGAAACTAGACAGCAAGCATGAAAGAAGGCATATATTCATGTTCCAGTCATAACTGAAGCATATTGGAGCAAATAAAACGGCCCCCAAGTCACGTCGAGAGACTAGGTGGAGCCCGTGAGGTCGCGAGAGAGATGACATCATTGTTTGGGCCCTTCAGGTTCAGGCTCAACTCAAACTCATGGAGTATATCTCACAGCTTCTCTTCCATTGTCTTCTGTGAAATCTAATTTAGGTCAAAATTGTTCAAGCACACTGTTTCTGCATCCATGTTCCGGCCACATTCATATCGACTATTCGAGTTGTACAGTTGTCGGATGCTTTTTGTTCCTGAATCTCCCATTGAATTTATCTTGTTCCTCTCGATATCCTATATGTTCTTTCCATTCCATGAACCCACCTGGCCCCGAAAAAAACTCCCTGGTCCTGTATGCAAGCCTGGTGGCGCTGAGATGTCCAGAAAATATTTGTAAGTCCTGATACTGGCGTTTGCATTGCTCGTCACCACCGCTGAGCTCGACCGGAGCACGGGCATCGCTGATAAATACCCCTTGGCGTGTAATATCCTAAATGCATTTCAGAGCTCGCTTCCGATGCAGCTATAAGGACGCTGGAGGGAAGCATAACGCTACATGCACGCCTGAGATTGAAATAGAACCATATACATCGACGAGTGAGAACAAATACCATAGCCAAACAGATCGTTTCGGTGCCTGATTACACGAGTAAGGCTAAATTTAAGAACAGAAAGTCATAACGGAATACACCATGTACGGTCAATCTCTGTTTACATCAAAATGCAGCAAGAGTTTTGTTTCTTGGCCTGTGTTTGATTGCGTCAGCACATTCTAGGGCCTCACAGCCAATATTGGGGTCGCATACCTGGGTATAGAACATCTTGCTCTGAGCTGACAGTCCATCACTCTTCTGGACCAATGAGTCGATCTTCTCACCACGCTCCAAGACACTCTCAATCTGTAAAGGGTTAGCGCCTAGAATCATGCGATCTGTACTAGACAATCCTACCGTCTTGTGAAGAACAATCTTAGTCTCATCAAGCTCCTGCTGGATCTTCATAATGCTGTCGGCCTGGCTTGGATCCTGATACTTGGCGATGTAGTCTTTGAGCTGCGGCATAGGGCACGCATTGTCGCGCAAGGAGGGATCGGAGAATGCAGTGCGCGGGTATTTGGCAAGGAACTCATCTACGATCTTGCCCAAAAGCTGGTGCGCCACTAGGGCAGGGTAGTCCCCGTCGGTAACGATAACGCCGGCAACACCCTCGGTCCGGCCGTAAGCGTGGAAGGTATAGGCCTTTTCTTCAATGTCCTGTCGTTGGCCTGGCTTTGTCCTCTCGGCGACTGTCTTGTTGAAAAGCATCAAGAATTCATCATAGCTGACAGGTGCATGGCGGTTAGCGAATGAAATATGACGGGGTGGAAAGGGACCAGTGGGCGTACTTCTGACGGGTAAAGCGCGAAAAGCTATAGATCTTTAGCCAAAGATTTCAGTCGGTCGCAGGATTCATGTGAAACTCGTACCTGCTGAGGTCCTTTTCCCCGCATAGCTGGAGAGCTGGCTGGGTGTCATTCCGGAAAACCTATTAGAAAAAAATGAATAAGTACCATGAACAAGGTGATTTTCAATCAAATCAAAGGTTCAGTTAGACATACGCCCATATAAAGAATCTTCATGGTGACAGCGTGGTTGTCCGTACAAGAACAAGGGGGCAAGTAGGTGTGAAGGTGGGGCGTAACGTCGTAATGATTGCTTAGCGAGGAGATGCTCTGGTGTCAGAGAGGCAGGCAATCTTTTTGGTAGAGTAAGTCAGCTGTACAACAGCTGAAGTGGCAAAGCAAGGTGACAAGTGTTAAGCCTAAGCCGGGCTCCTGAGTTACCGATAACAATGATGCATTGGACCCTCCGCATTGTCGCCTGAGGCGTGAGCTGTACACCGCTCTTGTCATGCGACCGACCGAGCCCTGCGGTACTGCCCTATGCCTACTTTTGGAGCTTAGATCCCCTCATTCTACATTCAAAAGCTATCGGTTCTGCTATTATCACACGAGGAAACTAGCTCGGTGAACACGACGGTTGCGTTTACCCACGATGGACAACATCGCATCTACCGAGTCACAATGGCTCTCGCAACTGGCAGCTATGCGTCAGGCCATCGCCGATCTCAAGTTGCCTCAAAATATCCCTCAAGACTCTGTCGGCTACGGAAGTGACATTGATCTGGATATTGACGATGAATACTCCTCTCCAGCAACTGTTGATGATATCTGGGATGTCATCAGCTCCGACGATGAAACCTCTGACGACTTGGACGACCTGGACGGATTCAACGAACTTCATCTCGCATCAGGATCTGCCTACAACCGGTTCTGGCTGGAAGACAAGTGCCAGGACCTGGCTATGCGAAAATCGACTACGGATGCCACCGAGCTTGCTCAGCAACTTATTGCGACCCTTGCTGCTGACAGCAACGACGAGGAGCTACAAATGTCTTTAGCCGAGATTGTTGGATTTGACGATCTGGATCTGGTGATCGAACTGATTGCACATCGAGGCGAGATTTTATCGGACAAGGGTCCCCGTGGGGAATCCCAGACGGATGGACTCATGGCTGGTAGACTTCAAACCCGAGCAGAGAGAGAACGTGCTCTGCGTCAGCGCGACTTTGAACATAAGAATGCGGCATTGATGCCAGCACAGACCCGCGCAGAGCCCTCTTATCCACATGTCTTCAAACAACATACCTCTGGGAATACACTTTCAGCTAATGGGCGGAAATACGGATTACCTCTGGGTAGCGAGCAGATTGAGGAACCAAAGTACACGGAATTCGCTATTCCAGCCTCGAAAGTTGGAACGCTTGGAAAGGGGCGGAAACTGGTTGAAATTGCTGGGTTGGATGGACTTTGCCGGGGAACATTCAAAGGTTACACAGCTCTCAACCGCATGCAAAGCTTGCTCTACGATGTCGCATACAAGACCAACGAAAACATGCTCATTTGCGCCCCCACCGGTGCGGGTAAAACCGACGCTGCCATGTTGACCATCCTTAACGCTGTTGGCAAGAACACAACTCCCAATCCGTTGGAGGACCCAGATGCGACTGAGTTCACCGTTCAAGTGGACGATTTTAAAATTGTTTATGTTGCTCCCATGAAGGCTTTGGCCGCTGAGGTGACAGAGAAACTTGGAAAGCGTTTGGGTTGGTTGGGTATCAAAGTGCGCGAACTGACCGGTGATATGCAATTGACCAAACGGGAAATTGTGGAGACACAAATTATCGTTACCACCCCGGAAAAATGGGATGTCGTGACGCGTAAAAGTACTGGGGACACAGAGCTTGTCCAGAAAGTGCGTCTACTCATCATTGACGAAGTCCACATGCTGCACGATGAGCGAGGAGCAGTTATTGAATCCTTGGTTGCTCGAACCCAACGTCAGGTCGAAAGCACACAGTCCCTCATTCGTATTGTTGGACTGTCTGCCACTCTTCCTAACTACACGGATGTGGCGGATTTCTTGAAGGTAAACAAGATGGCCGGCATGTTTTTCTTTGATCAGTCATTCCGCCCAGTCCCTCTTGAGCAGCACTTTATTGGTGTCAAGGGAAAGCCCGGCTCGAAACAGTCTCGTGAGAATATCGATACTGTCGCCTATGAAAAGGTTCGCGATATGATGGAGAGAGGCCATCAAGTGATGGTCTTTGTCCACTCTCGCAAAGATACTGTCATGACTGCCAGGATGCTCATGCAGCTCGCTGCTGAGGAGGGACGTGAAGACTTATTCAGCTGCCATGATCACGAGAACTATTCCAATGCCCTTCGTGACATGAAGCACGCGCGTGCGCGCGAATTGCGAGACCTTTTCGCTAGCGGTTTTGGAACGCATCATGCCGGAATGACTCGAAGTGATCGCAACCTGATGGAGCGTATGTTCTCAGAGGGCCTAATCAAAGTACTCTGCTGTACTGCCACTTTGGCGTGGGGTGTCAATCTTCCCGCAGCCGCGGTAGTCATCAAAGGAACTCAATTGTACAATCCCCAAGAGGGTAAATTCATCGACCTGAGTATTCTTGATGTTATGCAAATCTTCGGTCGTGCAGGTCGTCCACAGTTCCAGGACACTGGTATTGGATTCATTTGCACTACTCATGACAAGCTAAACCACTACTTGTCTGCTGTGACTGCGCAGCAGCCAATCGAGTCGCGGTTCTCCAGTCGACTCGTGGATAACTTGAATGCTGAAATCGCCCTTGGCACAGTTACATCTGTTCCAGAGGCCGTGCAATGGCTCGGTTACTCCTATCTATTCGTGCGTATGCAACGCGAGCCAAGAAACTATGGGATTGAGTTTGCCGAACTACGCGATGACCCAATGTTGGTTCAAAGGCGGAGACAGTTGATCATTCAAGCAGCGCGAGTCCTGCAAAAAAGCCAGATGATTATCTTCAATGATAAGACCGAAGATCTCAAGGCTAAGGATGTCGGTCGCATCGCAAGTCAATACTACGTTTTGCAGACCAGTGTTGAGATTTTCAACGACATGATGCGTCCTCGTTCTGGTGAAGCAGATGTGCTCAAGATGATCAGTATGAGTGGGGAATTTGACAACATTCAATCTAGAGACAGTGAATCAAAGGAGTTACAGCGACTGCGTGACGAAGTTGCGCAGACCGAAGTCGCTGGAGGAAACGACACCCCTCACGCGAAGACCAATCTCTTGTTGCAAGCCTATATCTCCCGTGCCAAGATTGAAGACTTTGCTTTAGCCTCTGATACTGGATACGTAGCCCAGAACGCGGCGCGTATCTGTCGTGCTCTTTTCATGATTGCACTGAACCGGCGCTGGGGCTACCAATGCCAGGTTCTATTGTCGCTCTGCAAGTCAATTGAGAAGCAAATCTGGCCCTTCGATCACCCCTTCCGTCAATTTGACTTACCCCAGCCTGTTTTGAGGAATCTTGATGAAAAGCTTCCTGCTACTTCTATTGAGTCGATGAAAGAAATGGAACCTGCGGAGATTGGCCAACTCGTCCATAACCATCGCATGGGCAATACATTGTCTAAGCTTCTAGACAATTTCCCAACTCTCACTGTGGAGACCGAAATTGCGCCGTTGAACCGTGACGTGCTTCGCATTCGCCTTTTGATCTACCCCGAATTCACATGGAATGATCGCCACCATGGAGCATCGGAGTCCTTCTGGGTTTGGGTCGAGAACTCGGAAACTTCCGAAATTTATCATCACGAATATTTCATCTTGAGTCGAAGGAAGCTTTATGATGATCACGAGCTCAACTTCACTATCCCGCTCTCGGACCCGCTTCCCAGCCAAATCTATGTTCGTGTGATCTCTGATCGCTGGCTAGGTGCTGAAACTGTTAGCCCAGTCTCCTTCCAACACCTTATTCGCCCTGACACTGAAAGTGTATATACCGATTTGCTCAACCTCCAACCGCTACCTATATCGGCTCTTAAGAATCCTATTCTAGAGGAGATTTATGGACAACGCTTCCAGTTCTTCAATCCTATGCAGACACAAATCTTCCATCTTCTTTATCACACACCGGCCAATGTTCTCCTTGGTTCTCCCACTGGTAGTGGAAAGACTGTCGCAGCTGAGTTGGCAATGTGGTGGGCCTTCCGTGAAAAGCCCGGTTCCAAGGTTGTCTACATTGCCCCCATGAAGGCCTTGGTCCGCGAGCGAGTGCAGGATTGGCGCAAGCGTATCACCAACCAGATGGGTCTAAAGCTTGTGGAGTTGACCGGTGACAACACGCCTGACACGCGTACTATTCGCGATGCCGATATCATTATTACCACACCTGAGAAGTGGGACGGTATCTCGCGCAGTTGGCAGACTCGTGACTATGTCAGAAAGGTGAGCCTTGTGATTATTGACGAGATTCACTTGCTCGGTGGTGATCGTGGTCCCATTTTGGAAATTATTGTTTCTCGAATGAACTACATCGCGTCCCAATCCAAAGGATCTGTTCGGCTGATGGGTATGTCTACTGCCTGTGCCAACGCGTCCGATCTGGGCAATTGGCTTGGTGTCAAAGAAGGTCTCTACAACTTCCGTCATTCAGTTCGCCCAGTTCCACTTGAGATTTTCATCGACGGATTCCCTGAACAGCGTGGCTTTTGTCCCTTAATGCAGTCGATGAATCGCCCAACATTCCTTGCTATCAAGAATCACTCTCCCGAAAAGCCGGTCATTGTCTTCGTTGCGTCTCGTCGACAGACTCGTCTCACTGCCAAAGATTTGATCAATTATTGTGGTATGGAGGACAATCCTCGTCGATTTGTGCGAATGTCTGAAGATGATTTGGAATTGAATCTCGCACGAGTGAAGGATGATGCCCTCAGAGAAGCCCTCAACTTTGGTATTGGTTTGCATCATGCAGGTTTGGTAGAATCCGATCGTCAACTGGCAGAGGAGCTCTTTGCGAATAACAAAATCCAAGTTCTGGTGGCGACCAGTACCCTTGCATGGGGTGTTAACCTTCCGGCACATCTTGTGGTGGTGAAGGGCACACAGTTCTTTGACGCCAAGATTGAAGGCTATCGGGACATGGACTTGACTGATGTTCTGCAAATGCTTGGTCGTGCAGGCCGCCCACAATTCGATACTTCTGGTATCGCGCGTATTTTCACGCAGGATTCAAAGAAGCCATTCTACAAGCACTTCCTTCACACTGGGTTCCCTGTTGAGTCAACCTTGCACAAGGTTCTCGACAACCATCTTGGCGCTGAGGTATCTGCTGGAACTATCGGAACTCAACAAGATGCACTAGACTACTTGACTTGGACATTCTTTTTCCGTCGATTGCACAAAAACCCCTCATACTACGGCCTCGAGATCTCTGCAGAAGAACAAAACACGATGGCCGCCCAGGCCACAGCCCAAGAGTTCATGGTTGAATTGGTTGGAAAATCGCTCAACGACCTGGCAGAGTCTTCTTGCGTTCTTGTGGATTCGGCCACTGGAGAGGTCGATTCCACTCCCTTCGGCAAGATTATGAGTTACTACTACCTGTCGCACAAGACAATCCGATACCTCATGTCACATGCGAAGCGAGATCCGACTTTCGAGGATGTCCTGAGCTGGATGTGCTCTGCAACGGAATTTGACGAGCTGCCTGTCCGACACAATGAAGACCTTATCAATGCCGAGTTGGCCCAGAACCTGCCGCTCTCCATCGACTGCATGGGCGATGCGCCTCTGTGGGACCCACATACCAAGGCTTTCCTCCTCCTACAAGCATACATGTCGCGGATTGATCTCCCAATTACGGATTATGTCGGTGATCAGACATCTGTGCTTGATCAGGGCATTCGTATCATTCAGGCATCAATCGATGTCATGGCTGAACTTGGGTATCTTCCTGCGTGTCAGATGCTGATGACTCTACTCCAATGTATCAAATCAGCACGTTGGCCGGAGGACCACCAGCTATCAATTCTTCCGGGTATTCCGACCGAGAAGCCACCCAAGGGTCTCCCGGGAACCCTTGTCTCCCTCGCATCGCAGCCTACTAGTGCGGTTGCTGCTTTGGTCAAGAAGTTGAACCTACCCTTCAACTTTACTCGCATTTCCTCCCAGTTGCCTCAGCTTTCCGTGTCGATTGCGAGTGTGTCTGCAAAGGGTGTGGCCGTATCCCTGACACGGCGTAACCCACCCGCAAATCCTGACTGCAGGGTTTACGCTCCTCGATTCCCCAAGCCACAGACCGAGGGCTTCTTCTTGATTGTCTGTAGTGCATTGCCTAATGGGATGGATGGTGAGCTCCTCGGCCTGAAGCGTGTGTCTTGGCCCCCGGCGTCTAAGCGCAACGGAAACGGCAAGGGTACAAACAGCAAGGGCAAGGGCAACGCCGGCGCTGGTTCCAGCCGCGGAGGGCCTTCCAACGACAAGACTGGCGGGCTGTTGACCGTTCGGTCCAACGTCAAATTCCCCGAGGGAATCCTCGCTGAATCTACAAGTACCAGTACCGCTCGGGTGAACATCCGAGTCATCAGTGACTCCTATGTTGGAATGACATGGACTGTCTCTAATGTAGAGGTGAACCTGGACAGTGGTGTCGAGGTACAGACAGTAGAAGAGTCCAGTGTTCCTACCAAAGACTAAGAGCAAATGCTCAAACAGCTGATTCATAGACTCCTATACATACATGCCTGGGACCCCTTAGTCTCACAAACAAATAGAGAACCATTTCTTCAGCGCTTCAAATCTCCCTTCCTTCGTCTCAAAAGAATCAATAACCCTCGTTCTCCCGCCCATATTCAACTTAACCACATTGTTCACCATCATAATCTTCCCTACCACAGAAACATCGTCCGGGCCCTCTAAGCCCTCTCCCTCCAACAAAGGCAGTCCGGCAGTCTCCCCATTGCGAATGAACTTGACAACAACAAAACTTCGTTTCTGAACCGCATCCCAACTCGTAAACCGATTCATCACCTCAAAATCATCCTGGAAAAACTCCAACTCTGCAAACGCATAGAAAGAGTTCCACGGTTTATCCACAGAATTGCGATACTGATACATCCAAACCTTCTGCTCCTTACGCGTCTGCTTAGGCATATTACCATAAACCAGTCGCACTTCCTGAGACCCCAAGTTCTGCGTGATCTGCCCCGAGATGAGCGGCAGGGGACTTGTTGGCCCATCTCCACCGAATGCTGCGTCCAAGTGGTACTCCGCACCACTGGGTAACCGCACAATGTTAACAATATGTGTCCTAGTTCCACGAGTTTAGTCATTCCCTTGCTGTTTTTCTCTGTTCTTGTCACTCTTACCATCCTTTGTATTCTCCTTGCGGTATACCATCTATCCTTTCCCGATTGCGCACACCGGTCATGTACACGGAGAACCCTAGGCCGCGCAGCATGTGGTGGAAGAATATGCTGACTTCTAGGCAATAGCCTCCTCTGCATGATGGGGCTGTGTCATCGTATCCGATGATTTTGGCGTAGATTTGCTCGGGCTGGATCTCTGCTAATTGGGTTGCGGAGTAATGGCATGTGAGGTTGTCGTATGGGAATCGAGTGATCTGGCACCGGAAGAGGTCTTTGAGTGCCTCTTCGCTTTTGGGGAATGATTCTGGGTTGGTGATATATTTCGTATAGTGAGCTGGTAGAGCGAGGTATTTTAGATATTTTCTCAATTGAGTTGTCGTATAAGCCGAGGGTGGTATTAGGGTGTCCATCATGTGCCACGACAACATATAGGATCAATTCAGCTGTTCTGTTAAAGTATTCGGGGCTTTTCTTTTTTTTTATACGTTCTGGTGACTCATACTTCAATTCTTACAGCGCTAAGATGAATATGAAGCTCAGGAACTCCGATTGGGTTTAGACAGATTCGTCATTTGGGCCAGATATGAGGCAAAATGCTAGACTGGTTGGTCTGTAGCGTGTCTTCTCTTTAAAAAGCAAGTATATCCGAGATGTGGGAAGACTACTCCATCTAAAGAAAATAGTAAAATGCGAGCTTGTATCACAGTTATAAACCATCCAAGGTATATATTAGAAGAGAATAGAAGTATTCAAAGGAAATATGAGCACAGTATGTGACGTGTTAAAGGGGGATCAGGTATAGAACAAAGAAAGAAAGAAAGAAAGAGGGAAGGAATGAAGACTCAAAGACTGGCGCAGGAAGAATGTCACAGACACTCGATCCGCAACTCTTGAGAGACACCCGGCCGATGCCCTCGGTGCACGTCTGTAATCTGCGGTGTCATAGCTCTTCTCTGCACGAACCGCTCGTCTGGGTCTAGGTGATCGATCCTCGCTCCGATGGGAACGATGACCTGTCGCTTTGCCCGCGAGACAGAGATAGAACGAGCTATGGAGACCTCAACCTTTGGGATTGAACGTTCGACTTGGGGTTCGGGCTCGGGGTCTTCTTCGGCGGTATCAATGGGTTCAACCGCATCGGCGAATGGCATGCGGGTGGATTCTGCTGGCGATACGCCAGATCTGGGGCCTGACGAGGCTGATACTGGGGTCACAATTCGGTCAAGCTTGTCCCGGGCTGGGCTTGATCTTGATGATGCACTTAGAAGTGTGTTGCCTGATAATGGGGTCACGATCCGGTCAAGCTGGTCCCGGGCTGGGCTTGATCTTGATGATGCGCTTAGAAGTGTGCCGCCTGATAATGGATCTCTAACTTGTGGTTGGGGTCGGCCTTGGGTTTGAACTCTGAGGCGTGGGCGAGCTGAATGGTTGGTTTTATGGTGATCCATAGGCATATTAGGTGGGTGGTGAAAGTAATTGTGTGGTAACGGAGGGCGCTGAGACTGCTTTGATGTTGCTTGTGGCAGAGAATCCTTTCTCGGCTGCACTGATGCTGCTTGTGGCAGAGAATCCTTTCTCGGCTGCACTGATGCTGCGTGCGGCAGAGAATCCTTTCTCGGTTGGAAAACTGGCTGCCGTGGAATAGGTTGCTTTGTGGAAACATTCTGATAAGGTTGGGAGCTCTGCTGTGGCCGCATGTTCTGTGGAGGCATAGTGCCTGTTTGTTGTCGAATACTCTTCTGTAAGAGAGCAGACTGAGGATCTGCTGTGGCTGAAGAAATGTGGTGTGATTGAACATTTTGTTGTGGCCTTGTCTTCTGTGGGGACGGAGTATCATTCTGCGTCTGAACACTCTGTTGTGCGTGACTAGGCTGTGGCTGTGACACTGTCACAGCAACGTTTTGTGGTTGGACGCTCTCTTCTGGCCGGGTCTGCTGGGGAGATGGAGTAGTCTTTTGTGGTTGAACATTGTGCTCAGGTTGTGGTTCTGGCACCATTATGGCAACATTTTGTGGTTGGACGCTTTGTTGTGGCCAAACCCTTTGCGGGGACAGATTTTCCTTTTGTGTTCGAACATCTTTCGGTAATTCAGCGAGCTGTGGTTCTTGCCTTGTAACTGCAACGCTGTGTTGTTGGGCGCTTTGGTGTAACCGGATCTGCTGGGGAGATGCAGTGATCTTCTGCGTCTGAATGCTCTGTTGTGCTCGAGTAGGCTGTGGCTCTGACAATGTTACAGTAACGCCGTGTGATTGGGCGCTGTGTTGTAACCGGATGTCCTGCGAAGATGGAGCAGGCTCCTGCAGTTGAACACTGTGCTGTAATCGAATAGGCTGTTGCTCCGGCTTTATGGCAGGAAGAGGCTTGTCATAGCTACTAGAAGGCTTTGGGGTACTGGAACTCTCAGAAAATATCTTCGGAATGACAGGTGATTCGAACGAAGAGACGCTGTCCGCGTGTGCAAAATGATGGGGTAGTTGCGGTAGCATTTTTGATGGACTCTCGATGGGAAGCGTGTTTGCCCTCACCAGAGGAGTCGGTCCACGGGAGAAGTTCTGTGTACCAAGTATCTCTGCCGCTTTCGAGGGCTGTGAGGTGGGAAACACGGTGAAGCTTGAGCGTCCCGGTGATGTTGCTCGGCGCTGGGGCATTGGGGGTGGTGTGGGGGATTTCAGAAAGCCCTATCTCAGAAAGTCAGTTTGGTAATGACCTTAAGCTGATGGAATGCCATACAATTGCATCTGGCACGCTAAGCTTGTCCAGCGTTTTAGCTCTTCTGGTCAGCAGTGAGGGTCTCTCGTTGTTGTTGACAACATTGCCGAACATGACGCTATATCGCTCCATCTGAACATCCGGAATGTCGACACTCAGCAAAAGGCCTTGATCCCTTGTATCCTTGGCGTCGTTACCGCTTAGTGGCAAGTTCCGACTCCGCTGGGCAGGCATCTTGGGGGAGCAAGTTCGATTTTCGGCCACTCTTCTGTCGACTGGTTTCTTTCTTTGGCTTTGCGGGACTTCTCAGATTGTGCATCACCGTTGCCATGTGGCTTGCCCTCGCTTTCTTGCGCTTCCGGGAGGGATGTGAAGGCGTTCTTTGCCTTGAACAATCCGCCAATCTTCTTCCATTTGCTTGGCTTTTGAGGAAGATCTTTTTCTGGGGAAAAAGCCAAGGTATCAAACCTGGGCGGTGGCAGAGACCCATCTTTGTTCAACATGCCAGGACTCCCCAGGGCAATGCCAATCATATCTTGCTCGGTTGGAAAGCGGTCTAGTCGGGTGCTAGGTTGGACAGCTTCATCTGGTGGTGCAGTCACGCAAAAGTCGAAAGTTGCACCCTGGGCAGCTGTTTGGGCTGGTGTTGGCATTCTAATCCAACCATCTCCTGCAGGTTGTTGACTGAAGTCCCACTGTTCATTCGCTGTGGGCTCTCCTGGACGTTGTGGGGCCCCAGGAAGACTGCGAAGGTCATTCCGTGGCAAAGCATCGGTATAGGTTAATACAGGGACAGATATGACATCCTTGGGCTTCGTGCGAGACTGGACTGCTGTTATACCCCTGGCCATCTCTTACTAGTATGCTGGAAACCAGCCGGCATGCAATAGAAGAGAGGTAGAAAAAAAGAAATGCACGATATTAAAATTCAAATAAGATCCCAGATCATAGGAACGAAAAAAGGGCCTTCCAGAAGACCAAACAGAATCAAGAGGAAGCAAATTGAAATGAGCGAGACCGCTTGATATTAATGAAACGCCGCGGGATTAGCTCAAAGTGAGTGGAGCATTCAATAACAGGCTCCGTACGGAGTAAATGAGACAGATACCGGCTGAAAGGCCAAATTAATTGTGTCGTCAGTTCTAGGGCCCAGATTGGACCAACGACCACGATCCTCATATCCCAAATCTCCTAAGTGCGCCAACAGGCCCTAGTCGGCCGCACTGGACCAACGAGACCAGGAGAAACGAGACGGGTAGAGCCCAAACATCGCAATGAATTCTGTTTTAGACATCGAGGGGCGTCTCAGCGCTAACATGAATCCTCACGTGTGATGCTTATTTCGTGCGGGACGAATGAGCGTATACGTCGCGAATTGATTAGCTCGCTACCACGCTGAAAAGGGGCCAACGAGGGCTCCGCCTCGGCTGAAGCCATGCAGGAGGCGTGTTTCACCGGTAAATAGCTGAGACACGGCGTTTTGACCCTTAAACCAGGAGTCAGAATCAAGAGATATGTACTCCGTATGCTCCAGAATTGTCCTCATTGAAAGGATGTCCACATCGTGACTGTGCACGGTCAGCTGTTGATCGATTCCCCGAGACTCTGAGTCGCCAACGCAATGTGATGCCAAGCCAGTCTCTCACACCAATGTGGTTTTTCATTTTGCATCTGGCCTTCCGATATCAGACGAGACGAAGCGAAACGTGCGTTCTTTGAAAGAGTGTCTCAAGGAAGTGGCCAACTAGCGGTCAGATCATCCCGACTCCCTAATCCCGACTCAGGCGCCGAGGCAGCGATCGTGGAAGATCGACGGTACATGAACTTGACCGGGCTGGGCTGGATTGACTGCACTGGACTGGATGAGCACCGGGATGCTATATGTATGTCATACATCGTACTTCGTGCGAGTTCGTGATATTGAAGGAGACATATCCAAAAGTTCATGTTGAGCTTGTTGAGATTCTCCCACCGCTAGTTGGTGAGCGACGATATACAATATCAGACATCTTACAGCCTACACAGATCTCTTGCAACCTTCCCGATAGAGATAGAACATAGCAAAGAATAGCCCTTCCAAATCCACGCAAATCAACACAAATAAGCTTGTCTTCCGACCGTGTTGACGGTTGGATCGTCATATGGCGGGGTCCTCTCCCGACCGCCACAACACTTCCCCCCCACTACACTCCTCTTCTCCCACAAGCTCTCCTTTTCTGTATATTCAAAAGGTGCGCTTTTTCTTGAACCCCTTTCCTCTTCCCTTCCTGATCTCTAACCCTCAATCTACTGCAGCGTTATTCTCTCAACTTGTTTACTGTCATCATGGGCGAGCACTCAGCAATCTGGCAAAGTATGAATCCCCCCCCCGGATAGACTGCAGCAACAGTCTAACCCTTGCTTCGTCAAGTTCACTAACATCTGTTCCCTTGAAGGCTATGTCGACTCCAGGTATATCATCATCCCTCGGCCCTGACATACCCCTCCATGTCAACATCGAACCCAACCCGTGGACCCGTTGCACCGTATCTAGCCGATGTGTACTGACAAGTTTTTCTTTCTCGTAGCCTGATGGGCTCGGGTCAGTTCGACAAGGCTGGCATTCTTGCCGCTGACTTCTCCGGTGTCGAGGCCGCTTCGCCCGGTTTCGCGGTAAGCTCACCGGTTGTCTTCGTGCGGGGGATTGCTTTGACGCCGTCAACTAACCTCGTTGCTTCTCGAAAATTAGCTCTCCCAGGAAGAGATCAACTCCCTGATCACCGCCTACACCTCCAGCGACAAGGCTTTCGCCGGTGGCTTCTCCGTTTGCGGTGAGAAGTTCGTCACCATCAAGGCTGACGAGCGCAGCGTATACGGCAAGAAGGTAGGTGACCGGGATCCCCTCAACCCACACCCGCCCCAAGAAATCGATCACATCAATCACGAGAATGAGTACTAATCCTTTTGTCCGTGATCCAGGGTAAGGAGGGTGTCATCATTGCCCGTGCTTCCTCTTGCACCATTATTGCCCACCACGGTGAGGCCGTCCAGACCACCAACGCAGCTACCGTCGTTGAGAACCTCGTCGACTACCTCAACAACCCCCGGTAAATTGGAAAATATGCAATGATAACTAAATGATGTGATGAGTCGAGGGGTCTGTGAAGAATAGGAAATAAAGGTGCATTCGACTATTTCTCTCTTGAGCGTGATGATTCGCTTCTGCTTCTTTCTGGCTTTTGTGACTGGTTTTCTTTGCCTCAATGGACCACCTTGTTCGAGACGTGCTGTCCAATGCACAGGATGAGGAAGCGAAACCAGATTGTATGATGCACAATGTAATTTGTCTATTCAAACATGCATATTAACTGATCACCAGCAATGAAGAGCTGGCGGAGATCAATAAGGGTCATTATTAATTACATAACGTGCTGAGCGCCGTAGATGGGTCATATCGTCCCATGTCACTGTCACTTGTACAGTGTACCTGGATACTTGTACATCGGCAAAGATCGGGATGTGCATTTGATATCCCGCAGACATGGTACACCATCCTCGATTTCGAGGACTGACGTAGTATTTGCAGCATCCTTGCCAGTTACTACCTGTATGTCATCATACAGGAAGCTCGGCATTGCTCCTTCCACCAGCAAGAACCTCCAGGGCACGTTGGATGTACGGCCCTACCACAGGGACGTTACCCGCAAATTGGCCGATCGTGACGAGGAAGTCACCAAACAGGATAAAGAGGCCGTACAATTCGATCAGGAACCCGGTCAAGGGCCAGCGGAAGAGAATGAGGAGAATACCGGCAGCGAACGCGGCGGTCCCCTTGAGTTTTTGCGGGCGGGTGAAGAAGACCATGGTTTTCTGGACACCAATGATCAGGGTCAATCCAATGAGGAAGAGAATCTACGTAATGTTAGTTCGGATCGGAGATTATGATGGAGCACGTGGCGTACATTTCCCATGGCAAGTCTATTGAATAGCCGTTAGTATTCAGCTCCCCAAACAGATGCGATAAGCAAGGGTAGACGTACAATGATCGGTCGAAGAACATCACCACTCCTCCAAATAGGAACAAGCCTCCTAAACACGGGCAAACATGGTCAGTCCTCAATTCAAGCTATTAATGCTTCGGGAACGCAAATGGCATACCGGCTGAGCAGAAGATCACACCGATCTCTGTGATATAAGTTAGCTCATGCTTCAACATTTACTGCGCATAGTCTGCCGTGGCAGTCAACGCTCGAGGCTTTGGGACGAATGCGGAATGCGACTGACTCTGGTTTTCTGTTAACCACATGCTAGGCATTTTTGATTATTTCGGATTCGACCGGTGCAGATATATGACACCGAGGGTTGCACAAATAACCCCAATAGAGGCTCTAAGGAGACGAAATGCTTGTCGCTGCTGTTCTGAGGAACGATTGTTCGTCGGTGATGATTGAATTGGTAGGGCAGAGGCCAGGCAGATGCGGTACAAAACAAGCGGATATGGGTATCGGTCTCAGCTGATGATGCCTAGCTAGCTATTGTATAATTGTAACGGTATGCGCGCCCTCAAATATTGAAGGAATCCCTCGACAACAAATCGCAAGGTAAAAAAGTTCTCAGGCACAGGGTAAACACGAAGAGCGATCAAAAAATCGCCATTCTGCCGTCTAAATTGCGCCAAGTCAGGAAGGGCAGGCGGTGACACCAAAGTGCTTATATCCCGCACTTGTCGTTTCCCGCTCTTCGCTTTTACAGAATACTCTTCGCCAATTTCCTGGGCAATTGACATGATCATTAATGATGTGGTCTTAACAATTGCATAGATTTTTCAATCTCAACTCTCACTCGTTCTAATTCTACCATTGAGATATGTGGATTGAACCGCGATATTGAGCTAGACAGCTCAATTTGCTACCCCCTCCGTTCCGGAAACTTCCATTATTTTACATGCCACGCCGCGACGACAGTCTCTTCGGATTCTGTAACTGGTGCCCTGTTCCATGGGGTGTCGGTAATAGTCGAGTGCTTCTGCACAAGGCGAAGATCGATTCTTTGATCACGAATAAGCCGGAGCGCTTTCTTGAGCCTGTCTCGAAAGGGGCATGGTGGGGTGGAAAGGGCTTGACTGTGTTTGGTCGTACATATCGCTTCATAGCGATTCATATCTATTTCTAGTTCAATTGATCAGCCCAAGTTATTATTATCCAAGTTTGATCCACATAACCCACCCAACTCTCATATGGTTGTTCGTTTGGGATTTGAATAAAGTTGGCCTCTGCCAATTCTTTACTTCAAGATAGTATGCGCACCGCGAGCCTCTAGGTAGTTCTCAGGCACTCCCTGTGCGAGAGTCCGGATCACTTTGAAGATCTCCTTGTCGTGATAGCGCAGGCGGGTCTTAGGATCGGTGTAGGGTCCGTTCAGGCCCGTGATGTCGCAGTAGTGATGCTTGTAGGCGGGATTAAATGATGGCGCAGATTCGATGTTTGTATAAGTGACGGCTGGCCCAGTAGAGAATGTCGCGCGGGCATTCTTCTCCAAGACGAGGGTTGACAGGTTTTGGGTGGCCTGGGACAGGTTGGGCGCAGCCCCTTCGGCGGGGGTTCGTGTGCCATCGGTCACAATTCCTGAGGTACCACCCGGTGTGGTTGCGCCTGAATTGGCTTGCGTTGCCATGACTGAGGCTTCCTTCCGGGAGGCCTCGGAGATGATCTGTTTGAGGTTCTTATTGCGCCGCTGGGAGGGTTTCCAGTGAGGATTGCGGAAGGGCTTGGGGACATGTGAGATGTCCAGGCTATTCAAGAGCTGCTGATGAGCTTCATCTTGGGCAGCGGTTGCTGGAGGCATGATATTGGATATTACTCAGGCCACCGGTGAGATCAATGGCGAGGTCGGAGCGGAACAGCAGCTGTTGCGTAGCTTGCCTATGGGTGAATGGTGTTGTGAAGAGAGATAAAAAGGGGAGACTAGACAAAGTTGAATTCCTGAGCAAAAGGTCTCTTTTATATAGTATGGATCGTTCGAACACAATCAAACAATGAAACAGTTCCAGGGCGAAGGACAGTGGTGGTTGTCCCAGACCCGGGAAGTCTGTATAGCCACACGTGATCGCATCCCGATTAAGTCCAAACAAACACCTTCACGTCGGTCACCAGCAGCACATATCTCAATCTCCAGCCATGGTTCGTGATATCTTCCTCATATGCTAAGCTTTTTTATCTACAGGAGTTAGGGCGCTGACACCTCACTAGGAAAGTCCTCATGAGCATCAGCAGACGGTGCTGCTCTCCCGCATCATCACCAATATTGTATGTTAATAGCGAACAGAGGTATAAGAGTCCTTCTTTGCTAATCTTTGAAATAGGAGAAACTTAATGAAGCCATTATGGTCATGAACAAAGGTCTCCAGGTTTGTTTTAGCCTCTATTCATTGATGTGAATATGGTCTTATTGACCCCGATCATAGGAAGTCAACATCCAAAACATGAACGTTGAGCTTGTGGCGCAAATGTTCAAGAACTACCAATCCAATGTTCTCTTCCACCTCGAAGGTATACTGAACTTCCCTCCCATGTATCCTTTCTAGAACTGTGCTGATGTCCTACAGCCACTGAGAACCTCAAGGACCCATCCTAAGTAAGGCTAGACGAGTTTCTGTAACGAAGGAATGTGTGGATGAGCTTTCAACTAGTCAATGATACCAGATCTTAAATCGAATTACCATTAAAATGATTCTTTTGTGTGATCCATTGTAGTTGTTGCCGGCACACCAGGACAAGCGATAGAGAGATAGATAGCCTCTATTCTTGGCGGTCCAACTCCGCCAAACCTCCATCAACCGCGTTGGTATCGTTTGCCCTTGTCAATCCACTAGCCTCCCCCAACCGCGGGCTACCTGGTACCGTTTACACTTCTATCTCAATCTCCTTGCCCTGTCATGCAGTGAGCCCTCCTCGCCATCCATCCGATCTTCGATCTCAATAGCTCCTGGTTTCCGGAGCGCAGCCCGCCATGACGATTACCTCCATTCAAAGCCTCTTACCAGGCCGCATTGCATCCAATGCCACTGAGAAGCGAACAGAAAAACCGCCACCACAACTGCATGGGGTCCAAGACTTCCCCTTCAAGGGTTACCACCCTCCGCAACCTGAGGGATATCGGCAAAGCCAGGCTCATCCCGACACAAGTGCCATCGTCATTGACAATGGTGAGGAAGTCGATACAACTCGTGACAACAGCCTACTGATCAATGTATTCTATGCGCAGGGTCTCATCTGGTCAAGGCCGGTTGGTCCTTTGACAAAAATCCCAGATTCGCCATACCTCCCGTGATGAGCCGATACCGTGATCGCAAGCTCAATCGCCAGTGTCAATTTATCGGATATGATGCCTACGTTGATGCGACTACCAGAGGACAACTGCGCAATGGGTTCGATCCCGGTTCTAGTGTTGTCGGTAACTGGGATGTCATGGAGGGCGTGTTGGACTATCTGTTCCTGAAGCTGGGTGTGGATGGTGCCAATGGAGGCGTTGGGCGCCCCATCTTGATGACAGAGCCGATCGCTAATACGGCATACTCACGGAAAAGTGAGTATCTGGTAGTCCGACGGGCGTTATGGGGCTTGCTGACATTCTTTCAGTGATGAACGAGATCCTCTTCGAATGCTACTCCGCGCCGTCCGTGGCCTACGGCATCGATTCCCTTTTCTCGTACCGCTATAATGGGGGAACAGATGGTTTGATCGTGGATTCATCGCATACGTCCACCCATGTCATTCCCGTCATGAATTCGAAGCCCATGCTCTCCAATACTTCTCGTCTCAACTGGGGAGGTCTGCAAACCGCCGAGTACCTGATGAAGCTCATGAAGCTCAAATACCCCACCTTCCCGACTCGTTTGACGGATGCACAGATGGAGGAGATGGTTCACAAGCACTGCTACGTCTCGCAAGACTACGCCCGCGAGCTGAATGGGTTCCTTGACTGGACTGGACTAGAAGACCGTGATCGCGTCATTCAATACCCATTCACGGAACACATCGTTCAGGAGAAAACAGAAGAAGAACTTGCGAGGATTGCGGAGCGCAAGAAGGAGAGCGGGCGTCGCCTGCAAGAACAAGCCGCAAGGATGCGACTTGAGAAATTAGTGAAAAAGGAGCAAGAGCTGGAGTACTGGAAAGATCTGCAGCAAAACTTAGCCAATGAGACTAAGAAAGAAATCCGTCGCGTGCTGGAAGCCGAAGATTTAAAGGATGAGGCTGCTCTGGAGAAATTGATTCGTGAGCTAGAGAAATCTATCAAACGTTCGCGCAACAAGGACCTCGGCATTGAAGAAAGTGAGGAGCAGCCTGAAGAAATGACCTTCCCCATGCTCGATATTCCAGACGATCAATTAGATGAGGCTGGCCTGAAGGAAAAACGCCATCAACGTCTCATGAAGTCCAACGTCGATGCCAGACAACGTGCCAAGGAAGAGAAAGAGCGCGAAAAGGCTCGCGTTGAAGCAGAGGAGCGACTAGATCGCGAGACGCGCGAGAAAGATTTCGAGAACTGGATTTCAAAGCGCCGCAACAACCGCCAGGTATGATAGCCAGGTATACCTCTTTTCATTCCCTTGCTAACACGGAGTAGAACATCCTCCAAAGAATCAAAGACCGTGATCGCTTCACTGCCGATCTTGGAAACCGCAAATCTCTGGCCAGCCAGATGCGCATGAAAACGCTAGCCAATCTAGCATCCGACGGTCCTAAGAAACGCCGCCGTGGTGGAGATGACGATGACTTCGGTGCTAATGATGATGACTGGGGTGTTTACCGCACCGTGGCCGTCGGTGAGGGCAGTGACGATGAAGAAGAAGAGGATCTCAACGGCATGCTCGACGCGGTAGAGAAGGAGCTTCTCGAGTACGACCCTGATTTCAACGAGCACCACACTTTTGCGGCACAATCCGATTGGACCAAGAGTCTTGTTCATGCCTTCCTACGCGGGCCATGGCCTTTTGATCCCGAGAGCCAGCGAGAGGCACACCAGCTCCATTTGAACGTGGAACGCATCCGTGTCCCCGAAGTTGTTTTCCAGCCCTCTATCGCTGGTGTCGATCAGGCTGGTCTGATCGAAATTGCAGCCGATATCATTAACCAACGTTATACCAACCCAGCAGACCAATCCCGTCTTCTGAAAGATGTTTTCTTGACTGGTGGAAATACGTTATTCACCGGTTTTGATGAACGCTTCCGCAAGGAAGTCCGCGGCTTCTTGCCTGTCGATGCCACACTAAATGTGCGCAAGGCATCGGACCCTGTGTTCGATGCTTGGAAGGGTGCTGCACAGTGGGCTTCTAGTGGTGACTTGGGCCGTTCTTCAGTCACGCGGCAAGAGTATATGGAGAAGGGCAGCGAGTACATCAAAGAGCATGAACTCGGCAATGCTACGTGGTGAGGGCTTAAAAAGAGCAGGTCTGGAAATTCCTATCTTGGGCGCACTGGAGTCGAATTGGTCTACTTATCCGGCGTGGAATAGGGCATGTTTAATTTGATACTTAGAGGATGTTATTACAGTGAGACGAAAGTAAGCGCGATATGACATGTTCAGCCCTCGGTACCATGAATGTATTTTCTAGTGAAGTGAAGTCAGTCTGACCATGTAGATAGAATCTTTAGTTCCCACCCTTAGGGATCTTATCGACTTCTCTTTCTTCGTCCGGCTCGAATGGCTAGGCAGTCGTAGCCAGCGGGTAACCGCCCCGGGCCATGACCTCGGAGTAGTCCTCGAGGCCTCATGTCTAACAGCGTGATTCTATCAAATATATTCTCTATTCGATTTCATTTTGATGCCAAAGGACTTGACGTATCAATCTTCGTGAAGTGAGACATGCTTAACATAACTGAATATGTTAAAGGGTATCTATAATCCAGCTATATATTTAAAGCTGGGGATCTGAGATTACTTTGTGCTCTCTTAGTCTCCGGGGTAATTCTTTTCTTATTTGAGATGGGACAATGTGGCCAACGCACGAAGATGAAAACGAGAAAACAAGTCCCAGCTCTGTTCTTTTGTTCTCAGCCAAGTCGGAACACAGTTGGAGACCAGTCCATCCACAACATGATCAGTTGAGGATAAACCATGTTGTACGAGCGAATATGGCCTACTGCACTTGTTACACGGCACTTGCAAGTGGCAATCACTGATTTCAAAATCCATAATACTCGGTTGAACTAATATCCTACTAGGATATTGTGACCGACGCTGATCCAAGTGCGAGCGTTTGAGCAAAGAGATGGTGGCATCCCTAGATGACCCCCGTGGTGATGTAAAAGCTTATAAGAATAAGGCTGAAGCCACAGTCGATCATAGTCAATCCATGGGGAGCCCTGCTAGTAGATATTGCTGGAGATTATTGTTTATTTTCTCGGTGGTTATGCACCGGTGGTGTGATATACTCTGCATCCCTCGCTTTGATTGGCACTTGGTATATAGCACATCACGAGGCTATCAAGACGTTGGATAATCTTCCGCGAGCTGCCGACTGGGATCCTCGTTTGTCCTGACCACTGAGCTTTGTATGTTTGCTGCAATTCAATTTCGAGCTCTTTGCGCACGAGAAAATGGCATTGCTGATCTTTATACATCCTCGCGGCAGGTAGATATTGACTTCATATAGTACAGAGACATATCGAACCTACTGCACGATATAGTTCAAATCAGCTACACAGACTAAGAGAAAATCAAACACAATGGCCAGCTCTCGAATAACCCGGAGCAATAGACGGCGCCAGATTGGGATTTGGCCCAGGCATGATTCTGACTTCATGCAGAGGCCACCATGACGCATCTGGGGAATTCTTGATTCTCGTCCTTGCTGGCCCTGGCCCTGGACTGTAATGAACATTGTTACATTATACTTGACGCTAGTCTGGTTTGTCTTCCTTTTTTTTCAATGTACGAATATGGACTGCAGTGTTGCGATGGTCGGTCCCGAGATATAAAGCCCTGTCTCCTGCTCTGGGAATTTGCCTCTGCTCGCCATCATCCTCTGTCTATACATCAATTATCTCACAGGTGTGTGTTACTTTCACCTTCCGTCTTTGGAAGCTTATTATATCTATCCCCACCTTGTGTGCGTATTCACTTCTTACACTCCTACACAATGGCCTTCTCCACGGCCATCGCTCGTCCACTACAGCTGGCCACTCGTACCCTGCAGTGGATCAGCGCGGTCATTGTCATGGGCTTGACGTCTTACTTCCTTCATCATGGTCCACATGGTCAGCACATGATATACCAAGAAGTCATTGTATGTTTATTTCCTCTTCCGTTCCACTATCTTCATTTCACTATAGAGGCATCATCTAACAAGGCCAGGCTGTCTCCTCAGTCATCTTCTTTATCCCAGCATTCATATCACCATTTCTGCCTTCAGCACTAAGCAGATTCGTGCTAGTCATCGATGTCATATTCTCATACCTGTATGTCAACACCCAACCATACTATATTCAAAGACTCCAGATCTAACAGCCATTTCAGCTGGTTGACTGCCTTCATCTTCGCCGCCCAAGATTACAGCACAAATCGATGCTCCTCCACCAAACCTTTCGGCATCAACTGCCGCCACAAGCGGGCCAATGAATCTTTCATCTTTGTAGCATTGTATGTTGAAATCCACCCTTTATATCCCCCACTCCAAGATATATGACTAATATCATACCAGTATCCTCACATTCTTCGGTGTGTTTATCGAAGTCGCGGCCTTGTGGGCGCATCGCAAGGAAACCAACACCGCCGAACGCTCTGTCACTGAGGAGCAGAAAGCCGAGACTGAGGCTCGTCCTCCTCTTGATGCGCCCGCTGCAGCTCCTGTTGGCAATGTCTAATGGATTTATTTGCCATGTCTCCGGGCAATCGCATTCATCATTGCTTAGCATGATAAGTCGTTGTGGGTGTATCATGTTCCTGGACTGTTCGCTCTACGCTTGCTATGCCTTGTCTGGGGGTTGAATATTTAATCTGGTTCCCTTCGCACTCCTGGATCGTAACGAACTCGATTCTGAATGGGAATTGGATTGCACATACGTTACGAGTCGACATCAGGGGTCAGGTGAAGTTTGGGATACCTAATGGATGCCACGGCAAACCATCACTGATTGGGGATTGTTACTTTTTTTGTGCTCTTTCATTACAATTTATTATTCTAATACATTTATGATCCTATATGGAGTATATAGTCCCTTTCATCGTAACGATGATGGCAGTAACATTGCCGATTGGGGAAGCGATCGGGTGCCTGATCACAGTGTGAGTTAGTTCCAAGCCAGATTCCTTCTCTGTTGGCCAGTATAAGTCGGGCACCTATATGATGTTTCGGCCTGAAGCGCTCCTGGGTGAGCCTTGGGGGATGAGACGGTAAACTCATGTGGGGTCCTCCGGACTTTGTGATGTGCTATATATTATATACAGAGTACGTGCCCGGGTTTTTAGCGCCCTGATCCACAAGCACAGCCTGCACAGACACATAGGCTCGGTTGGTGATGGAATTATTCTCGAGTTCGTTCATCCTAAGCTTCCTGACCTCCAAGGTCATCGATCATTTCCGCGTATTTTGGCAAGGAATGCGTTGAGTTCTTGGTCTCCAAAGGAGCATTGGTGGATCTCCAGGCGAACAGGGACCGGTTTTCTAATGCGGCGGAAGCTGTAGAGGCCGATGCTTTGGAAGCTTAAGCGGGTGTCCTATCAAATTGCAAAACCCTCCCTTGAAGCCTCTTTGACTTGACGACCACCTTCCGCTAAGGAAAGGTGCATGTATCAACCAGGGGCGTACTTCGTGTTGAAAATAGCGTGACAAATGAGACAGTAGACAGAGAGGCAGTTTTAGTTACTTGCCTATTTCAATGATAATCTTCCAACCTGAACTCGTACATTGCTATTTTGGGTTCTTCACTTGGCGGAGCAGCTCAGCCCTACAATAGGCATCGATCCGGTTGAACTAGAGCATTTTCACTTTTGATGGGTGTTCCGCCAGGTATAATGTCATAACGCCTAGCGCATGTGCACGTTATTGACGCCGTAGGCCTCAGACACAACAAATTATTTAAGCACAGACTCCCAAGGCTAGGTATGAGGCTAGAAGGACTAAGACGTTGGTAAAACGCCCTTGGCTTAAGCCGAGGTGTAGTAGAGCCATTTTGGGCAGCCGGCTTACTTCGTCTTTGCGTTGTAGTGTGACATAGTAGCCATTTCGGTTTCTAAATTTCCGGACGAAGGAAAGTTCATAGTGATAGCAAAGCTGTATTTCTATTCTGTATTGGACTATCCACAGTATACAATGAATGTACAGGTCGAACAAGCCAGTCAAAGGGTTCAATCGGTATCTCGCGCAATGAACAAAGGTGCCAGCACCAAGAAAAGCAAATCATATACAGTGTTGAACGCCGCATACCAGAAAAAGTCAAGTCGCTGCTTCATCAGACTCGAAATATCATGCAAGGTTTGGTTGAAGGATGTTGGTTGGAGGATATGGTTAGATACTAGCGCGGCGAGGAGCCATTGTCCGCTGCAGCTTGCGCTTTTCCTCGGTTTCCTCGGGGATAGGTAGCGAGCCCTCGTTTTTCAGACGGTCGAGGTACTCTTTTCCATATGCATAGCCGACTTGGTAAATCTCATCGAATTTACCGAATTCAAGAGTCCCGTATGGATCGATGGGAGGACGCATGTAGAGACAGCCGGTCATACTTTTTGCGCGCTCAAGGTTGTCGAATGATGAGACGTAGGCAAGGCGGGCTTGGATTTCGGAAAGCGTAGGTGGGTTGGGAAGTGAAGAGAATGGGTTCCATCGGTTGAAGACTGACCAGAAGCCGGATAATGAGTCTCCGAATCCTTGGGGTGTGGTGTCGTCGATTGATCCGACATCAACTGCGAAGATGACATCTGCTCCAAGACTTCGCATGTGTGCCACGGTAAGATTGTCGATGTAGCCGCCATCCAGGAGCATGCTGCCTTCGTCGCAGATAGGAGGCATCAAACCGGCCAGTGACATCGAGGCCCGGACGTACCGCCAAACATAGCCCGACGAGTGATACTCAATTCGGGACCGGCTGATGTTGGTTGTATTGCAATAGAACTCCAGCCAGAAGTCTTCAATCTGGCTATCACCGAAGGTTTTGAAGATACCGCGGTTGAATTCATGGCCTGTCGTGTAGGACACGGTAGGATAGGTCAGGTCCAGTGCGAACCGCCACATACTCCCCATGCGCCCGGAGAACTTCTTGGCTCGGCCGTACATGGGGACGACATCGGCATCACGCGCGTACAGAGCTCCAATGAAAGAGCCGATCGATGTACCACCGATGATATCAATTGGGATTCCGGCCTCCTCGAGCGCTTTGATGACACCAACTTGCGCAATGCCACGCGCTCCTCCTCCACCCAACACGAGACCCACAGACTTCCCGCACAACCGCCTAGCTAGTCGATGGAAATCACCCTTGAATGGAGTTTGCGGGGAATAAAGTGGGGTTTGTTGCGCACGGCGGGAGGTATATTTTTGAATTTCGGCTTGCAGGATCTGCACGCGCTGTTTCAGCACAGTGCCGAACTTTTTACTCGGCGGATGTGAAGGCTCGTTGGTGGAACGGAAAGCCATTTGAATGTGGTGATGGCCACCATTGATCCACACTCGGTTCTTGAGCCATTCCCTGGTAAGTCCAGGTGAACAGTATCGTTCCGCGTGTAAAAGGACCAACTCCTTGCGGGCAGTGGTTTTCATACCCAGCAAGAATCGCTCGTACTCACCGATCCTTGGTGAGGATTCTGCGAGGCCCACCAACAGGATGGAATCGGCTTGCGCGATGCAGGTCTGAGTCCATGGTGCGTTCACGTTTGTATCAGCAATGTACAACACCATACCGTACTTCTCCTCAAGATCAGCTAGATATTGAGAAAGCTTAAGTTTGCCCATCTTACTAAAGGCATGGCGACCTAAGTGGTTCAAAATTGCCGCTTGGTTGAGTGATGTGACACCTCTGGTCACACCAATTTGGTGCAACGCCTGCAGAAGTCTATTTCCGAATTCCACGACCGGGACACCAGCCATAACAGGGAGAATTGCAACAGTGCGAAGATTCAGCGTTGAGGTTGCAGTCTGGGCACCAGCGGAATTTCCGTGTTCGATGCCCTTTTCAGACAACGGACGTTCAACCAAATCACGCATTCGTTGGGCAATGAGTTTAGAAACCTGAATGGTGATTCCAGGGTGTTCCTGTGCAAGACTGTTGAAGAGAGACCGGGGGAATTTGGCAAGCTCCGTTTCCCGAATAGCATGCAACGTGGATGGTCTTGTTGATTCGGTCATGACCTCTAGTTCACCAACACTCTCACCCTGGCCGTGTTCGCCAATGACGGTTATCTTGCCGTTTGATCCCTCAAGGACAGACCTCAGGCGACCGTTGAGAACAAGATAAATGGCATCACTTTCATCACCTTGGTGGTAAATCACTTGTCCTGCGCTGACTTGAACCCACTCAAGAGCGAAATCAATGTGGAGCAGCAAGCGAGGTAGAAGTCTTGTCAGTCGCTTTGCTAGTGTCAATAGAGCTGCCGGATGTCTGTCTGCGATTCTCTCCAGGGAAGCACGGGGAAGGAATCCAACGTAGACATCCGTTTTGGCCACAACATCGGTGTACGAGCGGTATGAAGCCAGTGCACCCACGTATCCTTGAATACCACCCGGTTTGATCAGATACAGCGATTTGCGAGATTGTGTCTTCCGTCGGGGGTCACTGGCGCCTGCTGCACCAGGTGCGCGCGATGATGCTGTTGTGGTGCGTCTCAGCTTCGGGAATAATTCCTCTTGCGCTTGCGAGACGGACCCATGAGAAGTCCCAATAAGGGTTTCGTCGCGTTCATTCGCTGGGATTCCCACGTCCAAGAAGCCATCGATCACGTAGTAGAGACCAGGGTGACGCTCGCCCTGTTCCACAAGAACCGAGCCTTGAGGGAAGTAGACTACCTCGATGTCATGGCGCAGCTCTTCTCGCAGGTTGACGACAGGTGAAGTCCCCCCTGCGCTAGTCACTGACATGGACATCATGGATTCGGACTCGCCATCACCAGACCCTTCATAAGGATCCATGAAGCCAAATGCATTGGAGAACACTGCCTTCTGACGACGGTTATCGTAGGAGAGAAGTCTTGGTGATGCGTCGCCAGAGTGGCTTCCCTTACGCAGGGTATCGCGTGAGCCTTCAGTGAGCCCAATGCCTCTCATAATACAGTCTAAGATTGACTCGCGGAAAAGGCCGTCCTCGTCAACCGACTCTTTTCGCTGGAATGTTGAGGGCCGGCGATTCATTGCAGCAGCGGATAAAAATTGCGGTTGTTCTCTCTCGGTAAGAGGACTCTGCATGCGAGGTGCCAGATGGTCGTATCGCGGCCCAAATCGGGACAGTTGTATCGTCGATAGTAGATCGCCTGGGCTGACACCTGCCGTATCCCTGTCGATGAATGCCGGTGGAGACATCTGCGGAGCTGGGGGTGCAGGGCGTTCACTGGCCACTTTGGCTTGCAAGACAGCCTCTTTTCTGAGGCTACTGCTCGAGCGACGCCGACGACCAGCAGAAGGATTGTGCAGAGCAATGCCTTTGCCAACCTCTTCTGGTCCTAGTCTGTCTCGCTCCCGCGTGAATTTGTCTTTCAGGCGGTCCAGGGCGCTCCCCCGAAGATTATTGGGGAGGTCCCAAGAGGTAAACTTGGACATTTGCCGTTCTATCCCCAGTACTTCGGTGGTCAGACCTAGATAAGAATGCGCTGTGGCGAATGTCACCCGCTGAAGACGTGTCAGAATGACTTGGACGATGTGTGACGTTGCCCGTGGGTAGACTCTAGTCAGACGGCGGAACGCGCTCGCTGGGATTATGGCAATTGTCGTGTCCACTGTAGCCCGTGCCACAATATCCGGATGTACCGACTTGCGACCTTTTTTCTGGGAATTCTGTTGATGATCAGGTTGTGGGGTCTGGTCTTGTTCCTGGCTAGGCATAGCATGGCTCTCTCCGAGATTTAGCGGAGGAACTGGCGACAACGGTGCGCCAGGTCCGCGAGCTGCAGCGTGCAATTCGGTGAAATCGGGGCTATTAACAATATTGGTGCCAGGGCTAACAGCGAAGGAATCAGCCACAGGTGTCTCAGCACGAGGAGGGCTAGATATACTGGAGCTGTGGCTTCGCGAGTTGCGGAGCTCGATATCTTCTGTAAAAAGCTGGAGAATGGAGAATAGAGACGACATCGAAGCGCCATTCTTGACCTCGGTGAGGAGCTGATATCCCTGTCGGCCATGGATGTGATGGTCCTCCTCGTCAGAGGTCGCATCATCCATGTACAAGCTCTCTTGGGAGTTTGATTTCCCTTCACGTGCTGACTTCACAAAAATCTGGACTAAGCCATCCACGACCATACAAAATCCCTTTTCTTCCTCTAGCATGAGTGTCTCTCCGGCAATCAGCTTCCTAGTCTGCATTGTCCGGGTCAACTCATGGAAGACGGGCCGTTCGAGGTAACCAAAGACTTTGATGGCGCTGAGGAATTCATCGAGATAATTGGCAAGCCCTGGCTTTGAATCGCCCTCCTGGATATCGGGGAACAGATCGATTTGGGCTTCTTTGCGTTGGGGCTCTGGGGGCAGGCGACTGTACATATTCATGAACCGATAGCGGATAAACCAGCTAACGGTCGATACCAGGACGAGAAAGATCAACATTCTAAAGGGCCATGTTTGATCAGCTACAGTGCCTTTGGATGACACTCTCATACTAAGACCTACATGGTGGTGAAATTCATGGTGAATGTCAAGCTCATGGAAAACAGCGTGAAGAGCCATGTGGGTAGTGTAATAGTTGAGAAGGTGATGACCCAGTAGAGGGCACTTGGGACAGTGTGAAAGATGAAGGTGAACACCCATCCGATCCACCCCGCCATGGTGGAAGGAGCTGGTGGGAAGAGCGGGGGTTGAGAAAGAGAGGTCGCGCTAGAGCTGAGGGGGTTAAATGAGGTTGAAGTTGACGCCGTTAGGCTGAGGGCAAGGGATGGGGCCAGGCCAGCCATGCTCAGAACAAGATTGGGAGAGCTCCGCTTTGTTCCCAGGATCCAAGGCTAATGCTGCGACTAAGTCGGACTAAGTCAGCGTTACTGCGACCGAGTTAGACTTCTGAGAAACTTGAACCCAACCGTGGGCCCGTTAGGCCTGACCGATCAAAGCATCGGAAACGTGCGGGCGCTATTGTCGGAGGGAGGCCCTGGAGGTGGTGTCGGAAGTTGGCTGCATTCCCGACCGAGGCGGAATCATGTGCTGTTCCTGATTTCTATTGGCGTTCTTTTGACCTTCCCGCCGAGTTTCATCTTTCTTTTCTCATAGAGCCTCGCATTCGAATTATGTCTTCCCAGTACTCAGTACTCCGTATGTGGTATGCTAATGCTAAACAATCCACAATGATGTAATGGCAGTTTAGCAGGGCTGTTGGTTCTCCTAAACTTGGAAGCATTCATTTCACCTACCCTATTGGAGATGTATGAGATGCAATGTCCTTGACATCGAGGAGTACTTCAGTCTCTACATATGTATTTAACACCGACACTGAGCCTTATGTAGCTATATATCAGCCCTTTTGGTGCGTGTTCTTATAACACTCGCTATCAGGTACCCTGTACGGAGTCCCTGAGGCACATACACATGCTACATCTGCACTCATGTTGTTGGGGCTTCATATCAACGAGAGTCTACCTAGGGATTAAAAGGAGACCTTGCCCTATAGCTAGTTAAAACATATGTACGGAGTACGGAGTACCGGATAATACCTGGCACTCGAGACCTTTCTCTTTCCGTTTTAGTGCTCACCCCTTGCCGCTTTTTGATCACTGAGTAAAACTGAGCACGTCCCTGAGTATCTTGACTTGATCACGTGCCATTATATAATCAACCTGATCTGCCCAGGTGCTCACTGAGCATCACCTGATCCTCCCTGGGCAACCTGGTGGTCCCAAGGGAAGCCTAGGGCCTAATATATATGCCGCTTCAGCGGACAATCGGCGCTTCCAAATTGATAGGGCTGTATCGTCGATTAATGTCCGCTGATACATACTGCTCTGGAGACATTTACATCACCATAAGGTCAATCAGAGTCTAGTAGGCCCAGTGCTGTGTTATAGCCGTAGTCAAAGCGTATTGAAAATCATGGCCTTTCCTGCATCCACGGATGGTCCCCTTCAAGGTTCCAAATCTTGATCTTCAGATTTTCTTCATTCCTGCTGCCAGTTCGTTTTCAAGTTTCTTCTATCACACTGATCACCTGCCACCATGTTCGAGCGCCGTGAGCTTAATTCCAGTGATACGTCCACCGGTTCAGATGCCTCTTCTATCGCTCGCAAGGCCAGGATCGCGGAAATATATTTGAATACCACACAGCTTGAGCAACTCCCGGACGCAGTTATTCTTGAGCGGTCCCTGAGTCTAAGATCTATCATCTCTACAACCTCATCTTTCAGCCAGCTTTCCCAGACCGCGCGGAATCGACCACACCTGCAGCAGATAAATCAGATTGGAGTTGGCTTACAAGGTGTTGTTTTTGAACGGGTTGGAAAAGAGCCAGTCCTGAAGAAGGAAAAACCAGGAAATGAAACTCTCTCGTCAAACTTGAGGAAGGAGTATACAATCCACTGTCAGGTTTCGGCGGCATTCGACTACTACCAAGTTATCACGAACTCCGAAACCTTAGTACCCAAGGCATTGCGCTTCATTCCCAAGACAGGCGATGAGTTGTTCTGGGAGGAGTTGTTGCCAACGCTCCCACGGGAGTACCGCACTCGAGATAACTCTATGCTCTTGCAGCGTATTCTGCCTCTACCGAAAGTTGTTCGCCGCGCGCTGATTAACGAGTTTATCACTGCAGATATTTCGCAAGCATCGGCCTTGCTCGCAGATCCGAGAAACAAGCACTGCCTAGCCAGAGTGTACCTTGAAAAAGAAAACGGTACTCTGAGCCACGAATCTCCCCTGAGAAACTTTCCTATGTACCTCGACAACATGAAGCAAATCGTTATCGACACTATCAAGCTTGCCAGCGCTCTTGGTAAAGCATATGCCACATTGCACTGGGGTGCTGAAGTCAACGGAGATGATATTGAGTTTGTTTTTGGGACCACAGCTGAGCAACGACCGAGCGGAAACCCACCAGACTTTCAGCACCGAGCAGTTTGTCTTTTCCTGCTTGACTTCGGTCAGTGTGACATCGTCGACCTAAGTCAGGAAAGTGAGACTGTCTATCAGGGTTTCAAAGGAGCGATGGTCACCGGTGATAACCAGAATTTCAACCCACACGCGAACCAACCCGAGTTGTTTGCTGCCTTTAAAGAGGGATATTCTGCAGCTGGAACAATTATTCTCGCCGACAAGCGCCTTGACTCGAAATTCGACATGAAGGAGTTTATACAGCAATACGAAGAGTACGCCGAGGATTTTCTTTCTTAGCTCAACTGGCAAAACAGAGGGGAATTGCTATGACTGACACGGAGTAGAGAGTCATACAAGATTAGGGAATTTCTTAGCTCGATCAGAACCCAAAATCTTCATCCTGAGCATTAGTCAAATATCAAGACTGCTCTAGGAACCACTAACGGGCCAAAACTCCAAGTGTCGTAGAAGAAGAGGAAATATACTTGGTTAGGAATGCTGAGATCTCAACTGACGTGGTATTCAGTATAGTAGGGGTCCAATCAAGGGAGTTGAAATCTCTGTATTTCTGTATCCACTATTCTAGCAGGAAATATGACTATCTGACTAATATCAAAAATACTGCGTGGATAGGATAAACTAAACTTCCGGTATACCGATCTTATGCTCCGACACACCCCCTCAGCTAGGCCAGTATGGTCTAGCTGCTTCCTACACCCAAGTCGGTATGCTATTTCTCTCCCTTTGTTAATTAACTGACCTATGCTGTTAAATAGCTCCTACTATTAGATAGCTTATATCTATTATCCTCAACATTTTGAGGAAAGCTTTATACTTTTGCCTAGTAAGTAACTTTGTAAGTCCGTCTATAGCTATACTAGCTATCGGCACCTATTTTACCTTAATTCTTCCTTCCCTAACTTCCTATCTAAGCTAGTGCCGATAGATATTAATATATCGTAATTTCGTCTCGAACGCCGTATCCTCGCTAGTTAGAAGACTAATAGTGCGCTAATTATCGTAATCGATACTTAGTTAATAGGAAGGGATAAAACTGAGGGTATTAAGAAGTCTACGCTACTATTATAACTATTTTATAGTCTCTAAGAGACCGAGGAGCTTAGCTTTAGTAGTGGAGGTAGTAACTATAGGCTACTTACTAGCCTTCTAGTCGACTAGCCTACTATATACCTAGTAGATATAGCTAGTAGAGCTCTTTCTATCGGGGTAATCTCTATATAAAGTATTACTAGTAAATTATATAGAGTCTATTCTAGAATCTATACTATATTTAATAGCGAGATAGCGGGTAGAATTAAGGTAGGTAATAACTCTATTAGCTACCTAATAGTACTAGAGGCCCGGGTTTATTAAATATTATACTAGATAAGTAGTCGATTTTATAGCGTCTAGTCTTATAATTATAGTAGTATATCTAGTAGATCCTACCTTCTTTTAGTATAATAGGATCTCTTATACTATAGCTACTCCCTAAAATAGGGTTAGATCTTTAATAGGTATTAGGGTATATACCGCTAGTCTATCTATAAGATTATATTATATAGTAATACTTACTATATAGCTATTTTAATAAAGCTATAGCTTCTTTTACTACCTATCTCTAATAATATAGATATTAAGAAACTATACTACCTCTCTATAATCTATTAATTCCTAGTATACTTCTAGATCTCGCTCTAGTTATATAGCCCTTTTTTATATATCTTTATAATAGGTAATTAAGATATTATTAATATAGAAAAAGACTATTAGTCTATTTCCGATAAAGATATAGGGGTCTTCTAGGGCTTATTATAGACCTAGTTTATAAAATATACTAGCTACTTCCTACTACTAAAGTCTAGATAAGATCCGTAGACTATATAGTATACGGCGGAGTTTCTAGTATTTACCGGGTAGTCTAAACCTATTAGGTATCTAGGTATAGACCTCTTTTTCTAGCGTACTATTTAAAAAGGTAGTGATAGTATCCCGCTATCTTAGGTCGAGATTAAATATAGTAATAAGGGCGAAGATTATCCTTATAGTCCTTACTACTAGTGTAGTAGCTCTCTTTTCTTCGTACGAAATAGTCTCTAGGTCTCCCCGTACGTATATACGAGCTTTAAATTTAATTAGATAACTATCCTAATCGTATTTATAGGTAAATACCTATATAAGAGGTAGTATTTACTTACCTCTATCCTTTAGTCTCTCTATAATCTTATAGGTTTCCTTTTCTATTAGAGAGTTAATCTCCTTCTTTATTACTACGAGAAAGCCTTCCTAAAATAGATAGTTTATAATATCTTTATAGTGTTTTAGGACTAGGGGGAGATTATCTTAATAATATCTAATTTTAGGTTTCTTAGTATATAGTCCTATAGCGAACGTATATAGTAGTATAGAAGGGTCTTCCTCTATAGCGGTAGATCTTATTATATAGATATAGTCTTTGTCTTACCTAGCTTAACGTCTTCACTTTCTACTAATGATATTACTAGTGTCGATATCTCCTATAATTTATCTACTTAGGGCGAGAAGTTCCGCCTATAGTTATCTTTCTAGCTTATCTTCTATAGTAGGAATAGCTTTATTATCCTAAATCTAGTCGCTAACTAGATCCTCTAGATCCTCCGGTATATCTACCCCCTAACTAGGGGTAGTATAGGGATCTTACGTAGTATAGGGTTCTTATAGCGGTATAATAGGGAGCGGAGGAAGGGGTTTATCCGGAAATATACCTAGCGGGGCTCGGGGTTTATAGATCTTAGGTATTTACTATATAATTTTAGGTATTTACTATATAATCGTAGTTTTTAGGGAGGGTAGGACCACTTACTAGTCCACCCCCTAAAGTAGGGTAGTATCTCGCTAACTAACTTCACTAGCTATCTCCCTATATAGAGAGTTTTATTATATATTCTACTAGTTTTCTCGCTAAGATCCTTAATAAGATCCTTAATAATTATAGTACTAAGTTTCTTATAGATTATTAGACTAAGTTTCTTATAGATCTCGATAATCTCTCTTTTCTATTTCGCTAGTCTCTTAACTAGCTATCACGTGATTAAGTATCTAGATGAACTCCTCTATAGTAATTTCCTAAGGTTCTTACTATATTAGCATTAGAATAAGCTAATATCTATTATAATTAGGGGTATATTTACAAGTTTTATTAAATACTATATCCCTAATAGGCTTCACTTTCCTATTATACGGAAACTAGATTTTCTAGATATTTAATACTATATAGCTAACTAAGAATCCGATCTTAGCTCGTAGGTTTATTTTATTAGACTAGACCTATTTATCGATCCTATAGTATACTAAACTTCTATATAGTTTAATATTTAATAGGTTAATCCTCGGCGCCTACGGTACGAACTCCTTCCGCACCTTCTCCTATAGTATAACCTAGCGGTTTTCGGTAGTAATATATATCGGCGTATAATTTAGTAGCTATACCGTAGCGTTAGCGGCCTCTAGCTATAGATCTTTTAGGAGCTTTCCTTTAAGTACGAGTATACGTATATAGGTGATAATTATACTACCGGATCTTTCGGTATAACTATTTATTTCGGAGTGCCCCGGGGGGTTATAATATATAAGGATACTATTAGAAGTAAGGCTATATTCCGTAGGTTTTCTAGCTAAGGACTTATTATTATATTAGAAGACTTTAATCGGTAGATCCTATTAGTTTCTTACTAGTTCTATAAAACGATTAATCGCTAGCTAATACTTAGGCTTTATTTTATAGGTTATTAGCTAATAAAACTTAGGACCTTCTAGGTAAAAATAAGAGATCTAGCGGTACTTATTCTCTACTAACGGTAGCTAAATAAGATTAAAGTATACTCTTCTAAATCGTCCGAAAGTACGTCTAACTATATATCTTAATATCTACCTTAGTATACGACCTAGCTAATAAGTCTAGTATAATACCTACGTTTCTATAGTCTTCTTTCCGGTAGACTTTTTTCTTTATTATTAAAACTAACTCTATCTACTATAGTAGCGAGTTTTACTATACTTCGTTAATTAATATAGGTAAGCCGTCGGTACTAGATATCTAATAAGACTCTTAATTATTAAGGTTTTATAGACTTTCTCTCTATAAAATAGGCTTACTAGGGCTATATAAGTTCTCCGGGTTAATTAAAGATCTAGAGGTTAAACTAGTCCTAAAAGTTAATATAGATAACTAGTCTATTATTAGAGTCTCTAATATAGTTTATACGTTAGCACTATATCCCGCTCTTCTTTTTTAGTATAGAATAGGATACTAGGTTTATATAGAAGCTAGGGGAATAGAGGGTATCACTAAGTATAATCTCTATTTTACCTTTTACTAGATATCTACCTACTAATCTAACCTTCCCCTTTCCTAGCACCTAGGTAGTGCTATCTCCCGTCGTAAGATCCGAAATCTAGGATATAAAGTCGATAAAAAAGTCTCTATTATTATAGATATAGATACTAGATCCTATATTAAGGATCTACCTATCTTTTAAAATAGGTTCTCTATTTTTAGTAAGGGAGAGGGTATATTCGTAGTTTTTTACTAGCCCCCCCTACTATATAGTATAGGGCTTAAGAGTAGTAGCGAAGCTTACTTAATTTATAAACTCTTCCTTCTAAGGTTACTAAGTTTACTAAGTTTACTATACCTTTTCTACCTTCTTTTTTACCTATTTCTTCTAAGTAGGCTCTTTAGCGAGTTTTTACTTAATCTTTTCTAGCTTTCTAAGGTTAATATAGGTCCCTTCGGGGCGGTTTTCCTTATTAAGATACTAGTATATTACTATTTTATATAAATAGTAGGGGTTCCTATATAGGTACCTCCTTTTTTTAAATAGGATCGGCTTCTTAGTTTAGGACTAGATCTAGGATTTTACTTCTTAGTGTCCCTACTAGGTTAAAAATACCCCTTTTAGGGGTATAGTAGATAATACCTTTTATACCCCTATTTCTCGATTTATTACGCGGAACGATTTAAGGAGATTATAGGTTTAATAGACTTTCTTATCTATAACGATCTCTTAATATCTTCCTTACTACTAAATAGGTAAGACCTCTTTAATAGTATATAGGAAGTCCCTATTTACGTCTCCGTTATTAATACCGAGGCTAATAGCTTACTCCCTTAAGGTATTCTATTATTTAAGCTATTATTCGATATCTCTAGTCGGCTTTTAGATAGTAAAGACCTTCTACTTTATTCGGACTTCCTCCTTATATATAGTCGATCTCGCGAAGCGATCTCTTAGGTATATAAGTCTCTTATATAGGGT